TTAATATAAAAATTACTTTTAACGAAACTTTTATAATAATTTTAAATTAACGAAATATCTTATTAACGATTTTAATCGTAGTTTATATTAACTTTTTCTCCTTATATAAATGTTTAATTAAATTAAATATTATTAAAGAAAAAAGATTAATAATTAATATTATATTATTACGTTAATTATATAAACGCCGGAAAATTGCAAAAATTTAATAAATTTAAGAAAAAAATAACTTAATTAATGTTATAATTAAAACAAAGGTTAATAAAGCATTAAAAACATTTATTAATATTAATTACCTTATGTTACGATTATAAAAATAAGTTAAAAAAAGTTAATACATTAAAATAAAAATAAAAATAAAGTAATAAATAAAAGTAATAAACACGAGAAAAAAAAAATAATTAATGTGGGAATTATAGGGAATAATTACGTGACCCACATGGTCCGTGCCTATTTTTATAGCTTATTTTAATTAGGAAAAAATCTTTGATTTTTTTTATTTTATTAAATAACTTTAATTATACATTTATAATTTTAACCTTTTATTTATAACTTATTATAATCATGGAATCATTTTATTTATTTTAATAAGTTTTAATTTTAATATTTATAATAAAAGGAATTTATCACATTAATTTACGCTAATGTGGGATAATAACACCTTGTGGGGATTTAATTTATTAAAGACTTTAACATTATAACTAGCTTAATGATTTTTAGGACATCTTACATTCAAGGTTTACACTGGGGATGTAAAGGGGGGATAGTCGGCATTCGTCAGCCACACGAGTATTTTCCGGCAACATGGCCAAAATTTAAGCCTGCAATTGCAGGCAAAAACTTGCTTCTAACCCCCACGATGCTATTCATGTCCAGCACAATTAATCCAGGGTTGTCATGTAGGTACAATACAATGCGCTAATGCCAACTTCCTTTGGTAACTTCTGCACAACATGAGAAACAACATGATACCACGCTCCCCTGAAGCGAGGTGTCAAACACAACGAACTATTCCTTCAATTTACCACCTACCTACGTAGTAGGTACCTAGGCCTAGTATCCATATGGGTATTTGCTGGAAAATCCGAATCCCGAAAAATTCAACTGTCGAATGACCCCTCACGAGCAGGTTCGAGGTATGAAGTATGATTATTGGTGTGCATGGGGAGCATTGCATCTCTCCTCCATCACGGATTGTATCCCCGCTATCCGAGCCAAAATCAAACAACTTCAATAGCGACAACTTCCAGATCTGTGCCGTGTTTCCAATTTATCATGTGGATATCTGACTATAGCGTTTTCACAAGACAATATGTTGGCATTACAGCGACTCCATAAAGTGACTCAAAATGGCAGGTCTTCAAATATCTCTGAGTGAAAAGCCTCAGCTCGCGATTCGGCATGCGTCGAGTCGACAGCTTGGCTGCAACAGGTTAGGGACTCCAATTCGGCCGATTCGGGCGAAAGGCCACTCTTGAGCTCTAAACTCCTCGGCGATCCTCTTCTGCGCCTTTTATAAAAAAAATCAAAAGTACCTAGAGGTTACTTCATCTAAATTATCACAAAGCCAAATGCGCATTGGCTGGAAATGCGACGATGACCTCATATTTTCAGGTGTGATGATCGTCTATACAAGACCAGCCACGCCTTGCTGACAGCTCAGGCCCTAAAGAACCACGAGGCCAGCTAGGACTGCAGGTAGAGTTGCAGGTAACGTTAGCAATTGGACCAAGCTCTGCATAGCAGCCCAGGTGGCATTATTTATATTGCGGGGTAGCACGGCATATAATAGTACATACCTAGCAGTAAGTAAGTAGGTAAGTCAAATCCTTTCGCTTGCACTTCATACCGACAGTTGGGGCCACATCGTCATCCCGAGATGACAATTTTATTAGGACGGCATCTACTAGGTAGTCGGCGGGGCGGAGCTCGCACACAAAAATACTAGACCATAGAACTCTGTCAGCGACAAGATTGTTCTAGCGGCTGGGGAGTGCGATGCCAATGCTACTCTACGATCCCATGATCTTCCTAGAACGATTTTCACCTCATGTGCGGCGGTTAGTACACCTCTTTCGGAAAAGCTGGATCTTATCCCCGGATCTTCGTGAGGTAGAAAAGTCCCTAGCAGTGGGAATCCTGCGGAGGTGGAAATATGGATGCTAGTGAAGTGATCACAGTGTCTGTATTCCCCCGCGTTTTCCCCCGGCCCAAGTGGCTACCTAGGTAGTCAACACGTCACCGCCGGAAGCGCAAATGGGGCTCGCTCTATTCGCAGATGTAGGTAACTAGTTCCAAACTGTCAGCACATTCTACCACTATGATACAGCTTGTGTGACTCAAACCTGCAGTGGCACGGATCGCCTTAGGAGAAATTCATTTTAACATACGAACTTTGCGTAGAGTAGGTTTCTATGGCGTGTTATGGCGAACCGAGCGGCTGGCTACGAATCAAACAAATTTTAATTTCAAAGGCACTATTCAAGCATTGCTTGCCTTAAAAGGTACATATATTTACATAATACAGGTATGTCTCAGTTGTTGATCCCCCACGTACCTTGGTAGCTAGCTGGGTTGGGGTTCATAAAGGTCAAGTAGGTCAAGCATTTCAGGTCGAGCGAAACGGACGCAAGGGAGCAGACGGTAAGGCAATGTATTGCCATTAGTCAACTGCCCGAGTCTTAGGTACTAGGGACCTACTCACACCGACTATTAAACCACTTTCTTCTGTGAGATGCAATAGAATCTCAATAGCCAACCAGGATTGACGTAAGGGACCACGAATACTTCAACAGCTCAAGTGACAATAAAGATCGCAAACAACACCGCATAATAAGACACGAGATCTCACAACAGCCAATCAAGAGGAAGGCCAAGTACAGGGAATGAGTGTCTAACTTGACATCGTCCGTGCCAAGCTACTTTCCCCAGACTTGGGGACGACTTGGAGATAGTACCAATAAGGCTTCCCGTCCTTGGAGAAAGTTGGGGGCCGGGGACCACGGGAGCTACCTAGTACTAGCTCAGGTACCTACTAGGCACTCTCTCGGTCACCTCAATCTAAGCCGTCTAGGACTCTAGGCATGGCACGGCGTCACGGCCAAATAGCTTGATTTGAACCCTTAAAATGATGGGGAAATCGTCAAGATGCCGAGGCTGCAAACTTCGACCAAGTACTAGTCCATGTCAAACTGGTTTGCGCGGTCTTGAATACACATGTGAACTTACTACGCCGGGAAGGTGCAGTGATTTCGCAAGAAATTCTCTTTCGACGTCGTGACTCTCCTGAAATACTAGGTAGATTGCTAACCTAAGACGTATGGATTTTCCCTTCCCTCGGCGAATGAGACCCTAGAAACAGGCATTGGTTTTGGGACCAAAATTCGCTCAGCAATTCAATACATTGATGTCTAATCATTAATCATCAAATATGTTGGTTGGAAGGTAGGTAGGTAGGCAGGTTAGATATCTTACCTGTAACCTCATGTGCAGGTATGTAACTAACGACTAGGTACAGTACTAACTTGTGTACTAGTTCTTGTCAAGTAAGCAATATCATCGAAACATCGAAAGGGACTACACAATTAAATATCTAAGGGTCTGATATATCTTTTACATATAATATAGGTAATCACATAGCATGAATAAGCTTTGCGGACCTGCATAGGGGCAGAGGCCGCAGAGCCGTGCTTTGACGTGGCGGAGTAGCCAGCGCTAATTCCTTTACCTATACACTTGCGCTAACTTGTGCCCTGGAGGTTGAACGTGTTCTACACGTTTTGGTTTTCGAATACGAGCGTATGAACTCCTAGTGGCTTTCTCTGTCATACCTGTCGAGAGGTAAGCAACGTTTGCTCGATATAGAATTTCTATTTTCAACTATCACCGCAAATGCTTCGCCGGCCGGACCATCTCATTCATCCTTGGGGGTTGACAAACATTTGGAGTCAACGGCGACAAATTGACGGCTCAGGACGGGCTAACTACCTGTAGCTAACTAAGGTGACTATCTAGGGTGGCCATGTTCAATAACAATGCGAGTCATTGGACCGTCTCACGAAATGCCGCTCTCACGTAGTCACTTATGACTTGCAGATCTCCTTCCTTATGCGGGTGAGACTGGTTTCCCTACCGGCACATTCCGGCCTAATTCAACGACAAGGTAATGTAAACACAGAGACCCCATTCCGTTGGTAAATTGATTCTTTTTTCCCCATTATTTTCCCAACTGGTACAGTCTGGTGTTCTTTACTCTTACAGTGATACTGACTTAGAAGTTACTAAGTACCTGTCCACGTTTTCCAACTACCTGGTTCCTAGTTGTCGCGTGCTGGCTACCTAGGAGGTAGATATCCTTTGTCCGGAAACCTTGAGACTTATTGGCTCGTGACTAAGTTGGGCTGTCTCTTTATACCTCCATGTTTGCTGCCTTTGACTAATATGTCGTCACAAAGGTTTAGAATTTACCATAGCTCTGCTGAGCTCCTTGAGCATACTTTCGGTAGCTATGCCCAGCTTTTGTGTCTAATTAGGTCGTAACTATGTAGCTTCTGCTGTGAGGTAGGCCAAGACTGCTGAAGACAACTGGGAATACAGTCAAACCCACGCCGTGACCTGATCATGCATCGTAGCCAATGCCCAGTCTCATGACTATTTTCTTTTCTTTTCTCTCTCTCCTCCCTAGCCCTTTTGCCCAAGGCTTTTCCCCCCTGGTTCCCTGCCCGCATTGTGCTTCCACACGCTGCGAAACCTTCCTCATTTGTCGATCCATCTGATCTTGCCAGGCCAGAACGCCTCTCAGATTCTAGATTGGACTGCATAACTCGTACCAGCGAGTGATGGGGACTTTGTCTCTGTGAAATCTTATTCAAATATCAACCGTTTTGTCCCAACTTCAAATAGCTGGCAGCTCCTCTTGTCTCGCCTTCTTTTCTAAGTTTATCTCATCCCATACCTCGCCCCCGGCCCCCCTAAGGTTTCCGAGACACCGGAGCATATCTCTCTCTCCCTCCCTTCCTTCCTTATCGCCTCTCCATACACCACCCCCCCTCCCCTACTTACACTGCCCCTTTACACCCCCCCCTTTCCAACCTTCTTCAAGAACGCATCCCCCCTCCCCTCCGGCAGACCTGAGAGAGTTCGCACATCAATTTATACTTCACAACAACAACTCTGCTGCGATGGGACTCAGAAGTGCGCTACTGGCCGGGGTGGCCCTCTTCGGCAGTCTAACCCATGCTGCCTCAAGCTTTAGTCCTGCAAGACCGCCGGCGATCCCGCTAGCCGTCAAAGGCCCGTACCTAAACTCGTGGCTACAGGTTGGTTCCGATGGCGGGAACGGAGGCTATCTTGCAGGTGAATGGTCGAAATTCTGGAGGTTGGTTTTTCTGTCTTTTCTTTTTTTTCTGTTGTTGTTAGACGCACGTCGTTTATCGGGCTAGCCGCTAATAAATTTACAGCCAACAAGTAACGGGCTGGGCAGGCTACATCCGCGTGGATGGCACGCCGTACAACTGGCTGGGTGCGCCTGGCGGCGCCGACTTGGTCGACCAGACCGAGTTCTCCTACACGTCCACGCGCAGCACCTTCGTGATGAGCGTCGGCGGCAAGGTCGAGATGAACATCACGTTCTTAACTCCCGTGACCCCCTCGGACTTGAGGCGGCAATCTCTGGTCTTCTCTTACCTGGAAGTCGCCGTTCATTCGCTTGACGGCGCGAACCACGACGTCCAACTGTACGCGGACGTCTCAGCTGGTAGGTTATTACGCACGCACGCATCTCCATGGATGATACTCACACATACGTCTCACAGAATGGGCCTCGGGCGATCGGGGGGCGGTCGTCACGTGGGAGTACGACACTGCGGATGGCGTCGCGTACCATCAGTTTGCGCGCCAGAGCCAGCAGGATATGACCGAGTCGAACCAGCAGGCGAACTGGGGCAATTGGTTTTGGTCTACCAAGGACGCGGACAATGTGCGTATAGAACCTATCTTGTACATTCGCTTGAAGACTTTTGGTGGAACTAATCATGATTCTGTAGCTATCATTCCAAAGCGGTGCCGACGTGGACGTAAGAGCAGCTTTCAGAAACAACGGCGTTCTTGCAAACACAAAGGACACCAACTACCGAGCCGTTCAAGATAACTGGTACGTCATCTTTTGGATCAAGTACCTGACTACTAGCCTCTTTTGTTACTTACAACACTTTTAGGCCTGTATTTGGTTTTGCCAACGACCTTGGTTCCGTCGGTGGTGACTCTGTCTCAACGCTGTACTCGATCGGTATGACCCAGGGCGGCGCAATCAACCTCCTGGGTGAAGGAGACGGGTTGACAACGTATCCCGCGTTGTGGAACAGCTACTTCGGTTCTGACGTCGATGCTGTAAGTATTGAACTAAGCTCATAAGTAAATGTTTTTGTTGGAGTGAAACGGCACGTCTGATACGCTTGATAGATGACATTCTTCTACAACGACTACCAAGAATCCACTGGACTGGCTACCGACCTGGACAACAAAGTAGCCTCGGACTCGCTCGCAGCCGCGGGTCAAAACTACCTCACATTGACCAGTCTCAGCGTGAGGCAAACTTTCGGCGCCTTGCAGTTCACCGGCACAGACTCAGACCCGCTCGTGTTCCTCAAGGAGATCAGCTCGAACAGCGACATCCAGACCGTCGACGTGATCTTCCCGGCGATCCCGCTGATTCTGTACACGAACCCCAACCTGCTGGACTACATGCTCAAGCCGCTCTTCCTCAACCAGGAGAACGGGCACTACCCGAACACGAACGCGATCCACGACCTCGGAACCTTCCCCGTGGCGCGCGGCTACCCAGACGGCTCCGACGAGCCCATGCCGCTCGAGGAGTGCGGCAACATGATCATCATGGTTCTCGCGTACGCGCAGCGCACCAACGACAACGCCTACCTCACCGCGCACTACCCCATCCTCAAGCAGTGGGCCGGCTACCTCGTCGACGAGGCGCTCATCCCCGCCGACCAGATCTCGACCGACGACTTCGCCGGCTCGCTCGCCAACCAGACGAACCTGGGTCTCAAGGGCATCATCGGGCTGCGCGCCATGTCGGAGATCTCGGACCGCACGGGGAACTCGGACGACGCACAGACGTACCTCGACACCGCGACCTCGTACATCGCGCAGTGGCAAGGGTTCGGGCTCAACACCGCCGCGTCGCCTCCCCACGCGACCTTGAGCTACGGCGACGGCGCCTCGCACGGCCTGCTGTACAACCTGTACGCGAACTCTCTCCTCGGCTTCGAGTACGACTTCGTGCCGCAGTCGGTGTACGCGATGCAGTCGGACTTCTACCCGACCGTCGCGCTCGAGTACGGGATCCCGCTCGACACGCGCCACACGTACACCAAGACCGACTGGATGATGTGGTGCGCCGCCATCACGAGCCCCGAAACCCGCGACGTGTTCTTGCAGCTTGTGGCGGGGTGGATCGACAGCACGCCGACGAATCTCGCGCTGACGGATCTGTATGATGCGGGCACGGGCGATTATCCGCCGGGGCTGCAGTTTACGGCAAGGCCGGTGGCGGGGGGCCATTTTGCGCTGTTAGCGCTGCCGTAGGGGTGGTGATGGTGATGAGTTGACGAGGACGACAAACGAAGGTGGTGCATTCAAGGTCCAGTTTAGGGCTAGGGGTGTTGGCCGGAAGGTTCACCTGCCCCTGAACTATGCACCATGGCTTCTACCGTCCCATATTCTCTTTATGTCTTTTTTTGTTGTTGTTATATTTCACACCCTCTACAAATCCCGCCTATATACCTACCATTTACCCATTTACTTACCATACGTACCCACGACCCATAACAACCAACCAACCAACCAACCTACCTACCCTTTTTCATTTCAGCATGGCATGGCATGGCGTGGCGTGGGGGCAAATCGTACCTACCTACTCGACCTAAACCTCTCTATCTATGGGACGGACATCAATCAACGGGGTGGAAGGGGCCAGGAAGATAACAGGAGTACGGGGAAAGGACGGGCATAAAATCATACCTAACCTACCACATCGTTTTTCACGGGGGGCGGAAATATCTACTAGGTGGTCGACCTAACCACCTATCTCTACTACTAACCAACCAACTTAACTTGCTTATATATATATACTTTGATCTGATATCGATACTTAGAAAGCTGGAGGTTATATCTTTATTTTTCCATATTACTTATATAAGCATTTACTCTTACTATATCCATCTACCTTGTTTAAATTTCGTTAGGCACCGTTTTACGCCATCGAAGTCATTTTTTTCCCAGTCGATAGATAATAGGTTGTATGGTTTGGGGCGTTCAACTTGCTGAGTCTGCCTGCCTTCTTGTGGAGCTACCTACCTACCTAGGTATGTAGGTTAGGGACACAGCTTCGTCAAGTCCTCCGATACCTACCTAGACACACCATTATCTCAAGCGATGTTCCCGCGAACCGATCTTCCGTCAACACGATAGCGATAGTGCGATCAAGATCGCCAGGCACGGAGCCTAACGCGTCTATCTATCTATCTAGGTATACACCTATATATTTCATCACATGTCTCACCTAATATATCCCGATGTCTCAAGCCCCGAGAGAAAAGGAATGGGGCAGACATAACGAGTAAAACAAAGCGCAGCTCTAGGTAGTGCACAATACATTTCACGAGTGTCTGAAGCCCAGAGTCTAGCTAGTCCATCACACGGCTCCGTGAGACATCCCAAGACAGAGCAGGAGGTGCAAGGGGACGGATGAACTGAACTGAACTGAACTGCATACCTACATAGGTTCCTAAGAGTAAACATTACATAGGTGCCCAAGGTGCCTGAGACACGCGACGACGATCGGGTCGAGAGCGCGCTATTGCACATATGTATGTACCTCCTTACATCACTGGTACCTGCATAAGTACCTACCTAGGTATGCTTTTGTAAATATGAGACATGGGGTTTGTTTACACATTCTACCTTTTGGCACCGCCACCTACTTTGGTGAGGCGATGGGAGGAAGAAGGCGAAAGGGGAACTACATCCAGGACTTGGGTAAAGCCTACCTACCTACCTACCTACCTAAGCACTGGGGATGTATGTATAAGCACAGCAACCTTTGTTAAAACGCGACGGCGGTACTTTGATGACGGGTATTAGCTTCTTTCTCATCTCGGTAGGAGAGTCCATTCCCTGAGAGAAGAACGTGAGTAACTATCTAGTCAGAGACACAGATCTGAGATATCTAAGTAAGGGGTGTCAAATTGAAGAATTCCCGAACCCAGCACTAATCCCCTGAGGCTACCTAAATCTCAAGCAGGGCATACAATATATGAATCTCTCGTGCGCCCCCCCCCCCCCATCGCACTACATACTGCACACCTACCTATGTAGGTCCATACCCAAACCTCCTTTTCTTTTCCTTTTCCCTGCCCGTTTACATTCGATTAGATACCTACCTACCTACCTACCTACCTCCCCTCCCAACCACCCACCCGCATACCTAACCTACTCACATACATATGTACATCTATCTAACCTAGATCATATGTACCTAGGTAGCTCGTATCTATCTACCTAGCACAGGTAACTATATAGTAATAAAAGTGACATATCTCATGCCTTTATTTCTACTTACTCGGTAGTTAGATACATGGATGCATGCATGCACCACTATGTAGGTAGGTAGGTAGGGGACACGTCAATGATGAGATGTGATATCACATGCATACCTACCAAACTTCTTAACTCTGAAAGCTAGAATAAAGAAAAAAAACAAAAGAAAAAAAAAGAAAAAAAAAACAAGCATAAGCTGCACACCGCAAGAACGGAAAAAGCCAAGCCAAGAGCGATATCCAGGTATGTAAGAATAGATTAACCTACATGCATGCCTACATAGGTCGGTAGGTAGGTTGGTAGTGGAATCCAGGTAGGTAGGTACCCTTCGAGGCTCAAGTCTAACTATGTAAGTGCACACACACACACTCCCTCTTTCTCCACGATATACATACGAAGCAACATCAGACAAGTATTTTTGAGTTACGATCAGTTCAATGTTCCTCGTATTATCGGATCTCGATGAACCCTAACCTAACACATACATACTACCTTGGTATATACCTACCAAGGTAGGTAGGTACACAGTTTCTACCAGGCCCTTGGGACTTTTGAGCAATTTTGCACATACACGTGCAGCCCTCAGTGTTCTAACCTAACGTAACGAAACGAGATCGTACATATCTACCCACATGTGCCTACCTAAGCAAGTAGGTAGGTAATGCCCGCTAGGCACTCTGGATGTAAGACCAAACTCCTAAAGATATCGTATGTCGTGAATACCTAAAGACAAGCCTTCTAGCTTCCGCTTCACGTGCAACATCACATCTCCGGCTCCACAAGCTCAAACACCCCACTAACGCCCTCAAACGGCGTAATCTTCCCCGTGAGCCCCTTCGCATCACCAAAATATCTCAGACGGTACCGCCCCGGTTCCGCCACCGGATCCGCCGCCGTCTCCCACGTGACGTCGACCTCGCTAGTACCCAGGAGCTCGCTGGTGCGGCGCCAGCGGAAGACCAGGTGCCAGTCGCCGTCGTCACGCACGACTTTCCATGCATCCTGGTCCCGCGGGCGTTCCTTGCGTAACTCTTCATCCTTAGAGTCAGTAGCAGTAGTAGGCAAAGTGACAAACTTCTCCACCACGGCGTAAGTCTGCTCGAGCCTGAGGTTGTTTCTCGGGTTAGCACCGACGAACGTCGCCGTGACCTGCGCGCCCTTGTGATAGACCTCTTCGACGTCCTGCTTGACATCGCCGAAGCCTTTGAAGAATGGCGGCGAGTCGTGAATGACGTGCGGGATGAAGCTAAGGCTTCGGTTGCTGTTGTTCGGCGGCTCCGGACCCCTTGGCGGCCGGCTGCTAGCCGACGAACTGAGGTACGGTATCCATGATAGGGTGACGTTGATGTACGCTGCCAATGTGTGCGGCCCATACAGTGTGCTCGCACCCTCGTAACGCTGAATCCTATTGTTGAGAAAAAAAGAATATTAGCTCTCCAAGTTCAGATAGCACGTTGAACTTCTCGTATATAAACTGAAATTAAACCAAGGAAATGGGCAATAGATCCGCAAAGATGGAATAATATGACTTGACAAGAATACGATGACGGGGCATGATTAAAGTGTTGGTGAAAAGAAACATGCTGGTAAATACGAGAAAGATCACGAGTGAATACATGCACGATAAATCCAACTCAATCCAAGTTTACTTACCCGTACTCTTCCTCCGTGGTGATGTAATGCGTGTAGCTGTTCGCAGGTCCACCTAGAACGACGACGGGGGGTGCTGACAGAGTCTCGCTTGCAAACAAGGCTGCCACCTCGTTGCCAACAGCGTTCTTCCACCGCCTTCCGGCCATGGTAGACGCTTCGCCTGGACTGACAATGATCACCAGCTGTCCAACGCGGAATATTTGCATGTCGACAACATTCGGCGTCCACTGATACGGGCTGGAAACCTCACCGACATCCAGCAAGATTGGCTTAGGGGACTGGCACGCAACCTGCTCTTCCGATGGTTCCTTGAGTAAGCCACCGACTACATGCCACATCGGCGATGTATTGGAAGAGTCGTTATTATGCTGAGTAAAATCGAAAGCTCCGGGACCATCCGAAGTACCGGCAGCGAAGGAGTAGCCGAGTGCAGCCGGGCATGTCTCAACTTCTGTTCCGTTTGAAAGTTGAAATCGATGATTCGACATGTTGTGGAAAGTGTGAAAGGATTTGACTCCACGTCCGGTGACCGGCGTTGGTGTTTCATTGAGGTAGTCGTACAGTTTTCTCGCAGGCTCAAATTGACGTTTGCCAATCTCGAAGCACGACGAAGTTCCTTGGTCATTTTCCGTGAAGAAAGGCCCTCGCGCATGACACTTTTGGGATCTTCCGTCACTGCAGGTGCTGTTTTCAAAACTACACCTTTCCCCTGACCCATCCTCACACCATGCGCCAAGGACATTAGGACTGGTGTCGCCAACATTGGCCTGGGAGAACCCGGCTACGAATCCCTCGGCGGCAGTATCATCGTCAGCAACGCTCTTCTCGAATAGATATGCCGCGACTCCTTTGTTATCGCCAGATATCAGGGTATTATTACCAAGCATCGAAGTGCCATGAGTAGGGAACCAAGTCAAGACACCAATGTTCTTGCCATCTGATGCTCGCTGAAACTTAAGGAGCGTTAGATCCTTTTCCACAGATCCATCGTCTTCAGAACTGATGTTGTATCTTGCACGCTCTTCCTCTGGATTCGCGAGATATGCAAAGAGACTTCGGTTGATGTTCGCCCCAAATACTTTGGTCGATCCGATGCTGAGGCTCCCCGGTGTTAAGCTTTCGTGCGCGCGGCGGATAGATAGGAGAGCACCATCAACTATTGCCCTATAGCTCTGCTGGTCGAAGCCTTTGCTCGTGATCTGAGGCAGCAGATAGTTCAGCCAGGCACCAGGGCCCGAATGTGAATGAGTGCCGGTGACGGCTAGATTGTGATGGCCATAGTCCACATACTCGGACCCAAGCTCTTCTAAACCAGACAGGATTCCATATCTAACCGCGGTATCGCCCGACTGTGTGTCAAGAACGAGATATACGAATCTATCGGACGGGTTGGCAGGGTCGGCTACGATGAAAGCTCGCGAATAGAGTCGTTGACGCAAACCAGTTCCGATCTGATGTGGGTCTGCATATCCCATCAAGTTGATCTCGACGCAGGGGCTATCACCAGTAAAGTATAAACATGCAGTCGAACATGAAGCTACCAATAAACAAATAATAGTGCTTACCCAGTTATGTCAGCCTTGCCTACTCCAATGAGGTACTCATCCTCATGATGCGCCGTTGACGCCGTTGCACTCTCTCCGCTGTGGAGACTCCCCCATAGGCTGAAATCCTGCAGCGAAGCCCCCGACAGAAAAGATGTAAGTAATAGTAAGGTCGGAGCGAATATTATGACGACGATGAATGCAGCGATTGGATTACGATGATAAGGGGTTTGACGCGATGCCGGAGACGGCGGAGCATGCCCAGCATTCTCAGCACGCAGGTCCCACCGCATCTTGAATCCCGTCTCACGTTCTATGAAACTCTACAAGGACGGTTCGATAGTACGGATGTAGTATGTAATGTATTACTCGGTACGAAAAGATTCGACCCAAAGTTTCTAACCTAGTAGTCAATATGAATGAGCTGTTTAAAGATTGACGAACGAGTCATTCACCGAAGCCCCAAGAGCTTCAGCGGCGATCTTGTGCTTGGAACAAGACAGCGGTAAGGGTCCATTCCTGGAAATTAACTAAGGCTATCATGGATTAAAAGAGTACATGTATGTAACTTGTTAGGTATGGGAAGTACTTTGGTCTAGAACGCCTTGTAACCTAAAATGATGTGAAATTCATGTGTGTTCATGTGTGTTCATGTGTTGTATTTCAATGTTGAAATATTGACAAGGCAAATTAAGGGTTTAAGTGCATCCTCATTGTGATATAGATGGTACGTCATTAAAAGCCTAGCCCCAGCTGGTGACGTCCCGTTGTATGGATGCAGCGTATGGAATAATAGCAGCTGCCAACAGCTGAAGCAGTGTACCCTAGTGATCCTTGTAAGCCAATGCTGATAACGATAACTAACGATAACGATAACTATATCAAATTCCCAATCGCAAGCTTACCTAGTTACTTGCTGCTGTCGCTTTAGTTAATCCCATTCGCGCCTCTATACCTTCATTCATTATTCCTTCATTCATTTAGCCAGCGACGGACAGGATACACGACGAACAACGATAAAAAAATAGACAACATATACCAAGCAACCTTGAAACCAATCACCAAAACCTTTATACCAACTTGCCTATACCAACAAACATGTCGTCCATCCGCACCACAGTCCACGAGTCTCTCCCTTGTACGCCTCCCCAATCCAATCCAATCCAATCCAATCCAACCCAATCACCACAATTAACTAACAAACACCAGACGTCGACCCCGAACCAACCCCCGCCGAGCGCGCCGCAGCCGAATCCCTGATCGCCGCCGAACAACAATCCACCTCCACCTCCACCTCCCCTTCCACCCTACTACCCCCAACCTACACACCAACCTTCACCCCCCTCATGACCGCCGAGCTCTCGCGCATCGCCACCAAAGCCCCCCTCCGCGCCATCGACCTCTCCCGCTACGAAGCCACACCCTCCTCCCCCCCATCATCCCCATCCTCCCAGAAGACCCTCGCCCCCCTCCTCGCCCGCGCCTACACATCCTCCGCGTACCTCTCGTCGCGGCACACGCACCTCCAGCTCCTCGACGCCTACGGCAAGAACGCGTGGCTCGTGGGGAACTACCAGCTGGAAGCCGAGCTCCAGTCCCTGGAGCGCGACCTCGCCTCCGCGAAGCGCGAGATCGACGTGCTGACCATCGAGCGGCGGCGCGCGCAGGACGCCGTGGCCGGCGAGCTCACCGCCCTGGACGACAACTGGCGCCGCGGCGTCGGGCGCGTCCTCGAGACCGAGGTCGCCACCGAGGCCCTGCGGCTGCAGGTTTTGGAGAAGCAGCGGGAGGGGGTTGCTGGTGGGATGAGTTGAATGGAGAGGATTGGAACGGAATGAAATTGAATCGAGATAAATCATAATAATTACCTATACAACTATTACCGGTACCTACAGTTATATCGCCAAGGGCACGGTACTTTGCGTACCTAATGGGCTTATAAATGGATCAGATGGAGGATGGTGAAAAGTACAAAAAAAAAAAATTACGAAATAATCACGATACTGAGCGAATAGCCAACATTGACACTGATTTGAGGTTCTGATGAGGCAGCTCTAAAATGGGTTGATAATGCCTCTGCTGCGGTATCAATAAGTATTGAATAGTAAACCTAGGTACTCAACACAAAAAAAACGAGGGTAATTCCGAGAACGCCTCCTAAAACTAAGTTCGCCATCCGTTTGTCTAAAACTACCTTTCCCCCTAAAGTACCATGTATCTCGCCCCAGGTCTGTACATATTACACAGGCACCTATTCAAGCCTATGAATGTAAGGGGTCCACATCTTCCACTCCTGATTTGACACCCACGTACTTAGTTCTCCGCATGAGGCCCTCAACAGGTCCAAGTAGTCGTTGAAATGCATTTTTGCCAAGTGTTGCAACCTTCACCTCGGTAGTGCTGATCACGTCCGCTGCTCGTGGCTTGTCGTCTAGGAGCGCGAGCTCACCGAAGAAATCGCCTTTTTTGTAATGTTTGACAGAATTGGTGGCGCCATTCTTGTAGGCATCCGCTTCGCCATCTTCTAGTAAGAAGAATGACTTCCCAATGTCGCCTTGCTTGATTATTCTGTAGCCCTTCGGGAATTTTTTGGTTTCCAGCGCATCGGCAATCTTAGATCTCTCATAAGGAGTAAGGGATTTTAGGAGCGGTACTTCCTCTAGGAAGCTTTCGTATAGGCGTCTACGGGCAAATGTAGATTCCATGAGGATTCGACGGAATGTGACGCGGTCGAGAGCCCATAACGTGCAGCTTGATTCGGCGGAAATAACAGTGGCGGCTCTCGGCGCGTTGTACATCAAAGCCAGCTCACCAAAAGAGCCTCCAGATTGGATGGTGCTCACTTGGTGGCCCATTCCATCTGGACCAGGTTGTAGTGCGCCTGAGTCGTGGACATACACATCGAAGGAACCCTTTTCAACGATGTAAAAGTAGTCGCCTGCATCTCCCTGGGTAATAACCTAAACGCGTAAAATCTTAGCGAAACATTCCCCAAGTAAGTTGAAAGGGGTCATCTTACTTTTATGCCCTTGGCAGGAATTGGCTTTTCCTGTAGAGCACCAAGAATTTGCGCGTTTTGCTCGTCGTCGAGGTGACTGAACAAGAAATTTCCTTCGATGGCTTTCTTTAGCCTCTCTAACTGATGTGGAGCTTTGGGATATGATGGAGGTGTCCAGTTATCATTGACATCTGCTACTGGCTTAAGCGATTCGGCAGAAACAGAAGTACGGCGACCAAAATTGTATTCGGCGGGATAACTATCGGGATTCGGTGGTGTTCTCATCGCGGAAGGGGGTCCATCTATCGACCCGTCACCTCCAAAAGGGCCACGGAAAGTAGCGCCTGACATATTAGTTATACCGAATGATGGAGTCGTGGGAGAAGTAATCGTGTCATTCTCATCTTCCTCCATCACATTCAGCAAAGGCCCGGACGGCCCATTGCTAGCCTCGGGTCTGGGTGCCTCCATACCAAAGGGGTTCGAGTTTCCCGCAAAGGGGCTTGTGAATGCTGTTCCTGACATTGTTCCAGCACTGATAAGTTGTCTAAAATATAAGTTGCGTTCGACGGCGAGACGACGGAGGAAATAATCGGAGCAAAATTGAAGGATGTCGGGAGGATTCTTGAGTCGAATCTGATTCTCAAGAGCTACTATCTCATCTTTGTAAGCAGCAGGCAGAGACATGATGCACGAGGCTGAAAGGCAACAGTAAGGCAAGGCAAGCAATGAATGAATGAATGTCTTTTTTCTCAAAACTAAAGGAATGTGTTTGAATGGAAAAGCAAAGATGTACCAAACAAGGGATAATAGATCGTGAAAAGGGAATGGAAAAGGCTAATTGTATTTATTACCTGGGGGGATGATCTTAGGGAAATATGGGCGCAAGATGGGTCTTGCTGACTAGTGGTCCTCCAGGGCTATCTAGAGATTGAAGGTACTAGCATATCCAGCTAGGATTAGCCGAAGGCTTTGCTTCTAATATGATGAAGGAGGGTTGTGTTTTGAAAATGACAGGGCGCTTAGGGAAGGTGAATGTGCTAAGTTGCTACACAAGGCGAGGCTATGCTCACGTATTTGGCAGCGAGAACGAGAATTGAGAATATCGCAGATGTTTGCGTACGCAAGGCAGGCAAGATATCCTAGATGATATTCGATAATGTGCTGCTGCTGCTGCTGAGAGCTGAAAAAGAGGATAAAGTGAAAAGCGTAGGTATGTACAAAAGCAGAAAAAGTGAAAACGACAAAGCTGAAATGAACCGGGGGGGTTTAAAGCATGGACACTTCATGAAAACCAGGTTCGCAGTAGCTGGCAATGTCAAAAATGCAAGCGGGATCCATGGATAGTAAAAAGTGCAAAGCTATAGCTAGGTACTTACAATTGGGTTCGTAAATGATATAAGATCGCCTTGCCCGTTGCCTAGATCTTTCTTTTTCTTTGCTCTGAATTGAGAGGAGCTAAACGGTTTTGGGTCTTCGTCTGCCTTTTGATCACGACGCGAAAGCAGCTTCCAAAGGGTCCGAGGAGTTTAAGGTGTTTGAAGACGAACAGAAAGATGGGAGGAGAGGGGTAGAGTCGAAGTCAAATCTGTCCAATCTTTTTGATCCTCAATGCTTAGTACCCAAGGTAGGTGTACGTTTTGCGAAAAGGAAATAATAACCTATTATTTTCCTTTGATGAGGCCTTAACAAAATGGTAAACACATAGGCAGAAAGTTGCTGTTTGTTGTTACAAGTATCGTCTTGTCTGTGGCAAAGAGTGACGATTGAGGGGATCAGTTGGAAGAGCATTGAAGATCACGAATTATGCCTGGCCCTTGAGACTTTGGGGGAGTGGGGCATATCCAAGACGCCATTCCCCAGTTAAAGCCTAAGAGAGTTCAGGAAGGGCCCATTGTTGGCCCCAGCTCCTTTTTCCTTGAAGCTTCTTTTCGTTCTTCGCGGCTTCCAGAATGATGCACAGACCACAAGAATATCCGTGTCCTACTGTACTATGTAGGTACCATGAGGTACTTATGGTACCTGCTGTGACAACATCTGCAGCTGTTCAGTGCAGCTTGCCCAGGTGGGCCACGGAATTGCCAGGAGAGTCATTACCCCATTACGCACTTAAACGTGATGCAACCTAATTTCAGAATCAATAAAAATCTAAATAGACACGACGGTTGGACTCTTGGTAACATTTGATTTTGTTTCTAATTTTATTTAAGGTCTAGTAGGGGATAATTATGTATAAGTAATGTGTAATTCATTCTTTTTATGAAGTAACTACCTAGGTATGGATCAAGTAGCACTTGGTATAATACATAGTAGAACTCATAAAAAAAGGAGATACACATATCCATCATTGATGCATGTAATTGTGTAACTACAGCCAGTGACAGGTAGTGGTTCTTTTTAATGCCGAAGGGCGTTTATTAATTCTCACGTCACTCTAGATCGGGATCACCCTTCTTCTTTCCTCCTTCTGGAAAATACACTATAACTTTACTTGGCCCGAGCTCCTAACTTCCTAACTGTCAAAACGGCTTTTATTACATTACATATTCCCCTTTTGCTCTTACTGCAGGCAATCCCGAAATTTTCCTTTTTCTTACACTTATTGTAAGCCAACTCCTTTAAGACAGCTCCTTTTTTTCACACAAGAGATAAGATTGGATAATCTCACCGCTTATTCTTCCATATGATCTGAGTCTGACTGATGACTGAAAATTTCACTGCAATGGAGGTATTCAACATACAAGGAATGAAAGCCGGGCTTCGGTATTATCTGCCATGGATGGCGTCGGTCATTTACGGAATATAATGCAGCAATGCTGCAACCAGTCAAGCAATCATTCAGTTATGTAAACACAACACAGCATAGATTAGGTATGTACGCCGTACCATGATACGCATTGCATTCAATGTTCGGAGCTCCAGTCACTTGCATTCATCATGTCATATACATCCTATCTAGGTGCAATGCCTCGTAAGTATCCTCCCTATTCAATCCTATGAAGTTCATCTAACCTAGGTTAGTGCTTTACTCTACCTACCTAATCAACTCGCATATTCTAAAGCGAGTAAATGACTAAAGCAGCCTACAAAGCATAGAGACTTGTTATGAATTTGGTTTAGCCCAAAACTTTCCGTTTAGTATCTAAGATGACTTGACCCCCTAAAAGAGCTGTGTGATAAATGCATGTGGCTTTATTTGAGTCAGACACCTAGGTAATCATTATCTACTACACCACTACGTAGTAGACCGGCTTTTTTTTCAGCTCCTATCTCCTATTCGCCATAAATGATGCACCCCAACGGGTAACCTACTACAAAAGCTTCTAGCTTAGGTATATGCATAATGAGACATATCTAAGTTTGTGCTTATGTGCTGGACGCTAATTTCTCTTCTTTGAGGCGTTGCTCCTCCTCTAATATCTCCCTATGTCGGTGCGCAGCTTCACCCGCAGCCTTCACACCCTTTTTCCTCTGTCGTTCCTCGTAGAGATCTCTGCTCTTCATGATGCGTTGCACAATGGTTCCAGCGTTCACGCCCTGGAAGTCATGGCGCGGAACCTCCTGGAAAATACCCATCTCTTTGGGCGCCACATACGGGTCGTACGAGAGGGGCATAAAAGAAGTCGGTCCGTGGTACACAGCGTCAGGGGTACCCCAGGGCGAGCTCGTGAGATAAGATTTACCAGGCGAAAATGGTGCACCGAATACTACGGCATTAACATACTATAAATAAATTATTAATTAGCATTGTGGCATCGAAGGGAAAATGAATGAAAGGAGATTGCCTACTCGACACTGGAGCACGCAAAGGCCACGCTCGTAGATATTCATGATGGGATAGTTGACCCCTTTCCAGGAATTGATGACCTCGTCGTCATGTACACCGGCGACTACGAAAACGGGGCCATAATCGGCACCCTTACCACGGCGCTCGTCGATGGCCTGTTGGTCGTACCAACCTTCCTTTTTTGCTAGGGCCTCTTCGGTCAATATGACTTGACGGAGAAATTCGATATGTCCGCTGGAAAAAAGGTCAAACCCTCCATCAACGTAGACCACTCTTTGACCTGGCTTCGGTCCTGGCCCTTTGAGTAAGGAGCGGTATGAACCTTTTTCTTCCGGACTCCCCGTTTCCTCCGTTTTGGAAACTTGTGAAGCTGACCAAAAGTAGACATCCGCGCCCGGTTGTTTTCCTGTTTCGTTGGTTGCATATTGTTGAATGCGATTTAACATCGCCTGACCCTCCGATTTCCTCTCGGCTGGGGTGCCGCTACCTTCTTCGCCGGCCAACATCCTTTCCAAGGATTTGATAAAATGCGTCCTGGTGCACAGTAGCATGCGCCCGACTAGATCGGTGGTGGATATACTAGGCGTACGCTTGACAACCTTGAATCGACCTGCTGCTTTCACGAAGCGGTAGCAGTCCTCACCGCTGCTGTCAGAGGTGATATCATCTCCATGAACCACGTATTTGCAACCGAAATGACTTATGAAGTCTAGCCGGGTGACATAAGGCGCATGTGCTACGGATCTAGTGACCCAACGACAGGCATCTACAGCAGCGAGTCTTTTTCGTGCAAGCCCAAGAGATCAGCAGAAGGCTCTTCAGAGTATAACCTAGGAAGAGCTATCCGTACCGTTCCCGTAGATTCATAACCGTCGGCCCTTTATTCTCCAGGATCGCCTCATCAGAATGTACGCCGACGTAGAGCTCGGTCCCCAGTTGGCGAGCTTGTAACATAGCACCGGCGTGGCCATGATGGAAGAAGTCCCAACAGCCATCAACCCAAATGCGGTCAGCTAGAAGCTCTGGGGCTGGTGGTCCGGATAGAACCTCTTGTTCTGAGTTCATCGTAGGTGTAGTGCGGCGTAGTGTAGGTATGGTGTGATGGTTGTGTAGGGAATCATGTATCGTAGATAGCTAATCGTAGGTATATAATTCGTATGTCCAAGATGACAATAGTAGTAGGTAGCACTGAGTGAAGCTTCAACGTTGCAACTTGAAAGTATTAAATTACTTACTGCCTTAGTACAAAGCTAAACACTGTTTGCGCATTCTTCTAAAACTGTAAGAGAGTACCTAGTACTACTAGTAGTACTGTGATAGTACTGTGATTACCGTGATTACCTACATGCAGTAACCTTGGAAGCTACCCGGTCATATGTACCCACTTCCAAGGATGACCCCTCTTCTTAGAACGTTGAACTCTTATCGACAAAGGCTAACCTAAGCTTCTGTGACCCCACTATCGTATGTGGACATTCATCTACACCAGCATCGCAACTCCCCGGGTTCTTTAAAGTTTACTATGTACCTAGGAGATCTACATACTACCTAGGTATATATTACATAGTACTATATGTAAGTAGCGACTTCAATGGCATTTATTTACAATACTTACGTAGTACAACTACCAGACCTAATAATTGTTTGTAAATAAGTCTAACCTACTTACATAAGTAAAGTTATCCTATTAGTCAACCCTCAACAATGGCACCGGCGGAAACCACGGGAGGCTTAACCCCCTCGCAACTCGCCGCCTTCTGGCGCGATGGCTACCTCGTCATCCCGAACGCACTCCCGCCCACGACAGTCAAAGCACTACTCGACGAAACCCACGCTCTTCTCGAAGGATTCTCCCTATCAGACCATCCCATGACACGATTCAGTACAGGCGAGAAATCCGCTCACGTCGGGGACGACTACTTTCTCTCGTCGGGCGACAAAGTGCGCTTCTTCTTCGAGGAAGACGCCTTCGACGCCTCGGGCAACCTGACGAAGCCCAAGGAGCGCGCCATCAACAAGATCGGCCACGCCCTGCACGCCCTGTCGCCGCCCTTCGCCGCCCTCCTCGACCCGGCGCTAAATCCCGATCTGCTAGGTGCCGGGTCTAGCGGTGGTAGCGTGGCGGTCGGCCACAAGGAGAGCCACCCCGCCGCCATCGCGCGTGCGCTCGGCTTCCGCGACCCGAGGTGTCTGCAGAGCATGATCATATGCAAACAGCCCGAGATTGGTGGCGCTGTGCCCCCGCATCAGGACACCACGTTCCTCTACACGGACCCGCCGAGCGCCGTCGGCTTCTGGTATGCGCTCGAGGATGCAACGGCTGAGAATGGGTGCTTGAGTTTTCTGCCCGGCAGCCACAGGTGGGCGCCCGTGAAGCAGCGCTTCGTCCGTGCGGATACCGGCGGGACCGGGTTCATAAACAATGATGGCCCGAAGTTTCCGGTTGGGGATGAGTACGGAGAGAAGGAAGGGCAGAGCGAGGACGGCGAGTATAAGCTAGGCGAAGTCAAGGCTGGATCCTTGGTTCTGATCCACGGCAACCTGCTGCACAAGAGCGAAAGGAATACGAGCCAAAAGGGACGGATCATCTACACATTCCACGTCATCGAGGGAGAAGGGACAAAGTACGACGAGCGAAATTGGCTACAGCCACCGGCGGATGGGCTCACGCGGCTTTATAGAGAATAAGTGATGCAAATGTATCATGTTGGTAGTGTATTAGATATTTTGAAGCCCCCCTATCCCACCATCCAATGTTTTTGAATATCCATGAACCGCCAAAGGCAAAACTCCAATCGCCATCCCCAAACCACTTTAGGGATATATTCCATCCCATATAGATACCACCAGGTACACATACACATACATGCCATACACCAGATAGCAGTTAGCCTTAATACAAATACACCGATATCACCCCTTTCCCGTTCCTATAACGCCACGCCAGGTTATCCCGAACCTTCTAGGCAGGTAGGTACTTGTTTTGTTTGTTTCTTTTCTTTCTTTCTTCCTTGATTCTCCTTTTTTCAGGGATACATCAAACTCTTCGCGTAATCCGCCCGGCTCGGGAGTTTCCGTTCGAACACCTCCCTCTTATCCCCACCCATACCACTACCATCCTCCCTCGTCTGCAAAAACGAGCACGGCTTCCCCTCCTCTTTAACACCCTCACACTTCGGGCGGACGAGAAAAACCCCCCTAGGCTCAGGAGTCTTGGGAATAGCGCCCAGCCTGCCCAGGACGCGCATGACCTGTGCGAGCTGCATGCGGATGTACCGCCAGCCGGCGACGACGACGTGCTCGCCGATGATGTTGTTGGCGTAGTAGAGGCCGTCGTACAATGTCGGGATATCCATGAGCGCGCCGGCCCGCGCGCGGCAGCACTCGGGCTCCCGCGCCGTCTCCGCCGTCGACCGCCCCTCCCAGCTCCGCTGCGGCACCACCCAGTGCACCCGCTCGATCGACGGCATCACGGCGTACGCGCCGATGAGTACTTTTACTACGTTCTCCCCCTCGTGCATCGACAGGTGGTGGAAGGCGACGTTGCGCACGCTGCGCAGGCCGTCGATCGCGCTGTGCTGGTTGTTTTCCTCCTCTTCCTCCTCTTCTTCATCTTCCCTCTCGTATTCTGTATCCTCCATTATCTCATCCTCATCTTTCTTATCTTCACCATCGTATTCATCTCCTGGGTATCGATCATGACGCTGAGCATCACCACTACCACCACCACCACCACCACCACGCGCCAACGCACCCCCCGCAGAAAACGCCCCATCAAACGTGTGCTCGGCGTCGAAGTACAATATATCGATCTCGGGGCGGAACCAGGCGGCCGTCGACGACAGCGCCGCGGCGCCCCGCAGCTCCCGGTACCCGTGCGCGGCGCAGTACGACGCCGCGGCCTCGCGCGCCTCGCGGCACACCTGCACGCCCGCCGGCGCGGCCGGCCTGTGCCAGTACGAGAACCTGTCGCCCTCCGGGTGGATGGCCTTGACGTGGAAGAGCCGTGCGGGCAGCGAGTCGAGATAGGTGTCCCAGATCGCGCGCCGCAGGTCGTAGGGGAGGTCGTTGAAGAGGTCGAATCGCGTGGGCGGTGCTGACATTTGTTCTTGTGCTGCCATTTTGTGGGAGTGTAGATGCTAGGGTAGGTTCCTAGGTAGGTAGATGTGTGGCTATTCAGAGAGTATGCAGAGTACTGTGTATGTATGGGGTAGGTAGGTAGGTAGGTAGGTAAGATAGTAATATGTAACTCGCTTTTCATCTACCAACAATAATATGATGCGTTCGATTTCCAATGCAGGTCTGTAAGTAAGTAAGTAAGTAAGTAAGTAGGCATGTATATGTATAAGCACCAGGTCGGGATGTACACTGATTATAAACGATCTATCAAATGGATACAACCAATCCCCGATCCCTACCTAGGTAGGTACAAAACGAAAAAAAGGGGGGAAGGAGACAGCGGAGCGGGGGGGGGGTCGCGAGATTCGGGCCCCGTTCGTGCCTTTGGCAATAACTACCGTTACTCTTATATTAATTACATACTTACATACTTACATACCTATGCCAGAATCATACTACGTGAAAAAAAAACCCCTGCTGACGATCATTCGAGACTCCGACAATTCGCGGCGCTGCCAGAGTTGGCCTCTTACTCTCTCTCTCTTTCTCTCGCTGATTCTCTCGCGCTTAACCGGGGTTCGGCAGGATGCATTCCCACTCCTTTCTTTCTACACTAAAAAAGACCATCACATAACTAATAACTAACACACACACCTGGGCATATATAAGTAGGTACAGTAGGGATGGATATACCGCAGTTACGTATGATAGGAATGCCTCTACCGACCTCTTCGGCACTTGCTGACTTTTAGGCACTTTTCCCATCCTCAACGTCATGGGTTTTTGCATCTAGTTAATACCCTATTAAGTTCCTACCACCTACCAGCCTACCAGCCTGCCCACCTACGACCCAATCCAACCCAATCCAATATCCAGTGGGTCAATTACACACACACACACACACACACACAGGGAGACCGCATCAATAAAAAACCCAGCCAAAAGAGAGCAAAAAAGCTGAAGGAAAAAAAAGGGGGGGGGGGGAAACCAGATCAGATCCACTGGTTAAAGTACATAGTGACGCGCTGTCGGTATTAACCTGTAAGCGCGAACATTCCTCCCCCCCCCCCGCCCACCCCTGCTTAACGCGATATCCCATGATCGGCATCAAAGGCTGCCTTTGTAAGTAACTAGGGCTTACGGAATGGGGGACGCTCGGTGGAGATGAGGATATAATAATATATTAACGAATACTGCAATACTGTAGGTACATATTACAGAATGATTCGACCTTGGAACCTATTACCTACATAGGTAGCCTACTAACAACCTACTGTAACCTAGTATGATGGATTATTACTGCTATATACGAAGTATGTAACTACCTATGATGAATTTGCCGACCCTAATGTCGCTTCGCATGTGGACTCGTTTGTGGATGCCTATGCTAGATTCCAATACAATACATGACCACTAGCTACATACTTACCTGCCTGCCTACCTATAATACTAAATAACAAACATCTACTTGACAGCTGGCAAGCGTACATTTCTCACAAGGAGATATCACTCTCACATGGGTAGGTAGTTTGGCATCAATATCATACAAAGAGTTGATTTGTGCAATACATAGTACTACCTAATGGGGGCAGATCAGGTATCGCATTTTCCTATGAACAAGAGCCTTACGAGTCCATCTACATACAATTAATCTCGTCCATCTCGTCCGTGTACGATGGGCTAAAGAGAACTCGCGAAGCCAAATGATCCCGTGCCGTGTCCACCGAAATACGGTGTCGATCCTCGACACCTCAAGAGGCCCTCATCCTCTCAGCCTCTGTAAATATGAGGGAAAGCCAACTACTGCAAATTCTCCCTCTGCCGATGTCTGCCTTGAAGTGTTAATTGTAGGATAGCAGTAGTTCCGTGTGCGAATGAGTAGGTGGGTTTTTGGTTTATTGAGTACAAGCGAAATGGCCGGCGCAAGTAATGCCATTTGCAAAATGGTAAATGTTTGCAGGCGACGTGAAAAGAAGACCGTCGTTTCGTAACGGCGGTTATTATGGTTGTTTTTTTCCATTTTGGAAGTATATTTTCCTCATGAGGTTACATATCATCCACTCATGAGCTCGTGAAAGCTTGTCCTGTCGATTCTTGATTCTCTCTTCACGTTCCCAGTAGCCGTCACTGTCCCAGGAGTAAAGAGCGTTGGGGCATCTGACCCCTTCTAGCGCTTCTAACGGCCATAAGGATGGAACCCTCGGCTGCCTCCTCGACCTCCTCCGCGATAGTTGGCACCTGGCTTGCCCGCGTTCTTGGGGCCCGTGGGCGCGTTAGCTGGAGGCGCATGATTTGGGTCGACGGGGCCTGGGCTTTGTTGATGCCCACCACCTCGGCCTCGATATCCTCCACGGCCTCCTTGATTGAAGTTGGGCTGTGGCACATCGTCGTACATGCCCTCCCAAGAAGTTGGGTCTGCTCCACCTACGTTGCCGCCGTAGGCCTGATTATACCCACCTCGGCCGCCACGTCGACCTCCACCACCGCGCTGGTTGTTGAACATGGGCTGCTGGTTAAAGTCGCCGAAGCCCTGTTGGCTTGCATCGCTTTGCCCCTGGCCCTGGCCAGCACCACCGTTGCTCATCATTTGATTCTGCATTTGCTGCTGCATCTGCTGCACAAGAGCTGGGTTCATGTTGGCCATCGCTGCCATTGGGTTGTTTGGGGAACTCGGAGTACCGCCTTGGGCCATTTGCTGTTGCAACTGCTGCAGCTGCTGCATTTGCATCATCTGCATCATGCCAGGGCTCATTCCCATGCCTCGGTTCATGACCATCTGCTGTTGCATCATGCTCATGTACTGCTGCATTCTTTGCATGTACTGGGCCATAACTTGAGGGGTCATGCCTCCCTGGCCCATCTGGGGAGCCATCTGAGGCTGGCTGGGTCCCTGGTCATCCATGCCGCCTTTTCTGAACTTGCCTCGTCGCGTAGCTTCCTCCTCTTCCCGCATATTACCACGCGGCTGAGCTTTCTTAACCTCAATTGGTTTTCCGTGAATTTCTAAGTGGGTGCTAAGGCAAGCATCAACGCCGGCTTCACTTTCAAAGGTGACAAACCCAAAACCCCTTGGTCGGCCTGTGTCTTTGTCCATCATAAGAGTCGCGTCGACGACCCGGCCGAACTGGGCGAAGTAATCCTTGAATTCAGGTTCGGTCGTTTCCTGGCTGACACCTCCAACGAATATCTTGCTGGTCTTTTCCTGCTCATCACGGGGAATAGCCCTTTTTGGGTCGATCTAGATTAGGAATTAGTAATCTACATGACCTTTGATGTGACTATTAAACGAAAGCATCAAGAAAAACTCACAATCTTTCCGTCCAAGTAGTGTTCTTTGACCATAACAATGTTCACCGTCTTGGGGTCCTTGAAAGTGAGAAATCCAAATCCACGTGATCTGCCTGTGGCACCATCTCTCATCACCGTACATTCCGTTACCTCGCCAAACGACGAGAAGTAATCACGAAGCGACTCTATTACTAATTGTTAGTATTTTTAAACTAGACGGAACTGTCCATGCTAGGTGCTTACGGTCAGTTGTCTCCCAGTTTAGTCCACCAATAAACATTTTCCTATACGCAGATTATTAGCCTTGATTCCATCACAATGAACTACGGGATGGAAAATCGGAAGTTAGTAATTTCATGTAGCTTGAAACATCATGATTGTGGCCAAGCAAACATGTAACGTTCATGTGGTTCGCAACAAGCCCCGATAGCCGGTCTAACCTTCGACCTTCATCCTCTATGCGCTTAGCCGTCCGGTCAAGAAATCTGTATGAGGAGGTGGATCTTTGTCTAGACACTTTCCGGTGGATTCAGACCCTTCACTATCGGGGGGGCATAGGAAGATAGATAATCCACCTCTTGGCTGCTAAAAATGTCCATAGTAATTGGTGCTGGGTGGTGCTGGGTACTTGATGATATTTTGGTAATTAAGATGAGGCGAGGGCAGGCGCATGGACCAGTGTCGTGTTCTGAGGAGTCAAGCCCCAGGTAGCACTGCTCAATAGAAAAGGACAAGGCAGGGTGATGTCTGAATTGTCGATTTGCTGTCTCTTTGCTATCGTGAAGCTAGGACATGACCTCGAGCGCTATTCGCTGCCAAATGTCTTGTTACAGCCTTCAGGGTAATAGTCCCTTTGCGAGCTTTATGAGCCTATCTCTGACGAATGGCTATAGAAGGCAGTATTCTGTTTTGTACTGACTATGGTCGAACTTTTTATCGTTGGCTTTCCTTTTCAAGGTAGAAGAATGACTCCTCCAGCGTTTTTATATCTGCTCTTTCTCCCGCGATGCCTGCACCTTTTCTTTTCATTAAGCTTAGGATGGCCGTCGTACTATTTCTTTACTCATGCAACTGAATGTTGACCGACTTGGCAAGTCCATCACCAGACCGTTCCTTCGAAGACAGCTCAGCTAGCAAGCCAGAATAACTTTCTTCTCTTGCCCACCAAAGATCTCCTGGCAAAAGCCCCAGGGTACTAAGGCACACCCCCTTTCGACTGACCAAGCCTACCCGGGAATCTGGGACACCCCGAAATCATACGTTTCAAGCGTTTAAGAAGGCTGATCTTACTGTGGACCGGCTTTCGAAGTCGAACGAGGCGCAGAGGGGCTCTTCTAGGGCTCGCCGACTAGTAGAAATGCCTAGGTATATAGAAAGCAATGGATTGAAAATAAAATGACTTACCCGTCTTCTTTGACACTAGGTCCTCTAGTCGAGTGGTAGGCAGGAGTAGATTCATCATGTTGAGACTGATTACCTCCAACAGAATTGGCTGGGCCATTTCCTAGGTTAAAATCGACATCATCGTCATCATCATAATTGTCATCTTGATAATCATCACCGTATCCATTCTCTTCAATTGTGTGAGCTACATCGATAGGGGCTTGGTCGTATTCGGGTCTGCTGGGTACTTCAACGGTTGGCTGGGGGTTCATCGGTGGAGGCGCGGGAGCTTGAGTTGCTTGAGCTGTAGGCGCTGATTGTGCGGATGCGGCAGCAGCCTCATTGTCGTCATAACTAAAGAGAGTCAGTTACATATATTAATGAAATGGGTTAAGAGGCTGCCAAAGGCATCTTCATCCAGCATTATATTGCGACATGTACTCACAGATCAGCGAAAAGATCATCCTCAAAGTTTTCTTGTTCAGCCATGGCGAAGGATGCCTTTCGATACTCGACGCGACAGCGACAGTATAAGAAAGACTCGAAAGGTATGGAATGGACTGTTGACTTGGATTCGACTTTTAGAAAAGATATGAAGAGGAACCGGAATCTAAGAAAAAAAAAAGGATTGATGAATAAATAGTAGATAGGATGGATGATTGACCAGTTACTTCAATTCAGTTGATCATATAATAAAAATTACAAGGAAGGAAGCTATCAGGCCATGCACACAGACATGCAAAATGTTAGACGGTAAAGAAGACAGAAGAATGAATGAAAATATGGGTGAATATGTTGTGTGTTGCATGTGTGTTGTGCTTGTGTGTGTGTAGACTTTATATTTAAGATGTCGACAGGAAAGAATTGCAGCCTTCTAAAAAGATGAATGGGATGCACGCCGACACGACACTGTAAGAAATCTGGAGCCAATAAAAAACGCGAGATCAGCGACAGACAAACTAAAAACTTCAATCCAAGGGAGGGTCTTCGGCGGGTACTGGGTAATATGTGCACGGACCAACTCCATTTAACTCAAAGTTTCTAGTCTACATAGTACATATGACTGTATTACCTAGGGTATGTAACTATTAACCTAGATTCTTAGTAAATTTAAAGAGCTAGTTACCTTTTTGATGTATTTATTTCAATGTTCTTCCAATCATCGTCAGTTTCAGCTGCATCTTTTATGGGGCTACAACTATGCTAAGTAAAGCCACAGGCCTCTTGGTAATAGTATTGTAACTGACGGTGCATACAGTATGCACAGGTACAAACTACCCTAAGTACTACTAGTAGTATGTACCTAACTTACTATTATTTAATTGTGTAGGTAGGTACTGTGTGTCTTTGACAAGATCCATTCAGTTAAATAGCACTTCAAAAAGAATAATTTGAAGTGGAAGTTTTTTGTGCAGATAAAGAAAATGATATAATTGTTATCCACACTGTTTAATATCCACGTAAGGTGCTTGCTATAATGTTCCCACAGAATTCATATTAATTACTGATGCATACCTACATCTTCATGGCATGAATACTACCTAGTACATATGTACTACATAGTACTAGGTACTAGGTACTAGGTACTACATAGGTATGTGCTATCATTGATGTAATACATCAAGCCTTGAGATGTGTATGTTATGGAGGCTTGAGAGTGTGGCTGCCATCATTAATAAAGCAATCTAGCCTACTGTACAATACATAGTTAGGTTAGTACCTTCCAAAACTTAACTGTAGGTAGCTTGAGCTTGTTATGGCAGTTACCGAGGGGTACCGTGGCACTGCATTAGCTCAACTTCAGATGTCATTCGAGGTACAATGCAATACCTAGCAGTAGCACTCAATAGTACTGCAATATTATACTGCACGTGTACCTACAGTACAACTCCTCCATCCTTCAATACTCAAGAGTCAATACTACTAACCTAGTGCAATATTCAAACATTGAAGTCCTTTCTTGCTTTGCTTTTCGGTGCATGCTATCTTGCCTAATTTACATAGTTCTCTTGAAGTCCGCCCTTCCTGGGCGATATTTCACTTTATAACAACGATGTGGCCGTGATTGACTACGAACAAACAAACCTGATGTCTGCCATGTTTTCATCCTCCGGTAGCGGCAAGAAGCCGCCTACCCAACAGGTTAGTACTTGGAAACCTGACACTTGAGGAATTATTGCTTGATAACTGACGATGACGTAGGAAATGATCCAAGTTGGTACGTATTCGTGCTTGACCTCGCCCTTTGATTTGCGACTCAATGCGCTCATACGGCGCTCATCTTGACACGAAGGAAACTAGCTCGCTAACCTATGTCGCTCGTATTAATAGAACGGTCTGAGTAGGTCGCATGCCCGCTCTCTATCAACCAAGTCAGATGGCTCCAGAGCTACAATAACTAAATTCCAACTAGGTCAGCTTCGCCGTTCTGGCGGGCTCAAAAAGAAGGCGCTCCGAAGAGAACTGGTCGAGATCCTAATATGGTCGTGGGGGCTTCCTATTCTCATGCCGATATTCTCAAGTTTGATACTATGTGCGTTTATTGAAAAGGCTCTTTCTTTTCCGTATACTTGTACATCGCTAACCTGGTTTTCTACGTCAGGAATCTCTCAGGTTCCTCTTCCCGCCCCAGGACCCCTCCTTCCTCGTCCTCTCCACAGAGGATCCGAACCAGTGACGTTAGCTCGCCGGCACCAAAAGCCTCGTCTGGTTTGTCGTCGCCTCCGCTGAAAACATATTTCAACTTCTTGTCAAACACGAACCGAGACTGGGATGTTGACGATGCCGAACTGCCAGATGGAGAAGACATGTTTGGGTATGAAGACGACGATGGAGACGAATTCGGCCTTCCGAGCTTATCGAATATGAAACGACGATCCCGAAAATCGGCTGCCGCTCGGAGTAGTGCCTCTTCTCACGCTCAACGAACACCATCCGAATCCGCGCTCGGTTTCCCACGGAGGCGGTATTCGAACAGTGCCGACATAGCAATCGAACGACCAGCACCAACGTACCCAATGCCGAAAAAAAGCGAGGGGAAAATACTGCGACCACAATATAAAGACATCCTCAAGGGTAAGCATCATATGAACTTTGTGGTTGTATTGATAGCTTACACTATATAGACCCGGCTAATGCTCTTCATCTTATCGATCATCCCGCGACTCCAGCTAACGCGACTCCCAAGGAGATCGACGCCATCAACTCTCGCATAACAAAGATTAACAAATTCAAAAAGATCCTTCAAGCCAGCACAATACCATTAACAGATCTCAGGGCTTTGGCGTGGGGTGGCGTCCCTAGCGAAGTTCGTGCTATGACATGGCAACTCTTGTTGAGTTATTTGCCAACTAGTAGCGAAAGGCGTGTCGCTACGCTTGAAAGGAAGCGCAAGGAATATCTTGATGGGGTGCGTCAAGCGTTTGAGCGAGGAAGCACTAACCCATCCTCCAGTGGCCGGTCAAGAGGACTCGATGAAGCAATATGGCATCAGATTAGTATCGATGTCCCTAGAACCAATCCCCATATCGAGCTATACAGCTACGAAGCGACACAGCGGTCACTGGAACGGATCTTATACCTTTGGGCAATTCGACACCCGGCAAGCGGGTACGTGCAAGGCATCAATGACTTGGTAACACCCTTTTGGCAGGTCTTTCTGGGTACTTACATCACAGACTGTAATATTGATAGCGGCATGGATCCGGGCCAGTTGCCTAAAGCGGTACTTGACGCAGTAGAAGCCGACTCGTTTTGGTGTTTGACAAAACTGCTAGACGGGATTCAAGATCATTATATCGTCGCTCAGCCTGGCATTCAACGACAAGTTGCTGCGCTTCGCGATCTAACTGCTAGGATTGACGAAGGGCTTGCCAAGCATCTCGAGAGTGAACATGTTGAATTTATTCAGTTCAGTTTTCGCTGGATGAATTGTCTTCTCATGAGAGAGATCAGTGTCCGGAATACGATTCGAATGTGGGATACTTATCTGGTACGTACGCCCTTCATTCCTTGCTCAGTCTCCTGTACTAACCATATATCCAGGCTGAGGAGCAGGGCTTCTCTGAATTCCATTTATACGTGTGTGCGGCCTTCCTAGTCAAATGGTCGTCTAAGCTGGTCAAGATGGATTTCCAGGAGATCATGATGTTCTTACAGGCATTGCCCACGCGCGACTGGACCGAGAAAGATATCGAACTGCTGCTTAGTGAGGCTTACATTTGGCAAAGTCTATTCAAGAATTCGGCTGCCCATCTAAGGGGCGGACCTAGTCGAGCTCCAACAACCAACCTACAGTTATGATGGGAATGTTTACCTATGTTTGGCACTATTCATCATCGTTTCAATATACCACTCTAACAACAGGAGCAATCAGGGTTAAGGAGAGCCCCGGTTTCTACTATGTCATCAGGCTCTAGTTCTGCTCATAGTGATTATGCCTTGATCGAAAGAAAGTATGGTCTTATAGGTGGAAATTGAATGCCTGTTTACGGCTTTTCCGCTCCAGGCATACCTTGCGAAAGCAGAACAGGCTTTGCTCACCACAGGGTCAGCGGTACCTACTTCTACAATCTACACATATATATTTCCCTATCTAAAGGTATCATTATGGTGTTTAGGGTGCGAAAACACTTGGGCTCAGAGAGTCAAGTCCTTGCACTACTCTATAAATACCAAAATAGGATGGGCATGGGGGGTTCGGCGGAGTGGTCTTCTCTGCAAAATGGCCTAGGGACAATAGCCTATGCCACATGGTGAAATGGTACGCTTTGAAGAAATCAGCAAGGCAGTCCATCACATGTACTTCAGTATGCGCGCGAGCATGTTCAATGAAAAAAAACCAACCCAAAAACAGATTGGTGACAAGTGATGGCTGCCATTGGATGTGATAAGAGACCGCACACACAAGCAAGCCAAGGTTTTTACTAGCCAAATTGATCGCTGGCATCGACACCACAGTATGTGCCAGGTTTACTTAAAAGTCGTGCCAAATTATCAGGGGTATATTATGGATATTACGGTATCTTGAGAGAATACGAACTGGGGGCCATGTTATATTCTGTGACTTAAAACCCGCGTTACTTATCCTGCCCCATACGGCCTCGGTGTCACTGACTCGAACCTAACATGGTCAAGAATATCGGTCTTGGATCTCGTACGATAAGCTGCAACCCACTTCGCAAAACCCTTGAGGAAGTCATCGACAACGGCCTGATCCGACGGGTCGTTGGGCTCCTGGTTGAGACTCAGCTGCAGCATGTGCGCCCCAGCCAGCGCAGCGCTATAGCCCCAAGCATCCTCGTCCCCCAGAATCATCGTGTCGCCTACCAGCGGCTTGATGCAGCCCTTGACCCCGCCCACCAAGATATCCCGCGGCAGCCTCGGCTCCGTCGCACTCGGCCGCCCCAGCCCAACCCCGTCCAGCCCGCTGCTCCTCAGCGCATCCACCATCCCCCCCACCGTCCGAACGCCCCCCGTGATGAACGTCCGCATGCGCCGCACGTGCGGGACGACCAGCTCCGCAAACTCGATGAAAAACGCCTCGCGCCGTCGCGTGCTCTCCTTCCGGTGGTGCCACCCCGGCGCCTCGTACGTGCCGCCGCTGAGCTCCACGACGTCGAAGCGGCCGTGCGCCTCGAGCAGCCGCACCAGCTGCGCGGCCTCCGCGGCCTCGAACCCGGCCTCCTGGAACTCGACGCTGTTGATCTTGACGGCGAGCACGAAGGCGGGGCCCGTGGCGGCGCGGATCTCGTCCGCGATCTCGGTGACCAGCCGCGCGCGGTTCCGCAGCGGGGGGCCGCCGTAGGCGTCGGCGCGCTGGGAGTTCGTCGTCGGCGACAGGAACTGCGCGAGCAGGTACCCGTGCGCGGCGTGCAGCTGCGCGCCGTCGAAGCCGGCCCTCTCCAGGTACTGCGCCGCGTGCACGAACGCCGCCTTGACGGCCGCGATCTCGGCCGCGCTCGCCGCGTGCGGTCGCCCGAACGCCGAGAGCGCGCCGTACCCCTTCGTCAGCTGCACGTCCGACGCCGACACCGGGTGCGGCTGCAGCGCCGCCTCCGTCTGCCGCCCGGGGTGGTTCAGCTGCCCCAGGAACATGCCGCCGCCGCGCTTGCCTGCCGCCGCCAGCCGGCGGTACCCCTCGAAGCGGCGCTTGTTGTCCTCCTCGTCCTCGTGCGGCGGGATGATCATGTTCCCGAGCGCCTCGAGGTGCGTCGGGTCCACGATGATGTTTCCCGTCACCACGAGGCCCCAGCCGCCGTCGGCCCAGTGCCCGTACAGGTCGCACAGCGCCTGCGTCGGGATCCCGCTCGCGCCCAGGTCGCCCTCGACCCACGTCGCCATGCGCTCTGTCATGGCCACCTTCATCAGCCGGTTGGGCGCTGCTGCTGCTGCCGTCGCGAAGGGGAAGGTCAGGGGCGAGGATAGGGGCGCCGCGGAGACGTCGGGGGTGCGGGTTGTGTAGCGGGTTGGCATGTTTTTTTTTTCTTTTTTTCTTTTGAGGTGGGGGAGGGGGGGGATTGTGTGATGTGATGTGATGTGGTGTAGGAGATGTCACGTTACTCTACCTCAGTATCTGCCTACTAGATAACTATCTAACTGCCCAGGTACGTAAATATCAAGCTCGAAATTCCCAGTTCGTTTTTGGTTATTTAGGTAGAGACAGAAAGTACCAAGCAAAATATAAACAAACCAGCTTCGATCTGTCTACCTACCTACATACTTACTACGAAATACCTACCTACCTACCTACTAGGCACCTAGTCAACTAATCAGACGTCTGGCCTAGAAAGTAGTAGACACGTACCCTTTGCGAGATGTGGGGGTTTTTGAGATTATCCCCCAACCCAGATTATGTAGAGTTTTGCCTGAATACCTCTCTACATTACCTATCGACTAATCTCTACTGTTATCACAGAAACTTCCCTTACCTATTGTTTCTGCATCTGAATCTACATCTGCGTCTGCGGCTCTGGCTGAGACGCCATTTGCCGACCTAGATACCTAGCACAATCAATCCAATCACAGCCATGGTAAGTCTTATGACCTATTACCTAACTATCGACTTCTATCTCCAACATACCTACCTACCTGGCGTGGTCGGTGAGTCGCAAGTAATCATCGGATATGTACAATGGGTCGACTGGGCTAGGTTAGATATATACCCACTCACGTCCTAGTCGATAGTCCACGCCACCGGCCTGCAAGTTTCGGTCTTCACATCACCCATCATCCCACAAACATATCATTTCCGAAGTTATTCCTAGAATTCACGTACGTAAAAACTAGATATCAGTCTACCTACTTCCCAACCTACCTATCTGCCCACCTATTGATGTAGACTTGGCATGCACATTTCTGCAATGACGTCTTCAAGTCGGGGTATTCTTACGTGTGTCGTCCCAACCCAGGAGCACGATCCTGTTACTGTAGCAGCCAACGACGAACAACACACATCCATCGTGTCTTGGCATATGCATTTACCGATAGGCTTCCGCCTTTGCTCATACGGATCTGTGCCTCCCCCGCAAAACCTGCCGAGGTGATATCCAGTATAAGAACCAAACAAGAAATTTCGTGGGGCGTTAGTTCGTTAGGACCGCAAATAACTCGGGGTTATATCAAGCGTCTTGTGGTTGGACCTTCTTTTCCGTGATTGTGGATGGGTGATGAGTTTTCGGCTCGCACGCAGCGGGTGGTGTACTACCCGCTGTGGTGGTCATAATTGGATCTGTGCTACCCCAGCTTTTCCCCAGATCATTATGGGGCGGTTGATAGGTCGGGGGACGCAGAGTAAGGTGATGATGCATACCTTACTAACTATTATTATCCAAGCTAACAACCCCGCCCCCATACTCGAGAGGTTATCGTGGGCAATATATAACGTGAGAAGCCGTCAAGGGAAGATGTTTTCGACGGGCTCATATCATCATTCATTGTGAATTTGACCGCTCTTGGGAAGCGGGGTCTTAACATAATGGCAGTATCACCGAGTACTATCGTCGTGATAGCGGCGGTGTTCGCTCTTCTTTACCGGCTCAGTAGGGTTGGACAACGCCCCAAAGGATACCCCCCTGGTCCTCCCACGTTACCCCTGATAGGAAACATTCATTTGATGCCAAAAGAGAAAGGACACCTTCAATTTCAGAAATGGGCCGAAGAGTATGGTCCAGTATACTCACTGATGTTGGGAACCCAGGTCATGATTGTTCTTTCATCGGATAAGGCGATTAAAGATCTACTGGATAAGAGAAGTGGTATATACTCCTCAAGGCCAGATAACTATCTTGCCAATGTCGTTAGCGGAAATCTTCGAATGTTGTTAATGGTACGTTGTTATATCACATGCTTTGTTTGGCTGTTGTTTGAGGACGCTGACTCTGATATGAACAACAGGAATATAACCAGACGTGGCGTATGATTCGCGGGCTTGTACACAATAGTCTTAACATCAAGGCAGCCCGAACCTATGTTCCGTATCAGGATCTCGAAAATAAGGCGATGCTTCTCTCATTCCTCGAGGATCCTACCCACTTTATCGAACATATGCGAAGATATACAACTTCGCTAACCACGCAAATGCTTTTTGGGTTTCGCACCACTCGTTATGACGATCCGAAGCTTACACAGCTCTATCATGTGCGGCCAATCATTGAGATTATGTCTTGATACTTTGCTGATCACCGAAATATAGGGATTCGAGAAATTTTCGACAGTCGCCGGGTCACAATCCGCAGCTCTACTCGATACTTTTCCCGTGCTAAGAAGCCTTCCGGATTTTCTTGTTCCTGGAAAACGATATGCCACAGAGCTGCATAAAAAGGAAGCACCTTTATTTGTGGGACTCTATCAAGAAACGAAACAGAAACTCCGAGATGGGAAATCAAAGGTAGGTAAGGCTTCTGTCCGTGTAGACTTAGAGATAAGGGAATCTAACCTTATGGTGAAGCCTTGCTTTTGCGCCGACCTTGCCCGAGCGCAAGACCAGGCAGGCTTTACTGATGACCTCGCTGGTTACGTTAGCGGCACCTTGTTAGAGGCCGGATCAGACACAGTACGTATAAAAATGTCGGGCGAGTTTCTCGAGTCCTTGTATCTGCCTAGAAGTATCGCCTAGAATTTCTAGGGTTCCGCGAAACTGGAGACAGGGTACTAATATGTATGTAGACGGCCGCAACATTGGTCGGCTTCGTTCAGGCACTACTTATTTTCCCGGAGGTGGTTAAAGCGGCGCAAGCCGAACTCGACCGTGTATGCGGAGACCGACTCCCAGATTTAAATGACCTGCCGGAACTCCCCTATATCCGAGGCTGTATGAAAGAAAGTATGAGATGGATGCCAACTGGAATCCTCGGCGTGCCGCATGCCGTCACTCGTGACGATGAATACATGGGTTATAAGATTCCGAAAGGTGCCGCGGTAATGTGGAATGTCTGGTAAGTAAAGGAGAACATAATCGGATATTGCAGACTTCTCACTCTTCCTGGGCATAGGGCTATTTCCAACGACCCAAAACGTCATCCCAATCCCCGACGATTCGATCCAACACGTTGGGCCCATGACCTTCAAACCTCACTAGAGGCGGCCACTAATGCAGACGCATCTAAGCGTGACCATTTCCTCTTCGGTGCTGGGCGTAGGCTCTGCCAAGGAATGCATATAGCGGAAAGGTCTTTATTTTTGGCCATGTCGCGATTACTCTGGGCCTTCGACTTCGAGAGGGCCATTGACGAAAAGACTGAGAAGGAAATCGTCCCGGACATGGAAGACTTGGTGGAGTCGGGCTTGTTTGTTCAGCCCAACCCGTTCAAAGCGGTGATCACACCTAGGAGCCCACAGAGAGCGGAGCGTGTCCGAGAGGAATGGGACGCGGTAGCAAAACTGCTTGATGGCGAAAAGCAGTGGCAAGATGTTCCGGAGGGATTGATCTGGAAAGACTACGAACCGACCGAAGCTGCGGTGAAAGCCTGAATACCTAGTAAACCAGTTAAGCTAGTAGCCCTGCAGTCACACGATGCGGGCTCAGAAACTTCAGATAGGGATTTGTTGCTTGGGTCGCTTGATTATTACATGGAGAAGAGGTGATTGGACAATGAAGAAGCATACCTACTACTAGGTACATATGTGTATGTACGTAGGCTGACATCTGTATGTCAGAGATGGAGTTACATTTATGTATGGGGAGCAAACAAGTGAAAAAAAAAAAAAAAAAAGAAGAAGAAAAAGAGAAGGATGCACAAGTATGTGGCTACTCCGTAATACCTAGTATTGACAGCAGTACAGCACTGACTCACTGAGACTCGATGCTGTATGTACTTCAATGTTAGGCATACATAGGTAGTTACATATGTACATCAAATACCTAGTACCTACCAACCTTGAACAAATAACTACATAAGACGGCAGTTATTAACTATTTGGTGGCAGGAACGGCCAGATAAGGCAATGGGCGGCAATTTACGGCTTCAAAATGATGGAAGTTGCCCGGGAGCAACCCTTTTTTTTTATGAGCCGAGGTGCGGCCTAAAAATTCCACAGTCCGTCCTTCCATCCCCCTTGCAATGATTTTTTCTTTTGCAAATAATTCAAGTCCGATCTCGAAATTCTAGAGTCACCATTAGTTCTGTGGAGAAATCATGTCTGTAACAAAATATTGTTCATTCTTGCGGTCTCGGATACTCCTTTTTCTTTCCTTACATGTAACTATCACTTGTCTCTTGTCTTTCTAAGGTAAAATTCTTTTGACTCGGTCCTCAACATTCAACATTTCGTCATCTTAATATTAAAACTACTAACCTACTACCTACTTAGCGAACATATGTCTATGTAGCTACCTAACCTAGGGCAATGTAGGTGAGTATGTATTGTGTACTAGGTATATTTATACATGCGGCCCGAGAAGCGGAAAGTCACCCGCCCCCAAATTCAAGTTTAGCTACGTCTTTGTACTACCCGTCTGCCCGTTTGCTCGACGTCAAATCACCCGGCATTATGTTGTGCTCCACCACCCACATGATTTTCAGCCTCCGTGTGCAACCGAACTCGAACGCATACTAAACGCATACCGACCTTATACAGTGCTATACCTGACGTAGTGCTACCCAGAACTTTGGTCCACCTGACGCCACGGTAATACATATGGAAATATCATCTATACAACCTCACCTTGACACTATCCATCGTACCAGCATTGGAACTTCAATGTTTCTTCTATATCTAGATTGGTACATATCTAGTCCTACCTAGTATTACCATTCCAGCGGTATAGCCCTAGGTATCTAAGTATATATGGATCTGTCAGTTTACGGAGTGCCCATTAGTAGCGATCCCAAGCTCGTGGAATCTGCCTACTCTTTTAATCTGTGGGTATTAAGTGGTCACCACCCTTATCTCCTCGCCTTAGCTTCATGGGCCAAATCGGGTTGGCTGGCGTAATGGAGTAATGGAGTAATGGAGTGATAGAGAAGGTGCAAAAGTTTACGATAAGTTTCCTTGTCTTACTGGGCTGCCCAGACTGCCAGACTTACGTGGGGAACGACCAAAGGCTCCGTAACAGGGCCACGCCCTGTATATGGCAGCTTGTTGACGATTCCACTTCCAATGCGGACTTGACACGCTACCTACTTAGTACCTGCACAATAGGTACGGTACCTAGACCAATCTAAGGTAGGCACAGACACTAGCAGTCACAGATCTTTTCTCCGTCAAGGAATAAAAAAGAGTACGACGTATATAGTAGTTCTCTATTGGTCATTGAGTCATATTCGGCCTCCCCTGGGCGGCGAAACATGGCGAAAGGCTATTTCGATAATATTTCTATTATTTATACTTTCCTTCTACCTGGTCCCACGTTACCCTGCCTACCTACTACTTACTTAGTAGAAACCGCGATTTTACCTCTTTCCGGCTTATTATCCTGAACCACCTGAACCCTAAATAGTGTTCTTACTAAAAAGGTCAACCTTTATTTTCCATCAACACTGCCCAATAAGTTACCTACCTAGGTAGTTATCTTGTTCCGGGATTCGATCTTCTATAATCATACTACCCGTCCATTGCATTCATAGAACAGACTCGGTTCATACATCATGACTCCCACCGCAGTTCCATCGACAGTCCACGACGGCGAGCAAGACCTGGACTTGACTTCTTCTGCTATTGACCACAAACTAGCCGAAAATGGTCAATCCAACGGGACATCCACAACAAACGTCCAGGAACTGGATGCTTCCAAGCTCACTTACACCTTTACAGAGAAGCCTGGTGATGTTCCTCCTCTAGGAGTCGACTCCATCGACGGCGTAACGGTCTGCACGGACCATATGATCACGGCAGCATGGTCAGCCAAATCTGGCTGGAAAACGCCGGAACTCAAACCCTACGGCCCCATCTCCCTGATGCCAACCGCTTCTGTACTTCACTACGCAACAGAATGTTTCGAGGGTCTAAAGGCTTATCGTGGCTATGACGGCAAACTGCGCCTGTTCCGTCCCAATTGTAACGCCGAACGTCTTCTCATGTCTGCAACGCGCATTAGTCTACCGGGCTTTTCTTCTGGCGAGGTAGAAAAGTTGATTTTGGCCTTAATGGCTGTGGATGGGCCTAAATGGTTACCTCGTGACCGTCCTGGTAGCTTCCTCTATCTACGCCCGACTGTTATCGGAACACAGGCGCAACTCGGCGTGCAGGCACCGTCCGAGGCTCTTCTATACATCATTGCCACATTCATGCCCGTCTTACACTCGCCAGCTGGTGGCATGAAACTACACACTTCACCAGACGACATGGTGCGTGCGTGGGTTGGCGGATTTGGGTATGCGAAGGTGGGCGCAAACTATGGCCCATCTCTCCTGGCCACGAAAGAAGCTCGCGCCAGAGGATTTGGCCAAATCCTATGGCTTTACGGCAACGAAGGCTACTGCACGGAAGCCGGTGCGAGTAATTTCTTCGTGGTGTGGAAAACGAAGGAGGGCAAGACCGAAATCGTCACAGCCCCGATAGACGATAGGCTAATTCTGAACGGCGTTACGAGGCGCAGTCTGTTGCAAATTGCTCGTGAGCGCTTAGAAGGCGAGATTGATGTGGTGGAGAGAAAGTACACCATCCAAGAGGTGATGGATGCTAACGCGGAGGGACGACTGCTAGAATCGTTTGCAGCTGGTACAGCGGTAAGTTTCCCCTTTTTATTAAATCCCTGGAAAGAATATTGCATACTAACATCCATGAACAGTTCTTTGTCTGCCCCGTATCACTCATCCACCACCGGGGCCAAGACATCCAGATCCCTATGGGCAAAGCAGGCGATGGCGGCCCTTACAGCTTGAAAATAAAGGGCTGGCTCCAAGATATCATGTACGGAAACGTAGATCACCCATGGGGTGTTGTCGTACAAGAGGAGCAATAGATCGCCTAAATTTTCCGACGCCTATTCGTGACTATCCGATATCTTGGGTCGATTGCCGTTACGATCAGCCCAATTTCCCTAGATTTTCGTCATCTAGATCGTATTTTCCGTTCGGGTTCCTGAGCCGCTACTAAAGTACGGCTTATTCTATTGGACAAAAAAAAAAGAAATAGCAATTCTAGGAAGAAAAAAGCCGGCTACTACTGACGGAGTTGCGGGTGGGGAGATTCTCTTTAGCCTAGCACGAACATTACATTACACAACCTCCCAAGTGGTCCATTCTCATTCGATCCACGACGATATTTCAATCATCTGAGGGTTCCCGCGACTTCGGGATAGAAAAAGTGATCATAGGAAAAAGGGGTGGGGGGATTGCATAGGTTTTGCATAGCGAATCTTGCTTCCTTTTTTTTTGGGGGGGGGGGGATTCTTGTTCATCGCCGGTTGTTTGTCTATCCCCTAGATCTAGCGTAATACGTACCATGAGAAGGAGTAGAAAAAAAAAGAGGGGGAGGCATAGTGGTTCTATGTAGATACTCCATCGTCCCAGCATCTAAAAGCGAATGAATGAATAAATTCCTACTTACCTGCCTTAGTACCTACCTATTTACTTATCTCAGTTCTCAAGTCTCGACCTGCTTACAAAGTATATAATGCATATACATAACCCCTTGTTCGTCTTCCTCGCCCTGATGGATCATCAAATAAACGGAATAACTAATCTAACCTACCATCCTATGTACCTAGGTAGTGCACCCAGGTATCATCATACACGCGTCTAGGTGGGGGTAATGAGTTCCGCAAGCACCTACTGTAGGTTAGTATTTTACCTAGGTAAGCACCTGCAGCTTCAACCAGGTTCCTGGGACAAATAGATATCTCGAACTTAGTTTCTCCCCCTTCCAATCCCCTCTCTTTTGCCCCTCGGACGAATGTAGGACGAAGACGGGTTGTGTGTGTCGTGCTACCTACTACTATGTAGCATACCGAGAGGTACAGTATGTAGGTAGGCGCACACCTTAGAAGCCCAACCCAGACGCAGACGATTTAACAAGCACCATGAAGAGCGTTATCGTATGCATATACCTACCCTGATCTGATATCTAGCGGAGCTCGATGCACTGCATATTCTTAATCGAAAATAAACAATTACTATGGGTGGTTATCTAGGAGACGATACGGAACGTATCCATGTCACTACTTTGTTGACGTGAATAGGAGAGATGCTTTGATTTTCCGAGGGGGGTAAATATAGTAGTTGCCTACCTACCTACATCAACCTCAAAGCACCCTCGTAATAGATCGTCCCTCATAATACAAATATCAAGCTAGCTAAAGGTCAGTAAAAGCAAGTCTAGTCCCCTCAATGCGATTCCCAACACCACGACGTGTCATGCGTGTGCTCAAAAGAACATTGACAAGGACGATTCGAGTCCGCTGTTCGGGACGGCCGTCGTTTTCAGCCGCATTTCCGGTCGTGGGCAATACGTCCCCACAGTCGACGACATCAGCGATTCAGGAACGATTGCATAATGTTCCCGGCCTCTTTCTCAATCTCCTTGAAAAATTTCTAGAGCTCAATCAGCATATCGCCCCTGTCTATGACTTGCGGGAGATTAGGCCCACCGAACTTACCTCTTCGTACGTCATCATCTCCTCGACAACGTCTTTACTTGCCATGTCGAGATCGGCGCGAAATTCGGCAACTGCGTTGGTGTGCGACGGGGATATTCCCCTAGTTGCGCTATTCTCTTCCGAGAGTGTATTAGATACCGCGCCGTCCGAAAACCCCTTTCGCGATAGCGATAGCATTTCATTGCCGAGTGCGTCAATTTCGGACTGGGTTTCCGCCTAGGAAGCCCAGAGCCCACCGAGCTCGGCAACGGCAGCTTCGAGCTTCTTCTTGAAGGTTGTGATGGCGTTGCTAATCGCTATGGCTACTGTGCGCTCCTGGCCGTCCTCGCCCGTGGCTGTGTAGTCGACGGTGAGGTCCTGGAGGGGTGCTAGAAGCTTGGTAACCTGTGAATCAAGGGTAGCCGCCTTCTGTCGATTAGCTCGGATATCAGCCTCGCTGCGGGTTAAGACATTGGCTTCAGCTTCTTCGAGACCGGCCAGGGCAGCGCTATGGAGAATTGCGCGTAGGTTCGCGTAGCGTTCTAGCCCATTCATGTTAGTTGGTTTGCATACACAGTTCGGCACACCCATAAGTATATATAATTAGAGTAACACAATACTCACACCTCCAAGTATGTGATGGAAGTAAATGGGTGTTGGACCACCTACCTTGAAGCTCGGTAATCACAGCTGGCTCGGGATCAGGAGATGGGCTCATCCGTTGCCGACGGTTGTATGTGCGAGGTATATGGCGATCAACTTCGTCGGTCTTGAATCTCTTAAATTTGTTAAATAAAGGCGCAGCAGAATAATATGCCTGCTTCTTTTTCTTAGGGGAAACCAGGCATAACTCGTCCTCGTCCTCATCCTCGTTTATCTGTAGGCGACGTTTGAGGGTTCCTAGACGCCTGGGTGGATCGCTCTTCAGGGGCGTGAAAGTTTGTTCCGAACGGAGACGAGAGAACATGATGACAACCTTATATAAAATGAGAGTGAATATGTTAGAAAGCAAGGATATTAGTTCGCCTATGATGTCGACATGTATGCCGGCATGTACAATGGATAGGGAAGTGATGGGCTGTTGGATTCCTACAGTTCGATGATGAAAAATATGAAACAGGGAAGGAAAAAGAAACGAAGGCAGAACATATGTAAGAATTAAATCCAAGAAGAGGCATAGAAGTGAAGAAACTGGGAAGGTGCTAAGACTTGGAAGTGTATTGGCACTTGCCATAGAGCCATAGATTCACCTTCTGTCACCTTACCCAACCATAACTTCGTTCTTTCCATCTCCCCCCTTGCCTTGACTTTGGTCTTGGTCTAAGAAATCCAATCCACGGAAGGCACTCTCAACCAAGATAGATGCCTACCTTACCCTCGATAAGTTTTCTAGCTTCCTTCTCATTTTTCATTTTCATTTTCATTTTCACTTTTTCACTTTTTATTGCTATTTTCTTTTTCTATCTCTATTATGTAGTACGCATTGACGTATTACTCCCCTACCCACATTGAATCCACCTACTGTAGGCACGCATACTACTATATGTATCCTATTCAGTTACTACACCTCACCCTTTATCAAGAGTGGCACCATCGTACCAGCAGATACCCAAACCTCAGGGTGCTTTGTGACGCTGTACAGGGCCCGGATCAGCCCTGAATGAGCTGTGAATGAAATAAATGTCTTATTGTCATTCAGAAAGACATCATCCAAAAGCTCTTTTACCCGGTTAGCGATTTCATTCTCCGTCTCTCGCTTATCCGCCTTCCATTCCTCGTCATTCTCCGTGATGCCGTCTTCGATCTTGAATTCAGGGTAGTTGGATACAATCCAGCTTCTCGTGCTGCGTCGGTCACAGGTATGCTCTCCGAATCGCTCTCGTAGTTTGTTCTTGATGACAGGCTGGAATGGCCGGTCTGGCGCAACCTCAAGGCCCGAAAACACAAGTCTCGTCGTCTCAAGGCAGCGGGCAAGGGGACTAGTGTAATGACTCTGCGGAGTTGGCATACCCAAGTCCTTGATTGATTCCCGCCATAATGAGTTAAGTGTTTGTGCTTGTTGCTTCCCCTTCTCCGTCAAGTGGGAGTCCAACCAATTAACTTTGCCATCACCTTCAAGGAGTGACCAATGAGACTAGGTGAACATAGAAGTCAGAACCCTTACAACAATGAAGAGGAACGCATCTGCTTACATTCCACGAATCCCGCCCTACTTCGGCTTCTTTCACATTGTGATGACCTTGGCCATGTCTGATGGCGACGACAATCTTGTATGTATATTTACCTTGACCTGATTGGTTTTCATGTTCAATGAAGTGGATGAACCGCTCCCATTGGGTTTTCTCGCCTTCTGGGTCAAAGGTTGCGTCGGTTTCGTAAGTGCGATTGATAAGGCCTAGCCCTGGTTGCGTTGTCTTGTTCTTCATGAGAATAGATTCGGCTTACATGTTGGAAGGGAAAGCATCGGCAAACTTACCGCTCGAAATTGAGGCCCAGTAGGCTCCTCATCGTGGCCAAAGAATCCAGGAACTGCGTGGTACATCATGACTGTGGTCGTTTGCAATATTTCGTTCTTCTCGATGAGCCAAAATGCTATGAGAATGAATGTTGTTGGTACAAGGAGACTCCGCCCAAGCATGGAACTGCAGGACTAATTTATGTATTACCTAGGTAGGCGAGTCCCTTCTATTTTCGTACCGCAACCTATCCGCAGATATCATTCATTTGTTCATGTCACTACCTAGTACCTAGCCTAGTATGTACTTAATATCTACTAGTAGTAGGCAGTTATTTATTGATTCGAATGTCCAACAAGATATGGCAAATAGACGAATACGCAAGATGTTGGACTGAACTATAGGCGAATCTAAGCCCTTGCAGACTAGACCTGCAGCTTCATAGTCACACCGCGCCACAAACAATCAGACTAGTTCGTGTTGGAGGTCTAGAGTCACACCGTTCTCGAGGCCTCCATGAACATAAAAGCTTGTTTGCTTCGAGTGAATCCATTCAGAAGTGACAATGTCATTTTCTCGAGTGGGCATGGCCTCGAGAACAACATGATTATATCCTTGTTAAAATGTGGCGCTTGAATACTCTCTCGACTCCAGATCTTGGACGACATCGACAACTAGACCATACAAGAGCTGTGGCTAGACCTGGCCAGCAGCTGGAGCAGTTTTCCTATTCCACCGTCCCGCTCGTCTTCCATTCAAGTGCGGCAACTCCCCCTAATTATATTCGACTTCTTCAAATCCTTCCATCCAAATCAAACGGGTTACTATCTTGCCATATTCGCACGGTCGAGTTAGATAGTCCCCAGACTCCAACTCACGATGCCCTTTCTTATACGTGGGGGCCTACCACTCGAGACGAGATCAAGAATGGCATAAATGCCCAAAGGCACCGCACCATAATATGCAACGAGAAGCGCTTGTTGGTGACGGAGAATCTCCTCAGCTGCCTGACGCAACTCGAGCAGGACGGTTACCACTACCGAGACGTTTGGATTGATGCGATATGCATAAATCAAGACAATGATGCCGAGCGTTGCCAACAAGTTAGTATCATGGCAGACATCTATCGTTCAGCAGAGCGTGTGATAGTGTGGCTCGGTACTGCAGATAAATATACAGAACCGGCTTGGGAGTTGATCAATAAGTTGAACACGTTGCGAAAAGAAGAGTTGCCTACTATCAACATTCGATCTTTTGGAAATAAGCATTACAATGACCTGCTGGGATCTGTGAATTCTCCTGAGCACTGGAGGGCGCTCGCGTTGCTTTTCGGCAGGTCGTGGTTTACACGAGCATGGGTTGTTCAAGAACTCGTGTTGGCTCGCAGCACCGTAATCTTATGCGGCAAATATTCATTCGATTGGAATGCTATAGTTTCTGTGTCGGATTTTATGGCGAAGCGGACATCTGCCAATACCTTCCAACAACACCTTTTCGATGACCTGGATGATAGCTCGCTCTCGTACAAGAATCCCGCCAAGCTAGAAGCGGTGAAGAAGAGTACTTTGGCTGGGACTTCAGATGTGTTGCTTTACAGTTTGATCAGATGCCGTACTTACGATGCGACGAAAGAGCATGACAAGGTGTATTCCCTAGTCAGCCTGGCAAATTGTCAAGATCAACCCGACCTCTACCCCAACTATGAAAAGACTGTTGCGCGACTATATACCGATATTGCCAAATACGTTATTAGGAGCTCGGATAATCTGCACATCCTTGCTCATGCTGAAGGAGGCGAATTCAGACAAATACCCTCGTTACCTACCTGGGTTCCTGACTGGAGCGTGAGGAAGGACTTGGGCCTCAGAATTACTGGGTATAAGCGGTACAACGCCGCCGGCACACTACCATGCTTTAAGGAAATTCGGAGAGATGACGTCCTCGCAATCCGTGGGTTCGAATTAGACACTATCAGTCGAATCGGAGAAACAAAAGAAAATGTCAACCAGAGCAGAGACTGTACCGACTGGCTGGACATCGTTGGCGAACTCGAAAGGGAGTACCCAGGCCAAAACCACAAAGACGCGTTCTGGAGAACCATCCTCATCGACACTGACCCAACCGGCTCGGTGCCAATCCGGCAGCCCTGGCAGAACTCCTTCGACGTCTGGATGAACATCGGCACCCACAACGCATCCGAGGACGAGAAGAAGAGGGCGATCGAGTACGAGACTTCGTTCACGCACTCCCTGTACCTGCGCCTCTTCAGGACGGCCCGCGGCCACCTCGGCTGCGGCACCCTCTCCTGCGAAGCCGGAGATTCCATCTGGATCGTCCAGGGCTCGAAGGTACCGTTGATCTTCAGGCCGGCGGAAAGGCCGGGTTCGCGCGCCTTCCATCTTGTGGGGGGCACGTATGTCCATGGGTTTATGCAGGGGGAGGCGTTGAGCGGGGAGCCGGAGTTCGGTGAAGTTGTCTTGGTGTAGATTCTTTTTGTTATGATGAGACGACGTATGACACGAGGTATGAGCTTAGGTAGGTAGGTAAGGATGTTTTTATGTTTTGTGAGGTTGAGTGAGGATGGGAGACTTGGGTTTATGATTGGAATTTGGGGTTGGAACTATACGTTGAGACTTGGCTTCCCCCCCCTTTTTTTCCTTTTTGGATACCTATCTATATTATACCACCAGTAGCGTTTTGTTGATTTTTTTAAAGCATCGATGCAGAGGTAGTTGTTGAATATAAAGTAGATATAGAAAAGCTATATCAAGAACAAAGAGCTATGCTAGCTCGTTCAAAACTCTTTGAAACTCTTAACATTCATTCGAAATGATATCTATCTATATATATATATATATTTTTCGTTTACGAGCCTTGTGACACGGCTCGAGAATATACAGGTGCTTGGGTACATCGGGTATCTAGGTACATGATCCTAGATTTGAACCTTCTGTGTTACGGCACATGGCAGATGTGTATGTATGTATCTAGGTACTACACACCCATACCAATTTACTTTATTGCCAACCCCCCCTCCCTTTATTAGGTAAGATACCTAGGTATCTAGGGCATTTTTTACTAAAAGGAAAATATTTAGCCATTAGCTTCCGGGCCGTTGATAAGAAAAGGAAGAGAAAGAGAAAGAGAAAAGAAGAGAGGGAAAAAAAAACAAAAAACTTACAACATCGATCCAGCGCGCCATCCACTTCTCAACTGTTGCCTTGGCTTCGTCGACGAGACCGAGTTCTGGTGGGTGTTTTCGTTAGCGGGTGTGCCCCTAGGTATATCATGGATATAGGATGGGGTGGGTATGTGTTCAAGAAGGGAGGTAGGTAGGTAGGTAGGTAGGTAGGATGGTGGACTCACCAAGAAGCAACTGGACCCCGCCGCGGATCCCCGACTCGAGCGCGGAAGCGATCCACGCGTGTGTGTAGGACGTCTGCTCGCCGACGAAGATCATCTGTTATTGTCGGGTTAGCTTGTTTAATAGGTAGGCATATAACCGCACCAACCCCTTTTCTACCCAAAGGGGGGGGGGAGGAGTGGTAATATAGAAAAGGGGGATGAAAAACGCACATTGTTATACGTCTTAAAGTACTCCGGCAGATACAGCTGGTGCTGCCCCACCGTCGGGCTCGCCCAGCTGCCGCCCTCGTACTCGTCCAGCATCCAGCAGCGGCGGTTGTATTTCCCCGTGAACTGCTCGTGCGCGATGGGGCCGTGGATCTCCGCCATCGCGTCCACCATGTACTGCACGTGCTCGGCCTCGGGCACCGACACCCAGCGCGCGCCCCAGTCGCCCGACGCGTACGAGGCGAGCAGAGAGGCGGGGCCAGTGCAGTTCAGGCAGTACGAGGGGTAGCAGATTGAGCCGACGCCGGGGATGTCGGTTGAGGTGGAACAGCCGCCGAAGATGGGGTTGGAGAAGTGCTCCCAGAAGCGGGTTTTGTATTCGAGGGCGACCTTGCACTGGAGATGGGATAGGTTAGTTGAGTTGAGTTGAGTTGAGGCAGACCAGGTAGATGCTGGTTTAGGGGAAGAAATTGGTCCAAGAGATTTACTTACGGCAGACTCGAAGGGCATGTTCTGGATTGCGTTGGAGATTGTTGGGGGGAGAGCTGGACGTGGGTAAGTAGATATATTTCGACGTGGATTAAGGGGATTTACATGGCATTCTCATCTTCTTAACAATTGAGAAGGGAAGCGCGAAGACGGCGTAGTCATACGATGCGTTCTTGAAGACGGTATCGGTGTAGTTGTTTCTCCACTGCAGCGTGACTTTCTGAGTGTCTTCGGCCCATTGGACACGCTCGACCTTGCGGTTCATCGTCGTCACGTGGTCTACTAGCGGGTGGAAGGACTGTGGTAGTCGGCTAAGGCCTGCGGAGTACTGTTAGTTACCTATTCATATAAAACATACGTTGGTTTTGAGAAAGGGGAGGGGTGTACCTCCGTTGATTGTCCTCCAGGTTGTGGCGCCAAAGTACACGCCGTCGTAGAGCTAGATGAATGTATATAAGCAAGTGATAATGACCTCATGCTGTGGGTTGATAGGTATACTTACGGAATCCCAGAATGAACTTGCACCCCCTTCAAGGACGTCGGTGTCGTTGAGGGTCGCATTGAGGTAATTCACCATATAAGCGAACTCGGACCTAATCAGAAAATTAATAACTGGACTAGTACGATGTTTCGATGATATAGATGTGAAAATAGGATTGGGGGGGGGGACAAGTCAGAGATCGAATGGAGTGTTCAAGAAAGGGGCTATGAACAATGACTTAAAGGGATGGGTGGCTATATAATAAATAGTCTTACCAAGTATCACCGCCAAGCCCACCGAGACCATTGACTACGACGTTGTTAGCACCATAAACCAAAATATAAAATAGTATGGCAGCCGGCTACTTACCCAAGAAATCCTTGTGAGCTTTGAACGTGTTGGTAGCTAATTCGATCATAAACGTCTCATTGGAAGTAATGGCACTGATCTTGTCGGACAGAGCCTGCGTCGACGCGTTCAGGGTCTCTGTAACTGCTAGAGAAGCATTTGCCTTAATTTGAGCCTGCGTTGGTGGCAGCCCGGTATCTAGCTTGATGCCATTGTGGTAGTATAAGCCATTGGGGCTGGATTGGTGCCAGGGGATGAAATCAACACTGAAGTTCTTGTTGTGGTTGTTGATTTTGTTCATCTCACCTGCCAGCTGGAACACCTATTTATTTATTGATTAGCATATAGTTAGAGGACAAGTACATTCCCTTTTTCTTCTTCCTTTCTTTTGTGGGGTCGGGGGCAACTTACGAGCTGGTGGTCAGTGATGTTATAGGTCTCATTCGAGTACTCTATCGTCTCTGGGAACCGCATGGGGCCCATCTCTTGATAGGAATAGTCAAACGGTCCACCGGAGAGGTATTCCGTGTGAACTCTGCCACCAAGACGCTGGCTAGCCTCGATGATGCTCACGTTCGTTAGCCCGGCCTGGGTCAGGACTAGATAGGTCATCAATCCCGACATGCCGGCGCCCACGATGGCCACGTGCTTTGATTTGGCCTCCACAGCATCGACGGCGCAGATCTCCTTGTTCTTGAGTAGCTCCACCCCGTCGAACCACGGGCCCCAAGAGTCGATGCCGTTGGAACTCGACATCTCGATAGTACTGGCACCCCGCCTCTTCAGCTTCCGCCCGCTTAGCTGTTGGGGTTCGCTGCGGCCTACCAGCTTTCCCCATGTGTCCCAGGCCGAGAGACAACCGTCGAATGCCATTTCTTCATCTGGTAGAATCCATACGAGTCGTGAGTCCTTGGTGCTTCTACCTTGGCCAACGGTATGGTGAGCCTCATGGAGGCGCGTGTTGTCACAGCCGCCATAGGTATATGTCACATCGCCCTCAACGGGTATGTCGAAAGAGATGTGAATGTTGGCCAGACGCGAATTGAGCGTCGAACGTGTCTCTAGCTTGACGGGTAGTTGCGAGGCGGAGACAAGCACCGCCTGGCTTGCCAGACTGACGAGAGATAGCCAAAGCATTTTGAAACCCGAAGATCAGACACTGGTATGTCTTGAATGGGACAACCAACTACAACCCATATCCGAGCCTCTTGCCATTTATATATACCTATACATTACCTCGGACTTTGTTGGTGCTGCCCATGTCGTACCGGCATGAAGCGGAGGAGGTTACGTAGGTAAGCGGTATCGCATGTCCATCGAACCAAGGACAAGGCCCCCCCATTACCTCTCTTCATGACTGAGCATCTCCCTACCCAGTAGGTTGGGTACCTAGTAGATAGGTGATAGGACGCATAATCAACCTCGATGCAAACGTTACTAGCCTCGGGTGGACTGGAAGCGACTGATAGTATTGGAATCACGGTGGTATTTTCTAAGCTATTTGCCCGAGTCGGTAGGTGGCTGGTATAGGTGAAGAGATAACGACCAACCGATCAGCGGACCGCTCGGGCAACGTTTACCTGTCTTGACGTCTGTAAGAGCCATTTCCAGAGTAGACATGGGGGCTCTGAGGAGCTGTATAAGCCACGCAGTTGACCGCCCGGGTAGCCTGTCGTTGATATCGCGACTGCTTATCAGTGTAACTTACCTAGCTCTACGGGTCATGGTTCAGTCGGGAGGCCCGACTAGTCGGGTCAGCCGCTCCTGGGGGAGTCTTATCGGCAACGTTTAATGTTACCAAAGTAGGTAAGCATCTTGCGCCCTTTGTGTGAATTCCTAGAACCACCTTTGCAGGTATGTGACGTATATGGGCCGTCGATAGACATATCCTGACGTGAGAATCCAGATAGTGTCCAATCGGGTGACCGTGATGTAGGTGGCCACGAATCCCGCACCGTTTAAGTATCGTATATGACTACCTAAGGTGGGATATGTTACCAGGTAAGGCGAGCTGAGCAGTCCCGCTGCAAGTTTCCCTCTAGGTTACCTAGGTAGATATCGCAACGAATTTTGTAAAGATAACGGCGTTAGTGAGAGATAGCTGGAGTTCGTTTTATCTCTTAACATCAAAGTATTAGTAACATGGGGTCTTAATCGACGTCTGTAATTGGTAGTCCGGCGAGTCTTGGCATCGGGTATCCTCGATGCGGACCGTGGAGCGGCCAAGGTTGCATTACAAAGCGCTAAATACCAAGTACCGTATATATATGTAGGTATGTATAATAAAAATGATTCTGGCTTCACTATTCCGCGTCGATTAGTCTGACCATCATTATTATCACATAATGAGTAGGTAATCTTGTGTTGTCCCGACTCTGACAACAAGGCTAAGGTCAGAATCTTATTACACGCCCTTTCAGTCATTCTTTTTGAGGGGTAATTTGTTGATCAGTTGTCAATTCGATTTGTAAGAGTTGTGTTAGTGAATTGGTTCCTAGAAGGTTCCAAGATTCCAATATCACATTGTTGAAAGTATGTTGCTTCGCAGTATTTATTTGCAAGCGCACAGGAGCATCAATTCGATGCTCGGTTGACGCCTACCTACCTACGTCGGTAGGTAGCCTTTCATCGACATGCCTCAAGTTCACCGAAAATGTCCACAAGGCTATGAATGTGAGCTTCTTTGGAAATATGGTAGTATCGATCTGCACTGCCGGGAATGGCGGAGTGCATATGCGCCACAGATGGCAGACCAGAGAGAGCCTCACTCACACATAAGTAAGTCGTTAATGGCTGTGTCTAGCCTGGAACATATGCGGGGAAGCTCTCATTCGTCAAATAATAACAGGAACTCCGACACCGTGTTTGTCGAGGTTACCAAGCAGATGAAAGCTCTCGGTTTTCCGCGTTTGGCTATGTAAAACTTTGGATGTAAGGTTGACAATGGCTAAAAGACTTCATCAGTGTAGTGTTTTCTGCATAAGTAGGTAGGTAACCTAGAACTGACAACGAGGGACAGCAAGAAGCCCACTAGATAGTATCTATCTACGTATCTGACTAGACAGTGATATATTCTGTGGCCATGGCAGAAGCATTAGCGATAATCGGCGGTCTTTCGGCTATTATGCAGATAGCTGGAAGTTTGGTGAAGCAGACCAAGGAACTAGACGATTTCATAAGAACCATACGCAGAGCGCCCAAAGAGATTGAAGATTTTATACAGGAAACCTCAATTTTCACCAGCCAACTGTATAACTTCTACGACCTGCTACAGGAAATTGCCAGCGAGTCTAAGAGGAAATTCAAAGCGGAGAGGACGAAGTTGGTCAGAAAAATAATAAGACAATGCACATCCGTTAAGAGGAGCTTTACTCGTCTTGTGGACCTCTTTATCGATATCAATGGTACAAGCACTACGCCATTCAATACGCTTTTGGCTCGACTACTATGGTTTTGGAAGAAGCCGGGTGTGCCAGAGTTACGCCTGAGCATCCGAAGTGCAACAGCCAATGTCACGCTGTTATGCACCTTTTTCATGTATGAAGAATTGCTGACAAAGAAAGAGAAAAATACTGAGGATGAAAGGCTGTAAGTACGTTGAAACATACAAGCTCATATTCCACTGCTGATTCGGTTAGCCATATCCTGGAAGGGCAAATTGAAAACTTAGTATCGACGTGTAGAAAACTCAGGTATGAGTTGGCCGACCTTCAGGAGCGAAAGCAACCCGCTGAATATACGGAGTCGAGAGGATCTTACAGTAAAGATACTCACCACATAGAGCGGTTTGTCGACAAAGCGATTCAATCATATACTCAAGGAACAGTACATTCCGGGAGCAAGAGATCTACTCGTCGGGAAACTCCTGAGCCAGTAGAACGGGAACTCCGGGCAGATCGGTCATCACTAAACCCGGGGGCTGCGACCCCGGGTGGTAATAGAAGAGACCATCTTACACGGCATGCCATACCTGTTGATATCCCAGAGTTTAACGAACCCACATTACGATTCCACAAACCGGATCGTAGGAGAAGGCAAGACTACGGGCGATTAGTAGGAGATGAGGCTGCGAACACCAAGCAGTCTGACAAGTCAGCCAGCCAGCCCAGCCAGCCCAGCCAAACTCTGACTGTTCATTCTGAATCTCAAAAGGACACAAGGCAGCTGCACACCCAAAGTGCAGTCAAACTGAATCGTGGAGATTCCGGTTCCGGGTTGCCCAATCAAAGTGCGCATAACGATGGATCTCATCCACATAGTCCCATAGAAGAGCGGTCGGGACAAGAGCATCCGTTGACGGTGTCAAAACATTCTCTAGCAACCGAGCTAGAAGGCTCACCAGTCAGCCATTCTGGTTCAGCTGAGGAAGATCCTGGGCCATATATGCCAATGGCGCCTTTTGGTGGACCGGGGTCAAGGAGGCGACCAAGACGACCAAGGCCACAATCACCTATTGAATAGGAAGATAATTTTAACAGTGATATTGGTTTATTACAAGTGTATCTTGAATTTTGACATCTGGGTTCAAGTTGATTGGGTTTGACGAAGTTTTGTGAATCAAATAAAGTGGATGAATGCGTGTGGGTTTGTAATGGCAGGTAATTTAATACAGGAAGTTTGGAAATTATGAAATTATAAACGAAACAAAAGCGAAGAACGAAAGACGCCAGACGCGGTACATACAGTAAATTCGAAGCTTGGACGTGTTCGACACCGATATATGCATACCTTAGTACCTGGTATACCGAGTATGCAAGTACTAGCGTAAGTTATAGTTAGTACTTGGCTAATGTTGTACCTGCAGATTGCATAGTTACCCGTGACTTTGAAAAAGGCTTGAATTGTGTTGAAATTGAATATGTTACATACCTAGGTACAATACATAAATAATTATGTAGGCACCTTCCTTGCGTGGTATGTACATAGTTAGGTGGATCCCTTGATTTTTACGTTTAAGGTTCAAGATTGGTTTAATCCCAAGATTGCCCCTAGCGTGGCTGCCCCTGACTACCGGAATATACGGGCGGATATTAACCCAAAAAACAAAAAAAAAAGTATCGGAATTCACGATCGATGATCCAATTTCTTCTTTCATGATTTTTTTGTCGTCGATTTCCATTCCCAAGTGACGAGCATCAGGCCTGCCCGTTGTCCATTCCTTCAATTCCTACGCGAATTATACTTAATCATGTCTTCGAGATATTCTTTACGTGCAACTCCTAGGTATGTATATCATTGGTTGTATTTATTTTATCGTTTTATCATTTTATCGTGGTTGTACGATAGGAAGAGAAGCGGAAACAATCCGAACTATGCGATAACGAGATTGGTGCTTAGTAGTGGTTTCCCCTTGGATGTGTAACAAGGACTGCGACAACAATCTACGTGGATACTAATTATACATTTTACTATGTAGGAAAAAGGAGCTCTTCGACGGTATGGTCGAGACTCCCGCTCGCCGTTCGACGCGACGCAAATCTCAATTCCCGCCCATCGATGGCGCGTCCGATGATGGTGACTCCAGCTCTGCTGCTGAAACTACCATGTCCAGATCAAGTAGATCTGCATCCGTGCGACGCCGAGGAGTTGGCAAATTTGTTGAGAATATCGACGATGAAGATGTTACTCCAAAGGAGGAGGAATTCAGCCCTGTTCCCGAAGACAAGCTCTCCTCTGTTCTCAACGATAAGGTCGATGCCACCTCAGAGCCTAAGCAGAATGGCTACACAAACGGACACACGAACGGACACACGAACGGACACGCGAATGGGCACGCGAATGGACACGTCAACGGAAAAGCAAATGGACACGTGAAGGATGATGAGCCTGTGGTCGATGGTTGGAAACCGGGCATGGACCCCAAGGTCGACCACTCTGGTGTCTTCGAGTTTGGCGGTAGCTTGGGCACTCTAGCTCTCATGATTGGATTTCCCTCCCTCATGTACTACATGTGGATTGGCGCAACCTACTACGATGGGAAGTTGCCGTTGCCCAGCGAAGGCCAATCCATGACTGAGTTTGGCGAGCATCTCCTGAATCTTATCTATACTGGCGCGTATCCTCACCTGCGAGCATGGAAGATTTACTGGGTGTACTTCATTTTCGAAATGGCTTGCTACTGCTTTCTGCCTGGCGTTTGGGGACACGGAAAGCCTCTTCGTCACGAGGGAGGCAAGCAGCTTCGATACTATTGCTCCGCCTACACGAGTTTCTATTTCACCATTTTGGTTATGTTTGTCATGCATTTTACCGGCTTATTCAAGATTAATGCCCTCCTGGACGAGTTTGGTCCCATTCTATCCGTCGCCATCATCTCCGGGTTCTTGTGCGCCTTCGTCGCATACTTCTCTGCTTTGGCTCGTGGCGCGCAGCATCGAATGACTGGCTACCCTATCTACGACTTCTTCATGGGAGCCGAGTTGAACCCGCGTATGTTTGGCATTCTCGACTTCAAGATGTTCTATGAAGTTCGTATCCCGTGGTATATCCTCTTCGGCCTTAGCGTCGCGGCTGCGGCGCGTCAGTACGAAAACTATGGTTACGTCTCGGGCGAGGTCATGTTCTTGGTTATGGCTCACTATCTCTACGCCAATGCCTGTTCCAAAGGAGAGCAGTTAATCATTACCACTTGGGACATGTACTATGAGAAGTGGGGTTTCATGCTCATCTTCTGGAACATGGCCGGCGTTCCTCTTTCGTACTGCCATTGCACACTTTACCTCGCCAACCATGACCCCTCGGAGTACGCGTGGAACAAGTACGCTCTTGCCCTGCTCTTCGTTACCTACATTGCTGTGTACGTCATCTGGGACCAGGCCAATGGACAAAAGAACGCGTTCCGCACTCTGGAGCGTGGTAACCTGGTGAGGCGTAAAACCTTCCCTGCGCTGCCATGGATCTACATCGAGAACCCCAAGACGATCGACACCCACACTGGCGACAAGATTCTTGTTGATGGCTGGTACGGATACGCGCGCAAACTGCACTATACCTGTGACGCATTCTTCGCTATCTCCTGGGGCTTGATCACGGGCTTTAACAGCCCTTTCCCTTGGTTCTACCCCGTCTTCTTTTGCTGCATGATCACGCATCGCGCAATGCGTGATATCGAGCGCTGCAGAAACAAGTATGGCGAGGCTTGGAAAGAGTACGAGAGACAGGTGCCCTACTTGTTCATTCCAGTAAGTTTAATGTCCCAGGAAATAATATGTCTGTATTCAGCGTAACTAATGATTCTACAGTATGTCATTTAAACCTGATAAATGACCCTTTTCTCCATCCTCCACCCCCCCCCCCCCTGCATTTTTTGGTTTCCCTGTAGAGACGGCTACCCTACCTGCATATGACGCAGACCTATTTTACTCCTTATTCGCGTTTTTCCAAATGTACATATTCCACAAGATTGGTTTACGTGTAATCCCCCTTAACTATTCCTTCTCCCCCTTCTTTATAATAATGGATGGCTGCCACGGGAGCCATGACACACGAACACACACACGGCAGGCAATGATGAAGGCAATGGATGATTGATTGATCGCATCTGATCTACATGGCATGGCATAGCAATAGCAATAGCATAGCACAGCGAAAGCAAAAAGCATGCCGTCAACGAAGTCGAGACGTAACGCTTGCTTATGATGGCCTTACTTACCTAGGTAGATTACACGGTACCTATACTTGCCTACTAACCCTAGGTAGGCAGAGTTACTTGTTGACCTAAAACTTAATACAAAGTAATTCGAAGAAGACCTCCGGCTAGTACCTAGTTATGTGTGATATGGTGTGAAATAGGTAGGGTACCTATTTTCTTAGGAGGAAGGAAGGGGCTGTGATTCATTGTTGTGAATTACCATTAACTACATATGATGATGGATGTTAGTTATCATGGATACCTAACTATGCTGTAATGTGCTCTCTTGTGTGTCTCATGTCTTCAACATACCTTCTAACCTAGTAGGTAGGTACATGAAGGTATCTGCCCTTTTACATACCAACTACCACTTAACTAACCACTTGACCTCTCGACCCTAATCTCCTATCTCCTTATCTCTCGTCTCCTCTTAACCCCCTTTCTCCCCACAATCAAAACAAACACTCCCTAACCCTCCCCGTGCCCCCCAACTCATACTCAACCCACCTGCCCACACCACGCCTTCCCGCAACCAGGACCGCAGCGGGATTCATGACATGGCAGCCCTCGTACGTGACGCAGAACGGCGGAGCAGAGGGGTCGGCGAGGACGAGGGCGGTGGGCAGCGGGTACAGGTGCAGGGCGACGCCGTGGTCCCAGTGGACGGGGCGGAGGGCGTGGCGGAAGGGGCAGAGGTAGCCCTGGTCGAGGATGGTCTTGACGAGCTTGCGGGCGGCGTGGATGTTGTAGGGGATGGAGGAGGGGGTTTCTTTGGGGTTGGTGGTGGTGGTGGGAGGTTGTTGTTGTTGTTGTTGTTGTTGTTGGGAGGAATCGATTTCCATTTCGTCGGTGCCTTCGAGGGCGTTGGACATGTCTATGTCTATGTCTATGTCGTTGTCGTTTTTACGAAGACCCTTTTTTGTAGTTGAGGAAGCCTCTTCATCGCCTTCTTCGTCGCCGTCAGGTTTCGAGGATTTCAGACGCACGGCCGTGCGACGCAGGCGCGCTGACATGTCGTCGCGAAACACGACGATCTCGTGCGCGGGGCCAAACACAGACAAGCGGGCCGGATTACTCGTCCAGATAGCCTCGCCGGTACCTTTCCCGCCTGCCTCCGCGCCTCCTCCGCCCACCTCCGCATTCGCGGTCGCAAACGCGCGGCGCACACGGCTCGTGAATATATCCGGCACCGGCTTACGGGGTAGCGGGACAGCGGCGCCGCCCCCGAACGACGAGGCCCAGCCGTCGTTGTCGCCGGGGACAAAGACGAAGGTGGAGGATTGGAGGAGGGTTGGGAAGTCCGAGAGCACGGACGCCAGAGCGTCGAAGTACTCCTTGTATTCCACGGAGCCGCCGCTGGCCCCGCCGCCGGCCATGACGGCGTGCTGTGCGAAGTTGCCCATTAGCACGAAGGACATGGGCGTGCTGCCCTCGGGCTCCGCGGCATACGTGGCGAGGATCTTGTGTAGGGCCTGCAGAGCACGGGGCTGGTCGAGGTTCAGTTCGCCGATGAGCACGACGCGGGCACAGCTCGGCGCATCGGCGTCTGGCTCGGCGGATGATGAGAGCTGGGCTAGCCGTTGCTGGCGCAGGATGCGCTGCTCGAGTTTCCGCATTCTCGAACCGACGGCACGCTCGCTGCCCACGCCTAGGAAGTCAATCCACCCAAACCCGCCGCCTATGGTGTGGTCGTCGGGACCGCTGACGCCAAGAGTGGCCTTGCGCTTCTCGCAGGGGGGCTGTCCGATGAAGAACCCCTGGAACCGGCCGCCTATTATGCCGCCGACTCCATTGTTGCCCCCGAGGCCCTTGCCTGTTGATTCTTCCTCTTCTTCATATACACCGTCGACTAATACGATCATGCCTGGTGTGAACCAGGCCGAGTCTTCTGGTATGGCAACGGCGTGTGATAGGTCGAGTGAGATGGTTCCTGTTAGATCGCAGATGGATAGGGTGCCTGTTGGCAGGATGGATAATAGGCCGAGAAGCATGTGGTGGCTGCCATGTCGGCCGAGGAGATTGGCTATAGGTGTTATTTTGTATGCTTGCTGGGTCGTTGGATTAGAGCCTTGTCGTTTTGAGGATGGGGCTGCTTTCGTGGATGCTACTGTTGAGCTCTGGAAAGATTCGTTGCGCAAAAGTCTCTGGTGTATCACGTTGTATCTATTTCTAAATAGGGATGTCTTGTGGGATGCTGGTGGCATTAAAGATGGTTTGGAGGGATCCCTAGGTGTTCTGTTAGTTTATCCGTGAGAGAATATATATATATAGAGAGAGAGAGAGAGGATCCGTACCTCTCAAAGTGCTTCTTGGTCACATTGAATAACATGCGCGGCTGATCATAGGCACTCACAACCTTTAGCCACTTTCTTGGGTGGTTCAGGCTGTCTTCGTCAAGCTCCTCATCTTCCACGCCTAATCCTGACATCCCAAAGCTCGTTGCGCTGTCACCACGGGATAAGGCATTGATTGGTCTTAATCCTAACCTGGTGTTCGCTGAATCGACTTCTTGCCCCGAGTCTAATACGAAGCTGTTCTGACGATTCGAATCTCGCCCAGTTACTATCCTCCCACCGCTCATATTCCCCTCCAACGTTTTCAAAATATCCTTCAACTCATTGCTGGCGCCGTCCACTATCACACCCCCATTTCGGTTCTTCCAACTCTTAGCGACCTCTTCCAAGACCTTTTCTGCCAACCCTTCTTCGCGCCATCCTGAGCCACAATGCCTACCAATAAAGGTGGCTAATTCTTGTAGGGCGGTTGATGTGATAGTTAAGCTATGCTTTTTTGTAAAGGTTCGAAATGCTAGCGGTCTTAATGTAGCGGGTGGAAGAAGGATTGGCAAGATAGTCGCCTTGGTCGGAGGGGCTATGGCAAACGGCTTGAGGGTATGCGCTGGTGTTCCAAAGGCGGGTGATGAAGATGGTATTGGGTTTGGAGGGGCAGGCGTTTTGGGAGCGAATATGGACGCCGCTTGGGGTTTCCGAGGCTGCATTTTGAAGATTATCCAGTTATGATACAGATTGTCGTCATTTCTGCCGATTTGGTATGGAGGATTGTTTTATTTTATCTTTATCTTTTGTAAGTATGGGATTTGTACTAGGTACCTACTAATTGGATAATGGTTGATGGATATGAATTTACAAGTAATAGGCAGTAGACGCGTTCAGCGCGTTTTAGCGAGCGCGTTAATGAGTAATAACCGATAAGTGATAGGTGATAAGCTCCCTAACCTAGGTACATACGGCGTAGTAGTAATATAGGGGAGTATTATACTGTGTGTTGGTACCGTCAATAATACTGTAAGCCATAACTACATCAATATTATGTACGTCAGTGAAAAAAAGTACGTAATTATTCCTAGCTCCTCCAGAATTTCATCATGAGTCTTTTCAATTTCTCGAATAAGATGGTTCACACACTTCAACAACTCAATTCGCAGAGTCAAGATGCTTCTATCAAGAGCTAGAATAACTCCGACATGTAGGACACTGCTTTCATACCGTAGTGTCTCTACATTGAGCAATAATCCGTATATAGTTAGTAGCTCTTCAACACACCGTGAACATTGAATTTGAAATACGCAAATCTCTGACACAGCTATACTCTTAAGAAAGTCTTTCCTAATGCTTCGATAAGCAATGGCCACTTGCTTACCTACCTTGATACAAACCCGCCGAGTCACAGGCTAGCCATTGGCTCTACTACGTCACTCCCGCCAACACCGCAATCTTTCTCCGAGAACCGTGAATTCTTCTCTATCTTAATGGAAGTCCTCCATAAACATGCTGCACAAGATCCAAATCTTATTTCCCAAGCCCAGGCCTTAGCCGGACCAGGTGGAGCAACGCTTGGTTCAGGCGGTGCCTTCTTTCCTCAGCAACGAAAGCAGCGGCATACAAAAGGGAATGCTGCCGGATTAGGGGGAGGAGGCGGCGCCGGTGGCGGTGGTGGCGGAGGAGCAAGTGCTCAAGGAGGCGCTGGCGGTGCAGGAGTAGGAGGACATGTCCATCTTAGTGACCTAAGGAACCCACCCGACTATGGCCGAATTGCGTGGCCCGAAGATATACTCGGCAGCATCGAGGTTGATTCATCTGGAAACATTGTAGGAGAGTTCCAGCCCAGCGGCACTTACCGCATTATCACCAACGAGGGGATGTAAGTTCTCGGGATTACCCATTTAGCATTGCTGACTGCTTTAACTAATCTTGTATGGTACAAAATTTAGCTTAGGCCTCAGCGACTTTTTAAGGACGAAACTTGTTGAGAGGTTGAAGGAGGAGGAGAGAACATGATAAAACCATGCCTACCTAGGTAATCAGCGGTATAAACATCAGGGGTCTCGTCTGTAAGATAGCATCTGCGCTCCTCCTTTAGGAACTCCCCTCAAGAACGAGAAAGCGTAGACTTCTCCCGTACCCAAGTATAGAACCAAATTCTACATAGCTCCATACATGATCTATAAAAACAAAGGGACAAAGGACGATATTTAAAAGTAGCCCGGTATCCAATTGTATGACACATACATACTGTACCTTTACTATCATACCTACCTATGTACTTATCCATGAACATTAATAGCAAGTAATAAGGAACTCCACAACACCACACAGCCAGACCCAACGAATAAAATATTCCCGGATCTAACATCTGCTTACATACATATGGCTCAACGGTATGTAATCCTCCGGTCGATCTGTAGAATCCTTCCGGCCGATAGTTGAGTGAGTGTCACAACATCTTTGTTGCTGCCGAGACCTCCCAGCTTTGTGTTCAAGACCCGCATACGTCTACTACTACGATAGGAAGTACATTTATACGCGCCTATTATCAATTTGTCTCACTCCTGGATATTTGTGTATCTTTGTTACCTAGTATAGACTTCCTGAGGCCTCTTGTAACTTGTGCTAGCTCGTAGTGTACACAGCATATAGTCACAGACTATTCAGACTTGTGATACCTTCACAGGCGAAGACGGTGAGAAAAAGCTGCAGCTGCAGATATCGTTCGACGTTGACATGTGAGTTAAGAGGCGAGTGCTGGTCTGTAAACCAATCATATCCAACAACATCATCCTTGCTTCCATGTGTGATTCAAGAGTTGGTCTTGACCTTGCGAATAAGAACAGCATGATTACATATTTCGTCTCTTAATACCTAGGTTAGCTAAATGCCTCTTGTATTTTTTTTCTCTTGCTGTTCTCTCTCTCTCACTCTCTCTCTCTCTCTTCCCTATGTCTTCCGTCTTGTCAAATGCAAAGGCCCAGCATTGAATAAGCCAACCTTATTAAATTAAACAGCAAAGTTTACCACCACAGGGTAAACTCAGCTGTCTAAATCGAAGATTGAAGTTTTGGAGGGGAAAGACTGGGACAGCTGACCTCACTTGACATATTCTAAAGTTTAGTACCTGACAGTTCCTATTGCCTTGTCAAATTTCAATACCTAAAAGAAAAGCCCAGTTTATAAAAGAAGAAAAGAAGAAAAAGCTTCAACTCAACTAAGCTAGGTTAACTAGTGGCTTGCACTAAAGAACTGAGTTTTGCTGCCATCAATTTACTGGAGAACCTTCATTGAACTCACTACCTAGTACCTAGTAGTTAACTATTAGGTACCTTTTAGGTACTGAATTGGAGTGTGCAGCGCTACAGTACAATACAATACAATACATCTTTCGCCTAATCTACACCTACCTAGGGTACCTAGGTAACCCTGTTCCCCCGATAGCCCGACCCCGGCACCCCCGACTCGACCCCTAGTTCGACAGCCCCTCGTTGTTGAACGTTACTCCATGACGATCTCATCAACTTCGCCATCAATTAGAAACATCTAAAAAGCCACTTCTTCGACACCATGGCTTCTCGAGCATTTGATGAAGAAGAACTCTCCATGTCCCTATCTCCCTCATTGATTCGACAGAAGAATAATGGCCCTCGAGTACCCGAAATTAATGTCACCCACCCCAACAACGATGGTTCCAACCCGAGGTCGAGAGCTGCCAGTCTGCTCTCCGAACAGACGGCGTCGCAGAATCGCGAGAAGTCCAGGACTGAGCAACGAATCGGTGCCTACAATATAATCAGGACTCTTGGTGAAGGGTCTTTTGGTAAGGTCAAGTTGGCAGTACATAGATCCACCGGCCAAAAAGTCGCACTTAAAATTATCGCTCGTAAGAAGTTGATAAGTAGGGACATGGTTGGCCGCGTTGAGCGGGAGATCGAATATCTCCAACTACTCCGGCATCCCCACATCATCAAGCTGTAAGTTTGAGACGAGACGAGATGCCGTCGGTTGAGATCGCTGTGATTTGATTTAATTTGGCGATCGTTTGCTGATGGACGCTTGACAGCTACACTGTGATTAAGACCTCAGCGGAGATCATCATGGTTTTGGAGTATGCCGGTGGCGAGCTCTTCGATTATATTGTAAAACACGGCCGACTACCCGAGGATCAAGCCCGAAAGTTCTTCCAGCAGATGATTTGCGCCGTCGAATACTGCCATAGACACAAGGTCGTGCATCGTGACCTAAAGCCCGAGAATCTTCTCCTCGACGACAATCTCAATGTCAAAATAGCCGATTTTGGTCTAAGTAACATCATGACAGATGGAAATTTCCTCAAGACCAGCTGCGGCAGTCCTAATTACGCAGCACCAGAGGTTATCAGTGGCAAGTTGTATGCCGGGCCAGAAGTCGACGTATGGAGTTGCGGCGTCATCTTGTATGTGCTGCTAGTAGGAAGACTGCCCTTCGACGACGATCATATTCCCAGTCTCTTCTCAAAGATTCAGCGGGGTGTCTTTACTGTTCCCCATTGGGTGCCAGCTGATGCGGCGAGCCTTATTCGAAAAATGCTGCAGACAAACCCCGTACAGCGTATTATTATCGATGATATCAGACTTGATCCTTGGTTTTTGAAAGACCTGCCCGCTTACCTTGCTCCGCCTGTTGAGGAATTCTTGAATACTGGTGTCGATCCAAATAGGGCTATTAGACCGAGCGATATTGCACCACACGCTCCTACTAAGGTACAGGAGAAGTTACACAACGAGGTCACTGAGAAAATCAGCAAAACGATGGGTTACGGCAAGCGAGATGTCCAAGAAGCCCTTGAAGCCGATGAACCATCTGCCATTAAGGATGCATACATGATCGTCCGGGAGAACAAGCTTATGCAAGGGAATCGTAAGTTGCCAAATATTTTCTCTAATATCTTCAAAATTAATCGCATGCGTTATTCGCGCAACCTAAGAGTCACATACACAGTAAATCTACACTTACGTGTCTATATATCTGCCTATACTTCATACAAAAATCGAACTGCACTGATATAATATAACATAGCTGCTTACGGAATGGGAGCCGATAACCCTTATTTTGCCACATCACCGCCAAGTACGGATGCCGATGACCAAATGCGTAGCGTATCAGAAGCCATGCATAATACGGCATTAGACAGCAGGCGGAATTCACAAACATATTATCCGAATGAAGCGCAAGCCAGTCCCCTCGCTGACTCTGCTCGCTCTACTACCTCGACAATCACCAGCTCTTCCCCTCGTGGATATGTCAGCCACGTTGGAATCTTACCAACGAGTCTACCTTCGCTTCACAAGAAGTATCTTGAACGCCAGAGCGCTAGCACCGAAGAACCGTTGGATGCTCAGCCTGTACCTGATGTTCCTTTGCAGCCTAGGACACCCGCCGAGCAACAAGAAGCAGCTCGCCGCCTCAAACCTCACTCTAAAAGCTCCATGAGGCTTGACGATAGCCAAATGCACCCGCAAACAATGACCCCTGTTGCACCCAAGAGAACTAAGCAAGTCCGTTGGCAATTTGGTATAAGATCCCGGAATGCCCCTTTTGAAGCCTTGCTATGCATCTACAAGTCTCTATCCAAGCTTGGCGCTACATGGGTTGTAGATGAAGATTTCGAGAAGGTGCATGGAAGCGATCAAGACCCATCGTAAGTCATACCCAAGTAAAAGACGTGATTCTGCCTAGACGTACTAATTATGACAGGGAGCCATACGATAACAATTTTGTCAACGAAAGGGGTAATCCATACGAGGGTCTGTCACCTGGTCAAATCGATTTGGAAACATTTGACCCCATCAAATACTACAGGCTGCCCGCTGATCCTTGGCACATAGTGTGTCGTTGGAAAAAAGATGGTGAGCTGCCAGGCATAAAATCCCGCGAGTTTCCTTCTAACAAATTCTTAGATATTAGGCGGACGTCGGTTTCTTCCGGTCAAGCTACCGCTGAGGCCGCGTCTGATGAGAATACTTACGTCTTCTCTGTGATGGACAAACGGAAGCAAGATTTCGTCTGGATGCGAATGGAGATCCAGATCTACGAAATGGACCCTAAAGATAAGGTCTACCTCGTAGACTTTAAATGCACAGGCTACGAACGACTTGACGGGACGCTACTTGAAGAGAAAGCTGTTATGAGCCCCTTTCCCTTCCTCGACATGGCGGCGAAGTTAATCATGCAGTTGGCCGAGGCTGATTAGAAACATCCTCCCAAACAACACCTAACTCACCATTTACTCGAGCTTGTCGACGACGACACAAGCAGCAACAGTAGCGGGAGCTGTCGTTGTACACCCATACTCTTGCAATACGATTCCGATGATCAGTTCTTTACGCAAACTACCTACCTACCTCACTCAGATAGCCAAATAAGATCATAGCTAGGTTTTGGCACGGATGTTTCTTTCCCTTTCCTCTTTCTCTGTCTCTTTCTTCTGCCCATCAATTTGATATGTAACCTTTTTCTCTTCATACTTGATTCGCTTCGTACGCCGAGGCATTATTAGACATACTGGAAACTCACGAACCCATAACACCTCGCTCTTACGCCGGACATGGAATATGGAAGGAAGCAGGAAAGAATTCACACAAAAAAGGACCGGCAGGGAAAGAAATTGCCGACGGTAACTGGGCATTTTTGAGGCACGGGGTTTACCTAGGGAAAGCATTATGCGTTGGAGTTTTTTTTTATCCGAAGATTTTCTTTTTTTTTTCGCTTCTTCTTTCTATTTTTCAATTGGGACGTAGGTACAGGGAAACGAATGGAGTTTGTTATACCCCGGGAGGAAGAGAAGAAAGGAGAAGAGCACAAGACTTTACTGTCTAAAGAATTGGGAAAGAGGGGAAACGAGGTAGAAAGGGTGATGAGGGAAAGGAAGGGGAATGGAGGCAAGAACGAAAGAAGGAATGAAAGATATCAAGCAGCTCTCTCCGAAAATAACTACCTAAGCGAGGTACCTACCTACCCAGCTTCTCTCTTGCTTGCTTGTATTACTTGTAGTTTGACCGTGTAGAGAAGAGTAGAGTAGCCTCGCCGTTGCTTTGCGTGTATTGTCTATTTGCCGTGATGGATTATGTACCTAGGTGCTTAGAGATAGTTATTGGAAATTTGCAGGCTATCCTCCCTACTAGGTTAGGTACCTACCTAGGTAGCTATTATGTTCATCTTGTTGCTATATGCCAGGGAAGGGAGTTGTCTTCTCATAAACACACACATCCATGATTCTTGTTACCTACCCGTTCCCCTTCTCACGAATCCTTCTTTTCTGCCCCTTTCTCTCTCTCTCTCTCTCTCTCTCTCTCTCTCTCTCTCTCTCTATATATATATATATATATATATCTAGGTTGGGTATCTACCTAAATCATACTTAAACTTGACTCTCCTCTCTCCTCTCTTCTCATCCATACAGAATCAAACCCCAACGAAGACGCGAATCACACAACCCTGCCGCCGCCGCCGCCGCCGCCCCCCCTCCCAGCAAAGTCCATGTACAGGGACCCCCTCGCATCCAGCGCGGCCAGGGTCTCGCGCGCGCGGGCGCCCGCGAGCCGGTGCTCGGTCAGCTCGTACTCGGGCGGGAGGTCGATGATTTCCTCGTCGTCCCCGTCCCCGTCGTCGCTGCTGCTGCTGCTGCTGCTGTACATCATCGCGACGACGGCCTTGGCGCACAGCACCGCGTTCGGCATCCCGTGGCCTGTGTACCCTGCGCACAGCCACAGGCCGGAGTCGGGGTTGGGGTTGGGGTTGGGGCCGCCGCCGGCTGACTCGGGGACGCGCCCGACGAAGGGGTGGCCGTCGCGGGTGTAGCCCATTATTCCTGTCCATTCGTGCGTGGGCTCGAGGTCTTGTTTTATTAGGGCTGGTGGTTGCTTGTTGTTGTTGTTGTTGTTGTTGCTGTTTCTTTCCGTTTCTTTTGTACTTTCCTCTACTTTTTTGGTTTCCTCCGATTTTGTGGTTGTGCTTGTATTATGGTGATGGTGATGAGAATGGTGGTGATGATGAGAGTGATGATGATGGTGATGATGGTGGGGGTGGCTAGGGTGATGCGGGGGTTGGTGGTGGTGCACCGACAAATCCACTGCGTTCGACAGCTCGCCCCGGAGGTACCAGGACACCGGTTCGTCGACCGAAGCATCGTCCCAGACGCCGATGCCACGGCCCCGCGCGTGCTGCCGCCCACCGCCGAAGACGAGCTCCGCGGCGGGAGGCGGCCGCTGGATCAGGTAGTCGTCGCGGGAGAAGGCCGCCGTGGGCTCGCCATTGATGTAGTACGTGTGTCCAATGTCCAGGGGAGGGTCCTCGGGTGTCGGGGGCTCGAAGGGCGGTTTGAGGGAGGATACTTGGCCGCGCGTCGGCACGAGGAGGTCGGCGAATTGCGGGAGCAGGTGCGAGGTGTAGCCGTTGGTGGCGAGGAGGACCTTGGGGGCGACGACGGTGCCGCGCGGGGTGTGCACGGTCCATATGGATGTGGTCGTTGGGGGGGAGGAGGGGGAGGAGGGGGATGTGGTGGTGGTGGTGGCTTGGGAGAGGCCGGTCACGGGGGTTTTGGTCTGCAGGTTGAAGGAGCCGGAGGAGGATGCTGCTGTTGTTTCGTCGTTGGTGGCGAGGAGACGCTCTAGCACGAAGGCGACGAGCTTGTACGGCCACAGGCTCGCGGCGTTCCACTGCACGATGGCGCCCTCGGCGTGCGGGACACGGAGGCCATCGAGCGTGAGCTCCCGGCGCTCGTCCTCGAGCAGGTACGCCGGGGTGCCGCCGAGCTCGCCCTCGCCCTTCTCGTCCTTGGTCACGAGGGCAACGTTGGCGGCCAGATCCGGGTACTTGTCGCTGAGCTCGTCGACGATGTGGCGCGCGATGGCGAAGAGCTCCGCCGAGTAGAAGGCATGGACGCCGGTGGTCGAGCGCCAGTCGCATGGGATGGAGAACTCCTCGACCAGGCTCTTAAGGAAGAAGAAGTTGCGCAGCTCGAAGGAGGCGATGTGAGGCGCGGCGGCGGCGTAGATGGCGGGTTGGCAGTGGCCGCCGTTCTAAGGTTGGGGGAAGGTTAGTTTTATAGTGACCAAAAAAGGGGGTGGGTAATGGATGGAATCATGACATAGAAGATGAAATGAGATGAAATGAGTCGAGGTATATGTGATATGATGAAGTGAAGAAAACCAGCTAGTTTTTGATCTCGGGATAGCTTTATCCAAGAATATCAAGCAAAAGTAGGTACTCATAGGGTCTTCTCGCATGGGTAGCTGAGATATTGTCGGAGAGGAAAAGAAAAAGGGGTAGGTAGATTTATATGCCAAGCAAGCCAGCCAAGACAGAGGTTTGGTCTGTTAAACTCCGACGCTCATAGCTACCTAGGTAGGTATATATAATTATTATATTCAACTTACTCTTCCAGTCGCTCCCCAGCATGCCTCCCTGGCCTCGAGCATCACAATATGAAGGTCAGGCCGCTTCTCCTTTAAGAAGTGAGCGGCAAAGCTCCCGGTGAGACCACTCCCAACAATGACAACATCGGCTGAGCGGGGCAGCTCGTCGGTTGTTCGGTGGCCTAGCAACTTCTTCGAAGGCTCCTTGTGCCAATAAGAGTTGGTAGGGTTATCTACTGGCAAGCCTGATTGACCCTCAATGAGATTCGCTTGTGCCATGGTGGCTGTGGTAGCGAGAGCTGTACTTGGATAAGAAGGTAGGCAGGAAAGGGGAAGCAGGGGAAGCAGAAGAGAAGAGCAGAACAGAACAGAATGCGAAACTTGCTGAATTTTGAGTTGGTAGAAGTCAGATGGAAAGATGAGTCTATAGGATGATTATGTATTCACGCCGTTTACACAGCTCCGACCTTGTTGATATCTAGGTATGATGCAGGGCAAGTTGATGAGGAGTCTAAGTACCTAGGTTAGGTAGGTATGGACCTACACATGTAAGTGTACATACCTAGGTTAAGGTGCCAAAGGTGGTAACTACGTACTAATCGAACGAGGAACATGTAACTAAGCAAATCGGGTTAATTGAGTTAATGGGGCTTTGGATTGGCCAGCGTCGGTCCACTGGCAGCCCCAACCAGCTGTCAGCCTATTACATATCTATTATCAGTATACATTGTACATTGTAATTGTACTATTTATTAGTCAACAACATTGAAAGCTTTCTTTTCTCTGCCCCTCTTGATTTATACTTATCAAAAAGTCAGTCTCGTGACTCTCGTCCATCATCATTTTGATGAAGATGTGAAGTTCGGAACCGAGGATTGGGGGATAAAATGATGGCACTAAATCCAGTGCTAGGCAGCACTTTAACGCACTTGATTTCATGCACCTATATTCTTACTACTACCTATACTATCCGGTATTGGACAATACAAATGCCCTCCTCCTTTCCTCGTCTTGGCTCTGAGCCCCAATGCCAATCCAAACACAACTCAGCTGAGCTGAGTGTAGGGGGTAGGGGCAGCGCCACCATGCTACGCCATGGATATGTTCAGCTCTAGATTTAGTCAGCTCTTTCTGCTGGTCACTTATAATCTAGACCGTCGCACTAAAACCGGCATCTCACCCCCATATGGGAGACACGATCTATTATCAGAAGCTTCAAGAGCTCAATTAATATATCTTGTGCCTCCTTAGCCCTGTTGCGTGTAAGACAATAAGATTCGTTGTACAATATGAGGCTGTTAAACTCCTGCAGTGGGGAGATGAAGCATTTTATCTCGTACGCAGATATCCCACCATACGCTATTCTCTCTCATACCTGGGATGATGATGAAGTCACTTTTCAAGATTGGCAAATGTTGCCATGGCCCGAGGTGCAGCGTAAGAAGGGCTATCGGAAAATAGAATATTGCTGTGAGCAAGCTTATAGAGAGGGTTTGCAATGGGTGTGGATTGACACGTGAGTCTACTAAAAGGCCCCTTTACCCGTTTCCCGGTACCCCTTTATTTATAAAGAAAAGAGTTCGAGGCTGATCAAGTTTCTTATATGCTTACCCAGGTGCTGTATCGACAAGACGAGCAGCGCCGAGCTGACCGAATCTATCAACTCCATGTTCCGCTGGTACAAGAACGCTGTAATATGCTATGCTTATCTAACTGACGTGTCCAAGAACCTATGCCTCTCCGCAATTGAGAAGGAACTTTTCAAAAGTCGGTGGTTCACGCGCGGGTGGACGTTGCAGGAGCTGATTGCGCCATCCGAAGTCGTGTTCTACTCGATGGACTGGCACCAGGTGGGCACCAAATCGGAGCTCTCACCGTACATCGCTGGCATCACGAACATTGAGGAAATGTACCTCGACGCCGCCAATTTGGAGCACGCTAGCGTGGCACAGCGCATGTCTTGGGCCGCGCGCCGTGAGACCTCCCGCGACGAGGATTTGGCCTACTGCCTCCTTGGAATCTTTGATGTTAACATGCCGCTCATCTACGGCGAAGGCCCCAAGGCTTTCCAACGCTTACAGGAGGAGATCATGAAGGCGTTCCCCGAGGATCACACGCTCTTTGCTTGGGGCACTGTTGTGCAGAATTTCTCCAAGTACGCCAAGACGGAAGCGCAAGTGCTGGGCGACGAAGAAATGGAGTGGGAGCGAGGCAACGACGATGACTATGATGATGACGAAGAATCGCTTCTAGGCTTTCTCGCGGAGAGCCCTCGGGACTTCGAACAATCGGGACGGTTCGTCTGCTATCGTGAAGCCAAGAAGTTCTTCCGGCGATGGGACTTCCCACTTACAGCACCCGCCATAATCGGACGCACGATGCGGTTGGATCTGCCGGTTCTCGGTGGCGCGGCGCCCTTCGCCGTGTACCACTTAATGCCACAGCTACCAATAGCACGCCTGCGCAGCGTTAAGACGGCGGTACTAGTGTGCGGGCGGCAGGATGAGGAGACGCTCGAGTTCCAGTTCGTGACCGTGCCGCTGCTGATCTGCACAGGGGGCTACTACGGGCGGACGCGGGAGATAGTCGTGAATAGCTACATATCGCTGCCGCGCGTCAACTACGACATCCTGGGCCGTTGGCGAAACCAGCTCGTCGTTGAGCGGCAGCCGCGGTACCTCCCCCGTACCGGCGATATCATCCTTCGCCGCTTCGTGACCATCGTGCCGTGCGCCACATCCATCGCCGTCGAGACCGTCGACGTCGCGATCGACGACGGTTTTATTAAGGCGTTGGCCCCAACGCAGGGCCGCATCGCCTGTCTGACTTTCGAGTACAACGATGTCAGTGGTTTCGGTCTACACATCAGCCGTGTGGGAGGAGACGAAGAAGGGACCGGGAACTTGCATTTTGCGATAATGCCTGTGGACCTTTCAGCTCAGGGATATGTGCCGGAGGCGGTGGAGGTAGGGGAGGATAAGAGGGGGCTGTTGGAGGAGATAAAGGAAGAGGATGGGAAGGGTGAGGAGGGGAATGATAGCGTGAAAGAAGAAGAAGAAGAAGGTAAAGGTCACCTTGACGAAGACGGCGAACAGGAAGAAGAGGATGATGATGATGATGAATGGGAAGACGTGGAGGAGGAAGACGACGAAGAGGATGACGAGGACGAGGAACCAGACACCGCCCACACCCCATCATCACAACAATTCCCCAAACCATCCCCCACCCCCTCTCCCACAAACGCCCACGACATCCCCCCAGCACCGCCCTACTTCCGCGACACCCGCGAAGCCTACTACCACTTCTGGGACCACTGGGAGGACGCGCCCTACACGCAGACCATGGCCCTGCCGACCCACACCTGGGAGGTCCCCGAGACCCGCCAGATCCCCCGCGTCCGCATCACCGCCCACCGCATGTACATCGACCACGACCCCGCCCAGCCCGTCGACGTCCTCGACGTTGTCATTACCTCGAGCTGGTCGCCGTCTGGGCAGCTGCCGGAGGGTGAGGCAGGGGAAGGGGATGGTGGTGGTGATGATGGTGCTCTGGTGAAGGCGTACCAGGAGTAGGAGGCTTGGAAGAGAAGCCCAGCAGCATGACAACGAAGAACACAGGAGGTATGTTTATGTTTACTGGGTAACCTAGGTACCTAGGCGTGGATAGGCGTTGTTGATTCCAATGCATGATACCCCTTCCTCCCCCTTTTCTTCTTCTCTTCTCTCCTTGTTTTTTTTTTTCTTTTTTTTTTTCTTTTTCATATACCTACATAGCATCTGGATAGCGTAGCATACCTAGCGTAGCATAGCACATCATTTTTATCTACTTTTTCTTTTAGGATTACTTCCTCGCCAAAGCAGCCTCATACGTTCTGGATATACCTTCATACCTACCTACCTCTTACACCGGTGCCTAGGCCAATAGGCAAAGGCGGACTAATCTGTAAATCCCAAGGTTTTTCACTAGAACGGAATAATACCTGCTTTAAAGGCATAACACTCTCGGCATATACAGGCGAATTTATTCATAGCAGCAATAAATATCAAATTTTTCCTTCGCCAATTTCAGTTCTGGTAACTAAACTACCTAAAGACCACCTAAGTAGTGCTGACCCAGTACCTAGCCATGCATGCATGAATCCCCCAAAGAGATAGCCCGACCTATATCCCGCAAACCCACCATGAGGGGGGGGGAGACGGAGAGGATGCCGTTTTATTGCGAACGAACAAACACTCATCCGAGTGTTTGGGGGGACCAGACCGTAGACACCAACCAATGTAGAAGAATTCGTGACACAGCTTTAACCCTGCATCTTTCTTCTCTTGCCGACTTGGGCTGAGAAACCCGTCTTGATGGCGGTGACGGAACGGCGAGATCCGCACGAGTTGCAGGTGATGAAGTAGAGACGGTTCTCTCCCTTGTTGAGTTCCGTGTCTGGGGAGCGGCATGTTTTACATGTGACATATTCGACTTTGAAAAGACATTAGAGAGGCTGGGGGTTTAACCGTAGATATAAAAAAGATGTCAACTCACTGATGTACTTCCGTAGCACGTTCTCAATCTGCTTCTGCTGGAATCGACCCTTGATGACCAATCGTCTGCTTCCGTCGACGGAACCGTTGGTACCCAACTCGGCAAATAGGTAGGCGGTAACGTGTTCCTCGCTTCGCTTCATTCGCTTCGTGATTTCCTGGATGTTGGCAAAGATGGTCTTCTTGTTACCTTCACGCAGGCACTGTGGCGGCGGGATCTTGTAGCTTCGCGTGCCGCTGGAAGCATGGTCAGGGTTCTTCTGAGCCAACAGGCTGAAGAAGCGGCTAAGCAGTAGATCGTAACTGATAGCCTTGGTCTCATCGTGGCTCCAGATGCCAGTACCCTTCTCCATATCACCGCTTTGGTCATCGCCCTTCGCATCGGTAGCACCCTCACCGTCACCCTCCTTGTCGAGATCAAGAGCGGCAAGCTTGGCAGCGAATTCGTCGCCCTCGCCAGCCTTGGCAGCCTTCTTCTTCTTCTTCTTTTTCAAGGTCAGATCCAAGCCACCGGCATCGGCAGCTCCATCAGCGGCGCCATCGCCTTCAGCTCCCTCACCTTCCTCGGTCTTCTTGGGCTTCTTCTTCTTCTTCTTTAGAAGATCGAGACCGCCTTCATCAGCGAGAGGGGCAGCATCGTCAACGGGTGCTTCTTTTAAATCAGCAATTGCGCCAAGAGCAGCCGAGAGCGGCGGCGTACGAGGTGTATGGGACGCGGCGGTGTCCTTGGTATCATCGGAAGCCATGGTGGTCAATTTACCGTCAGCTTCAACTACAACGGCCTCAGAATTGAAAACGACGGATTTTCGCTGTTTGCGATCGGGGATCGAGGGACGTTGGGCCGGCTAGTTAGAATCAAGTTAATAAAGAGTGATAGATAGACCAAGTCTAACTAAAATAAAAAAGTTGTATGATAGTAAGTAAAGAATGATACGGGTAAAATGGAGTCAAAATCCGCTGGATAAGGATAATGACAGCGATTGGGTTGGGTGTTGTGTGGTATGTGTGTGGTAAGTAATGTAGGTATAGAGTGTGAAATTGATATGACTCTTAATGAATGTTGTGAGTCTTTGCTTGGCCGGAATTTTTAAGTGTGGATCAGAGTTAGGTGTGGCATGGACGCATGTGGTGGGTAGGACGTAATGGTTGGTACATTGGTACTTGTTACATCTTTATGAAATGGGGTTCAAACTTCAACGTTCTTGAATGTTCATAGAGGGGCAGACAAGGTCCAACTTTGTTACACGACCCCTCACTATTGTTGTTAGTGGGGTAAGCACCAAGTGCAGTCACTGCAGTGAACTGAGTGAGTAGGGTACCTACCTAGGTACCTAAACTCTCCACGGGCTATGTAGGTAAGCTGGAAGGGGTGCGAACGTCGGCTCCGATTGATGCGTGTGAAGACAAGAGATCAGGCAAGATGAGATGCTTAAATGGAGAGAACATGGAAATGAATTAGACAAGTCAAAAGTTAAAACTTACAGTCTCAGCTGCATCTGTTGCATCCATCCTTGCTAACAAATAAATTGCACTTCTTTTTTATTCACTCTTTGGTACAATTGTTCGATCTTCCTGCCACTCGCGATCCTTAGAAGCCCAGAAAACAGGAATATGTTCAAATTTGATGTCTGTGGCGATAAAGCGTGCGTCGTGGGCTGATAAAACCTTGAAGCACCTCAGTAGTTCAAGGATGATGGCAGTTGAAAAAGGTGACAGGCTTAATGTTCTTCTCGATTGTTTGCGAAGCTTGTAACTCAAGCACTTTTTTATTAAAAAAAAAGCAGCAAGAGTCAACCGTATTTTGGTGGATTGAAGTTGGAAAAAAAAGAGGAAAATACCGCCTCGCAGGAATCTCCTATGACGTTGGAGTCTACGATGGGAGGGAAAGTTGATGAGAGTTATGTATGTTTAATGCTGAGTCGGCCCTCGTTTCTGTACATCTTATTGGAAGGTACAGGCTATACCAATATACATGGGCATTGAATATTTATTATTTACCTTAGGTAGGTACATACAATTCCATATGGCAGCAAGTCCAGCCCAACATAGAAGCTAGGGCTGAAACTGCCAGCAGCTTGTTGACTCAATACTAACCTGACTGACCCCCACATAGCTACGTACTAGGTACTCTATTAAAATCCACAATTTCAAACTTTAACCAATAAAACATTCAGCATGCGAGCATTGATGCTAGTAACCTTGAAGCTTATCGATACATGCTACTTACCTAACATACTACCTAGTACTGTGCACCTAGCTTGCGACAACCTTCATGATCCTACTTACAAACGAATAGAACAACATCAATTCTAACGCTGCCAGCGGTATATCTGCATACCTACCTTAGTAAATAATAGCTAATAGGTACCTATCATTACAATATTCGACCGCACTTGCGACATCCAATACTAGACTCTACCATCGGCAACGAGCTTGAATCAATCCTACTGGAAGGTTGACCACAAGCTGGTGGAACCCCAATGCATCGGATCTGCCAGCAGTAGCGCCGAGTTCGCTGCCTTTTCCTTATTCCCCCTTTTCCCCAGAGCTACCAACTTTCCCGAGCGTCCTCGATATTTCGGGGGAAAAAGCTTCCTTCCTTCCTCCACCAGACCCCGCCATTCGTCATGTCGCTCTCCGACTCGTTCTCCATGCCGGACGCCCCCGGCTCCGACAACGACGACGACATCGACTCCCTCCCCTCCACCTCCACCCAGAGCTTCCTCTCCGACGACGAAGACGACGACTTCGACGCCCAGAAGGAGTGGGAGCAGAGCTTGGAGCAGCTGCAGCTGCTCCTGACCATGATATTAGTGCCCTTCGCCGGCAAATATCTAGGACGCAAATTTGCATATTGGAGTATGATAATTTCCCCAAATCGAACCCCGTACTCCCACATTCTCGTTCTCAAACCCTCTAACACATGTTTGAAACAATAGGTTGGGCAAGATACATGGAATGGATGCATAACGTCGATATCAAGTGGACGAACAAGACTTCATTCAAAGTCGCGGGCGCCGCGCAAGCAGCAGTGACGCTCTGAAGTGGGGTGGGCGCAACATGTTTCTTGGCCTCCGATCTAGGCGCTTTGGACAGAAGTAAAAGTAAAAGAGTCAAAAAAAAAGTTATATTTCAAGAAACGTAAGAACTGGATAGTCGCCTAGGGTTTAGGGTATCTGGTTGTGTACATATTGAGATTGGGCTGTGGACATAGAGAAGGAAAAAAAAAAGAGCCCCTCCCCCAAAGAATCGCTACATCCCAAAAAAAGAAGTGCGGCATAGGGGGACACGAGATATATAAATATAGCGCTTCACCTATTACGCATGTCCCACCATCCGGGTGCGTCCCCGTAATGTATAGGGGCTCCTTCCCGGGTAGATCTTCTGCGCATCCGCCAAAAACCCAGCATTCCAGGCGGAGTCCCCGGAATCCTTCTCTTGCCAACTCGGCTGGCGATCGTCTCGGGGATGCCTTCATTTGCCATGGACGAATGACAGTGATACCATATACAGTTCGTTCCACTATCGCAAAATCGTTGGGCGCGTTCCTTTGGATTTTTATTTATTGTTGAGTCTCGTCTCGTCTCATGGAAGGGTATGGAAGGAAGGAATGCAAACCGTTCCGTCCAAGCCAACCCAATTCACGACGCGGAGTGTCCCCATATCCGTAGGTAGGTAGGCAGGAGATCCCTCATATTTACATCATTGGCTCCGCAGCCTGATACTCCTATAGGTACATAAGTACCGAAAGTTGGTTATGCATACGTCCATGTTCTCCGCCCCTACGTACCAACGTCCAGTAGATCGCTCCCGGTACAAATAGAAAACTGCCTAGGTAGATACCTCACCTAGCGATACAATGTTTGGAAGCTTTCAGCCGCATCATAGGTATGTAACCTTGAATAGGTACTGCCGAATACCTACTTGCCTGCCTGCCTGCCTGCCTGCCTGCCTGCCTGCATAGGTACTGATCTCATGCGGCAGCGACCCAAAGCGTGTTTCATAGGCCTACGATTGCTCGAACGCTGTCTAGACCTGGGCAGCCAAGGGCTGTTCGCAGGTGTATGTAGAACGGCCCCTATTGGAGTTCGAGAGACGTTTCGCCACTTTCAGGTCACCGGCGATTGGGTGTATCCATTAGCCGACCCATGAAACTTGCGACCTATCGGGTTGTTGTCCCTTCACACTATGGACAACTTTCGGCGCGCGCACTTACACATGGCAGTCAGCATTACTCCTGGTGTTGTATGTTTGGCCCTTGGCACCACATCATGGTGTTAGATAGGTAGCGGAGGTGTTTAGGGTTGACTGGATATCCACGTAACAAGCTATGTTTTGACGGAGAGGTCCCACGTGTGCGACTACTGCATCATTAAGAAATAAAAAAATAAAAAAATAAAAAAAGAATAGCGTGACGTGATTAGAAACAGAGTAGAAATATAATGAACAAGAACGTCGTTGCACTCTTTTGTCCCCCAGCACGAAGACGATTCCAAAACATCACACGCAAATCATGACAATATCGAGTACGACGACAATCATGGTGTTCGAAAGGCGTAAAGTCGAGTACAAAATCTCCAACTCACAGGCTCGAAAAATGGACAAATTCACCATACCCAATACCCAAACTCGCCATAAACCCGATCTTACCAAACACTATAGACATACGAAACCTCCTCGCAACATACCCTCTAATCCAGCACCTATAACCATGGCTCGTCCGAGCTTCCCAAAACATAACCTCTACAAGATTCTCGGCGTTGATAGCAAGGCCTCTTTAGATGACATCAAGAAAGCATACCGGGATCTTTGCCTAAAGGTACACCCGGACAAAGCAGAAGGAGGAAGCACACCCGAGAACAATGATCGATTCGCCAAGGTCCAAGAGGCCTGGGAGATTCTTCGCGACGAAGTGCTTCGGCCAGACTACGACGAATTTCGCGCCAACGGGTACAAAGACACTGGGAATCGTGATAAACACTCAAAGCGTCATCGTCACCGAAAGCAGCACCCAGGGTCATACACCGGTGATAATAAACCCCATCGTGATGACTCGCCTGAAGGAGATCAATATCATGCTCCAGGTGAATCATCGTACGCGCCGAAACCGAATCGTCCAAAGGAGCCGTATTTCGAAGAGTGGGGCCCGGGCCCTGCTCCGAATGACCACTACAAGTGGCGAGACCACCAGCCCGACCCTCGCCGAAACGCAAGTCCGCCTCGGTCTATAAAACTCGAGGACCGCATTATCGCGATGAGAATCCGGTCAGCCTTGAAACCCATCTACATTGATATCGACTTCTTGCAGACCGACCTCGACTCCCTCTCCGATAATTTCCAGCAACACGTTCATTTGCCGAGGCGTGAAATGGTCAAATGGGGAAACCGCTTTGACTACGCTCAACTCGCCATTAACCTGGCCGAAGACTTGTACATTGAGATTTGTATTCTGTTGGAAGAGGTTGAGTCTGGGCATAGTGCCTCGCCGTACGTTTCGGAGCTTCCCGACCAGCTTGGCGCCCTTCAAGCGCAAGTAACAAGGATGAGGATGGCTTCAATTGGGGCGAACATCGTATTCGAACAATTAACGAGGTGTCCACCTCACGATAACGAGTGGCGCCAACTCATGGAAGACTTCAGTGAAAAGCTGCACGTTTGGGCTATGCCCGCCTATAAGCGATCTCGCCCGAAGGCTTGAGGGGGAGATTGGTGATTTCATCATCCGGGCGAACTTGACCAGGAAAGGGAGCTGAGGCGTTTCGGTAAAGGAACCAGGACTGATTTATACCCATTTTGAAGCAAATTCTTTGATGTCGTTTGTCTGATACAGAGTCTATGACTATTTCCTACATAATCCATAATCAGTATATAGTACCTACCTACCCTAGGTAGGCCAGATTAGGCATTTTAATTCTAATTCTTTGTTATTTCCCCAAAGTACGAATGATGTTTGGTGATTGGTTGAAACAAATATGTTCCTTTGACAACATAGGCGTGCTTGCGAAATGCTAAAGTGAATGAGTTGTGCGAGTAAACGTAGTATTTGAAAATGCGGTTGCGAATTTCGTATGCCAAATATTCATCGGGCTTTTCTAGTTGTTCTCTGTACAGGAATATGCCTTTGCTTCCAGCTTTGTACTTGGAATGTTCTTTGTTCGAATCTATTTGAATTAATGTCTCGGCCATGCAGGTATCTTCCCATATCGTCTAAAATATTGTTCATGATTAGACAAAAACCATGGTATTTTCTCCGCATACTTTGTAGAAAGATGTTTCTTCTAACCGCACGTGACGGTTGCCATACGTTATGTAGGTAAATACCCTTGGCGACCTGGGCTGCTGAGCTGGTTTAGGTGCGTACAGGAAACCCCCTGAAATAAGGCGTCAATTTATCCAGATTGACTAGTTAATCGTAATATGCAAGCTCTACGTATAAATACGATGGTGGTTTGAAAATGGTTCGACACCAGAACACATCCAAGGTCGGGCTTATTTATTTTAGTCGGCCGAGTTGGGCTGGCAGGCCTGGGCTGCCTGGTTTCGATGCTCAAACTTGGTCCGTCGGTAGTGGTTGATCAATATGACGGCACGAACCCACATATGCCCGGGGCGCCGAGGGCTGTGAGAGCCTAGGGTAAAAGAACGCTGAAACGACAATGCGTAGAGCAATGCGGGACTGGTTGACGCTACCTTTTTTTTTTTTAGACAACAAAAAAGATCAAGATGCCAAGCAACTGCCAAGTATCTTTGACGTAAGCTGGTAAAAGCAGGTCTAATTCAGCATCCAACAACACTTTATGAAAAGACGATGACTAAATCAGACGAATAGATACCTACTTAGGCATTGCAGTGCTTATGGAACTTGAAGGGGGCTATGCTGGCTTTAATATCATGATATTTGAGGTACATATGTACGAAGTATGCACCTAGTAAAATGTATCTACGTACCTATTAAAAGCTACGCATTAACTTGAAGCTTGTCGAATTTGAATACGAATTCCGTGTACTGAATGATTGCCTCGTATAATGACCTAACTACTCGACAAGCTGACAAGCTGACAAGTTGACAAGTTGACAAGTTGACAAGTTGAGAAGGTGATTAAAGGAGGGATTCCTGGACCCCTTGGAGGATCGAGTCCTGAGTTGGGCATATTAATGAATATCAAGGTTTGGAAATGAAACATGATAAATCCCTTTGAGCCTTCCATTGCCTTAGAAAGGTATTATACAGTGTTTCTTTCCATACATACCACGGTAGTACAAACAATGTGTGCTCTTTCCGAATCATTGGACATGCTTCCTTTTCAGTGTCAGTATGTTCATTCAAACGCTCTTCTAAGAGAGTGGGTCTAGGTACCCACTAGTGGGGCGCCCGTTCATAAAATAGAACATTAGCGGGTTGGCAAAATTGGCAATGACGACTGTTCGCCAATCGTGCCAAGAAGACTCCTGGGCTTGCTCCACCTTGAGGCTTTTGCTTCTAAATCCACCCCCCTTCTTAAGTGGATAACTACGCCGTAGGTACCTCCAGATTATCGCCAAGCCAGTTTCTGGAACACGATACTAGATTCATACTCCATCTTTGCGACCGCTAATGAAGAACATTGATGAATGTTACAGCCGTAGAGGTGTTGAACAATAATTATAGATAGGTACAGTCAGTGGTAAACAACGTTTGAAGTGGTCACTTATACACGTGTAGACAGCTAGGATACTGTATGTATGTAAGGGCTACCTGGAGATAGTTATTGCTACTTACATATTGTATGCCACATTCTACGGAATGCTATCCAAGTAATCCATGCACGTATTGTACAATACAAACCACAGTGCAACTGCTGTGTAATCTACATACATACATGATAGTAATGTATGTAATGCACGCCACAACTTAAATATACCTTACTTTTCATTCCCGAACCCCCCTTAAGAAGTGCATATTAGGTACGTTTTACTGTTTTGGACCAATTGGCTTCCTGTTTCTGCTTTTTTGATGTCACTCAGAATGTTGTAGACACACCCTCCTTCCCCCTTTGTGCAAAGCCAAGGTGGCTGATCCCTGATTTGCAGACGCTTCGCGTTCCCCTTTCCTTGTTCCGAGCTTCAAGAACATCTCCAAGCCAAGGAAACGACCTTCCTAACACAACACGACCCTTGACTTGCCTACTTTCCACTCTTTTTTCATTACAACTTACACGTCTCGAACCATTCCACTCTTTACATACTCACCATTAACATACTACACTCTTCTCGTCGGCAACTCACTCGTTTATTGTTGTCTATTCGTCTTCATCTTTCAGGTCTTCCATAATCTAATCGGTTTTTTTTGTGGTTTCGACCTCTTAGTACTTCAAGTCGGTTTTTGTTCAGTCTCCAGCCTGCATACTGCATCCCTCATTCGCTTGGGATTGCACTCCATCTTGCACCTCTATTTTCTGTCAAACGCACATCATTGAAACCACTTGATCACACCACCTAATACCTAGTACTGTATCAACATCAAAATGCGCTCGTTCGCCCTCGCGTTCGCTGTAACGGCGGCGAGCCTGGTCCAAGCTGGACCTACTGCTACCGAAAAGGAATTGCCTAGACGGGCCGATGCTCTTCCCACAGTGACTGCTTCTGGTAATGGTACGTACATTTCAAATTCCCTTCCTCTCGATCGTAGGGTAATAGCAGAGCTAATGTCGAAGGGTAGCGTTCTGGGCCGGTGACGAACGATTCTATCTCCGAGGCATTGACTACCAGCCTGGTGGCTCTTCGGCGAACTTGGATCCCCTTTCAGATAGTAACATCTGTAACAGGGACATCGCCAAATTCAAGGAACTTGGCGTAAACACTGTTCGCGTTTACTCGGTTGACAACTCGGCCGATCACACCGAATGTATGCAGGCCCTGAATGATGCTGGCATCTACCTGGTTCTCGACGTCAATAACCCTAGTTACTCTATTAACCGAGACGAGCCTGCCCCATCGTACAACGATGTCTACCTCCAGAGTGTCTTCGCTACCATTGATGAGTTTGTCAAGTACTCGAACACGCTCGCTTTCTTCTCTGGGAATGAAGTTATCAACGACAAGCCCGAGTCTGTAAAAGCCGCTCCTTACGTCAAGGCCACCACTCGTGACATGAGACAGTACATCGGCTCGCGCAACTACCGCAAGGTTCCGGTTGGCTATTCTGCTGCCGATGTTAGTCAAAATCGCATGCAAACTGCCAACTACTTCAACTGCGGTACCGATGATGAGCGCAGTGACTTTTTCGCTTTTGTAGGTCCCCAAAAGAAGAGGAATTGACAAGATACACTTAAAGGAACTAACCGTTTTATCCTAGAATGATTATTCGTGGTGTGCACCGTCCTCGTTTGAGGAATCTGGTTGGAACCAGAAGGTGAAGAACTTTACTGGATATGGCCTGCCCATCTTCTTGTCTGAGTGGGGCTGCATAACAAACGGCCGCACCTTTGAGGAGTTGAGTGCTTTAATGAGCGACCAGATGTCTTCTGTTTACTCAGGTGGCCTCATGTACGAGTACAGCAGAGAAGGCAACGGGTTTGGTATTGTCGAACTTGACGGCAACTCTGACACTGTCAAGGAAGATCCCGAGTTCTCGAAGCTAGCGTCAGCTCTGTCCAAATACCCCACCCCTACTGGTAATGGCGGCTTTACTTCCACCACGGCCTCTGTTGCTTGCCCAACTGTTGACGATGTGTGGGACCTTGAGGACTGGGGCGCTAGCGCCCTTCCCGCAATCCCTGAGGGAGCTGTAAAGGTACACCTGACTCCTTTGGATTCTCCACGAAATGAATAATATCGGCTAACAGATTACTAGTATATGACGGATGGTGCTGGTGCTGGACCAGGCCTCAAGGGCGACGGCTCCCAGAATGCTGGAGGCACTTCGACTGGCACTGCTTCTCCTGGCTCTGGATCTGTAACAGCTACTGCATCGGGTGACAACGGCAGCGGCCGACCAGCCCCACCGATGGACATGAGTATCTTTGCCCTTACAGGCGTTGTTGCTGCGTTCACCCTTGTTGGAACTCTATTGTTGTAGAATGGCTACTCCTTTCAGGAGAGCTTTCTTGGCCGAAATATTATACCAAATGTCGGCGTGGAATGAAGGTGTGTTCCATGAGATTGGCCCTTTAAAATGTTGATTGGATCCTTCCAGGATCAAGGACTTCGTGGGGATACCTATGATCAGTCCGGGGTGGTACAGGGTCAGCTCAGAGACCTTACGACGTATAATGTGGTCTACAACTCAGGAACATGGGAATAATTCGGCGCGGAAATTGAAGGGATGATGGATACTGGATGTGTTCTGGAATGGCCTTACTAGAGGACTGAATCGCGGAAACGCAAGACGGTTTTGGTCCGCAGAGTAACAACTAATGAAATGAAGAACACGGTCACATCATTTGTTACCTAATTCCATTTCCTCGGCGCGGGGACGTCATTGATTCACTATTGCTTTATTACTATTCTGGCCCCTGGCGTTAGTCAAATACGGGTTCCTGTTCATAAGTCAACGCATAGAGGTATATTTCATATAAATATGTACTATTTGGTACTCAGTCACTTGCGTATCGTGTTTGAATATCAAGCCACCTCCTGAGCCACACTAGTCGACGATATATGTAGGTAGATACCTAACCTAGTAAGCACTCGGCTAGCCAGTGACCTCGAGTGTTCGCTCATGGCCCAGCTGAAACATTATTCGGGCTTCATAAGGCTGCCGGCTACTTGACATACACTGGTGTTGCCGTCTCGGACGATCCAAGCTCGGTACCTAGGTGAGGAGACGTAGGGCCTGCATCATATCATATCATTTGCTCGTAAAAACCACCACCTTGACACCGAGCTCCGTGTCCGGCAGAAGCCACACCATCAGCGTCGCAGCGCCCCCGGCGGCGACGGCCCCGGCTTGGATCATCCTGTGCACGATGGTGGCGCCGTACCCGCCCATGCCGGCGCTCTGCAGCACGGCGAAGGGCCGCTGGGCGGCGGCTGCGTTGCTGAGCGTGCTTTGGATGAAGGCGGCTGGGGATCCTGGGGTTGGGGTTAGTTGGGTTTTGATTGGGATGTGTATGTAGGTATAGGGATGTGGGTAGATATATATGTAGGTTATGTGGTTAGGTGGTTAGGTGAGGGTGAGGGAGTATATGCCTACCTCCTGTGATTCCGGCCCCCCCAAATCCTAGTCGCGCCAGAAGCGTGCTCATGGTTTCAACTGTAGGTAGGCGAGGGGCTTGTGGAGGGATGTAAGCAAGGATGTGGAAGCTCTCTCGCCTGCGAATGCTAGGTTTTATAGATATGGTTATGTACTAAGTTAGGTGGTTGTGCAGTACATGTAGCTTTTATTGTAGCTTTCGGAGAGGGCTGAGTGTGAACCCGAATAAGTAGGTTGGTGAGGTTGATTGTGGTTATATGGGAGATGGGGCACATGTATGTATAAAGAGCCTCCGCGGGGGGGAAGGTGAGGGTGAATAAATAATGAGTTACGTGTATACCTACCTAGGGTATGTAGAAGAAGCTGGGACAGAGACATGGAGGTTCGTCGAAAATGATAACTGCATGTATCTGTCTGGTTACGTGTATAACCGTAGTTACCCGTGATAGTGAGTTCTGTTAGCTACGAGCTGTGTCGGTATGCATGTCTTGATAACATCGAACGGGGACTCGTTTGATGGCATTTCGTTTGCAAAGATCAGCTTGTTTGCACCTTCGAAGCCGGATGGATGGCTCGAATACGTATGCAAGTGGCGAGGCTGCTGTGTCAGTTGATCTGATATGGATGTCATGTTCAGCGATGAGGCTAAAGACTCAGCTTTTCCTTGTATGTATTATTGATCAATCCATTCAGTCTTTTACGTAGTGGTGCAAACTGATCCCGATGGAGTAACTCGAGGTCCGTTTGCAAAAGAACCCCCAGGGCCAAGTCGATCGAATCAACGATTAAATAGGCTGTTAATTTCGTCCTACTTTAATCACCAGCAAGTATGGCCATTAGAAAATGCACCTACCTAGCCCTAAAACCTGGATGTTGTAAAAAAAGGGGGGGATGGGGGTGAGGTGGCAAGTCTTGTGTTATAAGGGCCATGACTTTGGGGCTTGGAATAGAATACATACCTATCCATTGTCCCTCAATCTAAGGTATGTACTACTACCTTCTAGCCTCTATTGCACCAATCGGCGTGTGCCGATGAACGATTATATGTAATTATTAATCATTAGCCACAAAGTATCCTGAGGTACATAGTATATCTGGAAAGCCGCCTACTTCGTCTGACGCATCATCATTTATCACATAACGCTCCTAGGTTAAGAATCTTGAACCGTCACAGAATCCAAAACGCGATCTTCTATCAAGCCTCCCTAACAATGACAAGAGATTTCTTACTTTACACAACGACAAAAATGTTCAGCGGTCGATGGTTGATGAGCCCTGTGATGCTGGTGGCGCTGATGGGGGTAATTGTCAAGGTTTATATCTTACCAATGTACCCAGAAGCGGGCAGTGACGAATAGGGACGTTGAGGTAGTGGCAGAGCAAGTATGCATACCTAAGTACTGTAGGTACTTATGAATGCCACACGGGTGCTATATATGCACGTCGTAGAGGAATGGTAGGTTCTAGTTGATGATTATCTAGAAGGTACTAGGTAATTTGCAGCGTTCTTGGGGGGGGCGGGGCTTAAATGGACGATTCTCTCATGGATGGAAGGTAATGAGCACTGAATAACAAGCGTGCATTTTGAGCTTTGTCAATCATTGCCGTATATATTCGTAACAGCCAGTCTCATGCTTTGAGTGTCACTGAGTACAGTGGTCGGTATTCTTCCCCGACTGCCTCCAACCTTGGTATTATCCCTTGATGATGCTCAACCACCTATTTACAAAGGCATTCTCAAACTACCAAGGACCTATCCAGTCCCTAGATCTATACCCAGCTAACAACCTCCAAATCAAGCAGCCCCAGCAGCCGCCTCCGCAGCCAACGCCTCCTTCCGACTCGTGCTCAGGGGGTCGAAGTACGGCCTCTCGCCCAAGCTGACGGCGCGGGAGCCGAGGCGCTCGCCGAGGCCGAGGTCGACGTAGTCGGGGGTGGCGGCGTGGTAGACGCTGCGGTTGTCCCAGATGGCGAGGTCGTTGACGTTCTGCCAGCGCAGGCGGACCTGCAGGTCGTGGTTCTCGACCAGCAGCTGCACGAACCAGTCGAGGAAGCCCCGCGACTCGGCCTCCGACAGCCCGTGGATGCTCTTCACGTGGTGGCCCACGGCGAACACGCTCTTCCACCCCGTCACCGGGTTCGTCCGCACTACCGGGTGCACGGCTTCTAGCACCTCACCCACGTTCTCCGGCGCCCCGCGCTCCGCCGTGTACAGCTTGAACTTGTTCCGGTCCGCTGTCTCGTTGAAGGCGGGCTGTGCGTAGTATGCGGTTAGCGTGTCTAGGAATCCACGCAGTGGCTTGGAGATGCGGTCGTATAGCTCGTAGCCTGAGGCCCAGAGTGTGTCTATTTTTTGCCCAAGCAGATTAGTTTCGGAGCTGGGTAGTTATCATTTTGGATACGTACCTCCTCCAGTCTTGGGTATCTGCGTGAGCCGCAGCAGCGCGTAGTCGCTGGGAATGGGCTCAAAGGTAATATCCGAGTGCCACTGGCCCTTCTGGCTTTGCTTCTTATCGGACCACACGATGTTTTTGTTGTAGAGCTTCTTGGACTGCACCGAGGAGATGGTGCTGATCTCGTCATCCTTGCCCCCGTTCTGGCGCGATGCGTTGATGATTGGGTGGATGTGTAGCTTGGAGGTCGACGGCTTGCCGGATAGCTCGCCCAGTCTCTGGACTAGCTCCTTCTGCAGCTCGTTGTCGATGTTGTCCTGCTTGCGGAAGAATACGACGCCGCGTTGGGATACTGATGCGGACGGGTTAGTCTATATTATATTGGATTGATCTGGGAGTTGAGTTATTCATCATACCTGTGATAGCTAGATCTCGGAGAAGCTCGTCTGAGTTAGGGGCTCGTAGCCATTCGGCCAAGTCTACGTCTACATATTCTCTTCCAATAATCGGAGTGACATCGAATTGCTCGAACTTGTCCAAAGCACCGCTTAGCTTCAGGGGCTCCTTGTGGGCGGTTGGGAGCTTGGGCAGTTCGGATTCCAACTCCGTACCGCCGACTGCCAGTTCATTTTCGGTCTTAGGGCTCTCTTGGGTAGTATCGTTCTGGGAACCGGGGACAAGCTTTTGCTTGATGTGTTCCGCGATTGGAACCACGGTCTCAGTTGCTGATGGTGCCATCTTTCAATAATACGACTTCAATGTATAGATCTAGCAAATACTTTTAGGGTGCGATCGGGAAGCAGGTACGTTTTACTCAAGAACTAATTACTACTGGCCTGGCATGGGGTTCGGCTTTATATACATACGTATCTAGGTAGGCATTTCAATCCACCATTCATAAGAGTCGCAACTGGCCGAGTCCGGCGACCTTAAAGATGGCGTATACGAAACCATTATAACGCCATCCTTGGAATCTTTTGTCTATAGGATCAGATAACCGATCGTGCAAACCGGGGTATGAGTCACGCCTTTTACACGATACACGATAAGATGCTTAGATTGCGGGATGCTATTGCGACGTTGTAACTGGCATGAGGTGTTGTCGAATCTTGATAGGAGTGGTGTTGCCGTTGCGGGGGATTGATATTGTGACATATCCTGTCGGCGTGACGTGCTCACAGCAATTATCATGCCTTGGCTGGATAGATACCTTGTAGATAACTAAATTTTGGTGGAGCGACAGGTATATGGTCGCCCCCTATTCCGTACAAGTGGTTTTTTTCGTGGGGTACTCCGCAAATCGATCGCCCCTATTACCTGATTTCCATACGCACCGTAAACCTTTACTTACCTAACCTCGGTGTATTTGGTAGGTAGGAATATTGACTTATACATGGAAATAGAATGACATACCCAATAACCCTTCTTAAGTTCGAGTATTGGCATTACCCTCCGATTAGGTTATAGGTACTCCTCATGAAATCCTTGCCAGCCTCAACTCATCCTCTTCCACAATTATACCGGGAGATATTCCACCGTTCAGCTTATCAATACACTCATTGGACTTGTTAGATGTGCCATTGACAGATCAGATAACGTTATAACCAAGTTTGAAGCTAGACGGAGTCGCTGGCTATTTCCGTTGCTGCCGAAAATACTGGCGTGAAATCGTGACTGCGTTCCGGAACGCTCTTCTATTCATCTCGACTAACGCTAGTTTAAACGAGTTACGCCTTAACCTACCTAGATCTTGAATGTCGACACCCCCATCGAAATCTCATGTGTCAAGTCCCAAACTCTTGGGGCGGACTGTAATTCTAAACTACCTTAGGTAGGTATCTATTAACACCCAGATCCATGTATAACTGCCCTCAACCCTAATTGTCCAAGCATCCACTTTCATATCAATCAGGCCATCTCCAGCTTCAACATCAACCCAGGTAATGCCGAGTTTCTTCAGTGACCTATCAACCGGACTTGCCCAGAATTAATGTAACCCGGCCCAAATCTCACCAGCTAATCCCTTTGATAGCATGGCCTTCGTGTCAATTTAAGTGAATAGCATGCTTAGCAAGCCGGTCTCGCCCCGAACAACCCCATCAATGCAGAAAATTAATACTTCTAGGGGGAAGGTAACCGCGTAATGGCTTGAATCTTCCGGAGTGTCAGGAGCTTGTCTCTGGCGTGTTCCTGCATAACCAGACCGGGCATATCTGACAACTAAAAGTCGCTTCCGTCCCATGTCATTGCGCAGCAGCACGTGACACCCCTTGGAGCCACCACGGGCGCTTACATGAGTACTTGAATAATTTCTCTAGTCCTGACCCGAAGTTTTAGGATGGGAAGTTGCTAATAATGGAAAGGTTCTTGCTGCTAGCCGTTAAGTAACTTGGAAATCACTCAGCAAAGTAGATATCATGGTCAACGCCACATGTGTTGATACTCCGTAGATAGTCGCGGTAAATGGTTTAGTATGGAAATGGCATTGGGCTAAGAACGCTCTCCAAATTGCTTACATAGGTAGGTACTACCCAATCTTCACCTCGAAATTAATGGACGGCAAGATAGCATGCTACGATGTAAGTAGCTACCAGCCGACAGATGTCGGATGTCCTCTCCATATAGCTTATATTCTATGGCTGACGCCAGCATAGAGTAGCTCACCTTAATCCTGGGATAGGCTTACGAATTAGACATAAAATGTTTCTCTTTCACCTTTGCTCAACCACGTTGAAGAAATAGTAGGAAGGAGTTCCCAGTATCATCTGGATGTGTGTTTGACTGAGAAGTTCTACATCGTGAGAAGCCTATGACATCTTTAGGTATCATGGAACTCATGGACCTCTCTCATCTTATCGAGATGCCATTCAACATATTTTATAACTATGTTTGGTACATTGTGCCCTTTTGCTTCTTTACCTATTGCATAGTCGATGCTCTAATGACCAGGCAGCTGTTACAAAAATCCGAGTATCCTCTTGTGGGAAGCCATTTCATGCTCGTTCCCAGGTTCATACTTAATCTCCAGTATGCGTTGAAGGCGACCGAATTGGCTAAACAGGGCTATGATAAGGTAGGCAATGGTGGTGGTTGCTTGTATTAAAGATGCTTCCATGCTGACATACACTCCATTGAACAGTACCGAAACTCGGCCTTCCAACTGATGCGCAACGAGGGTCCAGTTGTGATTCTACCGATATCCCTTCTCGATGAGATCAGCCGTCTGCCGTCCAATATCGCCGAGTCGTCAGCAGCACTTGAGCGGGATCTACTGGGCTCTTTTACCGGCACGGATTTAATCCTTGAGAGTAAACTGCACCACTCGATTGTACAACGGAAGTTAACGCCGCGGCTTCGCCTGCTCCTACCACGGATAGAGCAGGCAGCTACTGGAGCTTTTATGAAGTATCTCCCTCACAGCGAGAAGTGGACCGAGTTCCGGCCCTATAAATCGTTGAGTTATGTCTCTGCACGCCTCGCTGCCGAGGCCATCGTGGGCCCGGCATTCTGCGAGAACCCCACTTGGTTGCATGTCGCGATTGAGTACACAGAAGCCCGTAAGCCCGCACTCTGACAACAAGTTTCGTATTTTATTTCGATGCTGTTATCTAAGATAATAAAACCGTGTAGTATTCGAAACCGTGATAATATTACGCACTTTCCCGCCGTGGACACGCTCGGCGCTATGTCAGTTTCTTCCGTCATACTGGAGGGGCTGGCGTCTACTTCGCACGGGAAAGAAGCTTCTGGGACCAAGAATCCAGGAGCTCCTGGATATGAACGATGATGGCAAGTGGGAACCACAGGACGATGAACCAGAGGACCTCAATGTGCTGAGTTGGCTCACCAGCCTTGCCAAAGGTCGCGAACGTAACGCGGACGCCTTAGGGCATGTGCTGGTGCTGGTGGCCCTCGGCGCAGTGCATACGACTCTGCTAGGCATGCTTAACGTGCTGTATGATGTGGTGAACGCCGGGGCGCAACTGCAAAACGAGATCTTGGAAGAGATCACTGATGTCTCCGACCGTGGTTGGCACGATAATGGGAACCCGTACGATGCGTTGGAAAAGCTGGACAGCGTGATGCGTGAATCGCAGCGCTTATCACCACCCGTCACACTGGGGATGAAGCGCCTGTTCAAACAGCCATACACTTTTCAGGATGGCACACATATCCCTGCTGATACATACGCTTGCCTGCCCATATATGCCATCGGGAATGATTTGCCAAACCCGGAGGAATTCGATGGGTTGCGAGCGTACCGGGCCGCTCGCAGCAAGGACAATAATGCGGATTCGGCTGGCGAATATCAATTTTCGTCACCATCACCAAACTATCTCACCTTCGGCTACGGCAAGACGGCCTGCCCAGGACGATTCTTTGCCAGTGTCGTGATCAAGACAGTCATTGTGAAGGCGCTTACCGACTACGAGTTCAAGTTCCTATCAGGCGCTGGGCGTCCGAAGAACATCAGTACGAATGATCTCTTATTTACATCTCCTGCGACTAAAATGCTTGTGCGGCGGAAAAGCAAGGGAAGTTGCCCCTTTTGATTGATTCGCTTCTGCTGCAAAAGGGGTAGGAAAGGGGGGGGCATGCCTGACAGGCGTTGAAAGGCGTAGGTAGTTAAATAAGACTCGAAGGACCAAAGTTTAAGGGGTTCAAAAGACAAGAGTTTCTCGGTGGCTGATCTCCTAATTAAAGAAAATAGCCCCCAGGACAAAAAGAAACCCGACTATTTCAGTAAAACAAGCGATTATGTCAAAACAAAGATTTACAACAATCGCATTCTGCCCCTACAATATTCATGATCGGCAGTGTTATGCTGGAATATTTAAGGACGCCGTGATATATTATTTTCCTCGTTCTATTCTGTCATTAGCAACTCATAATTCGAGCTGTATTTCCTACTTTTCTCGTTACATTCTCTCCTACTGGTTAGGCCTCATTCTTTCCTAGATTCATCGGATCAGTAGACTTTAAACGAAATACTTCTCGACTTATCCACCATGGCTAGTTTCGTTAAGCCAAACCGCCCTCTCACTTGGTTCATCACCGGGGCCTCCTCAGGCTTTGGTGAAGCACTATCCCGCCGCGTCCTTGCCAGCGGCCACACACTGATAGCCACATTCCGCAATCCTTCCCACAACCCGGATCTTGTTGCTGAAATCGAGAAGCACGGGAATGGGAGTAAGTGGCTCGTGCTTGATGTTAATGATCAAAGCAGCGACAAGATTATGTAAGTGTTGCAGCAAATACCTCCTTAGGTACCCCCTATTCTGTCTACGTCCGTCACGGGACGTAAGCTTGACATACGTCTTCTAGTGGCATATAGATACTCTATAAGTTCAATAACTAACACATGATGTTACAGTGAGTCCATAGAAGCGTCCGGGCAGAGAATAGACGTCCTCGTGAACAACGCTGGATGTGCAATCGTAGGGGCCATAGAGGTCCTTACCGAAGAGGAGGTGCGAGCCCAGATGGAGACCGCATACTTCGGCCCCTTAAGACTCACCCGTGCCGTTCTGCCTTACATGCGGAAGCGCAGATACGGCGTAATTGTGAACATTAGTAGCGTAGCTGCGATGGAAGCACATGACGCTTTGGGTGCTTACGCCGGCGCCAAAGCCGCACTTGATGGTATGACAAGGGTCCTCTCGAAGGAAATTGCGCCGTTCGGAATTCGTACCCTGACTGTGTCGCCGGGCACTTTCAATACGAACATTGGCAATAACACAGTCGTCGGCAAAAATCCTCTCCCGGATGACTACAAAGGGTCAGTGACAGACCAGACCATGCAGGTTATCGCTGGCCGCATGTTCCAAGCAAAAGGTGACCCGGAAAAGGCAATGAAGGCTGTCTATGAAGTAGTTGTAGGGGAGGGCATTGGCAAAGGGCACGAAACGGAGCCACTTCTTCCACTGGGCCAGGAAACGGTGGCTCTTGCAAAGACGGCGCAAGATCACATTGCCCATGCTTTGGAAGTCTTTGGTGATGTATGCAATAGCGTCACCCTGGACAAGAAATAGAAGTTGCACATACTTGTAAATAGAGCTATAGTACGAAGTAGGCTGGCACCTATTTCTTCGTTCTATGTTGCTCATCCATAGCTAAGACTTAGTAAAAGATAGCCATAGAGAATACTGATATCTGTTAATATCTGTTATAATTATCATTTTGGTTGGATCGTGAATGGACTATGCCATAATGAAGCATTTGGTTACTTTGAGTAAAAGAATATTGTTACCTTTTGACATGTTAAGTGTTTCTCTCCGTTGTATGAAGATTGGACTATGAATTCAGGGGTAGGCAAACTGTTGTAACAACAAGTAAAAGGAAAGGGGACAAGAAAAGGGGGGCTAAATTGTAATGATCTCTTGGCGATTGGCAAAGATAAGATGTGGATTAGATTACGTCAGATACTGGCCAATTGGCGCGGAACAATCGGGGGCAGAATACCTACCCCAACCCCACTAAAGCTGCGGCACCGCAAATCCATTGAAGAAAGTTGCCAGTAAAGAAGTTTAATCGTTAATCTAATCGGGAATCGGGGAATCAACCGCTGAATGACGCGCCCGGGAGCTTCGACCAATTTTTTTGCCTTTTAGAAGCTTCACCCGTTAAAACAACGAGCTTCAGCCATGCACAGGCGAGTCAAACGATACTGTCGACCCATACACTTTGCTAATTACTTATTGATAATCATGTAGTAGCTCCCAAACATAGTTCCCCTCCCATTATGCGGTCGCAATTGGCCCGGCATGTCTTGCGACGCCTTCTTGCGGGCGACTTACCCGCCTTCTTGCCTCCCACCCTCATACGCTCCCGCCCAACATTCCGCAAATATCCCGTGGGATCCAGAGTCGCAAGAACACAGCAGAGAAGAACTTTTTTCAATTTATTCGAAAAACCCCCCAGGGTACTAAAAGAACTCAGTTCCGAGCCGGGTTACGATGTCTTGCTCAAATTCAATGCCGCAGGGAATAATGTGCGACCGCCTACCCGGGTTGAACTTGTAAAGGCATGGCGAGATCTATTTGCCTACAAGATCCGGCAGGGGAAGGTCGTGAACTCTACACAGGCCTTGTGTGCCCATCGAGCCTTAACATATCTATGCGATCAAATTACTCGCAGTCGGGACGAACAACTCACCGCGGATGATCTCCGAAATGCTAGGGACTGTTTACTCGTACCTCCAAGGGACGACTTCACGAACCATGCTGATTGCTTGACGGCCATTTTCAAGGAGTTGCGCACCAGAAATGCGCAAGTTCCCAAGGACTTTTCGGCTTCACTGCTCTCCTTGTCACAATACGGAAGGGCGCTTGAAGCGAGGGATTCGCTTTTCGAATACCTTGCACAGACGGCCAATAAAGAGAGTGAAAGTACCCGTTTAAGCTATTTTATACCGATTATCCGTGGCCTTGCCAAGGAGGGCCATGAGCAGGAACTTCTGGACCTTGCTGCGCAAGCAAAGAAGGCTGGCGTGGAGTACGATCCAAACTTCCATAACATAATGACCTCTTATTTCGCAGATAAGGATAACATCGGGGAGACCAAGCATTGGTTCAATAAACCTATACACAATAAGCTCCCACCCGCCTCCATGACATTATACAAGGTTCTTCAATTTGCTCTTCGGAACAATGAGAAAGAATGGGCTATGGGCATCTATCAGGACCTCATCTCCAAACTGGAGTCTGGGCCGTTACGTTACAATAAACCGTGTTGGGATACATCTCTCCAATGGGCCGTCTTATTACTCGGCAAAGGAATTGACCATATCGAGCACATGATCAAGGTTGCCCAAGAACACACCCGAGAGAAGCCCAGCTCGCAACCCAATATAGGCACGATAAACAGCCTGGTCAAAGTTGCTATCGACAAGAAAGACCCATATCTGGCTGAACGCTTGATGGCATTGTCCTATAAGTTGGGATTCCAACCGAACTATAAGACTTACATGCTTCAGCTAGAGTACCGTGTCCTGGCTGGTGATCTAAATGGTGCATTTGCGGTCTACCACTTACTCCAAGATCTAGACGTAACAACCAAGGATAGGGCGCTTCCAGTTCTGAACTCCTTCATCCGGGCTCTGTGCGCTGCACCGAGTCCTAACCACGACCGGGTACTCGAAGTTACTAGTTATCTCGAAGAACGGAGCGTAACCCTAGAGCCCGAAACCGTGGTATCGCTCTGCATGGCATTTTTAAAGAACGACGAGAAGTTCGAAGTCATAGACACTCTATCGCTTCACACCTTCCACTACAGCATTAACCAGCGCCAGATGGTCCGGAAAGCGTTTGTGGATTACTGTCTGGATAAGAATTATAGCACAGCCCGAGTCTGGGATGCATACGCACTATTACGTCAGTTCTTCCCAGAGGTGGAGCAGGAGCATCGAGCGGCAATCATGGACGCCTTTTTCGAGAGACGCCGCGCCGATATGGCGACGCATGTGTTCGGCCACATGCGCGCCCACGACAATCCACAGATCCGGCCAGTCCTGGAGACATACGTCCGCTTTTTCGAAGGCATCGGCAAGGCTCCGGACGAAGAGAGTCTGAGGACCGTCCACAACATGTTAAAAGTGGACACGACGATCCAGCCCAATACGCGGCTCTACAACGCAATAATGATCGGGTATACCGCATGCGAGCTAAAATACAAGGCCCTCGATTTCTGGACCGAGATCACGACATCCCCCGAGGGACCCACCTACGCATCGCTCGAGATCGTGTTTCGGACCTACGAAATCACCAGCGACGGCGACAAGCTCGCCGACGAGCTGTGGGCCAAAATAAAAAGAATGGACATCGACGTGCCCCAACACGTCTACATCGCGTACATAGCGACCACAGCGGCGCACGGCCACCTCCGGGAAGCCAAGCTGCTTCTGGAGGACGCCGACAACGTCGTTGGGAAACGACCGAATTTTCACGAGTGAGTTATTATCATCGACCCATGCTTTTCCCGAAAAGAATATATAGTGAACAACATGTGGCTAATAAACATTTCTACCACCTATCTAGTCTTGGCACTGTGTTCAACGCGTTGCCTTCCGATGCAATGAAAAAGGAGTTCGAAGTCTGGGCTGCTGTCGAGTATCCCCGAGAATGGGCGGCTCTCAACAACATGTACGCCAAGCGGAGCAGAGAGGGGCTGGCAGTATTTAAAATCGGTCGGGCATGGAAGGCATGATTGATTTGATGATGGATGCGTCATTGGCATTGGTTGGTACTATCATGAGTAGATGTGATGGGATGGATCTTTGTACAACACTAGGTACCTAGGTATTCATACATGCATCTACATACGTCCGGTGTGTCTGTATATAGTAGGTCTGCCTATATAAGAAGAACAATAAGAGGAGGGGAAAAAGACAACCACGATATGTATGGGGGTGGTGGTGTCGTTACAAAATTTCCCATCCGCTCATCAATCAGTACTTGAGATCCTTCTTGATCGTGGCAATGTTCTGCGCGTAGATGCGGGTGTTCTCCCGGATGAGAAGCTCGGGGTGTCGGTGCACGCTGGGGTGCAGGCCGAGGCCGATGGCACGCCGGATGGCCTTGGCCACCTTGCGCTGGTTCGGCGGCCGCAGGCCCGTGTCGGCGGACCGCTTTATCCGGCCGTGGGGCGTCACGAATTCAGAGATGACGGAGAAGTTCTGTTTGGCATCATTAGTATCTTGTCAATATGTTCCTTTTTTTCTTCTTATGCAAATCTTCCAAAATGAAATAGCATAGGGTAGCTTCAATGGTTCGTGACAAGAAGGGGGAAGGGGGGCAAAAACGCACTCGGTACATGTCGAGCGGGTGCAGCCCCAGCATGTCAACGCGGTCCTTCTGGCGGGCCTGGTTGCGGCGCCACTTGCCCATCTCGGCGGGGCTGAGGTCGTGGGGGGCGTACACGTCGCCGACCTTCCAGCGCCGCGTCATCTGCCGCGAGTACCCCTCGTTCTGGTTGCTCTGCTGCATCTCCTCCAAGATCGTCGGCTGCTGCGCCTGCCGCAGCCGGTCGTAGATGTCCGCGGCCGACTGCGTGGCGTCGCCGCGGTTGTTGAAGTCCCGACGGTCTCGCGAGAAGGAGGGAGGGGAGGTGGGGGAGGGGGAGGAGGACGGCGCGGAGTCCATGTCGAGGAGTTGCGAGGTCATGGAGGGGACGTTTCGGCGGACTAGGCATTGAGGGTGGTGTTAGTGGTGGTGATGGCTTTTCTGTTAGTTTCCAATGGGATTGGCGTGCACAACTGACTCTCAAGACATGGTTTCGTTGTGGATAAGTTGGCGACTTGGGATCTGAAAAGCTTGGAGGGGTTCCGCAACGTGGTTAGAATTGGTATGCGTGGTGGCATCGTGGGCGGTTAGCGGGGTTTGACCAATTTGTGATTGAAGTTGGGAAATTAATCCTGAATTGAGGTTGAGGTTGAGGTTGACGTTGTCGAATAAAAGTTAGTTAATGTCACTGTCAAAGATTAAAAACTCGTTCCATGCTTGGAGTTCTGACCCCTGCCGATGGCCCGATGTATGTACATAGTTACCCCACGTTTAATCAATTTTGCAGGGGTCCAAGCTCCTATCTACGGTGCACCATTAGTGCACATCCGACAAAACTTTATTTTTTATTTTCTAATTTCTAATTCCTAATTTCTAATTCAATTTCAACCAACAGCCATCAATCAATACGCTAATGTACAACTTCAACGCCTTTTATCTCATTCAAATAAATTCGCAAAATTCTCAAACTAGTTGCATCTTTGTTGCCTTAATTGGAAAAACTGATAGATATATGGGGTTTTTTTCTTTTTTTTTTTTTTTCAAATCTTAGACCCTTATATTGATTGATCTTTTCGGCCGCTACTGTAGATGCAACTATCCTGAATTCAATTGAGATGCGGCTCAGGTGGCCCATGCGCGGTACCACATCAAGCTTTCAACCTATTACAACTCATCCAAACAATCTTCAAATCTTGAATTAAGACATTAATCTAGAGATCTCAATTCAAGGATCAGATTGAGCCCGGTCGCACGCTTCTAGCAGCCATATTGCAGAATTTATTCAAGGTTGAACTTGCAGGTGGCCAGGTGTTGAACTTGCAGGTGGCCAGGTGTTGAACTTGCAGGTGCCAGGTGTTGAACTTGCAGGTGCCAGGTGTTGTACTAGAGCCACAAGATACTGCAGATTGGGTGTTGCTCTAAATAACAATCAGCCGGTCTCAGCTCCCAGCTTTGAATCCTAATAACTTTTTGAAGTCTATAGCTGCAAATACGTAACCTAGATCATTTAAAAGCTTATTTAATTCTGAACTGAATGATATAGGTTTGATTGTTGGTTGAAGAATTATGTAAATAGATATGCTGAAGTCTGTAATAACTAGCTTTAATCGGCTGTATGTTGGCTTTGAGGGATATCACGTGCGATCGAGACTGCCAACTTAAATATCTGAATAACTTCTCAACCAGATATCGCACCATAATGCAACCTATATCATTAATTTCAGAATTGCATGTGCTTTCTATTAATATAAGATATATGGTTGTGGCCTCGTATTTTGGAGAGTTATTCAGCTATCAAGCCGACGTGTCGATTTATTAGCCTTCTATTAGCCAGTATAAATATTAACAATACTGTATATACACACTGTATTTTAGTGTATTAATTGATGGTTGCTGGTTGAAATTGAATTAGAAATTAGAAATTAGAAATTGAAAATTGAAAAATAAAGTTTTGTCGGATGTGCACTAATGGTGCACCGTACCTATCGTCTTTTTTAATATGGAGCTAACATGTTTCTTGGATCCCGATAAGAAAAAGAAAAAAAGTTGAGCCTCAATTTTAGAACTTTCACTTCCAGCATTCTAAGAAACTGCATACCTGTCGCAAATCCCTACACAGATAACAGGCACCATGGTTCGCAAACTCAAGCACCACGAGCAGCGCCTGCTCAGGAAAACAGATTTCATTACCTGGAAGCAGGATAACAATCACAGAGATGTATGCAATTCCTGTATTCGGCTGCTGTTCGATTAAGACACTCGCTAACCTTCCATGTGTGCTTCATAGGCGGCTGTGATACGACGGTACATGATCCAAAAGCCAGAAGATTACCACAGATACAACAGAATATGCGGTGTAAGTATTTCCGACAGCAACATTGCGCAACCCCCAATCAAGACCATCAAGCTAACATTCCCATCTTCTCTTCGCGAATAGTCTCTGCGCCAACTCGCCCATCGACTAAGTCTCCTCCCCCCCGACAACGCCACACGGAGGAAACACGAAGAACTACTCCTAAACAAGCTCTACGACATGGGGATCCTGTCGTCCGCCTCCAAGCTTTCCAACGTCGAACACAACGTCACGGTCTCTGCCCTGGCGCGCCGCCGACTACCTGTGGTGATGACGCGCTTGCGCATGGCCGAGACGGTGCAAGCGGCTACGAAGCTCATCGAGCAGGGGCACGTGAGAGTAGGCGTCGAACCTGTCACCGACCCGGCGTTTTTTGTCACCAGGAACATGGAGGACTTTGTGACGTGGGCCGTGGGAAGCAAGATCAAGCGGAACATCATGAAGTACCGCGACAAGCTCGACGATTTCGAGCTGCTATGAGTGGAGTAATTCTAAGCACAGGACTTGGCAGGTTTTCCTCGCCTTGGACGTACTACCTACCCTAAGGTCGATTTGTATATAGCATGGCGTTTTGGGGCTCAAGAAGGGCAGGCAATGGATCGAATTGATCAACAAATAGATGAAAACATGGAAGATAATTCTTGATTTCCATTGAAGAAGAGCACATATTCATGACAACCTCCAGAGTGCTTACTCATCGTAGAATTTCAATCTAACTACAGCTTATGTAATGAATGCAGCGAGTCACGTGCGCAAACTGAATGTCCTTGAGCACGTGCACGCGTTTAAGTTTCGTGAGAGACAAGGGGTGCTTTGACCCCCACGTCACCACCTTCCTTTCTTCAAATCTCGCGGTCCGCGTATTACGATGTCGTCCAACTTCAATGTTCATGTCACCTGATCATTCCATTTCTATCAAGGGCGCAACTCAGTATGAATCGTATGGAGATATATCGGATATATATTAATCGGCACTATGGCTCATCCACAAGATCCTATTACAGTTTCAGACGATGACGTTACAGTGTCATCTGATTCATCACGCAAGCCTGCTGCTATTACAGCGCTTCTCAAACCGGAGAATGCAAAAAAGCGCAAACATGAACCAGAGGTTCTTGATAAGGTTGAATGGAGCGATGAGTCCGAATATGACTATAAGGCGTTCAAAAAGCGCAAGAAGGAGAAGGCAAAGTCGTCCGCTAAAGGCAAAGGGAAAGCCGTCGCGAAGCGTCGAACACGCAAGATTGTCAAATCGGACAAGGTCGGCGCTCGTATGAATGACGATAGTGTGTCGTCTTCTGACTCGGAGTATCTCTCAAAGCTACTCCCTCAGCACATACAAGACCGTCGTAAACAATTTGACCAAAATCGTGAAATCTTGCGCGAAGGCGGACTGCGGCTGCCTCCTGACTATTCAGACATTTACTTTTCTGATAATGATAACCTCGCGGATCTAGAAGAGAAGCCCCAGTTTGATGAGAAGAGTGGAATCAAGCCATCTCGCCCCTATAAGGATGTCGTTCTGGAACATTCAGCTGGTATTATCCCTGCTTCCATCGCCCAGTACCTTCGCGACTACCAAGTTGAAGGGGTCAAATTCCTACATTATCTCTTCGTATATCAGAAGGGCGGTATCCTTGGCGATGATATGGGCCTAGGGAAAACTGTCCAGGTTGCCGCATTCCTCACCGCCGTCTTCGGTAAGACTGGTGATCGTCGAGATGCTAAGAGGATGAGGAAATTTCGAAGAGCAAAGAACGATTGGTATCCCCGCGTTCTTATCATCTGTCCTGGATCATTGATCCGGAACTGGAGGAATGAACTGACTAGGTGGGGATGGTGGGATATCGATCTGTATCATGGCGCGAACAAGGATGACGTCCTGGGCTCCGCACGGGCGGGTAGAATCGAGATTATGATCACTACCTACACCACATATAAAAATAGCTGTGATCAGGTTAACAGGGTACCTTGGGACGTTGTGGTAGCAGATGAATGCCATATGATCAAGGATATCACCGCCGGAGTCACCAAGGCGATGAACCAAGTCAACTCTCTTTGCAGGATCGGTTTAACCGGGACAGCGATCCAAAACAAATACGAGGAGCTCTGGGCACTACTAAACTGGACAAACCCTGGCCAGTTCGGCACACTTGGTGAGTGGAAGAATACCATTTGTAAGCCCTTGACTATCGGTCAATCGCACGATGCTACCATTCATCAACTTAGCGAAGCTCGCAAGACGGCAAAGAAACTTCGTGACAACCTTCTACCTCGATTCTTTCTTCGGCGGATGAAGAGCCTAATCGCACATCAGCTACCCAAGAAGAGCGATAAAGTTGTTTTCTGCCCACTTTCCGATTTACAGCGCGAAGCATACGAAAATTTACTAGATAGTGAGCTCGTCAGCTTTGTACGGAAGGCTTATGATTTTTGCCCTTGCGGGTCGCAAAAAAAGCGAGGATGGTGCTGTTTCAAAGTCAATTCGGATGGAGAGTCTTGGAAATCCCTAGTATTTCCAATTGTCATATCGTTGCAAAAGTTATCGAACCATTTCAATCTTCTTATTCCCCAAACTTCAGACTTGCCAGACAAACACAGGAGAGAACTTCGGTTTCTTCAGGCTGCCATGCCGCAAACCTGGGCAAATCTTTACGCCAATCGAGATTCGCTACTCAGTCTAGCCAATCCCGAATTCTGCGGGAAATGGAAAGTCCTCAAGAAGCTCCTGAAGTTCTGGCACACTGGTGGTGATAAAGTCCTGGTCTTCTCTCATAGCGTGCGACTTTTGAAAATCCTACAACACTTGTTCAATAATACAAGCTACAGCGTCAGCTACCTAGATGGGTCGTTGACTTACGATGATCGACAGCAGGTGGTCGATGATTTTAACTCCGACCCAAACCAATTTGTGTTTCTAATCTCAACCAAAGCTGGCGGAGTCGGGCTCAATATCACATCGGCTAATAAAGTCGTTATAATGGATCCACATTGGAATCCGTCTTACGATCTCCAGGCCCAGGATCGCGCTTATCGGATTGGTCAAGTGCGTGATGTTGATGTTTATCGTCTGATCTCGACGGGTACCATCGAAGAGATTACCTATGCAAGGCAAATTTACAAGCAGCAACAGGCAAATATCGGATACAACGCCTCCAACGAACGCCGGTACTTCAAAGGAGTGCAGCAGGATTCCGACCGAAAGGGAGAGATCTTTGGAATGCAAAATTTGTTGACTTACCATGGTGACCAAGCTATCCTCCGTGATATTGTAAATAAAACAAACGTGGCAGAAGCCAAGGCGGGCGTGAGGCTGATAGATATCGACATGGAGAAGGCAGCAAAAGATATTGAAGAGGATCATCTTGTCAAGAAGGAAGAAGAGGATGACGATACTGGTGGACTCAAGCAGCTTTCCACTCTTCTCACTAGGGATGACAATAAGGACGGTATCTTGAAGCCATCAGGCGCAGGACAACCCAAACATTTCGATCCTATACAGGCAATTCTCGCTTCGGAGGGGGTCGAATACACCCATGAAAACTCAGAAGTCGTTGGCTCGTCAAAAGTGGAGGATGAGCTGTCTCGACAAGCGGAGATGGTTGCGAGCCAAGACGCTGACCCTGCAGCCTTGGCTCTGTTCTTTGATAGCCAGAATGCTTCAGTCCAAAGGTCAATTGAGTACGAGTACAACCCCCCAGAAGACGTCAGACGGCGTCAGTTCTGCACGATGGCGAAGACCTTTAATTTTCCCAACGTGACTGAGTTCGCCCTAGCCGTCGAGAGCATGACCCAAGAGGAACGGAGGAATTGTCTAGAGCTCTTCTATAGGAAGCGTGCTGAAAGATTGAAGAATCTAGGGGAGGTTGGCGAATCAGTTATCGGCAACTTGAAGGCCGAACAGGACACTAAAAATGGTATCAAGGTGAAGGAAGAAAAGATTGAGGAGGATGTGAAGCCCATATCGACAGGTGTCAAGGAAGATGCGATGGATGCTAAGATCAAAGTGGAAGATACCAAGCCTAGCAAGTCACCAGACGTAAAAGTGGAAAGCAGCAACACCCCGCGTGGTGTTGAGACGAAGGTCAAGAAGGAGAACATTCCGGCGAAGCCCATGAGGCCGTCTATGTCTATATGGCTTTCGGACGACGACGAGACGGAGGAGTTGTAACATTTGATTTTTCCCCCTCGTGTTGTTGCCTTACCTATACCCTTCTAGTTCCCCTCCTATTATTATGATACCCATATTTTCTGGTTGGCTCTCGTCTTTCTTTAGCACAAGAAGGCTTTGGTGTTGGTGCATACTGGCAGCGGGTGCATGCATCGAGTGTCAGGGTTTATAATCCAATACTATTGCTGAGTTATGTAGTATTGAATCCGTTTGAAGGAATATTGAGAATAACTACCTACAGGTGCCCATTCAATTCAGAGTACATATGTATGTATAAAATGTCGCACAGACTATGGGGCTAATTATGCACAGGGTGACTGGCCTGAAGCTTCACACCGTTGGCCAATGTTAGTGACCAGCCATTGACGTCCTCAAGCTTTACGGCTGGATCTAAGGTACTGCATCTGGATGCGCCTAGGCAGGGCCTGGCAGGCTAGGGTAAGTCGGCACCTAAGAAACGCTAGTAGCCCCATCTTCAGTGGCATTGCGGGTAAGTGCAGGTCCCGCGTGTTAGCTTCTGCCAGGGGTAAATCGTACCAAAGCCAGGTACCCAAGGTTAGTACCTACCGTCTCGGCAAACGCTTCCCTTTCTACATCGCAAGTTCCATTTGTTTCAAGTCCGTACAGTACAAAAGCATTGTTCATAGTCGGGGACCATATTATGTATTATGTCATTGTCTGCCCAACCTCTTTTTCCTCACGTGTGACAGAAGAAAAGTGAAAAGGACAGAAAAGAAAAGGTTGGGTTCTAACTAGCGTATAGTTATACAGAACATTCCAAACCTGTCATCTTCTGCAACCAGTCCACCCTCTAATTATCCCTAACTTCCAAGGTTAATACCAAGTAACTACTTACAGACGTCATATTCCCTCGACTGTGGGCCTAGTCTTCAAGTCCATTGCCATTTATCTCTTCCCAGGTCCAGAAGAACTCATACTCTCACAATTCATTCAACCTCCATTGTTCAACTAGCAAAACTACCAAACTTTACGACCATGAAGCTATTAATCAAATCTATCCTATTCACAGCGGCCTCCTGCGCAACATTACCGATAAGACAAGACGCTGATGGATGTTGCTTCCAACTCGCCTCTGTAGGAAGGATCAATGAGACGGTGCTAGAGGATCATGTTGGTGATTTGCTTCTAGGAGGTACCTTCCAACAAGGCGGGTTCTGTTTCGACAAGACGAAGAAGACCATCCAAGATGCCCTCCGACACAATTGCTTCATGAGAGCCCCCAATTATCAGTTCGAGTGTTACCAAGGTGCTATTGGCGCTACAGGTTTCGCCATTACCGGACCGAGAGAGGATGGAAATTCTTACCTCACCTACGACGATGGCCCCGGTGTCTTCTTTGCATGCCCCGTCGCTTCTGGCAACAATGAACAATCATACGATATTTACTCAGACAAGACAAACAAGACTGGGTGTTTGTCTGTCTCCTTGGCGCTCGTAGGCGAGACCGCCGCCTGCTCTGCTAGCCGCTCAACTGTCCCGACCAACTCCACGACCGTACAATCAACGCAATTACTAAAGCGTCAAGCATCGTCCCCAACATGCTCTGTGTCTCCGTCAGCACCATCTCTCGCTCCTTACAGAGTGAGACCTGGTAACTCCTCCACCCACGGAATATTCCATGATGAATCAGTGGAAACAATCATTGCTCCGGGCAACAGCACAATATTCGACTACACCATTCCCAAGGACTTCATTCCCGCAGGTTCTGCCTCGGAATCTTCGTTGTGTGCTCTCCAATTCCGCATGCCGGTCTGCACCTCCCTTCCTGTAGGCTACCCCTGTTACGGCTTCAGCGGGTTAGAGCAAGAGGTGCTAGCAAATTCTGGAATGACGTTTCGCCTCATGTCAGAAGACGGCGGCATCAGTGCAGCGTGGAATAGCACACAAGTGCACCAGGTGTTTCCCGGGGACGCTACCATCATCGGCACCTTCGAATGCGGCAGTCTAGCCGGCTCCTACAGTGGTGGCGCCCGCAAGATGAGCTGGGAGGTGAGCAGTGTCCGGAATTTTGCTCTCGAGTTCTTGCAAGCCGGCGTTGGCCGAGACGCAGATTTCAAGGACGGAGTCGGTGTTTGGATTGTGCCTTGCCAGTGATGTATCGCAAGCTATGAAAACGACGAGGAATAAGAAGACAAGAGAACATAAATGGGATGAGATGTTAGAGAGGCTTTCTGGAAGATATACCACGATACCATATTTAGAATTGATGGGTACACACCTACCTACCGTATAAAGAAAGAAGATCGCCAGAGTTGGTCGAATGAGGATGAGACGACGGCGAGGTAATGATAATAATGCTTTCAATGGCGAAAATAGATGGCACATGCTTATCTACATACCTACCTACAGAGGTACTAAAAATAATATGAAATTAATGACAATGGGACTCAGTATTATTAATTGTGATTCATCGATAGTTGGATAGGTAGCGGAAGTTCTTTTGTATGCAGATGGGAGGCTTAAAAACAGAGGGGATAGGGGGGAAAGCAGGTCGTAGGGTCTTATACAGGAGGCAAAGGAACGGCACAGTGATCTTACCTAATAACCTTATACCGTACCTAGTCACGAGCAAAGGGCGCGCATCGCCTCCGGAGTAAATGCGCCTCACTCCGTATTAAGGTTGCTTTGAACTATATAGGTTATGGGATTGCCGTCCGTTCGGTTTTTCGATGCGATGCTATAGGTACCACACCCCTGTCACAATCCGGATCCGAATCCTGTCAGCTATCAAAATAAATCTGCCCCCTATTCTGGTCCTTTTTTCTTCGCCATATAATAGCCTTGGAACCGACAAAGGTTCCAACAAAGGTGAAGGTCGCCTCTGTATATATTAGGTAGGTATCTATATAGTAACCTCGTGACTACCTAGTACTATCTAGGATAGGATAGGAACATAGTAGATACAGTGTTTTGTTCAGCTCTTGAATAGTATTCAATGCACGTGGAAGGAACTTTCGTGTGATCTTCACAGGTTAGGCTAGGATACTAAGTTAACCTAGGTACCTAGATACCAACCTACCTAGAGGGAAAGTTGATGAACCATCTATGTATGTAGTACCAGGAGCTAAAATCGATACCTATTTTATATCCAGAAAATTGCAGTGGCACCCCGTTCTAAACTCCTCAAAATGCTTTAAGCACCTAGCTTAGGTAGGTATATACATAGTATGCAGGTACCTCGGCGCTGGGCTTTTCGTACTGCTACTTTTCTTGGCTGCGGTTGATGTTCTCCATGTAAGAGTCTTGGTCCCCTTAACCGAGCTGGTGCCGATGCTGCTCCCACCCCCCTCTTCCTCATAATCATAGCCGCCGTCCAGGCCTAACTCGTGGAATTTCTTTTCGACTACATCGCCGGGAATTAGTAACTCGTTTTCTTCTTGAGAGAGAAAGTGTGTGTAGGAGAACTACTTACGCCACGCCAAGGCGTCCTTGTCGATCCCAGTAAGGTTCCCAAACGTGTCGCCCTTCCCGGGGTCCACGATGTCTATCACGCTCTTCACGGGCGGGTGAATCGTGGTCGTGGTAGCGATACTTTTTGTCTCGCATGCGTCGGGGATTGGGCTGTAGCTTTGCTGTTAGATGGGAAGGCCTACAGCGAGACCAGAAAAAGAAAAGACTTCGGGGGGTGTGGGGGGAAGAGCACAGCTAGATTTACTTACGTTGGTTTTATGGTTTTGGTTGTGGTCTTCCACTTCCCATCGCTCGCTGAGCTGTAGGATATCGCAACAGAGGTGGTTAAGGTTGCTGTCTTAGAACACACCTGTCTTGATACTGATGCAATACTCGTCTTGGATGGATCGGTCTTTGTAGGCTCTGATTTATCCGTTGGCTTGTCATTGTCATGCGTATTATCTGTATCATTATTCTTGTTGTCATTTTTGTCGTCGTTCTTGTTCTTGTCCTTGCCGTCATTCTTGTTGTTTTTGTCTGTATCTGAATGTGGGCCTGGCTTGGGGACAGGAATATTGGGAGGGATTATAGGGAAAGGGATTACTGGAGGGAGTGATAGATCCGGCAACCCTGGGCGATTTGCCCATGAAGTGTCTTCACAGGGGCATTCACAAATGCACATCTCCTCTTCGCTCACGAATCCGTCAACTGATCGACTAGTAAAGGCCAAAAAAAGAAAAGTAATCGTTGCTTTAATTGTCGACATGATATTGCTCCTTAAACTGAGTTAGATGAGAGGAGAGTCTTAGTTGAACAATAAAGGCGCTGATGAAGACTGCTATACGTGCTTCCAGATCATTTAAATATTATGAAGGATTATTCTATGCGAAAACCTCACAACTGCACCTTGCAAAAGAAAAGTACAGGCCTACTACATACGTAAGTTAGCAGGTAATAGGTTCTTACCTAGCACTTTAGGTTATATATATAGAAATCTGGGAAAAGAACCACGAAAACGATTTCAACGCAACTGACATTGAGGAATTCCGGCTACGTGATGTAATCCTGCGGCGTGCGCGATGTTTCTAATTCTAGTCCATTCTACGGCGCTGTGTTTAATAGATAGTTAACCTGGAGGTGGTTTGTATAGGTACCTAGGTACTTAGAGGTATCAACTATGCCTCCAGAGCTCTCTCCCATGCTATATTACGCTCTGAAAGGCACCATGTATATCAACTATCTCGTTTGCCTTCTTCCACCAATGCTTATCACTATAATCCTACCTTGGGTAGCCACGGACATATCTGCTATCCTCCTCCTTTTCATAATCTGCCCTCCTGTGGTTTTGGAGTGCCCCTGAAAAATGCTCAGTTTTCGACTCCTCATAGGTTTAGCCGTGTGCCTAAGTACCATAAGGGCAGAAAGTAATTTCGAGAAGTTCTGGGCAAACCTGGACACTACTGGAGATGATCTCTGCGGCTGTAAGAGCCACATGAATGACTTGAAAGAAGGCTGGACCATTGCTGGAAAGGTTTAGTCCTCCCCATCCCTTAGATCCCCAATAGGTACTTTACAAGAAATGAAACTAAATACTGTAAAGATGGTTGCCGCAGCTGTGAAAGGGCTAAACGCTGCTAAAGAGAAGAGACCAACGCACAAAAGACAAGGATCAAAGCTGGAAAGGTTTGAATGGGATAGGCAAGCAAAATTTCTGTTCAGTAAGTCATCTCACACCCACAGTTTGAACCCGATTCTACTAACCTCGCACCTTTCACGCCAGCCACGGCAGCGATAGCAATAGATGTGGCCAGTGGAGGGCCAGTTCCTCTAGCAGAACAGCCCGCACGGCGGGGGGAGCACATAGTACAACCGGGGGAGTTAATCCCATGGAACGTTCTAACAACCAGACTGATACTGAATGGCAGAGTGCCGTCGATCAACGAGAGGAACATGTATAACTTTGAGCTAGTAAGTATATCGCTAAGACCTTTTACTCTCCCCTCTTTTCTTTTGTGGAATCTCACGATTGTCTTTCCAGATCCTCGCTCGGCTTCAACACATTTTCCAGACTGATACGTACCACAAACCTACAACTTTTCATTGTGGAGATAGTTGCTGGAAGCGCTACGGACCCGATGATGCTGATGTAATAGACCCTACCAAAAAGGTCAAGGACGTATTAAACCCGGTGACAAATAAATTGGATTTCGACCACGGGTATGTGCTATACCATCTATAGTCACTGAACACCTGCCAGGTTGGGTACCTGGGCAGGTACCGGCACTTAAATAAAGAGAGTACTGACATTGTACTTTTCAACAGTTACTACTATTTCAACGGTATCAGGATAAGAGCTTCAGAGCTGGGAGAACTGGGACTATGTCGCGGCACAAGCTCGCACATGATAAAAACAGCCGGCTACGAGTTGCTAACGGTTTGCGACCGTGCATGGAAGGAACTGAAAGTAAAGACTCTGCCGGAAGAGGCTAGAGAGGGGGATTCGCTTGACGACCGCAAGTACTTTACTCTTGCCCGCGTCTTGATACACGAACTGTATGTCATGCCAATTCAGCCCAAAGTGGACTATCGTAACTTTTGATGTCATATTAAACTTGTCTGTAACTCTAGTGTTCATCTGGTAACCGATATGATCGACCGTGAGTACAGTTTCCCAACCCCCTTATTCCCCCTATCCCCAAATACAATAATAATTAACTTGGCTCACAGCACCTGCATGTCAAAGCGATGGCCAACCACTTTTCCACTACAACCCTATCCGCGACGGGGCCGGTAATACTATTCCGGCTACAGTTCCCAGCACCACTGTAGGATCCTGGATCCCCGAGAACGAAAAGGTAAAATGGAGAGACGCAAGCGGCGTCGAAGTATGGGCTCAGAGAGTTGAGACTATAACGTATGGGATGGAATTAGTAGCCAATCTGGCCAAGAACCACCCGATACTGAGCGTCTGGGCTCCTGATACCTGGGCTCTATACTGTGAAGCAATGTACGGAATTCTCTATCTACCTACCTGAATATTATAATCGCGAAACTTACGAAGAGTAAATTGATTGACAATATCTCAGGTATTATTCTAACTGGGATTGGTCGTCGGGGAAAGCAGTGAGGCCTAAGTTTTAGGTCCGAAGACCTCCCAGAAAAGGGGTATCTTATATGGATAATAGAAGCCCCCTAATGTCGGTCAGGCGTGATTGTTTTGCGTTACTTGGATCTTTGGCTTGGTCTCAGAATAGTACCTAATTATTATTCGTTTATAGATGAGAGCATTTACGTTAGATTCAGAGTTACAGTTCGCCCTATCTTGTAATCTAGTTTGTCGAACTTGACAGTGAGCTGTGTACGGAGACTTCTGATAGCAGTAAACCCCCGTTGACCGATCTCATGCTACTTAATCGTAACTGATAGTTATCTTCAGATAACCGGGCGTGTAGGTAGGTAGATGAGGAAATCGAAGTGCTCTGTGAATTGTGAAAGAAAGTCATTGATACAATATTATACCCCTTAATAGCTCGTAGGTCTGGCTACGGACTGCGCAACAGCAAACGTATCAAAGCAGGAAAATGCAATGAATATTAGCGTGATAGAGGCGTTAGACTAGCTATCTCATTTGCTGCAGTTTAGATGCGATGCTTTTGTCCTTCGCATCTGCAATTGTCTGGAGTTGTATTTGCTGACCACCGGCTTTCGAATCCCAATCCCAATTCCAATGAAAGCTATAGCTGTATCTTCCTTCCTTCATTCCTTCCTTTCCAAGACTCCAAGTAACCCCCGCATCTTTCATACAATCTGTACCCGATCGAGATGACGTGCATGGAGATCGTGCAATGAGCAATGTGCTTTTTGTACCTACCTATGCAGGCAATACCTCATACGTAGAGCATACTACTTACTAGGTAGGTAGGTGGCTCAAAGATAGACCTAGTAGAAGCAGGCCCCAGAGAGTCGAGTCATCGTAAGAATCCCCATTTCAGGTTGGTCAACCATACCTACCTACCTTCCCACCTACGCATCCTAAGCTAAGACTCAACTTCAAGATCCTTATAGCCACCTACTCAACAACTCAGCACAGCTACCCACACTCAAAATGCCATCCCATACCGAAAAGCTCAAAGCAGACTACGCAGCCCACGCGCGCGCCTACAACGACTCCTACCCCAGCTTCCCCAACGCGATCCTCGAATCGCAACTCGTCGTCTCCGCCCTCGGCCCCTGCCCCGGCCTCACCGTCCTCGACCTCGGCGGCGGCAACGGCGCGCGCGCCCTCCAAGCGCTCGACCTCGGCGCCGCCTTCGTCGACGTCGTGGACCTCTCCCCCGCCATGCTGCTCGCGGGCCAGCAGACCGCCACGCACCACGGCAGCGACCGCGTCGCCTGGCACGAGGCCGACGTGTCCCAGCCGCTGACGCACCTGCCACTGCGCGGCGGGGAGGGGGGATACGACCTGGTCATGGCGAACTGGGTGCTGGACCACGCGGGCAGCCTCGCTGAGCTCGAGGGCATGTGGCGCAACATCGGGCTGTACCTCGCGCCCGGCGGGCGGTTCATCGGCGTGCGCGGCGGCGACCCGTACGCGGCGTGCACGGCGGAGGGGAAGTACGGCATGCGGTACAAAGACTGGCGCGACGTGCCGGGGGGCGGGGGCGTGTTCTTCCGGTACGAGGTCGCGTGCGCGGACCCGCCGATCGACGTCGCGGCGTCGTCGTGGGAGGTCATGTACTCCGGGTCGACGGAGATGATGGAGAAGGTGGGCATTGGGGAGGTGGAGACGGAGCCGTATGAGAACGCGGAGATTGTCAGGGGGGACGCGGGGTTTTGGAAGCTGTTTTTGGAGAATCCGTCGATGGTGGTTATGAAGGGGAGGAAGTTGGTGGGGGAGTGAAGGGGGTTAAGAGAGGTGGGGATAGAGGGATGTTATTAAATAATATCCGGCCTTTTCCATTCGATTAGTTCTAGTTAATGAGGTGAATATTGTTGAGTTGCAATTGTTTTTAGGCCTGATGTATGGAATAAGAGAAAGGGGTGGTTGTGCTATCTATATATTTAACCGATAGGAGACTCCCCCTATTTTCGAAGAAACAGTATTTAAGGATCCTACTTATCTAATTGCTCTGGGCAAGAAAGTCCACGGATAGCTCATACGTTCTACACACGCCAAGTATCCTTCCATGACCAATTATAAATAACCCTTTACATATTGTCGGGATCTCAAACCCCCCCCCCCCCCCCCCCCCCTTTTTGAACTTAGGTGGCATATTTACATGTTTTTGCACCAAGAACCATAAATATACCGTCTTAGTGATAATGCGACTATATTCACCCTAGAATAGATGATATTTCAGGTAGAAATTAGACGAAAATCCCCCCTGAATGTTCAGATACCGTGATAGACCAGATAGTCGGTCCTAAGGGGCATTGCCACATCCATCCCCCCCCCCCCCCCCCCCCAAAAAAAAAAGTATCACATTATTATATCCAGGTTTCCTTCCGGTTTCCTTCAAGTTCAGGTACCCTACCCAGTACTCGTTTGCCTTCCCCACATCAAAACCAGCGGTGCCATCGTCATCAACACCACAAAGCCCGTGCACAGGTTGCCAGCCTCGGGCATCCGCCTACCCTACCAACCAGCAGCCCTGACACCCCGAACTAAAACTCATATAGCCCCGTTACCACTCCATCAATCAGACGCCTTGCCACTGCGGCTGCACCATTAGAGGCCAATGGTGCAGTGGCAAGTGAGTAAGGGGCCTCTCCCTGAGGTGTCGCCCAAGGCTTGGGGTTCGGGATGAGGGAGGGCAGGCAGAACTAGCCTCATCTGCTCAGGTAAATTGTCACTGGATCGGATTCCAAAGTCTTCTTTTTATTCTTCTATTTTTTCCTTTTTAATCAACATCGCTTCGTCATTGGCACCCTTCTCTCTAACAATAACACACGCTCTCCATTCTCCTAGATAGGTATATATGTGCTTTGCGTACTCTTTATCCCATACCCAAACACACGAGTTCCTCTACCTAGGTACAGAAACACCAAACCCCAACATCCATTTATAATCATTATCCTCACGAATACCGTGAATAAACTTTCTTTCCCGCCACCCACGTCTCCCGTACCCTCAAAGACCGCAAGTCCTCCACATCCAAGGCCCCCCCTAGCGGCGCATCCAAGACCACCCAATCGGCGTACGCCCCCGGTTTGATAACGCCCGTCTTCCCCTTCGTGAACCCTCCGTACGCAGGCCCCTCGGTGAAGCCGCGGATGGCCTGGTCCAATGTGAGAGCTTCGTCCGTGTGCCAGCCCTCGGGGGCGTCGTCGGTGCCTTTGCCGGTATGCGGGCTTCGTCTGGTGATGGCGGCGTACATGCCTTGGAATGGGTTAGGTGGCTCCACGGGGAAGTCGCTTCCTAGGACCGGGCGGACATCTAACAAAGAGCGCATTCTGTATGCTTCTTTTGCGGTACGTTCTTTTCCGAGTCTCTTCTCCGCATACGCCATGTCGCTGGTGGCATGGGTTGGCTGGATAGAAGGAATGATTCCGACGGCGTGGATACGAGCCTGATCGTCTGGATGTATTATTTGCGCGTGTTCGATGCGGAAGCGGTGATAAGACTGGCAGACTGAAAGGGGCTCGTTGGGGCAGAGTAGTCTGAGAGCGGAAACAATGGCATCCACGGCATAACGGTTCGCCAGGTCACCAATTGCATGTATATTTACCTGGAAGCCTTGCTTGGCCCATGCAACTGTATCATACACTAATTCGGATGCGTTGACGAGTAACGATCCGGATGTTTCTGGGCGATCCGTATAGGGGTCAAGCAAAGCGCTACCCCAGCTTCCTAGAGCACCATCTAAAGGGGGTCAGATAAGTCCAATACATATAAGTCGTAATCGAGCTTACCAGCAAAGAGCTTCACACTCTTTATCATCAAAGAACCGTCTGGGCTTGTGTATCGTTCAACCTCGGATGGACAGAACGTGTTCCGCTCGTAACATTCAACCATAGCATAGACTCGCACCGTCCAGTCTTCCGTTCCCGCTAGAGTCTTGTACAGGTCTAGATTTTCAGGAGTGACTCCAGCATCGTGAATTCCTACAATTCCTACTTCGTTCAACTTCCCCATGGCGCTCTTCACAAACCGCTGTTTCTTTTTACTGTCCGGCTTGGGCCATAGCGCCATCACCATGTCCATGGCATTGTCGCAGAACACGCCCATCCCAGGGTCTCTGACGACCTCGCCGCCGGGGACATCAGGGATGGGCTCCGGAAGGAGGTTCAGGACCGCTTGGGATACCCAGATACAATGTACATCCACTCTATCGAGCATGATGTACAAATCCTTGAGTTCCTCGTCCGCAGCCAAGTCGCTCTTCAAATCAGTTAGCTTGTACTCCAGCAAGGATAAGAAGAAGCGTTCCCTCAAGAAGACAGGCACCGCCCATCCATCCAATCAACCAACCAACCAACTGATAAACTCACAGCAGCCGGCATCCTCCCCAGCGCCATCTGATCCCAACCCACCCCCCTCACCCACCCCTCGCTACTCCCCACACCCGGGTTCTTCTGCACGTAGTCTCTCACCCTCTCCCTCGCCTCATCCATTGAGCTCGCTCCAAACAAATCCACGGAGTTCAAAAACTCGCCATACTGCAGCAGATGTCCATGACCGTCCCACAGGCCCGGGATAGCGAAGCCCGGCCCTCCTTCCTCCGGCTCCTCCCATCCCTCCGCTTCCATGATCGTTGCGGCCTCGGGAGAAAAGGAAGGAGAAGCAAAGGCCTTGGTGAACTTTCCCGTCGACAGCGACACGGTGAAGCAGTCTATGGCGCGCGCCCCCGTGAGCTGCGTGTTCGTGCGCACCAGCTGGTAGCAGTGGGTTTCTGTGGCCCCGAAGAGGCCCGCGCCCTGCCGAAGCTTGATGATCCCGGCCACGGCGATGATGAGGCCCGAGAGGTACATCCATGCGGTGTCGCGGCCGGGGTGGCGGAGGAGGAAGCGCCATTCCAGAGGACGGCGATTCTCACGATGCCGTTCCATGTCTTTTTGTTGTGTCCGGTACCAGGTCTGCGAAGGCGAGAGCTAAGCTACTCAAGTAAGATTAGTAGATAAAAGCGTATCAGAAATCTCTCCTTTCAAACGCACAATCGGGGGTCTAATGAAAGATTAAAAACAAACGCTGAAGGGGAAATGGTTGATGCAGCAAACTTGGGTATCTGGATTAATATGCATGATAAGAAGAAGTCCAACTCCCATTGATTAATTAACCTGACTAAGTGCATATCAGAAAAGGCAGTGCCAAGCATCATTAGGCGCATTTTGTCCGTCCCGACCTACAGGGGAAAGTAGGACAAAAAATCAGACCTCAATGCCCCTATAACTGTTAAGGGGCTTTAGCGTAACGACCCCTGAACTACCCCTATATCACCCCCATCTCACCACCACCACCACCACCACCACCACCACCACCACTACCACTACCACCACTACCCCAACACTACCCAACCCGCCCACTCCTCCCCCTTTCACGTTCTCAGAACCCTATAAACCGGATAAACATCCCCCACCTGCACGGGGATCAAATTGAACCTAACAAACGAATCCACATTCTCCGGCTCCAGCGCCACAAACGCCAGCGCCGCGTTCTTCTGCGCCGCATCGACCCGGAAGCTACCGGGCGGCAGCACCACCTCGCCCCCTTCTGCCTCCGTCGTCACCGTGACCTGCACCGCACCCTCGTAGTACGCCCCCGCCACTTCCGCCCCCGTTATGCGCAGCTTCTCCACCGGGCCCCTGTACCCCCCCTCCCCCAGCGTCTCGACCACGACCCCGGCGTCGCGTAAGCGTTCCGCGAGCGGAGACCACGCGGGGGGGATGAGGTACGCGGCCGGGCGGGCGCGGGTGAGGTTTGCGGTGGTGGGGGTGGTGCTGAGGAAGGTGACGGGGACGGAGGCGAGGGCGCCGGAGGTGCGGTTGATGAAGGTGATGTTGCGGGTGGTGGGGTTGGGATAGTCGGTTAGCACGATGGGGGAGGTGCTGGTGATGAATTTTTGGATGGCGGTTTCGACCTGAGTTTGTGGAGGGTTAGTGGTTGGTTTAGGTAGGTAGATCTATTCATTCACAGCGAGGAAAGGGGGGGGGGGGGGGGGGGGGAGAGGGAAAAAAGGGGGCAACAAAAACGCACCGTCTCATAAACCTCCTCCACATTCTCCCTCGCAATATCCAGCACCGCCCCCACCATCGTCACCGCCGTCGCCACCCTCCTCCTCCAATGCTGATCCGCCAACCTTATCCCCCTCACCTCACAAAGAATCGTCACCGACTGCGCCAACGCATAGCTGTTCCTCCCCGCCTTCGCATCACTCCCCGCCTCCCGCAACACCATCATCTCCCCTCCCCCCTCATCCACTTCCCCCGCGCCCGTGAAGTACGGCTCCCACCGAAACCCCCTCTCCCCCAACCTCTCCCCAACACCCGCCGCAAACAGCGCCTCGGAGATATTCCGAATGTCCTCGTGCGTGTTTAGATTCTTCCCCGCCGCGACCAGCGCATCCATGCCGTGCTTGTACCCTCCCCCCGGCCCAACCGGCCTCGTCCCCGTGAACTCGTGCACGTCGACCGTCACGTGCGGCGCAAAGGAACTCAGCAGCCGCTTGTGGCCCCGCGACATCGCGCGCGCGAGCTTCGTGTGCTCGCGGTTCGGGTCGAGGTTGCTCGCGAGCGCGCGCTGGAAGTACGCGACGCCGTCGGGGTTGTAGCGCGGGAGCAGCGCGACGTCGAGGCGCGACAGCAGGTGCGCCGTGTAGGCCTGGTCGGCGTCGAGCTTGCCCAGCAGCGCGAGGACGGCCTGGTCGCCGGCCGGCTCGTTGCCGTGGACGCCGCCTTGGATCCAGACGCGCAGTTTGGGCTTCTGTGTCAGTACCCCTTCTTGCGGAGTAGCGGAAGGAGTGGAAGGAGAAGAAGGGGATGATAGGAGCACGTAGGGGAACGCGCGGCCCTCTTCCGAGGTGAAGTCCGCAGTTTTGTATTGTGCCCAGTCGTTTCGCTCCGCGATGGAACGGAGGAAGGAGTCTAGTTCATGATCAATGAGTTGAACGATGGTAACAAAATCAGAATAGAAAAATTTAATATGACCTAAGCAGGTATGTACGGTACTCACCAAGCGTAGCATCATCAGTCGGGCCATCAGTGCCATTGGCAAAGCCAGGGAGCACCGTCTCCGGGCTCACAAACGCCGGCGAGAGCAGCGTTTCATTGGTATCCGGGAAGTTGGCCGCCACAAGCTCCTCGTCCTTTTCGACTGGAGCGTGGTTTTCGCCATATTGAACAGCGCGCACTAAATGGATACATAACGATAAAAGCGTCCCGAATTGCACAAATTGGCTTCTAGTAAACAGTGCCATCTTGAAAGAATGCAACCATCTCTCCCCTGAAAAATAGGGTGGCGGGGGCTGTCCAACAATTTGTTCCTCGACGAGAGTTGGTAAATATACGCAGTATGGATATCCGATTGAATGGCTCTTATTGGTAGTTCGCATCTCGCCATTTTGTTCTTGCCATGGCGCAAAGCCCCATATTCATCTGGGCATGTACCACTCAAAGAATGATGGAGATGCCAAGGACGTATACTACTAGTAGTAGTAATTCTAGCAACCCATTGAGGCAGGTCGTAGTATCTTGGTAGAAGACACGAGGGGAAATATACCTACTTAGGTGATATTCTTGCGATAAACTTCTTACGAATATTTACACTTTCAACAGACACCTGAAGAAACAATTCACAATGAATAAAATGTATTAAGGCATATATCAACGCCTATTATTCGCCCAGAATCTATAACCAGTTCGTGTACAATTACCCCGAACCTAAGTACATATACGAGCGTACTAAGCAATAAAGTACTATTTAATGCTGAACGCCGGATATACTTTCTGCAGTAGGTCACTCTTCATCACCGTCACTGCCATGAAACAGAACTGTCTATCATATCGCGTTGCCTCATCTCGTCTCATTTCATCCCTCGTCAACACATGGCCACTTGACCATACGCGTGCGTGGCCGTCTCCCGAGGAGCATAGCCGATCGTTAGTCTCCTGCGTCAACATTCGTAACCTCAAGTTCAATGCCATGGCTCTCATGACATCCATGCAAGTCAACTAATCTTCTAGCCGATACAGGACGAAATGTCCCAGAGAGCAAATGCAACTCTAGACTAGTCTCTCATTCCTCATTCCGCCATCATGCTGGAGACTGTTGGCTTCTAGGTTAGTTCATTCATGAACTTATTAAAGGGAAATATTTCTTCTTGTCGAGTATTTCTAGTTGATTTAATTGGCCTTCACCCATGTAGCATATTTCAGTTGCTACCAGACCACGAAGCGCCACTACGCGCTCCATTTCTGCTTGACATCGCTCGGTGCGCGGGTTCTTTTCTGCTTTGTCGATGCCGGTACTGGCGGAGTGCCAGACGTTCCGGCTGTCATTGGCGGCGAAGATCTATTCGAGTGTCGCGTGACATCTTCCGCAGCGTTGGTTGTGTTCTCCTTATTCGAACCCATACTCTCAGTGCGGTAAATGGAGGCGGCAGCGCTCAAACTAGGTCTAGAGTTATATAGGCCCGAGTTTCTCGGTAGTCTGCTCTTACCAGATTTCGAGCCACTGCCCTGTGTATCAGTACTTGGTCGACGGGGAGAGCTAACCGGTATCCCAGAGCCACTGTCTCTACTTCTGGGCCGGTAAGATAAAGCGTCGCGCTCTTGCGCAAGTGACACGGCTGAACGCCTTGGGCTTGCTGCCACCTCTATGTATGCTGATGACTGGAACGGCCGAGTAGCGTGTGTCGGAGTGATGGGTATGGACACAGATGATTGAAGAGAAGGTGGAGTATATATACGCCTTCCAGATCGCGGGCGGCTAGACGCCGTTGATGAGGATGGTGGCGCTGAGAACGGTATTGCGAATTGATCGGAACTGCCATCTATATGAGACATGACGAGGTCCGACGCCAGATTTCGGACGAGAACGGCAGAATCTTTCTCGGCAAGGACTCTGATGCCTTCGAACAATAACCGTAGCTGCTTGTCTTTATGATTGTTGAAGTAATCGATCTGTCGAGCCTCGAGGATGTTTCGAACAAGCCGAAGGAGGTTCAATCGGACAACAGCCTTCTTATGCGATAGTTTTTGCGCAATGCCATTATACATCTCTGGTTTCGCTAGGGTTGCGGCTAACGCCGGGGAGAGTCGAAGGAGTTTCAACAATGGTTCTAAGAGGTTCAGATCAAAGGCGTTTATTTTCTGAGCATTGAAACACGATATGATGGCATCTGTGAAATTGCCATTTAGGAGGTGCTCCTCCACCTTTGCGGTCTCCTCTTGTAGCCTAATGAACCAATCAGCAAACCAAAAACGAAAAGAAAAAGGAGGAAGACGGGCAAAATACTCACCAGACGAAGATGGCATCCAGCGCAGTGACCTGCCAGTATTGGTCTGCTAAGAGCGAGACGTAGAAACCGAGACCTTTATTTTGCCACAAGAATCGACGTCCTTTGCTTCCCGAATGAGCCATGTCACAAAGGATGGGGAGGGCAAACTCCTTTGGAGGTCTCTCTGTGTTCATAATTTTCATGAGAAGTGGGATAATTCCATTGATAGCGGCATATTCTTGGCGGTCTTTGCTCAAACGGCAAAGGTTGAACATCGTATTGAGTACTTGGTTGGAAATCTCACGAAAATGGGGATGTTCCTTTTTCATGCTACTATTGAGCAGTTCAATGAGGAGGTCTATCGCATCTGCAGAGTGAAGGGCGTCGAGGGTGGTTGACAGCATCGAAATGTTTTTAATGAACTTCAGCATTGTGATTTGATGTGCGGGAGTCATTCGCCGGAGGTCTTTCAGAACGCCTACCCAAATGTTAGTTTGAACCAACACCAAGTGTAGGTAAATATAAAGATCGGCTCACTCTTCAATACTTGTCGGTCAGCCACCATCTCTTTCACATAATTCTCAGCTTGTGAGAATAAATAGAAGATGTTGACAATGCGGCCCTCGATCAATTCCGTCAACTCATTCTCAACGTCTTCGTCCAGGACGCGGTGGAGGACAAGAGCTAGAGGATCGAGAATTTTGCTTCTTGAAAATATTCGGCAGAAATCATTCTTCGGGGTAGGGCCCTAGCATTCACGTCAGTCACAGCACGTTTATTAAGGGATTCTTCACAAGATACCTGAAGTTCAAAGACGTTCCAGATACCATTCACGCCGATGAGTACTAGGTCTCTTGCACTGTCATAGTCTTCGTCTAAAAACTCGACAAGAACATTCAAACCACCAGCGCTGACGAACATCTGTAGTGTCAGTGTTGAGGTTTGGTACATCTGTCTGACAAAAGCCGCGGCCTCAAGTCTTATTTCATTTGAGAATTGTCGAGCTGCGAACTTGGTAATAATGGGGATACCACCGACGAAACATAAGTTTTCTTGGATCTCCACATCATCGAGAATGATCTATGAAGTGGTCAGTTATGGAAATGCCCACATGAAAAGCATTGTAACGTACCGTATTAACGACCTGCAGTAGCTGCAAGATCATTTGGTGTCGGCTTTTGACCGTACAAGGCTCCAATAATTCGAGGATGGGAAGTAATCCATGAGCGCTGATGATAAGATTCTTGACTTCAGTATTCTCCCAGAGCAGGCCAAGCTACACTCTGTTGTCAGCAATATGGGACAGTGGGGTGTAAAGTAATGGCAACTCACCAGATCCTCTGAAAGTTCGAGGAGTTTGTCATCGCCCTCAGTCCACTTGAGTGACCGAACCAACTCTTCAATCTTCTCGGCAAGCCGTGCATGGCGATCACGCGCAATGTTCGCTTCTAGATCCATCTCGTCCCAATCTGGGTCCATTGAAGCGAATGGGTCGTCTTCGTCTTCATCATCTCCGAGCCAGGAATTGTTAGACAGCCGAGATAGAACCATGAGATTTCCGTCTTCTGACCCTCGGTCGCTCTCTTCTTTCTCTGCTAGGTTATCGCCCAGTCCAAATATGTCAGAGAAGTCCTCGTCTTCTTCGTCCTCAGCAAACTTTTGAATCTCAATAGATGATTTCGACCTTTGTAGTGGCCGGTCAGGAAGAGCTGACGGTCTCGCTGATGGTTGTCTTCTTATGCTTCCTGTCACGGGCGACTGCATAGACCTTGGTAAACTGGTCAAATCTGACGGATGGAAAAGTTGGGGTGTATCAGGCTACGATCATGATGGTCAGTAAAATCTTGATACTCGGTGAGAATTCATTGAAAATTAGCATACCTTTTTGTTCAAGCCTAATCGTTGGCTGAAAACACTATCGTTATCATCAAAAAGGTCAGAGTAGTCCTCCACTGATTGTTCTCTAAATGCCACATCAGGCCGTGATGGTAACTCAAACCTGTTGCCAAGCTGAATCTTGGTTTGTGATTTTTGTCGCCGGTGAGCGCTTCCTGATCTCTTGCGCGGTGATAATCTTGATGTTTGCAGCTTTGGTTCAACTGTCTTGTCGGGTTTTGGTGCGATGTTCCAATTAGGTCGGATCGTCTTTTCTTGAGGATCTTCGTCTTGAACTGGTTGCAGCTTTTTTATCGTTAAAAGCTCGCTATCTAGATCATTGCCCCAACTAGCAGAAATGTCCCGCGAATTATCGATGGACGCGAATGCTTTCAAACGATCAGCTGAGAGCATGCCGCCGAAGTGATCCTGGGGTTTGACATGAGGAAGTCTTAAGGCGCTTGGTGAGATTGCAGTTGCAAAATCGTCATCCCAATTATCATCATCTATAGAATAAAACGTTAGTACGAAGAAAGCCACTAGTCTTTTATAAGTTTAAAAGGTCATGCATGAGGATACTTACCTGCAAGTTCGGGAGACCGAAAATCCTCGGCTGTGGGTCTGGGTTTTCCCAGTGCGAAAGGACCTTTGGCTGGGGTTGGCATATTGGACCTAGATGGTTCTTGAGATGCAAATCGTGAAGGTTGATAACCGTAGTGTAAAGGAAATGCAGAATCTGAGCCTCCTGAAGCCCTGAGGTTAGTATCAGAAGAGGTTAAGGCTCTGTTCCACTGTTTGACTTCCTCAACAGCTTGACTGAAATTTCCTGGTGCTTTGGCTACCGGCGCATCACTTCGTCGACATCCTACAATCCAATTGTGTTTTAATAATTTCCTTGCAGATACTCGTAGATTGGGATCTTTTTGGAAACATTGTATGAGAAAGTCGCGCGCAGCCTAGACCAACAGTTAGCCCAAGCTCCTACAAAATGGAGTCTACAGTGCGTGAAGGGATTTACGGACCGAAGATACACCTTCGGGCAACGGTGGATGGTCATCGTTAACGATAGCGAATAAAGCGGGCATTGCTTGTAGGTGGTGATATGGAGGTTTGCCAGCTAATAACTCAATAACGGTGCAGCCCAAGCTCCAAATATCAGATGCCGGCGTGGCACCAGACAGTTCAATTATCTCAGGCGCCATCCAATATGGAGTTCCTACAACCTGTGCCTCCTTGTCGGGGCCGGCAAGAGTGCTGGTCGACACACCAAAATCTGCAAGCTTTACCTTGCCATCCTTGGTTGTCAAGATATTCGCTCCTTTGATATCTCTATGTATTACACCCTGATCGTGTAGATACTGAAGACCTTGGAGAACTTGGGTCATGTAGACACCAACTAGGTTTTCTGGAAATTTCCCGTATGCCTTGCATATCGAATGTAGGGAGCCATTCTCGCAGTACCTAAGGTATGTCAACATCCCCAGCACAATGCAAAACGTGGAGAAAAAGCCTACTCGAGAATGATGTTGAGACAGTCTACTGATTTCACAAACCCGATATACTTGACGATATTGTCGTGCTATGCGAGGTTAGATCTTAGTAATTCACAGGCATAATCCTACTAGTAAGGGTTGTGGTTTTCCATACATTTAGGTTCTTCAAGAGATCGATTTCGGCCTATAATTGTATTAGTGTCATGGATTGCTCTTCCCTAGAATGTGATGATGCAGTCGTACCTCAATCATTCGTAGCTCGCTCTTAGGCAAATTCACTAATTTGATCTGCTTGACGGCAACAGCTTCACCAGTGCCCCAATGAATTGCTTTGTAGACAGCGCCGAACGCTCCTTTACCAAGACATTCTCCTAGACGCTATAACAATCCGAGTCAGCTAAGTTTTAAAGCACCTCTATGTGGCCGGGTCGTTTGGCCGGATGTGAGGTTTACACATACATAGTCCCTTAGGCCCGGATCTTGCAAAGCTCTATCACGGCCGCCATTCTCCCTCCTCGGAGTATTTGGTGTTCTCTCATGCCTGGCTGCTACGGCCGCAGCTTTCCCGTTTGCACCGTTGTACTGTCGCTCGCCCGACGACGAACCATTAGAGGAATGGGGCATATGCCCCGAGCTGGGCGCCATACTAGCTGGATGATCTGCACGTTGTCCGGTTTCCCTAGGCTCGAGGGGGGGAGGCCGTCTCTCGCGTCGAGGGCGGCTTCGGACCAAGGCTGCTTCACATTCCAGCTAAAAGTTCGTCTTCGGACACAGCTTCAAGGTAAACGAAGGAGGGAAAAAGATGTGTGAGCCGTCAATCGTCGGGAAAGGGCTCGGATACGGACGGTAGTTTGCTCGGGTGACTGACAGCGTAGGCTGGGTAGGTACAAATTAGATACCTAATATGTAATTCAGGTACTTTGAAAGAAAGACTACAAGGTCAGTATTAGGTCACATAAGGTCAGGGTAGGTGAGGTTAACAGGTCAACTGGTCAACTGGTCAAAGTGGTTTAGATCTGGTGGTCAAGAAAGTTCGTCGGCCACAAAAAATGTACCAAAATCTTGCTTCCCAATTTCGTAAAGTCCCAATGTGGGGGGAGGGAGAAGAACGTGCGGAACGTGCGTTGCGGAAGAAGAATTTAGGAATTTAGGCGCCCAATTACAAGTTAAGGTTACTGTTCCTGGAATGTTTCAAGAAGCTCCAGCTTAATTGGGCCCCTGTACCCCAGCAGAGACCCACGTATTGATACTACCCTTGATACTACTAGACCTGCATAATTTGATTGTTGCCCGTGCCGGGCTAGGGACTATTCAGGCACGCCCGCACCCCTCGGCACGCTATTTTACTGGCCCAACACCGATTTGGTAACATCCTAGGAAGTCGCTAGTTTGCTGCAGCCAGCCTAGAACTACATCCATGAACGTTGAATGTATCGTGATGTACTTGCTACTACTGATAAGTCTACTATCATAGGTGTCTCACAGTTCACTTGACGATGTATCATATACATCATTAGTGCCTACATATCCAGGTACATATGTAGGTATAATATCCATGTGTTATCACATACAAACAGTACTAGGTAGCAGCTCCAACGTTCAAATACTACATGTACAGCAGTTGTAAAGGTTCCAAAATACATCACACTTGAAGAACGAAAAACTTCATTGAAAATCACGGATTAAACGTGCAACTATAGGTCAATTCAGTTGCGAAAGGTCCAAAACCAAAACCACTATGGAGTGGTCTGCGCCCCTCACTACCTATGTAGGTACCCTGGGCATGTACCCTAGGTTGGCTTGAACATGTTCAGCCTCTCCAGTCTTCTGGTCTAGGCTTCTTCATAGGCTCAGTAGAGACCATAAGCCACGCAGAAGAGTTCGATAATGTACAAGTGGATGCAACCGAAAACGCCCCTTGCCTGGAAGGCATCGCCGATCGCTTTCGTGTCCGCGACTCACTCCCCAATTTTCCATAAAATCCGATTCCGAGCCCGAGAAACGAATACCATAAAACTCCTTTTCCTTTCCGTAACGCAACCGAGACAGTCCACCACTGCACTTGAAATTGAATCTGTTGTTCTCTCACGGTGAATCCCACGGGTAACCCTGGTTGAGAGTGCGGTAAAGGCCGGCCTCTGCCCACCATTCGTCAGGAATATCTTCTCGAGAAGCAAGACGGCTGACAATTCGATGCATACCAGTTAGCCACTCAGGGTCTTCGGGCACCCTGCCAGCGGCAACATCTTCTTGGGCCATCACATCTACCAAGGGCCGTTCAATTATGACTGCAGGTCGTATCGAGCTCCCCTCACGATGAACTTGGCCATCGTCACTACCTTGGGCAGGACCATCCGCTTCATCATCCGGGTCGCAAGGGGGCTCTGTTTCGTTGCCTGGGGTCGTGATTGGGGTGCTTGAAGAACGGGGTACGGCGTTCCGTGATGCTGTGGCGGAAGCACTAGTTGATGCAAAAGAGGAGCCGAGGCTAGGTGGCTGGTGATCAGGCGTAACGGTCGTTTGCAACGTATCCCATATTCCAACTGCATCAGGGCTCAGGCTACGATCACGGTCACCCAATCCATCTAATCCATCGTGGTCAGCTGGGCCTGGTTGTATTGGTGTTTCTCTCTCTAAGCGGAACACTGGGCGGCGACGGGCAGCGTCAAAATGACGACGATATTCCGTAAGCGCATCATATATATCCTGATGAACGTTCGGATTAGAGCGATGACGCGGCAAAGATGGCGGCATGAGATTTACCTGTGATGCGCGCCGTCGAACATCTCCCTGACGTCTACCTCGATTCCGAACAACATCAATACGTGAATCATCACCTTGGCGGTCAGACTCGAGGAGGTGTCGAAGAAGACGATTGGATCCGATATATTCATTACGCGCAACTTGCTCTCGGGCTTCTTGTTCCTCGGGTGTCAGAACTCGATCTGTTGAATCTTGCCAACCAGCAATGCCAAGACTAGCCCAGAAGGCTTGAACTTCGGGTTCTGGGGTCAGAGTAGGAGGTGCAACAGCTTCTGTGCGGTCAATAGATCTAGGAGTAAATCTAGGAAACGGCAAGCTAGAAGAGTTGGAACCAGAATCGCGTGACGATGTAAGCATGCGCAGGCGCTGCTCGCGAATTTCACGGATCTGACGGCGTCGGCCAGAGGCAGTAGACGAGCGCGGCGACGGTGGACGACGAATCGGGGATCGGGCTGTTGCGGGATTCGCCGTCGATTTGGTGGGCGATTTCGAACGAACATCCGATTCAACGGGTTCTTTCCACAACCTGGTGATGCGAAACGAGAATATTAGTGAACCGTATTTATAAATATAACAGTGGGATGAATGGTCAAATGGAAGTAAAGCAAATGAAAATGATCAACATCAATCATGGCAACTTCGTAAGCACCAATTGCGACAAAGTATGATCATGATCAAAAGTGCAATAAAAGGTGCAGTGCAAACGCGTCACAGGGATGAACTTACGGGCGACCCATTTTGGAATTGGTCTGATGCGCGTAGCCGCGCCGATAGAGCAATAGAAAACGGAGGGCAATTTGATGATAAAAATGAGGGATGAGGGAACGTCACGGGTATGAGACGGATGAGAAGACGGCGGGACGGGCGAAGGTCCGTCGCGTTATCGACAAGCCCAATACGTAACGTGGATGGGACCTGGTAGGTACAATACCTAATGTAGGTAGGTATCCTGGGTAGCAATAGGTATAAGAAAAGAAAAAGAATGTAGTTGGGAAATTAAAGAAATGCAAAGATGCAATAAAAGAAATGGGAAATAATAAAAAGAAGCTTAGGCGACGTGGAATGAATAGAATATGAATGGTGCGCGACGATGCACAATGCTTAAAAAGCGTAGGTGCTTAAAAAGCGTAGGTAGTAGTTAATGGTCGCGCAAGATTGGATTCCAGTGCCTTCAATGTTGTGTGTGTGTGTGTGGTCTTTGTTATGTAGAAAGAAAACAACGATGACACTAGCAGGTAGGTCAGAAGGGTACCTAGGGTAGGTAGGGATGATGATTAAGGAAAATGGATGGATGGGGAAAGGGAAAAAAAAATGACCAGGTTGGAGGCTGATGTCGGTTTGATCTGGTTCAATGTTTGTTCAAGTAATGGTGAAAAAAGAGACGGGACTGCGACAGAAAAGGTAACTACGCGTTGATTATATGTGGCCTGTGCGCTAGTTCATGCAGAAGATCTAATCTTTGCGGGACTAAATACTTAGGTACATACTAACATCACGCCCGAATTTATTTTTAAAATTGTCCTAAATAGGCATAGTCGCTGGGCACTTTTCAAATCATCCTAAACGGGCTTAGCCACTTTTCAATAAGTATCAATGTATAGGCTGACAGTCACTCATTGTGATACAGCATTGAAGATTTGAACTTAAACTTACACACATAAAATCCATAGTTAAATCCATAAATCATATTTTATAACTTGATCTCTTCACCTTATATCTCTCATCGTCCACATGATACTGATTTACTATACCATATGACTCATAACCCCATTCCCATATGATTTTTATTATACTATAATCATACTATAATCAATCTAAGGGGCCAAATACCTATGGCACCTGAAAATCTAACAATATGGTGAATCTAGGGTTAGCACGCATTACTGCTCTACTCAAGCAGACACCACAGACATGGAATGCTATCCATGTTGCTGGAACAAATGGCAAGGGCTCAATATGTGCCTATTTGACTACTATGCTCCGTGCCAATAAGATATCATGTGGCAGATTCACCTCTCCTCATCTTATTGAACCCCGAGATTGCATCTTCATCAATGATAGTATTGTGTCCGAAAACAAGTTCCGCCATTTTCAAGGCTTGGTTAAGAAGAGGAACGAGGAACAAAGTCTTGGTGCCAGCGAGTTTGAGCTGCTCACAGCCACAGCTTTTGAGATATTTCAATCGGAGGAAATCGAGGTTGGTATAATCGAGGTCGGGCTAGGAGGAGCCCTCGACGCAACGAATGCGCTGAAACGTAAGTGCGTTACAGTCATTAGCAAGATTGGTCTGGATCATCAATCGTTTCTGGGCAATACCATTGAGGAAATCGCTGTTCAGAAAGCCGGCATCATGCGGAAGGGGGTGCCTTGTGTTGTGGACAGCAGCAACCCGAAATCTGTATTGGATGTTATGCAGAGGCATGCTGAGGAAACGGGCAACGACATTCACTTCACAAATTACGAAACAAATACACTTGTAGAGAAGCTGCGAGACAATCTTGAACCACATGAGTGTCAGAATCTTGCATGCACATATGACGCTTTCCAGCTTGCCTATCCTCAACAAGCTAGTTCCATTAATATTCTGGCTTCCGCCGTGCAAAATATGGTATGGCCTGGAAGATTGCAATGGCTAAGCATTGAAAAAATTACGGGTAGGAAAGACAATATTCTACTGGACGGAGCTCACAATCCTCAGTCTGCAGAAGTGCTCTCAGCCTTTGTTAAAAAGCATCTGCGATCCTCAAGTAAACCTATCACTTGGGTCATTGCTGCCACTCTGGGAAAGGACATATCAGAGATGCTGAAGTTGCTGCTACATGATGGCGATTCAGTAGCAACAGTCGAGTTCGGTCCGGTCGACCAGATGCCGTGGGTCAATCCAAACAAGTCAGGGGCCATACTTGACACTATCAGAAACTGTGAAATTGCCCTCTCATCAGAATTCGACGCGTCTACGGACGTGAGGTCAGCGCTTAGTTGGGCGAGTAAGCTTGCTAATGAAGGACCTCTTGTTATTGCAGGAAGTCTTTATCTAGTATCTGACATCTTCAAACTACTCAAATAAAGGCAAATGCAGCATCTATGATAATAGATACTAGAAACATCCCTTCAGGTTACACCTAGTTGTCCCTTCACGCACATGAAATGTTGGACATGCTTTAATCGGGGTATAATCGGGTATAATATTCATGTACAGTGGGTAAATGCGATAACCAAAGAAGTAATTACTACCCGTTAGTTGCATGCTAGGTTTGCATCTTGCAAGTTGCAAGGTGTGCTACTATCATTTCAAGGTTTACAGTAGCATATACAGTTGTACCTACAGTTGATCTTCGACATCCAAGTACCTAGTACACTACTATTCAAAAACTCGCGATGTCCTCAAAAACACCGAAGCCCGAACACTTGGTAATCGTATGCTGCCACGGCGTCTGGGTTGGTGGTCCAGCGCGGGGTCACGATGAGAATGAGTGGCTCATTGCCAATTTCCAAAAGGGCGAGACACCAACTTTTATCGAGCACATTAAAGCCGGACTTCGCGTGATGGCAGAAGATGATAGAGCGGAGTTGTTCTTTTCTGGGTGAGTGCTACATTGTAACGATCGCCTATGAACAGGTTACTACTACTACGACCGACTACGAGTTCACGGAATAGCTTAGGCATAGGTACAACTAGTCATGTCCCACGTTGATTACTAGTTCCAGGCTCCTTGAGCTTTGCATGCATACATCAATCAAAAGACAATACTGACTCCAGCTCTAGTGGCCCCACAAGACCCGAAACCCGAATAACAGAATCACAGAGCTATGCTAAGTTAGCCAGAGACAACGACTGGTTTGGAATCGTGCCCGCCACTGCCGCGGGGCGAATTCACGTCGAGCTCAAGGCGCTGGACTCTTATTACAATGTTCTATTTTCGGTCCTCGACTTCTGGGATGTCTTTGAAGGTTGGCCGAGGAAGATCACCATAGTCAGCCACGCCTTCAAGCGTGAGCGGCTGGTCGATTGCCATTGTGCCGCTATCGGGTTTCCGTTAGATCGGGTCGATTTCGTCGGTATAGACCCCCCGGGAATGATCGACGGGACCAACGAGGCTGTCATCAAAGGTATTACGGAAGCGATTGCACAGTGGGAAGAGGATCCCCATGGCAGAGGTGAGCTTCTGGCTGAGAAGAGGAGGAAGAGAAACCCGTGGGGGATAAGCCAGACTATCTTTTGGGACGAGGGGCGTTTAAGTCGCAGTGGTGTACGGTTGGGATTCCACGAAACAGGGGAGGCATATCTTCTTGATGGACATCCTCAACCATGGTCCCGATGTCATAACTTATAAGCCACCATGTTGAATTGAAGACAATATTTAGAATCAGATCTTAGAAGATGCGGCGTTCTTCTCGCCGTCGGCTAGAGCTATACTAGAGAGGATAAACTTCACAGCATCATCCCTCATTTCAGTATTGAACACATGCCCAGCACCAGGGTAAACATTGTCTTCCACGTAGATGCCACCATCCTTATACCACGTGCTGGCGGCGTCCTTGAAGAATCCGAGAAACGGCGCACTAGCGACATAGGGAACAAGCTTATCCTTTCCACCAGAAAGGACCTGGAATCTCTTCCCCGAGATCTTACTGTCAAGTAAGGGCCGTAGCCTTTCCTGTTCTGCAGCTGAGATGGGCGAGACTATCGGGTTAGTACCAAATAATAAGCCTTTTGGGTCATATTTTTTGCACGTGGCGACTAATGCGTTCGGGAAGTCCTTGCTTCCCAAGAACGATGCGCCGTTATCTTGGGTTGAGTAAGTCTGAAGCCTCGATAAACGCGCGCGGTCCTTCAATAAACCTAAAGACTGTCAGCACCACGCCCATGATATTTTCCTCCTGATGGGTTGCTCTTATCTCCTTACGACATCAAGAGGTTTGAGACTCACCCATATAATCAGTACACCCGATCACCATAACACCAGCCGTGACTCTCGGCTCCGCAAACATGAGCTGCCAAGCACTATGCCCACCGAGACTAACACCAAGCACTAGATTGTGGTCGATGTGCCTGGGATTGCCGTCAGGCATGATGCCAGGACCGTCTCCAGCGCCAAACAGATAGCCTTCTATCGCGTCGAGCAGGTGTGTCGTATCCACAACCATACCCGTGACAGTCCCTAGCATATCCTGCGCGCTATTGGCCTCGAGAATTAGCAATTTACCTATACTTATTGAACGCAGACATTCCTCAACGTCAAATAACTATCCCCTCTCCTATTTCAAACCAGCCAAAAAAAAAAAAAAAAAGAGAGAGAGAGAGAAAAGGATCGAGCATACTGCGTCTTATTCCCACTCCTCCACGCCTCGTTCGCCAGCGGCTCCACGAGCCTCGACCCATGATTCCGCTGATCGAACGCGACCGCGATCAACCCTCGCCGCGCATCCCCCCCACCACTCGAGGCAGCCTGGTAGTACGCAGCGAGCGCCTGGTTCGCGATGTCCGCCATGTCCTCCTTGGCGCACAGCCGCGGGTGGTGCAGCCACAGGCACGAGACCTTGCACGCGGAATTGGTGTGCGCCAGCTCCGCGAGCCCGTAGACGTCGACTTTGAGGCCGGCGATCACGAGGGTCTCGCGCGAGACGCGCGGGCTGGGGCTGGAGCTCCCGTGCTGCGCTAGTGGGTTTAGCGTCGCTGCCATCGTGTCGTTGTTTAAGTTCAGTTTTGTAAAGACCGGTAGCTTAGTAGGTATTGTATAGATAATGTAGGTAGTAGAGACGTATTAGGTCATCGCATCTTGACCGGCTTTGGCTTAGTAAGCCTCGGCTGTGGAAAGTCCGATTTTCATTTACTCGGAGTATCCACAGCGGGGCTTAACGTTAGCAGGCTGTATGTAGTACAGAGCAAGCAGTGAAACTTGAAGTTATGTAATCATTGAATGTTGATTCAAGTTCTACTATGAACATCCTACTAACTATACAACTTGGTAGTCTATCCATATTCATCCTCGCCCTATATACAGGACAATTTCATAGATTCCTAGAATATCATCAATCATCCAGGATCAGTCCAAGCTCAGGAGCTGTTCTCTTCAGCCTCCATCGCATCGATTATCTCCTTCCACTTGGCCCACTCAGCATCACCGCCCGGTAGTCCACCATGTAGCGGCAACCTAGTACCATCTCGGTCGCCCAGGTTTCGTAACCTACTAACAGCTTCTTTGATACCCACAGTTCCAGTCTGCACGATCAACTCTTCCATAGAGCTGACCTTGAATTGTAATAGCCGGCGCCTAGCTACCTCTTCGTCCGTAGGCTGGTTCTTGAGGGACAGCTCGAATAGGCGTACTACGGTGCGAGGGAAGAAACCCGCACACCCGTCAATAGCACCTACAACCCCCACACTCACAACCGGTAGCAACTGCTGACCTAGACCGGAGAAGGTGGCGAATGCTGAATGGTCAATCGCCGGATTGGATGCAATCTGCGTATGATATGAGACGTCGCCGTGTGAGAGCTTGCATCCTACTATGTTGGGGTGCTTAGCCAAGGTGACGAACGTCGATGGCACAACCTTCACGTTGTTTGAGACGCCTGGGTAGTGGTATCTACGCACGACCGAAAATTCCGCGGTTAGTTACATTGTCAAATTGTCCGGTAAGTCCTTGTGCTGAGGATTGACTTACATCATAATTGGTATAGGGCTTAGATCAGCTACAGCCGAGTACCACCGAATGATGCCTTCCTGTGTGCTGGCTCCGGCGAAGTATCCAGGGACTAGACATAAGCCATATTGTGCGCCGGCTTCCTTTGCACCTTTGAGCTGCTCAACTGTCTCCTCGATGTTCTGCGTCGCGGTGCCGGCAATGATGGGATAATCCTTGAAGCCTGCCTTCTCTAGCGCCTGTCTAACTCCTGAGAGGACCTCGGATCGCTCCTTGTTCGTCAAGTGAATAGCCTCGCCTGTGCTACCCAGAATAACCAGCCCTTTGATGCCTGCCTTTGCTAGATATAACGAGTGCGCGACCTGAGTATCAATATCTACAGGTGCTGCAACGGGATTGTAATTCGCCGCTTTTCTGCCTACGAAGAAGGTCGGGACCGGCACGTATATGCCAGGGGCTGGTGGAGCGGTTGCCATGGTTGATTCTGTACGTATTTTCCCCCTCAAGAAAGCTCGTCAATTTTGTTCTTTAATTTGTAACAATTTTTTGTTGATATAAAGTCCTTAATGTAGTTTCCTTTGTGTTACCTTTTCTTTCCTCCCCTTCTTATACCAATTATCGGAACAGACATTACCTAGTACCGATTCTCTTTAGTAGTACAGATCGGACGCTTCACGCGGGGTTATTACTACATAGTGCTGCGATGATGCTTCCGGTAATTCGGTAAATTGCGGAGCGGTCGGGATCTCGGGCGAGCGAAGGGCGATTCCATATCGAATATCCCCAGTCGAATATGCCCATGGGTGGAATTAATTGAGCCCCATTGTGACCGGCCCCGAACATATAATGCCGTCTTAGCCAGTGCTCGTGTTGGAATGTTGATCTCCAGGTGTCAAGTGACAATTAGATCCTCATCTAGGACTTAACTAACAGTCAACAGTCATGCCTTTTTTTAGGCAGCCAGACCGAGTTCTTGGCTCGCCTGCTGATTGGTTATGGGGGCATTACTCACCTGAAATTCCTGAATCCTTCACTTGTACCGAAAACCACCACACCAGCATCTACTTGAACCTAAACGTTGATTTCTAACCAAGAAAAATGTCCAATAACCATTTTCTAGAAGGTTTATAACTATAAACAGCAAACGCTGTCTACCTGTTGATATCCCAATAGTCCCCACGCCGAGTTTCTCATCTTCTCTTCCTTGGATGACCCAATAAGACACGCCCATTCCACCCCTGTTACCCCTTTTTGTGATGTGTCGAAGCATCCATCGATTTGCAAGTTATTTTCACTTACACGTATCGCATTAGCTGCGCCTTGTTATGAGGAACCTCAATTTCACTGTAAACCTGTCCATAGTATTTTCACTATAAAATAAATAGCTGCCTACCTAGGTAGGTTTCTCAGCTTGAAATTTATTCTGGCCAAATTTTACAAGATCTGTCCTATTGCCGCTACGTCTTGAACTAACCAAACAATCGACAATTCGTTCCACCTACTTATAGTATTTAATATCCCTTTTACACTAACGTTTCAACAACACAACTACACCATGACAGGAATGCCTATCAAGATGTCCTACTCGTTCAAGGACGTGGCCATTCCGGACGACTTTCTCAAAACGGACCCGCCTGATGCGGAGCCCATCACCTTCAAGCAAATCGACTTCCGCAACTCCGTGCTCAAGGAGTTCGCCGGCTGTTACGCCGTGGTGCTGGACCACGTGCTCAGCCCCTCCGAGTGCGCCCAGCTCCTCGAGCTCGCCGAGGCCAGCGTGTCAGACGGTAACCGCAACAAGGTGACGGGGTCCCCGTGGGCGCGCGCCCTCGTCAACGCGGGCGGCGGCTACGAGGTCGAGGTGCCTGACTACCGCAACAGCGACCGCATCATCTGGGACCAGCAGGAGATCATGAAGCGCCTGTGGGCGCGGCTCGTGCAGGTGCCGCAGATTTCGGAGACGCTGCTCCAGGCACCGGGCGGCTGGGAGTTCAACCGCGTGAATGAGCGCATGCGCTTCCTCAAGTACGGGCCCGGCGAGTTCTTCAGGCCCCACTGCGACTCGGCGTACTCGGAGGTCAGCGACGACGGGCACGCTTACATGAGCCACTACACGCTCCACCTGTACCTGAACGACTCCAAGCAGGAGGTCGGCGACGAGGCGCAGCTGGTCGGGGGCGCGACGTCCTTCTTGTCGTCAAATCAGCAGCGCAAGATGGATGTCGATCCGAAAGCGGGAAGGGTGCTCATCTTTCAGCACAGGAGGCTGTATCATTCGGGGGATGATGTGAGGGAGGGGATCAAGTACACGATGAGGACGGATATCATGTATAGGCAGCCGGGCGCGCAGTTCTTTTCTTAGAGGTTAGCTGTGATTGTTTGTGGGTACGCAGTATCGACGCTTGATATATACTCTAAGGTCCCTGTCTTCTAAATATGTAGCTAGGTAGATTGTTCCAAGGTTGATAAACAAAATAATTTTATCGCCATAATCCATGCCTCGCCATCAAATCTCATCACCTAAGTACCTAACGTTAGGTAGGTATGCTCCCATCATTCGTAGAGGTACGTCTACCTAGGTTAGGTACCTACCCGCCCATGTTAACTCCCACCACCCAACCTACACCAACTTTGGCAGAATCAAGGCCATATCTCCCTAATCGCCTTAATAACCTTACAATTCGCCTTATGCCCCAGCTCCGTCCACCCACGCACCTGGCACTCCTTGCCACAGTACGCCGCCGCGCCACACCCCGTACACCGCAACAGCGCCCCCTTTCCCCCTTCTCCCTCCCCCTCCTCCTCCTCCTCACCCCCCTTCCCACACGCCGCACACCTCCCCTTCCCCTTCTCCTCCGCAGCAGCAGCAGCAAGCACAGCCCCCAACTCAACCACCCTCTCCAAACCCCCGGGCAAAACCCTCACCCCCGCCGCCTTCCCCTCGGCCACCCTCACTACGTCCTTCTTCCCCTCGCGCCCGCGGTCGACGCGCACCGCGTCGGGGATGACGAGGGTGTGTCCCTTTTTGAGGCGTGGCGAGGAGGAGGAGGGGGGCAGGCCGCGGTGGTCGCCGTCGGCGAAGGTGATGGCGAAGTCGGTGGCGGAGCGGTCGGTGGCGATGACGGTGGGCTTGGTGATGGTCATGTCTTGCTTGATTTGTGCGAGGAGGAAGTGGGTTGGTGTTGGGGATGGGGATTGGGGGGAGGTGGTGGTGGGGAGTTCGTGGAAGGTGGGGAAGAGGGTGGGGTTGGTGAATATGGGCATTTTGGGTGGTTTTGCTTTTTTTTTTTTTTTTTTTTTTGGCTTTTTTTCCTTCGTTGGCTTGGCCTGGCGTTTATAGTTGGCGTTTGGAGTATTGTGTTATTATATGTTAGGTATGTAAGTCGATGCCTTCTGGCCCAGGCTACTTTTAGGTAGGTAGGCTAGGTAGGTAGGTAAGCCTACTTGCTTGTGCTAAGCTATAGCCGAGCTGTGAAAGTGGGGGGAAGGCGATAGGTAAGGTGTGATTAGAGTACCTAGGTAATATGATAGTACCTAGTATTATGATAGAATGGCCGCGGTCAATAAATTTAGCTTAGTATACTCCTATCTATCTACCAGCGATATATGCAGCTGAGATATGTATCATATATGTGATAGTTGACAAGTCGTGTGAAAATTGAGGCTAGTAAAAAGTCCAGAGCATCCATGAAAACATGCGGGTGGGGTGGGGCCACACTGCTGGAAGGGATTGGCTGAGGCTTGCTTCAGGGGCTGAATAGGGGAACAACCACTTCGTAGTGTTAACATTCCTTTTTATATGGAGGTATACCTTTTATTATCACTGATATGTATAAGCAAAGGTGAAAACCACTTCAATAGCATCATATCACATCACATCGCCGATTGTCAACAGCTGCCTGATACTGATGCAAGGCTAGTACGTAACTATCTTGTGTTATCGTTTTCACTACTTTGTGAAGATGTTCTTCAATGGCTTGGTAGTGTGATCGCCCAAGTTTATAGAAATGCTTTTTATTCACCGGGCCTAAGGCTATGCGCCGATTGGAGGATAGTATAGAATCTTTAGGAAATGTTGGCTGTGGGAGCGTGTGCTTGACAAAAGGAATATTGTGACACTCATAAATCGGTTGTTGAAGATGTACTCTGAACAGCGATGACATGATCGGGCTCTTCTATAAAGCCGAAGCTCTGGCTCTTGCCAGTCTTTAAGGAACCTGCTGGATATTCCTATTCTTCCAGATACTTCTTTCTGTCTTGTTACTTTGCTCTGTTTGATCTGTAATCCAACATGTCGTCTAAAGGCAATAGCATCTTCAACTTCGGAGCAGAAGTCACCGAGACCGCCCTGCTCCCGCACCTCACATCCACCACCACGCTCCGAGCTCTGAGCGACGCCGACATCGATTTCCACACCATCCTTGCCATTAGCGTGCTCGGCAACCACTTCGCCGTCGAGAGCACCCTCGCAAGCACAGTGCGCCCGCACCTCATCTCCAAGACAGAGTCTGCCCAGCAGCTCCAGTCCGAGATGGTCTCCAACCTGAGTATCGGGTGGGGTCACGCCCGGCTGGCGGTTGAGCTCTCGCACACTCAAGCCGGCGTCAACGCACTTTTGCTCATCGGCGCCCTCGCGACTGGCTGCACGTATTCAGACGCGGCCAAGTGCCTATCCGAGCTCCTCTGGCTCCACGGGTACAAGGCCATGACGCTGCCCAAAGACGCCGTGGTGCGGGTGGTCGGGCACCTGGCCCCTACCGTGAGGGACCTTGGATTCGTAGATGTATTGTCCGAGGTTACGACCACTGCGGTGCGGGCGATCAATGGGATGGAGGGTCCCAATAGGGAAGAAGTCTACACCCGTCTTACGAAATGTGGCGATGCAGTAGAAGTCGCTACCGCTGTCCAGCAGCTGATGTTCGCTGCGAAGAATCACGAGAGTGTCTGCGTGACGACTCAGATGAGGGGGGCTTGGTTTGCCGCGTTTGCAAGCGATTTTCTTGGGATGTCCGTTGACCTACGTCTTGATGGCGTGGCAATCTGGGGGTGTGGGGGGAACAATGGCGCAGCGTTCTTCGAGCTGGGCGAGCAAGATGCCCAAAAGTATTCTGCTGCCCAGTCAGTCTCGGGGCGTAGCTTGCTTTTCAAGCTCTCCAGTGCAGGTGCATGCCCCTCGATATCAGTTGATCACTTCATAGAGGATGCATTTAGCTCGTTGATGTCCCGCGAGCCTAGACTCACTCCTGAGCTGCAGGCGGCGATTGGACGGGCGATAGCCTCGCTCTCTCTTGGCATTTTTAATTGCTGCCCCCTTTCCACCCATTTCATCATTTCTCACGAGACCTCCATGATTAGGGAATCTCGCTCCATTAAAGAACTCGAGAAGACCCTCAAGGCGTTCAGACTTGATACTTCCATACTCTCCTCCAAGAGTCCGTTATGGTGGAGAAATTTCAATCCCTTGAAAGCTCTCCAGAGTAGTTGTCTTTCTGCCGCCAATTCGCCATTCAGGTTGAAAGGAATGTGCGTCGAGTTGAAATCAATTTGCGGAATGCATAAAGATGAGCCTTGGATGGATGGCGATCTTTGGCCTCTCGACCGGATATATACCAATGCAGGTCCGAATCAGATTCCTGGGGGATGTTTATGCAGCTATGTTAGCAGCATCATTGTTGGCTTCACGGCATCTGTGATTGCCCTTGTACAGGTGCACTTCGATCCCACGCATCTCAGGATTCACGAAGACGTTCTCGTAGGGAGGCTACAATCACCGCTGTTCGAGAGCATCTCAGGTCGAGAGAGATGCCTTCATCAGTTGGAGATAATGACTCATCTCATGTTGCTTACCTCTGGTGATTGTACTGATAGGGTCTCTCAGAGACAACTTCGGAACATGAGTGAGGGCTGTAACATTCTTGGGCTTTCATGGGGTAGCCACACCCTATGCTATTCTTTCATCATAGAGGTGGAACATGGTCGTGATAGCAAAAGGCAGCTTCTATCACTTTTGCCTGGCCGAGCCTCAATTGAAAGAAGAGTAAGCCGTTTGCTATTGGAAAATGTTGATCTCGATCGTAACTTGACGAAAGGTCGACTATACACCAAGCACACTTTACAGCGTGCTCTAAAGCCCATCACAAAGTTTCACGACCTTTGTAGAAGTGGTGTTTGCCTGACGGCAGTTTTGGGTAAAGACGCGATTGTTCTGAAAGGTACCACTAGAAAGCCAGGATCGGGCGGTGACGAAATACCAATCTTAGGATGCATTATTTCGGCTATTGTAGACCCTAATCCTCATAGGCCGTTCGGGGTTGAGTAGCTCCTTGGTGGAAAGAGAAAGGTTGAAAAGGATGTATTAAAAGGAACATGGAATGGAGAAGAGTTGCAGAGATGCAGAGAGCCCACCACTAAAAGTCTCAAATACCTGCTACAATGCGTCACACGTGACACTTTCCATCTGGAGTACCTGCCACCAGTTTTGGTGGGTTCCAAGGTTAGGGAGTACCATTTTCGAGTGCAGTTTATTCATTAACCGTTTTTTCTTTTCACCAAACTACTACTAGTATTAAGTACTGTCCATTACCACAATAGCCTAAGCCAGTCCCCAAAACGCAGCTTTAGCACTCATCCGAAAACAACCGATGTCAAGTATCATGTGTAACGCCGTGGATTACCTCAAGTTGCAAAAGTGCATTGTGCCCTATACTCACAATAAGGGAGACGAATATCTCAAGACTGATGCCCAACCCTTCATGTCCTATCAATCGTCATCTCTATCCTTCCATCCTAGACGCCGCCGCAAGTGCCCTGCTATATTAAGATCCGATGTGCGTCATAATAGTCTCCTCATCAACAGTTATACACAATGACATTAAGGTGAGTTCCATTGGTACCTCATCATTTCCATATTATGGGGTAGAAATTCAGTCCCCAATGCTCATCCAGGCAAAAGTTCCAACGCAAGAGGCAAGCACCAACGCAGTCAGAATACCAGCACCTGCGCGGTCACCCGTGGTTATTGGCGCAGGGGTATTCATGAACGAGTCACTGTCCTGGCCAGCGTTCGGGTCACCTTGGCTGGTACCTCCGCTTTCCTGCGTCACCGGTGGTTGCGCCTTGTCGACTAAGAGGGATGAGACGGCGCCTAATACATTCATCGTCTGCCCAGCACCCATGCTGCCATCGAATTTACCGCTAGTCCACTCAAATCCGCAAGTTTTCCCGTCAGTTCCGCCAGTACATTGGGATACTGCGGCTTGAGCGGATTGCTTTAGGACAGGTAGAACTTTTGCGGCCGTGAAGGGAGCAATTTGGGTCATGGTGGTCATCCATCGATGTAAATAACCCTTGAAACTTAACATATCTGTCGTGCAAGTCATGTGCTCTTCGCAGGAAATTTCAAAGGCTACATTATTGTGGAAGAAGTCCCGAATCGTTGCGTCAACGAGACCGTTGATTCGTTGTTCCCATTTTTGGTCACCGTCAGTCTGGAAAAGTAGTTGTGTTAGTCAAATAAGAAGCATTGTGGAAAGGGAGATAGGGTAAACCTTACATAGTTATACATGTAAGCTGCACCCAAGAGATAAACGGCATTGTTGTAAGAGAACTGTGCCCTATTGATATCAGTGCAGTTTGTTTCGACGTGAGCACCATCATAGATTCGGTAGTCTCCATCCATGAGTCCGATGCTGGTAACCCAGTCCCAAGTCTTTTCAGCCCAGTCAGCATATGTCTGATTATGCAGATAACGCGCTAATCGAGCACCGAGATTGAAGAAACAGCCGTTGGCAATGCCTATTCTACATTAGTATTGTTCCTGTTACAAAGATGCGACGACCAACTCACTGTTCTTGTAGTCATATCCATTGTTGGCGAAGGGAATTTGCCATCGCAAACCACCGCCGCATGTATCATCATGACGGTTTGGATCAGCCTGTGTGTGGAAAACTGCTTGGGCTAAGGCTAGCCATTGAGGTTGATCGGAGGGGGGGTTGGGGAAGTTGACTTCGGCAGCCAACATCGCAGACATGCCCCAGAATCCTTGGTCATCGTTACCTAATGAAGCGGTAACATTGGGAGGCATGTAATCTCTATTAGGGCCAGTCTGGAAAAGCATGGCTTGGGTAACGATGTCATTGTAGGTAGTATCGCCAGTATAATGCCAATAATCTATCATTGTGCCCCAAAGCGCACCACCTTCCCACCAGTAATAATCGCCCGCGGGAGGTGGGCCAGGTAGAATACCAGGTGTCTGTCCTGGTTCAGTTCCATGGTAATAGGTTAACGCATTGGCAGCGAGGGTTTTTGCTGTAGAAATGACGTTGTCTGTTGCGAGTCAACATTAGTCCGATTGATGTTGTTATGCCCGAATTTGCAATACAACAAGTGGCCACAACAAATAGGTTTGGAAATCATCAATGAAGAGACATACCATCTGAGTCAATACTCATAGACTGAGCCGAAATTAGATCTCCCGTGAATAAGAGTGCGATCGGGAGGATTCGCAAAAGGGACGATGCCATGATGTTGGTGGGTGGAGAGCTTGGCATGCGGGAAGGTAAACGAGCGACGAACGATGAACGACGGAATTGGGGGCAAAAGAAATGGCGAAAGGCAAAAGGCAAAAGCCAAAGCCAGAGCCAAAGCCACGACGGGGATCCGCTTGTCGTCAATAGCGATTAGTCGTAGGTACCAGACGCAAATTGGTATTTAAGAAGTAGGCAGTATAGATTAGGCACGGTAGATAAAATCAATCGAATCTTGGCCTGTATAACCAAGTATTTTAATTATTTAGGAGCAAGTTACAAGTTGTAGGATTGAGTTTGGATTGTTGTCGTGAAAGAGGAAACGGAGATGGATGGAATTGGAAAAGGGAGGATTCCAAGTTTCCAAGTGGGTAGGTACCTTTGATTGTTCGGAAAACTGCACGTAAAGTACGTACAGCGTCGTACACACACATGCACATACACACAAACATTCACACCTGCCGCACATTCAATGTTCGTACCCATGATTTTTTAGACATTGAAGATAGCGACTGTTGTACTTGCTCACCGTACATACACTGTAGCAACAACGGCCCTTATGACGCACTTTCCCATACTAAAGACCCGACGATGCCCAGCGACTAAGAGATCTTAGCACTGTGGGGTTTAGAAGGGGTAACCCTGTTATTGCCTGGGAGTGAAGTATTGGCGCAGATGACGACTCTGTGACCCACTATTTAACTGGTGACCATCCTTTCATAACTCGAAGATTATCTCGTAGTACCTGGGGCCCCTTGCTTAATCCCAGTTCGCAACCAAATACAAGCTTTTCACTTTGTCGATTGGTACCCGTCTGAGTAGGGCTTGGCGTGGAGGTAAGCTTTACAAAATTAAGGCTGGACGTTAATAAAGTCCGATGTCTACACGTTTACGGGCCCTGGTTTAGTAAACTCAATTCATCCCTAAATAATTTAATTAGGCCTTCTCTTTATGCTGAATTTTATTTCATTAGAATGTCATCTATTCAGAGAATGTCCGTCACATATCCCACCTTGATGTTAGTTAATACCATTCAAACAATGTCGTATATGTTTTTATTATGTACAATACAAATGCGCCGCAGATCAACATGGTGATCCCTTAATTTTCAAGACCCAACTACATACCTAGTATGTAATTTTTGAGTATAATAGTGGGTTAGTGCAGTTGGATCCCTCGAAGAAATTTCCTCGTTTATTTTTCAGCTCGCTAAATGCCATTCTTCATCTGAACAAAAGAGTATTAATCATGAACGGACGTTTGAAACCTCAAATGTCATGTGGTATAACATTGCACGTTTCCTGTTGCAAAGGGCGAATAGCGCTGTCTTTTTAATGGCTGACAGGAGTCTAGCCTGCGACCGTGCAACTAACTAACTACTCTAACCTAGGTAGGGTAGGGAAAGCGAGGGATGGCTATTTAGGTAGAGTACCTGCTAGGCAGCGATTCATTTCAACTTACATACCTAACCTAGTAGGCTAGGGTAGGTATTTTTAGCTCTAACGTCTAACCAAAGCGTATGTGCACACCAAACTCAGCCCTGAAAACTAACAAAAAAATACGTCGTTATTCCACCTTCAAAACCTACATGATGATTGTCTGTTAAATGATACGTCTATATCATCCATTGAAGTTGGAATTTATGTATTCAATATGTGGTATTTGATATCAATGGTACTGGTACCTAGCTTCAGAGCTTCACGCGCTTTGATGAACCCACTACGGGAAAGGCCGCATCTAGCCCAGCTGCTAAAACTAGTGCTTCTGGTGATTGAGGAATATTATCTCAAAAGCTGAATCGGGACGTTTATTGACATCGCGTCTACATCATAAACCCATACTTAAGTTTAATAATAATGGTGTTAAGGCAGTCGCAAGACAGATAGTGAACGAACTTTAATAAGAAAAGAAGAAAAAGAAGAATAATGTGAATCTTGAATGACTAAGCACAAATAACTTCAAGTTACTTTAGGCAACTAAACTTGGAAGCTTCTCATTCCTAGCTTCAAGTTTCTATCCTTTCATCTTTATCTACCAAACTTCATACCAGCATAGGATTGAATAAGTAAGGTCAGGTCATTTTATTATTTATAACTGAATAGCAGCGCCTATAGATATCAACAGACTTTCCAGACAATGACGACAAAGAAAGCAATACCTAAAGAACATTAGTTAGGAAGTATATCGACTACAATGAATCGAGATCTGGACGTTGCTGATAACTATATGCTATACCCCGTCATATAGACGAAGCACACAGCATGCACCCCATAAGGAGTGTGCCATTGCAGGAGAGCACTTGTGGTATCTTCCTCCAGGGCTATGAATCCTCCCGATGCTGCAGAGCTTGGCGCAGAAATGTCAGTCCCATAGGCCGGGAACATATCAGTTTCAGAACCCTCCATGAATTTTGGTAAGCATGCCTTCAAGCATAGCCACGCTAGGCTGCTGATAAATTTCAAGCCCTTGGGGGCCACACGAATAAGATGATCTCGCCTGGCATTATACTCAAGCTGAAGCTGACAAGCTTAGCTCATATTATCCCCTCAGCCCCCTCTCCATTGATATTTCTAAATGATATCTCTAAATGATATTTCTAAATAAATCAGAAATGTCTGTATTGCGAACAACAATCATATGCCATCTGGGTTAACTTATAGATCTTGATTCGTTATATTTTTTGTCTTGCTCGCTTACAGGATAAAAGGGCCTACCTTTATATGAAATGAACATATTTCCACCATGGAAGTCGTCGGCTCAGTTGCGTCGATCGCGCAGCTCATAGAAGTTACAGCTAAAATATGCAACTACTGCGGCACGGTATTAGGGGCTTCAAAATTGATCGATGATCTTGGCCGTACGTTGAGCATGATGCTTCAACTGCTATACCAAATCAAAGCTCAGGCGGACATTGGTGCCTCTACAACCAATGGTCATTCCGTAGGGCCTCTGGACCTCATCCGAGAGTTACAGGAATGTATGATCAGTCTCGGGCAACAGTTCGAAAAGTTGAGGTCTAAAAATATAATGGCGAAAATACGATTTGCCCACATGGAAAAGGATATACAGAAAACGATTGATAAGGCTTCTCGTATGAATGGGCTCTTAAATTCGTGGCTTACGCTCGACATCAAGCAGACGACTCGGTCTATTGATGATGGCGTCAAAGTTCTCAACCACCACGCGGAACAAGAGGATATCAACGGTAAAATTGACCGCATCGTAGAATACTATGCACCAGAAAGTTTCTCCGAAAAGCATCGCAACGTCCTCGACCAAAGACAAGATGGTACTGGACAATGGTTCGTCGAGTCTCCAGAATTCCAAGACTGGCTAAAATCATCCGGGGGAGCTTTATGGTGTTCAGGGGCCCCTGGAGCTGGTAAAACTGTTATGGCTTCGACAACTATCGAATATCTTCGGGAGAAAGTTCGCGCAGACCCGGCAAATGGTTTAGCCTTCGTGTATTGCGACTACCGTCAACGGCAAAGCCAGAAAGCTTGGGTCTTACTTGGAAACCTGTGGGCACAATTATTTCGGCAGCGAGGACCCTCCGCTACCGAAGTTGACCAGATATTTGGCGAGATGTTTGCTCGCCGTGACTTCAGACCAAACAAGACCCAGATAATCAGCTTGCTCAGAGACGAGTTGGCTAGCGGGAACCTAGAGCGAGCATATATCATTGTTGATGCTATCGACGAATGCAGTGACGAGAATGAACGAAAAGCCTTTATGGATAGTCTCCACAGTTTACAACCGTCGGTGAACGTGTTAGTCACTTCCCGTACAATTCATTCCGATGATGTAGGGCTTCAAGATGTGCGGCCTTTTCGTTTCGTTCCGAAGGATGAAGACATGGGAATTTACATCAACGCGCGAATAGCGGATTCGAAGAAGTTATCAGGCTTCGTTACGAGAAAGCCAGAGCTCAGAGAGGAAATCCGTCGAATTGTTATTGAAAGAGCTAACGGGATGTAAGTTGCAGTATACCTAGTGTTTGCATTTATCAATGGATACTGATTGTAACCTTTAATTCTTAGGTTTCTGCTTTGCAGAATGCACTTAGACTCCTTGAGCAAAGCAATCAACCTCAAAGTCTTAAAGAATGAACTCAATCGCATCCCGATTGGTGAAAATGTAGTGAAGGACACGTACGATCAAGCAATGGAACGGATCCGAGACCAGGGTGACAGCGTAGAGTCGTTTGCCATGCAAGTGATTCGCTGGGTCTGTTTTGCGAAGCGCCCGCTTAAATTGGCCGAACTATTATGTGCGCTTGCCGTGAGCCCTGGCGAAGAGGAGTTTGACGATGATGCCGTCGCCGAGGAAAGCGATATTGCGAACTATTGTGCTGGTCTCGTGGTCGTGGAGGGAGAGAGCAAAACCGTGAGATTCGTCCACTACACGACACAGGAGTACTTCAACTCACTGCGGAGTACACCGGAATTTATCCACAGTCATGGAGATGTAGCTCTAACATGCATCTCTTTCCTTGTACTAAACAATCTTCAACTTTCGAAAGACAGTTATGTGGCTCAAATTTGGCCCTTGCTAGACGAAATGCCCTTTTTGGCATATGCGGCTCTTTACTTCGGTTATCACTATACACAAGAATTAAAGGCCTCTGATGATTCAGAATACGAGTCTGTCGAGGAAATTACAGACTTGTTACTCGAGTTCCTACAAAGTCCAGAGCATCTTCAACGTGCTTCCACGATGATCCTGACACACATAGGGGGGAGGACATCTAGGATTGTTCAGGATCCAGTTGTAGGCCCCCAAATTGGCAAAAATGCCACGGCAATAGATATCGCTGCATTCTTCAACATAGTTATCAAGGATACAGATAAGCGACCGCTAGGAGTGAGTCTTGAGTGGTTGGTAGAGAACACAGATTATAAAACGGACCTCAATGGATCGCGGTTTGGGAACCCATTACACTGGGCTTCCTTCAACGATTCGCTTGAATCGATGAATGCGATTCTGAGCAGCCCGGAAATAAATGTTGATATCAACATGGTGATTTTACCTCACGTGGGCTGGCGGCCATCGAATGTATCGATTGCCTATGGTTCATTAAGTACCCTCCAAGCCCTCCTAGACCACGGCATCGACATTTACACACCTACTGCATTAGAATGGCGCACTTCCCTCCTCCAAGAAGCTATAGTATGGGCCCGCTCTGTCAAGGGACCCGACAAGACGGCGCTGATAAACGTAATAATGGAAAGAGACGTTACTCGCGAACTTCTCCTAAGGTCCGATGTCTATGGAAGAACAGCTCTTATGGAAGCAGTACGCACAGGTGACTTTAATGTTTTTGGGTGTGTTATGGAGCATTATGAGAGAATGGAGAGCCGACGTGATCGAGCTATCCTCAATTGTGATCGCGAGGCGAGAAGTGCATTGCACTGGGCCGTGGCAGACCCATCGTTCGCTTTCAAACCAACTGATAGGGCCACGGCGTCAGGCCCTCTTCGGATACTCGAAGCGTTATTGGATAGCCCGTACAGCATCAGGTTGTTGCATACGCGCGATAGGAAACGTGACACGCCATTGGAAGATGCCATTCGCCGAAACCATATGCAAGCTGTCGATACAATCCTTAACAAATACGATTATAAATTCAATGAAAAATCCGACTTCCAACTGATTTCCGGTCTTCATTTAGCTGCTCAAGTTGCAGATCCTCCCATGATCGACATGTTCATAGGTAAAATCCGTGTCGATCTTCTGGGCCAGCTCGAAGGGGATTCCGTGTTGCACCATGCCGCTGGTGGGAACAAACCTGAGAATGTCGAGTATCTGTTACAGAAGCTCTCAAAGCTCCATCTCTATGATATTCCGGGGAAGGGGGGGAACCTACCTCTTCATTACGCAGCGGCTAGTGGAAATATAGACGCCGTAGCGGCACTTCTAAAACAATATAAGCTTGGTGTTGATTCCAAGAACAATGTTGGATATACTGCATTACATTTAGCTGTTGGCCGCAACTTAGTTGACGTATCCTCCTATCTCTTGGAGTCAGGTGCTGATATCAATATCGAAGACAATACTGGTATTACGCCACTCAAGCTGGCTATCAAGCAACGATCCACAGAGATGCTAGCCATCATGTTTCAATATTTTCCGGTCAAGGATATAGCATTTGATGCCAGTGATATGGCATGGATACAGCAGCAACCCTGGGGAAACGCCTTGTTTCCCGAACCCAACGGCGCTTCCAAGGCAACCGTGGACCTTAAGTACTGGCCAAAACAAGATGATGATATCAAAGTTGCAGCATTATGCCTGCAAAGGAAATTCAGAGAAGGAATATCAACAAAGAAAAGTCCTATAATCGCCCGTCTTATATTTCAGATCCTTGATCTTGCAGAGTACTGGGTCCGAACTAGCACCGTAAGAGTCAGTATTAACGAAATAGGCGAGGTTAGGAGATGGGAAGACCCCTCTACACCCTTTACTATGAGCAAGACCATCACAGGACAATCTCCTAAGCCAGTTCGCCGCGTTTTATTCGAGATCACAGGTCATGACCAAGGATACTGTTCGGATCCAAGCAGAGGAGAAAGCTGGACGTGGTTCACGGCCGACATCCATCGCCGACAGAATTCAAACCTGGTCAAGGATCTCGTAGGTTTACAGGACCAGGGGACTACCAATAAGGAGATCAAGATTGTCCATAATCGCGGCGCGAATAGGAAATGGTTCACACACAAGGTGACATGGAGCCTAGGGAATATGAAAGCAGCGGACTCGGAGCGCCGCACATGGATGAGGGCTCTGATGCCGGGAGACAAGATCTCGGTCGTGCCCCACGCTCGATATCCTGGCTGGGAGAACTGGGTACGCAGGGTGAAAATCGATGTTTTCACTACCTGTCTCAAAGGCTATGGCGAGTACTGACTTGACAGAAAATCTATCGTAGAATATTCTGTCATGGCACACGCCAAGTTGCGAGTTGTCCACCCATGTACCCCTAATACGCAAATCACCCATATGTACCGTAGTAAGCCCTTGTGTCTGACATTGTACCTTAGGTACCTGCTTACGCATCGCATGTGTAACCTCAGTGGTCCATACATTGGTACACAAGACTAAATCACTAAAATCCATACAAAAACCTGAACTTTCTCAAATTCATTCACATCTCAATCATCTTTACTTGTTGAATGTTGGGAACGAAAAATTCCATGAACACAACAGGAAACAAGATGGATTCCACTTACGATAACCTCACCTTTCTTAATGCTGCTATCGATAACACTCCCCTTATCGACCATCATGCTCATCCACTTCTCAAGTCAAAGCACATGAGTTCCCGCCCGCTGCTTGCCATAACCAGCGAGGCCCACGGGGAAGCTTTGAATGACTCCAAGACTGGCTTATCTCACATTGCCATCACCAATGAATTATCTCAAGTTCTTGGCTGTGAACAGACGTGGGATGCTGTCGAGGCTGCGGTCCAGCACAAGAGGCTCGCTTCACACAAAGGATGGGTCACCAGCTGCCTTGAGGGCGTCGATGCCATCCTCTTAGACGATGGACTGGACATGCCCGGCCAAGCCGAGGACCACATCTGGCACAGCAAATTCACGACGAGTGAGTGCAAGCGTATTGTCAGAATTGAAACAGTAGCATCGGATATCATTGCACAACTTTCCAACTTTCCACATGATTCACCAACACGAAGCACAACCGAGCCTAATATACTATCCTGGTTTACGGTCCATTTCGTGCTCAAGATTAGGGAAGTTCTACTACGTAGCCCCGACATCGTTGGGTTCAAGTCCATTGTTTGCTACCGGCGTGGCTTGGACATCCCACGGTGGGATGAACTCAATGAGAAGGACGTGGAGATGGATCTTCAAAAGATCATAGATGCCGGCGTGAAGCCCGGCACTGAGTTCCTTGGACATAACCTTAACAAGAGATTGGAACACACCACTCTGAATTACTGGATTGTGCACAAGGTCGCACAGCTCATCCGCAACATTCCAGAAGCCAGTAAGCCAATTCAGTTCCACACAGGCCTCGGCGACAATGATATCACTCTCACCAAGTCATCGCCATCTCACCTGCAAACCTTCATTCGCGAGTACCCCACGGTCCCCATCGTCCTGCTCCACGCCGGCTACCCCTGGACCCGAGAGATGGCGTACCTAGCCGCGATGTACTCCAACGTCTACGCTGACATCAGCGAGGTGTTCTTCTGCATCAGCCGCCAAGGGCAGGAGAGCGTACTCAAGCAGATGCTTGAACTCTGTCCGTGGTCCAAGATCCTATGCAGCACGGACGGCAACACCGTCCCCGAATCGTACCTGGTCGCCCAGCGGCAGCTTCGCGCAAGCATGAAAACGGTGCTTGGAGAAATGGTGCAGAGACAGCACCTCAACGAGGCACAGGCAGTGGAGCTCGTGCAAGCCATCCTATTTTCGAACGCAAAGAAATTGTACTCCCTCACCAGCAGGTCCGACCTCTCCACCTTTACCCCCTCGGTTCCGACGCAGGGGGGGCCCATCACCATCCCCCAAGCCATCGAGCCCACGACGCGCTTCGGCCCGGTGATCCAGCGGCTGCAGCAGCTGAACGCGAAGTTCCTGCGCGTGTACTTCCACGACTACACGAGCAGCACCAGGATGCGGCTGATCCCCATCAACCAAGTATACCGCTCCCTTGCGCGCGGGGAACCCTTCACCCTCAGCCTGTCCAAAGTTGTCTTCGGTCTGCTGCAAACGGACCTGCTGATCCCGCAGATCAACGCGTCGGGCACCTACGTCTTCCACCCGGACTGGACCACGCTGTTCGCCGGCCCCGTCGCAGGACACGTCAGCTGCTTCGGCAACTTCCGCAACGAGGAGGATGGCTCGGCGCAGGTGCTGTGCCCGCGCACGCTACTAGCGCAGACCGTATCGCGCGCTGCGGAACAGGGCCTAACCTTCTTATTCGGCTTCGAGATCGAGTTCATCGTGCTAGAAAGAACCGAAGAGCCAGTGAATAACCCGACGCCGCGGGAAAAGTACCGGATGCTGACCAACGACGGACACGCGGCGTGGATGGCGCGGTCGCTGGCGGACTGGGGGCGTGAGGGTAGCTTCTCCACCGCCGTGGGCGAGATCCTCGAGAAGCTCGACGAGGCCGGGATCCCGGTCGACCAGTTCCACGCGGAAAGCGCGCCGGGGCAGTACGAGCTCGTGCTCTCCGCACTGCCCCCCTTAGCCGCGTGCGACAACATGCTGTACGCACGCCAGATCCTCGAGACCGTCGCCGGGCGCCACGGGTTCCGCGTAACCCTGCACCCGAAGCCGTTCCCGAACGTGTGCGGCTCCGCCTCGCACATCCACCTCTCCATCTCCTCCCCCGGCGGCGACAACACATCTTTGTACGAATCCTTCTACGCGGGCGTCCTCTCGCACATGCGCGCCATCATCGCCCTCGCATACAGCAACCCGACAAGCTGGGCGCGCATGCTCGACAGCTGCTGGGCGGGCGGGCGGTGGGTGATGTGGGGCACGGAGAACAAGGAGGCCGCGCTGCGCAAGATCAAACACAGCCACTGGGAAGTCAAGACCGTCGACGGCCTCGCGAACCCGTACTTCGTTGTCGCGGCGCTGATCGCCGCGGGCATCGACGGCGTGCAGAAGAAAGCCAAGCTGGCCATATCCGACTGCGCCCTCGACCCGGCGACGCTGAGCGCCGCGCAGAGAAAGGAGTTTGGGATTGCCGAGATGCTCCCCGCGGACCTGCCGGAGGCGCTGGCGGCGTTGAAGGAGGATACGGCGTTGGCAGAGCTGCTGCATCCGGACTTCGTGCAGCGGTATGTCGATGTCAAGGAGGCGGAGAACGATAAGATACTCAAGTACTTGTCGCCGGGGGATCTGAGGGAGTGGGTGTTGGAGAGGTACTAATTAGTTAGGTCGGATCGGGTTTTCGTGCTTGATGCTCACGAGATGGCTAGGTTAGATAGGTGGTGCTTTTGCCTAGGTTACTTGCTGGATAGATAGATAGATAGATAGATAGATAGATGTGGTAGGTACCTGGGTAAACACCAATAATAGAGACCTGGCATAGATACCTACGCAATGAAAAACAAATCGCCGCCTTCAATTTCCAAACATCATAGCTGTATGGCGTGAAGTATGCTTGTGCTATTAGCCAGCCGTTGAGGCGCGGGTAGTCTAATAATAGTACTGATGCCGCGCGTGAAACGAAATCGTAGTTTGCTCACCCCCTTTCTTTTGATGTATGGTATATAGACACGCAACTCTCATGCTCATAACCCCCTATCGTATACCTACCCTAAGACTGCAAAGCCATTAATCAAAGGTAGTCTTCTTGCCCTGAGACTTGACAACCGCGCCCGTAAGATACGACGCCACGCCCGTATCTCCGTACGCCGGCTTCTTCTCCCCCTCCGCCTTCTCTCCCAACCCTTCCCCATTATCCCTCCTCGCCTTCTCGCCTGCCCCATTTCCATTTCCATCCCCATTCCTAGCCGCAAAGGACTCTCTGCCCTTCCCAGCAGCGGGCCCCTTGCCCGGCGCGTCCTTGCCAAACCGCTTCTTGTACCTCACCCGATCGTCCTCGGCAAGCTCGATCTTGAGCTCGCGGCCGCGGAGCCGATTGACCCACCACTTGCGCATCTTGAACCTGCGCTCCTCTTTCTCCGCGTCCGCGTCCGCGTCCGGGTCCTCGTCGCGGAAGTCGTCCTCGGTCTCGATCTCCTCCTTGATCTTGACGAAGCCCTTGACGGCCCAGGCGGCAGCGTCGGGCTCCTTGAACTTGACCCAGCCGAAGCCCTTGCACTTGCCGCTGTCCTCGAAGGTGGCGACCTTGAGCCACTCGATGTCGCCGCACCTGTCGAAGTGCGCGCGCAGGTCCTCCTCCGTCGTCTGGAACGACAGGTTGCCGACGTAGATCTTCCTGCTGGGCAGAACCTTGGGGTCCCGACTGCTCGCGACCTCCGTCGCGTTGCCATCCGTCGCCGCGGCAGCAGCAGCTGCCGCTGCTTCGCTCCCTTTCTTCGGCCGGCCGTCGAACGAGTTCGAGTTCTTGATCAGCACTTTCCGCCCGTCGAGCTCCATCTCCGTGAGCGCCATGGCCGCGACGGCCGCCGCTTCCGCGTCGAAGTCCACGTACGCGAAGCCTCTGTTCATCGGCTTCTTCGGCGCGTCCTCGCCCGGCCCCCGCTCCTTGGCGCCGAGTTTGCTCGTCGGCAGGTTCACCCGCGTGATGCTCTCTTCCTTGATGGAGCCGCCGGAGCTGTCCACCAGCCACTTGAACAGCTCGACCCGCGTCAGCGTGAACGGCAGGTTGCCGATCCAGATACCGTGGTCCGACCGCTTCGACTTCTCGCCCTTGCCGCCCTTGCCCTTGCCCTTCCCCGCGCCCTTCGGGACCGCTAGGCCGTCTTCCGACTCGCCTTCGTCGTCGCTCTGCGGCTTTGCGGGTAGTGGTTTGCCCTTCTTGAGCAGTCGCTTGGCCTTTTTGGACGGCGGTTCCGGCTGCGTCAGGTCGACCTCGATCTCGTCGATTTGCGACTTGCGTTTTCTAGAGTCGTTGTTCGGGGTTGGCGAGGGTGGTTGCTCTGGCTCGGCTTCGGATACGATTGCCGGTGCCATTTTTTATTAGGGGAAAGAAGTACTGGGGACTTCAGACTCTTGGTATTTTCTTTCCACTGTTTTCCTACGTATTTTGGAGCGCAATCAAGAAAATTAACTGCTGTTGGTCTTTTTTTTTTGGGAACGTTAAAGTTGGTACATATGATTGAATCCTAAAAAATGTTCCGCTGAACTTGAACTTTTCGAAGTTTTTATGGAGCTGATAAGATAAACTTTTCTACTAGTGGATAACTAACTATTAAGGTACCCCTTTTAAATGAATATCTAGCATCTCTTGCTAGTTACATACCTATACGTAATAACTGCATCTTCTATATGATGGACCCCCTATACTAGGTACTCACTCACTCGCCAGCAAATACGAAACCATACCCGTCAAAGTAAATTGGAAACAATGTTGGCACGCAGTTCAGCATCAGCACCCAAACCACATTCACTCATGAACCCACTTCCCATCCTCCTCACTGACAACAACCTCATCAACCTCCCCCCTCATCCTCACAATCTCCTCCCCATTCACCAGATCATTCTCGTCCGCCCTCTTCCCCGCCTCCCCCTCATCCCTCGCAATCCCCGCCTTCACATGCCTCCTCACCAGCCTCCTCCTCGCCGTCCCAAACCCGACCTCGACGAACCACCGCTCGTCCATCAGCGCCGCCGCCTCGCGCCACGGCGCCTTGTCCAGCACCACGTAGTTGCCCTCGAAGACGACGACGCGGTGCGCCGGCAGGATCGCGATGTCGTCGGGCTTGGGGTCCTTGACGGCGTGGTCGAAGCTCGGCGCGTAGACCGGTGTTGGCGGGGGTGGCGCGATGCGCAGGGACTGCACGAGAGAGAGGAAGGCGGAGCCGTCAAAGGTGAACTCGGCGCCGCGCCGCGCGTGCGCGAGGGCCGGGTCCGGCATCGCGGAGAGCTGGGCACGTGTCAGGTGGTACCCGTCCATGGGCACGAAGACGGCCACGGGCTCCGATGCGGAGGGCTGCAGGCTTGCATGTCGGGCGTTGAGGGCGGTGGTGACGATTTGGGAGAGTGTTGTTTTACCTGGGTGGCATTAGCCTAGGTTAGTGAACTGAGTCAGGGGAAGGGGCGGGAGTGCTTACCGGAGCCCGGGATCCCGCCTATGGCAATTACTGGGATGTAGTTAGGTTAGATACATGCTAGTCCGGGTGGTAAATGTTAATGTATAGATAGGTAGGTACGGAGGAAGGGGGGAAAGGGGGGGAGGGGGTTAGACTGTGTTGGGTAATTATCCATAATTGTGATGGCATCCTGCAGGACTTACAGAGCCGTTGGCCATCGGGGAGTTGCTGGAACTTGTCCCATGCCTTGTCCACGAGGCGAGCTACTTGGCTGTCCATCTTATTCAATTCTCTATTGCCTGATTTGAAGTACACGAGAGCCTAGAAGTTCAGTTTTATAAGTATTTCTATTTGATATATGAACATTGAAGTGTTGGAGAATAGTGTTTAGTATAAAATGGTACTTGTACAAAAGCAGTTGAAAGTATCAATTCCAGGTACTATACTATAGCGCCTCCCTGTGCTACATCCTACGCCCCCTCATTCAGACATAGAAGGTCACGAACCCCACCAAAAAAAATACATAGGAGGTAACTAGGTTACATATGTAGTACGTAAAGACGCAACTCCGAAATTCTCGGTGATCCTTTCCACTAAAACGGCGCAGGAATCCAGCGATTACCTAAGCTCTGCTATAAATCCGGCTCCGTAAGCGGGCCACCATCCCGAATTCCTTACATTTATTACCCTGATAATAATAAAAAAAATCTCACCCGCTGCACCTATCCTTTCGTCTTATGCAAACCCACCTGCAGACCTCCTACCTACCTACCTACCTACCTACCTAAAAACAATGGACCCCGCCCTCTCCCCCGGCCTCTTCGACATCCACCTCTCCGACTCCGAGGACAACAACGACGAGCCCGCCGAGGGAAGCAGCAACTCCTCAGCATCCCGGACGCCGGCGGACCGCACCGCGCAGTCGGAAGAAGAGTTTCGGGCCGTCAAGGCCGCGTACAGGGTGAAGGTCGAGAACGGAGAGGTATGTATGTATGTATGCACTTTAACTATTTCCCCTCTTCCATCACATGCAAATGCACCTCGCAGTCAACTTCCCCCCCCCCTTCCCCACCGGGCCCAAAAGTGCACTTGTAACCCCGATGCAGCAGCAGCCCCCCCTCTCTCCCATTTCCCCTTTCCCCTTTCCCCTTCACCCGAAAAAAAGACCCCCCCCTTCCCAAAATTAAAAAGCCCAAAATCACAGATCTGGAAAACCGCCCCACGCCCCATAGCCAACGCACCAGTGCCCAAGCCCGAGGCGCAGACGCTGCTGCACGCCGTCGAGGAGCTGTATTTCTTCCGGCGGTACGACGAGGGGGCGCGGTTCGTGGACGGGGTGCTAGGCGGAGGAGGAGGAGGAGGAGGTAGGGTTGACACCGCCGTCGCCAACGAGGATGGTGGTCGCGATGATAAAGGGGCTTTGGGGCTAGACAGGTCAACGAGGGAGTTGCTGCGGTATTATCAGAAGAGGTGTATCGAGAGAGGGGGGGGGAGGGGGGAGAAAAGAGGGTGGTGATAGGATGAAATAAGCATTACCAATCTAATTGAGCACTGGAAGAATCACTCGTAATAATTAAGCACTTCATTGCACTGAACTCAAAAAGACGTGATCATGATCATGAAGATTGGAGTATTATCTATATCCTCTGCTCTTCTATACTGCCCTCGGCCAAGCCAAGGGTTAGTAGAGAGCTACTCTATAATATATAATATTCCAGCTAGCGTTTGGCTTTTCTCTCGTTCCTGTCCCCCCAAAAAATAGGCCGACTCATTGCCAGGGACGCAGCTACTGTAAGTTCTAATTCACCGAATATTTTTATCTCTCTATACAAATGCCACAAGGTGTGTTGTGTAGTGTGTAAAAATGGGTATGCCGAAACGCCGTGCTCTTTTTCTTTATCGAATGCAAACGAAACTGGGCCCACTCCTTTTTCTTTCTCTCTCTCTCCCAAAAAAAACATAGTAATAATAATAACAAGACTCCTTGAAAATGCAGTGCTATGGTTGGCCGTCTAGTTCGTTCGTCTATAATGGACGCGATAAGAAGAGAGGTGTTTGATGGTGGTGGGAAAATCGCAGAAGGTTGCCGATCTATGCCATCATCTTGGATTCACCTCGTTGCCGCTCTCGTTCTCGCTCTTCCGCAAAGACCCTCCGGCTCATAGCTAATACGCACTCGAAGCCCTCCTTGCCCTTCGTCGCATTTTCCTTGAAGCGGGTGACGAGGGAGTCCTCGATGCTGTTCTTGATTCGCTGCCAGCCACCGCATAAGGCTGTTATCCTTGCGTCTTGCTCGAATTGTGTCCTGTGCATATCCAGCGGTCGGTAGATCACCGTCTCTTGCACGTTGACCAGGTTGGCCCATGTGATATTCTGCGACACCATCGTGACGGTCTTCGCGGCGGGGTCAACGTAGGATGTCTCGAAAACTTGGCTCGTCTCCGCGCAGCCCATCATTGATTTCAGCCATTCTGGCGCGGATTGTTTGCAGGTGATGAGTCGCTCTGTTCGCAGGATACCGGTCGCTGGGTCGACTTCTCGAGCGAGGGTGTCGACAGCTATAACGTGGGTGGATTTGTCATTCCATGGGCAGTATTTCAGCCAGTTGGCGGTCGATACCTCTTCCCAAGAGTAGTTGAAGGTGTGCGAGTTGGAAAAGACCTTCATCTCTGATAAAAGGCGATCCCGATAGGCCGAGTCGACAAAACAGTGTGAGGATCCTCCTCAAGGAAATAGGCCCGATAACGTAGATGAAGATTCGTGAATTCAGAAGTCTAGTCGATCAGGATTTGGAGGGAACACAGGAAATGTTTCTTTGTAATAAGAGAAGGGTGCGTGGGAATTGGTCGGAGATCCGGAAGATTGAATTCAGAATGCAGAAGTCAAAATTTAGATAAGTAGGTACCTGTAGGTTGATAGGTACATATGTAAAGAAAAAAGAGAGGGAATTCTATTTTCCGATAGGATGAAATAGGTTTAGATCTTATGTAGGTATTTTCTCGCAAGTTACTGTAAAGTACTAGGTAGTCGCCGTAAGAAAAGATCGTGTTTTGTTTTGTTCAAATCAAATGGCCAGTCGTCTTTTATTGGGAATGAGAAAAAAAACGAAATGAGGGTATTTCCCTCCTTGAAATAATAAAAAAAAGAGCAGTCGGACCCGTCCAGTCCAATTACAAAAAGCGCTTAGTGAAAATTTCGTGCAAATAGCGGCCGGATCGGCATCGCCTTATCGCGATTTCCTCTACTACTAGTAGTCTACCCTTTGTTACACTTCCCGGCAAAGTTCGGTATGTCGCCTACGCCATTTGCCTCGCTTGACGCACCATATCGGGTTTAGCATCAGTGGATTAGAGAATAGCTCGGAAGCGGTGTGAAAGAATTTGACAATTTTGACAACAATGATTGGATATTCCCTGGCTTTGTGGATTATGCACAGTATAAGCTTGGGCCATCTTCCCAAGAAACCTGGAGTTGGATGCGGAGTCAGCGAGCATCCAGACTTCATTACCTACAAGTTTTTGCATACAACTTTTGCATACGTAGAGACCTACACTAACAGAATACCTTGAATACCTTAGGTCAGGATAAAACCGATCTGCAAAATCCAGATCATCATCAATCTACAAACATAGACTAAAGTATTTTAATCGTAGGGTCATTTGTCCCCTCTCTGTCTCTTCCATTAATTACCTACTAGCCTCAAAGGACCACCTATGATTTCAGAACTTCAGCCCTACCTTGCAAGACCCACGCCGTATCCTCGACAAAAACGGTTCCTGATATCACTGGCCTTTCTTGGTAACCATTTTCGCCACTTAGATAAGATATTGAGTACTGTACCTGTGTCACTTGTAACTAATATCAACATTGAATGCTTCACACTCAAATAGGTACCTACGTCATAAGCCTTGACATCGTCACCAGAGACAATAATCCAAAGCTAGAAATTCGTCAGCTCTGCAATTCTAGATATAATACATAGAGCGCGTAGTTCGTAAGGTGTATTTTCCAGATGATAACACATGCTCAAATAAGTTGTACTCAGATACCCATGTGCAAATAATTGGCATTTATCTAGTAATCGTCGCCACGGCTGATGACCTCCTTTACGGTAGGTCTCAGTAAAATAGTCTATTATTTTCGTATCAGTTGCTTGTCTTGGACATGAATTGCATGGGTAAATACTCACATGCTCGAACTGGGCCGTATACGACCCCTTTTTATCAAGTAGAGGAGGGTAGTCCTCTACAATACCTTGCTGGACGAGGCTGTTCAGCTATAAGAGTATTAGCAAGCCCATTCAAGAAAAACATGCGACAGTTTCGATAAACTCACTCCCAGTAAGTACTTCTCCTGGCCAAGTCTGTCTAGATACCGTCGTGCGAACGGGAGAGTGCCAAAGTTCTTCTTGATGACATTCAGAAGAGACTTAGCCGAAGATAGGCGTAGGTCCACCTTTGGTGCATCTCCGTGGAGGGCGTAATGCGACACCTCGCCCTCATCGTGAACGTGGCCATTTCCAGTACTACCAAAAGTTTCAATGGCAAAGACATCGCCTTCCTCCATTTTGGTAGTATCTGCCGTCTTGACGATAGGGACACTCTTGGTTCCGTGAATGCTATAGGGCAATATGTTATGTCCGGTAAGATTTCGAATAGATTTGATTGGATAAGTAGTGCCGTTGATTTCGCATTCATAGCTTTCCATAGCTTCCTGAATGTACTCTCCCAGTTCACCTAAGCGAACATCTATACCCGCCTCCCTAATACCCGTGTTCGTGGCATCTTTTACAGCTGCCAGCAAGTTGTCATACATAGGGTCAAATGACATAGTGAAGGCGCTATCGACAATTCTGCCGTTAACGTGGACACCAATGTCGACCTTCATGACATTACTTTGCTGTAGAATTGTTTTATTTCCAGCGTTGGGGTTGAAGTGAGCAGCAATGTGATCTAGGTTTAACCCCGTCGGGAAGCCGACGCCAGCAACCTTAGCGTCTCCCTCTACTAGCCCATCGTGTCCAACCAAGCGCCTTATACTGCCCTCGATACCCTCGGCGATCTCGAGAAGCGACTGTCCAGGTTTAATATTCTTCTGGGCCCATTGGCGAACTTGACGGTGGGTTTCGGCTGCGTGGCGATAGTCGACTAGGAAATCAGTGTCTAAATTGTCCAGGTGTCGCTTCTCCTCGTTTGTGGTACGGTAAAGGTTTTCGTTTTTGTACTCGACTTCTTCGCCTTTGGGGTAGGCATTGTTAGGGAAAAGTTGAGATATCAATACGCTGGGAGGGTCTGTTTGGGCAGTCGGGGCCTTCTTCTTCTTTCTCGGCTTCCTCTTTTTGTTCTTCTTCTTCTTAGCTGCTTCAGGTGCTCCTTCCACGTTTTGTTCCTCTACATCTTCATCGGAGTCGTCGCCTGAATGATCTGCTGCCTCGCCATTCTTGGTACCATTGGCAGCTTTGGCAGCTTTACCATTTGTACCAGCAGCATCGCTAACTGGTAGAAGTTAGTAATTAACATATCATTGTCAACGATATGTATAAAAAGCTCCAGACTAACCACTGAGCTTTTGAAGCTCGTCTGATGGAGGCTTAGTAGCCATTGTGCGACAAGTATAAGCTATGAAAATAAAAGGGTAGGTAAATAAGAAGTTGAAGCTCAACGACTTGGACTAGAACTTTTCAAACTTGTACCCCGCCAACATTTTTCTTGCAAACGTGCGACTTCCGCAGTGTATCTGCGGAAGACGCGGGGCAATTCTCTATTGATTGCCTTATCTTATCGATAAAGAAAAGCGTAATCTAAGTCAGCACCGCCGACTTCTACTTAACTTCTATTTTACTCTCACATTACTACCTACGTACGTAGATAGTGAATATTGTAATTCATTTGCACCAAGAATCTTCCCACCTTAACTTTACATACTCCTTGCATACCTGCCTACCTAGCAAAACTCATCGATCATTTGTTTAACGAGAGTGCTTCAATACACCAACTCTAATGGTGGCAAGGTTCCTCTGTCTCGCAAATCCAACTACCTATGGGCGAGTATGCCAATGTACAATATGCTGAGTTGACTCTGCGGTCGACCTTGAACCAGTTCACTCCCGCCTGAATGCCAAGCAGAAGATACTACAAAATGATAGTCTTTAGACACCAGAACAAACAGACAGATTTATGAAGAGGGAATAAGTAAGTTTTTACATACTTTAGAATCACCACCAAAGCAACCCTCTTGATCACAGCCTTCCGCAGAAGCAGCTAGCAATCCTGGGGTAGTTGAGAGGGTAGTTATTGGATAAAATTATGATTAAAGGATGAAGTTATATATAAATCAAGGGAAATATCCAACTTTGATATAGAAGGATGTATGAGGATATATAAAGAACAGCTACCTGAGCGAGTCCAGTTTGGGAACTGTCAGAACATTGAGCCTTTATTCGTTTTGTGTTAATGCTTATACCTAACGATTAAAGGGGGAAGCCGTTTTACAAACATCAAATCGTTCAATATCTTCAGGGAGATCAGTCCTTTCACTACCTACCTAAGTAGGTAGGAAAGTACTTGTAAGTAAGCGGCGCACATGCGATATACAAGTTAACGTATGTAGATATTAGGTACCTATAAGCATACAGACATCCAGACATCCAATCACACGCCATTATTGCAACCCCGGATTATGTAACCTACATAGATCCGTCCCACCTCCGGCATCGCAGCGGGAACTAACTATTGGGTACTTTGTTCGTATCACCCAATCAAAGTATCCGAATTGTCAATTACGACTAAACTTTTTTCTTATTCTTTTTTTTTTATTTTTAAGATCAAAAAGATCAAAAAGATCTTATCGTGAACTTTTGTCATGAACTTTTGTTCCTGAGATGCCAATACCAAAGCATGAGGATACCTAATCTTCTGTGTCGTCAAGGCACATGTCTTCAAGTATGTTGTGATCATTTACTTCCATTATTCAAGTCATCGCACTTATACAATATACAATACTAATAATTCCATGTAGGGACTTGTCGCTCGAAATTGCCAAGGTCGCATTCCTCAAACAAGATTCTTTGCGACGCCCACATTCAACAGTCCGAATCCTCGAATACCGCCGTACCTTAAGTTGGCTAAGAACTATGATAAGGTCAAGGAGGTTCTGGGAAAGGGCAGCGCTCTTACCCTGGCCGAGAAGATCCTCTACAGTCATCTTAACAATGTTGAAGAATCCCTCCTAACGAACACGAACGGCGGGCGTGATATTCGGGGCACAGCAAATCTCAAGCTCAAGCCCGACCGCGTTGCCATGCAGGATGCCTCTGCCCAAATGGCTCTCCTGCAGTTCATGACATGTAACCTTCCTTCGACCGCCATCCCAGCTAGTATACACTGTGACCACTTGATTGTGGGTGAGCGAGGCGCAAAGTCAGATTTGGAAGCAGGCATACAGATGAATCAGGAGGTTTTCGATTTTCTCGAGTCTGCCTCCAAGAAATATGGAATCGAGTTCTGGCCCCCTGGTGCCGGTATCATCCACCAGAGCGTCCTTGAAAACTACGCAGCCCCCGGTTTGATGATGCTGGGCACTGATAGTCACACCCCGAATGCGGGAGGTCTATCGACGATCGCCATTGGTGTTGGCGGCGCGGACGCTGTCGAGGCCCTTGTCGGTGCACCCTGGGAATTGAAAGCGCCTCGTATCCTAGGTGTAGAGCTAAAGGGCGAGCTTAACGGCTGGGCCTCGCCTAAGGATATCATTCTCAACCTCGCCGGTCAGCTGACCGTTCGGGGTGGTACCGGCTTCATTATTGAATACTTTGGACCTGGCGTTGAGACGCTGAGCTGTACGGGCATGGCCACTTGTACTAACATGGGTGCTGAGGTTGGCGCCACGACTTCCATCTTCCCCTTTAACGCCGCGCACGTCCGGTATCTCCATGCAACCCATCGACAAGACGTAGCAGCGGAGGCAAAGAAATTCTCCGACATTATCCAACTCAAGGCTGACGCAGGTGCACGATACGATGATATCATCACCATTGATCTATCCAAGTTGGAGCCGCACGTCAATGGACCCTTCACACCCGACCTTTCTACGCCACTATCACAATTCAAGCAAACCGTCGAGGAGCAGAATTGGCCCGATAAATTGTCAGCAGGCCTAATCGGTAGCTGCACGAATAGCTCCTACCAAGACATGACTCGTGTAGAGAGCATGGTCCGCGAGGCCTTAGAAGCTGGTCTAAAGCCTGTATCGGATTTCTATATTACCCCGGGAAGCGATCAGATCAGAGAAACCCTACGAAGAGATGGCCCTCTGGACACTTTTAAGGAAGCAGGTGGTACGGTGCTTTCAAACGCTTGCGGACCTTGCATTGGTCAATGGAAGCGGCACGACGGCGTTGAAAAGGGCACACCGAATGCTATTTTTACCTCGTATAATCGTAACTTTCGCGGCCGTAACGATGGTAACCCCGACACCATGAACTTCCTCGCATCGCCCGAAGTTGTCACAGCCATGGCATTCGCAGGCACAACCACCTTCAACCCTATGACCGACTCGCTTCCTACACCCTCAGGTAAAGAATTCCGGTTTTCACCACCTTCGGGTCTTGAAATCCCACCCCAGCCCTTCGAAGTTGCGCGCGAGGAATTTCGCGCACTAATTCAATCCCCCGACCCATCCGTAAGCGTCGCTATCGCCCCCACATCCGAGCGTCTTGCGCTTCTTGAACCGTTCGACCCCTTTCCCGCTTCCGATCTATCCGGCCTTCACGTCCTGGTCAAGGTTACGGGTAAATGCACAACGGATACTATCTCCGCCGCAGGCCCTTGGCTCAAGTACAAGGGTCACCTGCCCAACATTAGCGAGAACACGCTAAACACGGCGACCAACGCCGAGACGGGCGAAGTCAACGTCGCGTACGATCTCGACGGCTCTTCGCACACGATTCCGGAGCTAGGTAAGCGGTGGCGCGAGGTCGGGCGCCCATGGCTCGTCGTAGCCGAGCACAACTACGGCGAGGGCAGCGCGCGCGAGCACGCGGCGCTGCAGCCACGATACCTAGGCGCGCGTATCGTGCTGACCAAGAGCTTCGCGCGAATCCACGAGACGAACCTAAAGAAGCAGGGCGTCGTCCCTCTCACCTTCGCGGACGAGGCCGACTACGACCGCATCGGCGCCGGCGACGAGGTCTCCACCGTCGGCCTCTACGACATGCTCCGCAACGGCGGCAAGGGCGAGGTCGCCCTCAAGGTCAAGAAGCACAAGACGGGTGAGGAGCTCCTCATCAAGACGAAGCATGCCGTCAGCGAGGACCAGGCGGGCTTTATCATGGCGGGCAGCGCGCTCAACTTGCTGTCGAAGCAGTCAGCTGTGTGAGGGGTTTCGAAAGATGGGGGGGGGGTCATGCTTGGGTTGGTTGTATTTGACGCGGGTATGTGCACGTGAACTCGTATATAAGGTTACGGGGTCGTTAGGATGTCTAAAAATGGATTTCGGGTAGGGAGGGAGGGAGGGAGGATTTGTATAAAGTAAAAAGTTAGAAAAAAGAAATGAAAGAAATTACGAGCACAGATACTGCATAGTAAGACTTTTTGTTTTTTGTTTTTGTTTTAAAATATAAATACAAATACAAATACCAATACGACGAGGAGGAACATCGAAGTTTAGGTAGGTAGGTGGGTGGGTAGGTATTAGGTAGGTAAGCACCAATATGTAAGTAAGTCAGTACCTACCTAGTATAATATTGAACTAGTTAGTTATAAGGCTCAAGACTTTTATCCACGGATGTCGATATCCAGAAAGCGAGGAAATATAATATACTTACCTACCTACATAGTAGTTACCTAGGTCAGGTTTAATACCTACTTACCTACTCGATATTTAATACCACAACTAAAACTAAAATCGCAGTCTTCTACATAGGTTAGGACTATTATTCGTTCGTTGCCTGTGTTCAACTGTCTGTGGTAGATAGAACATAGGTAGGTAGGAAACACCTCAACTCAGGTATGTATGTATACCTACCAACGCCGGCCAACTAACCTAACCTAAGTAGGTACATGTCACCATAGGTTTAATGTTAGTATAACACTACAGTGACTACACCCTCATATAGTAGGTAGGTACCTATATAGGTACATAATAGTATACCCCTTTCCCAAGCTTTGTAAACATAACCTACCATCGTTATTATCTATTACCCGCTCTCTACCTAACTAGATGCAATATTCTCTTAACCTACGACGACCAATTTATTACATAGTTAGGTTAGTTTTCTATCAATGTCTTCCTTTCCTTTTTTATGGGTCCCCTTTTTATACTATCGTTGGATTCGTTGCAAATAAAGTCATATAGAGGTACCTATATAGAAGCGTTCAGCTAGTGGGCACCAAGTAAGTAATACAACAGTCTCGATTCATTTATATGTTTACCCTAGGCATGGCTACGTCGTGTATATAAATAACCGCTTGTAAGTAAGTTTCTATATAGATAGACTCATTTCTTTAATATGGACTATTATAATTGAAGCTGCCACAATCCATTCAAGGCGCTTTTCAGCAACCTAGGCTAGGCTAATATGTAAGTCGATGTGTGTGCCAGCGTTAAAGACGCCTCACGCCATGCAATATATGTATCCCCTCCTCCCAATTCATGGACCCGTTGTCCCGTCATGGACCAGGCCAGTCCATATTTATAGTTAGTATTTATAGGAAATCCCTTTCTTCATAAGTTCTCCCTCTGCTGGATATATTTTCAAATGGACTACTTAGATAGCTTCAGGCGAGTCTAGATCCATCTTATCATCATCGTCGACTATATTTGGCGTGTTGTCTTTCCCTTTCCACAGGGCCTCCCATATGCGGGTATTCCTACTTCGACGCCACCGCTGTCGCTGCAAAGCATCATATTTCTGCGCCATTTCGTCGAGTTCATCCAAGGCAGCCAACCAAGCGGGGTTATTTTTGACTCGCTCAGGTAATTCGACCTTAGGAGGGTAACCATCTTCCTCTTCTAATTTGCGTTGTGCTACACGCGCAGCAGCTTTACCAAAATTGGATTTTCTTGTGCCTCGCCTGCGTATATCCTCTTGTTTATTTTGATACCATTTCTTAGGACGAGGTTGCGTCCACTGAACCCGTGGGTCCATATACGCAAAGTGTGTTGCGGGACGAGTCTTTCGGGGTGGTTGTTGCCACTCTGGGAGACCAAACAAAGCGGAACCTGGCTGATTCGGCTCATTGAGCTTACCGTAGATGTAGGAGTCGAATTTTTCAGGGTCATGCTTAGCAACCCAAATCTGACGTCTTTCTTCCGGACTTAAATGTTTCCAACTTCTACCTCGTACCATAGACGCAACTGTTGATACACCATTGGTTGTCTTTTCTACCCCATTGACACTTGCGGTACCTTGGGATGTACGCGTATTGGCCTCCGGTGCCTTTTCTGCGGCTCGAGAAAATGGCGTGGAAGCTGAAGGATCAATTGCCTGAGGTGCAGGTACGCTCGGCGTTTTTGAGATACTAGAGGTTCTTATAGTTTGAGACTGGCTGGTTGGAGTGGCTGTTCGCTGGAAACCGGATTGTGGGAAGACATTCAAGTCATTCGCTCGAGTCTCTTGTGAGACACCATTAGTACTATGCCTGCCAAGTATAGATTTTGCCTCGATGGTTACACGGACGCATCTATCCGTCTCTATGCTTGATTCCGAAAACGGTCCCGTAGGTTCGTCAATATCATTATTGTTATGGGTCTCCGATGGTACGGTTGACCTGGGAGAGGCAATTGCAGACGGAACGTTGTTTGAAACGGCATTCCCGTTGTCTGGTTTAGGCAAGGATGCTTGGAAAGCGGCCCGTGAACTCCGTTCGAGAAAACCCGGGTCGAACTGCGCAAATCTTGAGCCCGGTGACAATACAGCCGGCTCGGAGCGAGGAGCTATGTTTATATCATGGGTCTTTGGGATAAAACGAGGTATCGGACTCGAGCTACTCTTACTAGCACGATCTTGTTCGTTCCGATTAGAACCTTCGGGGTATTCTTTGTCTTTACTTCCACCTAAATTCGTAGACACGTGCACATCTATAGACTTCCCTTTAGATTGAAATCCAGAATCCACTTCATGGTTCGTAATTTGAGAATCTTTGGGGGAATTTCCAATATTATTGATTGTGTTGATATTTTGATCTACGTGGATATTATTAGATGACCGCACCTGTGGCTGTGGCAAGTCGTCATCTCCTGTGAGGTCTATCACTGTTCGAGTTCCGGTATTATGGGGCTTGGAGTTGCGAGGTGGATGATTAGGCTTGAATTTCGAAACATGAGCTTTTATGTCATGTTTCCCGAGTCCAAAGGATGTCTCCAGTGGAATCGATCCTCCCTTGTTTGGTCGAAGGGCGAAATCAGAAGGCTCGATGAATCCAATGTCGCGCCTTTCAGCATCAACTGACTGGAATCTGGAAGACATATGCGAGCTACTTTCCGTAAATGAGGCTTGATGAACTACCCGTTCTGATTTGAACTCATCATTAAATAAACGCAGTCTCTTTACTGGTCGTTGGCCCACGGATAGCGCATCCTTGACAGGGGCGCGATCCGAAGAAGCCTTGATATCGGGACCGTGTATTGAACTAGGGCTCTGCTTTGACTTAGAGTATGTAGTGCTAGTAGTCTTCCTTGCGACTCTCTTGTCAGAAAGTTGCTTTTTCTCGCTCGCATGTCCTTGTGGGAGGAGTGATGTTTTGACAGTGATAGCTTCACAAAACTTGTCCTCTTGTGGGGCTATGGTGGGAGATTGGCCGTTAGGCTGTGCTGGATTCTGCTTCGGCAGAGGCTGGACATTATTACTAGGCTGGCGTTGATTTGGCACGGCGGAAGATGCCATATTTTTTGTGGGTATGGAGCTTTGGCCATTTGTGTGTTGTGCACAATAGGGTCCTCGGATCAAGATGGTGGCGTCGCATCCCTCAAATTGACATTGCCGGAAGATGTACTCCTCACTCTCCATGGTTTGGAGTTGAGATGTAGATTGAAAGGCCAAAGTGAGGTACAGATAAACCCAGGACTCTATATTACTAGAGCAATATAGGAAAGGTTAGAAGAACCCGGGTCAATGAGGCCTGGATAAGCTCCAGTATGTGCGAGGCTGCAAAGACCTATAAAATAAAATATGGGATGATTGGATTCTTTCCTTTGACGCTTGCCGGAACCGTGTCATCGTAGCCGCGTTTGCCTCGTAATATGGAGACACATTCAGCAATTGCGCCAAAGTCTACTGAATATAATCGGTTAATGTTGGTTGACGAGAGTCCAATGATGGTGGATGACTTTTGGGACAGGTGTTGGGTTCAATGTTGAAGAAAAGAGAAAAAGGTGGAAAAGGAAGAAAAGAGGGGTGGTAGATGTTAAATGGTGAATGATAAAATGATTGTATGAAGATGATGATCAATAGGAAAGAAGCATACTGTACTTGCAGTAGGTTAGCGTAGTGCCTTCCTACTTGGTATTGGACGAAATTAATGGAATTAATGGAATTAAATTGAATTAAATGGAACATTGAATAGACGAGGAATGAATTCTCATGGTAGGCAAGAGTCATCCACTTACATAACCCTCAGAGCATGTGAAGTTCAGATAAAAAAACAATAAAAAAACAATAAAAAAACATATATATAGTACCTACTGAGTTAGGTGGATTAAGACCTAGGTAGATAACAGGTAGGTTTATAGATATGTGTGTGGCTACCTAGTAATGAGGAGGGCGTTAGGGGATAGACATTTAGAGTATAACTTCGTTTCGCTTAGATAGTTGTTGAAACAGATATTGGTAGGATTCTGTACCTCGTGCCTCGATCTTTTTCTCCACGATGTTTTGATCAATAGTAGGGCTGTACCGTTTCATAGGTAGCAATATCCTATCTTCTATTATACATCAATTCACAACTATCAAGGGAAAACACTGAGATATAAATCCTATAGACAATGTTAGAGAAAATAAAAGAACAATGGAAGGAGGGATTTAAACCCTATAACTTGGAATTGCGGGGGATAAAAATAACATGTAGACGGAGTTTATAGGCTGGTCTCAGATCTTTTCAGTTTTCATATCGAGTCATCAACCTGTAGGACATAGCGGTTTCCAATTCTCAACCTCGCCTTAAATCAACCTCCAAGCGCCAGCTGGCGCTTATTCGCCGCAGCCTTTGGTCCAGCCTTATAGGGGCAATGCAAGGCCAGGCTCCTATTTAGCGGAAACACGCAAGAGGTTGCAATATTGTTTTGTCTTATCCCAGCATATTTGAACGGGCCAATGATTTGAGGGTGGCGAGTCCAACATGAAATTGGGGATTATAGACGGGGTTTGAATGGAAGACTTGGATGAGATTTAAGGCGGGTTATAGAATTCGAAACCAGAAAGTCCCTAGACGCAGTCCGACCTTTTACCAGATTTGGTCATCACTGACCAGCCTCGTCATAAAAAGACAATGAAAAGAGGAAAAGGGAAAGAAAATAAACTAAAAATACCCCTGAAACTATCGATTGATGATTTCAGAGTTGTTCGTAATGCATTCATTAACTTGAAGATAAAAAAATGAAATGGAAACTTACTTAAGGGTGACAAATACCCTCCCGAATTTTTATCCAGCGTTGTTGAGCCTCCTTCGTCATCATACGCGTATGATTTCAGCAGAGCCAAGTCGCGTGGGTTGGGATTTGGAGATTCGCGTATAAGTCGTATACAAGTTGATGAGTATCACTGAACTGGTCTGGTTCTTTATATCAACGAATATAAGACTTAATCATCCTCATCTACTCATAATAGCAGATTACTACTAGTAGTATGCTGTCAGTACAAAAGTTGGTATGTAGAAGGTAAATATGCTACTACTAACGCTATTATGTAGGTAACTAGGTTAGGTAGAATGTAAGCTTAATTGATGGAGAAGGCGGTAATATGGTGGCCCGTGCGTGGGTATATTCAAGTTATTCGTAGTTATTTCCCAGGTTACTCCCGAATCTTGGCATGCAGTCGATCTCGGATTATTATTCTTAGCCCTTAGTTAGTTATCATCAATAGAGTTTGAGATTCATCTAAAATTATTCAATGCGAATTGAATTGGAGTGTGAATGCATTGTTGATATCATGAAGTGTACTACATACATACCTTAGGTAGTGAGATAAGCTCATCTCAAAGCACATTGCCACGATATTCTCCAACAATCGGAGGTTGCAGTCAATAGTTGGTTCCTCTACGCACTCAGGTTCTTACTATTAACGATACTTGCCCAGTAGGTGGGCGTCGCTCATCAAGTTGCCCTTCGCTTTTGATACTACTGGCGTAGGCACTAGATAGTTATCCGGCAATCAGCAATAATCACTACGTACCAAGTCCCCAATTTTAAAAGCATTTATATGTCATGCAAACCTGGTACTAGGAAATTAGAATGTGAAGAGGTAGACTGTAGACCTTCTCGTATTTTCCAGACTCAACAGGTAGAAAGGTTCCATTAAATCAAAATGTCAATTTCGCATGGCGTACTCGAGGAGTCCCAAAGTTGTTTATTATAAAGCCCTTATTATGACTAACTGGACAATAATGACAATAGATTGAGATGTTGATTCTAGATTCTAGGCTTCTTATTTAAAAGAGAGTTGGTTTTATACCTACCTAACTTGGGCATCTACAAATTAAGTATTGCTGCTTTGGACAGTTGAGCAGAATGCGGCAACATTGTGAACAATGTACCACACTATATCACACTATCGCTGTTGATGAGCAAGGTAGAATGGATCCGTGTCTACGGCCTCTCTCTCCCGAATGGCTACCCAGGTACTTGCGATAGATTCGAACAGATCGCAAATCGTATACTTCAGTCGACAACTCAATATCGTGGAATCGCTGGCATTCGAAAAACACGCTCTTGTGATATATCCCGTAGTGTATCAGACTCAGTCAGTCATATTGCGTCTTGACAGATGATATCATCGTAATCGACTCATGATCCAGTTCGTTGGAGTTAATAGCAGAGATCGCGGGAAAGAGGTCTTTGATTCATCGTTACGCCTCGTTTTGGAGAAGTCCAAGTCAGAGTCGGACTACCCTGACTTCAATGTATTTAACGTTGTCGCTGTCACATTCGGCCAAAAGGAAAAGAAAAAAAAAGAAACAACGGAGAAAATGTAGGAGGGAGCGTGGAATAAATATGCTGTAGGGTAATATACATGCCTCACTTAAGGTTAGGACATGCATGTCTGTAAGTAAAGGAGTTGACCGAGAGAATAAGCTTCAAAGCTTACCTCATCTGATAATTACAGGACGTAGGTCACGTGCAGACTCTCAGACTCATGACAGTCATCCAATCAGCCAGCACAAAAACTTTTAATGTGGCGACTGACTTTAGGCATTGCACCAGTGATTTCCAGAACCACGATCTACACAGGTCGGCGGGCTCCGATCGTACCATATTTTCTATTGCATCGTACGACGCAGTCCACGCACCAGGCCAGAATTTCCAAAGATTTCCAAAAATTCCTAAAAATTCCCAAAAATTCCCAGGACAAACCCCATTAGACCAGCCGCAACCAACCGTAGCCAACTGATTTCATACCCTTTCATCTCCGATCCCTTTTCGCCCATCGCGAATTAGGTCATTTGTTGCCTTGTTGCCTTGTTGCTTAGTTGATCCGTTGATCCTATTATTCCCTGAATAGCAACTGTTCGCCAATGAAGTCGCTGTCAGCCGCCCGCAATGGCGTGACGCCTCCCAAACCTCACCAGATGTTAGATAGAAACTAGAACCAACCAGACCCAACCAGGTAAAGTCCTTTGCGTATTGGCATAGTATTGTAACTACGTGTGTACTTTTCACATGGCCCGCCTGTCATGAACATTGCCATGGGCATTCCCGATCCATCGGTCAATGGGGAACCACGCCGTTGGATCTCGCCGCTAAACTCGGATTGTGCCTCAGCTCGTATGTTCAGCACCGCCATGCTGCGTAAGGCTCACGGGTATTCTGGGGCGATGAGGTGTTTGGGAGCGAGATTACCGCCAATGGCTCTTCGTGATGTAGTTAGTATAAGAGAACCCATGGGCTGCCATTGTTCTGGGGTTATGAAAGAGAGCATCACAGCAACATAGACATCTTCACTCAATACCTACTATACAATTACATCACATCACAACATCATCTATATATCATCATATATATATATATAACTTATAAATCTCCTCTCTGCTACATCTTTGCAATAGAGAAATATAGACATCTCCACTCTTCACATATCAACAACATCTCAACTCGAATAAATCAACTTCGACACTTGTCTTACTAAACAACATTATTGGATATCCAACAAAAAAAGTCTCGTCTCATCTAAACAAAAACACTTCACATAAAAAAATGTCTGCCGCCATCGCTTCCCGAGCTCAAGCTCCCCTCTCCGCTCTCGCCCGACAAGCCTTCAAGGCCTTCCGGCAATCAACCCGGATCGTCGAGGGCCCTACTGAGGCTCTTCCCGCCACCGTCAAGGGCGCTCGCGCCGACTGGGGCCGTATCGTGCGTGCTCGTGCCGGCGTTGCTGCAGTGTAAGTTTTATTACCACCTCCTCCTCTACCTCCCATCTCTTAGCTACAAAGCGTCGGCGACTAACATATTATCCCCTATATAGATACTTCCCGATGATGGGCACCTTCCTCACCTGGCCCTTCATGGCCAAGTACTTCCTCGACGGCAACGTGGGACGGTTTTAAATTTTCCACCTACACCTTCATGGGATATATAGGGGGAAGGGGGGAGATGTAATCAACAATGTCCTCTCCAACCCCCTTTCGTCACGACGACTCACATACTATCTACTTCTTGTGCATAGCATTTTCCTTCCCCCCCTTCCAGCATACATGAACAAACAACAACAACAACAACAAAACACATGGGATCCGACTGGGGCGTTTTTGAAGGGACCGGCCGAAAAAAGCCTGGCGGATTATTATCATGACATTACTAGGCGTTCCGGGACCACTTGATCAGATCGAGTCGAGTTTTGGGGGCATGAAATGAAAGATGGACAGAAAAAGGGGGTAGGCGATCTACCCGAAAGAGAAACAAACCTGATCGGAACCTTGAGTAGGATCAGAAGAAAAAAAAATAATAGCATCCATACCTACCTAGGTAGTTAAGAAGAAAGGTCTTAGCCTATACATACCTACCTAAGTACTTAGTATACCTAGGATAGTAAAAGTCACATTACAAAAATGTCGACTTTATTCTCTTTAATTTAAGTATTCATCTATACATCTATACATCGCTATGTAACCTAGCCTGACCTATCTGATCGTAATTGTGATAGGTATTTATGTGCATGTGTACCTAGGTAGTTAGGTAATCTAAGGGAGTAAGTAAGGAGTTGGTAACAGGTAGGTAGGTAAGGCATCTCGAGCCCAAAGCAAAACCCCCAAAGGGCCAATCAATCACGCGACCACCGTCCCCGCCGCCGCATGCGCCGCCGTCGATATCGTATCCTTCGCCACGGGCGCCGCCGCCGCCGCTGCTGCTCCCTTCGTGTACTCGAGATACCCGTCCGTGCTCTCGGGCACATGCAGCTTCCTCGCCTCGGTGGTATCCCGCAAGCCCGTGCGCCTCAGCACCTCGACGGTGCGGGCGTACTGCTCCTCGGCGTACTTCTCTGCGTCGAAGCCGAGGATCCAGGCCTCGCGGCGCAGGCGCATGCTCTCGGGGTTCTTCTTGGCGGCGTCGATGTCGGCCTTGTGCCAGATGTCGCGCGTCTGCTCGCCCGTCTTCTGCGCCGACTTGACGCGCTCGTACCGGATCGCCTCGAACGCCGCCACCGCCTCCCGCACCTTGTCCGGCCCCCCGCACTCCCGCAGGCACACGGCGATCGTGACGCCGTCCTCCATCGCCTGCGAGGCGCCCTGGATCGACGTGGGCAGGAAGGGGTGCGCGGAGTCGCCGATGAGCGCGATGCGCCGCCCCTTGGAGATCCAGGTGGGCAGGGGGTCGCGGTAGACGAGCTTCCAGTCGACGAGCGGCGAGGGCGTCTTGTCGAGGATCTTCTGGATGACGGGGTCCCAGCCCTCGAGCACCTTGCGCGCGTCCGACAGGGGGGCCTCGAGCTGCCAGCTCTCCTCGATGTCCGCGTCGTCCTTGTGCGTGCAGACCCACGAGAAGTCCTGCCCCTTCTTCATGCACGCCCCGATGAAGTGCACGTCGGGCCCGATCCACGCGATGTGCTTGTCGCCGCCCTCCGTCAGGAACTTGATGTCCGGGTCCTGCGCGATGTCCTTGGTGCTGAACCAGCTGCGGTACACCGCGTAGCCCGACGGCTTGGGCTTGTCCTCGAAGCCGAGCACGATCTTGCGGCCCTTGCTGCGCACGCCTTCGGCCGCGACCACCACGTCTGCGGTGATGCGCTCGCCGTTCTCCAGGACAACGCCGGTTTCTTTGTCATCCTCGAAGTAGTCGTCAACTCGCGCATTCAGTCTGATCTTGACACCGATCTCCTTGGCGTGGTTGTAGACGATCTCGTGGAACTCTCCTCGGTGGCCGTCATAGCGGATCCCGAATTCTTGGTCCTCTCCTTCCCAGTACTGCGTGAAAAGGGTCTCGCCTTTCCATGACTTGATGGTGATAGCGTCAGCCCGCATGCTCAGCGGCTCCATCTTCTCGGCCACACCAGGCCATCGACGGAAGAGCCGCGACGAGTTGGGCCCGAAGGAGATGATGTCACCTAGTAATTTGATCTCTGGGAATTTCTCTAGCACCAAGACATCATGTCCCTTGCGGTGGCATTCAATCGCGGCTGTCAGCCCCGCGAAGCCCGTACCCACCACAATCACTTTGATGCCCGTTGGCGTTGGTTTCTGTGACTCGGCCATATTTTTACTGCCTTTGCTTGATCACTTTGCTGCTGTATCACTTTGCGTACCTAGCCTTTTATCTTGTCTGCCTTTTGCTTTGCTTTTTTCTGCCGGTCGTCTCTCTCTTAAACCCCGGGAACCCGAGGAGTTGGCACTTATCTAAGATGCTCGTAATGTGTTTAACCTCGGGAATATCTTATGAACTAACAATATCCTACCGACGATAAAAGCTTCTGTTGTTCTCGGTGACGTATGCTGCTCCGAAGGTGCACGTCCTCTTATTCGTATATCCCCAGATTCCCCATACATTGTAGTCCCCCTTAGTCTCGGGGGTGGAGATGCGACTAGGTATATGTGAGGCTGTTCGATCCATCCCCCTTTCACTCTAACCATATTAGAACAAAATTCCCCGCATCTGTCTGGAAAAGGAGAGTCGGCAGTTGTATCACGCAGACATTTATATGCTTAATCATGCCTGACAACGATACTAGCAAACCCCAATCCCCACGTTTCAGAAGCGCGGCCGTGCTGTAAATCTGGTTTAGATCGTGTGGATCGATTCAGCTTGTTATGCTATTAATGATAGTGGGAGGGGTGCGATGTCACGCTCCACGGTAACATATCCACGGCCAAAACAAGGAGCACCTAGATTGTCGGCACTTATTAATACACTTCTCCAAAATTCGACATCTGGGGTATTTCAGAACTGGACTTCCCCATGTATGCGTCGACGGTCTGAGAAGGTTCAACTCTGAGAAGGTCAATAGTATCTTTCATCAGAAACAAACAACTTTTTCTAGCATCGATATTTGTGTTCACAGCACTAAGCCGACAAGATGCCTTGGGGAATTTTAGAGGATCGAGACACGGGCAATGTCCCTGGCACGAGTATGACCGTCCTTTGAAAATGTTACAAAATTGTATAGTTGCTAATTTGCCGATTCAGTTATGCTCTCTGACCAGACCGACATGCCAGAGGAATATCGAAATGTCTCCCGCGACTTACTCAAGCACGGAACTGGAAAACATGCGCACACCATATTGGCCCCTCAGCCAACCGACTCACCCAACGACCCCTTGAATGTGAGCCATCCCCCGTGAACAGCCTGTAAACAGGCTTATAAGGTTGAAAACTCACAATAATATAGTGGCCGACATGGCGAAAAGATGTCATCCTCGTCATCGTGGGACTGTCTGCCGGTGTCGTAGGCGCCTATGGCCCGATGCTTTCGCCGGGCTTTGTTGAGATCGCTGCGGCGCTGAACATTACCGTCAGCAAGCTCTCACAAGCAACGGCCTGGATCATTTTGATGATCGGACTTTCACTATTTGTCCTCAACCCACTCGCAAAGAAAATTGGTCGACGACCGGTATATGTGTTATCCAGCATAATCATGTTGACTGGAAGCATCTGGGGATCCTTTGCAAAGGATTACGACAGCTTTCTGGGTAGCCGAATCTGGAGTGGATTGGGCATGGCACCATATGAGGTTCTGGTGCAGTGCACGATCGCAGATGTAACTATACCCCCAAGCCTCGCCTTCCTTTCTGTTAATCTAATCTTGCTTTAATAGATTTACTACGTTCACGAACGGGCCAGTCGAATTGCGATGTGGAACATGTTCCTTCTCTGTGGTATTAGCGGTGGTTCTCTTATTGCCGGTTACATTATTGAGGTAAGTTCCTGGCGAAAGCTGTGCTATAGCGAACCGTTACCTAACAGACTGTGTAGGATCAAGGTTGGCAATGGACGTTAATTTGGTGTGCCATCATTTTTGGCATACTGCTACCTGCGGTCATCCTATTCGTCCCCGAAACGGCATATCGAAGACAGCCATTTGTGCAACAACTGGTAGCTAGAGGGGCTACGACTCATGACACAACTTCGGACGCTTCCGAGAAGAAGATTGCCTCAACCGAGCATGAGGAGTCTGCGAATACGGACGCAGTAGAAACCGGTGTCGTGACAGAGAAGAAAGAGTCATTTTTGCGAAGCATGCGGCTCTGGGATGGAGTTTATACTGATACGCCACTCTGGAAGATCTTCTTGCGTCCCATGGTAATCTTCTTCTACCCGGGCGTGCTCTGGGCATTCCTAAACTACGGTGTTACGTTGAGCTTGATCGTCGTCTTCAGCGTTGTCAATGCAGTCATCTTCACCGCACCGCCATACAACTTCTCGGTATCTGAGACGGGATTGATCTCACTGTCACCTTTCATCCTGACGTTCATCGGAGAAGTCATATCTGGACCGTTGAATGATTGGGTGTGTTTGTTTCTGGCCAAGAGGAACCGTGGTATCTATGAACCTGAGTTTCGACTGCCACCAATCATCATTTCTTTCATAGTTGGCGTCGTAGGTTTCTTTGGATTCGGTATCACAATCCATTACCAAACACATTGGACTGGACCGGTGCTATGCTTTGGTCTAGCAAACATGAGTCTTGCGTTGTCTAATGCGTCTGTCTTTGGCTATGTCATTGATTCTCATAAGGAGCTGGCGGAAGAAGGTCAGTGTTCCCCTATTACCCTTATTTACACCTCTTATCGATGTGAAAGTACTCAAATAACTAACTACTGTGTTTTATGATATAGCGTTCGTGGCCATCAATGCTCGAAATCTTTTGACCTTTGGTTTAACCTTCTTCGTCAACGATTGGCTAGCAGCATCTGGAGTCCTTAATGTGTTCAACGTGCTGGGAGGCGTATTCGTAGTTGTCAATGTGCTGACAATTCCGCTATGGATTTATGGAAAGCGAATTCGGGGATATATTGGCAGAAATGAGGCGCTACATCGGTTTATGCATGAAGATTAAAGGATTATAAAATCATGTATTTGTATGTGTATTCCTGAATTAGATACCCAATGCTGGTACGAGGGTAAGAATTGAGGATTATAAGTTCTCATCATGAAATAGAGACAGACATAAAGAATAGTTAGAATGAGAATGAGAATGAGAATGAGAATGGCAAATTGAGCATCATGAAAAGTCAAGTGGTCAATGCGCAACTTAATTGATGTTGATGTCAGCTTTCCCCGTCCAAAAAAAAAAGAAGGGAGAAAGCTTGGGCCACCTTTAGGTAGGGTTAGGTACGTAGTTACTAACCTAAAGGTTAGGTAGTTTACCAATGTGGCACGGACCCCTGCATGAGCTCCTGAACAAATCTAAAGAATCCAAACGGGAAATCGCGTCAAGAATTGATTGAAAGAAGTCGCCAAAAAAAAAAAAGAGGGAAAGAGAAGCTAGCTACTAACTAAAAATTGTCCCCATTTTGATTTCCTGTCCCAATTCCAATTACAGTTCGGATTAAATCGTCTCCATTATCTTTCCCCGGATTATTCGCCCAACGAGATGCTTCTTGGACTTACGGGCTGACGACCAAACCGTGTTTTTGTAATCCTTGTTTTCTATCCGTTGGCTCTTTTTTTTCTGAAGTGATACCCGTTAGGGCTAATTAGTAGTTGACTACCTGTTCAACTGATTCGTTGCCTCTGTTTACAGCAAGCAACAAACAAGCGGTATACCCATCATTTCAAGGCACAATAATTACAATAATTACAATATTTCAACACGCACACGCACATACGGATACACGCGCGTACACATACACATCGAAAACACACAAATATTGTGCAACTCAAGGTTCAACGGCGACGGGTTAGACGGTAAAGCGGAAATCGGGGATCGGAGTGGACAGACAAGAAGATACAGCCACCCACTACATCACTACACCACCAACCATGACAGACACCCTACACAACGCCCCCATTGTATTGGACAATGGCTCGGGTACCATTCGGGCTGGCTTTGCAGGTGATGATCTACCCAAGTGTTATTTCCCCTCTTTTGTAGGCCGACCCAAGCATTTGCGAGTGCTTGCCGGCGCGTTGGAAGGCGAGGTATTCATTGGCCAAAAGGCGGCAACAGAGCTCAGGGGACTTCTCAAGATAAGATATCCCCTAGAACACGGTATTGTCACGGACTGGGATGATATGGAAAAGATATGGGAATATGTCTACAGCGAAGGATTGAAAACCATGAGCGAAGAAGTATGTGCCTATTTATCTTTATTCCTAACAAGGTAATCTGCTGACGTTTACCCCTATCCACTAGCATCCTGTCCTCCTTACTGAGCCTCCTCTAAACCCACGAGCGAACCGTGACACGGCCGCCCAGATCCTCTTCGAAACTTTCAACGTCCCCGCCTTATACACCTCCATTCAAGCCGTCCTCTCTCTTTACGCTAGCGGCCGAACAACTGGTTGTGTATTAGACTCTGGTGACGGCGTCTCCCATGCGGTCCCGGTTTATGAAGGGTTCACCATTCCATCTTCGATGCGTCGCATTGACGTTGCCGGCCGTGACGTCACTGAGTATATGCAGACTCTTCTGCGTAAGAGCGGCTACGTGTTCCATACAAGCGCCGAGAAGGAAGTCGTGCGGCTGATCAAGGAGTCTGTCTCATACGTGGCACTAAATCCCAAAGCGGAAGAGAAGGACTGGCACAGTGCCAAGCCAGATTCAAACAAGACGGCTGAATACATACTCCCCGACGGCAACCGGCTTCGTGTGGGCCAGGAACGGTTCCGTGCGCCTGAGATCCTGTTCGACCCCGAGATTATAGGACTAGAGTATCCTGGCATCCAACAGATTGTCACAGACTCAATAAACAGAACAGATCTAGACCTTCGCAAGGCGCTTTACGCCAACATTGTGCTTTCCGGCGGTAGCACCCTTACGAAAGGTTTCGGTGATCGCCTGCTCAGTGAAGTCAAGAAGTTGGCCGTTAAGGATATGCGTATCAAAATCTTTGCTCCGCCAGAACGTAAATACTCAACCTGGATCGGAGGCAGTATTCTCGCTGGTCTGAGCACGTTCAGAAAGGTATGTGCATTACGGTTGAGAATGGGAATATCTATGAGAGACTAACAAAAGTATAGATGTGGGTTAGCATTGACGACTGGCACGAGAATCCGGATATCATTCACAAGAAACTGACATAACCTATGCTGCTTACGTATCTGACTGAAAGACTGATGATACTGATGAGACATCGGAGTTCAAGAATATAAGGGGAAATAGGAGGGAGCAATGAATAACGATAACTCGCCGTCTCCTGGACCAAATTTTAATACATATTACGTGCGAGACGTTCGCGTGGGAGAAAGCATACGATATGCGCCGCCAGAAAAATCCCAACGCGTGTTCACGTTCTAATGACGGTATCGCCTGTTGGGGAAGCTCAACTCTCCACTCAGACAATACGATAGATGCGGAAGGGGATAGGAGAAGTGGAAAGGGGAAATGAGGAGGGAAGAAAGAGAAAGAAGAAGAGGAGAGTGGGGACGGAAATGAAATGCGATAGAGAAGCCGGCCAGCTTGTGTGTCAGATTATTTGGCGGAATACCTTAAGTCATCTTATGTAGATGAGAAAGATACCCAGGCGTTGATGATGATGCTCGATCCGACGATGATGCAGATATTATGTGGCGGTGACGATGTTAAATTGCGACGTGGAATGTGAAGTACATGTATGAAATGCTGATAGTGAAACCCTTGAGAATAATTGATAATACAGCTTGGCTTATACATACCTAGTAGGTAACAATTCATGTACAAATATTGACAGAGAATATTGAATATTACGAATATGTAAATGGATATTTGGTTTCTTGATGGGTTTTGTTTTATATTGAACTGTTAGAAGATGATCGGATCCCATCCTATTCCTGATCCGATTCCCGTCCCCGTTCCCATCCCCGTGCCGTTCCGTTCTAAGCCAGGCTGTATACCTACCTATGCATCTTTCCACACACATATACCTAAACAGCCCTCTTCAAAATCCGCTCGCTCCTTATAATAGAAAAAAAAAGTCGCTATCGGGGGTATTGTATATATATCATCGTCGTCCAAAAAATAAAAATTCACCAGAACCAAACACCTGTCATAAAATCCCCCCCCCCTTACTTAACCCCCCTTTTTCGTTCCCGGAATCTACCAGCCGGGCAAGGAGGGAGGGGGGGGGGGGGGGGAGGGCGCGTCGAGACCTGATTTGGGGGTTTCCCCAACTCTCTAACCTAGTTATCTCTGTCGCTCTGGTTGGTTTGCTTCTGAGGCCCCGAAACTCTTTTGATCTCCTGAGTACCTAAGGTAGAGAACTACTACTTCAAAAGTTTTTTTTTTTTATGTGTCTTTTTGCTTTTCCGATTCTTTCGACTCATATACATAACTAGGCGTAAGTAGTTACCTATGAGAAGCCCCATGAACAACTCCGATGCGCCGTGCTGTCTGTATAAACCCAGTGGCTGCAAACCCTCAAAAAAGCAAAAAGTAAAAAAAAAAAAAAAAAAAAATAGGGGTGGAGAAGAAGAAGAAGATGATGTGTCAAATCATGATATAATACGGAGTGCGTTTGTCATCGTTCAGGATGATGATCGTTTGATGATTGGCCATTGGCCGTTTAGCCGCCCGCCCCATCACGGGCTCCCAGGCTTCTCAGCGGCGGTGGTGGCTCAGGCGGCTCCAGATGTTCGTCAGGCTGCCGGCGCTGCTGGCGCTGTGCTGGCTCGACGCATCGCTGCTTTTGCGGGTCCCGTTGTTGTTGCTGTTGTTGTCGCCGCTGCCGGCGCCGTACACGTTTCCCGCGCCGCCGCGCCCCACGTACCCGACGGGCTTCTGCTCGATGTTCGTCTGGTGCGCGAACTCCTCGTCGAACGAGAGGACCGGCTTCGCGGAGGACACGTGCGCGTTGCCGGCTCCGCCGCGGCCTGAGTGGTATCGCGATGATGACGCGGAGGTGGTGGTGGTGGAGGGGGAGGGTTTGAGCGTGGTGGTGCTGGTCAGGGGCTGCGTGGGGATGCCGGAGGGCGGCGTGGTGGCGGGCGCGCGGAAGTAGTTGCCTGCGCCGCCGCGGCCCGAGTGCACGTATGCGTTCTGGTGGACGGTGGGGTGGGGCTCGGTGATGGTGAAGTTGGGCATGGTGGGCGGTGATGAGTAGGTAGGCAAGTATCAAGGTATTGGATGTTTAGCAGCGAGATATGTAGGTTACGCGAGTAATATGGGTTTTACGCCTTTGTTACTAGGTAGGTATTTAAGGATAAGGGTCAAAAAGCAAACGTGTTTTCACGGGAATGGAAAGAGGATATGGAGTTATTATAGGTATTTCTGTCGTGATGACCAGGGGGGGGGGAGGAAGCAGGCAAAGCCCTTTGTCATAGTTACAACCGTTTCCCACGAGACAGTTCCTGGCTGGTTTAGGTACGGCACGTGGGAGGAAAGAAACAAAGGGGAATGCCTAGAAGAAGGGAAAAACTAAAAAAGCTACATGTGGCCAACGATACGTAACTACGTACTCCTTACCTTTCAGCTAAAGCAAATAAAACAACATGCAATTTGGGAAAATTTTCGAAGGGCCAAAATGGTGGTTTAGCAAGTTTAGCAAGAAAAAAAAATTAAGGCACGCGGTAACTATGGACAGGACACTAAGAGGTGAATTTGGACATGACTAGGGGGGCTTGGACAGCAAAAATCATCGTTCTTGGCATCGATGTCGTAAGGCGCCTAGCAGTTAACGGCAAGATGGTGGAATCTGGGGTAGCCGCGTGATGGATCCCATTAGCAAGGTATTAGCTAACAGAAGCTCCCAAGGTCGATGCGGTTACGAAATCGGGCCTTGGGTAGGGGCATCATGAGACCTGCAAGCTGCTGCAAGGTGAGTTTCTCGTACCTAAAAATTACCCCATAGTTTGCTTTTCTTTCTTCCCTCGCCCACTAGACAGGGGTTATGCGAGATGGGCTCTAGGTGGTGCAATTTTTCTGCTTTGGGACAAGACCATTGAAGCATTTTATGCTTGGGCTTGCTTGGATTGGTGAGAAGAACTCGGCAACCGTCATACGGTGTTGTATTACAATTGTAACTTTGTACAAGACTACAAGTACAGCAGCCCAGATCATCGAATCCTGTCTGCCAGCCAGCCCAGCTTTGGTGTGCCTCCCTGCAGGTACGGGCTGGCTGGATCCAGGAGCCGCTGCAATCCGCAGCCAATAGATCTGAGTGGCTGGCCACGTTGATTCGCTTACAGCAGCTGAGATAAATGGGAGGCCAAATTTCGCCATATGTTCCTATGCGATTTGCCATGTTTAGAATGTCCAGCCATGCTGCTGACGTACGGTCTCCCCGTTGGAAATTTTTCATTTAAATACATCAAAGCAGGTGTAGTTGAAGTGAAGGTGTGTTGACGGGTATGAGCATCTCCGGCCAAGCTTACTAGGGCATTCCCATTTTATTTGCTATGTGCCCAACTATTATGTACCTAGTAGTGTAGCCTGTGTAGGACCTGTAGGTCCCCACCGCTTAGAGAACAAATGACTGCGGCGATTAAAGTCAAAATCGTTTCTAGAGGTATCTATCGAGTAAAATATCCCGAATCGGCCGGTTCATGAAGATTTTGCTCGGTGAGTTCTTGACTAGCCCGTCGCCTATTACAGAGAGTGTGTGTGTGCCTAGTATTTGTGGGGGGAGGCGGGAAAAAGTTGAAGTTTTTGCATCCACTCCTGTTATGCCCTATATAACCTCAGCTGCTTTAGTTAGTCATGACCTTGGAAGTAGGTAACCTAGCAGCCATCGCACTTGTTACGGGTCGTTCTCATACCGGCGTGAGGCATGCGTTCGAACGAGCTATAAAAAAAAACTAGAATCCTGATTGCGTTACTTGTAAATGATTTTTCTTTGTTTGTCCCACTACATGTAGTAATAGTAATGCACAGCATGTTATTTTATGAAGAGCCTCCGAGGTACTTGCGCCTCTATCCTCCGGGTCTGAGTCGTCGACTCGTCGGTGATACGGGATTGAATTACTGTATTCTGGACATTCCCTCGCCGAGTGTATCGCGTAGGACAGCTTCAACGGACATAATTGTTGCTTCAAACATACTGGCCATGGTGATGATGCCTCTCTACTGCATGATAAGAAAGACGGGGGAGTGTGGTTTGTATTGAGAGTTGACTAGGTTATGTAGCTACCTACCTAGTACTAGGTAGCTATGTAGGTTATGTATTTCGTATATATTGCTGACTAATTGCATGGTATTCAGCCGCAGTTCAGTTCTGAGTTCCTCACTACTAGGTACCTACCAGGTAGGGTCCTCTTCACGTTTCGCTTACCTAACATACCCTAGGTACCTCACATACCTCACATACCTCACATCTCTATAAGAACACCATATCTCCATGCAGCCAATACGCAGGTCCCTTTTAGACCTTCCAGCTGATATCAGAGAGCGCATTTATCTAGATGCCGGTCTCATCTCAGATAATAACCTCAGCTTGGGGTTGAGGTTCGGAATGTGGAACTTCCTGTGGAATCCTACAATTCAGCTGCACAGCGTCACTCGTAACCTCCTCCAAACGTGCAGGAGTATTTCTGCTCATGTCAGATCAATTATTCTTACCAGGAATGCCCTTATCGTTGCCAGGGAAAGTTGCCACGATGCCCTACGGATCTTGCGTCGTCTATCGCAAGAGGAGTGTCGGAGTATACGCCACTTATTTGTTCACCTGCACGTCCAAGATAGTCTTCATGATGGGCCTGGCTCTGAGGTCCAGGCTACCACTCTTCCCCCTGAACGAATAGTGGCATGGCAAGCCACAGCCCGGCATCTCCTATCGCAGATAAGCCCAGGCACGTTAACGTTGCATCTGATTTCTGACACGGGCGACAGCTCAGAGACTCGTGCCATTTGTCAACCCTTACTTGAGTTCCCAGGCAAGCTGAAGGACTGCGAGCTTCGGCTCGGGTCGAAGCAGCAACATCACTTGTCTGTTCTAGCTTCGAACATTGTCACCCGAATTCGAGGAGGCGACCCGGACACGGGGACCAGTCCCTTCCGTTTCTTAGACCTTCCGGCCGAGATTCGGCGGCATATTCTCGAGTACACTGACCTCGTGACGCCTTACGGCCAAGTCCGATGGAACCAAAAAAAGGGGTTTCACGTCGTCTTTAGGTTTAGGGGCACTGGATATATGGAACATGGCTGTTCGCACAGACACCAATGTGCCTGCAGACGGCTGTTTTGCACGTCGGTGACTTCCATCGTGACAGGGTCCTTCTGCCGCAGCCGGCGAAGCGCATACTCCTCCCACTGCCACTGCTGGGCCCCACCAAAAGCCTTCATGTCCGTCAGCCGTGTGTTTTACCAGCACGCGATCGATGTATTCTACTCGCACAATAACGTCACGATCATGCCGTCTAAGGGTGCCACACGCAGCGTCTGCACTCGCTATAGCCTGCTTCGCCTGGACGCGTCGCGGTTCATCACGAGACACATGTGGCCGGAGGTGCTTCGCCATATCCACTCTCTAGAGCTTATCCTTCCGCTGACCAACTCGGTATCCTGCCCAGAATTTCGGAGCCCTCTCTACTTAGACTGGTGCTTCGCCATCGCACACCTCAAATGCCACGCGAACCTGGACAAGTTGAAGCTCATCGTCTACTCATTGGTAGATGCTCCCAGGGGCTTTAAACCTAGCCCCCTCATACATGCCGACTGGAACGTGAACGCGGGGCCTCCTCTGCTACTCGAGGCACACACCCGCCTTCTGACGCCGCTGCAGTTCATGCGGCCGATCAAGTATTTCTTCGTGTTTCTGGAATGGTGGTGGCACTGGACACCTGAGCACCTCGCGCCGTCTAGCACGACTGAAATATCATCCCACGACGCCTTTGCAGCTACCGCTGAGCAGCAGCAGCACTGGGCCGTGGTCGAAATGGAGTTTTGTCTCGAACGCACGGTCATGGGGGACGGATATGATAGCTTGGCCGTGGGAAAGGCAAAGGAGCGGCAGAGTGTCTGGATGTTTAATGAGGATTAGGGGGTAAGGAAGGAGGCGGCTAAATCAAGCATAATGATAATGACTTTTGAAAATTGGCAATCTAGTTCTTTATAGGCCTAAGCACTAGGCATCCTTTCTTTTCTTCTTTTCTTGACCGAGGTATTCAATCCCGGGGACACTGACAATAGGAGTACAGAGTATCTGAGCTAGCTGGCATCTTGAACATCTTAGCTTGGTGGAATAGGAACGTGCCGAAATTTTTTCTTGAGCGTGTCAGGATCTGCCGAACTGCATGGCAAAGCACCGACGCAGATGGTTTATGACTAGATGTTGGTACCTACTATGTATTTGGGTACCTCCACTATACCTATTCCACCTAAATTCTAGTGCAGGTGTCTCTGTACCTAGTAGGTATCAATACCGAAGGATCCACGGCTCTTAATAGGATGGAGTACTGTCCAGAGTACTATCTAGGGTATGCGAGTTCAAGCGCAGCCTTAGTATCTAAGGTTAGTATCTCTCTGCTGTTGTTGTTGCTGTTGTTGTAAGAGTCTACGAGCATCTCTACGAACTAAACTGGTTCGTACATCAGGTGCCACGGCCATCTCAAGAATCTACAGGCGTGGTGTTGACGACTTGCCCATCATGGATGTAACTAGGCTAGAGACTTGGCTTGCGAGATGCGAGTGAATGTAAAAGGCGCATGCCCCCCCTTTTTATCAGTAGAATAATGACCTCGGGAAGTAGGCGGGGTCTTCTATAAATTGATTAACCTGCGTAAGATCGGTGGGCACTTAGGAATGTCCAGGAACAAAGGAGACGTCGAACCAACTACCAACAGTTCCTTCACGCTTTCTGATTGCCGTATATCTCTCCCTTCGCATGTAACATTTATGTAAGGGGCACAGGAGGTCCCTACTTCATGCCGTTTAAGAGTATCATCGGTCTGCCATACACTCCGGCAGGCTTCACTAGGAGGTTAAATACTAGGTAGTTTTGTTTGCAAAGCCACCCAGCTCACATGAATATTGGGATGAGTATTTCATCCGTGTTGATAAAGCTTCCATGGACGCTCACCCATGTGGATTCCACGCGGATGCTTACACACGGGGCGAAGGGTAGGTATGTGATAATAATCTTAAAAAGGTTACTGGACGCCATTCAAGACAACGATGATATCAAGTGCATTGTTCGAGAGACTGTCTAGGTATGGTATATCAAGATGGTCAGTCTCTAGCTTGGCAATTATATTGGATTATGGATTGTTGCAATGTGATGAGGTATTACTTATTTATACGAATATATGCCGAGAGATCTAACCTAGCTTGAAAGGAAAGCAATTATATTAAAATCCTAATCCGGGCTGTAGTTGCTGCTATCAAGAAGATCATTGTTTTGTGTATAGAGTCCCGCTTAGCGAATTCATTATCGTCCAGCTCGTGTGGTTGAAGCTACTACGTGTATAGCATATGAGATGAATGAAGCATAACCCGGAGATAGGGCAGTAGGAATATATAGATAACCAGGACAGGCCGAAAAGGGGTCACATTTCCAAAGCTCAAACATCCGTGGCGAATCAGTCTTCATCACCGCAGTATTTCAAGCCGGGCTCTCACTTCCTTTTACCACATCCAAGTCTTTCGTGACAGTGATTTGCCCCTCGGTTTGATCCCCTCCGTCATTGTCATTGCCACTAAATATAACCGTGTCAAACCCTGGTGGCTCATCCCCCTATTTAGCCCATACCCTCATCCGACCCATAATAACCTAGGTAGGTAGGTAAACCTGTATGTGCTATTACGCCTTCACGCGTCTCATCCTTGATTTTCTCGTCGTCCTTCTCTATCCCAAGCTCCGTCTGTAGATCCGTCCGCAGGGCGACTTGCTTTATCGTCATACCAACCACTAAGCCGAGAAGGGAGAATCCGATGGCGACTTGCCAGCAGCGCTTCAAGCTGTCCACGTAAATGCTCTTCATCACAGCTTTCAGGGCCGGGTTCTGGTTCAGCGAAGACATGAAGCCGCCCGTGGCTAAGGCGTAGGCTCCACCGTTGGCCAAACGCTCTCGCACATTAGAGTCCTCGATCCGAACGAGCAGCTCATTGTCGCGGGAGTTGAAAATGGCAGCTGGAATGGCCACAACCCATAACGCCGCCGAAGCTGCGGATGAACCCCCATGTGGCTGTGGCCACAGCTTGGTCGGATTCTATCAGGGGTGCCTGGATCACGGGCAGCGTAGTCGTTACCAACATACCAACTCCCGCAGCACCGATGCACTGTGCTCCAGCCCAATACGCAGCGGATGAATTCTCATCGAGCCGGCTATAGAGCCCGAATGAGATGGCAAAGGCAGCCGTGCCAAGAAAGAACCAAGGACGGTAACGGCCAAACTTCGAGATTCCCATACCAGCACCCATCGCGAACGGCGTAGACACGGCTGCGAACGGAAGGAGGTTGACTCCTGATGTGATAGGGTCACCCTCCAAAACAGCCTGGAAATAAACTGGAAAAAGTACGTACTATGTAGTCCAGTACAGAAGCATGGAATGGATAAACGTCAAAGCAAAGCCCCCCAAGGACGTTCTGTTGGAGAATATTCTGATAGGCATGGTGGGCTCTACTATCAAGGACGTAGACTCTATGCTAACGAAGGCTATCTAACCAGGGAAACTCGACGCCACCCCAGGTCAGAGCCAGGAGAACAGAAACGACAGATGCGATCAGGAGAGCATTTCCCCCAAAATCAACGCGTTTTAATGAATTACGAGTGGCATCTTTGGCGTAGCGAACCCTAAGCACCAGTGCTAACAACACCCATGCAACATCAGCTATTGGAAGGTTTAGGTAAAATACCCATCGCCAGCTAACCCGCTGAGTGAAGACACCGCCGATGAAAGGACCGAGAACGACGGCAACTGTATAAACAATGAATATGATACTTGTGTACTTAGGCCGCTCGCGTAGAGGAACCAGATCAGCGACTACCTAGTATGATTTCGATGAGGATGTTAATACCCCCACCACCGAGCCCGTCGGGGGGATTTTAGTTGCCTCCATTCCAATATACCGAGTCATCCATTGTAAAGTTGTTGATGGTGCCCTTATTCAAGTTTGTATTAGTGGAGTAAAGTATACCTACATGTAGTAAATAACCTTATGGTTTGAAAAGGTACATGTAGCAAATAAATGCAGTCAGGTGACTTGGTGTTTATGAGCGCGCGTGTACTACTAGTAGTAACTACATGCCTGATTATGTAATTGAAGACTTATAATGCTCCACTTATTGCGTTTTAAAGCTGTTTAGGTGCCTAAAGCTTTGTTGCGCGCTGTGTAACTTTCTACCCGCGCAGCTGCCGCGTCGAGTTACTACAACATATTAGTATAGAACCTTGAAAGTGATTTCAATTAACTCAATTAATTTCAATTAAAAAAAGAAAATCAATCGAGAAGAGTTCTTTCTTCATCCCCCATTCGTAATTCTTATATTTTGCACACGTTATTCCTGTTATTCCTGTTATTCCTCCAAAACGTACTTATGCTGAACTATTTGATCTCGAATCAACCTTGAAATTCCCATGGTTCCTCCATTGCGCTCGTAATCTTGTCGCGATGCCTGCGTATGTCCCCCTCTCCTTACTCCTATCCTTTTAACGCGTAATGACTAACATCAAGTATGATAAAGTCCAGGTGACCAGCACAGCACTATCACCAACCCTTTTGAGGAGTCGGTACCTCGCATGTCCGAATTTACTGCTGCTCAAATTGCTACCTTGCAATCACGCTTGGGCAAACAGCTAGGCCCCGAATATCTCTCATCCCGTAACGGTCCATCTGGTCAAAAGGTCCATTATATCGCCGCCGACAAATGCATCGCTCTCGCCAATGATGTTTTCGGCTTCAATGGCTGGTCCTCCAGCATTCAGAACATACAGGTTGATTTTGTCGACGAGAACCCTCAGACCTTCAAAATATCTCTCGGTCTATCTGTTATCATGAGAGTTACACTTCGAGACGGCACCTACCACGAGGATATTGGATACGGTCACATAGAGAACTGTAAAGGAAAAGCAGCTGCATTCGAGAAGGCGAAAAAGGAGGGTACCACGGACGCGCTGAAACGTGCGCTGCGCAATTTCGGCAATGTCTTGGGTAATTGTATATACGATAAAGAATACCTATCAAAGGTCACCAAGATAAAGGTTGCACCAGTCAAGTTTGACGAGAGTAACTTGCATCGCCATTCCGATTTCGTCAAGAAGGAGCCGACTCCTGTGAAGATTGAGCCGAAAACGACTCAGGCGGAGGCGGATAAGAGTGCCGGGGGTGACAAGATGAGCGCGCATGGTGGGTTTGACTCTGATGATATTGACTGGGCGGATGCTGATATTTTGGATTTGTAGTATCAGACTTACTTGACGAGGACTTTGGTGACTTTGACATAGCCGACTTTGGCGTTACCGAGGACGGCCACCCTGATGAGGTAGTGCTACCCAGTCCTCATACCATGAGTTCAAATGAGAAGTCTAGTACCAATGATCATCATACTCCATCTACAAACAATGTCTCGAGGCAAATGCAACCGCCACCAAAGCCGGCTGTTCAACCTCCTAGACCACCTCTCACCCCCAATCAGCCACCACAACAACGACCAGGTACATCTTTCCAAGGCCGCCCGAACCCGCAACCATATCCCAAACCCCCCATTCATACCGCCAATGCAGCACAGCAAGCATTAGCCAATAATAAAACACATACACCACCTCCAAACGGCGCAGCGCCAACAGAACCAGTGTCTTTCTTTTCAGCTCGCTCAATTCCGAAACTACCCGAAGATGCACCCCCAGACGCAGCTATTATCCCCACTCAAGGAGCCAAGCTGTTCAATCCCCGTCTAGACAGTCCTTCGATTCGAAAAACACCGGGCATCGATCACAACTCCTCCAAGCCGGTATCTAAGTCCGGACAACACGTCCCACCTACAAAGAGGGACCAGGAACCAGCGCTTGGCCTGGCCGGTGCTCCAGCCGGTGCCCCAACAGGAAACAACTTGTTCTCTGGGCCCGGTGCGGGTCCTGGCAGACCCAGCGTGGGCGGTATTGGCAATCCCGCATTAAGTCAAGCGCGGCAGATCGGAGCTCCAGGAGTAGGGAGCCCAATGGGAAATCGTGGCCAGTACCGGCCCTTAACGGTAAAGCGGCCGGCACCCACAGGTCCGGATCCCGTGAACAGGACACCGCTTACCGAAGTCACGAATAACGGTTCCGCTCAGGGTGCGGGAATGGGGGCAATGGATGTCAAGAGACAGAGGATGTCTTAAGCAACCGGCCAGGAAAAGGGATTATCGTAGGGATGTACGGTGGTTACGGGCTATGGTATAGGCGGTCCATTTCTCTGGCTAGCAATGTTTGGCGTTCGGAGTGCATGATGCTGACTCTATGCCATACCCAATTAGATGTCATTTTGTTAGCATTTTTCAAGTCTGGAGCTCTTAGGCTCTAAAGCCTCGAGTTGCTGATATCCTGTTTCTACCCATTGATAGATATAGGTACATATGCACGTGATGATTATGAAGGCATCTCCAATACGACCTCATTGACATGAAAATACGCGGTGACCCAAAGTCCTAAACAATAATTCTAGCTGTATATGGCCATTCGAGTGCTACATGGTACCTAGCTATCATAGCATTATTGTGTAACTCAAGGCCGAGAAGATGTGACAAATCAAGAATTCGTATTCTCGAGAACACACACCTATATGTATTGCGCATGACAAATACGAGTCGAGAAACATATACTTACCTACTAACTACGTAAGAGATGTAGATAGCTTTCACTGCGCTGAGAGGTTGAAGAGCCTGGGGGCCGCAGGGCAACCAACCCGTCTTACCAACGTGTTAATCATATGGCAGCCTAATAGGGGGGGGATCCTACCGGAGGTAAGTAAGCGGAGGGCTAACATTTATTTATTTATCCCACCCATGCTACCTAGACGGTTATCAAACGCTCCAGGTTAGGTTAGGTTAGGCCCCTTGTCTACCTACATATTGATCGTATCGTATGAAACTTGCGGTATTGTCCCTTATATATAACAAATACCTACCGCCTCGATCTTAGACTTTTGCTTATTGATGTGTGAATGAATATTTCTTGTCTTTCATCTTCGTCGTCGTTTTGTCATACCTAGTAGCGATATTATCTAAGATTCTACGTACATACATACATACCTACATACCTACGTACCCAACAGGTACCTAACAAACATGGCTCCCGGCAAACTCACGTTGCATCACCTAAAAGTAAGTCCTACCTACCTACCTACCACACACAGCGAAGGAGAAGACATAAGAAACGTCAGCGCAACAAACGGTAAAAAAAAAAAAAAAAAAAAAAAAACCAAGAACTAACTAACCGACCAAAAAACCCAAACAGGACTCGCAATCCCAACTAATCCTCTGGCCCCTCGAAGAACTCGGGATCGAGTACGAGCTCGTGACGCACCTCCGCGACGCCTCGGGCCGCGCGCCCGCGGCCCTGCGCGCCGTGCACGCGCTCGGCAAGGCGCCGACGCTCGTGACGCCGTCGGGGCGCGTGCTCAGCGAGCGCAGCGCCATCACGCTGTGGCTCCTGCACCACTACGACGAGGAGGGGAGGCCGTTCCGGCTGCCGTCGTGCTCGTCGGACGCGGACGCGGAGCACCGCGACGACCTCGCGCGCGAGGAGCAGCTGATGAGCGTCGGCAGCACGACGCTGCACACGCCGCTGCTGCTCAAGGCCGTGTTCGGGCGCATGGCCAGGCAGGCGCCTTTCCTGCTGCGCTGGGTCGTCGTCGCGATCGGGGGGATGCTGGACAGCGCGTTTGTGGACGGCGAGATCAGGCTGGTGATGACGTATCTGGACGGGGAGCTGGCGCTGCCGGAGAAGAAGGAGGGGGAGGGGGAGGGGGAGGGGAAGGAGCGCGAGTGGTTCATGGGCACGAAAAACCCGACGAGGGTGGATTTCTCGATGATGTGGTATGTGGACTGGGCGGTGAGGTGCGGGTGGCTGGATATTGCGCAGTACCCGCGCGTGAAGGCGTGGCGGGATAGGATTCTGGAGAGGCCGGCGTGGAAGAGGAGTATTGAGAAGACGGGCGGGTATGATCCTAATCTTTAGGAAGGGTAGGGGAAAGGGGTGTTTAGGTCTATCATAGGTATATGGACTTCAATATTGTGTAATACCACATATATCGTGCATCGTCCAATCTGACCTTATGGGTCTATAGCCGGTGTGTGATGCGGCTGACTGCAACGGCTCCCCGCATACAGTCCAGTGGCTTTCTCCCGTTTCATTCGGAAATTTTTCATCAGCCACCAACCTCTGAAAAATTACCTACTTTGTACATTTCCTTTCTTTTCATTGGATCTTCGGTGATGTAGAACTTGTTGGAGGGAATATGTTTTCGTACTTGCCTCCTCCCTGAGTTCTTGGCAGCTTTACAAGAACCTCGTCATTCATAATCTCATAATCACCCGTTTGAACAACATTGGAACATACCAACCTCATACCTAGTACTTACACACTAATAATATCAGGCATACGTAGAGGGGATTAATAGGGCTATGTAGGCAATAGAATGCCATTGCCGTCATTTAGATAACCCAGGACCGTTGCCCCGAACTCGGACATCGAAAACAAGATTTTCAAGACCAGAGAAGTCGAGTTATAATGCGCTGTGCTGCCTTTCAATAGCATGTCTACCTATATAACACATAGATAACAACAACTTACCTAGGTATCTAACGAAGCATCCCCGCCACGAGGGCTCCCCCTTCACCGTTCCTAAGTATACCCGTAACCCCAAATATCGCCGGGCAGTTTATGGAGAAGCAATGCGGGGAAAGCTGGGGTAGAGCTTGGATCTTGGCCTAGCAAGGTGGCATCGCAGGGAGCGCGATGATTGCGATGCCCCTCAAGGCTAAGTCCTCACAGGCCATTCAGCCGAGATATCGATACGTATTAGGCTAGCAGTTGGAGTATCTCGGCGCAGCTCCGGCGTAGTTGGACATCATGATCGTCTCTCCGTATCAGGGGGCCAGTCGGTCTTCCACGGATCAAGAACCGGCATTGTTCTAAATTTCTTATACAATATTTTTCCCCTTGAAGCAGAAGACCGGGTTATCCGTTCGGTACGATCTTCGTCCGTGCCAAGTCTCAAGACCCTCAACACTACAGAAAAGCGTTGGGTATAAAGAGGGTAGAGTGAGGAGAAGAAAAAAAACCCCGACTGCTTGGTATCCTTCTAACACACACGTTCCCCAAAGACTATTTTACGATGTTCTGTCGTAAACTCTTCGGCCTGCTGGCGCTGGGCTCCCTGGGAGCTCACGCCTCAGTGACGGTACGGAAGACGCACCAAGGACCCACAGGGTACGAGGTGGACTTCAAGTACACGAACAAGACGGCGAGCCGCGTGCTCATCGGCGGTGGTATCTACCCGTTCTCCGATCACCTACATACCACGCTAGACACCCGCGCTTGGTACGATCCGCATGACTACCAAGCCGGCGACATTTACGTCAGCTTCGGAACTCCGGATGAAAACTATGAGTGGCCGTATGAGATGAAGAGCGACGGCGAAGGCCTGTGGACCTACACGACCCCTCTGCCCTCGGGGATCTACAGCTACGCGTACCTGATCGACTGCAACTACGCACCAAACTGCAGCATCGACACGGGCCAGCTGGTCATCGACCCGGACCTGCCGCCTTTCCAGAACGTGCAAGGAGACCAGGTGTCGTCCAGTTTCCAGGTACCGTACGACGACCGGTTCCAGGGCACTGATGACATCAGCGCCAACTTCGACTACGCCCTACCGGCGCCGGCCGAGTTCCGCGGAACTATCAAGTCGGTCAACTACACGTCTCCGGGCTCGATCCACCCGGCGCCCGACGTGCACCACTTCGCGCTGTACCTGCCGGCCGACTACGGCAAGGTGCCAGGGAAGACGTGGCCGCTGCTGTACCTCTCGCACGGAGCGTACGGCAACGGCAACGACTGGGAGAACCAGGGGCGGATGTCGCACATCATGGACAACCTGATCGCGGCGGGCCACATCGAGCCGACGGTGGTGGTGATGCCGTCGTTCTACAATCTGGACGACAGCCTGCCGCGGTACATCATGGGGAACAAGTCGGACAACGCGACGATCCCGCCGTCGCCGTTCGTGCGCGAGAACTACCAGAAGTACCTCTTCCCCTGGGTGGCGGCAAACATTCCCGACGTCTGCGACGACCCCAGCTGCCGCGCCTTCGCCGGCCTCTCCATGGGCGGCCGCCTCACGTACGAGATGTACATCAACGCCACCGACTACTTCACCTACTTCGGCATGTTCTCGCCCGCCACCTCGGACCCGTACATCGACGCCGCTGCGGTCGCGGCCAATCCCGCGTTGGCGGAGAAGGGTGTCTTCGTTGCGTACGGGCTATACGACTTCGTCTTCGACTCGGGCCGCGACCTGCAGGCCGCCTTGGCCTCCGTTGACATCCCGTTCCTCAACCGCATCTCGCCCTGGGGGGGCCACTACTGGAATACCTGGCAGGATGAGCTGTGGTGGTTTGGGGTGAATGCCTTGTGGAAGCCATTACCGTACACAACGAAGACGGGGCGGCAGAAGCAATAGCTATCTGGTATACATACCTACATAATCTTGATTCTAGATAAACCAATTCTGTATGTACATATTTACGTACAATGTAATACACATAATACAATCGTATCGAATTGAAAGCGCCCTTTGCGGCTAGATGAATAATCAGTACTACCTACCTAGAAGGTAGAGATTGTAGATCTTCTTACGAGGATATTCCCAGTCCACCATATGCGTTCAAGATCTTCTCACCGCTCGCTGGCTTGCCACTAGATGAAATATCGGGCTTGAAGCACGTGTTGGTCGTCAGGTTTTTCCTTTTCCCAGATGACGATCACACCACGCTAGCAAACATCGACGGTTTATCATTGATGTACATTGTATGTATGTACAGGATCATGTCAGGATGCACAGGATGCACAGGATGTACATACATGCCGACAAGGAAGCTTGATACGGAAGTTGAGGGTATCTGCATTCGGGTGCGGCCCGTACCTGTTTATCAATACTAGGTAGGTATTGAACTATGTAGTACATGGCACCAGGTAGGCATAGTACATTTACATTACGTACCTTGGTATATAATTTGCAAATTATCCGTAAATTGAAATAGATGTTACTATGTCAGTACTAAGGTAGTCGTGGTATTTCACCGTGCTAGCTCGAAATCCGTTCTCGTGTCCCTGATCTGATATAGGTGATGCAACAATCTGGGGACGTAGGGCTGACGGAGATAGAGTTATCCTCCTTTGGGGAAAGACTTAACAGCGTGACCTAAGAAACGGAGATATTGGATCTTCCTTAAGATTCTAGGCGTGCTTGGTAAGTTTCATGATAAATCGGTTACATCTATGATCTAGGTGCAATACAAGGTTCAATTATTACCAACGTAGTCCTAGAGATCTGGCCATCTGACTCACCCTCGAACTGAAACATCTTCTATTATTATGTAAACTTTAAAAGATATAAAAGGACTAAGGCAATGCTAGTTAGTATATCTTCACTTTAGTACGGAATGACGTCTTAAAGTCACATCGGCAAATTCGGGCAAATTGGGACACGCAATAACTTACGGGGTTATAATTGTACCGATTTCATCGACATTGGCTTGTAGATTGGTAAACTACCGATGTATACCTTTGTACCACTAGTAGTACAGTAAACCTTGGCCATAACGATATGGAAAAAACACCACTCTTAATTCGTTATAGAGAGGTATCGTTATGTAGAGATGGACCCACTGTCATGGTCCGTGTACTTCCGTTGTACCTTTACTGCCATTTTATTAGAAAAGGTACTTACCTAATATTGTTCTTTTAAATTCCTTTCATATTTAAAAGATATTATGCAGTAAGCCAATTTTTCGGCGATTAGATATCGTGGCGGTGATTAGATTTACCTGAAAAAAGGACAGTCCAATTGGCTACCAAACGCAAAATTCCACTTATTCCACCAAAAATTTATCAAAATAAACGGTTTTTTACACATGGTCCATAACGATCTTGGTGGTGGCGGTCAAAAAATTAACGATATATCGCTAAGGTTAAAATATCGTTATTTCCCATACAAAATTGCAATGTTCCCAAAATTATATCGTTATACAAAAATATCGTTGTCTACCGAATCGTTATGGCCAAGGTTTACTGTATCTACAAACGATAATCTTAGTATGCACATCTGTAATTCAATCCAGACTTCGAGAAGAGCGTCCCGTAATCCTACATTCCCATGTAAGCGGCCAAGTTGCGGCTCTTGCATATCATAGTACGGATACGTGCATGCATACTATAGCCTGTATACGTGTAGGGAGGAACCGTAACCCGCATGAGTTGGTGAAGGTGGATCTGTGCCAATCTTTAGTACATGTCAGGTACACGTATGTTTACTAGGTAATGTAGTGCATCATGGATGTATTGTACATACTATCTGTAGTAGTACATGTATATAACTACTTGGAAACGGTTAGATACATTTAGTTATGTACTACAGTAAAACATTGAAGTGTAAAGTTGTTTGCTAATTTATAGAAAGAATCGCGCAACATCAATATTGTCAGGGCAAAGATGAACTTTTGAGATTCACCGAATGAGAACCTGTTATGTAAGCCGCTACCACATACATACATAAATACATATGTATGGGATACGAAGTTGGTAGGTACGGAAAAGATAGTTCCAGGTGGTACGGTCGTATGATCCAGATCAGCTCACTTACAGTTGCGTATACCCGTTCAAGGTCACATAAGATTCGTTAAATGCTTGGTAATGTTGATTAGAAAATATATGATTGGCTTATAATAAACACAGTAACTGTTTTAAGGGTGTGGGTGACATGATGAGAAGCGGGGATAGCCGATTAAAGAAGCCCAGCTGCTGTGTGTAGCTGTGCTATCACTGCTATGGATGTAGGTAGGTGCATGGGAGGGTGGGTTCTAGTGCTGCCTACCAGCGCCTAACTACCTAGATAGGCACCTACCTACCTAGTAGGTACCCTTGCAGTGTAAATGCCTGCCCCTTTTCCCAACTTGAGTACTAGTACGGCGTAGTAGTACCCAGGTAATACAGATAAGATCAATTAAAAGTGAGAATTTGGTGGCAACTTTCAAAGCTTTTTAGGGGAACCACACCTTGGAGTCTTGGACATCCATCAATCCAGATGTCCCATTTATCCATTCCACAATAAAAATAAAAACTAAACCTCAAAACGCCAGGTGGGAACATGGAATGCAATGTATTAATGCGTGAGTCGACAGTATACGTATTCCTATATCAGGGATCTTTTTCTTTCCAACATTAAGTAGGTTACCTATACTATCTTTTCTGTCTGTGACTGTTCTATTTCAGGATAATCTCTTGAGTCCAGGATTTGTATCTATTATTCAAACTATTTGGTTACTTAACAGGCAAATAAAACTCCCCTCTCTCCCACCCATTTCCATATCTTTCTCTTTTCTTTTCTAGTCTTCCATATCATTATAAACCAAACCCCCATTCTCTATCTATCAATCTACCTACCTACACCTAAGATATCTACGCTAGTATCTACCCTTCGAGGTTATCGACCTTCCAGCCTTATAAGCCATAGACCCCGAGTCGAGTTGCCTTACCAGAGAGTTACAGCCTGCTTAAGTGCTCGTTCATATCGACTATAGACCTGTTTATACCTATTCGTGTCACCACTTTAGACGTTTGACAACGCTTCTGCTGTGTCTTTTTCAAACGACTATACCTGCAATAAATCAAGGTCACGCGACCCTACACCAACACCCACATCAACATGTCGCCCACTTACACCATGTCCGCACACCTGTGCAAACAAATCTATAAGTCATTCCAGACTCGCCAAACTTCACCGGAGCCTCAATCTGCCTCTACCTCCACACCCACCACATACACATCGACGTACTTGCGCCGTTCGCCCTCTCCTCAGCCTGAGAAACGCTCCATGGATAGCGACCGCAGCGACTCTAGCACACATCCCACACAACCGCCGTCGAGTTCAAGTTGGAGATGGGGTACCCGCTAAGTCGATTTGTTTTATCCAGGCAGAGCTGTGTCTACCTAATGGTAGATATCTGTCCTGGAATGACTTGGGAGAATGTGGACATGTTGCTGGTACCATGACGTACCGGTAATTGGATAATTGGAAATGATACCCCCTTTTGAAATTGATAATTGGCGAATACCTTACCTCACCTTACCCTGTTGGTACCTTGCGAGCTACTAAGTACTGCAACTGGCGCAATGACCGGCGAATCACTCAATCAGCCTCTCCGATCGCGCAACCCCAGATATGGCCCTTTCCATGTGGGGATATACGAAAATATATCATACCTGGGTATATACATAGCAGCACTTGAGGTCTAAGCAATACAACATATATTTTGGATCATGGTGGAATACATGAGTATCTGGTCGCTTGCTTAACGTTTTGGGCTGTCTCTTGACACTGGCGTTTCCCGTTCAGGGATTGGAGTTAATGGATTTGATTGCATGCATATCGAAATGCATCGTAGGAATGGGTTTAGGTACCATTTGGAAGAATATCAGGTCTGTAAGAATTATATTATTTAGCAGGCTGACTTTTACCTACTGGGTGAGAAGAGTCAAGCATAGGTACTTATTCCACAGATACTGGAACATATATGCATATTACAAAAAAGACTACCTACATACCTATCTATCAGTTTTTCACTGACTTCAAAGTGCATGTGATTGCCTAGTGACTTTAGTTATCTTAGTTGTCAAGCCAAGATGCCAATTGTTAGCTCCCCTGATGTTGTTCAGTCTAGCAGTTATGTAGTATAGCCCATAAACTGTACATACCAAGCCTGTTGCGAATTCGTGATAGAAGCTATTAATACACGATGGGTTAGGTAAATTCATAATCAGTCGCTTTTCTCAATGCATCGTTCCGTAAGGCATCTAGGGTACCCTAGGTCTATACCTAGTAGTTATACCTACCCCAAGTAGCTACGAACCATGGTTTATTGAATATTAACCTGCTACAACTTCCAGGTAGATAATGTTAACACTATTGAGTCAACCATTGACTCATAGTCAGTAGCAAGCAGCTTAGAATATGTTCTATATATATTTCTCAGTAGATGTCTTTCACATATTCTCATCTTTCTTGCCTTCTTGTAACATGAGAATTGAATCCTCCGCACTCGTACCAAGTATATATATAAGTTCACTATGACCTCCACGCTGATACATTTTTTCTTCTTCTTTAAACTTACCTACTAGGTACCTTGAGTTACCAGTGTATCAAGAGACACGTGTATTTCGTGAATGTAGAAAGCCTGGTTGAAAAGAATGAGCTCCATCAAGCCATGCTATCTCAATAGTGTCTTCTGGCAACATCTAAATGAATCCCGAAAGGCACCTCGTCTGCTCAGATCTTTGAGAAGAACCCCAATCCTCCTTACTACTTGACATCACAATCAAAAAGTTGAAGAAACATACCTGGGAAGGCAAAATCCCGAAGCGCCTGGGCAAGAACCAAGAGCAGATATCGCAGCGCGGTAGCCAGAACACTGACTGGAGAAAGAGAGCAGCCATGTCGTCGCCAGGGCGGCGGATCAAACGGAGGCTAAGGCCAATCCCGTCACCAACGAGGCAGAAATGCTAGGATCTCTCCTTGAGCACCAATTGATGTTTAAAGGAACGACAAAGAACAACAGGACTACGTGAATTAGTCCAACAACAGATCACTCTACATCTATCTCTTGAACACCTAAGACTATACCAAGATATCATCAGGGTTGGTGTATACAGTTGAGGTACATTTTCAGTGGCCTCGAGTTATTTTAAACAATCTTTTCATACCTCACCACCACGTCTGCGATCCATGGTGGAACCCATGACCTCGCTGCAGCGCTTTAGCTACCCGCCGTTGTCGAAACCTCCCAATCCGCTCTTTTCCATTACCTTTAACCGCGGGTCTTGAACAAATGGCACAGAAAATCAATATGCCAACTCGGCCGGTGGTATAATTCCACACCGGATCAACAGTGAACTGCAACACACTGTGTGTGTCTTCCGGCAGCTACTCTTCATCACGCTTCCAAGGTTGCATACCTAGTACGTTTCCTATGCTTCTCATCGTCGGATAACCTCATAATCAACTAACTGGCAAGGCACAGATTACGCCACTAAGGACCGTGTTTCTCGGAGGACCTCATCCCTTAGCTTATCGACGTCTGGGCCAGAAGAGGAGGAAGGGTACGTGCATACCTGTTTCGAGAGAGGGGTGGTAGTGTAAAGACACGCATTCTTCGCCATCAGCGCTCCCCCCTTTTCCCCCGAACCACACACACACACACAGAGCCAGAATACTAACCTGGGAGGGCAGCAACACCACCGCCGTGCCGCCTATACATACATGCCTATCCAAGGCATCCGATAGCCGCCGCAAGAAGGAAAACCCCCACAGACAACAGGAGCGGGTTTCCCTTTCCACCGGGAACCAGTTCAGGTCTACTTAGGCACCTAGTACTCAGCATAAGCTCATAACCTACCCATCCACCACCAGGCGACGACCTCAAAAGCAAGCACAGCTGTCATGGTACCTAGCCCTAGGGGGCCACCATCCGACAAGCGGGTCTGCGAGCCTGATTTCAAGATCTCTGCAACTGGGGTGTTAGGTTTTTCACAGAACAATCACACACACAAGTTCTCCACCATTACATAAACTGGCTACCTACAAGCTTCTTTATTTTTCAACCCCCCTTTTTTTTTCTGCGCTCCGCCTTGTTGCCATCGCAGCATACCAACCAAACTTTTACCTACATAGTACCTGCATACCTCGATCCAACCCAGCACCACGGGTGAATCTACCCCCAGACTCGCTTCTTCACAGGCCCCGGCTCGGCTGAGTAGGTAGACAGATAGAATACGTCTCCCGCCCGTACTACCAGCCCACCCTAACGTATAAACCGTGCCGTGTCGTCGCCGACTAGGTAGGAATATGTTGCAGGCGCCTCAGGCACCATAGGCTCCACTAGAGCCATATAAGCCATATGGCCACATGTTGGTACTCCTCCGCCACTGTAGTCAGGAATCAAGCAAGCATTCTTCCTTTCCTCTCCTTCTTGGCTGCAGCAGAAGCTGCAACAGGTTATGAGCGCCATGCCGCTTTGAACAAGCGCCTGTTTTGATGTCAGAGAGACACCATAGGTATAGCAAAAGGAAAATTTTAAAAATACTGCTTCCCTCGACTTCACGAAGCCGAGGTTGAATACGACAAAATACAGGCAATAAGCCTATCCGTATTGAAAGAGCCCACCATAAGGTTAAACGAGGCCACGAAAATTCAAAATATAAACACGACAGGTAAAAATCCGAAACGATAAACCTTCTTACCAACAACAACACCATAACGAAAAACAACAATAAAAAAATACGACACTGGGATAAGTACCAAATCAATTCCAACACAACTGTCATGGTGGATACTATAGTTATAAAGGAAGGTACATCCTGATGTATTATAGTACCTTTCCTTTCCTTCTTCAACTTTCTTATAGTCAAATAAAGTAACATCTAGATTAAGAACACCAAATCCTCAATCCCAACTATTATTCGACATCACAACAACCGCCAAAATGGCGGAAGGCCTGTTACGATTCCCCCCTTCTTCAACCAGCAACGCCATCGAGATATACTTGGGTAGGTATGTATGTACGTACGTGGTGGCTCTTGGGGGGTTCTGTGCTCATTTGTAACTACTTCAATTGGGAAAGGATCTTCAATCAATCCTTTCCATTAACTTAGCAACTACAATAACAATCATTATTCTGACCTTTGGTACATAATTACCACCCGTGATCACGGAACACCCTTATCTTTCCAACAGGTTGTTGCAAGGCGGCCGAGACAAGCGATACCTTGCCGCTTTACTTCGTAGATACCTAGGTTAGTAGCTCCTAGAAAAAACATAGGGACCTACATAGGTACTAGGTAGTTAAATACATGCATATTACATTACATACCTAGGCACATACTAATACATATACGAAACGCTGATATGTACATGCTTCGTGCCCGTGACGAAAAGCGAATACCTGCTGTTGTGCTGCTAATACAATAATGCCCTTTACCCTTTTACCCTTACCCCTTACCCCTTACCTATGTACCTAGGCAGGCAGGTTTCTATCAAGTATGTAAGTTAAACCGTCAACCTCTACGCTTCTACGAAAGCAAAGCAAAGCAAAGCAAAGTGCATAGGTACTAACCTTAGGTTATCACCGTCGTCTGAACCGAAAGAAGACGAAGAAATGTAGGTAAGCACCTAAGTAGGTACAAAGGTATGTGCAAATACTTCCGCGAAGAGACGTTGGAAATCTGGCGGGATGGATGTGTAGGTAGGTAGGTACCTATTAAAGACACGCAATTCTTTGCCGTCAACTTCTCTCTCACCCCCCTTTTTTTCTCTTGCTATCCCGAACCACATAGAGCCGCAAAATTAGCCCGAGGGGCAGGAAACCCACGGCAGCACTGCATATGCAATAGGTACCGAAGGCATACAAGGCATTTAAGTAGGTAGCCACCAAGACAAGGAACCAAGTAAGGGCTGCCAGGAGCAGCTTTTTTTTTTCTATGGGTTAGAGTAGGTAGTTACAGGCTTGGGACAGTTTCGCAGACAGAGGGAACCTTATACAGGATTACATTAGGTAGGTAGGAGGTAGATAGGTTAGTCAGTCCCCCAGGGATACCGTATCCCAGACAGCCAGTATCCGACCCCCTTCCTACGTAGCTATACCATCGCTCGATTTAGAAAGTTTAGCGCAAGCACACTAATCGATATACATAGCTCGTGCATCGCTTCTCAAATCGTCGAGACCATCCTTCTCTTCGGCAAGCTTTGCCAGACAGCAGTAGCTCAGCAGCTAGTATACGTAGACCCAGCATCCGAATCACTATCCGGATTCCTCGGGCTCCCCAGTATCGCCAACTCCATATGCCCCTGCGGGATCGGCTTCTCCAAGATATCTATATCATCCTCCCCTTCCCCCTCCCCTTCCCCTTCTCCGCCAACGGAGTACCCCTCATGCACACAACAAAGGCGAAACCCGTTCTGCGGGCCGTGGCGCGTAGTCTGGTAGATGAGAAAGAGGAGCGTGTGCTTGAGCGTGTTGGTTTCCTTGTGGATCTGGCCGCGGTGGCAGATGTGCCAGCGGACGGAGCCGGGGGAGTTGGATACTTGGTCGAGGGGCGCGGCCTCGGCCACCTCCTGGAGCATTGCGTGGAGAGGGAGGCCTAGCTCGGAGTATACTTGTTGCTTGAGTTGACCTTTCGATAGACGGGGGGTTGAAGGGAGACTGCTGTCAGCAGAAGCCATTATGTCCGTTGGTTTAGAATGACTAATGTATTGAAATGTAGCAATTCGTGGTAACAGAAAGAGGTAGGTGTAGCTTATGAAGAGCAAGAGGTTTGAAGGTTGAAGGTTGTACTTTATGGCAGCCTGAATCTAACCGAAAAATCGTATATATCTAGTGATCAAAACATCTCAGGGTGTTTTTCGTGAGAAATGATTGCCGGGCTTAAAAATAACTGGAATTCAGCGGCTGGTAAACACGCCCCACACATATGGTATATATGGAGGTAGGTGTTATCTACAAGCCCACCAGTGCACCAGGCACCTGGAAGGCGATCCTGAAGCATATACGGGTCGGCCCGGGGGCCCGTTCCTAATGCACTGCATAGGCTTGCATAGTAAAGTTTCCATTACCAAGGAAAGGGGAGGTACATAGGTTCTGGCAGTGCATCTTTTCGTGCTTATCGCTAGCAGCCCTACTACCTATCCCACCCTCGCCGGCGCGTTGCTATAAATTGTAGCGTTGGACTGCCTTTTATCGAGGATGAGCATCGGGCACGCGCGCCTCATGCTGTTACAATTCTCAGTGGCTGGCTCGAGCGCGAAGAGTCCGGCTTCCACAACCTCGTCAGCTTGCGAGCTTCATGTTGGGATACCTCTGTCGATAGCGTCGGGAAGTGTTACCGCACCAATATGAGTAGAAACCCGTTGCATTTTAGGGTGGACGACAGTACTAAATATCATGCTAGAATATTCGAGAGACGGAGAAGAGAGTTAGCTCCTTCGAGCAGCCTACATATGTAGGTTAGCGTATTGTAGTTACTTCTATGTAATTGATGTTACCCCATGGGCAAAGGAATCAAAGACCCGGTGGAGATTCAGGCGCGGGGACTTTAGACGAAAAAAATGAATCATTTACCTAAGCGTCGAGATTCCGATATTATAGATCGGAAAATGTGTGGGTATATAACTAAATACTGCGTGTGTAGGTGAGATGGAGTCCACTTGGCATCTTGGGGAGTCTTCAATGTTACCAATAAAAATGAACCTCCCTTTGTAAAAATACCGGCATCGTCGTCCGGAAGGGCGCGCCGCTAGGATGAATTGTTACCGCATACGGGGCTAGTGGAAGCTAAAAGTCGGTAAGAATCTGACGACGCTCCACTCGGTACCCTCCTTCACCGGAGGTCCAACAAAATGATAAAATGATAAACTTGAACCAAGATCAAATATTGTTCGACTTGTGATTGTTATCTTTTCCTTGCCGAAATTACCCTTTTTACTGGTAAAATCATCCCTTTACCTAGGTAGCAACCTCGATTCGTGTTAAAGACTTCTATATGGCAAGCCGTGATATAGAGTTGGAGTCCATCGTCCATCCGACGCCAAGGATCGGAATCCCCACGACTTCAGCAGATAATGGCCGGGACTCTGAGCAAGGAAGCCCACCACCCGACGGAGATAGACAGGAATTCTCCTTGCCCCCTGTCGACGGCGGCAAAGACGCATGGCTTTTCTTAGCCGCTTGCTGGGCAATCGAAGCGTTGGTCTGGGGTAATTATGTTATAACTTAACTCCCTTTCTTTGGAGCTGGCTGCTGATTGCTTCGCAGGCTTCCCATTTGCCTTTGGAGTCTTTCAAGACTATTATACTACCAATGAACCCTTTGCAGGGTCGCCCAACGTGGCCGTGATTGGAACTTGTTCCATGGGTATCATGTACCTAACGGCACCAATTATCATGGGTCTATGTCGTCTCTTTGGCAAATGGGCTCGATGGACGTCTCTACTCGGGCTATTTATCATGTGCCTCTCGCTTGCCTTGAGTTCGTTTTCCACGACTGTCCCACATCTTATCGCTACCCAAGGTATCTTTTATGCTGTTGGTGGTGGTATCGCCTACTGCCCCTGTATCGTGGTAAGTGTAGATACTCTACAAAGTCAAAGTCAAAGATATGATAACAATGCAAATGTGCTAACAAATATAATGTGACTAGTATATGGATGAGTGGTTTGTGCAGCGTAAAGGCTTAGCCTACGGCATCATGTGGTCCGGAACGGGTATCGCCGGAGTAGTGCTACCTCTCTTCTTAGAATGGCTTCTGCACTCTTTCGGGTTCAGGACGACGCTCCGACTGTGGGCCGGGGTATTGTTTGTCTTAACGGCTCCCCTAGCCTTTTACATCAAGCCACGCTTACCTTACTCGGCCTCGAGCCACATCAAACCCTTCAACCTAAAGATGTTTGCGATGTCCACATTTTGGCTGTACCAACTCGCAAACGTCGTGGAAGCCACAGGGTTCTTCTTGCCAGGGATTTATCTTCCGGCTTATGCTCGCAGCGCCTTTGGCGCCGCATCATACAGTTCAGCCACCACCGTTCTTCTGGTCAATGTCGCTTCTGTGTTTGGGTGCGTGGCTATGGGCTGGTTCATTGACCGATTACATGTCACCACCTGTATACTGCTATCAACGATCGGCGCAACAGTCGGGGCTTTGGTTATATGGGGGTTGTCGCCATCTCTCCCACTATTATACTTCTTCTGTGTTATGTACGGCTTGTTTGCTGGAAGTTATAGTTCTGCATGGCCTGGCATCATGACCGATGTGGTTCGAAAGGCAGAAGCATCAGGACAGGGCTACATCGACCCTAGCGCGGTGTTTGGGTGGCTTGCTGCGGGTCGAGGTATTGGTAATGTGATCTCGGGTCCGTTGAGTGGCACTCTGGTACAAACCCTATCATGGAAAGGAGACACTGCAGCATACGGCTATGGGAGTGGTTATGGCAGCCTCATCATATTTACCGGTGTGACAGCTTTGCTAGGGGGCGCGAGCTTCCTCTGGAGACGAATGGGCATTTTGTGAAGTTGGCCAATGTCTTGACAGACGAAATATATTAAACGGGTACAACCTTTTTCATATGCAAAGCACCTTGTAGGGCAATAGGGCGTTATTTTGTGCAGGGTTGATGTTTGACAAGAAAAGGAAAGGAAATAAAAAGCAAGAATAGTCGGTATCTAGGTTAGGGTAGGACCGGTAGGTATTTACAAAGAGCCTGATACACCATGTATATGTGCTTATTGATAAGATATTACTAGTACTAGGTAGTACATGTAGTACTGTAGTACTGTAGTACCTAGGTTAGAGTATCAAACTTTACATAATATCACCGGAATCACTGGAATCACTGGAATCACTGGAATCCAATCGAAAGTAGCTTATTATCTGGCATAAAAGTTCCAAGAATACCAATGGGGATATATTTGCCGTTACACAGCCTTACACGTGCATTAGATGCAAGCACTTTTCAAATTATATTACTTTGATTGGTCAATTGGTGTGTGGAGCACCGGCAAAATTCGGCGTTCAGCAACTTACCGAGAATATTTATGTACATATATGTAGGTGTTAGTTAATGGGCTAGAAGGGCTAGAAGTCACTTTCTGCTGCTAAAAAGTGTTTCGGTGGTGGAGTTCAGACGGGGTCCGAGGGGCAATGTTCATACAATTATATACAATACCTACGGTAATTACCTAAAGTACATACAATACAAGTTGAGTACGGAAACATTTGTACTAAAAGGCCGTGTATTCTCCGCTGTCGCAAAACACAGATACCTCCAAGGCTATGTACTTATCTAAACTTTAGTAACCTTGATCTTTTTTCCATCTCAACTTTTTCTTTCCCTTTTCCTCTTACTGTATTGCCTTACTCTCCTACTCTTACTCTCTTACTCTCTTACTATTCCACTCATCTTGCCAACCTCTCCTACTCATTAACAAGTTGGTGGGGTTGTTTCCATCTCGACCAACTTCACTGACTTCCCCTGTTGCAAAACCTTTGTCGTCAGTCAAAAACGAACTCTTTTGAGCGAATTCACCACTTGTTGCGAAACTCGATATCCAAATTGACAACGTCTATTAACGTTTTACCCTCTTTCCTACACTGCTTATTCTATTCGTCTACCGTTACCAAAATCAACCAAAATCAAAATGTCTTTCTCCAGTCTTGTCCAAGATTTAACCATTCGCGACGGAAATACCCCACGTCAGCCTCGAGCCACTACTTCTTCTGCTTCTACCATGGATGACCGAGCTTCCCACATCTCCCGAGCCATGTCTTACGCAAGTACGGCAGCTACTAGTGTAAGCATCGCTGGCGATATCTCTAGTCAGCTCCACGGTGGTTACCACCATCCCCTTGCTCGATCCTGGCAAGCCGAGCGACAATTGACCAAGGTTAGTTTATATGTTTCCTTTCTGTTTCCTTTCTGTTTCCTTTCCCCCCAAAATAGCCCTCAACGCAAACACCATTAACTAACAATTGTGACGCAGTCAATGTTGATCTACCCTCTCTTTATATCCGATATCGAAAATGACGAGACTTTAATTCCCTCCTTACCCGGCCAACACCGCCGAGGTGTTAACAAGTTGGTCCCATTCCTCGAACCCTTAGTACGAAAGGGTCTGCGATCAGTCATTCTCTTTGGAGTTCCCCTCAAGCCCGGCTGCAAGGATGCCCTGGGCACTGCTGCCGATGACCCGAAAGGTCCAGTCATTCAAGCGATCCGTTTGTTGCGACAGAGGTTCCCTCAGTTGTTCATTGTTGTGGATGTTTGCCTCTGTGAATACACGTCGCATGGTCACTGTGGTATCCTCAGAGACGACGCTACCTTGAACAATCAGCTATCGGTTGATCGCATCTCTGATGTCGCCATCGCCTATGCCCGAGCTGGTGCCCATTGTGTTGCGCCATCTGACATGAACGATGGCCGTATTCGAGCTATCAAGTTGAAGTTGATCGAGGAGGGAATTGCGCATAAGACTTTGTTAATGTCATATGCTGCCAAGTTCTCCGGCTGCCTTTACGGCCCCTTTAGGGATGCTGCTGGTTCGGCGCCTTCATTTGGCGACCGAAGGTGCTATCAACTCCCACCCGGAGGACGCGGGCTTGCACGACGAGCCATAGTCAGAGATATTGGCGAAGGAGCTGATATCATTATGGTGAAGCCAGCTGCCCAGTATCTCGACATCATTAGCGATGCGAAGGAGCTAGGCAAAGACCTCCCCGTTGCTGCATACCATGTAAGTGGAGAATATGCGATGGTATACGCTGCCGCAAAGGCTGGTGTATTCGACCTCAAAACGATGGCCTTTGAAGTCACCGAGGGAATCCTCAGAGCTGGTGCCACGATTATCATCAGCTATTTCACACCGGAATTCCTAGACTGGTTAGACAACTAGTTGCCCTCTCCGAAGAACTAAAAGAAATGGTGGGAGCGTTATAGCATAGGTTGGTGGAGTTACTGGCGTTTAAAGAGATAGGCTATCTGGCATGCCATTGAAGACGACATCACGAATATTTGACAGCATTTTGCTTTTGACGTCGATACCATTTATCGGTTGCATAAATAAAGTCGTTATCTTAGGTTTCTATATCCAATTAACTCGTAGAGAGGCATGACAATGCCTTGCAGATTAATTAAATCCATACTACTAGTACTAGAACAATATATTTTATGAATAACCGTATGATTCCCAATGGGGAGTATGAAAGCGTGTCTTAGATAGTCAAATAAGAGTCTTGGGATACACATAAAATGCCCAGCCAAATCGGTGATTTTATGCCCAACTTACACCATCGACCCTTACCTTGATGTTATCTTGGACGACTTGGCATGTTGATAAACGAGATTACGGAGTCCTACCCCATTAAAGCACTTCTATTTACATACCTACCTACATAGTAGTAGGCAGTTCTTGTCTTCCGAAAATTTCTTGTTGATCTGCCGTCGTAACTCTTCGTAAATCGTCGTAACTGATAGTTACCATGCCATGCCGTGCCATGCCGTGCCCATCATGGGCCTTGACGCGCAAGCCCCACGTTGTAGGTAGTAGGCGAAGCGGCCTTGACATCCCGTTCACTGCGACCTACCTGCCTGCACATAGTTAATTAGATACCGAAGTTCGTACTGCTGTTCAGGCATGTATGTATTGTACATAAGGCAACTGTCCCCATCAGAAGGGGGTCTTATACACAGGTATGTAAATGCTTAGACAACTTATGTAGATGAGTTGGAGAAGCCTGCTAGAAAGCCCCGGAACGACTCACCCCACATATAACTACCCCCCATCCAAAAAACGCTTGGCCGTTCTGCTTGAGGAAGGTAGTCTATACCGATGGTATGTCTTGGCTGGCTGGGTTCGAGGCCGTATTCTGAGTCTTGGAAGGGGAAACGTTCGGTTGCGGTGCGATCATCGTGAACTGACGACACGGGTCACACAACCAACCACATGCCTAAGGTAGGTAAGGTAGGGTAGTCGGGTCTAGAGCTATGGTGTGCGAATACGCAGCTAGATAAATATAGCTATAGTTAGGTGGTATGTAGATAGGAATATTAAGGGTATCCATATTGCTTGGGTATATATATATATATATATATATGCCCAGATGTCTAGCTCCCCTCCGTTGTCTTGAGGTTTAGATGTTGACCGATTTGCCCACTGCCACCTTACTTCCCTCAATAATTCTATCCACTCGCTTAGAATCATGAAGGTACCCAGCTCCGCCGTCGCCCTCACGGCCGCGAGCGCATTGGTCTTGACCGGTAGCGCGAAGCCGCTGAAGCGCAACGTCAAAGTCGACGATGTAAGTAGAAATCAAGGAACCAATTGATTCGAGTTGGGAGAGAAATACGTTAGGAAGATACCCCGCTGACTAGGGATAAAAAAAATTCACAGAAAGCATTTATCGATTCCATCGTCATCGACGACCTGCTAGGCTGCGCGCAAGACCTGGAAGACATCGCGTACGCGACCCCGGGGAGAAACCGAGTACGTCCCATCTCTCTCACTTTTCCCCCATACAAGTACTTAGCCAGTAAAACTAACAAAACCCCCCCACAGGTCCACGGCTCAGAAGGCCACGCCAACACCGTGTCCTACATCGTCGAGCAGCTGACCTCCCTCGGCGACTACTACAACGTCGAGCTGCAGGAGTTCTCGACCGAGGTCACGGTCGGGTCCAACGCCTCGCTGACCGTCAACGGCGAGACCCTCGAGGCGGGCACTTTCTCGTTCGCGAATAACGGGACGTGGACTGATACGCCGGTGGTTAATGTGGCGAATCTTGGTTGTGATGCTGTATGTATTTCTTTTTTTCACCTACCTACTAAGTAAACAAAACAAGTTACTCCAGAGACTAACGATGCTACTTACAACTAGGCCGACCACCCAGCGACTCTAAGCGGAGCCGTCGCCCTCATCGCGCGCGGCGACTGCACATTCGTCCAGAAGCTCACGCTCGCGGGGGAGAAGGGCGCCGTCGGTGCCATCATCTACAACAACGCGGAGATCGGGCCAGCGACCGGGACACTGGGCGGAGTGAACGACTTGGTAAATAGCCCCTGCTTTACTTCCCAACACACCTACCTACCTACCTACCCAGACTAACCACATCTCCAGATCCCCGTAGGCGGCATCTCCCGCGCCGACGGCCTCCGCCTCGTCTCGGAGCTCTCCAACAGCACCCTCTCCTCCGCCGGGGAGTTCTGGCAGTACATCGCGAACGCCACGAGCCACAACGTGATCGCCTCGTCCCGCACCGGCGACGCCTCCAACGTGCTCTTCCTCGGCGCGCACAGCGACTCCGTCGACTCGGGGCCGGGGATCAACGACAACGGCAGCGGCACGTGCGGCATCCTCACCGTCGCGCGGCAGCTCGCCGCCGCCGCCGTCGGCGGCGCCATCGCGAACCAGGTGCGCTTCGCGTGGTGGACCGCCGAGGAGGAGGGCCTGCTCGGCGCCGAGCACTACGTCGCGACGGCGCCCGCCAGCGCGCTGGAGAAGATCCGGCTGTACCTCAACTTCGACATGATCGCGTCGCCCAACTACGTGCTGGGGATCTACGACGGCGACGGCAGCGCGTTCAACCTCTCCGGGCCCGCGGGGTCCGCCGAGGCGGAGGCGCTGTTCGAGGCGTGGTACGGGGAGAGCGAGAAGCTGCCGTTCGTGAGCTCCGAGTTCGACGGCCGCAGCGACTACGGCCCCTTCCTCGAGGCCGGCGTGCCCTGCGGCGGGCTCGACACCGGCGCCGACGGCATCAAGACGGAGGAGGAGGTGGCGCTCTTCGGCGGCGTCGCCGGCGAGCTCTACGACCCCAACTACCACACCCCCAAGGACAACGTGACGAACCTCAACCTCGAGGCGTTCCAGACCACGGGCCGGGCGATCGCGCACGCGGTGGCGACCTGGGGCACAAGTTGGGAGGGGTTCCCGACGCGCAACGCCACGGCCACGCTGGGGAGGAGGCTGTCGCCAAGCTTGTCTAAGAAGAAGTACGGCCCCTTGATGAAGAAGAAGAGCAGGCGGGGGAAGAAGGCGTACTGATTGATAGTATCTATTGTGTATAATGATCTGCCTACCTACAACCTGCCAGTAGGTAGGTAGGTACTGTACCTACGTAGTGGGTAGGACCTAGATAGTTGATGAAAATGGATATGACGGACGGCTTGACTTACTGTGATTACTACCGAGAAACCAGCCTATCTACCCGTCGCTAGCGAGTGGATGGAGTTTTATAGCGTTATGTATTTAGTATAACTAGATTGTATATAGAAAAATTCTTATCAAGCCAATGGCATCATCATAAATACACTCATGCAAGGTCCGTAGATACTGGAAGCTTTAGTTCTCGTACAACGGCTCGTACCTGATATGGCATTATGGCAGTCTAGATCCGATTCGAGCTTAAACAATTCCCCATTGATATAGAAAACGCAAACTCAAACAAGGAAAAAAGAAAAAAAAAAGCGTTCAATCATCATGACATGACCTTGATTTCCATCCCGCATCCTTCTAAATATTTACCTAACAGTTAACTAACCTACAACGATCCCGAAAGGGCGGTCGACTCGGGTCGAGAAGCACGCGATTCAGCACGAATAATGCAATGACAACGGCCCCTTGCATTGGAGCACGCGGGCTGACGCCAATCATATCCTATTCCGACAGCCTACATGTATTGTACATAAGTTACATAACAGTGGTAACGGTGTTACGGTGGTAACCCAGCTTTATCTCGCATAAGTGCGGAGGAAAGTGTGGAGTTCAAATTGGAGTCAACAAGCTGTTTTTTTTTTTTTTTTTTGGTTCGGTTCGGTTCAGTACGATATCTCCCACTGTAGTTCCGAGGTTCTTTATAGGCATGATATTCGGCATAATATTCCAGCGTCAGCATCATAATTCTACCCGGTAGCATGTAAGCAAGCTACATACCTAAGCTACCTAGGTAAGCTACCTACCTTGTAGGCAGCAAGTTCCCAGATTTCTTCTTTTGCCTATCAGACCTCATCCATGCCAGCTCCGGTGACAATCTCCAACCCAGCCGGGACGAATCGACACGAGGATGCCAAGATCCCACCTGCCTCTTTCATCCTGATGACCTTTAGTTAGTGCTGAGCTTCGGCCCAGGTCTTGGTCGATGGAAATTACGGCATGGCGCAATCCTTCCAAGATACCAATGTAATCTACAGTATCTACATGCAAGCATCATACATACATACAGCTGTTGATATTTTACCTGTTATACCCCGCCTAGCTTCTTTGTCCCCGGCTCCAACAAAGGTATTAATTATATGGCTGCCTTCACTGCCTTGAGCCTTTCTTTCTTCGGGTAGACCTTGCTATTGTCTAAACTTCACCTACCCACCTAACCTTCCTAGGTCCAACACATAGGTCGGCGTAGAGAAAAGGTTAACATAGTTTTGTCGCGCCAACCGTGAAGATGAGGGTTCAAACACAGGCAGTAGTGGCCTTGGCTGCTGTGCCTACCGTCCTCGGCATCACTCCCGAGCTCATGCTAGCTGCCAATCGCTACGGCGCCGCCGCACCGAACCCCAGTGGTGTCCGTATTTCATGTTTCACAGCACACATTCCGCGCGGGAGGCTAACCTATTACGTAGGAATTCGCCATCTACAGAGTCTCCAATTACACCTTTGAGACTCAGAAAAGGTCGTCGCACTGGAACAAGCTCGACCTGAAGACCGGCGACATCTCCCTCTGGCATGCCGGTTCTGACATTTCTGAAGTCGTCTTCGTCGGGCCTACACCTTCCAGCATCATTTATGTCAATGGTACCAACGAAGAAGGAGATGGAGGTATAAGTTTATACTCCGCAGACGCCAATGCCCTGGAGGATGCCAAATTAATTGCCTCCTTACCTGCACCTTATTCGGGTCTCAAGGCAGCGCAAACTTGCTCAGGCGATATTCATTTCCTGGTGTATACAAAGGCATACCCAAATGGCACCGCATACAATGAGGCTTCTGCGAGCACACCCGCCAGTTCCGCGAGGATCTACACATCAGCCTATGTTCGGCATTGGGTTAGTAAATTGATTGATCAAAATAGCCACTGACAAATTGAGACTAACCACTGCTATCAGGATACATGGCTCAGCCAGGAAAAGAATGCTGTTTTTGGAGGTGTGCTAAAAGGAGATGACGGTGGCTATTCGTTTTCCGGGGAGCTCACCAACTACGTCAGTGGCATCTGCAATGTTACCTGTGCTGAGAGTCCATACGATCAAAGTGACGAGAGCGACTACGACATCTCACCTGACGGTAATAATGTCGTTTTTCTGACCAAGGATACTTCACTGCCTCTCGCCAACTACACGACCAACGTAATCTATCAGGTACCGTTCACCGGCACGGCCAAGGACGCTGTCCCCATCAATGCCAGAGGTAGCACCAAGTATGCCGAAGCTCAGGGTGCGGCCACGAGCCCGAGGTTTTCCCCCTCGGGAAAGCAGATTGCTTATTTCCAGATGAATGGGATCAATTACGAGTCGGACCGCAACATACTGTACGTAGCCAATGCGGATGCCCAAGACTTCAATGTGACAGCCCTCGCGCACGACTGGGACAGGTCGCCGGATAGCTTGGCGTGGTCCAAGGACTCGGAAACCATCTTCGTCGTAGCTCCCGATTTAGGCCGGCAACGAATCTTCCCCATTCCTCTAAGCGCCGGTGACTCCTATGTACCGAAGAATATCACGAACGAGGGTGTGCCTGCGGGATTCTATGTCTTGCCCGATAATTCGATTCTGGTGTCAGATGCCAAGATTTGGAGTAGCCGAGATATATATACCATCACATCGGAGGGCGAGGTTTCCAAGACGTACTTCCAGGCTAACTTGGTTGACCCTGCTTTGGCCGGCCTCGGCCCGGAGGACGTCTCCGAGTTCTACTATTCATCCAACACATCCGAAATCGAGCAGCAGGCCTGGATTATATATCCAGAAGGGTTCGACGAAAACAAGACTTACCCATTGGCCTTTATCACCCACGGTGGTCCACAAGGTGCCCACTACAATACCTGGTCGACTCGATGGAATTTCAAAGTTTGGGCAGACCAGGGTTACGTCGTTATTGCACCAAACCCAACAGCAAGTTCAGGTTGGGGCCAGAACCTGACAGACGCCATCCAGGGACGTTGGGGATCCTACCCGTACTGGGACTTGGTTCACGTTTGGGACTACGTCAACGAGAATCTCAAGTATGTCGACACGGAGAATGGTATCGAAGCTGGCGCATCTTTCGGAGGATATATGACGAACTGGTAAGCCTTTTTGACTTTCTGTAAAGCTCTAGGTACGACTGTGTGGGTGCTAACGGGTATTTCCCTTCAGGATGCAAGGGCACGAGCTTGGAAGGCGATTCAAGGCGCTCGTAACACACGACGGTAGCACGTCGACGCTCAACCAATACGCAAGCGAAGAGCTCTGGTTCATGAACCACGATTTCAACGGGCCATTCAACCAGAGCGGATTCGTACCCGGATCGCCGTATTACGATTGGAACCCGCTATTGTATGTGGACAACTGGGCCACGCCGCACTTCGTGGTTCACAATTCCAAGGACTACAGGCTGCCCGTTAGTGAAGGTATCCTTCTGTTCAATCTCCTCCAATCGAAGGGCGTACCCAGTAAGCTACTCAACTTTCCGGACGAGAACCATTGGGTTCTAAGCCAAGAGAACAGCCTCGTCTGGCATACTGAGATCTTCAAATGGATCAATTACTATAGTGGTATTAGTAAGGCTTCGAGTCCTTATTAACAAGGTAGACAGTTTAAAATGGGAAGAGATAGATATCTACGGATAAGTCTGGTCTAATCCTGTAATACCTAATATACCTAATTAGACATGATCGTTTGATGAAGCGAAATGGTGTTTAATGTTGTGTGATCTCTCGTGGAATTAGACATGTACAATGTGTTACATAAGAGCCTATACGGACAATAGAGAGGAACTCATGCGTAGCATTCTCTTAAGGGGTTCAATACATCAACGATATTCTTCTTGAGATGACAGGTACGTGGTTTTTTTTAGGGGGGAGGAGTTTAGTTTTTTGTTTTTTTTTTTAGACTTGTGACAGAACTGTATACGAAGTACCTAAGGTTAGTAGTAATCAATATTTACCTAAGGTGAGGCGAGATCCATTTAAACTTTCCTTTTCCCTTTCTTTAGCTTCCGTTTCATGCCAGGTACTATCTAGGTACCTGACGTCAGTTCTCCATCACAGACATTGACCGTTTCAACAACCGGTTGGCATTCCATTCAAAACATTTTCATGTTCGAGTCTAATGGCTTAGTTTGCTGATCTTTTATATTCTGGGAGACTTCATTATCCAGATTTCAAGGAGCCTATGAAGCATGTCTGCCTATGAAAGAACATTAAAATGCATAAGTGTTTAGTCGGGGACGATCAGTATAAAAGGTTCTGATATGTAGGTATAGGTATGTACTTGTACAATACAATACATACCTGCATAGGTAGTGCTGAAGGGAGGCACTCAGGGGATGCCCCTAATCTTGCCGAAACCAACCCTATTTACTAGCATCTGCATGCTGTAAACGAACCTTAAAATCACCTGGGAACTTAGGTGAGTGCCTAGGTGCCCCCACGTTCAGCACGTTCAGCACGTTCAGCACGCCTCTCGGAAATTTAACATGACAAGTCCCAAAGGTTAGAATCAATCAAGCTTTTTACTCCCTGTCTCTTTGCCTTTTTCCCCTGCATTCATGCATTTTTATGGAATATGGACGGAACTCTCCACCAACACTCAGGGCATATCTCATGACCCAAGATGATAATAATGGGGAGAGTGGCTCTCAATCAAACCTCAGATGTCGAATTTCCATAATACGCGCGTTGTTTGTCTATCACTTAACCATTGTGTCATTTTTTATGACTATGTAGCCCACAAAATGCACAAAGTACCGGACATACTACTAGTAGTGCTAGGTAGTTCTACAACCACCGTATACAACCACCATTCTTCGGACCATCAAAACCACAAAAGACCATCAGCTCAAGGACCATCAGCATGTCTTGCAAGTCCTTTATTAGCTGGGGATCACCGAACACTGTTATGTACCAGTTGGGTACATACATACATGCAATACTCATCTAGCTAAGTACAATACATGTATGTATGTGGACACACTTACACACGCAAGTCACGACAGATCTCTATCACTCCAAGTGTCAACATTGCGTTCTGTTGTGTTCCACATATCCTGCTACAATGTAGCTGAACACAGCCTTCTCAATATGATGAAGATGTAACACTGTACGCGGACGTCTTAGCTGGCCTGTGACCGGGACAAGACCAGACCATACCATATGCCTACTCGACATCGCTATTAGAATCATGTCTAACTTTGTTACTTAACGGACTCTCCCATAGTTCGCTAGCTAGCGTCAGTGGCTGTTCTTTTGCCTGATGAACTTGCTGCGTCTCTCTTCCTTTACCTTCGTCAAGTGACATTACGGGGGAATATGTTTCGGATGCCCGTAGCCAGCTTAGACATCTACTTTAGCAGAGAGAAATGATACTGGAGGGAATCATGTACATATCCCAGATATAGCCCCCTCGACGATCGACATACTTGGGAGACAGGGTGTGCAGTATGATCTTCGTAGCCAACGGTCCGCGGCCACCCAAACTTCAAATGGATAATCGGCAATCATTCGACGAACTGATTACACCTTGTCACGTTTCCGTCGTCTGCCATACGCTCAGGGGCTTTGGTTACCAGTTGAAATTACGACTTGTTGGTCGTAAGTAGTACCTCCATACAACCCATTTTCCTTTCTTTCACCATATTGCTGGACAATTATTACTGGATAATGAATGGTTTCGCGGTGTCGAGGGGCTCGCTCTCCTATGAGGAGAAGCTATCTCTCATTGACGACAGATCTCTTTCGGACGTGGAAAGCGAGAGTGCTCGGGCAGAACTTGACGGTCGCTTCTCACACATACAATGGGCAGCCACAGCGAAAACCTATTGCAACGGCTTCCGACTATCATCATGGAGCTCAAGTTTACTCAGGATAGGCATGTTCCTGCTCCCTAGTTTCATACAGCATCGGTGCGCTCGTGAGCGTTTCCGAACAGAAAAGCTTCACCCAACCGCATACCTCGACGGAATGAGAGGTCTAGCCGCCCTATTTGTCTTCTTTTGCCATTATTTTTACACGGCCTTCAAGGTAGCAGAAGGTTGGGGCCACGACAACGCCAACTATGAGATATGGCGGCTCCCCTTCATCAGGCTGCTCTACAGCGGACCTTCCATGGTCTGCGTCTTCTTTATTATATCAGGCTACGCTCTCTCCTTAAAGCCATTAAAACAAGCTCGAAGTCGCTCCCTCGACGGTCTTTCAAATACCATGACCTCTTTCGTCTTTCGTCGATTTTTCCGTTTATACCTCCCGCCCATGATCTCGACGTTCGGTGTGTTGATATTGCTCCGTTTTGGCATCTATGAGATGACCAGGGACTTTGTCAACGATCGGAAATACGTCCACAACGTAATAGAACACCATCCGGTTCTGGAAGAAACTACACAAAAACAGCTGCGTCATTGGGTGCGGGAGATGTATGACTTCGTCCACGTCTGGGGTTGGGAGAAATTCGGCGGCGCCACAGGTTACGATGTCCATCTCTGGACGATACCGGTTGAATTTAGATGCTCTATGATGCTCTTCCTGGTAATGATTGGCACTGCCAACTTGCGGACTGGCGTGCGATTCTTTTGTCTTGCCTGCATCATGTGGTTCGTTCTCCGTAGTGATCGATGGGAGATGGTCTTGTTTCTCTGGGGCATGGCGATTGCTGAATTAGACCTCATTCGAGGTGCCCACGAACCAAGCCCTTCCCAGCAGCCATCCCCTCCGCCTGCGACGCTGCTACCTCTTGACAGTACACCATCTACTACCCCTGAGAGGCGCAGTCCATGCAATTTCTTATGGACTCTTCTCACAATCCCCGCCCTCTACTTAATGTCCGAGCCGGACGCCGGGCCCGCCGGCGTCCCTGGCTGGGACTACCTCGGAACGCTGATCCCAGAGTGGTTCTCGGATAAGTACCGATACTACCAGATGATCGGCTCCATCATCTTCGTGTTCTGCACGGCACGCTCGATATCCTGGCAGCGCGCCTTCAACTCGGCGCCGGTGCAGTACTTTGGGCGCATCAGCTACGCCTTGTATCTGATGCACGGCCCCGTACTGCACACCGTCGGGTTCCTCGTCGAGAAGCGAGTCTTGGACTGGACAGGCACCGAAGGCAACCGGTATACCTGGGGCTTCATACTCGCGAGCGTCATCAACATCCCGCTCGTCATCTGGGCCGCCGACATCTTTTGGCGTGCTGTCGACGCGCCGGTTGTGCGGTTCACGAAGTGGCTTGAAGGGAAGTTATCTATACAAGATTAAATGCGGTAGGGTGCGGTGTAATGATTGCATAATTGGATGGATGATTTTTTGCCGTTGGAATACCTAGTAGTAGCGACTTTAACAGTAACAATGTTGCCGGTTCGGTTCTTTTTTGTATAGGTAAAGGTACCTAGGTAGGGTTTACAGGTCACAGCGTACGCGTGTATGTAGATAGATGGGAATATCGCCATAGGTTCAGATTCAAATAGACTACATACCTACATACCTGTGGTTGGTAGTACGGTTAAGCTTTTGCCAAGATGATCGTTGATGAGATCGATCTGGACCTAGATGCTATGTGTGTACAGTAAACCTTGGCCATAACGATTCGGTAGACAACGATATTTTTGTATAACGATATAATTTTGGGAACATTGCAATTTTGTATGGGAAATAACGATATTTTAACCTTAGCGATATATCGTTAATTTTTTGACCGCCACCACCAAGATCGTTATGGACCATGTGTAAAAAACCGTTTATTTTGATAAATTTTTGGTGGAATAAGTGGAATTTTGCGTTTGGTAGCCAATTGGACTGTCCTTTTTTCAGGTAAATCTAATCACCGCCACGATATCTAATCGCCGAAAAATTGGCTTACTGCATAATATCTTTTAAATATGAAAGGAATTTAAAAGAACAATATTAGGTAAGTACCTTTTCTAATAAAATGGCAGTAAAGGTACAACGGAAGTACACGGACCATGACAGTGGGTCCATCTCTACATAACGATACCTCTCTATAACGAATTAAGAGTGGTGTTTTTTCCATATCGTTATGGCCAAGGTTTACTGTACTATGATAGGTAGATAGGTATCTGGGTAAGGTACAATACCTTAGGCAGGTAGGGATAGAGTCTTGTAAATGAGCGACGCTGCTGTGCCATGTTGTTGCTGCGCCTTTGCCTACGCCGCAGAGTCGACTCCACATCGATTATTTACCTACTGGTATCTGGTCATTGAAGTTACGGGGTTGACAGGTACTAGGCAGGCTATCGATTGTGTTTAAATTGGATGGAGGAGATGGGTTGATTGTTTTGTATGGAGGTTTCTTGGAAGGATAGATATATTGAAGGGGAAAGAAAGGGGTAAAGGGAATACGTATGTATGTACATACCTAGAGTGGTCTGGAACTTCATACATACCCCCCGACGCTTCCTATCCATGCGTAAGTTGCTACTACATATTAGTTACCGTCGCATTTCAGTAGAAACGATTCCTAGAATATATCTAGGTAGGTATTATCTATCTAATTGAGGGTCTAATCCCCCGATCTCACGCTTATACCTATGATGTTGGATATCGTAAGTGTTCAGTCCAAGCTACCCAGTACCTACCTATGCACTTTAACTATTAGCTAAACATCTGCCTAGACCGGGCGCATGTGGCATTCCCATATTTGCTCTCGATAACTGAGCCGCTGATCCAGTGTAAGTAAGGTAGGTATCTAGCGATTTAAAGCCTTAGGATGGGGCGGGGTGGTTGTGGTTCCGTGCGTTGGGTATTGGGGGGGGGGGGGGTATATACATAAGGAGGGAGACGAAATCGCCATCCTACATAGGTAGTTAGTAGCTGAATGAGATGTTGGGATGGAGGGGAAGAGTGGGTGGGTGGGTGTGGGTATCGTGGAAAGAAGAAGAAGCAGCAGCAGCAGCAGCAGCAGGAACACGCCTAAGTAGGTCTGTCGAGATGTTGGCACCTTGAAGCCATAGGAAGCCTCCATGTCTTGCTATGTAGGTACCTATGTAGGGTAGGTATGCATATACCTAGTATTTATTGCATCCCAACCTGCTTACCGACGTTCGAAGAATATACGTCCTTAACCCCAACGATCTAGTCGAAGGTCTCAGGTTGCTAAGGCACTTAAGACTTTGATCCCTTTTCTTTCTTTGCTGAAGCTATTAGCTCAACTCGCTACCTACTATCAATATATACTTCTAGCGCTACCTGGGTATTATTTACTTAGTAGTAGAGAGAAGAGACTCTCTAGCAGTGGTGTCTTAGGAGTTACTCATCAGCCCGACTAGTATCTAACCCCAAGGTAGGTTGGAAGGAGTACGGACCTCCTATGATAATTACAATCATATTCCGCGTACAAGCCAATGTTCTCCTAGTCTAACCTCAAGTAAGAACCCTCCCATGATACGATCATCCCACCAGAATAAACCCATCCACAGCATCTACTAAGCACCAGTAGACCAAAAGTACACTTCAACAACACGATCTATACATACAACGCAACAGACGACACGCTTCCAAGAACTGCTCAAATCGATCTTCGTATGTAAGTTGGAAGGTAGCCGTAGGTAGTAGATACGTAGGTACAATAGCAACAACAAAAAAAGCCCCGGGAGAAGAAAAAAGAAAAAGAAAAGAGAACGCCCCTTCTTCCCCTTTCCCCTCCCCTCCCCTCCCACATCCTCCCAGCCCAGGAAGGAGGGGAGCAGCATCAGCAAAAACCCCCTTCAATCAATGTTATATGTACTTAATGTTTCTCAACGCCTTGAAATGCCTGCCAGTGCCAATGCAAATGCCTCCAAAGCCTCCAATATGAACCCCCGTTTCTTCCAGCTGGTCACGTCAGTCGTTATTAATGGGTTTCCCGTTTGTCCAATCCCTTAGCCGCAGCACCGGAAGCAGAAGCGGAAGTAAGAAGAAGAAGAAGACGAAGAAGAAGTGGCGAAGCCAGTAGGTACCTACCTAGATAGGTACCCAGATAAGCCAGAAAAACGAGAGAGCCGTCCCGTTATAGACGTAAAGTCTAAGCTCTCAAGTTGCTTTTCATGTGTGCCGGCTTCTCTTGCCTTCCCTTCCCCCAAATGCGTCCTTCCCAAATGTGATGCTCCCTACGTCGAATAGCTCAGCAAAGTTGATGGGTCGTTTTTGCCCAGCACCCTTCCCAAGATGGGCAGTGGGCCTTGGTCTTGAACCTCTTTTGATTGTACGCGACCGTGATGAATGTAGCGGGACAGCCGAGGAGCCCGAAATAGTGTTGTCGTTGACCTTGGCGGAATCGGAGAGATCTAGATTTTCTAAGTTTGGATATGACTCTTGCGGGTACTGATGCGATGACCGAAAGGTGAAATTTTCTTGTGTCGGAACTGCGTGGCAATGTTGCTCCTCGGCGGGGGAGTGAGTTGTAGACTGGAGGGTAGGCGTAGGCTCGTGTTGCATATGGACGTCATTCCGGGCCGTAGATGGATGTGTTTGATTAGCTGAGCGATGAATCTCCGGTGATGGTAGAGGTTCCGACTTTTCCACCTCATCCTCACTCTCTAGCGACTGTGACTCCCTTCCATCTAATCTCTCAGTAGCCCATTTCCGGATTTGCCACCCTTCCCCATCACCTAGGCCTATATGAGACTTGTCCAAGAAGACCAGGAGATCATCTATACAGTCTTGGTAACCCTCCGCTCTCGCTTTTGCCTGAGCGGCAGCCGAAGTTTTATATAGTTTCGTTACAGATAAGGCGGCGGCTTTAAAAGCGTCCAGTAACTGTTCAGGAGACTCGGCACTCGCAGAATTCTTAGACGGCGAGGTCCCTCTCAAGGCTTCCATATTGTTCTTTGTCGGGTGTCTTGGATTGTAGGATGAGTCTTATTTAGATTGAAAAAAGGAAGAAGATCTGAATTGGGTTCTGCCGGCGGATGGACGTCAGATTATAGCGGTGGGCTTGTTTGTCACCAGAGGTTAAAAAGTTACACTAGATACTAGTAGCTTTAGATCCTACTTCGGTTTTTTTCTCGTTGGGTTTGGTGGGGCGCCGGTATCTCGGTGGGCCGAAGTTCTAAAAGTTCTAGCTTTCTAAAGCGGGAGCGTGGATTCGAGCGGGCGCGAACGGTCGGGCAGTTAGGTCGCTTAGGTAGGTAGCTTACTATGTATGTTATATCGATTGTATTGTATTGTATCGGATCGGATCGCAAGCAGTTGGATGATTCGCTGTATGACTCGTAATAATTTGACGCTACTAGGCAACCCTCTATCAAGTTCAAAGTTGTAAGGGCAATTTGAAGCACGAAGAAGTAGGGTATTTAGATGTATGCAGCAAAAGATAGTTGATAATTAGATGGAATTAGATCATAAAAAAGTGTAGGTAGGCAAGGAACCGTAAGGTATCAATCAAAAGCGGATTGATTCGAGTTGCTAGTGTTAGTTGTCTTGGCCACTCTCAATGCTTCACCCGTGCTCTCAAGATGCAAGATGCAAGATGAAGGATGATATGCTACGTGGTGTTGCGGTTGTCGCTGTTCGTTGTCGTTCGTTTTCCTTGCTCCTTGCCTCGCTTATTCCTTCAATGCTGTGTCAGTCACTGTCAGATGATGACGAACTGGGTATATGTAATGTGGTATGTAGGTATGTATGTGTATCTAGTAGATGTATGTAGCTGAGTTATTGTATTGTACAGTAGTTACTAGGTATTTAATTACTATGGTAGGTACTACAAAGTGTAGGTAGGCCCTGGTAGGGGGGAAACACATGCATTGAAGGCCGGACTCGCAGTTACTTACAGCCTGAGGTACCTACTTTCCCCTCCCCCATGTCAATTTTTGATGAGTCCTCCATCAAATCAATTGCATGTGGACACAATCTTACCAGGGGGGTACTAGGTAGTTATGTGCTATGCAGCTATGGGGTCTGTACTACGTAGATAGGCCTACACAGTATGCACAGTGGCGTACTTAATACTATCATGATGTAAGTCAATCTGAGTCATCTAAGATTCTAAAGGGCACTGAGAGATTTCTTGCAGTACTGAAATCATTTCCTTATTGCAAGCGGATATTCTGCAAATGACTTCAATTGCGCCTGCCAGGAACCTAACCAATCAATGTATATATAACTATGGCTCAATCCATTTATTCAACATAATTCTATGCCCGCGAATAACGCCTGTGCACTCGATATTTAACCAAGAGTATTTGTGCTCTCGGGTGTAAATGCTTGGTGATTTGAATGCTATGTAGTTGGAACATTGAACAATCAGCATACAGTTCAATGTTAGATGCGTAAAAAGAGCTTGCATGTGTAAATAGTTACTGAGTTGCATATAACACTATATACCTACATAGGGTAATACATACTAGGCATGGCATGGAAAGTTCGTCACTACAAGAAACCATGTACTAATAGAATAGAAGACATCCATTTGACTTGGAAGCTTACTAGGTAATGACCTCTGAATATTGAAATTCAGCAAGGGATTAAACTACAATGCAGTTATGCATAAATATAAGTATATGCAGTATGTAATACTAGGGGTTGTTTAGATATAAGAAAAACGGCGAGGCTGAGAAGGAGGTGTCTTAGTCAATATTACATAGTAGTAGGCAAATCAATATGGTTTACTACTGTACATAGTAATTATTTTTATGTTCTAATGGTAGTTCTTTTTCTTTTCCATCCTCTTTACAACACAGAACCGTTATTGGTATTATTAGGCCATTTGCACTGAAGAAAATAGTGTAGGTAACTACCTAATAACTAACTACAAAATATCGCACTAACATCCAACGCACGGGCCACATCCAATCGTTAACCTTTAATGCTGCAAGCCACAATACAGTTCACTTAGCGCGACCCACTTTCCCTGACCCGCACCCCGATTAGATATACGCCATCTCGGCATGATATTCTAATTTCTATTCCACCTTTCCTTCCAACCAACCTACCTCTTAACAACATCTTCACACCTCACCGGCGTGCTTTAGTTCTTACACAAATTGCTTTATTGGCAACGTTCTATGCCACTTTTCCATCTACAAACTTTGTGACTTCATATCAATACATAGCTACTTTACTTTATTCCAACCAAAGCTTGATTGAATTGTCGCGTCGCAGTCGCGTAAAGCGTCTGTCGCAATACGCCTGTCAGTATGGCTCCTCGTCCACGAGCTGGTGCTGCCGAACCAGACGCGTCTATGTCTGATGCGCAAGAGCCTGTGGTTACTCAGCATGAAGAAATGGTAAGTTCATCCCCAAAATCATTTAATTCTATCCTATTTAGCCTTTTAAGTACCCATATATTATATCATGTATTACCTTATACTTACTTATACTTGTCAATAGGAGGTTGACGATACACCCGATCAGACCGATACAGACACAAACCCAAATACTACAGCTAGCAGTGTTGCTGGCGACCAGACCACCGACGGACGTAAGAAGCGCTCTGTGGCTAACGAGTTACGAAGAACTATCTTCGGTAAAAAACATGACGTTTTAGGCGAATCCAAGGTATGGAACAAACCAGTAGAAAACTTGCGTCATATAAGGAAGTCGAGATAGGTTGCTAATGATAACATAATAATAGGAAGATGACAGCATTCGACGATTCCGCTATCTGTTAGGTCTGACCGACCTTTTTCGTCATTTCATCGAAACAAACCCCAACCCGCAGATCCGCAACATTATTATAGAAATTGATCGCCAGAATGAGGAGGCTACCAAGGCGAAAAAGAAGGCCCTTCGTGAGGGTGGTGCGGAGACAGGACGAGCCCGACGCACCGAAGCAGAAGAGGATGCGGAATTGCTCAAGGACGAAAAACAGGGAGGATCCGCCGAGACTGTGTTCCGTCAATCGCCAGCATTCATCAATGGCACAATGAGGGACTACCAGATTGCTGGTCTCAATTGGCTTATCTCCTTACACGAGAATGGAATCTCTGGAATTCTAGCTGATGAGATGGGCCTGGGAAAAACCCTTCAGACCATTGCTTTCTTGGGGTACCTACGGCACATTATGGATATCAAAGGTCCACATCTAGTTATTGTCCCAAAGTCAACGTTGGACAACTGGAAGCGAGAATTTTCCAGATGGACTTCTGAAGTCAACGTTCTAGTTCTACAAGGTGCAAAAGAAGAACGTCATGCGCTAATCAATGAGCGTTTGGTCGACGAGAAGTTTGATGTTTGCATCACGAGTTATGAGATGATTCTCCGCGAGAAGACACACCTGAAGAAGTTCGCTTGGGAGTATATTATCATTGACGAGGCACACCGTATCAAAAACGAGGAATCGTCTTTGTCTCAAGTCATTCGCCTATTCAACTCTCGAAACCGACTGCTAATTACTGGAACGCCTCTGCAGAACAATCTGCATGAGCTTTGGGCTCTCCTGAACTTCTTGCTCCCTGACGTCTTTGGTGACAGTGAAGCCTTTGATCAATGGTTTTCAGGCCAAGATGCCGACTCCGAAGTGGTTGTTCAGCAACTTCACCGAGTCCTTCGACCATTCCTTTTACGTCGAGTCAAGGCTGACGTCGAAAAAAGTCTGCTACCCAAAAAGGAAGTCAACCTTTATATTGGCATGTCGGAAATGCAGGTCAAATTCTATAAGAAAATCCTTGAGAAGGATATCGATGCAGTCAATGGGGCTAATGGTAACCGAGAGCAAAAGACCAGGCTGCTCAATATTGTCATGCAGCTGAGGAAGTGCTGCAATCACCCTTATCTATTCGATGGGGCTGAGCCAGGTCCCCCATACACCACCGACGAACATCTGGTATATAATTCTGGAAAGACAGCATTGCTAGACAAGCTCCTATTCCGACTGAAGAAGCAGGGCAGCCGTGTTCTGATCTTCTCTCAAATGAGTCGTGTTCTAGATATTCTAGAAGACTATTGCGTCTTTCGCGAGTACAAGTATTGCCGTATTGACGGTGGAACCGCTCACGAAGATCGAATTGCGGCCATTGACGAGTACAACAGACCTGATTCGGATAAATTCATCTTCCTTCTTACCACTCGAGCCGGTGGTCTCGGAATTAACTTAACCAGTGCCGACATTGTCATTCTTTATGACAGCGACTGGAACCCTCAGGCAGACCTGCAGGCCATGGATCGTGCTCACCGAATTGGTCAGACGAAGCAGGTAGTCGTTTATCGATTTGTAACCGAAAACGCAATCGAGGAGAAGGTGCTTGAACGAGCAGCACAGAAACTTCGCCTTGATCAGTTGGTCATTCAACAAGGCCGTGCTCACCCTGGAGTTAAAGGACCAGCAGATAAAAACGAACTTTTGACCATGATCCAACACGGTGCCGAGAAGGTCTTCGAGACCAAAGGTGCCACTGGACTGGCTGCTAAAGGTACCGATCTTAATGATGATGATATTAATGAGATCTTGTCCAAGGGAGAGAATCGGACCAAAGAACTGAACGCCAGATATGAGAAGCTTGGCATTGACGACTTGCAAAAGTTTACATCAGAGTCTGCCTACGAGTGGAATGGTGAGGTGTTCGGAAAGAAGAAAGACATTGGTGTCAATTGGATCAACCCAGCCAAACGCGAACGCAAGGAGCAGTCGTATTCAGTCGATAAATTCTACCGAAATGCCATTTATGGACCGAGTAAGGCAGAGACCAAGCCAAAGGCTCCCCGGGCGCCCAAACAGATCCCGGTCCACGATTACCAGTTCTACCCATCCCGACTCCGTGACCTTCAGGACCAAGAGACCGCTGCCTACCGCAAGGCAATTCAGTACAAGATTCCGCTTCCTGACGGTGACGAGGAAACCCTTGCCGACAGAGAAGCTGAGCGTGCCCTGGAGCAGCAAGAAATCGATAAGGCCACTCCGCTTACAGAAGAAGAACAAGAGGAGAAGCAGAAACTGTCACTCCAAGGATTCGGCGATTGGAACAAGCGCGATTTCCAGCAGTTCATCAATGGCTCTGGCCGTTTCGGACGCAATGACTACGAGAGAATTGCCGAGGAAGTTGACAGCAAGACTGTAGCGGAAGTTAAGGCCTACGCGAAGGTCTTCTGGCAACGATACAAAGAAATCGCGGACTACGCCAAGCACCTCCAGGTGATCGAGACGGGAGAAGAACGTATGCGAAAGACGGAGCATCAGCGCAAGATGCTGCGCAAGAAGATGCAACAATATCGAGTTCCGCTTCAGCAGATGAAAATCAATTATTCGGTATCTACCACCAACAAAAAAGTGTACACCGAAGAAGAGGACCGATTTCTCATGGTGATGCTGGACCGATATGGCATTGACTCTGAGGGCATCAACGACCGAATCCGTGACGAGATCCGTGAAAGTCCCCTGTTCCGATTCGATTGGTTCTTCCTCAGCAGAACGCCGGTTGAGATCGGTCGACGCTGTGCTACACTGCTCACCACCATTGTGAAGGAGTTTGAGGATGTACATCCAGCCAAGACAAACGGAGTCAATGGCAAGGGTAAACGGGAGCCGGACGATGAGGAGAATGACGAAGATAGCATCTTGGGCATGGCTCCCGCTAAGAAAAAGTCCAAGACTAGTGTTAAGGTGAGCTCATCTCCCATCCCGGCCACTACGGGTTAATTGCTAACACACAAGCAGAACAAGGCGTTGGATAATGTCAAGGGCGGAGGGAGCAAGGCCACGTCCACTACTCCCTCGTCCCGAGCCTCCAGCGTCGGTTCTTCGAACTCGGCGCCTCCGGCCAAAGGCAAACCCAAGGGCAAGAAGAAGTGAATAGCCCTTACTCGAATCAACTTGGCAGCAAAACAAACATAATAAAAACTTGAACGCTTCTGTTCTCGAGCTGTGTTGGCCGCTCTTATAGAAGCTATATCGTCTATTGGCGGATATGAAATAGGTTAAGGGACATGAGGGAGGCTATGGCGTTTTTTACACGGTTGCCTTTCCTACAGGACAGCAGAGCTCTCAAAACGATCATGTATCAAGTGTTCCCAGCGGGTGGGAATAGCACTGACATCGTTTAATATGTGCTTTGCTCATATTGCAAACAGAAAAAAGAGAAGAATATCGGCAGGGAAGACTTTGGTGATGAAAGAGGAAATACGAGCCCATACGAAGTTTTGTCAGTATTTGGCACTGCGGGGACGGTGGGATGGTGCTGGAGGTGACGAGAAACCTCTAATTGCTGAAGTATCTTCGGTCGCCGTTAATGAAGAAAGATGGTCCAGAAGGACGGCCTTTGAGGGAGACGGACTTCAGATACTATTGTGTCTCTAGCTCTCTGGATTTCTTGAATCCCTTACGATGAAGACAGATGAAGACAAATAGCTACCTAGGTTGCCTAGGTAGATTGATAGGAACTACGTTGAATCGATGAAGTGGACTTTACATGAGATGATTAATGTCTTGATTTCCAAGGCTCTAATAAAGTGAAAAACTTGGTTGCTGTGTCTGATAATGATGATGATGAATTGATTGATTGACTTGCATCTCGGAGTAAGCCCTGGTGTATTAACCGTTGCTCCCTGCTTCCCTGGGTATTTAGATACCTGCCACTACTACTTTGTATGTAGCAACTACTACCTGACTAATTCTCGTCTTCTCCTATTTCATCATCTAGATCTCAGTGTTCTGGTGGTTTTTTTCCCTCTTAGTTTCTTCTCGTCACTATCCCCCTCTCTACTCTGCTCCTTGTTTGCTCTCTTACTTCTTTTCTCGTAGAGGAAGGCTAGTCAAACCAGACAGAGCTGTGTACGATGTTGTAATCCGTCCCGACCAACGCCGAAAAGCCTGCCAGCTAGTCCGTTCATTTCCTTCCCGGATGCAAAGAGCCACGGGAGGGGGGGACAGACAAGCAAAAAAATGACGTGAATTAACTACACTTTAATAAAAAAAGGACACAAGACGAGAACATAACGCCGAAGATCCTGGTCCCTTTCCCCCTCTCTTTTCTCGTCTTCTCTCATCGCGTCGCATCGCATTGCATTGCATCGTGGCATATGCAGTGGGACTTCTTTAGAATCGTTCGGGTGATTCGGGAACGGAGGCTATTGGAAGTCTGACAGAGCCGGGATACTATAGCCGGTTCTCACGCTCACGCTCAACCTCGTACTTGAAATCGAAATAGGCCTTGTCGAAGTGGTGGATTCGGACGTAGCCGTCTTCTCCACCACTCGCGTAGCTCTTGCCGGTGGGGTTGGAGGCTACCGTGTTCTATACGAGTAGATGATTAGTTGCCATTATACTAGTTTCATTTATTTCAAAGGGAGAAGCATACCAAAGGACCGAAGTGACCTCGCACACGACCGATCTCATCCTCAAAGATCTTGTGGTAGAAGCGTGCCTCAAATTTTCCTTGGCGGGCCTTGGTTGTGGTAACGTCCATAGCAGCTTGACCACCACCTAGAATGACGTATTCCTTCTTAGGAGTAATGCATGCACTGTTGAGTGATGTGTCGGTAGGGTACGTCTTTAAAAGTTCGAGGTCGCGGGCTGCCACTAGTCGAGCGGTCTTGTCTTTCGAGGCGGTAATGAAGTAGGTGCGGTCAGGCGACCATTGCAGGTCTGTCACTTGCATGTTAAGCTCGTGCAGAGGGACATTGTCGAGTAGCTCTCCAGTCTACACATAGTAAATCGAGTTGGTTAGCTTACTCCATCGGTTTGCTTCCGCATGTATTGAGATTCTTGGCTTACCTTGGCGTCGTACTGGGAAACGGAACCATCCTCATGCCCAGCAATGATGTACTTGTTGAGATAACTCCAGCCAGCAACAGTGGCCTTGCTCTCATCGCACACAATAGTTAGAGCGCGCTCGTCACTCTGCTCAGCATCAACGTCGAGGATAACGTCTAGAACAACGATGGTGCCAAGATGACCCATACGCTTCTCTGTGACACCCAGTAATTGTCGGCCATCATCGCTGAATTCGACACGCTTGACGGCAGTAGGGAATTCCCATGCTTTCAGACATCGGCCAGTTTTGATTTCCCATAGGCGGATAGTGTTATCGGCGCTGCCGCTCGCGATGAAAGTAGAGGTGGGGTCAACATCGACAGTCCAGATGGCACCCTGGTGACCCTTGTACGTGCCTAATCGTTCGCCATTATGGGAATACCAAACGCAAATGTGCTGATCCTTGGCTACGGAGAAGAGTAGATCACCATCGGGGTTGTACCTAGATAGTAGGAAGAGTTAAGATGGTTAGCCTGAAGTTCGCGAGGTAAAGATTTAGATTTCGATTTCGAGTTCCAAGTTCAGAGTCGCAACGTACTTGATCTGGGTCAAGGCTCGTTCCTAATGATATTTGTTAGTACTCAGCATGTATAATTTTAAGCAGCATATGATATAAATACTTACATGGCCTGACAAGAGAATAGGTCTCATGTTTGCGACGTGTGGTTGGATTTGATTATTCTTATGGGTTGAAAAGTGATGTCGTCGCGAAATTGGGGTTAGGTGTATGGAGTTTTTGAATGATTTGTGCGTGGGGCAAAGAAATGCTCGGATTTTCGATAAATAGCAGATCGGCCTATCAGCAAACTCAACCCCACCAAATGTTAGAAACACTCTTTACTACTAAGGTTAGTACTGTAGTAACTAGTTTCTTACTCAGTCATGGATAGTCACGTGACAGAAAATATAAAAAAGATTTGAGAAACCACGACGGACAACTTTTAAAAAGTCTTAAAAATGCACTAAATTTTCTAGGGATAATTATGCTACATAGCTCCAGCTTTTCAGGGACCGTAACCTCCTGGTTACATACTACTAGTAGTACTTGAAAGATGATGGAGCTGTAGAGAGTCTAGTTACTAGGTTGGAGTAGAGATCCTGCCTCCGCAACATGAAAAGAAACTTTTACAAGAAAGAGATCAAATTAGGGAGTATGTACCCAAGTATAATTCATCAGGTTCAAGTTGACTCACAATTTGAGTTGAGTTAAAAAGGTAAACTCCACTCGTTAAAGAATCCTACGAAATGCAAAATTTTGAGACATGAAGCCTCTACAACCCTTATGATACCTATGAAATAATACATACCTAGGTACATATTATGTAACTCTTCATCCTTCGCCCTTATTTTAAGAAAAATGTATTACTTCTTGTTTCTCATATTTATATAACAATTGTGCTTGGTAAATATTTATGTTTGTTCGAATCGATGTCCTCCGAGCGTTCACTTTCTCAGATTAGCCCTATCTCAGATACATCATACATGACCTTGGATTGTACTGTACCTTGTAGCAAACTCTATCCATCAGTGCGTCACGCCAGGCCTAGTCGAGACTTGGGATGATCCTTGGTTGAGCTGAGTCGAGTCATTGGATAGTGCGGGTTATTACGGCACAGCTTCGGTTGAAGGATTATGAGTTTAGCAAATGGAAGGAGCATCAGTCGATGCAATGGCTTCCTTCCTACGACAGTGCCAGCATCAACGAAAGCATCAGGAGCACAATGTATACTAAGCCAACGGCAAGGGCAACGGCAAGGGCAACGGCAACGGTTAATTCTTCGACCAGTTACAAGCGTTACTGCAATTGTTACTACTAGACTTGTAACTGTAACTCAACCTACCAAAACTCCACTTTACAAATCCTTATCTTCTTGTCAGCCACTACATATTCTTTCGGCCCAGAGGAATTGTTCGTCTTTGACCGCCCGGAATTCGGTCTATTCATCACAGCGTGCCCAACTCACTCAAAGGATCCAAAGAATAAATCAAGCAGGTTGTACAGGCTTATTCACTTTCACCTCGTCACAGGTCACACATCATCCATATTGGACATCTACCTCACTGTCGCATGCCCCTCGTAGAGCTTTTTCAATAAGCAACCCCACTATGGCTGCTACAAAGATAGACGGTACAGCCATCGCGAAGAGGATTCGTGAGAGACTTGCCGCCGAGATAGTCGAGAAACAAAAGCTAAACCCCAAGTATGAACCTTGCCTTAAGATTATCCAAGGTTTGTATAGTCCTACCATGCCTCGATCCCGCTCATACATAATACTAACATCCTTGATTTCTAGTTGGTGATCGATCTGACTCCTGTATGTGATGACTCAAATCACAGCAATGTGTGCCGCAACTAATCATTTCTCAGCTACATATGTTCGCATGAAACTCAAGGCTGCTCAAGAGGTAGGACTACCTAGCAATTTCATACTATTATTTCACATTGGCTTAATATCTAACCCTTGACTCATAAAAGGCAAACATCACATGTGAACTTCTACATTTCTCAGAGAATATCACCGAGGCAGAGCTTTTAGCACAACTGCACGTATTAAATAATAATGCTGCGGTACATGGCATCCTAGTTCAGCTACCACTGCCCAAGCATATCAACGAGTACGCTATTACTTCAGCAGTGGCAGACCAGAAGGATGTCGACGGTTTCGGCACAACTAACATTGGCGAGCTTGCCAAGAAAGGTGGCAATCCCTTCTTCATCCCCTGTACTCCCAAGGGGGTCATGGTTCTCTTGGATGAAGCAGGTGTCGACCTGAAAGGCAAGGATGCTGTGGTTCTTGGCCGAAGCGACATCGTGGGGAGCCCTGTCAGTTACTTGTTGAAGAATGCCGATGCAACTGTCACTGTCTGTCATTCCAAGACTAAGAACGTTGAAGAGAAGTTGAAGAATGCGGATGTCGTTGTTGCTGCTATTGGCCAGGCTGCCTTCGTAAAGGGGGAATGGCTCAAACCGGGGGCCGTGGTTATTGATGTAGGGACGAACTATATCCCTGACGCGACTAGGAAATCAGGGCAACGACTAGTGGGTGATGTCGATTTTGAGTCAGCTTCCCAAGTTGCTTCCTACATTACGCCAGTTCCAGGTGGCGTTGGTCCGATGACTGTTGCTATGCTCCTACAGAATGTTGTCGACTCCACCACAATGTATTTTGAGCGGCAGAAACAGAGGCGTATCGTGCCCCTTCCTCTAAATCTGCTAACCCCAGTGCCCTCGGATATCGAAATTTCAAGATCCCAGCCGCCAAAACCCATTACACGAGTTGCGGAAGAAGTTGGCATTGCACAACACGAACTAGAGCCATATGGTGCATACAAAGCCAAGGTTGACCTTACCTTGCTAAAGCGACTGGAGCATCGTCGTAATGGCCGGTATGTTGTGGTTACTGGTATCACCCCCACACCCTTAGGCGAGGGCAAGTCTACCACAACCATGGGATTGGCGCAAGCACTAGGAGCGCACTTGGGCCGACTTACCTTTGCGAATGTCCGGCAACCCAGCCAAGGTCCCACATTTGGCATTAAAGGAGGTGCTGCTGGCGGCGGTTATAGTCAAGTTATACCGATGGACGAGTTCAACATGCACTTGACCGGTGATATTCATGCTATCTCCGCAGCTAACAATCTTCTTGCTGCTGCTATTGAGACTCGTATATTCCACGAAAACACACAAAAGGATGGCCCCCTTTATCGAAGACTAGTCCCAGTCAAGAATGGGAAGAGGACTTTCGCACAAGTCATGTTCCGGCGGCTCAAGAAGCTAGGGATTGACAAAACCGACCCAAATGAGCTGACCGAGGATGAGATTCATCGGTTCGCCAGACTAGATATTGACCCCGAAACTATCACATGGAGACGTGTAGTAGACGTTAACGATCGCCATTTGCGTGGTATCACCGTCGGTATTGCACCAACTGAAAAGGGGCAAAGCCGAAACACTGGTTTTGATATCTCCGTGGCCAGCGAATGTATGGCTATTTTGGCAATGAGCACAAGTCTTCCCGATATGCGAGAAAGATTGGGCCGAATGGTGGTTGCTACGTCGAGGTCGGGAGACCCGGTCACTTGCGATGACATTGGAGCTGGAGGTGCATTGACAGCTCTCATGAAGGACGCCATCAAGCCTAATCTCATGCAGACTTTGGAGGGGACTCCTGTCTTTGTGCATGCTGGTCCTTTCGCCAATATCAGTATCGGCAATAGTTCTATCCTTGCTGATAAGATGGCCCTTAAATTAGTAGGCACCGAACCTGACGAGGATCACAGCGTGAAAGCTGGTTTCGCTGTCACTGAGGCCGGTTTCGACTTCACGATGGGTGGTGAGCGATTCTTCAACATCAAGTGCCGTGCTTCAGGCTTAGTTCCCGACGTCGTTGTCATCGTCGCTACGGTTCGTGCGTTGAAGGTACATGGCGGCGGCCCACCCATCGCCCCTGGCGCACCATTAGATCCTGTATACAAGCAGGAGAACGTTGAGATCCTACGCAACGGATGTGTGAACCTCAAGAAGCACATCGAAAATGCCAAGTCTTATGGCTGCCCTGTCGTGGTAGCTATCAACAAATTTGCCACCGACACTGACGCTGAGATTGCCGTCGTGCGGGAGGAAGCTATTGCAGCTGGTGCTGAGGATGCTATCTTAGCCAACCATTGGGCAGAAGGTGGAAAGGGTGCCGTAGATCTTGCCAAGGGAGTAGTTGCTGCGTCTGAAAAGCCCAAGGACTTCAAGCTCTTGTACGATGTGGGCGAGGGTTCTATTCAACAGCGTATGGAATCTATCTGCCAGAAGATGTATGGCGCCGCAGCAGTTGAGTTCAGCGAGCTTGCTCAAAAGAAGATCGACACATATACGAAACAGGGCTTTGGAAACCTCCCGATCTGTATCGCCAAGACGCAATATTCGCTCTCTCATGACCCAGATCTTAAGGGTGCGCCCACTGGCTTCACGGTCCCGATTAGGGATGTGAGAATGGCTGCTGGTGCAGGTTATCTGTAAGTACCTGTTTATATGTCACCATTCCACAGGAATATAGCTAATCACACAAATCTAGGTACGCTCTTGCTGCTGACATTCAAACAATCCCTGGATTGCCCACAGCACCAGGCTATCTAAATGTTGATGTCGATACCGAGACTGGCGAGATCGATGGACTCTTTTAAGCGTCAAAATACCCATCTATATTTCTACACGCATACGGGACATTATCCCGGAATAGAAAACCATAGATATAATAAGAATAGAGCCTAAGCATGTGTGTTAAGTGGGAGGAGTCCATGCATTGACTTCAACGGATTCAACCAGGTTGGAGCATTAGGGTGCGGGGGTCATAGGGATCTATATGGGATTTGGTGTAGGGCTATGTGGTGGCCAACGGTTAGCATCTGTCCTCATCATCGTACATGATACCTTCAACAACAGTGTGTATCAAAAAATATCTATCTGTCAATGGTTGACACCTAGAGTATTAAAAATCTATGTAGTTAGCAATGAAAAATCTTGCTGATTTCTTCAATTGGTCGTCGAACTTCCTCTTGGATTAAGTGATTCGCCTAGGTACCTATTGTAAACTGAAGGGTGTGTGTTGATACATATCTCATTAAGAATCAAGTTATGTACCAGATAGGCAAGCAGGTAGGTAAGTAAGTAACCTAGTTGACTGTATCTTGAAAATTTTACTCATATTTATAATCTCTTCCGTCCTGCTCCATCTTCTTTCTTTCCTTCCTATCCCTATCCCCATTCCTTCTTCCTCGTCTTCCTCCCTTTACTCTCTTCCCTACCTACCTAAGTTATGCCCCCCCCCCTCCCCTCTCAAAAGATTAAGCATTGTCTATCACTAAAATCGAAATCGAGATCAAAGCCGGCATCACAATCATAGTATCCCAAATCACCACACACACACACACACACACACGCACACACACTAACCCTAGGCACGTAGCACGAAAGCCTCACATAAACATAAACACAGGGCACATAGGGCAGGTAGTAAAACAGAGTTCGAGGTTAACATTTTTGACTTTCTCCCTTTTAATTACACCAGTAGCAGCAACAAAAAAGGGATGGTGGTTGATGGTTGGGTATTAAAAAAAAAGGGGGTGGGAGGAGGTAAGCAAGTAAGTGGCTGTCTAACTTCGCTATGCGAAAGATCCCATCGTACAACCATTTCGCTTCTTCTTCTTCTAAGTACAGGACAGGACACATTACTAGCCTAAGACTAAGCCTAAGTACTTAGTTCCTAATTATGGGCGTGACTTCGCATACAAAATATTCATCATGTAGGAGAAAGAGCAGCCCTTTTTGCCTCCGGCTGTTCCATGCCTCCACCAGGTCCTTCGTCTAAATGTCTCTTCTGGCCGGCAATCTGGTCAACCACTCCCGCACTAGGTGGTGCTGGGCTGCATATATTAGGTGTGGGTGCATGCATGATTGCGGGTGGATGTGGATGTGGAAGTGGAGGTGCAGATGCAGGTATAGGCGTAGGTGTGGATGCCGGTGCTGGTCCAACAAGCTTCGCCGCTAGTTCAGGCTGTCCAGCACGTTCGTTCCCATGGCCAAGTCCCTCTTCATGTAACGTTTTCTGTCCAACCTGTTCAACTACATTTGCACTGGGCGGTACCGGAGCAGAGATCTGTGGCGTTTGAGAGTGCATGGCAGCCTTTGCAACAGGTTGAGATTGCTCGAAACCTCCATTACCATTGCTGAATGCATCGCTATGTTGCCGCTTCTGCCCTGCAATCTGGTCAACGACGCCCGCGCTTGGTGGCGCGGGGCTGGGAATACTGTGCGTAGGTGTTGCTACACTTGGGCTCGGTACAGACGATGCAGTCCCCGAATCTTTCCGAGCAATGGAGGGTCGCGATATTGAATTTGCTCCGGGTCGCGAGATACCCATTGGCGTCGGGCGTTGAATCGAAACTCCAGGACGGGGGAACGACGGCGGCGCTGGCTTCGGTATAGACGATGGAGTTGCCTGGGAAAGTTGTGTACTGGGTTGATTAGCTGGTGCTGCTTGGCTAGCCTGAGCCGCTACCGCCATAGGGGCTGGTGATGGTGCTAGAGCGGGTGATGCAGACGGAGCTTGCTGTGGAGGCTGAGACGAATTTGTTGGCGGAGCAGCATTGACAGATGCGAGAGGTGTAGGTTGCACTTGGAGGCTATGGGCTCTACGCGCATCAGCAATGATCTGCGTGACTGATTTGACCATCAATCTGTCTGCCTCTTCCCACCCTTGAATTGGACCAGAATTTGGCATGCCTCGTGCTCGGTTGATCGCCAAGTCTACGATAGCCTCTGCTTGATCTGTCTTCTTTCTAAGAGCGACAATCATCGTGTCCCTGAAACCCTTGACTCTGCGTTGTATTTCAGCTTCCACCGTTGCCGTGGGTGCCGGGCTCTGGGTTGGTGCACTGGGAGTTGGTGTAGGCTTCACAGCGTTGGACATTGCTGGAGCGGGTGAAGCAGATGTCGTCTGAGGCTGCTGCTTGGCTTGTATCTCACTGATCATGTTTTGTACCGCATTCATCAGTGATTTCTCAACCGGTTCAAACCCAGCAGGCACACTGGTCTGGGCTGGTAACCCTCGCGCCCGATTGATGGCAGAGTCAATGATCTGGGGAGCTTGATTAGTTTGCTTAGAAAGAGCGTCCGTCACCTTTTCTCTGAATTTAGCTATAGCCTGTTCGATCTCCGCCGACAGCGGTGGCCGCACTACATTGTTCGGCGTGTTGGATACCGGCTGTTGTTGGTGCTGCTGCTGTTGAGATAAGGGGTGAGACGTGGGCAGCTGCACTGGGGCGGCCGGTAAAGTCTGTGGATTAGGAGCTGAAGAGACTTCGGATTTGATAGAGGGATTGGACTGGGGAGGCGGCTTCGCGTAAGGAGAACTATATGTACTCTGGTGTGTGTTGTTAGGCTGTCTGGAGAGATACACAGGAGGTAATTGTGCAGGTGCTGGAGCATGTGTAGGATATGCTTGTTGAGTGATCGGTTGAGAAGATGGCGATATATGGGAATGATTAGGTTGACTAGGAGAAGCATGATATCCCGTCTGTGGGTGCTTGATATCGGCTGTGTAATTTGGTAGATTGTGTCCAAAACCGCCGTTGCTACCTGGCAGATAAGAACCATTCTGGTAATACTGCTGCGTTTGCAAGTGCGTATGAAGATGCGGCGGACCAAGCTGTCGGTCAGGGGAGCTTGCTTTACGCTTCTTTCCGGCATCGAGCTCCACCCCGGGAACACGAGACCATAACCCGGTACCTTCAGCTTTCTTAAAGGCTTCGTTCCCAATCAAATTATGCCGAACACTACTCTCCCATCCTTTAGTCTCCGCAGAGAAATAAAACCAGGGGTACTTCGACATGATCCTTTTGTAGATTTGCTTCAGTGTAAGGCCATCAGGGGGCCCGTTCGTCAAGGCCTCGTCTATTAGAACGCCGTAATTCTTCGTAGGCTTTTGAAGTTGCTCCTCAGTGAAATCCTCTTTTCGAAGTTCTAGAGGTGGAGATTTCGGCCGGACCTTCTTCTCCTTCTTCTCCTTTGCTCGTCTTTCCGCATCGGAGCCTTCGTCGCCATCTTCTTTCGACTTTCGTTTGTTGTATTTCCTCTTCTCCGGTTTTTCTCCCTCCTCCGGCGCTGGATTCTTTCTAGGACGTCCCACTGGCCGTTTGATCTTGTCCCCTTGTGGGTCTTGAGGAAGAGTCTTCTTAGAAGTTTCTAGCATCTGCTTCTTGAGTAGGCGTCGCTCTCTCTTTGACATTATACCATCCTTCGGTGGTCTACCCGGTCCACGACGTTTGGGCATGTCAGGCGTCGCAAACTGGGGTTGGGACGGATCATGGCCATGATCTTGGTCTTGGTCTTGGTCTTGGTCTTCAATCTCATCTTGAATCTCATCCTGGATCTCAGCTGACTCAACTACATCAACATTAGGCTCGTCACCCATGTCAGAATGTTCTTCTTCAGCGGCTTCATTGTCTCTTTCGCCTTCATCAGAGCCAAGGACAGGTGTTGGTACGTTCTCTATCTCGGATAGCTCGTCACTTGTGTCTCGGAAATTCTCATGATCGGAATGTTCAAAATCAAAGCTCATCTCTTTACCTCCGATAGACATACGCTTGCTCGACGTTTCTTCTTCATGGTACTGTTCGCCACCGGTCTTACCGAGCACGACACCATTGAGAACAAAAATAAATTCCACATCCTTGATTTGGAGGCGGTCTCCACTTCGGAGGGTAACGGGATCGTCAAGCCCATAATGTGTGTCGTCGCAGAAGAAGCCATTTTTGTGCAGGGCGACAGCTTCAAAGACACCTTTCTTCTCATTATACTCAATTTTCAGATGCTGCCTTGAGATACCACGAGTTTTGCTCGCAATATCCGGCCCGGGCGAATGGATACCAACAAATGGTATATGTGATGGCGATGGCTGCAATGTGCCCAAGTCAACCGCGGCAGCTCCGGGTGTATGTGAGACATATTGTCTATTCGATTTGACATGGTCACTCTGAGCATCATCATCGCCATTTTGTGATCTATGCGCCGAGCTCGGTCGACGTTTCTTGACGGGGCGGGCATTATCCTCTCCATCCGATTCAGGACCAAGCATACCACCTTCTTCACTGACATAGGATTTACTAAATTTGCCTCGGTCAACGTTAAGGGGCGTTGGAGGCGGCAATCCATTCCTAGCATTTTCTTCCACTTTCCGTCTGTAAGCCAACTCCCGCTTCTCATCCCTCCGAGCCTGATCCATAGCTCTCTGGTCGCGACCAATGATGACGGCATACGTTGTCATCTGAAAAACACTATCGGCAAATTCTATCCTGGCAAAAGACTCCAATTTTTGGCTGACGCTAGTAGACGTGTGGTCGGCGCTTGTCGTCAACGCATCGCTCTCTTGCGTGAAGGAAGCTTGTAGCGACACCTCGGAAGGTGCTACAATAGCAGGACCCGGGTTTTGAAAAAGCGTAGATGTGGCCTGGGCGAGGTTCATCATGTACGCATTCGGATCGACCGTAGCCTGAGGATTCGGCATGTTGTTGGTCATGTTCCGGGATGAAAAATCTGCGTTGGAGGGCTCGGGATCGGTAGTCGCGACAGCTTCCAGCTGGGTGCGCGAACGACGATCAGGCTGGTCTAGCATTTGAGCTTGACCAAGTTTCATGCCAAAGGTTTGAGTAGCCAAGCTGAGGTTGGCAGAGGCCAGTTGAACCATAGAAGACGGGTCGTTTGCGCCATTCATAGGTGGCAGCTGTTCAGTCGAGAGTTCGGGTACATCGTCATTATCGCCAATATTGACTTGTGTCGCGGCGGGCGTGGACAGTGGAGACACAGTAGGGGGCGAAGGCATAGAGTGAATCTCGTGAGGGTCATCGCGGTAATGGTAATAGTCTTGGTTATTCGAGATAGGTATAGGCGCATTCGCATTGGGAATAGCATCAAGGGGATTGGGGTCTGTATCGGGGATCGGTATAGGTGCTGGTGCTGGTGCTAATACGGGTGCAGATATCGGTGCTGATACCGGTACTGGGCTTGGGTCTGGGTCTGGGTCTGGGTTCGAGTTTGGTATTGGAGTTAATGTTGATGTTGATGTGGATGTAGATGTAGATGTGGATGCGGGCGCGGCTGCAGTCGGCAGACTTAGCGGAGAAGGAGAAGAAGGAAAAGGCAGAGGAGGAGAGCGATATTGTAAAGGTTGAATAGTATCGGCCTCAGCCGCAGCAGCGTTGGACGAAGTCATCGCTGTTGAATTGGAGACAGCTCCTTCGTCTACGGCGTGCCGGTTAGGAAATTATGAATTATGGGTTGGTTAGTTGGTTGGTTGGTTGGATTAGGAAAGTAAAGTATTCCAATTCAATGTTGATTGAAAGTACTGCCAGTACTGCCAGTACTGCCCAGTTCGGGGGGGAGTTGAGATGGTCACCGCCTTCCTGCAACGTAAAAAAAACTAAAGCTTTTACCACCATTTGCCAGTGGCTCGACACTGCCAATCTTCTGTCAATTCTGTCAATCTGGAAGATGATCCCCCGCCAAGACCTTCTGTAATGGTTCTAAAAGTTCGGCCAAACCTAGCTGCACCTAGTACCACCTACCTGCTTTGCTGTGATTGGTTTAACCATACCAAGCTAATCGGTCTTTTAAGGTTGCTTAGCTCGGATACAATTCCTAGTCGACGCTATGGCCAAGTTCAGTTGGAGTCTTTTAAAATATCTATTGGAGTTGTACCATCCAGAAATATGTAGGTACAGTGTACTATGTATACATGTATTATTGAAAGTGATCCTTTTTATACGAATCAATAAATTCATTCATTGCTTGTTTCTTGATAAACTCACACCGACTCTTTGACTGGCTGCATACGTAGGTATTTACTTAACCTAGGGTAGTCACATGGCAGTCATTATGTAGTAGTATCTTGACAACTCACGGTGTACTACAAAGTTTACATTCCATGAAAGAAGCCCTCCTGTCTGTGTGCTGGTCTAGGTATTGTACAACATTGAATAGGTACCTGAATACTAGGTAGAGAATCATTATGCTCAATAAATATTTGATAACACTACCACATCAGCATGCCATGAGAAATAAACTTACCTTAGGTAACTCATCATACACGCTCACACACATATATACACACCCGAGATGTATATACCCAGGCTGTCAGGTAGAGTCACTGCTTAATAAGGCACGTGCCCTACCTGCTCAACAAAGGCGCTCTTTCACCTGAGCCACGACCCCGTCTTCTTTCAATCCAGTCTACAAGCTTGTAAGCCCAATGGCACAGCATCCCAGCCACGAACCCAACAGCATCATTCTTGAAAGCTAGGATACCCGCCGTAGTCATGAGCATAACCGTCCACCTCTCACCTCTTTCCTCGTCTGATACATTTCGGTGTCTCTTGTGCTGTGCCTGATCAACCGATGCCTCCCATAAGTCCGATGCGCCGTGATTCAGGCTCTGGCCAACCTTGGCGAGCTCTAGACCGGCGGCAATGACCATAATTCCTAGTAAGCTCTTCGGGAAGGCCTTGAGTAAGTCTAGCAAAGTCTCCCCAAATATTATTCCGAGGAGCATCTTAAATAGACCCAACATGATGATGCTAGCTCCGCTCCGTGCCCCAAATCGGTACTGAGCGGCAAGCCCACCGGCGCCGTGACATACGGGCATAGCACCGAACCAACAACCCAGGAGATTCATGGCAGCAACACTGATTCCGAGGGCTGTGACACTGGGCGTAGGTAGGTCAGGAAGCAGGTCTGCGGCCAATGCGCTAGCGGCGATGATGGAGTTCAGGGTTGTGAGGGGTAGCTGCGCGACACCCATGCCGATAGCATCTGCACTCCACTGCGGGAGTTTGAACCAGGGGTTCCAGATGCGGAAATGGGGTAGATGATGATGCGAGCTGATGACGACGGATATGATAGCGAGGACTAGGCCAACGACGAAGATGATGAGGGCATATGGGAATCGAGTCGCCTTTTGAGTCAGGACAAGTAATAAGAAGGCGGCAAAAGACCATACGAGGTTGTCAAGGGGGAAGTCCCAGTGGTGTGCGAACGGCTTTAGCAGCGAAGTGCCTGCCGAGATGATGAGGGAAAGGCCGGCACCGAACTGGATACCTTTGACTACGGGGATGGGAATTATGCGAGTGATCCAGTGTAATAAACCGGTGACGCTAAGGAAAAGCACAACAACAGCGACCACACTACCCGCAGCTACAGTTTCGCGCTCCGAGGCATGAGAAGCTATAGCAGCGGCCGCGATGGCCTAGTGAAACTATTGTTAGTCCTTGACATTCAGACATATTAAGAAAGTGAGCTGTTGCATTTTAAGAAGAGGTAATTAATTACCTTCATCGGCTGAACTGGCAAAGGAATTCCAAATATGACACCGGTAATGAGGTTATAGAAGCCACAGAATACAAGTGTAGTCGATAGCGAGATTGAGCCATTGACGGCGAGGGTGATCATCAGTGGGAGGAGAGTCCCCAGATCACCAAGTGCGCCTGATATCTCTGCGAGCGGGGAGCGACGCAGAGTTGCGACATTATTTCGATGAAGTCGCTTGATGTCGGAAATAAAAGCCATCTTTTAGATAGACCCTTCCGAATGGCGATCGTGGGGTAATTTGAGGTCTAAGGTAGGTACCTACATATGTAGGTATAGTATACTAGGTTAGTAAATAGAAGAATTGACACTAGGTATGTATGTTGGGTGTGTATGATAGGAGAGGTTCTAGCTCTAGCTCTCACTTACGTCAGAGAAGAAATTCCGAAGGTTCAGTGCTCGAGGTCCTGCACGACTCCGCGTGGCCCGCAATCCCTCGGAAATACCCGAGACACATAAAAAAAATAGAAAATCCAGCCCCTATCACACTTGGAAACATTGAAGTTACCAACCCATCTTGAACTCATGCATGCATGACATTTTCTCCCTCACGTGCAGCTTGTCATTTTAAGGTGCTGAGTGACTTTAGAAGAGAGTCGGCGAATGGGGTACATGTGGTTCCGGAGAAGGACGAAAACTTCGGGAAACATTCATTCCAGCGCCACGGCAGCACAACATTGAAATGTCTATCATCCCTAGGTAAGGTAGGTGGGATTCAGCACCTGCCTAAAGCAATCCTTGGAACTTCCTCACTTTTCCTACTCATCAAATCACATTGCTTGAGGAAGAAAATCAAACATACAAATCATTCTCAAAGAGAGATGATGAGCGCGACAATGCAGATATATGTTATGAAAAAGTTCTTATATTTTGAAACCTCACAGTCCCTGAAACAAGGGGATCTTGAGTTTCAGACGAGGGTAAGTAGATGAACGAAAAAAGCGAAAAAAAAGAAAAAAAGAACCAAAAAAAGAGAAGAGATGAAAAAGAGATACTGGCGGTTAGATAAGGCGAGTTTTAATTTCCAGCCGCATCTGTAGGAAACACAGGAAACAACTTGGAAACAACGACAATTGAATTTGAACTCTGCAGCCAAGGTGACTTCCGAAATTCAGTAGGCACTGCGCAGGTAACACATGCAAAGCGGGGGCGGTAAAGCAGAAACAGCAGAAACAACAACATTGAACCTTGCAAGTTGAAATGTTACGATAAGATTCTTCCTTGTCTAAACCTTAGACTCCAGATATCATTAACCTAATGTCTATAGTGCCTACCCTAGGTATATAAGGGAGGCAAGTAGGCACACTTCTATTCGGTCTTCCACGAATGAAGGTGCCAGTGCAAACGCTTACATCAAAAGTGGAGGGCAAGTATAAACGGACAATAAAAAAATGTAGGATAGCGCACGGGATGTCAGGGTCCCGAAACGTTAGATCCATCGATTCCGTCGATTTCCCACTCTGGGGGCCAACCTCCCACGACTTGGATACATATCTATTTACCTACCTACTTACCTACTTACCTATCTACTTACTGTATTATATTTTACATACCTGTCTATATCTTTGTTTGTTAACATTACACGTGTACAATTTATATATTCCCTTCCTCTATCTTATCCCCCTTTTGTCAGCCCTATAGACACTTGATAGGGAATGGGATGTAAAACTTTGTTCACTTATACCTAAACTTTGGGTTGGAATGATCTTTGATCTTTTTGATATTTTGAACTAAACACTAAATACTATCATGGCTTTTACTATATTGTTGCTTGTCGGTGCAACGGTTTCGTATTTCTTATTCAATATAGTTTCAGGGCTTCGAGCTAACATCGCTGCCGCGAAACAATCCGGTTTCCCCTATTATATCGTCCGTAAGTTGATTGGCCCAAATATTGAAGCCTTCAATGGTTAACTTCAAATAATGCCCACCCCTTTTCTTGTACCCAAGTACCCTGCTTTATCTCACCTATGTCACTGGTACTAGGTACACATACTGAAGCTGACCTCTTCTTACTTATAGCCATTAGTCCATGGAACCAAATTGGACAGTTAACAAATGCCGTTTGGGTTCCCTTGTTTAAACTTTTGCCGCGCAAGTGTTGGCAGGACATTGAACCGTGAGTAGCGGAGACATTGACGTACCTACTATTAAGTAGGTGCATGCCAGTCCTTGAATGGCGATCTAACAAACTCGGGGATAGTATCTTGAATCCCAATTGGCAATACCGAGATAACCATAAGATATTTGCTGCTATCGGTGATACCTTCATGATTATCTCCCCCGGTAGAATTATATGTTACACGGAAAACGCTGAGGCAATCCACCAGATCACCTCTAAAAGGGAAGCGTTCTCCAAGCCTACAGAAGTCTATGCTATCCTCGGGCAATATGGCCAAAATGTATTAACTCTAGAAGGCGCCTCTTGGCGCATGCACCGCAAAATCACCTCTGCCTCTTTCAATGAAAAAAATGCCGCCATGGTGTTTACGGAGTCCATTAACCAGACCCAAGGCCTAATTAACATGTGGCTCGGCGCCGATGGTTTGGGCAACAAGACGTTCAAGTCAACCGAACGGGACACGGCCTCGCTCACGCTAAAAATTATCGCTAACATTGGCTTTGGCCTCAAAATTCTCTGGCCTGGTCAAAAGTTCCCTCCAGGTACCGATCCGAGATTGGCTAAGTATGGAACGCAGGATCCTCCCAAAGGGTTCTCGATGAGTTTTGGAGATGCACTAGCGCAGACTCTCGATTATCTCATCTTGCTTCTCATCACGCCGAAATGGATTCTAAGAATTATTCCCAGCAAGAAAGCGAACAAGGCAGTGGAGGCAGAGAGCAACCTCGTTCGGTACTTCAACGAATTTTTGCGAGAGAAGATTGAAGATGTGCAGAAAGAGTCCAACACAGAAGGACTGGACATAATGGGCTCTTTAGTTCGCTCAAGCTACGGAAACAAGGTGACTAATGGTTCAGCAACTAAAGGGTCTAGCAAAAAGGAGTCGCAAACTGCTCATTTATCGGACTCTGATATTATTGGCAACGCTTTCATAAACATTGTAGCAGGCCACGAAACCACGGCCAACATTCTTCACTTCGCCCTCATCGAGCTGGCCACCAATCCAGGCTCGCAAAGGCGTCTACAACGGGATGTCGATAACATTGTAGGTGATAAGGATCCGAACGAGTGGGATTACGAGTCGAGCATCAGCTCTTTACAGGGATCGATGGTGGGAGCGGCCATAAATGAGACTTTGCGCCTGGTCCCACCGGTTGTCGATATTCCCAAGAGAGTATCTCCGGCGCAAGATCAGCTGATCACCATCGACGGAGTACAGCATTTGCTCCCTCGCAACTCAGTAATTGGCATGGCGGTCGTGGCCTCGCAACGCAGTCCAAGATACTGGCCGACTAAGCCGAGTAAGGTCAGCGACGCTGAGACGGACGTGGATGATTTTGTGCCCGAACGGTGGCTTCACACTGAGGCGACCAAGAACGAGACCACCGCCGTCGAAGACGCAGATACGGAGGATTTTGGGGGTTATGCGGGGTCCGACACCAGCGCACAGCTATACCGGCCGGAACGGGGCGCCTTCATCCCATTCTCGGACGGTGCGAGAGCGTGTCTCGGCCGACGCATCGCCATCGTGGAGCTGGTGTCGGTGCTGGCGGTTATTTTCCAGAATTACAGCATTGAGCTCGCGGTAGATGAGTGGGCGAGTGATGACAAGGTTGCTGGAATGAGCGAAGACGAGAAAGCGGGACTGTACAAGACGGCACAGAAGAAGTCAAGGGAGACCGTCAAAGAGGCTACGAGTTTGCTCACATTGAAGCTACACGGTGATAGACATGTTCCTCTCAGGCTAGTGAGGAGAGGCGATGAGCGATTTGTCAATTGGATTGAATGATGAGATATCCTTGGACAACATGTAAAAACGAATTATTGCTGGGTACCTGTCTATATTGCCCAGCTGTATTATTTGGTATAGGTATGGCTAAACATGAAAAGGGGGCATATCAGGGAGACCAAGACCATTTATATATCACGATTTAGCTATTACGAATTCGTGTCGAACTCCATGTCGGCAACGACAAATTCATGCAAGGTACATGTACCTACATTCTACATACATAATGTAACTTAGTGCTTGAGCAATATTAATCACCAATTCTTCAATAAACCATCTTAGAGGTACCTTTTCCGTACAAAACACCAGAACAGTGTTCAACAGTCAACAACTTAAGAAGGCCTCTAAAGCTACGATATGAATATGATTGTCAACTTTCCGAAATTGGACGAGGATACAACTAATTACCATGAACATTTTTGTTTGTTTTGTTTTTCTACATGAAGGAAAACTCGTCTCCACAGGTTAACTGGTTAAAATGGGACGATGACACGGTGCCTGGGTAGCCCAGACTCTCCAACAGTGAAGTAGGTGACATGGCAAATGACGGCTGTTTTTTTCTCAATTGACTGACGTAGCACGCGCCGAGCGGAGGCAAAGACTGCTGCTTATGTAGCTGGTTAGGTGGTTAACCCTGGACTTGTAAACGGCCGGGAGGACCCTAGTAGAGGTGCAGCCCCAGCAAGCTTTTAGTTCCTTAGCTGGCAATCACAAACCCTAGTACATGTAGTTGGCCATTGTTCAAGGTTAGCTGTAGGGGAAGCTACCTAACCTAGGGTACTGCAGAAACTCCAGGGCTGTGACTCCCGACTCCCGCACCTGCACGTCAACAGAATAAGAAAACATAAACAAGCCACGCCACGCTTTTCCTTAACTTACCTTACTACTTACTCTATGTACTGCCCTACTACCCTACTACCCTACTACCTTACCAACAGACTACAGTGACCAGACCTTATTACCTGGTATTATTTGTACAATACATACCTAAATACATACACACGCGCGCCCCTCGCTTCAAATCGCAACACGCAACACGGTGCGATCTCATCTCCCATCATTATCTCTTTATCTCATTTTATCATTCATGATACTATTGCTATCATCATCCTCAAACTTCAGCTTAACAACGTAAACTTGCACCCCAGTAACCTCACCAATCCCTTACATACAACTTTTAGAAAATCATTGAATTTTGGTCGCCTATTTTACGCGACATTGTTGATACAGACTTCAATTCAAGCAAACCTTCCAAGCTTCTTCGGTACACACCAAAAAAAATGTCCGGTGCCAATAGCTGGCTGCAGAGGCAGCGAAAGACGGATCTGACTGAGCTTGCTCAGCATACCGGCTTAAAGAAGTATGTACATTTTTGTTTGCTAGAACATACCACATGTCAATCCTCAATTTACTCAAGTTACCAATTTACCTTGAGAGTATTCATTCCAGTCTCAAAGCTTGTCGCGTTATTATCTTGCAAGTGATCTTGCAAGTGCTCTGTGATTTGATGGCATGACAATACACATTACATTATAATGTGGCATACTAAGTGCTATGCTATGCTATGCCATGTCATGATTTTGACGTGGCATAACCGGGACCGAATTACATCACCGTCTTAGCTTAGGAATGCAGGAACAGCAAAGACAATTCCATTGCGATCTACCAACGCGCCGTTCCGAGACAAGACAAGAACCACATGGCTAACACGTTTTTTCTTCTTTGTTTGCGACAAATAGTTATGAATCGTTAAAGAAAACCGAACTCGAGCTCGCACTCGACGAGTACTTGGCCGAAAACTCATCTCAATTTTCCTCCGATCCCAAGCTCGCCAACTACTATTCCAGTCGCGCCCGGACTGCTGGTTCCCCCGTGAAGAGGGACGCTCCGGATGCTCCTGTTGAGAGAGTCAGAGCTCCTAGACGCCGAGCCACCAGAGCTCCCGAAGAGTTCTCCGCTCCTGCAGAGTAAGTCGGGTCGCGATTTGCGACAATTGCTGCATTTGCTAACGCTGCCCAATAGATCTGACGACGAGCCTGTAGGCAATTCCTCTGCGCTTGTACGAACTCCTGGTCGCGCACTCACACTGGCGGGTCGCATTCCGCTTCCTGCGACTCCTGCCGACGTTGCTGAAGCTGTCGACCGCTCCACCATAGCTGTTAGAACACGCGTTATGTCTATGTACAAGGAGTCGGGAATCACAGAAGCAACTCACGCGACGCGCGAGAGCTTGTCGAATGTGACATCTGTGCTTTTCGCCATATCTGCGTTTGAGATGTACTTCTTGCGCCCAGAGATCTTGGCTGACCGATACGCGTTCACCATTCCTGCTATCGCGTTACTTGGCACCAACGACGTTCCCGTCTTCGTCCCAGACATGTTCCTGCTACTTACATGGTCGTTCTGGTCGCCTGCTCTCCTTTGGGCTTTCACAAGTACCATCCTGCCTTGCATTGCCGGCTACTTCATCAATTTGACTGTTGGCGCTCCCCACAATCATCGCGTGACTCGTAGCCGTGCTGCTCCTCCAGACACGGTTGTTGACCCGCTGACCTATAGCATCGTCAAAGCTTTAATATCCTATGTTGTATATGGACAGGGCGTTACATTTGGCGGCTGGGTAGATGAGACGTCTATTGCACGTATCAACACGGCCGTGTATGGTGGCTACAAAGGTGTTCTCACGGGAACTGCCATCTCCGGTATTTTCAGCATCTACGACGCGGTGTTGAAGAAGTAGAAGACGTGGAACTGTCCGTCTCGATCTGCCGATAAACACGGGTATAGCCCATGCCCGTTCTCGGGTCTCCCCTTTCTAAGTGATAGTTTCAACATCATCTCACCCGAACCTCCCGCGTTTCAAATATCACCTACTAAACGCCGACATCCCCACCTCCCGGGCAAAATCCTTTCTTGTGCGTAACTTATTTGAAGACGGCGTTTGATGGCGTTGGCGGCGTACTGTGTGTGGCGTTCGGCTCACCCCCCTTCGCTTGATTCTGATACCACGGCCGAATTTACCGGTCATTCCCCCATCCGTATTTTTCTCGGTATCGCCGGCTTTGTTTTGTTTGCCGATAGGGGGCCCGCCGTCCCCGGACTGGATTTTGGGCCGGAGTCTGCGTTGGCAAATCCAAACTTGATCTTTTCTTCAAGTTTTCTTGACTCGGAGTTGCTTCCGAGCCAAGTGAGAAGAATTCTTCAGTTCCAAAGTAGATTCTTTCCAAAAATGTTTTTTAAACCTTTTTTTATATACAGTATATATCTATCTTTGGCATGCGCAATGAACTTATTCGTTTACCTTACCTACCTTGCTTATTATTCGTGCTTATCCACCTCACTTTGTCTACCTCTTTTCTGCCTCGAGCCTGTAAGCCGAAACGGCTTCCTTGCTACGGAACGTTAGGTACGCGTTTTTCTCGAGCTAACGAATCGCCATATCGTGGTTCCTACTTTAATGGTTTCCTCGACCGCGAGAGAAAGGGAGATGATTATACTGTTGTTGGTGTTGGTGTTCGCCATACCCACGAGGCAGGCCATAAGCTAGAGCAAAAGGAGGGAGGAGGAGGAGGAAGAAGGATTTACTACCTTGCTATAACCGTCTGGTTGACTGACTGGCCATTTGGGAGGGGATTTGAGTGGCTGAGATGATTTTACCTTGCCTTACTTTTCTTCTCTTTGCTCCGGTAAAAAAAAATAAAAGAATCGAGCATCGTTGATGGGATATGATGGGATGGTATAGGGAGTAGGTAGAGTAGGGAGGAATCGCATCGGATCCATGGGATGGGATGACTATATGGTGTGGCATGGTTACTGACTGACTATATGAGCATGGCTGGCTAATAACTAAGGAAATTCTCATCAAGTAGGATTCTACTTGCTTGCTTCTAACCTAGTTAGGTGTACTTGCCTTAGCATTACTGGCATTTTTCTGGGAATATATATAGCTCGTTCACTTTCATTCTCCTTTGCTGTTTAAGTGACGATGAATCTCTGTGCTTTCGTTGATGATTTGTTTCGTTGGCTGGCTGGCTGGCTGGCCGGCCGGTGGTACTCACTCGTAAGACCCCTAAGGTACTTGCTACGTACAATACGTACATACCTAACCTAGGTAGGTAATCTCCTCAGTCTTCCACCAAACATCGAAGCTAACCTACCTACCTACCTACCTACCAACCAGAGACCTTACGTATCACCGTCACACGATCTAGCCAGGGGTCTGAAGATGTGCTAACCTACCTACCCAGGGTATCAGGTAGGTAGGTAGGTACAGTAGGTAGGTAACACGCCAACGCTCTAATCATCCATCTACCTCTCTACCTCTCTACCTCTCTATCTACATAATAACTAGCACCTACTAGGTAGTAGGTAGGTATGATACTAACCTACCCTAGGTAGATAGGTAGACACTTGAAATAAGGAGGACCACAATGACATGAAAGTAGCGAGTCATTCCCGTTTTCCTATATGGACAACCAACACTAACCTACCTAGATGAATGTCATCATGTTAGGTACCTAGACATCTTATTATCTATTAATCTCAGGCTATAGCCCAAGCATTTTGTCTAGTAGATATTCTGACGTGGTACCTGGTATTTATATACGAAGCTACGAATTAGCCTCTACTTCGAGTAAAAGCTCAAAAACTCAGGGGTAATTGACGGCCAGCCATCCCAGATCTTCACCAACATCAGATTAAGTAATCATCAAGCACGATCACGACCAGTCAGTCTCACAAACAATCAGCCTAGTAGATAGCAAAAGCTCTTTTTGATATTACATTATATACATGGAGTTGACACTGCACATTTCCTATCATCTCAAGCCTCCCAACTCCACACATCGGAGAGAATTCTGTCTAGAATTCTCTCAATTCTCCTCTGAGCCCCCCCCTCCCTAACTTCCATGAAGGTACCTAGATAAGTGGATTCCTTGCGCGAATGACTCAAGCTGAGTTGTTCGCGTCATATGAATGTACAAAAAGGGCCGCGTCTTCGAACCCAAAAGCAAATACAGCAGGCTCCTTTCTTTCAGACCAAGGTCAACCATGCTTCCCTAAACGCGCGCAATGCGTGACGAAAATGACTATCAAGTGAAATTAATGGGCCTGACTCCTCATATGCGAACGCCCCTAATATGCCGTTGCTCGTAGTACTCCATACACGAGGCATGATGGATGAGGCTTCTGATGCCTCCTGTTTTCAGTGCTCTGATTCTATGTTATCCGTTTAGCCTTGCCATTGGCTGTGTGCATTGATAAGTTCTTCTAGACTTTGCACAAAAGAAAATCGACTTTTTTCGCGCATTATAATTAATTCTATCCCTGCTCGACAGGGTTTTCCCACTTAATGGGGTGTACTAGCATACTCCGTAGGCATAGTCGTCCGGAATTCTTCGGATCTTGCTCGTCTAGCAACCCGCCTCTTGGCGTGCCTTCGCCGGCACGGCCACCGTTGTCACCCCTGCCATCCATCTGAGCGTAACCGAGCCAGCGACGCCATAGTAGACCAGCAAATTCACTGTTGTAGTACCAACTTGTCCCCTTGTGGTTGTGCTCATTTCTTAGATCGAATGGGGAGCCGTGGCCGCTAGAAGTGTGGTCGCGGCCACCGTTGAAGGCATTGTCGATCTCTTGCTGAGGCCATGCTCGATCTAGGTAAACTGGATGGGGAGCATATACGGCCTTCAAACCATGGTGTAGGGCCATGGATGGAGGGAACATCTCGCTAAACATGCTATGATGTAGACGCCATGTTTCCTCGTGCATCACGCGCAATAGACGGCGCGACAATCGTGAAGCAGTCACGATAGCACACCTTCGCGGAGGCTTCTCGTACTGGATCTCGTAACCTGTAACATCGCCAGCGAAGACCCAACCGGATTCATCGGCATCGAAAAGCGGGTTAAGCGTAATAAGATCCGCATCCTCGCCAACACCGCATTGTGTCATGTCCGATCCGCTGGCACAACTCGCAGGTAGGAAGACTTCGCCATCTTCGAGGGCCGCTTTTCCATTAAAAACCACCGGCCCCAAGACAGGTCGTCTGCCAGATTCCTCCGTCTCATGTTGAACAAGGTCGGTGAAGTTCTCCCAACTTCCGTGAAGTCCTGGAATGTAGTACTTGCTCGATCGTTCCCACATACCCAATCGACTCTGGTCTGCGCCCCATTTTCCAAGTCTGTCAAACAGTTCGTAGTATGATCCAGTCCAACGCATGTCCATCTCCCAATTCCAGAAATGCGCATATTCAGGGTGCATCATGGCAAAATGCTGGAGCGGCATGTGAGCGGATCGGTAAACTCCGTGAATATCACCGTTGGAAGGATTCTCGAAGGTGTTACCGAAGTTGCCTGGATAATACAACTTCATTTGGGCTTCGGACCAGAGAGTGCAGAGCCCATGGAACTCTGGGGGAACATTGTTATCGAGAATTTTCTGGACTGTCGCCGGGTCTGCCCAGATAGGCTCATTGTTGTCTCGAACATGTAAGAGGAAGTGAATGTCATACTCAGCTCCCGATCTAAGATTGAGCTCATTAACCATAGCACGGAAGTTAAGAACGGCATGGCTTGTCCACTGGAAGCCGATATAAGTTCGCACAACTACGGCAATTCGATCCAACCTCTTGCGGCTGGATTGCGATAGTTCGAAATCTCTAGTTTCGTTGCCGGTGAAGAAACGAGCTTCATTGCTTTTAAAACATCGGTCTTGTGCTGCCGCCCAGTCGACACCTTCGTAGTTGATCTTGCCGGTTTTCTCCCATACTGCCTCGTTACCTTCCTGTTCAGTATCGAGTGCCTGACCAGTTCCACCCTGCTCCAAGCCATACCCAAGACCGTACGGACCATAGCGACCGAAACGATCAAAGCAAACGTCTTCTCGTAAGCCGAATATGTCGTACGATCCGAGAGCTGCCTTTGGCTGACCCTGGGGCACGCCGTTGTATGCGTATAATTCTGGAGCTGGGACTTTCTTATCCTCATCGATGTAGCAATGGCTCACAGGCACGTGAGTTCTTTGATACTCATCGGAATCGTAATCGGGGTGAGCGTGGTACGCACTGGGCTTAGGAGGCACGGATTGGCGAAGAGTGGGCATAGCCTCAGATGCTTCATTAGTAGAGGATGTTTTAGGATATTCAGGCTTGTAGTCCCAAAATGAGACAAGTGCCTTGATACCATTGTAGTATCCATCAAGGCTGCGAATTTATTGTTAGCTCTGCATTGGCATTGCTGAACCACATTCGGGAGTAACTTACTGCTTATATCTCAGCCAGTGAGGTCCGTTTACATCGTACGCTTCCTCCGTCTCCTCTACTTCTTCTTCTTCCGTGTTCTGCTCCGGCTGCTCTTCGTCATCTTCCTTTCCTACATTTACATCGTTCAACTGCATCACTTCTTCACTGTCCTGCTTCTGCTGATTCATGACACCATTCATCTGAGGAATGTCTAGAATTTCCGTTTTGGCTCCGTGTACTTTAGTTCCGTGTACCAAGCCCAAGACATTTCGAGATCTGGCTGTTAAGCTTGGATTGAAAAGGGTGACTGATAGCACGAGGATGGTGACAATGGTCCATATCACTACCCGTCGGTAGAGGCAGTGGCCTAGCAAGGCCTTCACTCGGAACTTGGAGTCCGGCTTGGTCGAGATTGGTAGATAGGACTCGCTTTTACGAGCCATTAGGTTGGGAAATGAGCCCGACTTTCGGGACACGTAGTTAGATATACGACTCATGTTCCGTTTGGCGAATCTGAATTAGAAGTCTCAAGAAAAAAGATCAATGCTCAGCATCGAGAATGGCAAGCTTGTATTTCAGCTCATTAGTGGGAAAAGGTGTGAAAGTCGTTCTCCTGGTAGCCGGGTGTAAGTGATAAGTGGCGAAGCTGTGACGTTTCGTATTGAGGTCAACAACAACGAGCTCTTGCCAACTCGAGGTAGAAGATCGGACAAAGTGGTTTTCCTTCTTGGTCTTCCGACCGGTACGTCAGTCTGATGGATACTTAGACCGGATGTTGAAGGACGGTTCACTTGTGGAGATCTTCGGAGTATGAGCTGCGGCACCTTGGAGGGGATGATAGGATCAAATTTGATAAAAAAAAGGAATCAGACTGAATTATCGAATGAATGAACGAATGGAAATGGGTTGCAGGTTTATTATTAGATAGGAGAAAAAAGAGTGCTCTCCACAGACAGAAAGTGTCGTGTTCTGTAGGTCTAGGAATGGATTGTTAGAAGTTGGCGTGCAGAGTGTGGAGGGGGGGAGGGGTGGAGGAGGATGTTAGATGGGGATGTAAATGGAGACGAAGGAACGAGGTTTGAGAAATAATGTGATTGTAAATGTGCGGTGAAACACGCCACTTCATAAGGGGAAAAGGAAAAAAGAAAGAAGAAAGAGGGAAGCAATAGGTTTGAATGGGGGGAAGAAAGAGTCTAAATTGGTCAACAGAAAGACGGGAAGGAAAAAGTGATGTACGATGAACGATGTAGTGTAGAAGAATTAGAAATGGAAAGAGTCGGTGGTGGGTATTGTTTGTCGCAAAGAGGTTTGCTTTGACTCGGTTGTCAGTTCCAATCCAGGTCCAATCCAACAATGAGCGTGTTCTAACAGGCATCAACAGGCATTTGCTAGTACTTTAGCAAGGAAACCACAACCGGTATAACTGGGTACCAGATACTAATAGTAGTCTAATACTAATATACTATGTAGTATGTACTTACATAGGTATGTAACTTCAAATGTTGAAGGCAAGTACGGTAACGATACTGTGGTAACCGCAACCTTGAACCTGATAGTCTAATCTAATGGTACATACTAGTAGTACCTACTAGTAGTACCTACTTACTCTTCAAGTATCATGTATCGTCCAAGGTTCGAAGGTTGGTAAGCTGAAAGAAAGGAGAGAATAACAAAAAAAAAAAAAAAAGGAGACATATGATGTCGATCTTCTTGGACACTACCAGCTCGTGGAGATAATTGCATTTCCAAAACGTACATATGTAGATCGAATGTGGAAATACTTACATACTAAGTAGGAGGGTAGGCTGGGGACTGGCTGGGTTCAATGTTAGCTAAAGGTATAACAGAAAAGCATCTGCAGGACATTTCGTATGTGCCATTGTGCCATTGTGCCCAGCTGATAATGTATGTATTTTAACTATTATTTTTGGATTTCTATACTCACTTTATGCTTAGCCTGACTTTAGTTTCCCGGACTTCCTCCCACGTTCTCCCAGTGCACTAGTAATTGCATTGCATCTACGAACTTTCTCGGCTTCATCCAGGATCTTGCTGCACACCTAAGCATTTCCTCAAGAGTGATGTGTGATGTGCAGGGCGGTATGACGAGTCCACACACGTGTGACATGTAGGTCCGCATATGTTCAACCAAATTAATCATTCTTCGAGGCTGGGAGGGAAATACCGCTAAAGGGGACGATCGAAACTTTGTCATGTTATTCATATGGATAGTATTCGTAACCCTGATGAAAAAACGTTGTGTATAACCCACTACACTACATTACTCGAGTTTTTTTCTGCACTTACAGCAAGCAGTACTGCTACAGTAGATACTAAGATACTATAATAGCATAACTGTCGCAAGAATTACCAAGATGGAACAAAATCCTCTTATTAGACATTGTCTTTTGTTTCGTAACCGACACTTCTACAACAAAAGCAGCTACCTAAGTCGCATCTGCTTTTCAACTTTGGATGTTCAAGAATTTATCCCGGGAATTAATGAGGCTTGAAGCAGGGTTCCATCGCCAAGAAACAGGGCTACAGGGGAATAAGGGGGGGCCTCTCAAGGCTGTCAGGGCGGCTTTCTATGCGGACTGGTGGGACAAGCCCATTTCCCCCATGTTTTATGTTCTATCGTTCGCGCCCAGCGTTACAGACGGTGGATTCTGGCCAAATAACCTTTTATCAAATTCATCATCAGATTTTCAGGGTCAAATCATTGGAAACGCGCAATGAACGAAGCAACTGCACTGCCCCCAATGCCCAAACGAGTGAGTCTTGTGAGTCTTGTGAGTCTTGTGAGTCTGGGTATATGTACCATACCATAGTAGATAGAGTGTAGAGGTACATGCATCATGCATCGTGAATAAAAAGCCTACATATACTGGCATACATTGCCATACATAAGTAGGTACAGATACTGTCAGATAGATTCTGATAGAAGCTCCAAGATGTCAAGTGTTTTGTTTCAAAAGGAGATAAGGTCCGACGTCATTTATGCCAAGCAATCTTGTCGTTCGCTTTTTCCTTTTCTTTCACATGCTACGAAGTAACTAGCTAGGTTAGTATTCTTTCCCTTTTGTTTATGTAGTACATGCGCATATGTCGTACACTTGCAGTAGTTTACATTACACTTGTACAACGATTGTGAGAGCCTCAATGTAAGGGAATAAGTACACAGTACAGTATTACTCAAAGACTTAACTAAGGTTAGTACATCTCTTAGAACAACATTTGAACATCTCCTTTTTCCACATAGGGGTGAAAAAGCTTCGATGAGGTTGGGTTACAAGCCCCCCCAGAAGTTGAAATGCAGGTGTAGTGTGATGATCGGCAATGGATTTGTGGAGATGAGGTGAAGTAGTCTTGGCTCGCTGGTTCGGTAGCCAGTCGAATAGTGACGATCTTTGTTCATTGAAGATTGTTCCCGCTGCCGCCACAGCCGCCAAGCAAAGAGGAATCTGCCAGGGAATCTGCCAGGGAATCAAATCAAATCGCCAAGGAACGCACGACGCCGAGCTGGTGAGATCCGACCTGAGACACAACCGTTCGGCCACTAAATTGCACCATTACTCTACGCGGATTAGACCCGTAGCACAGCATAAACCTTTCTACCTTTTTAAGGTGTGTACGGTGTGTGGGGTGTAGAGTTCAATTCCTACAGGCCCTGGATAGGCCCTGGATTAGGCCCTGGTACAACTGTGCATATGTGCATATTGAACTGCAAGGGTATCCCCATATCTTTTCTCTACGGCATAGTACCTAGTACCTACTAGGGTAAGGTAGTTATTCTCTATTTCTTTTTTTTATTTCGAATTCCCTTTTCAGGCCATCGTGTCACCTAATCAGTCGTTTTCATTGGGAAGCTCGCTTCTTTGTGGCTTCATTTCCCTTTAATCTTTTTTTTCCATGTCAACTGCAGTGGTTGTCTTACCTTGACTTTGATGATTTTTTATTTTTATTTTATTCGAAGCAAAGCAACACACACACACAAACCCCAACCCGAACGAATGGATTCGCCGAGTTTTAGTTTAGTGTTTCCTTGAACCCGTCGGACCAATTTAGATCCCAAGTCACTCTGTCACGTTCAAGTTCAACAGTTAAACGGTCGCCAGTGGCTTTCAAGCGAAATGTGAAACGAACTTGCATTGGCTCTTAATCATCTAGGTTACATGGATTCGAGTCTCAATTCAAGTCTTACCAACATAACAATACGATTATATACAACTGGATAGCATTCATTCAAGACATTAGAACACGTGGACGGGTTTATGTTTTTTTTTCTTATCAAGAAGCAATTCGCAACCACTTAAACCTAATATGGCCTCGTAACCCCCCGAGGGTCCATCGTGAGGAATGTCAATTGCCTCTATGGAAACTACCTGCATGATACGTATGCCTTGATCTTTACTGCATAGAATAGGAACAACTACGATTGGCTCTTACATACACCCAATACAATGCACAATAATACAATTCAATACATACAATGTGAGTAAGCACTGCACTGAGCCCCAGTGGGCACGGCGGGTAATGAACCAAGGGATCGGCGCTCATGACGTCGGGTAGTTCAAGCGGGAACAGTCGAACAGTCGAACAGTCTCAAAATCAAACGTCTGGACTCTGAATAAAGCAATCCAATCCAATCCATGATAGGTAGGTACATCACATACCATGTCGACAATCTTCGTCCAACGTCCTTTACGCATAAGTAATGGGTGGACAGAATTAGCCGTCATACTATACCTACACCACACTACAGATCGGTCCAACGGGCGGGCCGGCGGGCTGCGTGGTTGTTGCTACCTACCTACCTCCTGCTGTCGTCGATCTAGATATGGGGCCCCTCTCCATGCAGCGCTTCCGAGAAGTCGTCTGATGGCTGCTTGCCTAGTGGGACCGTAAGATCCGGCCCGGACCAAGATGAAACGATGCGTGCACCGCATCCCGGGATTGTTTCATGCGACGCTTTGTAACTATTTGGTGTCAAAACGAAGAGAGCTGGTCAGCATCGCGCAGCGTTAAAGGTAGGTCATCTACTAATTAATTGTTGTGTGCCTATTTTTAAATCGCTAATCACGTTATTTCAAAGTCATTCTGTCATTTCATCACGTCTCGCATGTTCAGTGCGTACCTAGTTAATGTAATGTAGGTATTATATTGATAGGTTAGGTAGGCAGGTAATAATAGGTACCTAAATATCTGTCAGATCCCTGACAGATGGTTGATCACGATTTTTCTATTTACCAACGAGGAATAGCTTAGGAAGGTAATTAAGAGACCACAATACAGTTTTTCGTCTCATCTCCAGAACCAAAAAACCCGTGTGACTGCGAACATGGTGTAATGTAGGCACTAGATTAGATATATCAGTAATAAGTGAAGGTGGTGTAAGGTCTCACGACTCCTGTCTCGCTTGCTTAGTCGAACGTTGGGAGGGACTGCATACGTCAACGGTGCATTTCTGTTGCACCATCCACTCACTCGCTCGCTCGCTGTATTATACACACACACACACACACACACACACACACACACATACAGACATGGAGACATACACAAGCACACACACATATACACATACACGCATACACAACCTACCTGCCTAACCTCCCCTGCCTAATCTAGATAACTATGTATCAATGCAAGCAGTGTAATGCTTCCAATTGCAAATGACGACCACAGCACCACCGTACAGTACGAAGTTCTCTCCTTAAAAGGGCCAGTCAGTCAGTCAACCTCCAACCCAACCAAACCAAAACCAAAACCAAAACCAAAAAAAAAACTCAATCACCGCCCATTAACAAAACCAATTAACATAACATAAAATAAACAAAATAGTAAAATAGAAAGAGAACCTATCGGAAGCTTCGAGAGCAAAGGTACCCACCGCGGTAAGCCGATAGGTAACTACTGTATGTGTAGGTAAACGACACCGCCAGATCGCGCAGGGACCCGGTAGTTATAGTAGGTAGTTAAGTTTTTTGTCAGTCTGGCGCTTCTGCTTGTCTTGCCTCCCCTCCCTTTTTGGTTTTACTGTGACTATGCAAATGTGTATAGGTAGGCATGTATGATATGTGTAGTTATACCTATGATATATGTTATACATAGTTATATGTAGGCCAACATAAAGGTATATTATGAAAGCAGCAGGAGTACATATCAAGGAAGGCAAATTGGCCCTGACCAAGATCATTCGATGGCCATGGCCGCAACAAAGCTGCTCCCAGGCAAGAATCGGCACACACACACACTTCCATACTATGGTTCACATATATAAAGTTGTTCCTGAAATTTCCTGAAATTTCTTAATTGCATTAAGCTATCCAGTAGATCCAGATCTGCAAGATATCATATTTTATCTTTTTTTCCCTACATACCTAACCTACCCAAGGTATGTGTGTGCCTAGTTTGCTTAGCCCTGCCTTATTATTGCTGGGCTCGAGCATCCCCGAAAGAGTTTCCCTACTTTCTTTCCTGGGAAACTCTATTTGCGGGATTTCGATTTCGTTGGCTTGCGCCTACGTATGCCTACCGCCCTAGTATGCATGTATGTATGCCGAGCGAGGGGGAGAGGAAAAGGGAAAGAGAAAGAGAGGACACGCATCGCGTCAGACCTCTTCTTCCTTTTCCCGAGCCCCAGGCGTCGTCAGCCCTCTTTCTCCCTGGGTGGCGGCATGAGCCGGACCCTCCTCCATCGCAGTAGTGTTCTGCGGGTGATCGCGCGCGGTATCGTCACCGGCCAGATCTCCATCGTGCTTCTCCTGCATCCTCATCCTCCTCCTTGCCGTCCTTTTTCTTCTCTTGGCGTCTATATTGCGTCGCCATTTCCTGCCCCACCGGATGGACGCGTACGTGCAGACTGCGCCCGAGAAGACGAACAGCGCGCTGACGGTCGAGAACCAGCCTACGCCGATGCCGTCGATAGCCGGGAGAACCACGGCCATACCGGCGCAGGCGAGCAAGTAGCGTATTGCGTAGTTCCCCGCAATCACCTCTGCCCCATGGCCCGGCATCACGTCTAGGCAGTACGTGTTGAGCGACGGGAAGGCAAATAGTTGCGCTATGCCTTGCAGGAACAGAGCCACGACTGTCAGCGGGATGCCGCCAACGTTCTTCTCCACGCACCAGCCGTATATCAGGACACAGGTGGGGATGACGATACCCGTGAAGGGTAGGGCGGAATACAGTCGGTCTTCGGGTATGCGAATCCCGCGCTTCTTGATGTATTTCTTAACAATGTGGTCGGCGTACCGTCCCCCGACGAATGTGCCAAGGAGATATCCACATCCGGGAGCGAGGTAGAACAGGCCACCCTGCAGCGGCGTCGTGAGGTGAAATCTAGGATTCAACACGTAGCGGATGGGCGTAAGCAGTGAGTACATGTTCCATACCAAGGACGCGCTCGCCAGGCCCGTGAGAAGCAAGTTTGGATACTCCCACAATTGTATTACGCGCCAAGGGTTGATCATGCCGAGTAGAACATTCACCTTTGCCGTGCCACTGTAGCCCACCAAATCGTCGATTTTCTTGTGGTAAATAGTCTCGGGCAGCAGAAAGTATGACCCAACTAACGCAACTCCTGCTAGCCCCGTCTGTAGCCAGAAGATCGCCCGCCACGATGCGTAAGTCACAATGACACCACCACACACCGGCCCAATGGCCGGGCCAATGAGTGTGCCTCCCATGAACACGCCGGTGGCTGTCCCCCTTTCCGTTGGGCGGTATATGTCACTATGCTTTTGATTAGTGTTTCCCATTGCGTATGGGGTCATATAGATAATATATGTATATTTTTTAAAGGTATAGCTGACCCAATGACAGAGGCACCGACCAAGATGAATGACGTGCCTTCGAATGCAGTGAGGAGACGGAATGCCCAGAAAGCCCCTAGGTTTGGGGACAGTGCAGTGCCTATGCTACAGGCAAGGAACCCCACAGCTGTTATAAGGGTAATCTACCGTTCAAGGCGTTAGCTATCACTAGGTACGACTTTATTGGCTGTTTTGTTATTTCAATATGCTAATAGTGAGAAACATTAAGTGGCTAGTAAAAGAAACGAAGAGATGCTTACCGGCCTCCTACCATACACCTGACTCAAAGGGCCCCAAAATATAGGCGAGATTCCCATGAAAAGCATGTATAGGGCGTTGACGAGGTTGATGATGGACCCGGTAGTATCGAATTCAGCTGCGACCTCTGGTGTTGCGGCTAGTACGGTAGTGCTAGAAATCGGTGCTAAGAGTGAGCAGAACGACAGCAAGCAAACAATGATTAGTTTCCGGTGTGGTGGTAGCCGGTCGTATACTTCGTCGGGGACTTCAACGACGGAGCTTATCGTTTCAACCGGCATATCCGGCCCCATCGAGTGATGTGTAGAACACCGATCAAGGGCAGCGTCGTCGGCATTGCGTCGAGTCGCCGAGCGGGCGGAGTCGGTGGTATCGCCCGAGTGGGTTGAAGAGCTGCTCGGAGAGTTGGCGCCGGTGCCCTGACCTTGGCCATTGTTTGGCGTGCGCTTCTTTTCGGTTGACTCGAACATTAGAAGGAGCTTGAAGTTTCAATGTTTACAAAGAGGATATGGACAAAGAAATGTAGGTCATTGTAGGCTAGGTCTCTGATATTTAAGTAGAGCCACACGCTGCACCACCAGTTACAGGCAAATACAAAGAGACTGACACGAATAACTGAGAACAAACCTATCCGCGTCACAGATTGTCTTGTTAAGAGGCTCGATAGGGTTTTCTAGCTATGGATGCTAGTTGGGTAGATAAGAGAATAAATGAATGACTTCATCCAAGACCAGCCATGGGGGAATCACTTCCTATTTACGCGGAAAACGAAGCAGTATGTTTTGCATGTAACCATGTCATATTGGTGCGGGTTGTTGGATTTCGACTGAACCTGTTGACATTGGTCTTTCTCTTTCATGACTTCCATTACCTCCAAAGGCCGAGCATCGGTGGGAATGTATACCGAAACATGTCTGGTTCAAGCATAGCGGCACCAGGCTAAGTGGCTGTTCTGGTGGATATCAACCGGCTCCAAATACCGATATTCGAGCCCCATTGGTGCAGATCCAGGCATTTTCTCCACGCCCCATCAATCTTTGAAAAGGAAGCTTTTGCCAAGGTTTCGTGGGCATGGTAAGGGGACGTCCGTAAGGCTTAAGATAGGAAAGTACGTATATGTGTATATGTGTATATGTATAGACCGGAAGCAAATTCATATTTTCATCGGAACAAGTCTATGACTTCTGTGGCGGTGAGTGCCCAATCTGAAGGAAAATGTATAATGGGCCCGGCTAGAATGGCATCGTGGACTGCTTTTAGGGGGGCGAGAACCAATAATGCCAGCCTGGCGGTTGTGTGATAAAGTTGAGAAATCTCGATAATATCCCTGCTGACAATATCAAATTTGTTGATTTGCTAGTTATTTGCTAGTTAATTTGTTCATGTAACCGGTGTTTATTTCCGTTCTGGCGTCAACTTATCCGACGCGGGATCGGCACTGAATTACATGGGCGTGTGTTAGTAGCCTCCGTTGCCGCAGCGAAAGTCGCCCCGAATAGAGTCATTCATGTGACTGAGACATGCCGTATCCGAGGATTAAAGAGGTGCTGTTTATTGGTGGATTAGGTCATGTTGGTTGGCCTTATTCTTGGTTTTATTCTTGGTCTTAGGCTTGGTGTTAAGTTTTGGCGAACATTGAAAGGCTAGAACTACAAATGTGACGATTTTATCATATCATTGATGTGTACTCATGACTAGATATCTAGAAAAACATGAGTTGATTTCTTGAAAGCCATGATATTCCTGAAGGCTTGAAGGCTTGGAAACGGAATAACCTCCGGTAGACTTACACAGGAAAATTTACATTGCTGCCAAGTGTGTACAAGCCGAAGCAATAAGCAATTAGCAATGGATGCCAATGTATGCCAATGGATGCCAATTCAAGTTGCCGTTTGAAATGTGGGTTTCTTCAGTCAGTGAAGTCAATAGTTACCTATCAATTCCAGAGATGGATGGGTTGCTTGGTTTGAGGTTCAAGTTAACTCAAGGCTTGGAACTGAGTGCGGCACAACGCCACTGGGAATAGACTTTGCCGTGTGGAGAGAGTTGTGGTTGTGGCTTCTTAAAGATTCAACATTGAAACTTAATTGAGTCTTCAATGTTCTGATATCCCGCTTCGAGTTACCTCAGTCTTCAGATGCTCCAATGTTCTACAAGTGGGGCTCAATGATATCGCTTGGCAATGCTTGCCCAGTGCCAGGTGCAGCCTGCCAGGTGTGATGCTTGTGTGGCTTGACCTAGATTCAGCCACCTTTTTAACCGAGGCCACATGACTACCCCAGCGGCTGGCATGGTAAAATACAAAAATACCCCCACCATGTACAATCAACCGTGGTTTACCCTTATTCTCGCACACATCTCAATTTAGAGCAAAAAACCGATTTGACTAACGGTCCACGAAATATTTCGCATCATTCAACTAACCGACATCACCGACAACCACCGACACTTTCTCTAGAAAATAAACCAGAGAACCGCTGTCAAAATGGTAAGTTCAATTCAATGTTCATTTTATTATCAATGTACCGGAATTCGTCTTTGGTCTGGATCGATCGATGTTATTCGTTGGGAGGAACATAGGACACGATTGATGACGAGAACCCGACGCGAAACGAAGCAGAGCGACAACAAGCTTGTTATTTTCATCGCTCAAGAATATACCCAGCCTTGTCTCGAAATACGATATACTTACGTGCCCCGAATATCGATGTCGAGATGACACAATCTGGATCGAGAATAATCACATATCTGCTTTACAATTCAACGTCATGGATGGTGGACTAACGGGAAATTTCATCTAGGTCAACATTCCCAAGACCCGCAAGACCTACTGCAAAGGCAAGGAGTGCCGCAAGCACACTCAACACAAGGTCACCCAATACAAGGCTGGCAAGGTATGCTCCATCTTCAGACGAACCCTACGCGCCGACCCCCTCCCAACCCAGTAGTGGCGCTCTCAGTATCCGACCATTGGCTAACGTACATCTAGGCCTCTCTATTCGCGCAAGGAAAGAGACGTTACGACCGAAAGCAGTCCGGTTACGGTGGTCAAACAAAGCCCGTGTTCCACAAGAAGGCTAAGACGACGAAGAAGGTTGTGCTGCGATTGGAATGCGTCGCTTGCAAAACCAAGCTACAATTGGCGCTGAAGCGATGCAAGCACTTCGAGCTTGGGTATGTTCCATACTACTACTGCTCACTTTGGCAACATTTAACTGACCCTTTTATAGTGGTGACAAGAAGACGAAGGGCGCGGCCTTGGTGTTCTAGACGCATTTCCTACTCAAACATATTCCACGTTCTTCATTCATGGCAATTGGGGTGGTTCATTATGGCCCGGGCATTTCACTGGCGACGGGAGTCTTTGATCCTCGGTATGAGAGCAGCATATAGGTCAGAATAGAACCGAATCTGCTCTGCTAGACTTCATTATTGCTCCATGTGACGACTGCAAGGGAATGGGAAAAAGCAAAAGAAGGAATGGAACAATTCAGTCCTCTTGCGTCATAGGACTCGATCCTTTTTTCGTGGCTCTCTAGTTACATTATCCGACTCGGATATGAATAATGAAACTCAGTACTAAACGACGAATAGCTAGCCGACTAAATACCTTGCTGTGTATAACCTGTCCGTCCTTGGGTGGACTGTAGTCTATCCCTCTTGGTAATTATAGATAATAATCCTTAAGTCCTTCAGAACTCTAGTGTGGGTACCGGATCTGTATCGAGAGAGCTGCATTTCTGCTGTAAATGCAATGGTGATTGGCTATTTATATCTATGGGTCTGTCTAAGACTTATGCTCTCATCTAGATATCTACCCAGGCAGGTGTTCAAATCCACCCAACCGCTTTCAAAGATCAAAATATACGGGAAAGGGTTCCGTTTTTAGAAACTCAGACCACCTAACCTCCAGCAGCACCTAGTATCCCTCGCCCATCTGGACAGTCCGACCACCACCATACCAAAGCGTGCCGACCCGCACGTCCAACCCCTTCTCCTGACCGACCATCCACTCGCCCACCCAGGCGGACGCGGGATTATCCCACACCTCCGTCTCCAGCCACGCGTTGATCTCGTCAATGCCATCGACCCACCGCTGCCTCTGCGCGGGCGTCCCGTGGTCCGCGTTCGTCAGGTACCTGCCAAGCGTGATGTGCGCGCTCGGCACCACGTACCGCGAGCTGACCGTCACGCCCGCCTCCTTGACTTGGTCCCACACGTCCCGCCGCAGGTGGTGGTACGTGTACCCATCATCGCCATCGACGTCGGCGGCGGTGTTTTCGGGCGCAACGACATCCGAGGAGGATGTGGGCGAGAGGCGGGGCTCCCCCGCGGCGGGCAGGAACGACAGCGCGAAGGCGGACAGGTCGTACGAGATCAGGGGCTTCACGAGCCGCGACCGGTGGAGGTACGTGTAGCTGGCGATATGCGGGATCGCGGGCGAGAGAGATTGTTTGAGAGACTCGATCTCGGGCGCGGTGCGCGAGAAGGCGAGCTCGAGGGTTGTGATGTGCATTCGGTGCAGGGGCATGAGCCAGATGTCTGGGTTGGTTAGTGTGGTTAGTGTGTGGGGGATGTGAGATGTGGGTTTGAGTTGGTATGATGAAGAGGCTGAGGTATGTCTCGTTTTTTTTAAAAAGAAAATGTGCTCGGTAAGTAGGTAGCTAGGAAGGGCTCTTTCTTGACTCACTTGCTGAGAGGGCTTTCAGTCGCTTCTGGATCTCGTCGGCGAGCTCCAATACGTGGATTGGAGGCCGACCCCAGAAGGTCATGCAGTTCCTTGGGTCTTTCTGTTGGGTGGTAGGTACGTGTTAGTATTTCTGAGCCCACACAGACGCCTTGGTAACATGTGGTAGAATGCTCATAGGCTCTGGGTGGCCGTAAATTATGCGAAGAGGAAGTGTTTTGGGACATACTGCAGAGACAGACGGTTAGCAGCGCTTATTAAAGCAAGTTGGGGTGTCATAGCCAACTCAAGGGATAATCTATACCGAGGTAGGTAGGTAGGTAGCTATGTTCTCATATGTACTAACCGAAGCCAGGCTCTATCTTTGGATTCTCCAGCCGGAGCAAGTACGGATCGATAATCAATTCCGCATAATCAGAGGCCAGGAATTTGTCCTTCTGTTGCGCATTGCGCTTAACGCGGTGAGCAGAATATATGGACTGTATTTTCGTCTGGCATTCTGGTTAGCTTTTGAGCACAGAGAAATAAGAGGTACCTTGGGCAGGTAGTCAGGAGTAACTCAACTGGGTCATCATCGCAAACTTCTATCAGCGCATTGTATGGATTCTCCCCGGGTTTCAGTACAACCCCAGACAGGTCTTCCAGCTTATTCTTGAGGTCTGTTGACTCGAGGGCTGGAGCCATTCTGAAAACAACTGTCACTTATGTAAATGACTAAAACTAATGAATGCAATATATCCTTGGGACATTAGGATAGAGCTATGGGTAGGTATTATATATATCGTGAGCAAGGACACGAGGAGCTCTAGAGCGGAGTAGAATAATGGTGCGGCTGAGTGAGGTTGCTATGTGCTAATCTCGAAATGGGGTTATAGCCGATAGCCAGCCAGCCGCATGGGGTTTTACAATACATAAGGTAGGTAGGTACCTGTCTCTGCCTGGAATTCCCGGAATTGCGGGAGTAGATTGTTGCTTTATAGCATGTCTTAGTGAAGTTAGTGCACACTAGGCACTGTAGTGGTAGCCTAAAAGGGCATTGGATGCCTTAATTGGATACCTAATAGGCAGGCACGGAGCAGGCTAGTGACCGTAGTGGCTTTAGTTGCTGTAGTGCTCAAGTGTTGCTGTAGCCTGTTATGGTGCTTACTAACCAGACACGTGCTCGGGGAGCCTATCTTGACCTCATCTGTCAATCTCCTTAGCTTCAATATTCTTCTCTTTGCAAGTCATTACCTAGTATCATGTTCATCACATTCTCCGTTAACAATACAATATGAGCCAAATTCACTTCGATATGCTGGAATCACCTAAACAACGGTCTGGAGGGTTTGATAATACCCTCAACGCGAATAGTCTTGTAATCGCCCTTTGTATCCAGTCACGGTCACGTTCTCAGCCACGTTCTCGACGTGTCAAAAGTCAGCCAGCATGCTCTCTCTCTCTCCCTATTTGCAGCTATGTAAGAAGTCATAGAATTCATTCCAGGTAGGTTTTCTATGGCCTGGGTGTACCTTAGAAGCGTCCATGCGTACTCGCCTTAACTTCATCTTCATAACGGCTAGCTTTGTAGTTGGCCCTGTCTTCCACTCTCATCTATCACGTAGACTTAACGCATTAGGTGATCACGCATACAAGCATACAAGACGTATACAAGACGTATTCGTGCTTTATTGTCGATCATTCGCCTATTATTAGGTATTTGTAGTATTATCACGAGTTCTTGCTGGTCCAGGTATGCGCAGTCTATCTCAGCTTAACATTGGTCTCTACTTAGGTAGTATGGTTCAGACTGCTAATACCAATTCTTTGATGCCCATGAGGGTTAGATTCAAACTTCTAGTGTAATGCCTTGAGCGTCTTGATATACCTACGTGATGATGTAGGGAGATGCGAGGTGCCATAACAGCTTGCTGTTCGACTAGCTACTTAATTAGGTATGTTTCTTTATGGAAGTTGAAGTATCTTTGATTTACTTATATTCTCAAATCCTAGAACATTCTTGCGAGCATATCCTATGTTACCCGCAGCCTGTTATTTGAGTTACGACCTGAATGTCTAAACCTTTCTATCACCTCTAGCAATCATTGACTGCCCCCTGCCTTCACATTGTTGTTTTCGAAGACCCCAAATGATGACAGTGAATGACTGTTATTATATGATATTCTTAGCTATTTTCTCTCTTTGAGCCCTTTGAGCAATATATTATTCGTCTCGGCCCATCACCCTCTTGCTCCTCGCCCCTGAGTTTCACTCGTTCAAGTTGGCCTCTCATATCTTCCTAACATGGTAGTCTCCTCCCCTCCTGATGGCTTATTGTTGACTTTCGAGCTATTCCTTGTCTCGTATGCTCCGTTACGTTTGCTCCCATCGACCCCTCGTCGTTTTCGACCTTCGTGGCCTGTGGCTTTACCCCGTGCAAGTGGCCTTGGGGTCTCCGCAATACTTTGGCAGCTGTAGACCTATGACCTGTTGCTAAGTGCCTACCCTAAGTCTGATCTTTGATTATAGCACTGTTTATTTATTTAAATTATTTTCCTGCTGCATAAACACATATGATTTTCACTCGCCACTCTCCACCTTCAATTTCTCACCTTATTTTCATGAAGCATCAACCCAGATCTTCAACAAGACACTGACCTCAGAATCCCTCTATAATTCATTATTCTCTGCGTATCATAGGCACTTGCCTATCAATTCACTGTCTTTTCGTCTACCTCAATTACATTTCATCGGAACCGTTGTGCTCGACGCTCTATTCCACTGCTTCCCGCATATCATCAGCCCGACACAAATATTTTCTCTCCCCTTGTGACCTTTCACCTACTACTATCTATCAATCTTTCGTTGTCGGTATCTCATTGGGAAGCTTCAGCTTATCAACATGGCCCCCAAGAGACAGCGCAAGAAGGCTGGCTCTCCGGGAGCCGCCTCTGGTCCTGCTGGTGGTCGCTGGAAGCGCCAACGCTTGGAGCATGGCCAGATACATACCGAGGAAGTTTTCGGAGCACCTGACAAGGGCGATGATCTAGAAATGCCTGAAACTGAAGAAGAGCCTTTGACATTTGACAAAGGAGAAGGTGCCGATGCTAAATTACAATCTGCTTCGACTGAGTCTGCCCCGACTGAACAGGCTAAAGAGACTGAACGTAATGGCCTAGACTTAACATTACGCCCCATCGAGAATATCTACTCGGCAATCAAGGACATGGCCAATTCTTCGAAGGACCTCGCTGACGGCGAACCAATTCATATTCGAGTCGCGACTATGTGCTCTGGAACAGAAGCACCAGTTTTCGCAATCGAAATGCTTCAGGAGTTCTGGGAGCGACAAGACCCTGGAAAAAAGTTCCTTGAATTCTCACACGTGTTCAGTGTTGAAATATCCGGATTCAAACAGGCATATATCACCCGCAACACGGACAACAACACAATCTTGTTCAATGATGTCCGGGATTTCATCAATCCTAAGGATGGTCAAGCGTGAGTTTGACATCATATTTCTTACTTGCTTGTGTATATAGCTAACATAATGCCTAGGCCTACCGCGTTAGGTGCAATGAAAACCATACCCAAAAATATCGACCTGCTCATTGCAGGCTGTGCTTGTGTCGACTTTTCGCCGCTAAATACCCAGAAGCGAAAAGATTACTCGAATCACCGTACAGATGATCAAGATCTTCTAAAGAAGGTCGTAGAAAAAGGAGGCTATGATGCTTCGATCCACTACACATATGTGCTTAACTGGTTAGAGACAGTTCTTGCCGACATGAGCAGCATGGGAGTTTCAGGACAGACATTCTTTTCACTGTTGAGTTACGTAAAGCAGAATCGTCCTAAGATTGTGTTACTTGAGAATGTTCAAGGTGCTCCATGGAAGACGAATGAGAATCTGTGGTTCCCATTCCTAGGATATTCTGCCGGATATCTCAAGCTGGACACTAAAGATTATTATATTCCTCATACTAGGAGTCGTGTCTACTTCATTGCCCTCGACAATGAAGTGTTTGGGGCTGATGGCGCAAAGTCCATCATTAGGGAATGGGGTGGGATTACTTCGACGGAACTTTCAAGAAGGGCATCAGCTCCAGTCAACTCCTGGTTGCTCCCCCCCGCTCATCCATTGACAGAACGAGCGCGCCAAGATGATTCCGAGAGAGCACTGAGTTCCATCCCAGATTCTAATTGGGAAAGAAGTAATGCCCGTCATACACGGACTCGCAAGAGAGAAGGCCTTGACGGAAGCCGCCCAATAACACAGTGGGATTCAACCAATAGTCAGCCCTACGATCGCATAGATCGACTTACTCTGCTAGTGCAGTCTAAGAGAGCCAAGGATTGCATAGACATCATCTATTTACATGGACGCCACAGTGGCATTACGATCGGAGCGCAGAGGTTCACATTTGATGTGAACTTCAAGAACCGGATTTATGATATCAGTCAAAATATCGACCGTATCAATTTCAGGCTGCCGTTTGGAATAACCGGGTGTCTTACACCTGGTGGTATCCATTGGATAACAGACCAGAGCCGATTACTGTCTGGTTTCGAGACGCTTCTGTTGCAAGGATTGCCTGTCAGCCAAATCAATTTTGCAACAGAGACTCAAGAGGAACTGAGAGACCTCGCGGGGAACGCCATGAGTACAACTGTGGTCGGTGCTACTTTTGTCGGCATTCTGTCCTCAATCCGAAAATTCCATTCTTTGCGTGAAATCTTCCAATCCACTAAGGAGAAGGCCGATGATAGACCTATTGAGCCAGTCTCAACATCTGCTTTGCAAGAACTTGACGCGTTCAAAACCACATGCAGCGAGCCATTTGACGTGCCATCGATGGTCAAAAGATGCCGTCGGTACTGTTTCTGCAACGGATCTGCAAAGTACAGCACTGACGATTTCTTGAAGTGCAAAGTTTGTTCCACCATCCGCTGCAAGTGGTGCGCTGGCAACCCGTGCCATAGCTTCGAGCCAACCACGCGACCCTCAACATTCTTGCTGCTGTCGGAAGTTGGACAGATGCTAATGCGCTACTTTCCTGGCACTGTCGCAATCCATGGCATGGTACTACCGGGAATCTTGGAGCAACTGCCGCTCCGAGAAGATCATGCGTTGAGCAAAACCATTGTTGACGTCCCTGCCGTGATGAATAGGCTTCTGCACACAGTATTCTATTACAAAAGTGTCCATGTGACGGAAGTGCTCACTATCTGTTACGCTGCGACAGAAGGCTTCGAGCTTCGAGCAAAGCTGTCAGAAGAAGGAGTTACCTGGCTCTTGTATGTCGATGCGTGGAGCAATTCCGGGACGGAATGCATCGAGACCTTTGGTGTAAACCCCATTTGCTTGGCCCAACCTGTAGCGAAGACTATAGTGCTCCACGACTCTCTGGGCGTACCTCCGCTCCCGCAATCTTGGAGGGTCTGGTCCTTCAAATCGACGCCGTTGGTGGTAACTGCGACACCATCAGCCAATGGAATGGATATCAACGTTTCTGGAAATGAAAACATTCCCTGTTCTTTGATCTCCGGGATGTACTATGCTAGACCTCAGTGCGATGCTCCAGAGAGCTCTCTACATGTTCTTGACAAGGGAGGCGCATTTTTCTTCAAAGATGTGACGAGAACCGGCACCCCTGATCAAGATGGTTGGGCTATCGCGAATGAGTGCCGCCTTATGGAACCTCATGAGTACCGAGAGGTTTATGTCAAGTTTGATCCTCGTATGGATCCCAGAAAACTGGTTGAGAAGAGTACCATCCAGACGAAGCTAGATGGACATTGGGTATCTGTCCCGATATTCGAGAACATTATAACACCGAACATCACGTACTCGAATATCGAGAAACTGGAGCATCTTTCATTCCCTATCGAAAAGTGCCTGACAGTTAGTGAGAACGAATGGAATATTCTTGCGGAAGGATCTGTCGCGAAGCATAAAGATTGTGATCTTTACAGCGTCATGAAAAAATATGATTTCCTCGCCGATCAAAGGGGTGATTGGGTCATCGTTGATAAAAAGGACCTCGGCCATGTCTTTGAATTCATTTCGCACTTCAATGCCAAGTTTTCCTCCATAGGAAACTTGGGGATTGAATTCAACATAGCCGATATTGACACTTGGGCGAAGCATCTTGCCGCTTGGCGGGCTGAGCCTGACCGTCGAGACTGCCCCTTTGGCCAGCTACCCAGAATTAGATGGATCAAACTCAATAACGTGTTTGTAGCGCACCACCACTCTCATGCGATTGCAGCATTCGAGACCCATGAGAAGGAGATGCCCCCAATCTTCCAAGTGAGAGTAAGAATGAACCGGGAAAATCAAGACCCTGACACGAAACAGATGTATGTTGTTGATGTGCAATACTTGGTTAACCCCTTGAGTCTCGGTCAGAAGGCGGCTGCGTATTTGCCTCCGAGTCACGACCAAAACGCGACGTTGACTGCGTGTGTTAAGGCTGAGCTCAACCCGGTAGTGTCGGAAAATATTCAGATTGCATCTGAAGGTAATCATTACTTTAATCCCTTCCGACAGTCATTGAAGATGGTAGAAACTGGACCCCGTTTCGAATCTATAGACCATAATCTACTGGGTGGATTCAAGGCAACGTTGAGTCCTTCGCAAACACGATCTCTTGGCTGGATGCTCTTCCGCGAGCGGGAAAATCAGGAATTCACCGAACGAGAGACGGAGGAATACCTTGTGCCCGAGCTTGAACTTCGACTTTTAGGCTGTGCAGAGCGCAAAATTTGCAGCCGTGGCGGTGTGCTAGCCGATGATGTGGGCTATGGAAAGACCGTTGTTACTCTTGCAATGATACACTACCAAAGACATCATGACCAAGAGAGATCAGTGCAAGTACGAGAGGCCAAGGTACCCGGTGCCATACATCTAAAGGCGACCCTGGTAGTGGTGCCGTCTCACTTGGTCGACCAGTGGGCGGAACAAGCCATCTTATTTCTTCCCATCGCAAAGAATGAGATAGTCAAGATAAAGAGACTATCTGACCTTGAAGATGGAATTGACTGGAAACTCCTACAGCAACTGCAGAACGCTAAGCTCATAATCGTCAACAATGCAATCTATTCGAAAACTGAATATCATAATCGTCTTGCGGCATTCGCGGGATCGCTCGATCCGCCGTTCAAGGGAAACAACTTGAAGGACATATGGAAAGATGTGCAGACGCGCGTTTTTGAGGATTGGTATACAGACGCAGCAGCCGCTGCTAGGCGTCATATGAACCAACTCTTTGCCATGATCGAGGAAGACAAGAGTCTCGACCCAGAGCAGCTTGATGCTCTCCATCAGACGATAAAGGTGCATCGCGAACAACAATGCAAGATCCAGCAAGAATACTTAGTCAACTTCCAAGATCGAGGAGAAGTCAGAGCGGCTGCACCAAAGAAGGATCGCAACCCCAATGCCGAGCCCAAGAATGATTCACCGAAGGCTGTAAAAGAATACCCTTACGCGACTCAGGGATTCAAATCGCGAGAACGGTTGACTATACCTTTCAGTCACTTATTGGAAGCCTTTACATTCGCTCGCGTGGTGTACGATGAATTCTCATACGACAACTTCCCAGCGATGCTTTTTGTCAATTCTTCACAGGCCTATTCCAAGTGGGTTTTGTCCGCGACTCCGCCGACGAGTAACCTGGCTGCTGTATGTGGCATCGCAAAGCTCCTCAATGTGCATATTGCACGACATGCCCACCGCCGTCTGGGAATGCCTCGGATCACAGAAGGCCCGGAACTAAAGAACAAGAGCAATGCTGAGACATTGCATAGCCGTGCCTTCATTTCAGACCAGGTCATTCGCGAAAGGCATCAAAAGGCAGAAGATTTCCTACAAGTCTTTGCCAAGGCTAACCCTATAGACCAAGAGCTTGCCGGCCGCATCGAGGTTCAGGAGAAAGTAGTAGTATGTGAGCTGAATCAGTATGAATTCAGTGTTCACTTGGATCTCCAGCAAGACCTGCGAGCTTGTGGCATGGATGCAAGTATGCTGCCACGAGAGTCTCGTGCTTTGCTTCTGCCGCTACTCGGCCACGAGGGGTGGAATGGGAAAGGAGCACGTATTGGTGCCGAAGGACTTCTTGCTCGTTCGTCTCGGGGAAACGGACACCAAGATGAGCAGCCCCTCGAATCTCTTGTAAAAGAGCGAGAAATGCTACTTAAAAACGCCCTTCAGTTCTTTAAAGTTACTGCGGAAAAGGCTACCTGGCTATCTGTGCGTCTCAAGAGCAGAAGGGAGCCGATATACCAAAATGCCAAGGAGTGTGTTCATGACATATTCAACCTTCTCAATCATATTTACCAGGAAAATATTTCCAGGTGTGGCGGACGGCATACTTTGGATCTCATGTCAAAGGCCATTTTTGGTGGCAAGAAAGATGAGGACCTTACCTCTAACTTCAACTTTTCGACTGAAAAAGACTTTTTCAGGACTTTGAATGAATTCAGATCAACTTCCTGGAGTGATTACTATAAGTTGACGTCGGAAGATCTTCCACACATAGATGAACAAGAAGCCACTGAGCTTATACGGGATCTAGAACGTGCTTCCGGTCCTATCAGCGCGGCGCTGCGACGAGATACTTCAATCGAAACGTTGAAGGAACTGGTAAAGAACAAGGAGGAAGGGTCAGCCGAGGACAAAAAGGCCGACGAGGATGCGCCAAAGCCGAACAAGACTTTTGAGGATGATGCAAAGTCCAGCAAAGCCAAGAATACAAGGCCCACGCTACAAAGCAAATGCGAAAGCGTTGGTATAAAATGTAATTCGACTACGGGTGTTGCCCAGCTCTCAGACCTTTGGGAACGCCATAAAGCTGGAACCCTTGAAGACTGGGAGTACATTGGGTACGGAAACTGCCAGGTCCTGAGCCAGTGCAGTTTTCCCGTCCTGAAGACGGCCAGGAAGATTCGAGGAGGCACTTATACGCTCACTAGAAGTGACGTCAGTGACACGTCTCTCGAGCTAATGAAAGCATTCGAGCAGGTAATCTACGCCGTGAGGCAGGAAAGGATCGCCCAGAGAATTCTTGCGATCAATAAGAACCAGGAAAAGGGAACCCAGTGGAAATGTGATAGCTGTGGTACGCTTCACGCTGCGGAAGATCTGTACTTTGTCTGCCGCTGTGGCCACCTGATTTGTGACCGTCATCTCCAATCGACCTACTGCGGCATCGAAGGACACGATGGCAAGATAGATTGCCCATCGGAACTAAAGAGCGGAGTCATCCCCGTGGCAAAGTTTCGCAGCCGCCACAGAAGTCTGAATCCTGGAACTGATGATTCGGTTGCCCCTCACAGACTTATCAGCTCCAAGTCGCAAATGATCGCCAATACTATCAAGACGATTCCTGAGGACGAGCACGCGATCCTATTTGTCCAGTCTCGCAAGCATATCGAAGAGCTCAAGTTTGCTCTGAGGGAGAACGCTATTGGGTTTACCGACTCGCCGGTGGAAGAAACGGACTTCGCAACTTTGAAAGGCTTGGGTTCCATGAAACAAGCTCGGCTTGAGACTGAATGCGAGAAGCGAGGTCTTTCTACCGCCGGCCGTGAGCGTGAATTGAAGCAGAGGCTTAACGAGTGGGCGAAAAACATCCCTCCAACCGTCAGCAAAAAGACCTACCAGCCGAAAGTCCGAATCCTAAAACTCAACGACCCCACATCGGCGGGAACGAACTTGCAGTATGCGAACCATGTCATGTTCGCCGCGCCCCTATTGGTCGACATGCAGGAAGACTACGACGCGTTCATGAAGCAGGCGCGAGGCCGCTGCGTCCGATTCGGCCAGAAGAAATCGGTCCAGGTGTACCACTTCGTCACGGCGAACACCATCGAAGTCGACATCCTCGAGCTCCGCCGAAAGAGCCACGTCCTGGTGCGCCCCGGGCACGCCATCGGTCGACTTGTGCCTGCCCCGCTGCAGCCGGACTTGCTCATGATGAGAGCAGGAGTCGCCGCCATGGACGACGAGCATGCTTACAATTCTGGCGCTGCTTCCACGACTAACGCCGCCGGAAATGTTGACAGTGATGGAGACGTACGCATGACTGACGCTCCTGAAGGTAAAGGCAAAGGAGTTGAAGGCACAGCTGAGGAACGGGTCAACTCTATCCTCCACCGCCAGGAGGTCTGGAAGGCTACCAATGAACATAATTGGTTGACTTCGGTCGGAATCGAGTACTGATTCTATCTACGGATGGATAAGGAGACTGGTAAGTTCTACTTCTCTTCCTTTCCTTCTGACCTCGAGTGATTTTTGAGCATTCTTCGTGATACTAACTAGTCATTTAGGAAAGAAAAATTGCTACGGAGTAATAGTTGAGGAGTCGCGTTGCGCCACAGGCTGCTGCGTGTAATGAGGATACGGGGAAATCGCCTAGGTAAAGGGAGGGAAATATGAACAATGGAGGCCAAAAACAAAAAAAAGGGGGGGATGAGATGGGGGACATGCATTCATGTTGTCTTGCGTATTGCAGACAGACCCATTTAATTAATGATATACCCCCTTTCGGTATTTTCATATGGGTGGTTGTTAGGGTAGGCTCCTTTGTTAGTCCTGGTTTGGGATGTAATTACCACTAGGTTAGGTAGTTGCAGTTTCGATGGAGACACGCCCCTTTTTAGTAAAAAGATTGATTTACATATCTTAATTGATCCCCAATACGTCACGTAACTCTAGCTTGCCCAGCTGCTATATATAAAAGGGGCGTTGGAGCATAGAACTCAGCTGGCTCTAACGGGTCTTAACCTAGAATGGATGGTGATGCTCGGTAAAATAAGTGTAATTATGTACCTAATAACTTACAACGTTGCTAGTTGTTTTGATGACCATTGCTCCGAGAGAAAACAACGTCAAAACATCATCTTGCATATACGCCGCAAGAATAAGTTATTAAGCTACCGTCTCTTCTATTACCAATATTTTACCTCCAACATAGGTATCTAGCATAGGTACCTATTAAGCATCTAACAGTAAACCAATCTTAAGCATCCCCCTATCTCTATTTCCAGATTCCCACATCACCCTTCAACTACAGCCTCGACTCCCCAACCCTCCGCGGCACCTCCACCAATACCCCCGCCCCCTTCCCTCCTTCCCCCACATCCAAAGCCACCTCCTGGCAATCCTCCAGCGGCACATCATTCGCAAACTGCACGACCACGAACTCGATCACCGAACCATGCTCCCCGAGCGCCGCCATCGGCGCGTGCCACGTCCCGGCGCCGTAGGTCACGGCCTGCGCGCCCGTGGCTACGAAGGCGCAGAGGTTCTGGAGGTCCGGGAGGCCTGGGCCGGCGCCTTTTCCCGTTGCAGGAACAGGAACAGGGACAGGGGGGTTGGGTGGGGAGGGAAGGGTAGGCGCTACGATGACGAGATAGCGCGCCGAGGGGGAGGAGCCGAGGGGGACAAAGGTCTGCGTGGTGAAAGGGTGGCGCTCGAGGACCGCGACGGGGAAGAAGAGGCCTCCTCCGCTTTTACTTGCGCTGGAACGATTGCTTGCTGCTGATGATGATGATGACTCTGGGGGTGACACTAGCAGCTGCCGCGCCGCGCACACAAACATGGTGGTGCGCGGGGTGCTCGGCTGCCCGGACGGCGCGTCGGCGTACAGGTCCTGCAGCGGGGGCGCGAGCGCGCGGTACTGGATCGCGGTCCCCTGGTTGGCGACTACGGCGCCGGCGCCGGGGGGTAGCAGGTCAGCAGTACCATTGCCGGCGCTGTTACTGTTTTGGCATGAGGGGGGACGGGTGTCCGGGGCGGGATTGGCGAGGACGGCGCCGAAGGGGGCGAAGGCGGATGGGGTTAGGGGGGTGGCTTGGAGGGTGGGAGTGGGAGTTGGTAAGGGGAGGGTTTGGATGAGGACCATTTTTTATTTTATTTTATTTTAGTTTAGTTTAGTTCATTGCCTTGCTGGTTTAAGGTTATTATTTATCAGGGTGATTATGGCCGGCAATGGTTGTTGTGTACCTAGTATTTTGGTTTTTGCTTGTTTGTTCTCTCTGCTGTTATGTACTACTAGTAGTATTGATAGGGTGGCCTGGGTGGGTATGATAGGAGAACATTGCATGCACGGTTAAAAGCGATTGAGGTGGGCCTAGATCCGCATAGATGCATCTGACTGCCTGGTTTAAGTGGGGATTCATTGATCGAAGTACCTTAACCTAGTAACCTAGTTATGTACTACTAGTAGTAGTTGCCGTCAATAAATCCTGAATGCTTTTATTTTTTTCCCCTTCTCTGCTTATTATTTTTCTTCATAGGTGATTTGAAACTGCCGTGCCAATCGCTTGTCTTCTTGCTATTTTTGTGAGATAGGAGATCTTTGCTCTTACTTCTTGTTGGTTGACACTGATCGACCACACAATCGGGAGTTCTAGTCTATCATTATGGCGAATGATTCAGCCTCCTCCTGTTGTGGGTTATTTCACCCAAGGCCGAGGCTAAGACCGACTCCGAGATCAACGGAGGACCACGGTCTACAGGGAGTTGAATTCTCCCCCAGATCGTCCATTGGAAGTTCAACCGCCTCAGCCCCGGCTCAAACGACATCTTCGTCCGCACCACTAGCCGCCCCCGCGACAAACATCGACAATCCGGAGATAGCTGGATACTACTCTCCACCAGCCCCGGTGGTACTCCCTGCCCCCCTTGCATCACAAGAAATAAGGGGCTATTATGCCCCTGAGCCAGCCGTTAGACCGCAGCCGACCTCTCATCCTCCTAAGATGTCATATTCATGAATTGGGTGCCATTCTCTTATGACACAAACACCTAAAACCCATAATCTCCGCCCTTTGAGTCTATGATACCACCGAGTTATGTTATTCAGCGCTACGATATTATCTTTTCAGATATATAGTGAGATTAGATTGTGATGAATTTATGGCACAGAACCGAAACCAGCGAAAGGGGCTAAATCGATTATTTTCTGCGTTTTCTCGTTGGACTTGGATGACTGCAGTCTGGTCACATGTGGCCAACTACATGCCAATATCATCGATCTATCGGTTGTTTGACTTGTAGACATTTACACGATACTCTATACGACCTTTAGTGCTTTTGCTTAAGAACCAAGCACCGATATGAGGACTTGAGGTGGACAATTACCTATATGCTTATACAGCAAATCGATTTATTTCGCGTTCTCACAATATTATCTTCCTGCCGAGCCCTGTGTGTGTAATGCTTCCTAGTCAAGGTTGAAGGCACTTGAACAGTGCATACCCTTTTCGCTAAAATCTAGCTTGCAATTCAAGGCCAGGAGGGTTGCCATTTATACTATGTATTCATTGTTTCTTTTGTATTACCTAGGTATACCATGTCCATGAGCAATCAAGTTTGCTGATACTTATGTATGACAGACGGAGAAACTACCTAGGTAACATTGCAAACTTCCAAGGTTGATATTCACTCAAAAGGTCTCCATGTTCAAGAGTATCTTAAATAAATATTGACTCCCCGACACCTTTCTCAGCCTTGGTCACGAATTCAAACCTTCATTGTCAGATATTGTCCGATCATTGAACCAGATTTATCGCACCGTGTATCACCCAGCATTACTCATGTTCCCTCGACTCTCTCGGCTTTTGAGCTCGATGCGTTCCACCGACGCGAGAAACAACACCGTGCAGGACCTTCATGAGGCCAAAGCGGCTGACAACGACACTGTAGACGCCATGCACGAGGTTATCAAAGAGGTGCCAGAATACGACTCAGATCAATCAGCTATCAACACTCCCACTTCTTCTACTTCTTCTACGCCTTCTATGCACTGTACTCCGTTGCCCACCGTGCAGCAACCATTATTAGTTAATAGGGATTGCCATTGCCGAGCAACATCTAATAATATAAGAAGCAATGCATCTGCCTTCTCTGGCCTTTCTGCTGCCACCTCTTCCTCCTCCTCATCGTCTTCTTCTACGACACTCGTATCTTCTGAGGATATAAACGAGTTAAATCACAACAACACCACAGTTACCCCTTCTCATTACGATCCAGCATCTAGTGCCTCTCAACACCCCACTTCGCATATCAACGCCTCATCGTTACCACGCACCTCTGCTTCCGCGTTTGGTCCTGCTTCTACCGCTGCAAATTCTACAGTTTGTACCCACATTCCATTACCTTTTGGCACCAGAGAAGCAGAGGCTTCCGTAACCATCTCTTCTTCACCTCCTAGCTCGCTACAGTTGAACATGGCCAGCGCAAGTGCGAATCCAGAGGGTCGCTCAGTTCATTTCGCTAATACGAGCGCTGTTCGACAGACGAACGGTATTAAACCCCCACCAACCTGCCATCATCCCTACTGCCTTTTCCCTCTACTTAGTGCATCTTCTAACAGTCGCCTAGAACAGGGTCAGGCCCAACCACAGCCGGCCACAGAGCCCGCGACGCCACCTCCCGGAGGCCCACCTCCCACTCCCCCAACCGGTGCTGGGGCAACTCCCGACGAGGAACCAGAGGAACCAGACGAGAACGACAGTGAACCTCACGCGGTGTCTTCACCAATACCTCTCATCAGACAAATAGATCAGACTATGCCTCAATTCGCTCCTCCCGTCGGAGCTCGCGCCGCCGCCGCCATGGCCGCCGCTAACAACAACCCTGCTATCATAATTATCGGCGGGTAAGTACACTCGTCTATCGCTAGACAGATATTGCCGTATCCTACAAGGGCTCTGTCAGCTAACCGAAATCAAGTGTTCCTAGCGCACCAACTCAGCCTACGACCTATATGCCTGCCAACTCGCAGCCACACCTCTGGGTCAACCCTCCCATGGTCGCCCCGGCCTTTCCCTCATTCGCGGCCTCCAACGCCTGCTCGTTTTGTAAGTACCTTTTTTTTTATCCCATCTCATACCCCATTCCCTATTTTTGCCTACCCTTTTATAACGATGACGCAACGAACGGCGAGAGGTTCTAACAGACAACAGGCAACACGAGCCAGCCTCCCGGCCAGCAGCCCTACTTCGCGGGACCCCAGTATCCCCCGTACGCGGCCGCATCGGCTCCGGCGCAGATGCCGTCGGTCCAGTATTATGTCAACGGCTCTCCTAGCTCGGTCGTGTACTACTACATGTAGAGGAGGCTGGGTGCTGTCTATTTAGGCATTCGTAGGGACGGAGGAACGGAGTTTTGGTGCGGCATGGTAGGGTAGGGGCATGGGCATGGGCTTTTCTTCCCCTTTAGCACTTGCGAGGGCTGCCTGGAGGCTACATCAAGGCTTATGGCTAAGCAAACGACGTGGCAAGATGGATGATATGGGAAATTGAGTACCTACTGTAATAGTACCCCTCAGACTACGACACGTGACATACACATTCATTACCTACGCCTTTTGGCACTCGAACGGATGCGCGCAGATGTCAGCTGTCTTTACTGTCACTCTTGGGTCGGTATGCATATTTTCGGAGAAATGGATTATGGATGTACTATGTACCTAGGTAGGTTACCTAGTAGTACTATTGCCTTAGTTGCAGTTTGCTTACAGGGTTGTACACCACGTGACGTTGTACCTTTGAATTTGCAGATTTGTAAAAACTTGTACGTACATACCTCTTCCTACCGCTTCCTACCAGCTGCAAGAAAGCTAAAAGAGAAAAGCGAGAATTTATGAAGAGGCTAGCTAACAAGACATTAACTAATAGTTCGGGAAAAGTTCGTCAAGTATAAACCCTGCTTACCAGCTAAGAGTCTAAGACAGCGTGTCATGTTACAGTACCCTAACCCCAGAACATCCTCCGCGACCACCTTCAAACGATGTTACCCCAGCCCTAGTATGCTCAAGTTTATCGGTACAGGCCGTTGTATATTACGGGAACGCTTTCCGACAGCTCGGGTTACTTACCTAGGTCTAGCCAGTCCTTGACGTCGACTACAACCCCATCTTTTCGACTTTTCGACTCGGTATATCAATGCTACCTCCGCGATGGAGAATTTTCTACCATTGGGTCCATGACTCCCTTACCCCTATATCTCCATAGCCTCGTGGTTGGAGTTGGAGTCGGCTGTAACACGGGGTGCGCAAGCGGGGTAATCCGAGAGATCCCCAAAGCAAAGCTGCTTCACTCAAATCAATCGCGATCGTCATACCTAGTAATGCCCACACCGGTGTTGCACGTGGTTAGCGATGGAGGCAAATCGGGTTAGCGAAGGAGCGCCGCAGTTGCCCAAAGAAGGATTGTATCGTCGACGGAAAAGGTAACTCTGTAGAGGGGTCTGTAGAGGGGTTGGTTGAAGATATACGGAGATGAAGCCACCACGTCACTTAGTGCTGTTCACTGCCTAGGTGGGTAACTATTCATTATTTCATATATATAAATATGTAGGTATAGATCGGGCAAGTCTGGGGGTTGGGTGCTACCAACATACAAACCTTGGAACACATAAAGGAACCCTTTCCTCTCATCCCTCGGCCTGCCTTCAACCAGAACCTCCATCACGTTAAACTTGTACAGCTTGTACTACCTAGGCATCCATCCATATCCATCACCGCTCCCCCAAACCAACCATGGCCTCCCCCATCCCCTCCTCCATCAAAGGCCTCGTCTACACCGGCCTCAACACCACCGCTCTCCAATCCCGCCCGGCCCCCACCCTCACCACCCCCACCGACGCCATCGTCAAGGTAACCAAGACCACCATCTGCGGCACCGACCTGCACATCCGCAAAGGCGACGTCCCCTCCTGCCCCACCGGCCGCATCCTCGGCCACGAAGGCGTCGGCGTCGTCCAAGCCACCGGCTCCTCCGTAACCCGCTTCAAGCCCGGCGACCACGTGCTCATCTCGTGCATCACCTCCTGCGCGACGTGCGACTTCTGCCGCCGCGGCATGTACTCGCACTGCCGGACGGGGGGCTGGCAGCTCGGGCACGCGATCGACGGCACGCAGGCGACGCACGTGCGGATCCCGCACGCGGACGCGAGCCTGCACCCCGTGCCCGGCGGCGTCGACGAGGGCGCCCTCGTCATGCTCAGCGACATCTTCCCCACCGGCCTCGAGGTCGGCGTGCTGCGCGGCAAGGTGAAGCCCGGCTGCAGCGTCGCCATCGTCGGCGCGGGGCCCGTCGGCCTCGCCGCCCTGTGCGCCGCGCAGATGTACTCCCCGCACCGCACCATCGTCGTCGACATGGACGCGCACCGCCTCGAGGTCGCGCGGGGGATGGGCGCCGAACACGTCATCAGCAATGCCGGGGGCGCGGACGCGGTGGTCAAGGAGGTGCTGGCGCTGACGGAGGGGCTGGGGTGCGACACGGTGATCGAGGCGGTGGGGATCCCGGCGACGTTCGAGCTGTGCCAGTTGCTGCTGGCGCCGGGGGGCACGCTGGCGAATGTGGGGGTCCATGGGACGAAGGTGGATTTGCAGTTGCAGGATTTGTGGGCGCGGAATATTGGTAAGTTTTTTTTCTTTTCTTTTTCTTTTTCTTTTGGGGGGGGAAGGGGGAAGGGGAAGGGGAGAGATGACGTGGGGGGTGGGAATAGTGGCTAATCTATATGCCTTTGCAGAAATCACGGCGGCGCTCGTCGACACCGTCTCCACGCCCATGTTGCTCAAGCTGTTCCAGGCCGGCAAGATACATCCCGAGAAGATGATCACGCACAGTACGTTTCTTTCTTTTATTATCCACGACCCAGAGCCAAGCTCTAGGTATCTCGTGTGTGTGTGTGTGGGTTGCTAACGTCTTATTTGCCTGTAGGGTTCAAGTTCGATGACATAGAGAAGGCATACGATACATTTTCTGCCGCGGGAACAACTGGGGCCTTGAAGGTGCTTATTGAGATGGACTAGGTACCTAGCCTTACTTAGTACTTATCTAAGTTGGATTGAAGGAATGTCGATAATTAGGTACTGGGCGGGCGGGTTAAAATGTGTGTAATCTTAGCTTGCTCTTACCTACTAGAAGAGCATGATACGACTGAATGTTCAATTACTTGAACTATCGAGACAGCTAGTTATTTCTGATACTATCCTTTTTGCTCAACTACTACCTACCCCTGGCAGATAGATACCCCGTTAAAGACCAGTATAATAACCCTTCAGCTCCGCAGCCGGCACACTCTCCCACGTCAAGTACGTCGGCAAGACAGGCGGCGCGTCCAGCCCCGTCGGACCGCACGCAATCTCGTCGTCGTCCCAGGCGATATAGCACGAGAAGTCGTAGAACCGGCTCCCCACCGCTTTGAAGACGATCCTAGATCTCTTGTATCAGCGACAAATATCTACCTATCTACTAGGTACCTAGCCTACCTACCTACACATACCTAGGTATCATACGAAAAGAAAAAAAAGAAAATCAAAAAGGGGAAGGGGTGAAAAGAAGAAACTCACGGATTCGCCGCATCCTTATCATCGCAAAGCCACGTATGGTTCACCGCAAAATACCCCGTCGCCAGGTCCAGCTGCCACTTGCACTCGATACTGTTCCTCTCCCACGAGCTCGACGTCGGCGCCCCACCACCACCACCACCACCACCACCCGCATCATAATCCCTGCACTCGTACCACCTCCCCGGCTCGCTCGCTCGCGGGCAAAGACGGCGTCAGCGACGCGTCCGTGACCGAGACGCCCTGGTGCCCGTCCATCGCCAAAAAAGGTAAGTAAGCGAGAAGAACCCGCGCGTCGCGGCGGAGAAGGGGGCGGGCGCCGCGTACACGGCGTCGGAGCGCGAGGAGGAGCGGCGCGAGGAGCGAGGCGGTGGTGCAGCTGTGGCCTGAGGGGGCGACCTCGAGGAAGGTGTCCGGGGGGGGAGGAGAGAGGTGCGGGTTTCGACGGTTCCGGGGACGGCGAGGGGGGGGGAGGGTCTGCGTGCAGGTTTTGGTGCGGAGGTTGGACGTGCTGTCGTTGGTCCAGGTGCAGGATAGGGTTGTGTGCGCGGATCCGGTGGCTTTGAACTTGGCCCTTTTCTTTAGGGGGGCGTTGAGTCAGTTCCCTGTGTAGGTAGGTATATAACAAGCTCATGGGTACGAGGGTTATCAGAGGGCGATACACCTACGGCATTTTCTCACCACGCCCATTGCAGTACCACCCCTGCTGTATGGAAAACACGCCATCGAGCGGATTAAGCTTGATCAGCGACACAATCCGATAATCGTCAAACGGGGTCCGAGCCAGAGCACACCCCCATCACCTGTCGTTGCCGTATCTGCCGTCGCGGTTTAAGCTCTTCCCCGTTGCCGCTGCACCTTGTCTCGAAGCCGGTCGCCGGGTTGGAGAATGTGACGGTCAGGTTGCCGGTGTTGTACTGGTTCAGGAACTTCTCGTTCCAGACCCACGAGGTGACGGTCCATGATGGGGTCTCGGATGTCTCGAGGCAGTTCGGGTGGTTGACGCCTTCGGGAGAGACGCGGGGGGTCATTTCGATGGGCTCGAGGAGCGATCCTTTGATGTAGGTCGACTCCGTTGAGGTACTACCGATTGATGTTGTGCCGACGGCCCGGAATGTCACGCTACTTAAGTGTTAGCAGAGTATTATACTGGTATCAGGTTAATGTCGGTTGGGTAAGGAGTAGGGACGCATACTCATGTGGGTATTCTTCTCCTCCATTACAAACCCAGGTCTGGTTGACCGAAAGCTCCCCCGTCTGCTCGACGTACCGTACACTTGTCGAGTTATCGCCGCAGTCAGACCAATCGCCCTCCTGGACCGCGCATGCCACTGATCCATTGTTGCCATGATTGTTCAAGCGAAAGCTCGCCTCTCCTTCCTCGTAAGTAAAGTCCTGTACATCCCAATCCGGATAGCTAAACGAGAGGCCGACACAAGGAGTCTCGTTCCACGGTGTCTCCGTGACAGGTTCCTTCGAGGGTGGTATTATCTCCACGTCACCGGATTTCCAGACGGGAGTTACGTAGTCGCTGGTGAACGGGGTGGCCGTGTCGTCCAAGACCGTACACTTGGTCTGTGGGTCATCGTCGACGCATTGCAGGAGTTTTGTAAGGTCTACTTTCCCTGATGAATAATAAAGATGGCTGATCGTAGATGAAGCACGTTGTGGCTTCGTGTTAGTGTTTCCTCGTACCTGTCTCATACCTATAGGTACCTGGGAGCTTCAGGGGTCAGCTTGGGGATGACATGTGACTTACGGATGCGTCTTATTCTCAGCTTCACACACCCACAACTGGTTGATTTCAAGCTCATTGCTCGCAGGCGTATACTTGAACACAGTCTTTGGTTTTCCCTCTTCAGGACTACCCTCGCATCTATTCCACGTCGGCGCATTCGGATCCTGTAAGTAAGGCGTTGTGCACGACGTAGATTCCTCATTGACGTAGTCGTGCAATAGGAAATGTGTCATGCTCCTCTCCCCTGCTTCGGTGGCCGTCTTGTTGAACTGGAACCGAGCAAATCGATACTCGGGCTTCTCAAACCCTTCGTTGCAGGGGCTCGCACTTGCGGCGACGGCTCCCACACTGCGTCTGATAGCTGAGGGGGTTTTCTGTTTGAACCTGATTAAAGACTCGATCCCTGGGTTGAGCCTTTTGCTCTCACTTAATATGAGTTTAGTACAATAATTGTGGGATTGGTTAGGAGTCTACCTAACGTACGGTTGATAACTCGGTCCCTCATTCTCGCCACGCCCCAGCTGAACTAGGTGTAGGAAATAAAGGCAGATGGGGAGTATGAGGCGCATAATCCCTATAGCCCCTTTAAATTCCTCTTAACACTGATTTTTTATAATTACCTATGTTAGTCGACAGTCAAAGGGGCTCTCAAGTGCGAATCCTTGACTATTCTAAGAACCTCAGATACAGCTTGCTGGCACATGATTTATATATGTACCAGGTACCACGCAGTAACTGTGGGCGGAACTTCATGATATATGTGCCCGAAGGGGCATCTGTTCGGAGAAATCAGATGTTGCGGTATTGTATAGCCGCGACAGCCGTATATAACCGGCATGCTATGTAGGCGCAGCGCAGCAGGCAGCTATACGAATCACACATCAAACCGAAATAAGTTTTTAACGTTACCAGTACGTTACAAGGACGTCGATGCTGGGATTGTGGGAAGCGAGACTTAGGTACCTAACTATGAGGTCGATAAAGCGGATGAACTTTTGCTTAGGTATGCGAAGGACTCTCCTGACGTTGTAGCTCATTTCGCGAATATAGTTCGTGGGACCTTTTGTGCAGAAGTCCACTCTAGATTCTCCTCCTCATAGCGCTTGTTAAATGCACGAGGAAAATGTTCGAGAGCTACCTAGCTACCTACATTGTCAATTTTATTATTTTGAGTAGGTATCCGCTGTCACTTAGTCTGCCAAAGTGTTGACTTCGAGTCTTGACGTGTCAGCTTCGAAGATGACAATGATGATGAGGACGGTTGGTGGGAAATCCTCTAGATTAACGAAAGCGATGGCCCTGCGCAGCAACATTTCTGGTATTGTGTAGCGCACGAGGGAGAGTGTGTTTAGGGCCCTTGTGGTAGTTGGCGTCGAGAATAGCGGTACCTACGTCTCAAGCGGGATCTCGACTTCCTCAACGGGACCCCCAGCCCCCTACAACATCTCTCCCCGTGTCCCCCTCACACCCTCCCACAGCTCCTCCACCAACCCCAGCACCTCCCGCGGCAGCGGGCCCTTGCGCACAAGCTCCACCGTATCCACCACCTGCGCGCTCCTGCTCGCGCCCACGACAACGCCGTCGTCGTCCCCCAGCGCAGAGTGGTGCACGACCCAGCGGATGGCAACCTCGACCGGCGTGAGCCCCTGGGCCTTGACCTCGGCGCCGAACTTCTTCATGGCGGCGAGCAGGTCCTCGCCGCCGAACATGCGTCGCATGGTGGGCCCGAGGGGGTTGTCGTCGGCGAAGCGACCGCCGGCTGGCTCGTTGTTCACGAGGGCGCCAGTTAGGAAGCCTGCTGCTAGGGGCCTGGTGGTGCGTTAGTTAGGTAGTAGGTACTGCCGATACTAGATATATAGATAGATAGATAGATAGAAATGGAGAGAGAAAGAGAGATGGAGTAGTAGACTAGTGGTCACTCACTGATATCCATTAAACGCGATACCATGAGCGCGCAGGACCGGCAGGAGCTTCGACTCCATACCGCGGGACACCAAGTTGTAGATCCCCTGGTAGCAGCTCGGCTTCTGCCAGCCTTTCTCTTCGCAGATCTGTATCATCTTCTCCAGCATTGGTAGTGGCACATTGGATACACCCCACTATGATCAAGAAGATACGCGTCAGTCTCTTGGGTATATAGTCACTACCTAGGTAGGTAGTTACCTAAGATCGAGGATGGTAACCATAGGTAAACTTGCCTTCTTGCAATGCCCTTTCGCAATCTGGTCATTAAACCCTTTGACCTGCTCCTCGAGTGGGGTCTTCGGATCAGCCCGATGGATGTGCAGTACGTTCACCTATAACCGCAGTTAATCTCTCTCTCTCTCTCTCTCTCTCCCTCCCTACCTCCCATTCCACCCCCTCCCACCTCAACCAAGAGCAAGAATACAAACCCCCTCAACCCTTAACCTCCCCAAACTCCCCTCCACCGACCTCCCCATCGCCTCCGCCGCCAAATCCCCACACCCATCCGTCGCCGTGTCCGTGAACACCTTCGTATCAACCCGGAACCCGCTTTCCCCCGCCTCGCCGATCAGCTCCTCCGAGCGCCCCGGGTTGGTGGGCGGGTACCGCGCGCCCGAATCTAGCCTCGTAATACCTAGTTCCTTCAGCGTCCGGAGTACGTTTTTCACCGCGTCTGCATCCTGGAACTCCGTCATGGGCATCCCGAAGGATGCGGTGCCGAAGATGAGGTGGGGCGCCATTGTTTTTTTCTTCTTTTCTTTTATGCATAGGGTTATGTGTAAGTTTGTGTTTGGAATAGGGATGGATAATAAAGGATAGGAAGATAAAAAGAGGAAATAAGGCTTTCCGACCGGGCCGTTCAAAGGGATGGGCGGTTATGTTAGCTACGCAATGTACGTACGTTATTTGTAAGCGATGGAAGGATGTAGGACTTACGTTATACAACATGGAGGAATACATACCGCCTGGAATACATCCGTGGATGCTTTGAAAACTACATAGAGTGCTGCACCACATATCGAAGAGCCACCATGGATCAAAATCAAACGATGGCGAGTAGTGTGATAAAGGGGCAATTTATAACTATACCCAACTTCCTATCCACGGTCGGAGATTCATCCATCGGGGCCCCTCGCCCATCACACAACAACAGCAAGCCTCTACATAGAACAGAAACTCAAGACACTTTAGGTAGTACCTAGGGTAGGGTATGGATCAAAATCATCAAACTCCATATTAATAACAAAAATATGGATATACTGCGCAGAACATATCAAGCACGTAGCGCAAAAGATAAAAGAATAAAAAAAATAAAAAATAAATGGTACCTGAACTAGGTAGGCTAGGTAGGTATCCCATTACAAATCTTTGTTCGTCCGATAGGTGCAAATCTCCTCTCCAGCCCCCATCCCGTTGCGCATTCCCTAGGTAGGCTCGAGTGCCAAAGCAAAAGCAAAAGGCAAAAGCGCAATGACCCCCCGTTACGTAGGATATGGTATCAATCATCATAATTGTCATAAGGACCCGTGACACGCAAAGTATCCCCTATCCCCTGTGTAATAAAGTCAAGAATAAGAAAAAACGCCAGAACCGTGATAAAAGGACTTTTGACCTAGGTAGCCTAGCTAACTAGATCCTAGAATCCTGAGGGTATACCTAGCTCATAAGTTCATGAATCTTATAAGCTTGAGAATCATCATAATTAATCCCGATCATCTGCTTCTATACTCCGGCTTTCTCGCCATGTTCACCACAGGCGGAGGACCATCGTCATCCAAGGGGTAGGGCGGCAAAATACCGCTAGGACGTCGCCCGCCCGGAGCCTGCTTCTCGGGAAGTGGCGTCTTAGGGGGCAATGGTGGTGGTTCGATGCGATGTGGCTGGTATGGGTGCATCACAGGCTGTGCGATGGGATCCCTTTGTTGCCTTCGTGGATATTCGTCAGCTCCCATAATTGCTATTTTATCTGTTCCGGCAGCAACGCGATATTGGGCTGGCGTGGGAGCCGTCACTATAAGACGATCAGGTTCGTCATCAGGTGGAGGAGGCCTGACTGCTGGCGACAGAGCAGGTGGAGAAGGGACCTTTTGTGGGGGACGGGTGGCAATTTGAGCTGGAGAAGGGTGTCCCGTTGACGATCGCTCGCCGGAGCTGCGGGACGAGGGCGTGTTGACAGTGTTGGTGCCGTTGCCAGGAAGTGAGAGGTGATCTATGCCAGACTCGTAAGATTCCCGACTGGGTGGGCCTTTGCGATTTGGGAATGACATAGGCATGTCGCCGGGCAGTTCGACTGCTAGTGGGGCATCTATAGATCCCATTCCTTGGGAAGATACGATATCAGGTATGGTACCAAGTTTGTCAAACCTCTGTTTAGCCCTATGTATCTTGGCTAATTTCGTCGCGGACTGTTGAACCATTTTTTGTTCGGCATGCCTTGATAGATATCGTCTCGTGCCCGTGCTGATTTCGCCCAATCGATCCCACTCATTCATGGCAAATTCGCCTACACCGATTTCGACGTTGAACCGATAGTAATTTTCGATGTTGACACCTCGTTTCATCAGAAGATCCTTCTTCATGCGTTCATGGATCAGTTCTGAGCCCTCCACCTTAGAGATCAGATTCCTCCTGGCTTCTGCCCATTCGCCCATGAAACCTTCGTACCAGACATGGGAGTTTTGATCCGTACCCTTTGGCCGCTTTCCGGTTCCTACGCTAATGAACACGCCAACTTCGCGTCCTGGCCACTCATTGACTGTGGCCTCGTCGAGAGCATAAGGGGACGGGTTGAAAGTCCCAGATCCATCATCATGGAATACCGTTTGTCCAATTCTAATTGGCTTGAACGCTAATCCGATGGCGCACGTTGCCCGACCTGCTTCCCAAATCTTGCAGTCATATTCTGGGGCGGGCTCTTTCCTCGAATCATATGATCGCAAAATAGCGGCATCTCCACCTCTCGTGGTTCCCCTATACATGGCTGTGACCGCACTATGCCTATGTTAGTGGCTATATTAATAAAGAGTTGCGGGTGGGAATCTAGCTTACGTTTTTGTTCGGTTTTCTCTTGCATCGTATAGGCGCGCATTAGGATCTCCCCAACCACCACCGCGAAATGCCGATCGAGCCTGGCTCGATGGACTACGAGCGCTGAAACTAGCAACACTTGCGTTGCTCTGATGCCGTCGCGGGAAGTTACTCATCCCAGCGCTCGATCGCGATACGGAAGATAGTGGACTGAGAATATCTGACGCCTCTCCATCGTTTCCTTCGTTGTCGGAAACAGTATGTTCCCTGACAGCTTCCTTGATCGCGCGCTCGAGCATCGATGCTTTGAATAGTGTCGAGCGATAGGGTATACCAGCAAAAGTCTTATCAGTCTCGAAGACCATTCTCGTCAATCGGACATACAACTCCTTGCACTGTTCCAAGTCCAGCCGGAGACGTCCAAGCATCAAAGCGATTAAACCGCCGGTACCAGTTCCAACTATAAGATCGAAGTGATCGCATGGCTTTGGTATTTGATCGCGTCGCGGGGCTTTGCCTTCGATTTCGACGTAGGTACGGTGCATTAGTTCCTGTATAATGATGAACATGGAATAACCACGGACTCCTCCTCCATCTATGGTGGCGCAAAGCGACGATATTAGCTTTCGACTTCTATGATGAATACCCAAAAATATACATGAATCGCGGGGTTGTTAACTTACCTAAACTGAGGATCCTCAGCGGAGGACCTTTGGTGGTATCTTTCCTCCTCAGAGGTGTTTCCGAATCCATTTTCTTGTCGCACAAAGGTAGATCGGCTTATTTTAGCTAATCCAACTGCGTTGATCGATATGTAAAGTTGGTAGTCGAAAGAAATAGAAATCGATGAAAAAAACTGTAATGATCCGGTTGATACTGGGACCCGCTACTTCCACTATGTTCGTGCTCGTGACGACGTCAGAACCCAGGTACCGTTGACCAAAGAAGGTAACCGAATTGAATGTAGTGATATACTAGGTATATCCTGACTTGACTAATCCTTTAACGCCACTGCAAAGTCGCAGGGATAAAGTATTAAAGGCCAGACAACTTTAATAAGAGAGAAGTTGTATAAAGCTGTTGCGAAATTGTATGTATTGTATGTATTGTTTAGAGAATCAGGTTTATTGTATTGTTTAAAATGTTACTGTTATTAAAAATTTGGTGAGTGAATCTACTGTGTTGATTTGAAACATAAGAGAAGTTTGACAAGCGCTGACTAGCTGTTGGTAAGTACTGTATGCTCTGCCCAGTATTGATGGTGATGGATCAGTGTACACATGGTGAATGCCCAGTCCAGTGAGCGTCGCGTGTGGCTGAGCATGTGTAGAGTGCAATGCAGTGCTAAAGTCTAAACTTGAAGCGTTCTTCAAGTCACTAGCATTTCCACTTACGAATCACAAACCGTACAAAAAAAACAGGTACTGACCTAGGTTAGGTAACTACTTTTAACCAATGACAAAGCCTCTACATGTCCGCATTGGTCGCATCATCATAAGTATCCACTGCATATGGATCTTCAAAGGCTTAGGTGCAGGTCCGGATAGTACCTGAGTTCAGGCCAGGGGAGGGATGGCCTTGTATTATTTGGCACTAAAAGGTCGTGCCCATAGCAAAAGTTGCAAGCCACGTGCTACTACCGGTATTTTGTCTCCATCATCTCCATCATCTCTTAACAAACAATTGGATTCGTTTCTTTTTTAACATACTATGTAATAGTATCCTCTCTAGAGTCTAAACCGAGTCTTATTCAAATGTTACTGGTCACCTAACTTAAGGCCTTAGTAGACGAAGATGCAAGTCATAGGAATCGTGGATATGAGAGGTGTCTATTTCCTTGGTTCGGGCTGCCTCTAATTAAATCGCCATATCGATACGATCTGGTCAACTTTTATTTAGTGTCGAATGGTAGTGTCGAATAGTGTGGTGATTGACAGAAGCATGATCTAGCCATGCCAAGATCCGAGTATCGTGGCGGTGCAAATATCTTCATTGGCGAGAACGAAGGATCAAAAGAAATCGCGTCGCCACTCCGATTATATACGACGTAGTTATCATCCACCGCAACTCGTTACCCTTAGTAGATAACTTACCTACGTAAGACGTAGCTGCGAAGTAGGCGCATATATACCCTAAGTATATAGCCGGTGCATTGGAGCTGATAGACAAACTCAACCAAAATTTTCTGGTCCCTGGTTCGAATTGGTCAGTCTATACGTCAATACTGCACAGCTATATGTGTATGCCTACTGGTCGTACTCTGTAAATTTATATCCTTGTGCTGTTTTCGAGAGTCAGGTACAGAGTGTTGCGGATTTATTACTTGCCTAGGCTTCGTAGGCACGGAAGCTTTCTAGAAGCGTTCTATGCGAAAATGATTTGATCATCCATTGCCATTGATGAAGTCATAATTGAATTATACCGACGAGAGGTAGTTGGATGATTAACGAAATTTGCGGTGGGTTCGCGGTGACGTACCGGGGTTTATTTGAACGACGTTGAATCCATACGACGCTGACGAAGTAGTATTTCATGGTTTCGTAGAGCGGCTTGGCAGAAAAAAAAGTCTCGGAGCTTCGTGGTAGAATTAACCCATTGCTTCTTTCTCATGCGCCCTAACAATGCGCCAGCTAAAACCGTCGACCGTGTTATGAGGTCTCATAACACAAAGTCCGGTCTTGCTAATCTTCTGTTTGCGGGAGTATAGAAGAACAAAATGCTCGAGGTTGAGCCGAATTCCGTGGGGATCTCGCCTAAGAAGTAAAAGGAAGGTTGGAGGCTGGGGGTGATGATAGAATCTCGGATTTCGGATTTCTCAGCCAACATAGTAGTGGGCGGGCGGGTTCGTTTTGAAAATGAGCGTGACATTTGAGCTTTCTTACGGCGCGGCGTACCCCGAACCCCGTAGTGTCAAACGAAGCTGAAAATGTTGACCGTCGAAAGCTTTCGAGAATGGATGCATCTCGAACGACTAATCAAGCGTTTAGCAAGCGAAACAACATTCATTAGGGATCCCTGAAGCGTTTCGAGGGAGACATTCCAGTCATTCATTCACATGACATAGCTCGGTAGGTAGGTTAGGCGACTAGCGAGTTGAATGTTGGCTCAACATGTTAGCACGTGCCATTCAGCTAGCTTCACATGACATCGCAACAACTTTCGCGGAATGTATCCGTTTCTGAACCATCGTATGATATATCGATGTCGTTAAAGTCGCTAAAGTGCTATATCACAAATATGTAGTAGGTATGTAAGTATGGATGCTGTATTGTTGGGATCGCTTATATGCGGTTAAAAGGCTTCAAATAGGTAACCTCCCCCCTTGTTTTGCAAGCCAGTCGCTAAGTCATAACTATCTGACTTTTAGTTTCTTATTAGTTGAAAAACATGATGGGCAAGTGACTTTTCACGATGTCTTTCTTTTCTTTTTTTTCTTTCCTTACCTACCTGATAATTTTTCTTTTTTCTTTTTTTTTTGGATGCCTGTCGAGTTTTGTATCAATTTCGTGCGCGGCTTCGGATCTTCGAGCCTCTTTCTTTATTCTTATGTGTCCCATAACGCTAAAGAACTTGTTTGTTTTTAATTACATCGGTAGATGCACCTGCACCTACATACTATGCAGTGTCAATGTAGTAGCTCCCGAGCCCAGCAAAGTGACAGCGGCCCTGACTTCATGCTAGGGATCTTAGCATCTGGCGGCAATGAGAACATTGAAATCCAATAGGGCCGCTACTATTAGTCGTAGAAACCTGGTAGAAACTTACCTGGGGTACCTAGGGTAGGGTGGTTTGGCGGTTGCTTGTTCAACGGTATTACTGCTTAGCGCACCAGTACGCACCAGTACTACCGAATTAGAGTTTGGGGGAACATTGAAGCGATGCGCTAGCGTTAAGAGAGGAAGCTGTTTGTGTTTCTGGTGTAAGGAAGGACTCGAAGGATTCAAGCTGTGCAACGTCGCGTTACAGCATCCCGTACAGCTGGTTGATTGATTCTGTGCATTCTCTGCATGGTACTATGGTAGGTGTAATGGTAGGTATCAGCGCATCCGTATTTTCTCTCCTCACTCCCTCCTCCCACGTGGTCAAGCGTATGTACTTGGTGTCGTGTCGATGCGGCTGAGCTTTGAGTAAGACCATGCGTGGCAATTATTTCATCCAAAATCAATGAAACGAAGTAAGAAGCAACTACATACCGAAGAGGCACCGAAATGTCAAAGAATTTGTGTTGGGTCCTATGGTCTGCAGACCGCAACCGTCTAGTTATGTAGTCTCAAGTTTCAACCGTCTGGACTTCTAGACCTCCAAACCTGCACGTTAGTCACAAATCAGTCCTAGATACCTAATTAGATTAGTATTTAGAAAATTTCCTTCCCGACACGGACACTAGATGTCGGCTCCGAGCATGTAGTGTAGTACCATTGGTATTGAAAGCCCTTTAGGAATGCATCTAGATTAGTATCTACTACATAACTATGTATGTACCTAGGGTATGTACGAACTTTTTCAAGCGCTTGAGTGTATTCTACTAGGTTAGACAGTACTTCCCTTGTATGATTATGTTAAGAGAGCCAATGAGACTTCGTATACTCGGCCAATATTCATCTACCAGAAGGCTCGTTCGTGTTGTGTAACGATTTGCTGACTAGGCACATACGATATGTAATGTAAGATGTCCTATACGCAGAATTGAGATAATTAAACGGGTTACATCTGGGTCGCTTTCGTAAAGAGACTTCTGGAATAGTTGAACAGTTGGGGGAAAAGAAGTTTACGAAATAATAGGCACTAGGGTATGTATGGAAAAAACATAAAAATCATGATGAAAAACCCGGGGATTCGAAGATACTGCCTAGTAGAGTATTATCTCCAGCTATTTAGCAGGCACCTGCCAAACTCTGTACTGGTTTAGAACACCATCGTAGCTTGATTACCCCGAGCCTTCCCCAGGAAGGGAACCAGGGTCCCTAGCTCTCCCCAAGTTCTATTCGGCCCGTAGTGGAGGTGCATAAATGGAGGAGGGAAAGAGACACCGCTAGCTTCTTATTTCATAGGCCACTGACATCATCCCACTTTCATAAGCGGACGAGTATTATTATGTACGGTACTACTAGTAGTACTATGCACGTACTGCTAGGTACATAGTAGTACCTAGGGTAGTATGGGAATCTCCAACAATTCCCAAGTAATAGAATTAACTAGATTCTCCTCCAATTCTTCCGGGTGCATCGTCGAAACAAAAATTCAAAAAATCGGGTGACTGAAACAAAAATTCGACAACAGTTTACACAATCAATACCATACGATTTCATATATCAATATAATCGAGACAATCACAAACGTTACCTCTACCCCGGAATCTTGGGATGTCGATCAGATTTGGTTGCATCTACAGATTGATGGTATCGGGCCTCCCTCGCATCTACACGTCTGGTAATCCAATGCAAGCTCCAGAAAAGCAGAAGGGAGAGAAAAATACATACTTACATATGTATATACATACTCACATTTCTGGCCTAATCCCCGTTGTTCGCTGATCAATAACCTGATCAGACAAGCTGATTGTTTGCGCAAAAATAACTGACCAGATCCTCGGGATGTTGTTGGTCCATGGTAAGAAATAGAAAAATGCCTAAGACACATAGGTCCATGCAAGCTTCCCACCCAATTGAATAGCACAATAACCAATAGACTACCTTTAATCGAATGTCTTCGCCCTTGCGAATTGGCCTCTTACCCGCACTATGGCACAACAGTGCTGTGAGGGCAAGCACGCGTGTGACCTCCAGGATTTTGTGGAAAGTCCCACAGCCCTGGGAAAGCTTAGGAAGGACGAGAGCAACGTGGAAAAAGAGTCCAACGACAGCTCCGGACAAGGATATCTTCATGATTTCCTCCCTTCCTGCTGTAGGTGGGCAGGCTTTAGCAGCCAGCATTCCTGGAATTCCATGTCTTGTGACGGTCCGGGGTGGGTAACCCGGCTCGTAACGAGACAGACCACACTTCGATGACTTCTGCGTTCGATTGCCCTCAAGCCGCTCAAAACGTCGATTCAATGAATTCACGGTGAGCCGAGCCCAAGTGGGTCGGTACAATCCAAAGGAATACATACATATGTAATATGAATCTGGGGATCCGCCTTGTACATACATATGTATGTACATATTTGGCTGCTCTATATACAGGATGATACATACATGATACTATAGTACATCCACCCATCGGGAATCCGCCGACCATTTGTTGATTAGAACCGCCCGTTGACTAACTTCGGGCTGCAACTTCCCCCGGACACACACACGCGAAAGGTGACAGGGAAAGGTGCAGTGGCCAATCTACTAATCTGCTTTGTTGCAAGCATCAAAGGACGAGGATCACTGGGTACCTAGTAAGTATCCTAGGAGACTTTTCACCACTCACATCCTAGCCATCCCCAGTCACCACCGCTTTTACATATAATATGCATCCATCTCTCCTCTTCGTCCTAGACCTATTTACCTAGTTGCTCTGTTATTCCTCTTGAGTATCTATACTCTACGTAATAGATTAGAATACCTATGCGTCGCTAATAGACCACGCGAGGTCTCAGACATTATGAAGCAGTTTGGCAATATTTACCTTATCGCGGCCACGTCCGTCATCGGTACGTCCTTACAGATCTTACTTGCCTTCCTTTCCTAATATCCCGCCTTATCCCTTGCTTGGTTGTTGTAAAACATGAATGCTGATTCTGTTGGTTAGGTGGTGCGCTTTTTGGTTTCGATATCTCTTCTATGAGTGCTATTATCTCTACTCAGCCCTATAAGTGCCAATTTAACCAGCAGGTGAGTTTATAAAGTTGATGACCCCGCTTGACATCGACATTGCGTGTGCTGACAACACTAGGGCAATAACGTTGCTACTGGCCAATGCCAGGGACCCGACGATGTCGTGCAGGGTGGGATCACGGCTGCCATGCCTGGTGGTTCCTGGCTCGGCGCTCTCATCTCTGGCTTCCTTTCTGATCATCTAGGTCGAAAGACATCCATCCAAATTGGCGCTATCATTTGGTGTGTAATTACTCACGCTACATAGCGTCACCTCAGCCCCTATTAGCCATATTATCTAACCGTGTTTTTTTTCCAGGATTGTTGGTTCTATTATTATCACCGCCTCCCAGAACATCCCCATGCTTATTGTCGGTCGTATCATCAACGGTCTCAGTGTGGGCGTCTGCTCTGCTCAAGTCCCCGTCTACATTTCCGAGCTTTCTCCACCATCGATGAGAGGCCGACTTATCGGAATGCAACAATGGGCCATCACCTGGGGTATTGCGATCATGTTCTTCCTGTGCTACGGCTCTAGCTTCATCAACGGAGCTGCCGCCTTCCGCTTACCATGGGGTCTCCAGATGATTCCCGCCATATTACTCTTCTTCGGTCTCATGGTCCTTCCCGAGTCACCGCGTTGGTTAGCGAAACATGATCGATGGGAGGAGGCTAAAGATGTGCTCGTCCTGGTTCATGGCAAAGGTGACATTCGCTCCCAACTAGTCGAGAGGGAGATGGCAGAAATCAAGGAAGTTGTTGACTTCGAGCGTGCCAATGCGGATGTGTCGTACTTCGAGCTGTTAAAACCCAACATGATCAACCGAACACATATCGGTATCTTTACGCAAATCTGGTCCCAGCTTACGGGTATGAACGTTATGATGTACTACATTGCTTACATCTTTACGATGACTGGATCGGGCGACGACGTGTTGCTACCCAGTGGCATTCAGTTCATCATCAACGTGGTTATGACCGTTCCGGCTCTTATTTTCCTTGACAGATGGGGTCGCCGCCCAACCATGCTTATCGGCGCATTCTTCATGTGCCTTTGGCTCTGCATCAATGCTGGTTTGTTCGCAGTGTACTCACGACCGGCTCTGCCACATGAGTTCGATACAGCTGCCATCTCTATGGTTATTCGGGGTAGACCTGCCCAGGCCGTCATTGCCAGCACTTATCTATTCGTCGCGTCCTACGCCCCGACCTGGGGTCCCTGCTCATGGACTTACCCAGCCGAACTCTACCCGCAGCGCGTCCGTGGAAAGGCCGTCGCCCTCGCCACATCTGCCAACTGGGCTTTCAACTTCGCCCTCGCATACTTTGTTCCCCCGGCGTTCGCCAGCATCAGCTGGAAGACGTACATCTTGTTCGCCGTCTTCTGCTTCACCATGTTCTGGCATACCTTCTTCCTATTCCCCGAGACTGCCAACAAGACTTTGGAGGAAGTTGCCGCTACGTTCGAGCACACTGGCCCAGGCTCCATCAAGCACATCGGTATCCCAGCCTGGAAGACCAGCAACGACCGCTCTATCATTAGGATTGAACGTAACCTCGCTAGCTCCGAGGAGAAGATTGGCATCGAGCACAGCGCTGAACCCAAAGCTTAGATCAAATCCCTCCTCGCTACTCTCATTTGTATTACGACTACGACGGGACGGTTGTTATATGAGTGTTATATGAGAGAAACTTGCACGACGGGGAATGAAAAATGGGGGTTGGAGAATATATAGTTGGATATTTTTAAGGGTGGTGTGTGTTATATCCTCTGGCAGAACATATTTTTTATGTTCCATTGCATAGGAGTTCGAGGGCTGGTACGATAAACAAAGCCCCTTCTTTTTCCTGCCTTGTTATACCCCAAAACCAAATATAAACTGTCTAGGTACCTAGGTATAATATCAAATATCAAATATCATGTGTCATATATCGAATACATGTATGTATCTAGAACAATGTCGAGGTCTTTTTCTCCCGCCACATTATTAGAAACCTGATTTGAATCCATACCTACATAGTTATGTACCTACCTTATGTAGTATACATATTTAATTCAGAGGTGTAACAAATCAAAGTTATGCTGCCGGTCTCCAATTACTATAGTAGATGCCTAGGCCCTAGAACCGTAGGATGCATTGGTTTGGAACACTTAGCTATTAGGTAAAACAAGAAAAGACACAAAAAGACTCTGGAACCAATAGAAATGCCTTGGTGCCACATTGTCAAACATAGAGCCTGTATAAGCTGGATATGTATGTAATGTATAGGATGATAGTACTACTAGGTACAATATGCACATACATGTACATACTGTATGTAGGATGTCGCGCGGTTAAAGTATCCAGGTACCTACATAATACGTATTCGGGCCTTGGTATAAGAATACTATGTAACTACCTACATATGTAGTACAATAAGTCTGCTTAGACGCGGCGGGGGTTGACAAATGATGGAGAAAAAGTATAGTGGAGATCCAAGGCTGGTGTCCATTCATTGGAGAATAACTTTATTCTATGTATTTAAACAGAGGTTGGTATCAACAAGGGGGGTAGGGGGGGCACTATCAATAACTATCGTAAGTCAGCAACAAGCGTCAAGAGAATCAGCCTTGCCCAATCTCCCCATCCCGGAATAATACGATTTATCTTTCAAAACATCATTGGCGTCTTTCATCATACTTGTAAATGACTTTTTAATTCTTAACTCGTTGCGATTTTACTGATCAATATAGTCACTTTTTAAACCCTCTGTTTGTTTTTTGCCCCCAATTGAGATTTCCGATGGATCAGCCGGCGGCGAAGAAGAGAAGGCTGGCTCCCAAGATTGAGGCTCAAGCCAGTCCTCCACACCCGCCGCCATTCCCCCATGAGCCCGTAGGTATATTCAATTGATGTGAGCATTGAGTCACCAACTCACATCAATAGGCTCAGCCCACACAGCATTACCAAGTTCAAGATGTGCTTCCCCCGCCTCCGCCGCCCCCAGAGAGGCATGAGTTCGAGACCTTTGCCAGACATCTACAGGATGCTGCCATGTTGATATACCGACAAACCCAAAAGTCGCCCTATACCAAGACCTCCGTTCTTATTATACGTTGGGAAGAAGATGACGCCATTGAACATGACCTCGTCGCTCTCGACCATGTCCTCCGCGAACGATATAATTACCGCACCGAACGCTTCAGCATACCGACTGTTCCCAACGCCAGCGTTAAGCTTGGAGTTCAAATGGCTTCATTTCTCGAGCGCGCTTCACCAGACCACCTTCTCATAATATACTATGCCGGGCATGGATATGTCGGTGCGAATAATCAACTATATTGGGCAAGGTAAGCTGTATTTTTTGCGGATGTAGGCGGATCACTCTGACACATCATCACCAGCAACACCAGGGAAGACGCCGCGCGATTAAAATGGAGTGGGATTCGCTGTCTTTTCGAAGAAGCACAATCAGATATGCTTCTATTACTTGATACTTGTATTACCAAGGAGCTGCCTATTCTTCACAGCAAGAACGTCAAGCAAGTTATTGCTGCTAACTCCCCTGAATATAATACCCGAGACCACGGCTTACGATCGTTCACATCTCATGTCATAGAGGCACTAGCCAAATTAAGTAGCGGAAGGGTTTTCACAGCGGACAGTTTATATCACGAAATCGCCATTCAGAGACATCACGAGTTGATACAGGCATCAGGTTTGACCAATGGGGCTAGCAAGAACGTACCCTTCACCGAGAAGTTACCGGTAATATACACCCTAAGTCCCGGAAAGGGCGAAGGTCTCTGTCTATTTCCCCTAGCCCCGACTACCGAGGCAGGCTTACCGTCTCCGCAAATAGGTGCCGATGGGGATGCCCAAGTATTAAGGGCATCTCAGGAAGATCCTATCATCCACCCAGGGGAGGTCGCGGAGTTAACTTTTGACGAACCACGAGTCCTGGTTTGCACGACTTTTGTTGGCGAAGCCAGTCCAGATCTATCATCATTTAATCATTGGATCCATAATGCGCCGGCCATTGCGTCAAAAGTTGCTGTGGAAGGCATGTTCATTGGGCCGCCTACTATGCTTCTCATATCAATGCCCCTCCCCGTCTGGAACGTGGTGCAGCATGACAAGGTTTGCTGCTTTTTAGGATACGTGAATTCTCATAATATGACACATCTATACAACCGCTTAGTTAGGACCGTTTCCGGAAACAAGGCTTCGGCAAAGGATGTGGAAGATGGCCGGATGTTACTTGAGGCACGAGAAATAGCAGTAAGTAGTACGCCGATCACCCGACGACGTGAGCTCCCCACCCACGCCCAATTACGTCCCGAGACACCAGTCCGTACGGAGGGCGTGGGGAGACTAGACCCAATGCATTTACCACAATCTTCCAATGCTTCTACTTTACCATATGCCAATTCGACACCGGGTGTTGTGGTGTCCGCCAAGCATGAAGTGGAGGATTCCGCTGAGATGCAGGAAGCCGCCGAGCAGCTCAAGGCCCTAAGCCATGTTCGACCCGTAAGCAGCGGAAACGTTTCTGGTGCGCATCCACAGTCAACACCTGTGGATGGCGTGGCAGCTGCCAGACATGACGGGAGTACTCCTCACGGGGCAAATGAATCTGGGGCAGAATATAGTCTCGAAATTGTTACACCATCGTCACGCCCCAAGCCACGACGCTCACTTCATAAGCAAACCCCGAAGCAGGAAACTCGCTGTAACCTTTGCAGTCATGCCCCCTTTAAAGATTCTTCATCATTACGCAAACATATCGCCGCCGCCCATACCCGTCCGTTCCCTTGTGCCTTTGCATTTGCTGGGTGCACGAGTACCTTTGGATCCAAAAACGAGTGGAAAAGGCATATTGCCTCTCAACATTTGTGTCTCCAGTATTATCGATGTACAACTTGCCGTCGGTCAAAGGGGAGCGAATTCAACCGCAAGGATCTCTTCACTCAGCATCTTCGGCGTATGCATGCGCCCTTTGCAATCAAGAAGGCTCTTGCCAAAGGTGATAGTAAGTTACAGGTCGATTGGGAAAATCACGTGAGGGAAATGCAACAGTCTTGCCTGGTGACGAGGAGGCAACCTCCACAGAGGTCATCTTGCCCTAAGCCAGACTGTGCGACCATCTTCGAAGGACCTACCTCGTGGGATGAATGGACAGAGCATGTCGGTAGACATATGGAGAAGGGAGAAGCGGGGCGTCTTGGGGTTGATCGTCTACTTGCAAAATGGGCACTAGAGGAAGGCATCATCGAACGCAGAGAGGATGGCGAATATCGACTCTGCAACGGAGTCGGTGGTGATCCTGAGCGGGAGTCTGCGGGCAACAATACCGAATACCATTCGGATGGAAATAAGCGAGAGCAAGAACAAGAACAAGAACGCGAGCTGGAACTAGAACGGGAGCGTGAACGGGAGCAAGAGCGGGAGCAAGAGCGGGAACGGGAGCGGGAGCGGGAACGGGAGCGGGAACGGGAGCAGGAACAAGAACGGGAGCAAAAACGCGAAAGAGAACGAGAGTTGGCACGGGAACAACAGCGCGAGAGAGATAGGGAGAAGGAAAGGGAGAAAGAAATGGTCCGAGACCGAGATGAAGACTGCGACCGTGACCGCGACCAGGAAGACCGCACTATAGTGGCAGCAAGTACGATGGTGGATAAAATGGACGTGGACGAATGACACGAAACTGTCGATCCATACGAAAGACACCGTTTATAGCAGAGTGCCCAAAAGCATGGAGAAAGGGAGTTATAATACAACCTCTGAAAGAGAGTAAGGGTTGAGTGAAAATGGCGTGGCCTCGCATGGCATAACGGGAATTATCTTACGAATTTCCTTTTATCATGCATCTCACGTATCCCTCATACTAAATTAGATGGCCTGGTATGGGAATTTTGGGTTTTATTTATCCAGCGCCAGCAATTCATATGAACGACTATACGACTATATACCAGCTTTTTTTTTTTCTGTCGAAGCATACTCTCACGGATATCCATCATGTCGGCTATTCGAGATAACTAATTCGAAGCTGAAAGGTGGAAAGGGAGGGGAGGGACGACAGAGAAAGATAAAAGTGGAAAGGGGGTGGGTAGTATAAGTCGGTATATTTTTTTTTATGTAGATCGAACAAGAGAGCTGTGCGAACAAGCCGAAAGCCAAGAACCGAGACTTACTACTTGACATGTATAGCTTTAGCTTTACCTAAGGACAGAGCTTCGATGATGATGATGGAGAGACGTGGTATTGCTTGAACTTGAGGGTAAAGAATTGCCACCAGAATGCTGCGTAAACGGCGCTATGCTATGCTATGGATGATGAGCGTAATGGTATGTAATAGCTCCGGGGTGACCGATGTTAGAACGTTGTTCTAGTCTTGTCGTTCTAGCTTCTAGTGCAAAGCCTCACCCGGTGACCAAGTCGACGATGCGAGTTAGCTAGCTAGCTGCCAAGGTACCTACCTAAAAGATAGCTTGTTCTTGTCACGTTGTCAACCCATAGCTAGCGCAAGCTTAAGGAAAACCGGTATAAGTAACCCGGGAGGTTGGTTCAAATGAAGGCTAGGCTACCTACCTTCTACTACTGTATGCAGTAGGCTGTAGCTACATGTAAATAGTGCATAGCGGAGACGAGCAAACTTCAAAGTTGGTCATAAGTTCTTGAACAGCAATAATTCCCCCACATCGTTTTCTTTTAGAAAAGACCAGAACAAAACAAAACAAACAAAGTAAGTTCAAGTCAACTTGTAATAAAGAAAGAAAGCCTGCGGGGAAACACTGAAAGCTCTATGGACTAGGCACTAACGCGGTTTAGCGAGCCTCGATGCGGAGATTAGAAAGCTTGGAGTTCCAGAGGGGTTGTGGAGAAGCTCACCTGTTAGGTACCTCCCAAGCTCTCTAATTCGTCCAGCGCCAGAGTTCCGGGGAAGCTCCGCAAAAGCGCCGCTGGCGGAGTAGAAGAGAAAGAAGGCTAAATGTCTTGGGAGTTGCCTTTAAACTCCGCCCTCGTTGTTTTTACTGTGTGCTATAACTAGTACCTACCAAATGAATGGGATGATGATGGTCACGATGATGGCCTTCCCCAGCTCCCCAGCTCCCCGGATACGGAATATGCCTTACCTGCAGTATGTATGTAGGTGTTTCTTTCAAAGAACATTATAGTTATGACTAACGTTCGTAAATTAGCTGGTTCACCAGAGTCTTGGAAGACAAGGCGTAGACCGAAGCAGCGCCGAGGTTATGATTAAATGTTCACGATTCCAGAAGTCGGTGATGACTTAGTGACCTTACTACCGCTCGCTTACCTAGGGTAGAAGGCGATAGCTCTCATTCAGAACCAAAATGCCTACCTAGCACCTAGGCAGGATCCTGGATAGCATTACCCCGGGCGGAGTTGCTCTGAGAATTGGGGTAAGGAAAATGCGGGGATTGGGGTCTCCCCTGGTAGTTCTCGTCACAATCCTGACGAGTATATAAGTCCCAAGGAGGGTTACTTCTCCATGGAGTCGTGAACCATTGACCCAGGTTACGCAGTGACTCTTGTGTGTGCCCCAATCGTGTCACACAATAGGTTCAACAATGGCTAGCCTCCTGCTCTTCATGGCGGCCGCAGCTTCGGCTACCGCCGTGGCAAGAAGGGACTTTCCAAGTGACGACCCTCTTACCTCCTGCCCTGGTTACACAGCTTCGAATGTTGTCAAGACTGCATCGGGACTATCCGCGGATCTAACGTTGGCTGGCGAGGCTTGTGATGTTTACGGCACCGACTTGACGGACTTGACGTTGGAGGTTTCATACGATACCGGTACGATAGACGCGTCGTTGAACAAGGCGATGTTTATTTATAGCCTGCGTACCTAGATAGGTACACATTGCTAATACATCCCTCTAGACACAAGACTACACGTCAAGATCCAAGATGCTGCCAACAGCGTTTACCAGATTCCCGAGTCCGTTTTCCCTCGACCGGACGCCTCAGACTCCGAGGAAGCTCAATCCGCCCTAAAATTCGACTACACCGAAACCCCATTCTCTTTTACAGTGTCTCGCTCGGACTCTGGAGAGGTTCTTTTCGACACCTCAGCTGCCAGCTTGGTGTTCGAGTCCCAGTATCTGCGTCTGAGGACGAAGCTACCGGAGAACCCGAGTCTGTATGGACTCGGCGAGCACTCGGACCCATTCATGCTGAATACCACTGACTACATCCGTACTTTCTGGTCGCAGGACTCGTACGGTGTCCCTGAAGGTGCTAACCTGTACGGCAACCATCCCGTATACTACGAACACCGCGAATCAGGCACTCACGGCGTGTTCTTTTTAAACTCGAACGGCATGGATGTCATGATTAACAACACGGCTGAGTCTGGGCAGTATCTCGAGTATAACACCCTCGGCGGAGTCTTGGACTTTTACTTTGTCGCTGGCCCAAGCCCTGTCGAAGTAGCACAGCAATACGCCGAAATCGTTGGCTTACCTGCGATGATGCCCTACTGGGGTTTCGGCTTCCACAACTGCCGGTACGGATACCAAGACGTATACGATGTGGCCGAAGTCGTCTACAACTACAGCCAAGCCAGCATTCCCCTCGAGACAATGTGGACCGATATCGATTACATGTATCGAAGAAGGGTAAGCAGCAATTGTGGAGGTATGACGATATGTTGACTGACAATTACTAGGTGTTCTCTCTAGACCCAGAAAGGTACCCCTTACACATGATGCGTGAACTGGTCGACTATCTCCACGCACGCGATCAACACTACATCGTTATGGTGGATCCGGCCATCGCGTACCAAGACTTCCCCTTAGGACTTCAGCGCGGAATCGACGACAACATCTTCCTTCTTCGCGAGAACGGCTCCGTGTGGAAAGGCGTCGTGTGGCCTGGTGTGACCGCATTCCCCGACTGGTTTTCAGCTAACATCAGCAAATACTGGAACAACGAGTTCTCCCTGTTCTTCAACCCGGAGGATGGCGTCGATATTGACGCGCTCTGGATCGATATGAACGAGCCTTCCAACTTCCCCTGCAACTTCCCCTGCGATAACCCCGATGCTGCCGCCGTCGGCTACCCGCCAGAGCCGCCACCCGTCAGGTCTCCGCCACGAGCCCTCCCTGGCTTTTCCTGCGACTTCCAACCCGAGGGAACTGATTGCGCCAAGACCGAAGTGAGATCTTTGGACATCCGAGATACTACGCCCAAGGCCTACTTCGACAACCTCGTCCTGTCATCTCGCCAAACAGAGGGCGAGCAAAAGGGTCTCCCTGGACGAGATCTTCTCTACCCCAAATACGCCATCCACAACAAGGCTGCGTCTTCGGACAGCGCGAATGCGGCAGAAGGTGGCATCTCGAATAAGACAGTAAACACCGATGTTATCCACCAAAACGGCCTGACCATGTACGACACGCACAACCTGTACGGCAGCATGATGTCCATCGCCTCCCACGAAGCCATGCTCCAACGACGCCCCACTCTCCGCCCCATGATCATCACGCGCTCCACGTTCGCCGGCGCCGGAACCAAGGTCGGGCACTGGCTCGGCGACAACCTGTCGACGTGGGACCAGTACCGCCTCGCGATCCGCAGCATGATGGCCTTCGCGTCGGTGTACCAGGTTCCCATGGTGGGCGCCGACACGTGCGGCTTCGGCGACAACACGACGGAGCAGCTGTGCTCGCGCTGGGCCGCCCTCGGCGCCTTCGCCCCCTTCTACCGCGTCCACAACAGCCTCGACTCCATCTCCCAGGAGCTGTACCGCTGGGAGGCCACCGCGCAGTCCGCCCGCAAGTTCATCGCCATCCGCTATCGTCTGCTCGACTACATGTACACCGCCATGCACGTCCAGACGCGCGACGGCACGCCGATGGTCAGCCCGCTGTTCTACCAGTATCCCCAGGACAAGAACACGTTCGGTTTGGACCTGCAGTATCTTCTCGGACCCGGGCTGCTGGTCGCGCCGGTGACGGAGGAGAACAGCACGAGCGTGGACGTCTACCTGCCCGACGACATCTTCTACGACTTCCACACCCACCAACGCGTCGTCGGCGCCGGAAAAGCCATCACGCTCGAGAACCAGACGTGGACAGACCTCCCCCTCTTCCTCCGCGGCGGCGTCGTCGTGCCTTTACGCGCGGAGGCAGCGATGACGACGACGGAGCTGCGCACGAAGCCGTTCGAGATCATCGTGGCGGTGGGCAAGGACGGGAAGGCGAGCGGGAGGCTGTATGTCGACGACGGCGTGAGTGTTGAGCAGCGGAAGGGCACGAGCGATATTCTCTTCGAGTATGCGGATGGGGTGTTGAGGGTGGGTGGGACGTTTGGGTATAAGGGGGAGGAGGTTAGGGTTTCGAAGGTCACGTTTTTGGGGGTGGGTAGAGGGAATGGGAAGGGGGGGAATGGAGGAGGTAAAAAGGGAGGAAATGGGGGTAAAAAGGGAGGCAAGAGGGATGCGGAGGGTGAGGATGTGGTCAAGGTGGATGTCGATCGTGCGCTTACGGGGGCGTTTACTGTTGAGGTGAACGCGGCTTAGATCGTGGACGAGTTGAAGAACGAGGAAAAGAAAAGTAAAAAGGAAGAAAGTAAAAAAGAAACAGGGGGGTGATAGAAATTCAGAAGAAAAGACTACATATGAACTTACGAGGATGATATCTTATACCTATGTAATGTATGTATATACCTACTTACCTACGTGCCTACACCACAGTACATAGCAAGGCATTTGTGTTGCAAATATTACTATTTACTCCTATATCTGTTGCTGTTGGTGGTGGTATGCGCGCGAGGGATGTTCCGATTAACATGGTACAAGCGTGCTTGCTTGTCTGGGATTCTGGGACTCTGGGTAGGCAGGTACCGTCCTAAGACCGAAACACCCACATTCGCAGTAACTCATGTAAATCGCTGGATGACTCCTCACGAAGTGTCGAGGATTGGGTGCATACTAGGTAGGCATATTGCATATTGCACCTACCCGTGGAGTTCGTCGGTCATTCCATACCCGGCTGCTTTCTTTCTGTTTTACTCCCCATACTCCATACTCAACTCATTAACTATCACCCAGTGACACACCCACACATACGCACATACTTACAATACCACACGTACGTAAAATTCCTCTTCGGTCACTGAAAATGGAATATGAGTAGCTATCTACCTGCTTGCCGGTAAAAGATATCATGGGGAACTGGGGGGGAGAACAGGGGTCGGGGGAAAAAAAAGGGGGGGCGGAAAATGGAAATGAAAGAAAAATGGAATGAAAGACCCAAGCCGTCGGGTTCGCCACGAGGGCAGCAAACAAAATCCAGCTTATCCCCCACGGGGTTTTCCGGAGTCTTCGTTTGGTCCTACATAGCTTTTCTTTCCTCTTTTTACTGTGACTGGGGCTTGTTGGTTTCTGTGCTGGTTCTAGGTAGGGGAAATACTCCGCCACCCCAGAGCCTCCCGGCTGAGACACCGGCGCTCGTGGTACAAGTCGTTATGATTACCTAAATCCGACAACTGAGGGTGTGTTCGACACCGAAGTGGAGTCATGTGATGCGGAGGAGAGAGAAAGAAGGGATGCTACCACCTCCCCCTATTGAATATAACCCGTTCCTAGATACCGAACCTAAGGCATCAAGTAGAATACTAGGTAGGTATGTAGGCACATAGCCAAACACGGGAAATGAAACGAAAGGGTGGTACACTCACTTATGACTGACCAACGAGTATCACCTTCAATGTTGTGAGGGTTTCCCCTTTACCGATCCATAAATTCCCCAGGTCCATTCACGTTTTCCCATGAAGAAGGAGGCATAGTACGATTACACGAACTACGCACATAATCTTAATAAGTTTCTACCCTAGGCGGATTACCTACCTCGGTACCTGTAAGGTAAATGCTGGCTGCTGGTTGGCTGGTGCAGCGTTACCCATGTGGACTACCTACATGTAGTTGACAAACATTTTTTTTTTGGGACGGTCAACTGTTGCCGCTCTGCAACCATCCATCCCATCTTTAAGGCAATACTTCAAGGTATATTCTTCTCATACTACCGCCCTTCTTATTCATTTCTTCTCATTTCTTTTTTTTTCTTTTTTTTCTTTACCTCATTTTTCTTATACCCAGTGTGATATCACAGGCTAACCAGCCTACAGTGTTTCTATCATCAGCAAATACATAGAACTGGCAAACATGGATGGCGACAATACAACAAGTTCCCCGTCGATTGACCCTATCGATATCTCGAACGGTACCTGCTTTTACGCAATTGATTCGCCTGCGAAAAAGGACTATATCCCCTGTGGAAACATTGCGGTCGGAGTCGATTGGGCGTGCTGTGTCGCCGGGGACATTTGTCTCGGCAGCAGGGCGTGTTACCATTACCATTGTAAGTCTTTGAGCAGCAACACGTTACTCGTTAGCAATAATCTTACTCGAGACTCCCTCACGAATAGTTGACATCACCTACGTGGCCGGCTGCACTGACCCCAAGTTCGGCTCCCCCAACTGCCCGCACAAAGGCCAGTTCAGCAGCCAGCAATGGGCGGGACTACAGCGCTGTGACCCAGACGACAGTATATGGGCGGGCTGCCCAGACACAGGAGATATTCCTGGCCTGAAGCCGCCTGCCAAGTGCACATGCGACCCGGCCTCAGAGCTCTTCACCGACAAGCCCAAGCTCGACAACATTGCCCTGCTCCCTACCAGCAGCGGCGGATCCATCTCGTGGTACCCCGGGATGAGACCAACGATAGATAGGGCGGGCAATTCAACGCCAGCGCCGACGTCTACAGGACCCTCCACCGCTTCAGGCTCTACCGTGCCATCAACCTCGTCATACCCCGGCAGCCCCATCGTCGCCTCCCCCGACACCCCCAGCCCTTCCACCGTCCCCACCACCACCGGCTCGACCCTCTCCGTCGCCACACAGGCGGGCATCGGCCTCGGCGTAGGTTTCGGCGCGGTGCTGCTAGGCTGTCTCGTGTACCTAGGCCTGCTCCTCCGCAAGCGCAAGAACATGCGACAACAAGGCAACCCCTTCCTAATCGGCGACGCATCATCGCCCCCATATCCTCACCAAACCCCTTCTTCCGAATTTCAGAGAGACGTCTTGCAAAACGGGCTGCTGATAGCAGCAACGCCGCCCCCGCCGCAGCCGGGCGGCCTCGGGCACGCGTATGGATTCAAGCCCGAGTTACCGGCCGACGAGCCTAAGCGCGCGAGCCCGGCGGCCACTGCACCATCGCAGCTACACCCGCCCCAGCCCCCATCTGTACCTGCAACTGCACCCGCGCCGCTCTCTGGACCGATGGCCCAAAGCCACGCGCCGCGACACGGCAGCACGCAGCTACCGCAGTCGCCGTCGTCGCAGCAGCGCCAGTTCAAGGCGTATAACCCGCTGCTGCACGGGGACTACGCTGGGCAGCGGGCGAGTAGCAGTAATAGCATTGGCAATAATGACACCAGCAACGTCACTAACAACCACAACAACAACAACAAGAAGAAGAGCGAGAACGAGAACGAAAACGAGAATAGCGAGAACAACGAGGCCAAGGAAAAAGATGAAAAGGGGGTAGGAGGGCTGCAGGTAGCGGGGACGAATGCTGGAAGCCCGCTTATATCCCCGCTGAGCCCGCGGTCACCGATGGGGTTCCCCTCCTCTTCGCTGCGGGCGAGTGATGGTGGTGGCGGAGGCGGAGGCGGGATCGAGAGGGCGGAGCCGTCGCCGGTGTCGCCTGCTGCTCCGCCTTCCTTGTAGCGTGAGGGGCGTGGAGGAAGGGGATACCGGGGCTAGAGTTCTGGAGTGCTGAGGCTGTGGAGGGTGAAGGAGATAAGATGGAAGGGATTAGGGATTAGGGGGAGGGGGAGGAAAAGGGGGGGGGGCATTACTCGGAGTTCAGGGCCTTCGCTTCGTCCATGGTTCGTTTGCCTTTGCGTGTGTTGTGTGTTACCTACGCGTTGTGCTTTGATTACCCCCTTTGGCAACAAATGGCCAGAATTTCGTGAGGTTTTATCTATTGATTTAAACCTACTTGCTTGATTTGTCACCCAGTGATGGTAGAGAGGCTCGTCGCGTGTCGTGATTAATCAAGGAGAAAGAAAAGAGGAAGAAGATGGGTGGATTGATGCAGGATTGATGGCGCTGACTTGACTAGTACGGATAGCTGCATGATTCGCTACTACAGTAGCTCAATATCGATCTGGCTTTGATGAATTAAGCTGTATTGAAGCATAGGCTCTAGTTATATTTTAAGTGCATATTCGTATCTCCTTATTTCCGCAACGTCGTTCTATTTCATCGTGACATATGTGAGCAAGGACTATGAAAAAAATCATTATTTTCACCATACTAACACTATAATCACCAAAATCATCAATTTGAGATAAATACTCAGTCAATAGCCGAGTCTAGCTATCACGTATCCATTCACGAAGACAGGACCATGACGGCGGGATCATGATGTAGCTGGCTGGTATAAATAAGCCTACTACCTATGTATGGTCCTTTAAAGTCGGTATCGAATCCATCCAAGAGTCCTAGAGGCACGCGCCCCTAACATACGGCTCATCGCTCATCGACTCAGCCAAGGATTCCTCTGTGGCGAACTTGAGCGCACCGGTGCCGTGGGTGCTGGAATGTATAGATAACCTCCAGGTACCGACATCACCACCGTATCGGCTCCCCAGCCCAGCCAGTGGGTGTTGCTTCCAGGAGCAGCACCGACGGCCACAGCCATGCCAAGGGCCCATGACAAGACGAGGCTAGGAATAATAGGTAGAACACCTAAAGCGGATAATAGAAGAGACGATGATACAATGTACCTAAAACATAAGCAATGCTTCTAGAAGCCGCCAATACGAGATAGGTAGTGGAGTAACATACGCGCCTACATAGATATATAGGTGGGTATGAGGCAGGAAATGCTGTCGATCACCACGTCACTATACCGTATTTATGTATGTCCTGCAGGCACGGGCTCGACCGAGTACGCCATCTCGGTTTCTTAGTATAGCTATGTATATATTCTTGAGTACATGACTGAAGTCCGTACCTGAACGCAGAAAGCGCGCCGAGATAGCCGATCGCGAACGTGATCGACGAGCGATTACATGAACTCACGGAGCCCGACCGGTCAGAGGTCTTTCTAGGTTATATGTGTAGATAAAAATAACAGCACCTCAGCTACCTAGGTCCTAGGCTAGGTATGTGCATAGAGCCCTTTGGTCGATGGGTTTGCTTTCTTGTGGTGGCACGGCTTGGCCGACCGGTGTGCAACTGGTGACTCAGCCATCGTAAGCCACCTTGTCTCAGTTCGACACACCAGAGCGAGTCGTTATATAGGTACATACCTACTTACCTGGTAAGCAGCCACTAGGTGTGGAAGATTTACTAGGTTGGGTATGTGGATAGGTGTTCCATAGAGAATATGTCCGTGTTGGTTAGGTTAGGGTAGGGTCGGGTAGGTATTAATATTGTTAGTGACGACATCCCACAGAGGACTTTCGATAAAGTCTGATATTCTGCGGAAAGCGTCTAAGGTATTACCGCTTAAGGGTGGGGGATAACAAGCCCTTACAATGGTATCTCTCACAGACCAGACTCAATAAAGATTATTCAACATATGAGTAAGCTCGAACGTCACGATGTTACGGGTAATAAGTTGCTTCGCTAATAAAATTGGTAATATACCTAAAGTTACGTAGGAGTGGTATCACCATCTAGATAAAAAGTCTGCAAATGGGTGCTCCCAGGTTGTTGTTGATGAGCTATTACTTCCGACGTCGCGTGCCGCGGCTTGGAGCTCAGTGGAGCTTGGAGTGAATCAAAATGTGCATGTCGAGGTGACGGGGTAGAGCTAGACCCCTTCCTCAAATGCGTATGATAATCCTCGTCGATCGACTCCAGTTCGCTGTACATGGAAATTTGATTCCCCCGGCCAGACTCAGGGTGATAGCTCTTGCGTACCAGAGATCTTAACCCTATCCGCGCAGCTTGGGGAGGTCTAGGAAGTTGCCCATCCGAGAAACCCTTGGCTAGATCATTCGGGACATTGTTTTTGTTATCTTTACGCCGGAGAGTGAACAGTTTGGCGAGTGAATTCCACGAGACGGCTTTCCGAATTAATATAGCTACTATCGGCATGCAGCTGCAGCATACGCCGATATTCAATTCAGCCGCTCTGTAGGATATGCAGTTAGGCCAATTGCTCTAGGATAGTGAGGGATTGATATCGGGACTCCGACATAGTACTCACGTAAAAGCATATGTTAGAGGCGAAAGCCACGTTATGTCGGAAGACACATACAGTTGGAACCGATACACTGTAGAAAGTATCGAGAAGACACAGGCTCTTCGAAAAACAGGGTCAGCATCTTGACAGCATTGGCTGAAGGGGGAAACATACAGCAGCCCAGTGAGGAAGACACAGCACATTTCAGTCTTTATCTTGGGCGGAAGTCGAACGTTGAGAGTCAGGCCAACCGGGATGGCAAGCAAGTAAAAGTCAGATATGATCCCGAAGAGACCCATCGTAGTCCAAAGCGGCCTTTGCGGTATCGAGCAACCCTTGTCGGGGTTGTAGGGTTCGGAAGCTGATGGCTGACCCTTCACATCGTAAATATGCGGGCCGCAGCTGACCGCGTCTCCAATGAGGCATGAGACATAGAAAAGGACGATGACGGCGAGCGAGGACCATATAACGGTTTTGGCGCCTTTTGCTGGCCGAAAAATACGAAGGTATAGTGCCAGAAGCGACAATTTCAGAAACATGGCGGCAACCGTGTAGAGACAGATCGATAAGACAACATCCTATATTCAGGTCAGTCGCGGCCGTTTGCTTAACGATGACTGAAATCTCTGGAGTGGATGTATGGACTTACTTTCAGTATGGTTGGTATATTAAATGCAGATAATGGCACATTCCATTGATGCGGTCCCAGTGGGCTCTTGAGAGCTAGTACAGTGAGCTTCTATCCATCTCGTTGGAAAGATCCTCTATCACTACGGACCCATAAATGCGATCGCGCAATAAGCAGTAACAGCGACCTGTAGATAATTGGTCAACAACCTCCCCCGATGCCTAATTGGGTTGCTGTTCTACTCACAGCTGCGATGAGGCAAAGAACTGATAATCGCCGTATTAACATGCTTCCTCCAGTATCGGAAAACGGTTAGAACTTACCATCATTTACACCGAAATTACACGTTACTCGTAGACGAGTATAGATGCGCAGAGCTACAAAGCAGTGCATCAAGGCCAATGTCACACTCGTGACAATTATCGAAGCAGGATTTGTCGACGATGGGTTGACAAAATTAGGTGTCACTCCATCTGGCGGCGTCAAGCTTGGTGCCTGAGAAAGATCAGGAGCAGACATTTTGACGCCTGGCAGAGATTCTCAATGTTTGCGCTGATATTTCTATGGTGACGAGTAGCCGAAGATATGCTTGAGAAACAGAAGGATATCATGGTGGAGAGCAACTACGGGTAATATATGACAACATATGGGTGGTGTAACGGCATCCCGCGCCGTTCAGCTGGATATTCAGGACATCTAAGAATAGAGACGACTCATACGCCCAGCTGACAGCCTCCGGCTCCCCGGAATGTTCTGCGGAGGCGGAACAGTCATTAGATTATTGACGATTATGTGATCACCGTCGTTACACGGGCAGTACGAGGCAGCCTCGTCTTGTGTAGGTGCATCTACCGTATCTCGATCCATACTAGATATTTCTTGGCACCGCCGCAAATGTGCAGTCATACGTGACTTTTGAGCTCGGTATGTGTGGATACTATGCAAATATGTACGGCATAGTAGTGTTCGGGACAAGATGGTGGTGGCGTCTCTGTTTGAGATAAAGTGTTCTAACCTAATGATTAGTCATCATTAAATGTGTATATCACGTGCAAGAGGGTAACTATTTACCTTCCAGACGACACAACCTTATTTCATAATGTCCTCCACATGGCCGGGTCGGATGCTTTTAGCTTGTAGGACATAGTTAACTAAAGCTTTACGCCTTCAAGGTTAATTTGATGTCAGCCCAGGACCCAGGTACTCGACAAGAGCAGGTCATCCAATACCTATCCAATACCTACAGTCATCATCTTATGTCAGCAGGTATCTATGCATTGTTTAGGTACTTCTACATAATGAGATCAACAGACAACTTTTTACCTAGAATCAAACTTAACCGTCCCATGTGGCGTTATGTTACCTTTTCTTTATCTCAAAGTTCGATCCAATGATCTCATTTTAGGGGCCACTCGATCTCGATAGCATTAGGAATGCTACCAAGATATATACAAAGTATGTAAAAAGTATGCACAAAAGTGGATGCCAATCGGGACAGCCCGTACTGGGTATAAGCCCTGCTGGAGCCCTGAAGATATTTGACGCAGTCTAGATCCCTAAAGGACTCGAGCCCTGGAATCTCTAAAAGCCTCTCCTAAAAGTTCTAAAAAAGAACATTGAAGTAGCCAACTGAGATTCAGAGCTTCGCATCATTGCTTCATCCTATCGTGTCATATATACTCGAACAACTCGAGCAATACACTAAGACACACTCGCCACCGATGGATATAATGCTTTTGAATTATATCCGTCTTTGTTGATTCTTTACCTGCCTAACACGGGCACAGCATGATGGCTCCAATATGTATACACTGCAAAATGGATCGGTAACGGCCTGGTACGCCGAAGTATGACCCGCTTAGTTCACAACGTATTTGTGTGCCGCGATTGCGTGATCGGTGCTAAGCTCCTTTCACCAGCAGTCCGATTGAATGATAGGTTACATTCATATTATACGGTCTCCATTGACCGGTTACTGGAGTGTTGCCCCTGTTGGTGAGGTGCTATATACGATGGTACGACGATACGACGAGGGTATATTTGAATTAGAAGCACGCGCATTCGGGATAGATTAAAATTTTCCTTCCTAACTTACGTATGAACATTCAATAGGTGAACCTTTTACGCCGAGCTTGAAAACTAATTTAGGCGGCAACTTTGAAGTATGGATGCATCTGGAGCTGTATAAGAGTGCTTTTGCGTCTCCGAACATTAAATATCACACCTTTCCTGAGCTACCTAACTTCCAAGATTACTTCCAAGTTTCTGTACCTGAGTACATACTTAGTGCCTAGGCAAGCCGTCTTGGGAGCTTCAAGATTCCACACTAGGTGCGCCGCCGAGATGTCTTCCCGCGCCTCGGATAATGCCGAGACTCAAGCCAAGTTCGCTAGCGCATTACCTGCAGCTGAGCCTCCAATCAACCGACAACATCTGAACGACGTGTATGGGCAGAGCAAAGAAAATAATGAAAAGCTTGCTGTCGAAGAAGCTGTTGAAGCTGATGCCGATCTCGAAAATGAGGATGACCCCGAGATTAGCCAAATCCCTCCCGAGGTCAGGAGAGTCGTCAGTCTCCACGACGACACAACTCTCCCTACCCTCACCTTTCGATACTTTGTCCTCTCCATCATCTTCGTTGTTCCAGGCGCCTTTCTTTCGCAGATGAACAGTTTCCGAACCACGTACGCTCCGTATTCTGTCTTCTTCGTCCAGATCGCATCCAACTATGTCGGCCTCTGGCTTGCCCGCATTCTTCCCAGCCGCCAAGTCCGCATTCCCTTTACCAAGCGGACCTTCAGTCTCAATCCCGGTCCATGGTCCATGAAAGAGCATGTGTTGGTTACCATTACCGCAGCTTCTGGAGCTACCGGCAATCTTGCGACCACGCCCATCGCTCTCAGTGATCTCTATTTTAACCATAGAGTTCACCCGGCCGCCGCCATCTTCTTCATGTGGTCGATTGATGCCGTCGGATACGCATTCGCTGCCATCGCGCGCCAAGTCTTGCTCTACGAGCCCGCCTACCCCTGGTTCCAGGCCCTTTGCCAAACCGCGCTCTTCGAGACGCAAAACAGTCAGAACAAGAACCCCACCCCATCAGCACGTAAGCAGATGCGCGTCTTCTGGTGGGTGCTTCTGGCCGTCACCCTATGGCAATTCCTTCCCGAATACGCATTCCCGATGCTGAGTTCAATGGCCTTCCTCTGCTGGGTCGCCCCGCACAATCCTGTGGCCAACTTCGTCGGATCCGGTCTCGGCGGCATGGGATTTTTGAACCTAAGTTTCGACTGGGCCAACATCAGCAACTACCTCGCCGGTGTTCCGCTGTTTCTGAGCCCCTGGTGGTCGCAAGTCGTGCTCTTCTGCTCCTTCGTCATGTGCTGCTGGGTCTTGCTTCCCGCCGCGAAATACGGAAATCTGGGCGGCTACCCCCATTGCCTGATGACGAACCGGGCCTGCACGACTAACGGGACGCGATACCCTGTCGTGCAACTCGTCACGGCGCAGAATACGTTCAACCAGACGGCGTACGAAGAGAACGGGCCCCTGCATCTTGGCGTCCACTTTATCTGGACGATCTTCTTCGATTATGCGTCTTATATCTCGGCTTACTCGTGGATCGCCTTCTTCGGAGCCGGTCGGATCAAGGAGGCATACCAGAAGTTCCGGGCTCGTCAGAGTCATGCAGGGCAAGGAATAAACCATCAGTGGTATGTTTGAGATGCCCCAGCCGGTATTTTGGGGGTTTTTATGAATGCTAACATGGTTGCAGTACGTTATTATATCCTCAACTAGACCATGCAATTCAGTATCTTATTCATACGAGGAGCATACTCAAAATGACCTACGCATCTACCTCTTTGCACGGCATACTAATTTGGAGCAGATACTGACAGACTCAATGTCCTGATGCGATCATATAAAGAAGTCCCTCTATGGTGGTATCTGGCGTTGTTCGCTATGGCATTCGTATCCATCATGACGATTGTCGCACTCGACATCATGTTCATCCCCTGGTGGACCTTTTTAGTCGCGCTCGCGACTGGAGCCCTTATCGTCGTACCGCTCGGCTGGCTCTATGCCATCAGTAATTTCCAGTTGCCTATCGGGACGTTTAACGAGTTATTGTACGGCACAATGGTACAGAACTTGACCCACAATCGCAGCCCCATCGGAGCTAGTGTAAGCCTCTCAACCTCGATGATCGTTTTCTTCTTGCAAGCCAGATTACTTACATATCGATAGGTTTACGGCGCCATAGCTGGCGATGGTACGAGCCCTTGATCTCCATATCATCGTGAAAGCACGACTAACTCTAACTGAATTTAGCATGGTATCGAGCCCAATACATGTTACAGGACCAGAAGATTGGCCATTACTGCCATGTTCCGCAACGCGCTGTCTTCTTCTCCCAGGTTTTCGGGATCACCATGGGCGTGCCGATCAACTACGCCGCCATGCGATGGATTCTTGATACGAAGCGCGACTATCTGACGGGAGCTATTGAGGATCCAGCTCATATTTGGACTGGACAGTCGCTGTCATCCTCTTTATCTCTGGGCGTACAGTCAGTATACCCCTTTTTTCTATTGAATTTCACCTGTTTTAGCGACAAGGACCTTGGCTGACTTGAATGACTTAGATATGTTCTTATCGTAAGTCTATGGGTTTTCTGACTACCCCACTACCCTCCCTCCTTATTATCCAAGCTAGTGTACTAACACGACCCAAAGGGCCCAACCCGACTGTTCCAACAAGCAGAGATGCGACCCCTCCCCTACGCCTTCCTCGTCGGCGCTGCCTGCCCAGCGCTTATATACCTTCTCCACCGATTACTCCCTCGTGCCAAGTTCCACCTCTGGAACACCACCATCTTCTTCAGCGGCGCTTCCATCTTTTACGGAAACGTGTCGACGGGATACTTCTCGCGTTTCATAGGCGGGTTCGTGGTCATGTACTGGGCGTATCGGTACCGCTACAAGCTATGGGCGAAGTGTAAGTGTCTTACCCCTTCTAAGTACACTTTGGAATTTTTACCAGGGAAAAGATTTACTGACTCGCATTCATTCCAGACAACTTCATCCTCGCCGCCGCCTTCGACGCAGGCTTCAACCTCAACATGTTGCTCGTGTTCTTGATTTTCGGCAGCGCAAAGGTCATCGGTATGCCAAATTGGTGGGGTAATGATGCGGAGAGCGTGGAAAAGTGCTACGCGCTCTAAGGTGGCCAGCTAGCATCGTCGTATTGGGTAGTTTTGTATATAGATGCACCGTATACCCAGAGCATAGAAACAATTGTTGAGCCTGAAATATTATTAGTTATATAGAAACGTTGGAATAGTACATACATGCATGCATTCATATAAGAATCGATCTTGAGTCTCAGTGCGGGTCACGTGACTGTGATGGCCACGTGATACCCCTTAACTGCACCTGAACTGGTCCTACACCAAGGTGCTTGATAGTCAAAAAGTTTAGCAGTGAAAATGTTTCAACAGTTATCTAACTTTGAATATCAGGCTTCATATTGACTGTCGAAAGGAGAAAGGAGAAAGAGGGGTCGCCCACACTACTCACCAAATCATAGGTACCTACCTAAGTTGATGTAATGTGAGTAGGAGGTAGACGCCTAATACCTCCAGGGCTATGTAAGAAAACTTACCTAGGTACTGAGTCAGGCAGGTAGGTAGGCAAATAGGTAAGCACCTAAGCGCGCTAGAAACCTCCCTAAGTTATTAATATTTTCTTCCTCGAGTCCCCGAACTTCCAAGTATCGTTCGAAGATCCCAACGAAAAAAAAATTAAAAATTTAGGAATCACGGCAAGCCATGTATGGTTTCAAAAATTAAGTACCATATCTTTTCTGGGGAAAAGAGTTATGGATTTTTTTCATCGCAAAAAAAAAGCTATCAGCGGCTATTCTGAGGATCATGTGAAAAAAAACAGATCAGACTCAGAGCAACCTTCCGAAAGTTTTTGATGCGGGCAGCAACAAGTGCTGTAAATGTTTCTCGGAAGAGAAAAGGGTTTCCAAAGATTGGAATCATGTAATGTGCCAGAGGGGATTAAAAAAAATGACCCATGGCAAGTTTTTCCGGTCCGGTCCTGGGGTTGGTGGTCGAGAGTCGAAAGTAGAAGTGTTGAAAGTCGAGGTGTTGAGAGTGATTGGCGAGGTTGGTGCGGTTGTCGTAGATCCAGGGAAGTGCTTATCGCCATAAGCCCGGTCCAGCCCATATCAGAAAAAATTCCCCCCAGCGCCTTTAAGCCGGGCCGTCTCTTTCTGGGTCCAAGTCCAGGTATCGAGTCAGGATTGTCGTCGAGGGTGTCGTCGGTTCGGTTGGCGGGGTTGTCGTAAATCCAGGATCCAGGGGAGCGCTTATCGCCATAAGCCCGGTCCAGCCCGTATAATAAAAAAATTCCCCCCAGCGCCTTTAAGCCGGGCCGTCTCTTTCTAGGTCCAGGTCCAGGTATCGCGTCGTGGTTGCGTTGTCGCCGCAGTCGGAGGGTGTCGGAGGGATTGTCGTCGGTTCGGGTCCAGTTCGAAGTATCCGTCCCACCCTCCCCCCTTTCCCACCTCCTTTCCCATTCCCTCCACCACCCCAAGGTTGTCGTTGGGATTGTCGTTGGGATTGTCGTCGGTTCGGGTCCAGTTCGAGGTATCCGTCCCGCCCTCCCCCCTTTCCCACCTCCTTTCCCATTCCCTCCACCACCCCAAGGTTGTCGTCAAGGTTGTCGTCGAGGTTGTCTTCGAGGGTCATAGTCAAGTCGTAGGTTGTCGTCGAGCCGAAATATCGTCCAACCAAAAGTTGTCCTCCCATTAAGGCGTTGCCGAGCCAAAGGTTGCCGTCGAGGGTCGTCATCGAGTCGTAGGTTGTCGTCGGGCCGAAGTGTCGTGCCGAAGATTTCCGTAGAGGTTGTCGTCGAGCCGAGTTTATCGTCGAACCGAAATATCCTATAATCATAAGTTATCCTGCAATCAAAAGTTATCCTCCAACCAAAAGATATCCTCGAATTAAGGTGTCGTCGAGCCAAAGGTTGCCGTCGAAGGTTGTAATCGAGTCGAAGGTCGTAGTCAAATCGTAGGTTGTCGTCGAGCCGAGTTTGTTGTTGAGCCGAAATATTGTCCAACCAAAAGTTGTCCTCCCATCAAGGTGTCGTCGAGCCGAAGGTTACCGTCGAGGGTCGTAATCGAGTCGTGTTATCGTCGATGTTGTCGTCAAGCCGAAGGTTGCCGTCCAAGGTCGTAATCAAGTCGTGTTGTCGTCGAGCCGAGTTGTCGTTGGGTAGGGTCCAACACCCACGCCACCACCACCACCCTCCTCCTCGCCGCCGCCACCACCGCAGCCTCCACCTCAGCGCAATGCCTCTCCCAGCCCCCCCCCCTCCGCCATCGGCTTCCCGATCAACTACTCCATTCCTGGTCCAAGTCCAGATATCCCGCCGCGCTTTTTGTTGATTCAAGGGTATCGTCGAGGTTGTCGTCGAGGGTCGTAATCGAGTCGTAGGTTGTCGTTGAGCCGAGTTGTCGTCGAGTCGGGTCCAGGTCCAGATATCGCGCCGCGTTTTTTGTTGTTTCAAGGGTATCATCGACGTTGTCGTCGAGCTGGAGGTTATTGTCGAGGTTATCGTCGAGTCGCGTCCAGTTCCAAGTACCCAAGTTTTAGTGCCGCGGCGCGTTGTCGTCGAGTCAATGTATAGAAAGGCGAGGCTGTGGCCGGTGGAGTGGTCGTGGGATCCAAGGGAATGCTTATCGCCATAAGCCCGGTCCAACCCATATAATAAAAAAATTCCCCCCGGCGCCTTTAAGCCGGGCCGTACTCTTTCTATCCAGGTCCAGGTGTCGGGTCGCGTTACGTCGTGGTTATCGTCGGGTCGAGTGTGTTTGTCGTCGAGCCGAAAGTGCCAAAAAGGAGTCCGGTCCTAGTATCCAGTAGCTAGATCTTGGGTTGGGAGGTTCAGACAGAGAAATAGTAAAAGGTTGGATGAAAAATAATGAGAAAGGTACAAGGAGTGGATCAAAGTGAAAGCTAGATGGAATAAAAAGGCAATGTTTGGTCGTAGTTGTTGAAGGTGGGTGGCAGGAGAGGTCTGAAGTTGTGGAAGAGTGATCAGGATTGAAATGGTATGTGGTGGGTGAGAATTGAACGAAGGTAAAGAAGGTAGAAGGCGAATTTAGAAAGGAGGGTGACGAGGTGTTTAGGTATCTTGGATTTGTGCGCGACGCGAGAAAAACGCGTTGAGGAGCAGCTCGGTAGTATAGGCAACGAAAAATGGGGGGAGAGGAATAGAGAAGAAACGAGAGAGAAAAAGAATCATCGGGAGGTCAAGTCGTAGATAGTCGATTGCTTGAAGTAAAGTTAGGTGAAGGGTAAAAAGGTAAGGTCGAATGAAGGATCGGAAGGGTAAGTTGGACGAAGGGTAAGAGGACGAGAGGACGAGGTTGAGTTGGGGGAAGGATAAAGAGAGAAGGTTGATTGAAGGATCAGAAGATGAGGTTGGACAAAGGTAAGAAGATGAGGAATGGTGAGGAGGTAAGGTTGATTGAAGAGTAAGAGGATGAAGTTGGAAGGTGGATAAGAAGATGAGGTTCGAGTTGGAAGAAGCGGAAAAGATCAGGTTGAATGAAGGATAAAAGGATGAGGAATGGTGAAGAGATGAAGTTGGAGGAGGGATAAGAGGATGAGGTTGAAGTAATGGGAAGAGGATAAGATCGGAATAAGGATACTTAAGAAGAGGATGTTGAAAAATGAGGTTCGAAGTTGGAGGAAGAATAGGAAGATGAGGTTGAAAAAAGGATAGGGTCGGAGGAAAGGTGAGAAGATGAAGTTGAAGGAAGATAAAAAGAGACGGTCGGAGGATGGATAAAAATATGAGGAAGGGTAAGGAGATAAAATTGATTGAAGGGTAAGAGGATAAGGTCAGAAGAAGGTTAAGAATATAGAAGAATGGTAGAAAGATGAGGTTGGAGGATGGAGAATAAATTGAAGTTAAAGGGATGATAAGGTCGGGGGAAGAGTAAGAGATTGAAGTTGGAGGAAAGGTAGGAGGATAAAATCGGAGGGGAGATGAGGTCGGAGGAAGGGTAAAAAGATGAGGTTAATTGGAGGATAATAGAATGGATGAAGTTGGAAGAATGGTAGAAGGATAAGGTCGAGAAAAGGATAAGAAAATGAATGAAGTTGGATGATGAGGTTGAAGTAATGGGGATGAGGTTGAAAGAAGGGTAGGAGGACAAGATTGGAGGAAGTTGGAAGAAGAGAGAGAAGACGAGGTTGAAGGAATGGTAATGCAGTTGGAGGAATGGCAGGAGGATAAGGTCGGAAAATGGATAAGAAAATGAATGAGGTTTGAAGATGAGGTTGAAGTAAGGGTAGGAGGATAAAGTCGGAAGAAGTTGGAAGAAGAGTAAGGTGAGGTTGAAGGAATGGGAATGAAGTTGGAGGAAGGGTAGGAGGATAGAGGGAATTGGGAGAGTGCTCGCTTCGTTGTCGAAAAGGATGGTTGAAGGAAGTTGAAAAAAAAATAAAAGGGAAGAGGAAGGGTGCCGCTGTTTATATAGTCGAGATTTGGACTGGCTGATTGTGGAAGATGATTAGGAGCTTGGATGGTTGAAGGAAGGAACTTGGAAATAAAAGAAGGGAAGAGGAAGAGGAAGAGTGCCGCTGTTTATATAGTCGAGTCTGGGACTGGCTGATTGTGGAATATGATTAGGAGCCTGGATGGTTGAAGGAAGGAATTTGGAAATAAAAGAAGGGAAGAGGAAGAGGAAGAGTGCCGCTGTTTATATAGTCGAGCCTGGGACTGGCTGATTGTGGAAGATGATTAGGAGCCTGAGGTTGAGTTTGACGGAATATTTTGAAAATAAATCGAAAAGAATTAATATCCTACTGATCCTCCAATGAGAATTAATTCCCATTGATGTCAAACTCTAAATATTATTTTCTAGTTCCATTGTTGTTTTTTCTACTCGCTAAGAATGGAATAGCTTGCCCATAAACTTGAAGGTTTCCTACTATTTTAGGCATATATTACTGATTCTACTGATTCTCGAAATACACTTTTTCCACTGGTTAAGATGGGGAATACTTGCGAAGGTTTCACCCTGAGGCTGCTTATGATACCAACTACTTTAGTAGAGAATGGGAGCTGGGTAATACGGTGGGGGACAAGCCCTGATCTGCTTGGGGTATTTTAGTTTCCGACCTAGGTATCATTACCTAGTATCTTTCAGTGGTTATAGTTTCAATACCAAGTATCTAGTCACATAAAAAATTTTTGACAAGTTGTCATCAAGTCGGCACAAATCACCAGATGATATCAGTACAACTGCCAGAAATATGAAGAAGTCACTAACATTCTCTTTCCTAAAGAAACAGATTTCACCAACAACATTATTAATACCTATAACCATGTTTCATTGAGCCGATTACGAACATATCCTTCTGAGAAGGCATGGCATTAGGATAGGAGGTAGTCAAAGATGGTCACGTGATGCACCCCCCTTAATTACGACTCCTGATTATAAGCTCTGCTTGTCGTGTAGAGTTCAACTTCACTTCTAAAATATCATCGATCTAACGATTTAACCTCTTAAATAATGCTTAAAGTAACGACGTGTCTTAGGTTTTGTATTAAATTAGTCCACATTGCTGGCCTGTCAAATTTTGATTGAAGTATAATTCGAGAAAAACTAACTCCAACTGAACTACCATAAGCTAGTGAATGCTCCTATTGGAACTCTCAAATTAGTTTCCATGATATACTCCTGGAATCGGTTTCCCTTCAAAATTATTAAGTTTCTTCAGTCTATGGATTTAGTCGAGAGTTACAGTAGCTCTTGGTGATGGCATACTGGGCTAGCTAGCAAACTGAAGCTCCTGTATTAGACCCTTAAAATATTGTTTTCATCGCGAAGTTGCCGAGCAACCAAAAGCTTAACCAACCCATTGCCCGTTCGAAATACACACTATTGATGATGAGTTAGAGGGCTGGTTTTCTATTCATGATCGCGGGCGATGGTTGGTGGCAGCAGTATTTGTTGTCTCCAGAGAATAATAAGGGGAAAAGAAGGGGGGGAGCAAGATCGTACACTCTTGTTGCTCCGGACCATTTGAGAAGTCGAAGCGACGATGAAAGATGGTCACGTACTTTCTAGAAGACCTCTATTTAATACATGATGCCAGTAGAAAATAATACGATAAAATACGCCTTGGGCAAAACCAGAAGTAGAAGAAGCAATGAACAGTTAGATAAATAGAATGAAGTTATCAATAGCGACGCAGGAATAAATCCCAAAATCGGCTCTGTATCGTCTCCAACTACTATGAACATGCGATCCAGTGACTACAATCTTGTGTAATTAAAAGGTGAATCACTCTTCCGCGTACGGAAAACAATATGTCTTTTAGCTTAGCAGTTATGGAGTCAATGTAATGTCATACGTTCAATCAAGAGGCTCTTAATCAAAGCATTCTAGTCATAAGTAGGCAGTTAATCATGTTACATCATTTCAAAGTCCGCATAACCTCACGTTTCTGTTCCCAGACCAAGCACTACCATCCTCGATCACTTTCTATCGAACTTTGCTGCGTGCTCCAGCACAATCGCTTTCCACCCATCCACAAGCTCCTTCCTCTGCCCACGAGGCGCAACCTCAGTAATAGCACGTAGGTAATCAACAACCATCTGCATACTCTCCTGCATCGGCGACGCGTACTCGGCATCCCGCAGTACCGAGACACCTCTCTCCTCGCACCGCTCCGCAAATAGCCTCCATACTCACTTCTTCTCGTTCACAGCGTCCGCGCCATCGCGCCCGTTCCATAAGAACGCTCTGCGGGGATTCCACTGGGTAAGCGGCACCACAGACGAGAACTCCCAGTCGAGTATCCCGGTGAGGCGGCCGGTGGAGCGGTCGTGCAGCATGTTGGCGAGGTGCAGGTCTTTGTGGGCGAGGCCTAGCTCAGCCTTTTCTTTTTCAGCTCGGACGCGTAGTCTGGGCCGCGGCTCACGATGGCGGCGGCGAAGCGGTTAAGCTAGGGAATGGCGTCACGCATGAACTCGACCTTGTCGTGGAGCTGGATGAGGCGGATATACGTGGTGACCTGGCCCGAGATGAGGTCGATATATGTAGCGAATGGGCCGCCGGGTTGACGCTGTCGACGGTTTCACCTTGGGGCCAAAAGGTCGCGATGTCGGGGACCTGCCAGAATGTTTCGTCTATGGTGCGGCCAATCTGAACTTGTCCGTTCTTGTCGAGGTGTAGGCCACCGATGGCAGAGAACTCGTGCGCGCCTAGCTCGGTTAGTATGTCGATGAGTTGGTCTAAGACCTGGCCCAGCTCGTCGGGGCTGAGGGACGGATATATATCAGATATCGCCTCGCCCGACACGCGCGACATGAGCGTGTACTCATGTCCGGTGGGGTTGTTAGGGGTATTATCGTAGCGCACCACGACGGGGATGGGTATGCTGGTGTTGTTCGCGACCCACGTCATCACGCCAATCTCGTTCTCCGTCTTGATGTGCGGTAGGTGGTTGCCCGAGACGCGAAGCACCAACTCAGTGTAGATAGTCTTATCATTTTGGAGGAACGGTGATGAAGTAGACCCTGTGATATTGCGCCGTGGCCGTGGCTTGTCGTATATCGGTTGCGCGGAGCATGGATAGAGAGATTAGGAGTTGATTGATTGCATCGTGCGAGATAGGCTTAGGTAGATGATCGGCTGGTGTGCTCATTCTTGGAGTTCTGAAATACCTAGATTACCTAGGCACATGGGTGGAAAGTATTACTTCTGTTACAAGTATGATCACTAGGTATTGAAGAAGAAAACAGAATTGTTGCAGCAGGTGATCCAATTAATCCAAAAACTCGTACCTCAGTTACACGAACTAGATACACCATCGATATACATCCTTCATGTTATTACTCGTCGCAGTTCTTCAGGAGATTTCAATCTAGCCACTGTGCCATCATGATCATTTGTACTCAATTAGTATCTATCTGCCTATCTTCCAGATCATATACTGAAGCTGGAAGCCTCTTATCCCTCTGCTAGGTAAAACTCCATTTAAGCATCACAGAATCAACTATTGCAAGATCGAATGGCCTCACTCTATGAACATACGTGGTAGCCAGGTACCTATTAACATTGAAAGCAAAAAGAAAGGAAAACGAGAAAAAAACAACAAAAGGTTTGTGGCCAGATTGAACCCGCACCCTTGGGCGTCCTGCAATGGTGTTCTTTCTGGCCACGCACTTTAAGGTATACCCAGATGGTGGTGTTCGTATCTTACCACGGAGCTAACCTATGTGAAATCCTTTCTAACTTCTCACCCAGGAAGTTCGAGGGGTGAGATGCTGCTTTACAGTGACTCATAAGTTAAACTTCATTAGAAAGGCCAAATACGAGGGTGTTTGTGCGGCTTATGATGATCATGAAGCCACGTCTACAACCTTGGATATAGGGTTACCTTGCTTCCATATCGTAGCTCAGTGCGGCGGTAGCATTGTATCTAGCAGCAAGAGTCATATACGTACGATAGTTTAGGCTATGACTACCTAGTATTGTGTCCATACTGACAGCGATATTGAAGCAGATATTGAAGTTTGATTCTAGATAATGACTAGGCAGTTGATGAGAGGGTATAATACATAGTCTTGCGGACTCCTTCTATTATTAGCCACGCCCATTCGAGTAGATGTCATCAAGAGTAAGATGCGAGAAGCTTGTATATACTTTTCTTCTCCTTGGCGAAGCAGATAGGAGGTTCTTAACCTAGTCAGATGTGCCTGTATATCAACCAGGTTAATCCCAACACGACTTATAGATCAAATCCTTCAATTACCAATAAAATTATATATGGTACACTCCTGATTATTAACACATTCCCTTCAGGTTTAGAAATACCGTCCAGCTACCTAATAGACTTTGAGCTTATAAGTGAAGTCCCTGAGTCTCCAATGGACTTTCACTAGTTTTCTAACTTCATAATACATCTGCTATATCTAAAAAGGAGATTAAGACTTGTACGTACTACGACGTTTAGGTTCTGGTGTAAACGCCACAACTCATGAACTGATCCCACACACTCACCTAGGTGAACAGCAAAGGGGACTAACATGTATGTATAGTACCTAGAATAGCCAGTCTATCTACATATTGGACTGTGCAAGCCCTAAACCTCCAAGTAAACTGTAACAGCTTCGAAATACACAATTCCAAAGAGATAGGCGCGTTAGCCCTATGGAAATTAACAGAGTACGGGGGGGGAGAGCTTTCTCACTCGCTACTATCCTTGCTAGGAAAGTCCACTTAGTGCAATGGAATTTGAGGACAGAACGTAGGTATCTATACTTCTTAGACCCATATGTCGCACCAGAAGAGGGATACCCACATAGTATACCAAGTATAAGCGCTACTAGCTTTAGATGCTATCGTCAATGTGGGATATTAGGCATTGTCCTGTGGCTTGTGAATTATTAGTATACCCCTCATTGAAGAGTATTAGGCTCAATTGCTCAAATTGTTAGGATCATGAGCTCTAGGTTAGGTATATCGAGTCATCGTCTGTGTCTATTTTAGTGGATGCCTACTATTTTTCGCTAAGGCATGCAGTCATGTTTTTCTCATTAGAACATTGAAAAGTGCCTGATCCGGGTCTAATATATCTATTTGGGATATATATGACATTAGACCGGGATTCGAGGTACCGAATCAGGGGGTGTAGATCTCCCGGCGAAAGATGTAAAAATTTCTTCCTCAGTTACTACCTCTGAATAAAGCAACTATCCAACGTCCACGCCATTGAAATATCATACTGGAATTGTCTCCTAACCCGTATTCAGAGACAAAAACTTTTTGGTTAAAAATTACATATTCCTCTCTCGTGACCGGGAAAGGGGTATGGCATGTCCAATGGCAATTTTCGACATTTTCCATTTAATCGCTATTTTTACCCACGTGTGTGCAGCAGCGCAATAAGAGTCAAATGAAATCATTTTCGATGCTGGGTATGACCCCTCAATTTATGGAACGGACTCGAAGCGGCGCCGTCGACGGAGGGGAGTAGCGTGGCACCAGCAGACCACACCGCTATAGACGTAAATGCGGGCCTGGCAGCCGGTTGACGCCATATTCGAAGCTACGAAATGGAGCCGATATTGCTAGATTCGCCCGAGTTGGACGGAGGGTATAAATGCCTTATACGTACATACATAGTTGTAGGAGCTTGGTACATGATGCGAAACAATAGACACCTACCCAATTTGAGACACTCAGCCACTTTGCATACCTACTGTATGTATACTTCAAGTGTTCCATCAATGATCCTATCATCCTACTGCTTACATGGTACCTACCCGAGTAGATACATAGCCTACGTGAACATTGAAGTCTACGTGGCAAGTGAGCTTGAGAGCCAATGTTTGGTGCTACTTACGGGGGACAACACTCAAGGCGCATTGCTAACCTCTTGCTAGACTTTTATTGGTATATATAGGTACCTAGGCAGGCAGCAATACATGCGATCCCTAAGCCTATTGCATACCAACGGTACACGATAGAGACCAATGAAGGGCATACATGTGCCCTGGACCGAATAAACTCGCAAAGGGCCAACTAATGCTGCGAGTGCGCGATACGGGAAGGTGGCCTCGAAGAATTACTCGTAGAATTACTGCATGCGCCAACCTACGTGCCTCCTTTTATGCAAACTGGGAGAACAAGACGTCGAGGACGAAAGATTGCTAGACACGTCGTAGTATAGGTACCAGGCAAGTGCCCATATTCGGGACCATGTCATGAGTAAACATGGCTTAGAAACAATGAATCCTTTTTTCTTTTCTTGTTCCGTCGCCACAAGGTTTAGCGCCAGTATTGGTAAGAAATTGGCGTTGGCCGTTATCCGTCTGTCTTGGGTTCATGTGGATAGTGATCGATGGATAGTAATCGATAGATGGATGGATGGAATGTATTGTAGTAGTTTGCCCCGCGGTTCTTGGACGGGAAGGGAAAAAAAGAAAAAGAAAAAGAAAAGAATAAGAAATTGGGGCATGGGGATTGGGGACGATAAGAATAAAAGAAGGTCGAGCGTCGGATCTCGGAAGGCGTTATCGTGAACGGATAGATCCTTTTAGCAAGGACACTCGGACTCGACAGGCTTTCCCACTTTCCCACTTTCCACTTTCCACTTTCCACTTTCCATCTATATTACGATTGATAATATGAACCATCAAATCTACTAGGTTAGGACCGTTAGGTATGTACATACATAGATATACATGGTACTAGCAACATTGAAATACAAATCGAATCTTACTAACATTGAATTAAAACGAATAGGCAATTCGGAACCGGCTACAGTTCTTCGCAGCTGTCTTGTTTACATTACTATGTAAATTCAATGTTACTACTACTACCTCTGTAAGAACTTAGGAAAAGAAAGGTAAACGCCCCAAAAGGATTAAAAACAATAGCATTGATTGAAAATCAAACTCACACATGACATGTACATATATAATGCACCTGGGAACATAGAATCATAGATACTACATTAGGTAGGTACTCAGTACATTATCTAATCCTCATCTACATGCGACGGTCTAGTCTTATTCTCGGAATAGATTCCATATTATGTACCCCGGACTCTCGTGATGATTGACATTGGGTAATCGAAGACCCTTCCTATCACAGTTGGAGATAATCATGCTCAAGCACACCGTAATTTTAATTTCCAAATATGAACCTTATGCTACATGTACAGTAGGTAGGCATCCCACCCCATCATCTGACATCCGCGCGACGGCACGTGGAGACTGAGCATGTGAGATCGTATCCGTGCATCTAGCATTTGCTGAGACTAAAATAAAAAGAAGGAAAAAGGTTACATGGCTGCATGGCCCAAGCTTTATTATCATTTTAGTCTACTATGTAGAGGGAAGGTGGCTGAAGTGAGATAGAAAGAAATCCGAGGGAGTCAAAGGAATCAAGCCAATTCGCGCGGCATCGTTTTTCTATAGATAGTGAGATGACAAAATTAATCCGTCGTATTAAGATTACCTGGTTTAGCATTGTTTACTTCCGGGCTGTTTATTTACTTCCATTTCTGGCTTATCCCGTCTTTTCGTGTTCGTGAGTATTTTCCTGAAAAGGGACGTTGGATGCTGGAAAAATGGCAACGTGACGAGTTTCGTTGGGAAGGTCGAATATTAGAATTCTCCGGTTCTAACTCATGTGCGAAAGAGGGACATCACATTGGGAAATAGGAGGTAGGAGGGAGGATTAATATACTACTAGCAGTAATTTGGATCAAATGTCAAATGTTCGAGCAACCAGAGACAAGACATCACAAGTCAACCTTAATGACGGGGGGCTGGCAAGTTGCAGTGGTGGGGGATGCTGGTATGCGTACCCAGGTAGCCGCAACGCAGGGAACACCTTACATTCAGTGCTGGGATCCTGCAGGCGGGATTCATTGGAACCCTAAGAAAAGGCACCGTCTGGTGTCGGGATACCTCAGTGACCTGAGCGGTACCTACCCATATGCAAGTACCTTGGGGTCGGGTCATGGATCAGCGCGCATCAGGCGTTAACACCCCAGCCAAGGTACCCATAACTACTAGCGAATACAGAAATACAACAAATGTGCCTCAAGGGTCAGGCTGCCACTATTCCATTATCTATCGGAGATAGCTACTCGGAGGCAGTTCAGAACTTCAAAGTCTACACTACAGTACTAGTAGTACAAATGCTAAATACTAGATAAACTTAATATGACGTGTACTACCTACTATGTAGGAACATTGAACTCGATGTAATACGAGATTGACTTAGCCAGTACCTACAATGTTACATCATAAGCAAGAAACATGCGCGCATTCAACTGTACTATCAGCGTACCTAATACATTCAATGATATTCAACTGATGTGACAAGAGGAAAACTTACATAATACATCGTTCATGCATGTACATATGTCATATGTGGTATGTACTGAAGAGTCTAGACTCTAGACAACTCAGTCAACATTGAAGGTTGGATCTACTTGATCCCCAATTTGATTTTGTTACAGATGAAATAGCTACCCAGATGGAAAGGATAATTTATAAGCCTCAAGCTGCAGCTCGTTAATTGGAAAGGGGGGATGCATCTGCACATGCAGGTCTTGGGGAAGAAATCCCACCTAGGTGAAGGAGAGGAGGAAGCGGTCAATCAGGTGTATTGTACATTTACATTTCTATGTACCTAGGGTAGTTATGTTCCTAGGGTATGTAGGCTGAGATCAATTGATGACAATTGAGGGAGTTGAAGTTTGGAAATAAACCAGGTACCTGGGTACTTAGAGATACATGTGTACATGCATGAACATGGACAGGGACATGGATATGGCAATGTACACTTTTTAGACATGGACCCAGTATTTTTAGTGACAGGGACGTACCTGCTTTGTGGCGCACTTGCCTCCATAAACGCGTCCGATATAAACAAACGCGCCTCAAACCCTTGTCGGACCCTCCTTCTCCTGCACAATCTAGTGAACCACTTGTACTGTACCTTCTTCCATTTACCACATTTACCACATTTACCACACTTACCAACCTACTTGGCGGCGACCGCTCCTTTCCAACGAAAATCCCCAATCCAACCTCTCGTCCCTTTTCTGCAACTTTCGCCACAAACAATAGTAGATCTGTCAGGAGTTGCGCGCGCGCGCCTATACGCATACATACACTCAAGCATACATTATCGTGGGACACTTCCGTTGCCGCCCTTGTCTTCTCTTCCTCTCTATTTCTCTACCCCCGCCGACTTTACTTCCTACCCAATCGACTTGTCCGAGAACGCGCTAGGCCTGACTATATGGCCGGCATCTGGCGCTCTTTGTGTGACTGCTGGAGAACGTCAGATTTGGAGAGTTATCAAGGGAAGGAAGTGGTGAACCTTATAGTCTCACATCCAACTCAAACTTGACCCAGTATGAAGCGTTGAAGAAACCACTTCTTTGCCCTTGCTTGGTTTGACATTCCATATGTCATTGATTTAGTCGTAATACTTACTGCTTACATTCCTCAAATTACCGCCAGCATCTATTGGCCTGCCTACTACTCATCGACTAGCTTTCCACGATTTCCCCTGGCCACAGTCTCATCTGGCTTATTTTCTTCGTCAGCTCTTTATTGTCGACTTCTCATTATCGACTTTGTCGCCATCACTATCGCCAACTGTTTACATCGTTCGAGAATACTTCGTCGAGGGTATCGACCTGAAGTACCTTGCCTAACTGCCTACCAGACTGATTCTAGTCACCTGCTGAATCACGAAACCAATCAACATGTCCAATTCTGGAGGTACTTTGACTCTGCCTTCTCCCACTCATCCACATCATCATGTGGATGTACCAGCTGGTATACGCTCACTGAGAAGATCTATTTCTCGTTCACCTTCTAAATTCCCTGTTATGCGTACTGCATCACAGAGCAGTTCTGATGCTGGGTCTTCACCTTCCACACCAACCATTAGACGTGTCCAGTCCCAATATTTTGGCCAGAACGCCTCTTTTCACTCACCTTGTGGAAATCAACCTCACACACAATCACCACTGGCAACACCTTTCAGGCCAAGTGTGAAATTATCTTTGCGCTCCGCAAAATCTACAAAGAGCCCTGCCTCGGGCTCACCATCAGGCAGGCCATTTTCTCGGCATCGTACCTCTCCAAAGAGCCCCTCCAGAAGGGCCTTAAGTCAAGCATCTTCTACATCTGGTAATTCTATTCCATCAACAACACCCCCACCTTCTTCATCTCTTGAATCTCCACCCTCTGGCCAAGAAAACATCAACATTTTCCGCACTCGCAGTCCTGCGCATCGAAAAGCTGCAAATCGACACAGCATGCATCTCGACGTGACTGGGTCTTCCCAGTCTGGCAATTCTCGAGCGCCCGATGCGAATAATGCGAATCATAGCAAAACACCTTCAACTTCCGTAGTCAGCCCTCTGAAGCGTAGCGACGCTATTATGAATCTCGATCAGACTTTTTCTGGAAGTCCACAGGCGAAACGTCGTAGCTATGGTCCTTCCAACATAGTTACTGATTTCAACAATATCTTCGACGCGCCTGCTCCACCGCCAAACCTGGAGTTCCAAAATGATACAGATTACGAATGGACACCCATGGACTCTACTAATATTACCGAGTCTGCCATATCAACCACACCCTCGTCAACACGCAGAACCGGATCTCTCCGAAGATCCACTATCCAGCAGCGGGAACGATCATGGGGCAAACGCTCCGGCTCTCAGCATCTAGCCCAGGGCTCTCATGACATCGCAACTCCACAGCGCGAGCGACTTTCGTGGGGAAAGCGACAGGCCGCGATGCAGCTCACACAGGGTTCTAACGAAACCGTAACGCCGAATGGGAAGAATCGCGGGCGACTGTCTATGGATCACTTCATGCCTCCGCCTGCTCGAGAGAGTCCTTTTACTATGCCGGGACCACTACCAAATCCATCAGCACACATATTTAACCAGCAAACTCACCAACCACATCCGTTGTCGAACGCTATGACGACATCGTCATCGTCAGGTTCGAGCTTCGCTGGCGCGTCACCGGTACAATTTCATGCGCCAATTACAGAAAAGTCTAGAGCACCGATGAATTTCTCCAAGAGCTTACCCATTGGTGCAGTTCGCCCACAACCTGAGAGAACTGACCAGGCCATCGGAAGTGTTTCCACCCCAGATTATAAGAACGCGAGGCCGTATGAGGGAGCTTTTGCATCCACTGGATTGATATCGAAGATGAACCGCCACCCGGAAATAGCCCCGTTAGGTGGCGGATATGGCGCCGTTCCTGATACGCCCTGCAAGAAGCAACCAAGCGGCTATGCGACGTATCCGCCCCTGCCAATGTCAGGCAATGCTAAGACACGAGGCAGACATATTCGCCATACCTTCGGTCAGCCGTCAACCCCCGGCGGTGCGACACCGAGTTGCCCGAATATTTTCACGGACAAGCCGCGATCTATTCACTTTGGCAGTGGATTCTCGAACCATTCCCGCACGGGAAGTCTACTTAGTTTACATAGTGACGATGGACGAAGCCCTTTGCAGCCAAACGAATACACTGAATCTGGTTTCGACGGAGATCTCCCGCCAACGCCCACGAAGCAGACAATGGTGCCTCGAAGCTCTAACAAATTAGGTCTGTCTAACGAGAGTCCCACTACAAACCGAAGACTGCCGGCCCCGATGTCTGCAGTTGGAATGGGTACGATATTTCAACAAGATACCGCAGCCAGTAGTAAGTATAGTTCTCTGAAGCAATCCCACAGTGATGGATACCCCGGTAGACATGACGTTGCCTCAGTTCGTGACGCTCCCGAGTCACCAATGTTTGGGCTTTGCCGGTTTCCCATGTCCCCCGCAATCTCACCATCACTCAATCGATCCAGAGGCCAGCGCACTCTGCTTTCTACACCCGTGCCTTTTAAGAGCAACTCGAATGTTCCCTTTGTTGAATCTACTAGAAACCATGATGCTAAGAAGAGTTCCGTAACTGCAGCAAGTCCATTGGAACGACTCGACTTCGCAGAAACGGCGTCGCCACGAACCCCACAAGCAAGCATCATGCCCCCCGACGCGAGCCGGCTTTCCATCTCCAATGCTGCGGACAACCGTTTGTTCCCCGGAACTGGTGATCGAAACTCTTTGTTTCAACCTGCCACTCCCACTACACGACAGGAGAAGCCCTCAACATTCCTCGAGCGACGTGCTATTACCCCTATTAATGGTATGCCCTCTCACGACCTAGATGAGAGACTCATGATCCGGTTTGGCAAGGTTGAATTTATAGGCAAGGGCGAGTTCTCAGAAGTATACAAAGTCACCAATTTACCCCAGCCTGCACGAATAACGCAAAATGGCTTCTTCACTACCCCTACACACCGAACGCCTTCCCATTCATCTGCGAAGGTATATGCGGTCAAGAAGCTCACCCTCCCAATTGGAGGAAAAAAGGACAGGGCGCTTCGACTTCGCGAAGTATGTGTACTGAACTCACTGAGAGGACGTGACCATATCTTGCAAATCATCGATAACTGGGAAGAGAACAGCTGTCTCTATATCCAGACTGAGTATTGCGAAGAGGGTAGTCTTGACAAATTTCTATCCGTGATCGGTCTGAGGGGCCGACTTGATGATTTCCGTATTTGGAAGATATTGCTTGAAATTGGCACGGTATGTACCAAATTGATGAATGATGTGTGTCATACAAACTAACAGGTTGAATAGGGATTGAAGCATATTCACGAGGCTGGGTTCATTCATCTCGACATAAAGCCTGCCAACATATTTATTAACTTTGAAGGCACTTTGAAGATCGGAGATTTCGGATTAACAGCAAAATTGCCAATAGAGAAAGGTCCTGATTTCGAAGGAGATCGTGAATATCTGGCCCCTGAGGCTCTCCGATCAGATATTGGCCAGCCCGCGGATATATTTTCCTTCGGGTTGATTATGCTCGAGATCGCAGCTAATGTCAAACTTCCTGAAAACGGAGCAACTTGGACGGCCCTGAGAGAAGCCGACTTTGCTGAGGTACCTTGCCTCACGCAGGATGCGACCGTGATTATGCGAGATGCGACAGGAATGCCAGTTGACGATACGGAACGCAACCCCAGTATATTTTCCGATGAGAATGCCGCTCAAGATGGACGCCGCGGTTTCAATTTCCGGAACCCATCTCGTCAATCAGGTGACATTTTCGGTTTGGGCCGAAAGAACGAGCTTCAACACCCGCCGGATTTTATGAAAGATCCCAACCACCAAAATTCTCTCGACACTATCGTGAAGTGGATGCTCTCCCCGGATCCCAATGCGCGACCTACTATCCACCACTTGTTGGCCATGGAGGCGACAAAATGGGTATCACTTCGTCATCGAGCGGCTGCAACAGTTTTTGAGGGAAACTGGGGCCCCGCTGATGATGTTCCGGTGGTATTGTCACTCGACACAGAAATGACAGACGTCTAAACGGTTCGCTAAAGTTATCAACCATCTTTGCTGGGTTGTTAACCGAATCTTGCTTGATCTGATAGGAGATCAGGATATGGAGTGCTGTGTGGAGTTGGCTTGCCTTGCGTATCTCAGCAGGCTCAACAGGATACGTCAAAACTGCCATCGGATTCTGGCAGTTTTTGTGCAATGGCGTTTTGTCTCTACTGGGGATGGTTTGCGAGTAGAGATTTTGCGTCTTGGGTGGTGCACAACTCTGGCTTATTTCCCGCATGCAATTTATAGCACTTGCAACATCGCCCTTGAGCGCATTCGCATTGATGAATATTGCAGGGTCATAAGACCGGCTATGGTTTCTGGCACTGGCCCTTCTATATAAGAAAGGCGTGTTAGGACGAAATATCAAACAAGGGTTCCTTGGATCGCTCTGGATCAAGATCCATCAAGCAATATTATCCCCTTCAGCAGCAACAGCAACTGAGAGGGCGATATCATGGATACCACGAGCAGATCTCGGACTAAAACCCTTCTGTACAAAGGTGCTTTTCTTTTGTTTTAATTTTCGGTGGGGTGGTAACTTGACTTGGGCTTCGCCATGAATTTCCTTTGTTTTCATACTTCAACTCGCACAACGGAATGGAAAGGGAAAAACGGCGGCAGTAATGAGGAGCATCTCCAAGGCGTCTGCTAGAACCGGTTAACATGAAATCACTTCACAAATCCCCTGCCCCCTAATGTAGATATAGAAGGAAAAATCAGTTAGAGGGATCCATTTCCCTACCTAGGTTGTTTTCGAGATCGTCATCTCAACAGGACAGGAAGGGCTAGGACGCCCTCGGTTTTACGAAACCCACGTATGAATGACGATATGCTACGATCTTTTGGCAACCCTTTTGCTTCTTCCCCTGATAATGTGACCCGCGATCCTCAGTAGCTTGGTGCTCTACTTTGAACACCGGCTACTCCCGCGATCGAACAGCAGTCGTGTTGTTGTATAATACCTACTAGGTTAGCATAGAATAGCAACATGGATACTAATCCATTATTCGGATGTTTATGATGGGGTTCATCAGTCTACGTGTGTAATTGCGAATCCTCCTAACTCCTATGAGAGATGGATAAGTGCTAGGCAGGTAAGTTAGTATGCCCTAGCTATGTAGTAGATCATGGCCATTACTATGTAGGTAGGTAGGTACCTACTAACGTATAACCGTATAACGTAAAATTTTGGTATTTACGTAGATAGATACCTGGTAGGAGATAGGTACCTATCTTATTTACTTCAAGGTTCTTCTAAAGGGTTGATTGTAGAGAGACCGTGGAAGATGGATAGGGCAAAATAGGTAGGTACTAGGTATCTAACAACTATAGACCTAATGTACCTAGGTAGTTATAGCTCGGTGCCCAAACATACGGGTACGGTGTGCATGGGATTCCGCATCCCTGGAGTCTATGCCTCTTTCGTGTGAAGAGCAGGTAGGTAGGTAGGTAGGTGCGTATCATCCCATACCCTAGGTATACTTAAAACGCTCCAACCCGAGCTTTGGCTGATGGGGCGTTGAACAAGTTATGCTAGGTAGGCGGTTTCACCAAATCTCTCGAGTTCATCCTGTCTGTTATCCTTTATTTGTTGTCTCGTCATCGTTATCGTCTTTGGGAAGTAATCGTACTATGCATACACTGTACACTGATTCCCTCATCCCCCCTTCGCAGCCTTCCTACTCCTAGTCTCAGTCCTCGACGTTTCCCCACCATCGCCACCGCCACCGCCGCCGCCGTCTTTACTCGAGGTCGTCGTTGTGCTAGCAGCGGCTGTCCCCTTAGTCTTGCGGCGCACGGGCTGATACACATCGTTGAAGTTCATCGCGACGCCGAGGAAGCGGAGGTCGACGTCGGGCTGGTACGCGAGGTCTCCGAGGAGGATCTGCAGCTTCGTGCGGAACCTGTCGCCGAGATGCTTGAGGCGCTCGTGGAGGGCCGGGAACTCGCTCTGCGGGCCGCCGGGGATGCCCTCGGCGCCGTCGGTGTTGGAGGGGACGCGTCGCAGGTCCGCCTCCTGGCGCTGCGTGAAGTCTGACACGGACCATGAGTAGAGGCCGTCGACGCAGTCGCGGTAGGCGAGCATGGTGCGAAGGAGCTCGCCAAGTTGGATCATGTAGCTGTTGTCGTCTTCCTCGGTTGTAGTGGTTGTGGCCGTCGTAGAAGAGTTGACAAAGCGGCGACGACGGGCGCCTAGGAGGCCCTTGTGCGTGATAGAGTTGAGGTAGTTGGAGTGCGCCGTGATAACGTCGTCAAGGGTAGCATTTTCCTTGCTTAGCTTCTCCTGTAGTTCGGTCCAAGAGCTCTCGATGACTTCAAATAAAATATAGTACTGGAGCTGGCCGACGAAGTGCACCATCTCGGCCAGGAACCCGCGTGTCGTTTTCCAAGTCTGGCTTACGGCAGTATAGTGTGTCTGCAGGACACCTCGTGAGCCGGTAGTGACCTTTCGCCATGTGGACGACAAGGCGAACTCCACTCGCTTGATACGCCAGAGGAAGTTGAACACCTTGAGGTACTGGCGGTTACCCCAATCCGATACGACGACATCGACGGGGGCATCAATCTTGTATTCGAGAGTAAAGCAATCCCAACCGATGTCTCCGTGAGAAAGCTGCAGCATGCGGGCATCAAGACGGCGCAGCACCTCCTGGGAGTCGTATTGGGCGTTGGAGCCGCGAATGGCATGCTCGAGCTGCGCTGTCAAAGTATGTCTGTACTGAGCGCCTGCAGGGCGGTCGAGGTTCGCGGCGAGGGATTCCATCAAGAGCGCGATGAAATCGCCCTGACCAAGTAGAATGTAACTCTTGAGTGCCTGGAGATGATCGAAGAGGTGAAATTTATTAGTCATGAGATGTAGTAGTCGGCGCATGGTGGTTTTGTATGCTTCGTCGATCCAAGCTTCGAGAGTGGCCGTGTCGCCGTAGCGGAGCTCTTTAGAGGACTCCTTGGAGTAGGATTCAACCCAATGTGAATCACCACAGCTGTGGCGGATGAAGTTCAGGGACTTGCCAATAAGGAATATTTTCTCGGAAAACTCCGTTGTGATAATTGAAGGAATCATGTCCACGGCTAATACGTATTTATCTTCCCAGACATTGGTAGAGCCTGATTTCCCCTTGGGCATCGCCTCCGCCGACTGTTCCTGAACGAAGAATTCAAGGTAGGGGTCTGACAGTTCACCGTCGTATACCCATTGCCTTAGTATGCCATAGAAGGGACGAGTAACAGGCATTAAGAGACGCTCAGCAAAAGCGCCAACTACAGGATCGCCATGTGATGAGGAGAATGAATGAATTAAGGAGATGAGCTGGCCTCCCTTTTTGCTCTTGGATTCTTCAGCAATTAAGCTCATAAGACGTAGGCCCATAGTTGCTTCGCGTGTCCAGACAACGCATCGTTTTAGAGTCACGCCCGCCTTGCCAATACCACTTCGCGGCGCACTCTCATCCAGGGTAGATAAAGCACGTCGTATTTGGCCTTCTAACGTTGCTACGAGGGTGAGATAGGAACGTAATTCGTTACTTATGGCTGCTCGAAGACTTTGACCAAGTAGTCCTTCAGCAGGTGTCTTGACAAAGTCTTCAAGGTTGCGGTAAAGTAGCGAGGGTTCGCCTAGAGTGTGGAGGATGCCAATTAAAGGGGGGGGGAGGGTGGAAGGCAGTTTGAGGGAGTAGTCCTTGCCGAACGGAAGAGTAGTTGAAGAGAGCCCCTGGAGGGTATAGGGTAGATCTCGAAGAAGAACGGGCTCAGAAGGGTCGATATCACAGTAATTATCCGCCAGAAGCTTAGATTTTATAGCAACACCTCTCTTGGGTGGACTTGGAGGGGGTTCATCCTTAGAAGCCCTACTACGCTTATGGTCACTAGCAGTTGAAGGCCGCTGGGATTCCCCGTCAAAAGACTTCATGTCTTGGGGTTTCTTAAGCACATCTCGTAGTTCTGTAGGATGATAATCGTCGGAAGGTTGGTCACGTCTAAAAGACTCGCCGCTTCCTTGATTTGAAGGACCACTTGAAGCAAGCCCGTCTCTTTCCCTTTCCTCCTGTTTCCTTCGCTTGGCTTGCTCCTGCTGAAACTCGGCAAAGGCGACAGGATCGGGTTCTTCAGGGTCTGGCGAGTCGGCTAGCTGGTAGAGAAGGTATAGCATGGCCCATTTTTGGTTCAAAACAGGCAATGCTAGCAACCTCGAGTAAAGATTGGAGTAGCGTAAGGCCTGGCTCGGATTTGTCTGCACCAGCCTTCGTCTAATGAGTTCGGAGGCATGATTCTGGTCGGCAAGGGGAGGCGGTCGTGGTCTAGCAAACAGCAGTGTTAGTAATTAGCGACTGATACGTACGCTGGTATATACATCATGTGTTGTCTTACTGGTTTAATTGCTGCTTAATCTCGTCGAAGAATAAGTCATGTCTTTGCTGGGCATCCTCGTCGCTTAATTGAGGGTCGTCTGGTATTAATTGTGAAATAAGGCGGTTGATACTAAGATCAACACGCCTTGTCCGGTCTTGATTTGACCCAGACATTGTATCATTTTGTTTTACTGTCGCGAAGATGCATAAGCCTTTGCGAATAGTAGCTTATAGAAATCGACGTAAATACTGAGTATGGGGGGAGTATTTACTACATGTAGTATGTAAGGACGGGAATGGTAGGCAGATATATTGTTGGAAGTATAGGTATAGGTATGTAGCTCGGAACTGTAAAAAAGGTAAGATAGTTGCGAACGCGACGCGACGAGATGAGATGAGACGAACTAAATGTTTCTTAATGCAACTTGAATCAATTGAATACCTACAGTACAGTCAGTACTAGGTAGGTGATTGAAGATGTAGGAGGGGCTGAAATGGTCAAGTAACATTTGAATATGTTGTAACACAGTTGAGTAACATCATACCTAGTAGCTTGCTGTACTAGGTTGCTTGGTAACACCGCTCAGCTTTTTAAGCATCAAGGCATTACACACAAGTGGAACCTTAGTACCTACTAGTTAGGTATGTACCTAGTAGTACTGGTAGGCCTAATCGAAGTACTCTATACTTGATAATAAAGCTAAGCATTCGCCTGAATACCATCATGATAAAAGTACTCAGAACAAAGAGGGTCATTGACTTGAACTTGAACATTCAAATTGAACCCCAGAACAGAATCTTTAATCATACACCACCTGTATTTTAGTCGCCATTTACACTACATGGGCTTAACCACAGGTACCTAACCTTAGCGTATTGTGCCTACACAACCACAACCACCAGTGACCGCTACCTACCGCTACCATTCACAGACCACAGACGACATCCCATCCCCTTCTGCTTAATGGCCGACTAGACAAGCCATAATATCGGCAATAAAATCATCAAATAACAACATTATATGTACAATTTTCATCATTGTAAATTCGGTATTTGGATCGCATTCATCTGCTGCACTCGATGAATGGGGTTTAAACCCTTTTTTCGAGCTGCGCTGTGCTTCTAGCCCGCACGCGACGTCTCGCGCATAAAACAAAACCACCCACCATCGCGACTCGTATTGTCTGTCACATCATTATCACCAACTAACTATCAACCTTTTTGTTTTTTTCTTTTTCTTTTTTTTTATGCCTTCCCTTTTTTCTTTTCTTTTTATATCACCTAGTATTGTCGATTTAGCGCGCTACCCGCAATCCAATAACTGCGCCCAAATCTCAACATCCAATACCAACTACCGATACCAATATCAGTACCAATCCTATACCTACCCGCCTCTTCGTAATTCATAATTCTTTCCACCATGCCCGACATAGATCCTGCGGCTCTGAGCCGCCCATCCGTCTCCCTCTCTACTCCGACCCTGAAATCAATAACTGTTTCTGCACCCACTTCGCAGAAAGTCACCAAAACTAGCCAAATAATCCCCGCTCGCATTGACATCGAGCCTCTATATACCGCCCTCAAGTCAGCTATTGGAAATGAACAATGGAACACCTACAAAGAGGCCACCACGCAATTTATATTGGGTCCGTCTTTGTCCCTATATACCTCTCCGAGAGCTGCGGCTTTCCCTGTTTTATATCAGTCCTGTAAATCCACTGACACATATATATCACAGGCCGTCTGAATCAAGCCGAGTACTCAGAACGCATAGACCCTATATTATTCTCTCCCAATGGCGACAAGAGCCATTTACATAATCAGCTCATTGCTGCTATATACGGGAACCTCACCAGGGAAATGCCAGACCAAGGCGTCGCGCCATGGGTATCTGCTAACGATAAGCCTGCTGCTAATGTCGGCGCTAAGCCCGTCACTGGCGACGCCGCCGAGCGGAGGTTGAAGGGAGATGTCATGCAACTGCCTAGTCGCGACAGGCGACGCATAAAGGAATTATCTCAGAATGATGTTAGTCCAGCTCAATGTGATGTATCCCCTCTCCCTATTTACCACAGCTAACAAACGGCGCAGTTCGACCCCTTCGAATCTATGGCAAATATGTTTACTGAGCACCATCGAGGCAGAGTTACTCGTGTTCCAGATATATTACCAAGCGCGAATGGTCTGAATAAAATGAGTAAGTCTCTTACTTAGAGCTTAGAGTCATGACGAATTCGGAGTTGAACCCTAACGTGATTAGATTTGGACCTCGAGATTCGTAAACGCTATGCGCAACCCTTGGCCGTAGAGTCGGGTGAGTTTCCGGATATGGCAAGCATCGAAGCGAGAATGCTACCTATCTGCTACGAAGCAGGGCTGGTTAATGGCCATGCCCCGGATGCTGCCCAATTTATGACTGTAGCTTCGGAGATGTTCATCAAGGAGTTTCTTTCAACCGTATTCAGCCGGACGAGATGTAATGGACCTGGTGATTCCGGGAGTGCTGGGTTCGGTGCCGGACCTGGCTGGATTCAAACCCATAAGTACCGTCGACAACTAAGACGAGAAGAGGCGGCGTTTGCGAAGGGCGAACTTACTCGAGACAAGAGTGGGCTTCTGCCTGTCGAGGCAAAGGCCGCAAGCGAGCGGCCCCCATTAAGCATGGCTGATTTGCGACTTGCCTTGGAAATTGGCGACTGTGGTATAAGCTCTTTTCCTATCATCAGGAAGTCAGTCACGTATAATTATAGGGACGGGGAACTCGAAAACTTCAATAATTACACCTGGCTTCACGGCCGCAAGCCAAAGGATTACGGAGATTCCAATAACGACATTGTTAATGGTACAGGTCTCCATGCTCCCACAAATGGAGTCGCCTACCCCGAGCCCATGGATATCGACGAAGAGCCACCAGCATGGGATGGTGCATCTCCCCAAGATGTCTCCATGCTAGATAATGTGTTAGACTCATGCCTAGCAGTCCCTTAGAAGTGAGACGATGTCACGCAGTTACACATGACGAATATTCACGAATAGGGAGACGTCGAATCTAAACGAAACGAGGAGAGAGCAACATGAGAACTTTAGGGACACCCTAGATCATGGCTCACAGGAGTGTAGGGTCTGGTTGACCTAACCGCATTCTTTAAGGTTGGTCGTGAACCAAAGTCCTGTGGATGTCTTGTAAGTGAGGAGTTGATTGAGAAGACCAAATTCGTGAAGCTGCAATCAAGGCAGCATGATTTTGTAACGTTCATTGTTCTGGCCAAGCTCGAATATGCAACATGTATACGAGACGGCTGGCCGAGGACCGAGGGCGGATTCGTACGAAAGGGTCCGAAGTGAAATAATCGGCAAAGGACCACACACGATTTACAACAGCATTGGCATTAAGGCGTTTGAATTTGGCGGCATTACTTGGCCTTGTATGAAGATTCAAAAGATGGCGAGGAAGGGAGGCCGGCTTCTGGCGTTTGCTTCTTGGTGGATATGTACTCTATTTCTCTACGATACCCCCTACATTATTGCATGAAGCACCCTCCCGAGTTCTCGCGAGCTAGATGATGACGCGATGACGACGCAATGTCGACTACCCAGGTAACTACCTAGGTAGATGTAGGAATATTAGATTGTAAGCAAACATTGAAAGAATGCTATCTATTTCTAGCATGTATAAGTAGTACTTACATGCAGGTACTCAGCAATATGCATTTACGGTAAAAACGACTGTAGTAAATTAAAATATATATTCACTTCTTGAAGTTGCCATATCCGCGCTACCCCCCTGTCAATTCAAGGGGCAGCTGCGTTTTAGTGGATTGAATGACGCTGTGTGGTCTCACTAATGCTATATAATGCCATGCAGTGCTCGTTTTGTTGCATAAATTAAAAAAGCTCAACGCGAAAGTTCGCGTGTCGCCAAACGCCAAAGCGCGTAGAAACGGAAGCTTCCCTCTTATAATCTCAGATTCACTGTCTTAACCCCCCCACTTACACCGTCTCAACACAACTTTTTACAACATTCGAAAAAGAATTGCATTTTTAATCCACCCAAAAATAGTGCCAATTCTCGACCATAATGCCTTTTTAGGAATATCACCTAAGTCGTATCTTTCAGCTTCATCCAGCATCAGTAGTAAACATGGCTGCTACTCGTTCGCCTTCTCCCGCCGAAGGCGTGTCGGCACCCACATCACCACAGCTATCACCTCGGTCCAAGATTAAGGCTTTGTTAGCCGCCGTGGACGATGCAGACTCGGACGATGAATCTAATGTCCGATTAGGCCTAGAAGCCTTGATGAAGACTCCTAACGAGAACAATATACCCAATACCAAATCACATGACTTACCAAGTGTTGAGGAAGAAGAGGACGAAGAAGAAGAAGAAATCATTCGACCTCGAGGACGGCTTGCGGGTCGAATGAGAGCCCAAGACACAAATTCAACAGATGATACCACGAAATCCTCGAAAAACTCCGTTCCGTTAAGCGCTGTCTCTACAAACACTAACAATAAAGACGATGAGGACGAGGAAGATGACGATGATATCAGTGCCCTTCCACGTAGGCGATTAATGAGACCTAATCGAGCATCCACACCGGAAGCTTCAGCAGGCCCTCAAGTACCCTCTTCTCCTAGTCTTTTCGTCACATCGGCCCCTGAGACGCCAGGAGCATATCGCCAACCTGCAGCCGAATCCGAGTCAGACGAAGAATTGCCTGAGAACCTAGGCAAAAGTGAACGCTTCTTGGCACTGGTAGCTAGGAAACGACAAGAAAGACTTGCCAAAGAGGCTGAAGAGGAGCGCAAGCAGAAAGAACGCGCGGCACGGATAGCCGAGCAGATACCCGCCGAATTAGATACCGATGACGTATCTGATATTACAGATGATGACGGCGGTCGCAGACTCACCCAGGATGTCTCTCGCCCTGCGCGCAAGGCTAGCAAGAAGGCTTTGGAGGAGATGAACCGCGAGACTCAACGAATCAGTCGAAGCTTACAACTTGCCCACGAGGCTAAAACGAAGAAAAGAATCACAAAAGCATCCCTCTTTGAGCGTTTCAACTTCAGATCGGACGCAACGACTAAGAACGTTTCTAAAGTGGTAAGCTCGAGCAGGCCCACGACTCCAGGTTCGGCGCATCAGACCGATGCCGAGATGGTTGATGCTGGAACTCCACCGAGTTCTCCACCGCTTGCCTCAAAGTCTATTCTCAACCCTCCTGCTACCCCCGTGGGTCCATCTACTATCTCCAAATTAGCTAAAAGCCTGGAGGAGGAAGATGATGAGTTGCCCACCTTAGAAGAAGCTATTTTCGCCCAAAGCAAAAATGAAGAGAAAGGCAAAGGCAAAGCCGTTGAAATCTCAGCTGAGCCCACGGAGACCAAGAAATCAGCAACAAGCAAGCCGAAGCGCCAAATTCGAGTTAAACTGCCCCCAGCTCATACAAATTTAGTGACGATAGACTCAGACGACGAGCTTGAGATCACTAAACCGAAGAAGGGGAGGATGGATGCGATATTTGACCGAATTCCTGAGAAAAGGGGTCAGGAATCCAAATCTATGCATGTTTTACGCCATTTAGCCCATCTGTCCTCTCCGACGAGAGACTCGTCGAGGACCCGCACCGCCAAACCATCGATGACTCCTGCTGAGCTACAGATGTCATTGCAACAACGTGCAAGAGCTCAAGCTAAGTTGGAACGCGAGCGTCGACTGGAATTCCTACGCTCTAAAGGCATCACTGTACAGACGGAGGAAGAGCGTCAGCGTGAAAGGGAACAAGTTGAAGACATCGTTGCTCGAGCTCGCCAGGAGGTCGAGGAGATTATGCAAAAAGAAAGGGAAGATGCTAAGAAGGCGCGAAAGGAGAGCAAAAAGAATGGCGACAATGATCCTCTAGCTTGGGATGACGACGACGACGACGATAGTTTCGTAGAAAGTGAAGAAGACCCAGCTGAGATTGAGCTTTCGGGCTCAGAAGAGGAAAATGAGAAAGATGAAGAAGAAGATGCCGAGAACGGGGATGCAGATGAGCCCACTGCGAGCCCCATATTCGACCAGGAAGCGGAGGAAGACGGAGGATCTGAAGAGGAGCCACCAACGCCAAAGGCAGCCAGAGATGTGACGTCTGATGATGAAGCTGACGACGAGCTACCCCCAATGACATTCCGCCGGTCAAAGAAGCATGCCCACGTTGTCTCTGATGACGAGGACGACGTTCAAGCGACTCCAAGACCCAAGACCAGTCATCCCAAGTCTCCCCCTGTGACGACAGACTCCCCCAAAATTCCCACATCTGTCTTACGGTCGGCTAGGAAGAACTTCATTCCTGGGCTACCTGTCCCTCTAGCAGGGCCAGCAGGCCTTGGACTTACCCAAATATTTGCTGGAACCATGGATGATAGTCAAGTTAGACCGACGAGCGGGTCTCTGCAAGAATTCATGCCCAGCCTCGGTAACTTTCCTGACTCGCAGTTCTCTGCCACGGCAGATCAATCTCAAAATGACATGATTTTGAATAGCCAGAACACGCAGGAAATAGATACTCAGCCTATTCAGCTACACTTCCCCCAGTCACAAATGCACGGCCTCGATAGCTTGATGCAACCCGAAGGGACACAATGTTCGCAGTTTATCGAGCCCACCCAAGACGGTGGCTTCCAGGACTTATCCCCGCTCAAGCAGCGTTTTGTCGAAGCTCCTCAATCAACAGTCGATACCGTGCTGCTAGGAGATGCTCCGGATGATGAGGTGGTACAGGAATCACCTCTAGTAAAAAGGACGGGCAGGCTAAGGCGTAGAGGCGGGAACTCGGCCTCTCTCTCTACCCTGGGGTCAATAGAGACTCCGGACAGCCCTACTACTACGACCAGAATTGCCTCACTAAGCGTCGAAGTAGATCCAAATACAGCAGCGAGCGCCTTTAAGCTGATGCAAAAGGCGGCCAAGAGGAAGCAGCGCATGCAGGAGAAATTCGACAAGAAGAAGAGCAAGGCCACTGAGATGATTGAGGAGCAAGCTGAGGAATCCGAAGACGAGTACGCCGGACTCGGTGGTGTCGATGGGGAGGACTCAAGCGAGGAAGACGAGGAACTTGTCAATGAAATGATTGACGACGCAGCCGGCAACAATGCTGACGATGATAAGCTTGCCGGTTTCTTTGCGTAAGTACTATCTCACGTTCCATACCAACACAAGCTAATAATTATATATAGTGATCGAGAACGTGCGGCAGATGCGGCTCAGGTCGACAAGCTGTTCCGGGACATCACGACTGGCATGCTACGCAAGCGACGCCGGGGTGACGCCAATAATGACTTTGATTTATCAGACTCAGACGACGGAGGCGAGGCTCGACGGCGCATGAAGCGTCGCCAGTTCGCCAAAATGCAAAAGGCGCTATTCAAGGATGAGCGCATTAGCAAGATTGCCGAGAACCCACGTAACGCTGCGTTTCTGAAAAGCATAGAAGACAAGAACAGCGATGACGAGTGGGATATTGGGGAGAACTTTGCGAATGCCGCTGAAAGCGAAGACAGCGAAAGTCAGGGACAGGATGCCCCTGCAGCAGAGACTTCCATCCCGGACAGTCAACCGGCAAAGGCAGATCGCAAACGTGCGCATGCAGATGATCACGTAGCACGTCTGCCACCTAATGCGCGACGTACTCGAGGGGGTGTCCGTCCAACATCACTCACCGATGTCCGCAGGGAACTATCTGACCTCCTCGACGAACCCAATGGTTCTGCCGCATCCGTCATTCCGGCTACAGAAATCAACTCAGACAGCGAGGGCGAGGAACGTGCGGTCACTTCGTCATCTACCATAAATAAGGAGAACCGCGGCCCTGAAATCGTTGATCGCATTAAGCTGAAGCGTGGCTCGTCATCCGTGTCAAACAGCAGCGGTTCTTCACGTCTCGCGTTCGCGGCGCCGTCTGCATCGGGTGGCAGTGGACTATTCAAAGTCCCAGCTCTGCTCAGGCGCGCGACGACTAACTCGCTTGTCTCCAACTCGTCCATGTCATCCAGCGGTACCCCTAGCGCTTCTACCGCTAGTACCACTGCCTCCCATAGCAACACGGGTAAAGGAGGTTCCGGGTTCGGCGACGACAAGTTGCTCAAGAAGACAGCAGGCAAACGCTCGGGTATCAATTACTTCGCGCGGGAGAACGAGCGCAGAGCCGCGGTTGCGGATGCGGAGAAGAGACGCGAGGCTAAGAAGTGGAAGGGCGCTGAGGGCAGAGGTAAAGTTGTTGGGGGATTGTTTGGGGGTGGGAAGTTCGAGTGAAGAGAAGGGAAGGGAAGGGAAGACGAGAGGTTGCATTATTACACTACTATCATACCATCTATTTGCACTACTTCACACAATGGATGGATACGGCAGGGCTGCATGGCGTGGGCGTTTATGGGCGGACTTAGGACTGGGTGAGGCTATTTAATTAGGTACTACAGTACGAAGGTTGTGGCCAAAAGTTTAGACCAAGATATACCTCAGCCCCACAGTTCCTCCACTTTTCTACCACTGTAAGAAATATCATCGCCAATATACTTACCTATTTATAAAGCCTTATAGATTTATTTAATAAATATTAAATATGTTATTACGTTATTTAATTAGTTTATTTAATAATAGAAATTTCTGTATTTTTTTTCTCTATTAAATTAATGTAAATATTTGTATAATAATCTAAGGTTGTTTAGGATTAAAGGCTTTAAGTTTATAGCACATTATAGCGCTTAAGTATATTATAAGGTGCTATACTTTTAAGGGTTGTAGGGGATTTGACGTTAAATGTATACCTATTATTGGTAAAGGCCCAAAAAAGAATAGCGCACTGTGGGGCGGAGGTATATCTTGGTCTAAACTTTTGGCCACAACCTTCGTACCTACCTAGGTTAGGTACCTAGTAGTTTATTATGAAATTCAAGACTTGAGAGGTTGAATTAAGTGATATCTTGGTATTATTTTGCATACTTTGTGACTATAGGTTGTATGAGTCCGGGGTATGAAGAAAAGAAAGGGGAGATGTTCAAGTTCAAGTTGGTTCAATGATGTATACTATTAGTAGTATATATGTAACTATGGAATGATATTACCTAAGCGGCTAAGTAAAGTCCCCGAGGTTCTCCCATGACGAACAAATCATTGATGTCAATCAAAGAAAGAAAGAGTGAGTAGTTAAGTTGTTTACTCCTTCAATAGAAAATGATGAATTTCATGATTTGACTCCCATCTCTTGTGCTTTTCTCAAAGGTTGCTTATTACCTTTATTAATTGCGAACTGTGAAATACGGCGTTGGTTTATCGAGGATGGAAGTACATCGCCAAGCTCCCAACGCGACACGCGACATCCGCATCATCACCGTCACTGGCTTCTGACGTAGCTTTCGGTAGTGGGATTATGGGAGCCTGGTCATCATCATGGCGCCACCACCTCCTCCTCTTCCACCAACTGTATGTCCCTTTTTCTTTTCTTCTAGTTCTAAGTACACAGTTCTAAGTACACAAGCCACCTAGAAAAATACATTGGTAGATCTTTTTTGGCTAAGAAAAGAATAACAGACGCCCACGCCTCATCGCTTCCTAGTGCCCAGGAGGTCACAGCAGCAACAGCAACAGCCTAGGCAGGAAATCCCCAAGGCTTTCCATAGTGGCGGACAACAGTTCCAGGCTACGCCAAGGTTCTCTCTTCATTCCACGCCTAGAGGGTCAGCGGGAAGCCGGCCGTCATCGTCATTTCGGACTCCCGTCTCCGCATCCGCATCCACTAAGACCGGAGTTGGTTCCGGAGTAAGGGAGAGAACAGGGGCAGCCGTCTTTTTTCGTCCGACGCAGCGCACCACTGACCCAATCAACGATATCATCGACAGCTCGCCACCGTTTGCCGAGCAGCAGCGATCTAGTAGTAGTAATGCCTTGCATGATCCTATTGAACATGACGATGCTAGGCTAGAGATATACGAATATCACAGCGATAATGACGATAAAGGTGATGATGATGAATATGATGAGCTTGATGCAATACCCGAGTCCTCGCCACCACGAGCTAGCACTGCCCGCTACGGCAGCGAAGGCGATGACTACGACGATGACCTAAGAGACCGCGCCCCGAAGCGTCGGCGCATCTCGATATCCTCCGACTGGGACGTCGACGAGCTCTCACACCAGCACGATGGCGAGAGCGGGAGCGTGCTGGGCGATCTTGCTATACGTGATGACGACGATGGCGGACAGACGGACATCGACATGATACGGTCTTCCCCGCTTGACCGTAGGCCAGGAGACCATCTTTCTACTGAAGAAGACGAGAATAAGGATGAGGATGAAGATGAAGCTAACGACACCCTCCCCAAACCCCCACCACCAGCAGCCCCGCAACCCATTTTCCAGAAAGCCCCGCGCTTCAAGCCCGCCGAGGCATCCGACAGTTCGCACCACCACGGCAGCGGCGGCGGCGACCCACTTCCCGACGCCTTCTCGCCGCACCGCAGAGGCGCCAAGTACACCCCCGGCGGCCTGGCGGCTGAAGTCCGTGACTGGTTCGTCGACGTCTGGGCTGGTGCTACTACTGCTGCTACTACTACGAGTGCTGCGACTTCAAATGCAACTACTATCGGCACGAGGAGGGATGGTGGGGACTGGATCGCGAGGGTCATTGTGGACGAGGTGAGGGGGGCGTCGGGGATGATGCTCGTTACGGGACGGTATTGCGTGGATGGTGTAGATGGAGACGGAGACGGATATCATGGTGATGGTGGTAGTGGGAGGGAAGAAGAAGTGCAAGTGAGGAGTGTAAGGGTCGTGCTCGCGGGTAGTCAGAGGCTGAGTGGGCTGGAAAAGAAGCAGGAAGTAAAAGCTGGCGCGGTGATAGGGGTAGGGAGGCCAACTTGGGAGGTTTCTCTGCAAGAACAGGGGCGCTGGGGGGTTGTATGTGAGTGGGCTGTGTTGAAGTGAGATGAGTAGACAATAGGCATTTCAGGTACAATACAATGCCTATATGAGCCTACATCATTGATGTATGCAGTTTCAGTATGCGCTGATGCATAGATACCCTACATAATGCTGCGTAGGTAATACTATGTGAATACGTACAATCTATTGGCTTTTCATTTCCTTCATTGCGGCGCTTAAAGATTCACTTAGTACTAACAGCACCAACAGTTCTCATCAGTAAACCAACATAACTAACACAAGGTTACAAGGTAACATCTTCAATCATTGATGTAACCAACTTCAAGATATATTTGCATACCTACTACCTACACACACCTACCAACACTTACAGACATTTATCTAAATATATCTGTATCCACATCTACATCTACATCTACATCTATATTTATATACATACATATATAGTAAAGAGTTCCAGCATCGGCCAACATCGGCGAACATACATATAGCCATGTATCAGCTGAACCATTCCTTCACTCCCAACACCCTCCGGCGACCTCCTCTTCCCAAACAATTCTTCTTCCATCACCATCACCATCACTATCATCATTATTCTCTCTCCATATTCTCTTCATAGCTTTCCTATCCTACCTATCAATCAGCCAATCTAATCATCTTGCTCATTTTACTCATCTACCTACCTACCTACCTACCTAATCATGCCATTTTCTCACTCGGGCGGTGCGTGGGCCGGGAAACACCCGACGCCAGCAGAGGCGCAAGAGCGGCCCCTCGACGACAAGGAAAAGGCAGAGATCGTGCAGCAGAGCCGCAGGTGCCTGACGCCGCGCTACCTGTACACCCGCGACGCGATGCGCGAAGCCCGGCGGATCGACGCCGCCCACGGCCCGCAGCTGTTCGCCGGCCGCCGCGGCCGGCGGCGGAAGGGCGTCCTCGTGCGCCACAACGTCAAGCGCCGCTGGCAGAAGCTCGGCATCTGGAACAACGTCGGCGGCGTGTGGGGGATTCCCGGGCGGCGCAAGAGACGCGGGGCGCGCGACAGCGATAGCGACGACTGCGGCAGCTGGCAGTGGTGGTGGTTGTGGTGGTGGCGGCGGCTGTGCGACCCGATCGCCGATGCGCCGGAGGACCTGAGCAGCGCGGCGGAGATCATGCGGTTCTCGCTCGACCAGCAGCACGTCGCGCAGCCGCGGCCCGCGCCGGGGACCACGACGCCCGCCGACGCGCAGGCGTTCCTGGCCTCGCGGCCGTGGTTCGTGTACGCGCGCTCGGTCGTCGAGGAGATGGTGAAGCGGCGGCGGTGGCGCAGCAGCCCGCCGGGGTCTAACCCGAGCGAGGCGGAGGACGCGGTGCGTGCGCGGTGGCGGGAGCGCGGCGACTGGGACGACGCGCGCTGGGACGACGACGACGACGACGCTGTGCACGCCTGGAAGTGGCGGTGGGAGTCGCCGTCCCCCGAGCCCGAGGACCTGGGGCCGGTAGCTAGGATGCGGGCCGCGCCGCTCGAGGTCGCGGCCGAGATGGGGTTCACGCCGTCTGAGACTGACGAGATGGAGGAAATCGAGCGCTCGGAGGCGGCACGCGTGCGAAGAAAAAGGCGGGAGAGGGTTGTGAAGATTGAATCCGATGACTCCGATGACGATAAAGACGATAATGACGAGGATGACAAGGATGAAGACTCGTCGCTTTCGCCGCCGCTCTCGCCGTCGCCTTCACCACCGCCTCCAAGACCGCTTTCGTCCTCGTCTTCGTCCTCGCCATCACCACATCCATCGCCAATCCGCCGAAGGTCCAGGCTCACAGGCAAGAAACGTGCCACATCAGAAGATTCCCCACCGCCGCCGCGAGCGCCGCGGAATAAGCGACCTAGGCGGCGCTAAACAGCAGCTACGGCGCCTACCGCTGCCCCACAGAAGAAGACCTGTTGCACCAGGAAGACAAGAGCCGCCTCTGCTGCTGCTGCTGTTGCTGCTACTACTAATACACAGACACCGCCCAAAGAGCCATCGGAGAAATATGAGGCTCGGTCGAGGAGAGGGCGGAGTGCTTCCTGAAAAAATGAGAAGGGGACATCCGCTGTAGCAAAGGAGCTGGGAGTATTCTTCTTTAACACCATGTATACTACCTAGTACCTATATGATGGTTAGTAGTAAGCTAGTAGCATGTACTGCTAAGTTTGTAAGTTAAGTCAGTTCATTTGCAGTTCTCATTCGTTTACAATTAAAGGTCTTACCTGTACGATGGCCGGGCGATTATGTATTGTACACTGTACTGCCTATTACCTATATAATAACTAAGGAAAGGCGATCTAGACATAAGCCACAACGCAAAGGTCTGGACCCCCTTTGAGTATCTGCTACATATAGGTGCATATGTTCTTCCCAGAAAGAGGTGCCTATTTTTTATCTTCTTTTATTATCTAAAGTAACACGATACTGCTATGCAGCGTAGCCATCATTAAGGGGCTAATTTCTACCATAAACTTAGATATTGGAAGCACTCGATCTAGACACTAGCCTACATTGGTTTGATAATAATTGTAGACAATATCCATACGATGTCCCAGCAACACCTCTCTCTATTCGCCAGCCGTAGAGCATACATGTACTTAGAGTAGATAGAAGGCACCAAAGCGCTCAAAATGCTATGCTTGCGCCAAGTCCCATCGTGATCCAAGAGGAAGAAAAAGATACAAGTCCTATCAATCTTGTAGAAAACTGAAACGTCAATCTGTTCGCCGTCTATGATGCAAGTCGTCGCAGGTCATGCAAAGCTGAAGGCAAACGACCCCCGACGCATCCGTACTCCGACCCCTGAAGCCTACTGAAAGTAATAGTAACCGAACAAACATTTCAGCTATTTAGTGTTTTTTGTATTTCTAGTTGTACGTTAGTAAAGAAACCAGTGTGAGCGCTGTGGCAAGGAAATCAGGCCTGTACATACCTCGTCTATTCTCCTACGATTTTGCGGGTCCAATGCATTCGTAGCACCCATCAGAGTCTTTCCAATCGCCTTGGTCGAGCCAATAAAGGGCCGGAATATTATGGTTGGTGCTCGTTTGAGAACAGCTTTGGCGGCTCCCTGAGCGCTCTGACTCTCCATGACATCGACAGGAACTGCTATAATAGCATCCCTTGCCATCATGATATCACGGGTGAGACTGGAATATGCGCCCCGCAGTCCCTGGACGAATCCAGGCGGTTGGTCGGCGTATAAACTAATTTGCTTGGGTTCCTCAGTGTCTGGCTCGTCATCATCCCATCCAGTCGTCTCGCGAGACTCCGGTGGGGTGACAAGCATGCCTTCGGCGCCTTGTAAAGCATACTGTGTACCCACAGCCAACTTGGCCCCAAGCTTAACGATCTCCGTACCCGTTGTCTTCGCAAATGCAACCGCGCCCTTGCTGATACTACGGACGATTCTGCCGTCCTTCTTGTATTCTCTGATCGGAATTTCAATGAGATCCTTGAACCCACTGCCGACGTTGACTAGAGAACGGACGGGGGCAAGGCCGGCAAGCACGCCAGGAAGCTGGTTCTTCTTGACATCAGGCATCCAGATATCATTCAGAGTCATGCCAAGTCTGTCAAATCCGGAAACACCGTAGATGATTGTGTGCCTCAAGACCATGCGCGCCTGATCTAACACTAGGAAGTTCATGAATTCGGTTGTGTGGCCTGATCGTAGACCGGCGTAGTCAACCCGCTTTGGCTTGAAGTCAAGGCTAAGAGGAATGGCATTTACTTCGGCTCTCTGCACGAAGGGTATGTCACTGGGCGAAGCGTGAACTGGAGCCGAGTCATCCTTGAATTCGAAGAACCGCGTGATGAAGTCTAAAGCATCCTGGTCGACGTGGAGGCGAAGTGGCAGGACTGTGACCCTAAGTACTATTTCTGAGGCGGCTAATTCGAGCACTGGCTTGACATTCAAGATCTCGAGGTGAACCATGCTGGTGCCCATCTCCCGCTCGCCAGCATCTTGGTCGTACGTCGCAAACTTCTTCCACGTCGAGGTCGGCACATGGTCGAAGACATCTAGGTCTTTGATGCGAACATCGACCGAACTCTGCGTCTCGCCGGAGCCTGGAGGGAACGTGACCAAGTCTACATTGATACCCTTCAACTCGAAGGTGATCTTATGACGCTTGCTGCGGTTCAGTTTCAGCTTCTTTCTCGCTCGGTAGGCGTTGCTTTGCCGGCTCGGTGTAGCAGTGAGTGCTGTCGTCGCTATCGACTCAGTCTCAGTTGCAGCATCGTTCAACTCTTGATTGATGGCTTGTGCAAGATCCCGCGGATCCCGGTTTGAAGGGATTCCAATGTAAATTGAATTGAAAAGAAAGTCCTCAATCATGGTCTCTTCTTCTATTATTTCCATATCATGGCTTGGATGACCAGGGTTCCGTCGCGATTGGCGCTCGATCGCTTCAGTCTCGAGGTTGTGCACAACCTTGGATATGACTTCGCGAGTACGACTCCAGTCGTATCCATCAAAAAGGTTCCAGATAAAATGGACATCGCGTACGCGAACGGTTAGGGGACTACGTTGGACCTTGGCGTTGTTTGACTTGTCATATTCATTCCTTGCCGAGTTCCATCGGTGGGCAGTACCTTCTATCACGGATCCTGAGCCGAAGTAGTTTTCATGTATCACCAAATCATCATCGTCTACTATATCTTGCTGGGTATTGAAGTTCGTAAGCAGAACGCCGTCATTGGTGTCTTGCGTTTCTGTCCTTTCCGAGGACATAGAATCCGCCGTGGCGCCAAAAAGCTGGGCCTCGACCGAGGACTCATCATAATAATGTGAATCGATAGCTAGGGGGGTTGATTGACCAGAGTCTCCAAAATCAAGATCATCATTGCCACCAAGTTCTTGGGCAAGTCCAAAGTCGTCATCAAAATCGTAATCACCTTCAGCTTTGCCAAACGCATCGGCAGATATGGATGCGAAGAGATCTTCCACTGGAAGGACTTTAGTTCTGTATTTGACCTCTTTACTCGGCGGTGTCGGGGGAGCAAGTGCGTTTGCAAGCGTAATCAGAGTCTGGGTTGAATCTGCGCATGTCTCAAGAACAAGGAGGTCGTCTCGCAGCTCAACGTCAATCCACTTATTCCCATCTGCCTGATTGACGCCTACTTGAACCACAACTTTTGCGGAAGAGAGATAGCAGATATCAACGTACCCTCGTCGGCATAACTCCTCTACTTGCGCTGTAGGTGTGTTCAAACTGCGTCGTCGAATGGTCGAAGAGAACTCCTTGGATTCTAGCGTTGAAACATCGTCGGCGAGGAGAATTGATGCCTTGTTAAAATAACCAAGAGCTTTCGCATCGTCGCCGCCAGAAAGAGTAACTTCAAAATGAGCGTCCGTCAGTACAATCACCATCTTCGATACCAACCCAAGTGGATTCAGGCCTAGTAGACAGTCGCGGAAAACGAAGTCCACCTTCGTTGGTTTCGCCTCTCGACCTTTTTCTTTGTTGGGGATTGGGGATTGGGTTTGTGGCTTTCCTGTGATAGCTGCGTGCGCATGCTCGCCAAGATTCGCTACTGAAGCAGCTAAGGTTGCCTCGAAATCCTGCGGCGTCGCGTCCTCAGCAAGGCCAAGAATATCCATGACTGTTGGTACGCGGTACTCAAAATTCAGATACCGCATTCTGACTTTGATAACAGGCTCCATCTCATCCCCGATTATTCTCATGGTTAACACAGGTCCAGGACTGACCTTGTCGACTGACGGAACGCTTGTACCAACTAATTCCTCGTTGTGATTTCTCTGTATTGAGATAGAGCCGAGGCCAAGAGCGACTAGGGAGGGGATGGTAATATGGCCAACTTCTGTATCCTTCAACGAAGCTCGTATAGAGCCGAATTTCCCACCAATGTCCAAGGAAAGGTCCATGTTGCGGACAAGAGCCAGAGTAAGGATCCCGGGCCGGTCATCTTCAGGCAGGTATTTGGTAACGGATGACAATCGAGAAACCTCTTCACCTAATGCAGGTAACACATTGAGATGCTGGAGTTTGCCGACGTTGACTTCAACATCATCTAGATTGATGCGCAATACGGCACCCTTTTTCCGTTGCCGAAGCAGAGTATCCACCATAATCTCATCGTCATTCTGGTCGAATTTATGTTTAGATGGGGTGATGAGCTCTAGGAGTCTTTCTAGGTCGCTATCTTTTGGAGTTGCAAGGTACTCAAGACGAGTGTTTGTGACGACTGCGCTAATGGGAGGATCACCAGCGGTGCCTCTCAAGTAGGGGCCGGCAAGGTTTATCTTGGAAATGCCGATGCCAAGTCCTTCTTCTCGACTGACCAGCTTCACGGCACTGGTATCCAGAGATACGCTACACTCCTTGCCAACAATGTCCAGACGAAACCCGCCAAGCCTCATGTTCGCTTTATTCTCCGAGCTCGCAGATGTGTCGTCTGGGCGTATAGGCGCATCAAATCTTACGCCACGCGGTTTTGGTGCTTTCCGTACAGGGCTCTGAGGTGTAGGCGAGGCATTCGAGGTCATTGATGAACTCGTGTTCAAGAACCCGCTCAAGCCCCCAAACCAGCTGAATGTCTCATCCAATCGCTGAAGATCTATTTTAAGATGGAGTGGTAAAGTTCTGACTTCACATTTTGTTGTCGTAGGAGTTTGGCTGATCTTGAGAGAAATATCGGCGCCAGGGGAAGGAAGCGCATCTCTCACCGAGGCACGCATTTGTATGCGCTGATCGAAGGATATGATATTGTCATTACCATATCCAAATTTGAACTTGCCAACATCCACTGAAGTCTTAGTTGAGGATGGTGATACTGACAAGCCCACACTCAGATTTTGGATATCCGCAGTCAACAGAGCATCAGCACTGAATGAAGTAGGGCTAGGGTTAAACAGGCGTTCGGGTGTATCGGCAATGCCGATAAGGTTCTCGAGGAAATGTATCGTAATCTGCTCTGCAACAATCTTGATATCTGGTATCGACGATGGGCTACCTTTACTTTCGGCCTTCGCCTTCTGCTTGGATGAAGAATTTTCAGGGGGGCGATCCTTTAGTGCTGATACAATTCGCGACACCACCGTGGCCAGTAAAAATCCTGTCGAAAGATCAGAACGTATTTCTAGGGCTGATAAGATGACCTCCAAGGTTTTGTCCAGAGCAGGTCCAGAGGGTTCCATGGCAGAATTCGGGGTTATCGATGCAGTCGACTGGCTACCCGCATGTATAGAAAAGGAACCTGGAAGATTGGGTGATACGGAATGGTGCAAACGACTCTGACGTGTTCCGGTGATAGGTTCTTCTGCGACATGTGCCACTTCTATATGCTGATGATTCGAAGGGATATAGAGTGAGATAGCATTCAATGCAACAAGCTCCTTGACGATTCGCGTTGGGCCCCTCGGTGTTGCGGCTTCTTCTACTATAGAGTCGTTCCTCCCTTCACACCGAGGGGCGTCGTCGTGCAAATGCTTTGCTTCTCCGAGATTATCGATTGTAGAATCTTGTCCCAGCTCATCATCTTGCGATGAGCGCGAATGGAGCGCAAAGGGTTGGCCATCATCGGCAAGCTCTTTGGATGCGATGTTTGGAGTTTCTGACGAGGTTGGGCGTGCTGCCCGTATTCCACGCTTCCGATTTGGAGAACGATCTGGGCTCGGAGGTTCTGAGTCCCAAGCCCCAGGCATTATATGGGCTGCCTGGTCCAGTTGAGAAGATCCAGCATATGAAAAGGCGCTCATGTACATACTCTCAGCTTCCTCATGGCTGAAGAGATGGGATCGCGTGAGGTCCTCTCCTGGAGAACTTGCTACGTCACTTCCACTCAGCGCTTGATCCCCACTGCTCCTTGATGATGCGACAGAACCCTCGCCCCACCCTTGCCGATATTCTAAAGCTGGCTCAGATTGGGCAGTTCGTTCCAAAGATGACCAGGGATCTGTCGGGGTATTGATAGCTGAGTGGGCTGGATGTGTAAAAGGAATTAGCCCTGGCTCATCTCGCAATGCAGTTTGGGGCGCGAGAGCCCGCGGGGTTGATGGCGCAGATCGTGATTCTTCGTCGATTTCTTCTTCATCCTGACCATCGTTCGATCCGCTCAAGTCATAGGGTATGTTGAAGGCATCTTCACTGTCAACCAAAACATGGCCATGTTCGCTTTGTGCAAGATCAGCATCATTGGAGTGCCATTCTGAAATTGGCATAGCGGGTGAAATGGGCTCTTCTTGAGCCTGGTGCCTAGAAATAGTTGGTGAGTTCGTCGCAAGCGACGAAGCGATCGATGGTGATCGAGCAAGAGTTGAAAAGACATTCGCCTCGGAGATTAGACTCGCTCGAATCCGGTTTAACCCTACAAATCGTTTTCCCTCCTTGTGGGTGACTCTAGGCAAGCCATTTTCAGTAGCTTCGTCTGCTGTCGTCGTAACGCCTTCGGCTTTCACTTCATCGATAGCAAGCTGGAAGGTAACCAGCTCAGAAATGGTTGAATTAGGTTCAACTGGCACTTCGACATTTAGTTGGAACGTAACACCCTTGATAGAAACTTGTAGTCTATCGAGTATGCCTTGCAAGAAATCTGCAAGGAAGGTGGGCAACGAGAGAGGCTGGCCTGTGCCTAGGGGGTAGTCTTCCTCACTACTGTCCTCACTGCCTGTTACAGAAGCACCGAGGTCTTGGGTTTCAGCATCAAGGGCAGCCTGAAGTGCTGCTTTATCTTGCAAAGGCTGAGTCTCTAAAAACGACTGAGCTAGATCGATGGGATGGGGAACGGGATCGCTTTCTTCGGGTGATTTAGCGTTTTTCTTCCCGTGCACGCCGCCATGTGACGCTGTTTGCGAGCCTTCGCCTCTGTGAGTAAGCTTTAATTTTATCTCAACGCCGTCAACCTCGACAATAATAGGGCTCGTATATATGGCAGAAGGAATGGTGATTCGGAGCAGTAGAACTTTGGCTTTCTGAACTTGAAATGATGGTGGAAGCTGAAGTAGCTGTTCCAGCTTCTATTTCCCCGACCGAGAAGTTAGCTTTCTTACATCAACTAAAAAGCCAGCAGAAATGATGTAGATGTAAAATGAAGGGTTGGAGTGCATGCCTGTAGCTTGATCCCAACATCTTGTAATGTGAAGACGTTGTTCCTGCCCACGGCAAAGTCCAGATTATCCGTATCTAGAGCATCGGTATCAAAGTAATCTAACTTCGAAAGTGTGTAGCGCAAGAGCCGCTTGGGCATACTAGAACTTCGAAAGGACTGAAAAAAGGCAGCCATGCTTGCGGTATTGACGCTGATACGTTTCTTTCAAATAGGTTGGGACCAAGTGAGGTCAAGAGAGAGCTTCACCGACGCGTAGGCCGCGTGTGGGGGACCTTAGGGGACGGCGATAGACTATCACGATATCCCACGACTTGGGATGCGGGGTGGTAGCTCATCGTTGTCGGCACTGACGGCGTGGGTAGATGGTGGCATAGATGATAAGATATTTTATGAGATGAAACGCCTTCTATGAGTCCGATAAAGTAAAGGACAAAAACAATGACGAATGATCAGTAAGTGATCAGATCTGTATTGTCTAAGAGACGCTGGAGAGGAAGAAGGATTACTGGAAGAGTTGGCGATGACGGGGGGGAGCATTGAATAGGTAATAGAAGGCAGGGTGCTAGCTACACTAATCTAGTACTACTACTAGGTACTGTAGACCCTTTGCACTTTAAACATGAGCTGCAGCCGAGTGTGTCATTTGATCCGCTTTGCTGCCTATCTAGGACCTAGTAATACCTAGCCCATCGTATCGATACGGCGATATGCTATGTACTGTACATATGATAACATCAATGATTGATTGAAATGCACATGTGCTAAAACATGTGCTAAAACTAAAACTGTGCACTGCTGTTAGTATGTAGGTACGCGGGTACATATAATCAATGCGCTAAACTGTGATCATTGATGCCCCTTATAACATTGAACTGTAATGTGATTAACTTGCTGGATTGCAGGCTTTTGCAGCATCTGAACCTTGAGTTTGAAGGTGGGGGTCCATTTTAGTTTTGTAGGCAGCTGACCACTCATCTTGCCTACTACTAGTAGTACAACATTTGAAGTTGCCCGTCTCGCCTTATTAAATGGATCCGTCGATTATTTATCATTTACTCCTCGATAATCATTTTCCTAAGCCAGCCCATCATGAATATTATTCATATCAGGTACCATTGGAGACTATCAATAGTAGTATTCGTCAAATGATATTATAAAACATTGCACGATGTATACCATACCTAGTATGTCAGACTTAACATATACAAAGGTAAGTACCAGTCATATCTAAAGTAAGGCTATATCTACAACTTTGAAGTTGTACTACGTAGATTGAAAGCCGCGATCATTCAAATGTACATACCTAGTACGACGTATGTATACCCCAGAGCCCGTTTATACGTACATATAGTGGCGTCAGCTTATTGAAGCTCATAGTTTGTACAAGCACGAACACAACATAATGGATCTGTGTAATACGCCCTAGCTAGCTTGCTACAATGCTACTAGGAACAAACGTTCAGACGAGCGAAAACATCAGCGCCTAGACCTTCAATGTTGGCCCAAATATTTGCTTGCTTCAAAATACGGGATATTCGTCGTGTTATTCTTAATCATGTCTAGCCCTATCTTGGGGAACTCAACTAAACCCTGCTCGTTCCCGCGTGTCTCGCACTTGCATTAAAGCAACCCTCTTGGTCAGACACCAAGACCACCTAGGAACCCAGTAGGTAGCCATCCCACTTCTATTCATCATCTTGCGTAGATTTACATAAAGGGAGGTAGCTTAAAAGGATAGCCGCCATTCTTGACCCGGAAAACTGATAGTAGGAAGCTATACATAAGAACCAGGACACCTCCCCAGACAATAACTGTGAGTTGCTGGAACTTAGGATCCCGAGTTCTTGGGGCCTTGATTGCTAGGGATATGGTGGCAAAGGAAAGGACACCGTCTAGTCTAATGTTAGCAAGAAATTCATATGGAGGTGAGTCTTATCTGTAGGCACTTACAAATGAAAGCAATAATTTGTGTCTCGAGTCCAAATTGGCTCTGGAACCCCGCGGCAAAGTAGTTGATGCCACCACGTCCATCACCAGCTACATACGGCACCTTTCGGATCTGGTTGAACATATGGCCGCTAGTGAACAAGAGAATACCGATCAAGCTCAAGCCTGCCCAAACATTGCGGTTTTGGATGACGGGGAGCACATACGGCCAGGCCTTGAAAATAACACCTGCGACGCCCAGAGTGCTGACAATAGATACTATCCATCCGATGTAATTGACTGGTCGGCTCACAGCAGGGTGAGGTCGGTCAGGCAGGTGCCGAGAGAGCCATACGTGCACATTCTCGGCAGACTGCGGTCTAAGAAGAGCATAAGCATCGCATCGAACCACCACAACCCAAAAATAATCACTTACCCGCTGAAATCGTAGCGAATGGCATCGCGAGTGGTGCCGGCATGCGGTCCAGTTGTGGGCTGAAATAGAAGAAGAACGGGAGCAGATTGAAGACCGAGCTGTACGGAGCCAAACAAATTAGCTTCATAAACTCACATAAACTCAATCGACAGATATATGGTTGCTTACGGATATGAAAGTATCTCTCCCATTAGAGAAATCAAGAGTTCCAAAGATCAGACGAGATTCGCCATTCTTATCGCCCTTAGTCCAACTTCTTGCCAACACATCCCATTCTGGCTGGAACTCAGTACAAAGTTGGCAACCAAAGCGCGCATCTAAAGCGGTCAACAATACGGCGACAGAGTAGTCTCGGGGAGCGGATGTGAGCTTCTTGTAGGAGGCGTCGGCAAGCTTTAACGGGGAAGAGGCCTGGGCTTTCGTGTGAAATTCACTAAATCGATCGACCGTAGAGGGATTCTTGGCAGCGAAGGACCCCAAAGGAAGCGCAAAAGAAAGTAGAAGAGGTAACCAGCGCATGTTGGCGGTATTTTAAACTATGAACTTCATTAAAGAGCAAATGGAAAATATCGTGCTTGCGCACAATTGACAAGGACGAAGTTGCCAGCCAGCCAGATACCTAGGTAGCTGGAGGTATGTACAGTTCTTGGTGGTATGTAAACTTTAGTATTCGTATTCCGAGTTCAATCAATGTGTCCTCAATTGGAGTGGCTTTTTTTTGGAGTTTGAAGCTCGAATAATGCATAAGCTCTGTTACAGACTTACATAATTACCCGTACTGTGGATAAAGTCACATGTGCAGTTAATGCAGGGGCCGCGTAACTTTGTAGATAATTGTGCAGCTGTTATGTGTAACTTGACCTCTTGGCTGTCAGGTGCGAGATACCCCACAATAACGGCCCGACATAAACACCTTTCATACGGCATAGTACAATCACGCTAACCCTTTTGTAGCACTTTGTTGACTTGGAATTTGACCCACCAAACAACTTCGGTTACCGCTTCTCCCAATTCCCCAATTCTAATTCTTGCTGCTGGCTGGTCTTCCTGAATTTCCTGAATTTCCATACGACATAATTTCAAGCTACTGTACCTACAACTTATTTACCCTACTTAACATCACCCCTGTTAATAACGCGCAAGAAATTGATCATTCAAATCTACTGAATACATATCCTTTTCTGTGGCGCACTGTTTATTGAGCCTACCTCAAGATTCAGACGCGTCTAGTCTACCTGAATGGGTAGATCTACTAAGGCGACCATGGGCCGCGAGGTGAAGGTAAATATGGACGCCGACAAGGTAATTAAACCTACTACTTCAGTCGTTGTGATACCCATAATAGAATGAAGACGAATATCCGAATGGCCTACTTCACTCGAAACTGTTGCTAACCATTGTGGTTATAAACAGAGCAGGGAGTTGCTACATGACCTCGAGCTGAAGCATCAGATGAATGCTAGTAACACCGAAATACTTATCAAAGATGAAGACGTTCGCCGCCTACGAGTTAGGATTCTCCTGTTACGGGACGAAAACACGTCCTTGCGAGATGAGATAGCCCACAACAATGACACAAACACACAACTAGTAGCCAAGTGCGAGGATTTAGGGGCTGGTTTGGAAGCCAAGATGGACGTAATTCGCTCGCAGGAAAAGCAGTTACAAAAACAAGAGCGCGAATATTCAAACTTGAAGGTAATATTCAAAATTCCCTGTCTTTAGGGGGGAAACAAAGTGCGCGGTGTTCTAATCATATTTTAGGCCGAGCTACAAGCCATGAACAACGCTACCCAAGATTCCTCTAACCTACTCGCCGAAAAATTATCCTTAAGCCGTGAATTGGCTATCCTCAAACCTGAGATCGAACATTTACGATCACAGGTAAATCATCAACAAGCAACACTAGCGGAGAAATTAGCTCTAGAACGTCAAGTCACCACTCTAGAGGTCGAGCTTGCCAATGAGAAGAAGGCAACCAAGCGCGCCATACAAAAACGTGAAAGCCACGACCGAGCCGAAGATGACCTCAGAAAGAACCTACGTGAAGTAGAGAAGAAATTGACGGCGGAGAAGGCGGAGCGCGAGAGACTTGAAGATCAGCTTGAGCAAGAAAAGCGAACACGCCAATTTACATTACAAGACCAGGACAGCACTCGAGAACTAGAAGCCGACCTTCGAAAGAAGCTACAGGAAGCTCAGAAACAGCTCCGGCAAGAGAAAAACGACAGAGAACGGTTGGAAGGGGAGCTTGAGGCCGCCAAGCTTGAGGCGAAGAAGGCACAGAGCAGCCAATCTAGCAGTGTCGTCGAAGATGAGCTACGCTCTCAACTCGAAGATCTAAAGCTGAGTCTAGAATCTCGGCAGAAGGAGAACGCCAAAATTCGGCGGGAGGGTCAAGCAGCAATGGTGGAGGCTGTGGCCCAAAGTGACCAACTGGAAAAGAAGGTGGAAAGGCTCAAAACCAAGCTACGTGAGGCCCAAGAACAGCTCAAGCAATGCCAAGCAGACCTTCGAAAAGCCCAACAATCAATCCCCTTGAGTTCAGACGAAGTTCCCAAAGTAAATGGCCGATCCCAGGCTGTCCGCAAGAGAAAAGCTCAAGACATGGCAACGGATGATTTCACGCAAATCGAGATACAAACTCCAGGTGCTGATGATACTACGAAGGGGCGTCGTGCATTAAAGAAGCGAGGTCTCGAGCCAACACTTGTGGGCGAGAAATCCATGTTCTCTATTACGCCCTTCCTAAACCGTACCAAGAGTATCATGGAGGATACTCCCAGAACTGAGGAAGGGGCATCAAATGACTCTGTTACTGCCCCCTTAGAGAGCGAAGCTGCCGAGCCTACAGCCACAACAGCTGCAGGCACAGCGACTGAGGTAGTTGAGGGTCATGAGACAGATTCATCGGCTCCAGCCGAGGATGAAAAGCCCAAGCGAGGCTTAAAATCTCGGGGTCGACCCAAGAAAGTGCTCGGTGAAGCCCCATCGGCCAAGAAAAATGCACAGGCTCTTCCAAAGAAGGCACTCAAAACCAAGAGCAGCCTCGACAAGGTCGTGGAGGTAACTAAAAACGACAATCTAGAGAACAAGCACGAAGCCGCTGTGGGACAACCCGTGGAGAGGACGACAACTGTTAAGTTCAATTTCAATCTCCCACAGGATGAGACCATATCCGACTCAAAAGCCGACCAGCCCAAGAAGAAGAAGCGCAAGATCCTTGGTTCGACCAAAACCTTGTTTGACGAGGAGGAGGGTGAGGCACCGCCAGCTAGGAAACCTGCCAAGGTACAACTAGGTGGTGCGAAGAGGGCGCTGGGGAAGGTAGCATTAGGACCCAAGAACGCGTTTGCCGGTGCGCCCACCTTTTCACCTCTAAAGAAGGACCGCAAAGGTGTCGGTGCTAGTTTCATGGCATGATGCAGTTTGATCCAAGCATATTCAGGATGGCGGGATACTTTCATCGGCAAAGAGGTTTTGGGACATGCATTGCAGGCGTTATTATTTCACAGATTGGTTTCTTTGCAGTGTGACTGGGCGTTCCGAGTCAAGGTTGTATAAATAGGTACATAGTTGCATTCATACTATGAATATGAACGCCCCAGCTCATTATAGGGCCATTCTACATATTTTGCCAACGCAGGTATTATCTCCTATCTTAACTACATGGGTAGACAGACAGACGGTCACAGTGATGCCAGTTTCAGGGATGAGATGTTGAAGGAATGCTTAGCACCATTGACATGTCCTAGACAGTCCAAACTCGAGTTGACGTAAAGCCACACCCTCTTATGCAGTCTTGGGCTTCTTATGGGTTCCCTTGACGCCATCCCCAATCATAATGAGTCTATCCTCTCTGTAGTCCCAGGTCATAACCAACGCAGCCCCCGGGCCAGCACCGCCTTAACGTAATCAGACATATTGGACTTGCCATCGATCCGCAAGACCCGCAACACATCCATGACGGCGAGCCAGGCCCAAGCAAGCATCATGACTTGCGTGCCTATTAGGTCCCACTGGAAGATGTAGTGCATCCCCAGCACCATGCTGTCCTTCCACGTCTGGCGATTCGGCAGGAACGTGTGGCTAAGCGAGAGCTGCGGGTTGGTGCCTGCGGACGTGAACCACACGTACAGCGTGCCCAGGTGCACGGCGGCCGAGATCAGGCCCGTGATCAGGTACAGGCGCTTGAGGTGCTTGACAGCGGCGTTCTTCTTAGGCGGCGCTGCCTTGGAAGACGCCGACATTGACGGTGAGGCGAAGAACGAAAACACCAGCAGCAAAGGGCTCACGAGGATCGGCGATACCTGCCACAGCGCCGTCAACCACTGCGCCGTCTCGACGTCGACCCTCGGGCCATAGTACAGCGCGACGCTCGGCACGGGGTACCCCAGCAGGAAGTATACTTGCTGCGCGCGCTCGCCGGCGTCCCAGGCTAGCGGGCCGGCTAGGAAGGCGGCGACGAGGAAGAAGGCGGTTTGGTCGATGAAAGGGCGGCCGGTGTATTGGGTTAGGAGGGGCACGCCGTTCTCGAAGCGGGAGGTGCGGACGACGGAAGAGAAGTTGAGGGGCACGGAGTTAAGGGAGGGGACGCGCATGAACCATCCGAACAGGGCGCCGGTGAAGAGGAAGAAGGTTATGGCGAGGCTGCTGAGGGGACGTCGGGGTGGCGTGGGTGGGTTGGGTTTTGGACTCGCCGTCTTTCTTTTGGATAATGAACTGTTTTTTCTCTTTTGTTTTGTCTTCTCAATCTCTCGACGATTAAATATTCCTACAAGATGTTCCGTTCTCGAACCCCTGAATACAATCACAAGCTTACTGCTGGTTTACTGCACGTTGGAACGATGGTCAGTTGTGCCGCAATTTCCCGAGAACTGTTAGAACCAAACAGCTAGCATCAAGCCAACAGTTAACGTTGAAATGGCAGTGTACATAACCCTGAGCAGCCCAGAATGTAGCTGCCTAGAGAACGGAGAGATATTTAGATAATCATGAAAGTGTATGTGCCCCTTATATCGTATGAAGCAATGGGTATCACGTGGATTTGAAAAGGGGTGATACATTCCGAACACTCATATTATCGAAATATCGCAGTCATCGTTAAAACCGCTACGATTTTTTATCATATTGTAAAGAATAGGTCAATTTCATCTGGTGATCTTAGTTTACTGAAAACCATTGCTTCCCTAGTAGGTACCTAGAAAGCCATATCAGGTTGAGCTGTGTGGCCTATTTCCAACGACACCTTCTTTATACTTTGGGCCAACGCTGTTATACTAATCAGCTTCCTCCCTCAATTCATCTTGTGTCTCTCTTGGACAACTTACTAGGTACACAACACGTGAGATCCTCTCAACCGAGCAAGTGTAGTTCATACCAGGGCCCTGAGCCCCCCGTGCCAACGCAGGTCTGATCTGAATGAACAGTAAGATCTCCAGCACTTGTGCACGACTCGTCGTTGCAACGGGTGACTAAGCACGACTGGCTGTTTCCCGAACTCGCATGGCACCTTACATAGCCTCCGCCACTTCCGAAGATGTTGTGGTTGGCGCAGTCGAAGCTAGTGCCGATGAGAGCGGAAGACTTCATGATGTGAACTAGTGCGAAAAGCTATTGTGGTAGTTTGGTGGAAGGTATGAGGATGTAAGAAGATAATGAGTGAGCAAGAGAATAGAGAAGTCATGGAAAGGTATTTATATTCCTCCATCGTCTAGGTATTTGGCAAGGCTTTGGGGAGCGTCCTCTTATCCCAGAATTGGCGTAGCAGCACAGCGTCCATTGCTCTCATCAGACCTGACCGGTGATGATTTTCGGATCCTTCTGGCAAATATCGCATCGTCAAACTTGCTCAAGGCAGTGAGACAACATGGCTAGTCTTTGAACCGATTACACATATGCTTTGGAAGTTGCTTCCCACTTCAGGTGCATTCTGCAACGTCTGGTTCGTCTTAGTAATATAGACTCCATCATTCCGCATAAGTTGTGATAGGATGCCTCGTCCTGGCTGTCTCATATTGGGCTTCTTGCCACCTGCTGTAGTTACACCAACAATCACTACCATGCACTCTTATTTTGAGAGGCGCGAGTACTATTTTCTTATTAGTGTTATGTATGAAAAGGGAAAGGGATTGGTAACATAAGTATTGAGTTTAGAGCCAGTCGTATAGACAACTCTGAAGTGTCATTGCTTGAGATACCCCCTTAATCTTTATCGTTACGTTACGAGCCTATAACTACAAACATGAGCGGCTCAAGTATTATCTACTTCTTACAATTACTAAATTTGACAGATCAAGCTCAGTCCATGCTACTTATCCTCATTACCACACGGTCCGCAGTGGAAAAATACCATTATACTTAACGTGCCTAGTAGCTGGACGGACAGCACCTAATAGGTAACACCCGACACCAGCGAGCATCTACTTCGATCTCTATATAACGCCACTTCATTAGTGCCCAGACAAACGTGCAAACGTGGAGATAAAATGTAGGCATGCCATGAGAAGAATAGGGAGCCAAGTAGAAATCAATATCGTGCAATTCATTTGAAGTTATGTACCTTAAGTTAGTAAGCTCGATTTCTATCGATAAGATACTAATATGTGATATGTGATATGTGATACAGTACTGATAAGTACATAACCAAGAATGCTTAAATTGTCTAAAGCGGCATATTACTCTAAAGGGAAGTACATAGTACGAAGTAAAATTCATTCAGGTTCAATTTTCATTTGAAATTATGTAATGTCGTAACTTGAAGTTGTGCAATACATGCCTTCAGTTCACCACCGTCGTCACCTTACCTAGGGTACTTATCTTCTTAATCTGCTAAGACAATATGAGATAGGACACTGTACGATCTCTATCCCATGATTTCATATCATGTCAATGTGGGCGTTGGCAAGAATAAAAGCACCTCTTAATGGGGGGCTTATAAGAACTACTGCTCTTACGGCTGCCCTTCCATCCCCATCTCTTCGAGGTACTCTCTCGTTTGTCGTGTCAGAAAGTATACGCTATAGCTCATCATCATCAAGCACACGATGGAAGGATGCAAACAGCAAAGACAAGTTCGCCCAGCAGGCCAAGATACAAGGCTTCAAGAGCCGTGCTGCTTTTAAACTACTCGAAGTGAGTTGGCAATTCATCCTCGTAGAAGACCTATGCAGCGCAAAACTCACAGCCAAACTCTGGAACAGATGGATTCAAAATACAAGTTGTTCAAACGAGGACAAACAGTGGTCGACCTAGTATGTACCTATGTTTTCAGGCCTTCCATACCTAACATCGCAGCGCTGAGTAGGTAATTTTAGGGATATGCACCAGGTAGCTGGTCTCAGGTATGAAAACTACATGCCTACCTATGCATGCTATATTTTCTGCGCCTGCCTGCCATGCTTACCTTTAAATCAAACCCAGGTCGTCGTGGATCGCACAAAACCAAATGGCCGTGTGGTTGGAATTGACATAATTCCGGCGCAGCCACCAAAGGGGGTCTCAACTATTCAAGGCAATTTTCTAAGCCCGGGTGTCCAAAAGCTAGTAAAAGACTACCTCATCGAGTTTGCCCAGAGGAAGAGCCCGTCAGACTCTGCGGCGGAAACAACGGAAGGGATAACCGAACGACCGAGTTATATTGATTCCGAGCGCTCTGAATCGACTGACCACCATTCACCTCCGGAGGGTGATGGAAGACTTGTAGATGTATGCCTCCTTTTACCTATCCAGCACAGCTCCCCCACATCCCAATCAAACCCAATTGACTGACCATACTGTAGGTAGTTATAAGCGACATGTGTGAACCCTGGTACCAAAACATGGGACCATCGAGAACTTTGAGTAACCCTTCTGTTCGCAGGTTGATGAATACGAGCGGTATGAGTTTCAGAGATCACGCAGGTAGCATGGTAAGCCTAGAATGTTTCCATAACGAAGCACAGTCCTTGCCATGGAAGACTCACCCGACTAATTTGTAGGACCTCTGCCTTGCCGCCTTGCAATTTGCAAGCGACACTTTGAAAACCAACGGCCACTTCGTCTGTAAATTCTACCAAGGCTCCGAAGACAAGGACCTAGAGTTGATGCTCAAGAAGCTGTTTGCAAAGGTTCATCGTGAGAAGCCAAACTCGTCAAAAAGCGTGAGTTTATCCACCTCGCTTCTAAGACTCATACTTTCTGTGCTGATCCGCTATATAGGACTCACGAGAAGCATACTTCGTGGCCTTACGTAGAAAAGGCGGTGTCACACTTTCAGACATTGCCAAATAGCTGCTATCTCACTAAGCTAACAATCACTGTATAATATCGTATTATGTTGTACTATACTGTCAAGAGAAGATGAGATATGAGAAGCCGTCGGGAAACTTCATATAATGCATTGATGGAACAAGATGGGGGCTTGTGGTGAATGTCGGTAGTAGTAATGAGTTCTGCACTACCTCGATGCTTGCCCGTGTAAGAAAACTGGAAATCACAGAAGTCTCTTAAGAGCAACCCCTCCCCCCTTTTAACTACCTTCGTTCATTTTTGTCGCCAATGTCATTTGTCTGTTTCCGTCCATCTACCTAACAGCACCAGCCTGGAATACCAGTCGCGTCGTCTCCGAGAGTCTCGTTTCCCGGGGGACCACATATTGAACTAGTCCCGTTTATACGTATCGGGTTCATACTGAAGAATGTTCCTGTATGTACCCACCAGGCACGTAGTCAGTCTCGTCGATTCTTTAACAGTTCTGGATCAAAGGGTAGCCCACCATTTCTACATTCGCATACAGGCCGGTCAATACAGCAATGGGGATCTTCGAATGGGACGCACTCGGCGTTGACGTTGAAGGTAAAGTTGATGTGGCGAAATGTTGACAAAGATGGTCTGAAATAGCGTCTCGCGGAGGTGGCATCGAAAGAGGATACGACGAGAAGACTCAAGAAAGCGAATGAAGCCATGCTGAGTTCGGTGTTGGTTGGGGTACTCGATCCAGGCACAGCTAAAGCGATTTGTTGATCAAGGCGTACAGGTGCAAAAATGAGTGTTCTTCAGACTATCTTGATTGTCTAACTAGATGGTTACCTCATAGGCACCTAGATATCTCTGGGATAGATGGATGGGCAAAGGTACGACTCTCTATATATCTCAGATTGAGGAAGCGAAATGAGCATATGTACCTAGGTAGGTATGTACTCCGAAGCCAAATTTCCACCTTGAACGAAGGTCAACGGGTACACGTCACACCATCTACTCCCGTCGGCCTTTCCCAAGATTGCGAAACTATGGGAAGCGGCCGTACCCGCCGAAGTCTACCCAGTAGGTTTGCTTGGGTCCTTCTTCATCGTGTACCTTCCTATCTGATTAGGTAGTATCCTAGGTTAGGTAGTTCCTACTAGGTACTCTGCTACATAGGAGGTAGGCTAGGTACTTACTTCCTTTTAAGTTTAGAACAAGAGGTAAAGAAAAGCAGAAGAAAAGCAGAAGCTGCGTGTCAAAGTTGAGCACTTCAACTCATCCTAAACATACCTAAGATAGCTAAGCTATTGGTAAACATGGACAACCTCTCAATCATATCCCCGTCTTCTTCTTCCTCCTCCTTCAGCTTAGGGTACCCAACTTTGATTCTCTCTTTTCAAGCGTTGCTTTCGCTACCATAATTCTTGGCTTATTTTCTTGCTTTCACTCTCGTTTCTTTTTCTTTTCTCTTTTTTCTTTTCGTTGCTAATACTATCAATTCTGTTCGAAATGGCCACCGAGAAAGATATATGGGCTTTTCATCCCGAATCGCATGCCTGTTCCCCTGATGATCTCCATGAGGTCTGTCTAGACGACGATGCCAAAGAAGCTCGAGCCCATATACCAGCTGGGAGCCGACCCGAATGCCTCAAGAATGCTGCCCACGAATGTGTGTTCGTGGCTCTCATTGCCTTTGCCGCTGCTACTCCCGTCTTCCTTCAGCGTTCTGTTGTTGTCGTTGCGGGGCCTATATCTGAAGCGCTGCAAATGACTCCGGCTCAGATTGCCTGGACCACGGCAAGTTCTGGGTACGTATACCATGAGACCCATTATAGACACAAGCTTACCCCTTTATAGGCTCACGACCGGTGCATTCTTGCTACCATTTGGCTACATTGCCGACACTTGTCCTGTTCTGCCTCGCAAAACCCTCCTGATCTCTAGCTTGATAGCCTTTTGTCTACTTGTTTCTTGCACGTCCTTTTCTCGGAACGGCATTGTACTCGATGCTATATCCGGCTTGACCGGTATAGCTTGTGCGGCGAACGTCCCCATTGCTGTGGGCATACTGAGTCTTGTCTACCCTACACCATCCCGCCGCAAGAACCTTGTCTTCTCCTCTTTCCTCATGGGAACTCCGGTAGCGACCATTATCGGTGGCCTCGGTTCTGGCGCCTTAGCCCTCGAAATTGATTGGAAAGCTCCATTCATTGCCTTGGCAGCATTGTACGCTGTCATCTCCGGACTTGCCTGCGTATTTGTTCCAAACATTCCGGAGCCCGAGGCAGCGCAAGAGAGGACCGAGGTACGCATTCTCGCAGAGCCGGAGGCTTTTCCTATGCTCTCCGTAGAGATGCCTAAAGAGAGATCTCCTTTCTTGCAATTCGATTGGTTGGGCTTGTTTTTACTAATCACAGGACTCCTCCTATTCACCATTGCTTTGACAATTGGCCCTCAGGGTCCGGAGCCATGGAAGACGCCAACGGTTATCCTTCTCCTGATACTAGGATTGCTGTCTCTGGGATGTTTTCTTCTTTGGGAGAATGTTACCCAGGCACCGATGATACCTCCATCCATCTGGGAAAACTTGACGGTAGCTTTGGTAAGTTAGGCTTTGCATTCAATTAGGCAAACACTGACTTTTTATGTAGATGATTATCTGCACATTGAGTGCCGCTATGTCTTTCTACTCTCAGCTATTCTGGGTCTCTTTGTTCATGCAAGACCTGGGGGGCCTCAAACCATTTGATGTTGCTATAAGGATGCTGCCACAGGCTCTTATGGGCTTGGTGTTCAGCCCTCTCGTTGGTTTAATTATGCATAGGGTACCAGGAACTGTGCTATTAGCTATGGCCGCTACCTCTCTCGTCGCAAGCAACGTCCTTCTCATTTTCTTGCGTCAAGGGAGTAACTACTTAATTTGGATATTTCCATCGCTTATGTTAAGCACCATTGGAATGGATTGGACTATGAACGTTGGGTCGGTAAGTACCTAGTCTCTTCTAGCACTCACTTGCTTCCTTGACTGGGTGTCCTTTAAAACTGGACGTGATATGTATCTAACGACATTGTAGCTTTACATTTTGTCTTCTCTCCCGCTTAAACACCATTCTATCGGGGCTTCACTCCTACAAACCACAAGTCGTCTTGCGGTTCCTCTTGGTATGGGAGTTACAACTGCTATCTGGTCCTCATATGACGAAGTGCGGCTGGATGATTATCCAGAACTTCCATACACAAACACATTCATAACAACGACGGCTTTCGCAGGGGTCTCGCTTCTCCTGGTACCATTCCTTCGAATTGGGAGACAAGGCCATTTGAAGCGCGAGGCATCAGCATCAGAGCATAGGAATCGCAATGCTAAGCCAACCACACCAACTCTTCCGCGACTTCCACCAACACCACCTCGACACTTTCATCATGAACATGGACATCGTCCAAGCAAACGTTGGTCCCCCGTTGACACTGTGGCCACGTCTATCGTCGGCGAGAGAAAGCACACAGCAGCTGCTTCAGTGTCCTCCCAGTCGTCACGCAAAAGTGCAGACACTCCCAAGACGAGTAGTTCAGCAAGGACTACTATCCGGCGGGGGCGCAGTCCATCCGAGAGGGTTGTTTGGATTGTCTGCGAGGAATGCGGTACGAGTAAGCGTCACACCCAGCCGCGTGGCCCCATAGGAGATCCAGCACGGTATTTCAATGACCCTACGTTTAGCGGATCCGTTGATGGTCGGAATAATCACCATCATCCGACAAGCAGTCAGACTGCGAGCAACAACGGCAACGTCCAAAATCATCATCATCCTCATCATCACCACCCTCCGCTCCCAAGACCATTCGGGGGGCGCCGGCGTCTACCGCTTGTGAACCGCCAGATTATGACCCATCAGATGTTAACGCAGGGGTTTCAGCCTTGATCACCATCGAGATGAAGCCACCTTGACTCGAAGACAGAGGGGCAGTTTTTGTATGTATCCTGGAAAAATGCAAGGAGGGCTTCGTAGGAGACGAACCTGTAGCGGGTTCAGTTTCAATACTGAGTTGGAGAAGTAACTTGGGGAGGTGAGATATGACTTATTCACAACAAGTTTTGGTAAGGTCACAAGACCTTTTTGGAACTTTCTTGGGCGAAGTATTCAACGACGTGGGACATGTAGTGTCTTGCCGGAAATCCAATCCTTTACACGAAGTCGGATCCATATATAGATAGATTAGTGCCTCATCATACCGTCATAATACATCTAATACTTGGAGGCCACAATCTTTCATTCCCTTTGGGCATTGATCATAATATTTGATAACTATTTTGATTTGTATTTATTTGAATTAGATGCTGACCCCGTGACTAAATGCTATTTACTTGGAACCAACCCCCATACGCTCCTGATAGCTACGGTAGGTAGTACTCGTACATTGAGTTACATCGATTTTATAATACATGAATTCTCGATGTGAACTTCTTTCTCTTGGTTCGTCACACAAGATGTGTTAACTGGGCTTTTTGGTCGGATGAGGACTCGTGGTGGTGGTGGTATCGTTGACTCATCCCGCTGCTGAAGTGTTTACCCGGTACTGCGTAGGTACCTAGGCACACGCCTTCGACTACACTGAGCTATGCATGCATACGCATTGTATAGCTCATAACTTGGCATTAGGCATCTGCCGCATCGCCTGCCGCACGCCCAAGTCGCCCAGAACCTCCTCGGCACCACCAAGAATGGCATCGAACTTGTACGTGCGGTGGAACATCTCGATCACGCGTCCCATGCCGGACTGCGTGAGCCCCCTCCCGCCAAAGATCTGCACAGCCTCGTCGGCGATCTCGTGCGCCGCGCGCGTGGCGCTCATCTTCAGCAGGCCGATGGGCCCGCCGAGGTGCTTCGCCTGCTGCTCGTACGGCATGTGGCACATCTGGTAGGTGAGCGTCTCGAGCCAGGACTGGTGCGACTCGCAGAGCGCGATCATCTTGGCGAGCTTCTGCCGGATGACGGGCTGCTCGATTAGACGCTTGTTGAAGACGAGGCGCTGGTGGGACCATTTGAGGCATTCTTCGACGACGGTGCGGCAGTTGCGGATTACGCCGCCTGTTGGGGGAGGTTAGTTGTGTTGTTTTGCGTTGAAGGGGGGTGGGAAAGGGGCGGAACTTACAAGCCATAGTCCATCGCTCGTGGTTAAAATTGCTCAGAATAACGTAGATGCCCTTGTTCTCCTCGCCGAGCAGGTTCTCAACAGGCACCTTGACATTGTCGAAGGTGATGTACGCGGTGCCGGCGGTGGGCGAGTACGAGGTCTTGATAGCCTTGGTCTCTATGCCCTCGCCGCGCTCGATGAGCAGAACGCTCAGCCCCTTGTCCGTCTTGACGCCGGTGACGAAGTAGTCGCTGAACACGCCGTTGGTAATCCACTTCTTGGTGCCGTTGACGATGTAGTGCTTGCCGTCGGGCGTCTTGGTCGCGGTCGTGCGCAGGCCCGCCACGTCGGAGCCCGCGAAGGCCTCGGTGATGGCTAGGCACATGTACTTCTTACCCGTGAACACCTCCTCCATGATCGCCTTTCGCCGTGCCTGGTCCTTCATGTAGTGCATGACGCACGGCAGGCCGATCACCATGCCCGCCAGAAAACCGTCCTGGAACCCGCGCGCGTTGGGGCGCACGCCTTCCTGCCCTATTATCATGTCGTGGAAGTAGTCGAACTCCTCGCCCTTGACGGCGCCGCCCAGTAGCTCTACGCCGTGCAGGTGCTTGCCGGGGCCGAGGCGCATGCGGATCAGCCCGTTCTTGGCCATGATGTCGACGAGGCTCTGGCTGATGTACTTGCCGTCGGCCTCGCGGGCCTGGGCTTCAGGGGTGATGTGGGTGTCGGTGAAGATGCGCATGGCCTTTTGCAGGCGGCGATGGCTGTCGTTGTAGTAGGGGCTCTTGTAGTTCGGGGTCAGCCACAGGGGCTCGGCGTAGGGGACGGTGCTGAGGTCGCCGGGCTGCGGGGTGATGACCTGGGGCTTCTCGCCCTCGAGGGTGCCGATGCACAGGTCCTCGTACTTGGAGAGGACCTCGTGGCGGTGCAGGTTGTAGAAGGAGACGGTGGCGTCTTGGCCGGCGACCTGGCGCAGGACGGACTCGCCGCCGGGGTGGGCGTCGACGAAGTCGGTTGCGTCGTAGACTTTGCTGTCGATCACGAACCATAGCGAGTCTTCGGTGGTGTGCTTGGCCACCTCGGCGCGGGTGTATGTCTTAGACATTGTGACGACGGGAGTGTGATGGATAGATGCTCGGGACGATCAATCGCAGATTGGGGGCAGGGATACGAAGAGGATTTAATAAATTCTAGGTATAAATTAACTTGAAAGACAAGGCCTTCTATATAAGATCTTAGAGACAAGAGCACTTGAAGCTCATAAATGTTCAAAATTATGATGCAAAGGGGGAGTTAAACTATGAAATAGATAGAGCAATGCCATGGTTTATAAATAAAAGAAGACTGTCTTATCATCTAGTTATCATGCATCCCTTTTTGACGTCAAGTCTGGGGAACTTGTCAGCGATACCTCGGCTCGGTCAAAGTTGCAAGGGGAAGATACAATCCGGATTGGAATTTGCTGGTCTCTGATTGGATACTCCGGCTCCTGCCCCCTTGTTCGTTACTATGCTACAAGCACTAGACCCCAGCATCTACTCTAGGCATCCTAGCCTACCTGCTTACCTGAGCTTGCATCTCTTCTAAAGTTTTAGCGGTGTTTTCCTAGGTTAGTTAACGCTTTCAGACTCCAGAGGGCGCAAGATCTTTGATCACATGCCACCACACCACGCATTGGCTTTTTATTTTCCAAGGTTATCTTCATTTTTGGGATTCGTTTTGAGTTTTAAATGCATACAGCTCAAAGCGTGCTGCATCGTCGATAATATGGCCACGATACGAGGAGATTACGATAGTATAAAATGGAGGAAAATAGGGGGGGATATGCCCAGTACTTATATAGCATTCAACAATATTGTTTCTACATATATTCGTGGCAAATTCGCTTCTCGACTCGAATCGTGGCCGCCCTAGAGTCCCTAGTTAGACTTCTAAATGTTACCCCACGAGATGTGGATTTTACGGGATTTTACCATGTGCCCGGGAAGCGATGGACAGCTAAACCCGGGGAAGGTGGGAAAGCTCGCAGGGTCTTTCTCACAAGGCGCTCGTGATGCATACCTGATTATATAATCATAAGAAATGACTTTGAAAAGGATGGTTGATAAGTAGTTAATACCTACATATGTAGTACTCTATCTAAGGTGAGAGGTATGTAAGGAGTGTCAGGCTGTCAGCAAGCGGGCTTTTATGGTTTTCCATATCCGATCTCGGTTAGTTAACGTGTTCGTGTAACTAACTAACTTAAACTCCAGCTACCAACATGAACACACCTCCATTCAATTCGGATCCTTCAATGTTGTCAAGCTTTTAACTTTATACAACATTGAACATTGAACATTCGATATTCTTATGATTATCATTTATGTTACCTTTACCAACTAGATGGTTCTTACTTGTTCCATTCCACCAGCAATATTACGGTGAGCTACCTACCTAATATTATAATATTATTATCCATCTCTTATCAAGACCTACATTCCTACACATGTGTCCTATCATTTGACCTATCGATATTTGGACCTTCTGGCCCATCTTTCCACACCCCATCTTCCCAACTATTCCGACATCGCCAATAATAGTTCACTTAGTTAGAGCCTGAATGGACCCTGAATGGATTTTGCATGGGCCCTCGAAAGATCTCCCTATCCAATCAAGCATGGCCATTAATCGGCGTGGCATTCTTAGTGTCTGCTAATCGATGAGATCCGGCTTGGCTTTATTAGATGGGAGCTCTTTGTTGATTGCGGTGTATACGGATGCAGCACTTGTTGATGGCCCTAAAGATCTACCCAGTCTTTTACATGCCAACTCTACGAACCAAGTGGTGCGGGAAAAGGTGTTGCACATGAGTGTGGTATATGAAGCATACACTACTACTATGTATGTGTCCCTTTCGCCCTATCGTGCCAAGGCATTCTAGGTCCTCGTGCTACATATAATTACACGCATTATCGAAGGTTGAGCAAGTGCTGACCATTGAGTCGCTGCTGTCTGTGCTCTCTAAATACCTACCTACCTAAGGGTACATTATTCGTGTTGTATATCGGTCACGCCTGACTACCTCCCTAAACTCCATAACTTGAGCGTCTAGACTCCATCACTTACATAACCACCTTCACTTCTCCCAACACTTTGTTCTTCCATTCTTCCCTTCTTCTAGATATTCATATATATTCGCCGTTTTGCTTTTTTGCATTTATTCTCACATCTTAGATTTCCTACCCCTTTCGCGAATATAAAATATAATAACTCTTTACTACATACATCTCTACCTACCCACTCGAGAATAGCGTACCTAAAACGACAAGACAAGAATGGATGCTTACTCAATATCATTTACTAGTGCTTCCCAACGGGAGCTCTCACGCATCTGGAGAGATCTGAAGACCTGTCGCCAGTACAGCATCGCAGAAATGCCCGTCGACGATATCGCAGAGGGACCAAGTTTGGCTCGGAGGATAGGAGAGGTATAAATTACCTTAAGTGAAGCTCTTGGGGTTATATGCGTGAGAGAGGCACCCATCGGTGATATATTGTTTGTAGCAAGTCGGCTAGATGCGGCCTGGTCTCCTCATAGTGTTAATCAGATGAGTGAGCCCCCTGATCATGTAGCATCAAACTCACATATTTCATAGCGCCGAGCGCGAAGTTCCGGTCGCATGCCTCATGTTGGTGTCGTAGGTGCTGGTTTGGCTGGGCTTAGATGCACGGATATTCTCCTTCAACATGGATTTAACGTGACTTTGATTGAAGGTCGGAATCGACTTGGCGGCCGAGTACACCAAAGACAGCTGCCATCAGGACACAAGGTTGATGCCGGTCCAAACTGGATTCATGGGACTGAAGACAATCCTATTCTGGATCTGGCCAAAGAGACCAACACCGAAGTAGCTTCAGTACAAGGAAAGAGCTCCATCTTTGACAACACCGGGAGACAGATTCCCACTGCCGATGTCATCGCTTATTCTGGCATCATGTGGGATATTGTGTCGGCTGCGTTCGCGCACAGCAATAAACACTCCGCAACCATCAGTCCAGACGAAAGTCTCTGGGACTTCTTCCAGAAAGAGGTACCCAAACGAATACCGGATAGCAGCCCAGATTTTGAGCAAAAAAGGAAATTCGTATACGAGATCGCAGACCAGTGGGGCGCCTTCGTGGGTAGCCATATCTTCACACAGAGTCTGAAATTCTTCTGGCTTGAAGAGTGTATAGAAGGAGGTAAGTTCATTTTATTCTCTATAGCAGTCAAGCAGTGCTAAAACATCACAGAGAACCTATTCGTTACAGGTACATATGAAAAGATCCTTCAACTTGTCGCAAAACCGGCTGTTGAAGGCGCGAATATCAAATATGAGACAATAGTCAACAAGATCCAGACTATTAACGATGAGGACGGGGTGCTAAGAGTCCATACTGAAGGTGGTGAGCTCTTAGAATTCGATGAAGTTGTACTTACCGCGCCTCTTGGCTGGTTGAAACAACATACCGATGCCTTTGAGCCACCATTACCGTGGAAGCTCACGAAAGCCATCAAAAATATAGGCTATGGCTGCCTCGAGAAGGTAGCATTCCGTTGTACCTGGTGTTGTTGATTCTATACTGATACTGGTACAGGCTTATATTAGTTTCCCAAAGGCGTTTTGGCTCCCTACGCATCAGGAGGATCACACCGTCGGGGGGCTTAGCCAAATGCTCTCACCAAGCTATGCCACCAGTTCGAACCCGCAAAAGTGGAATCAAGAGTTTCTCGAGCTGGCTTCTCTTCATCCCACTGCTGCACCGCCAACACTGCTCTATTATTTCTATGGCGACCAGTCAAAATTCATTACGGGTGAGCTGGCGAAACTCGCTTCTGAGGAAAAGAAAGACGCTTTTCTGCTTGAGTGGTTTAAACCATATTACTCATTGCTTCCCCATTACGACGAGAAAAATCCGGATTGCCAGCCCACTGGTTGCTACGCTACCGAATGGCTTAACGATGACCTCGCCGGGAACGGCAGTTACAGTAATTTCCAAGTCGGCCTTGAAGAGGGCGACGTGGACATCGAAACCATGAGGGAGGGTCTTCCAGGCCGAGGTCTTTGGCTGGCTGGTGAACATACAGCACCATTCGTAGCCTTGGGCACGGCCACAGGTGCGTACTGGAGTGGGGAATCAGTCGGCAAGAGAATCGCGCAAGCCTACTCTAGAGGAGAAGGTGGCGTGACCGTCTTTGCTTGAACTTGAAATCGACGGAGAGCCGAGCAGGGGTTGTACAGCATTGTCTGCCTATTTAGGCATGCTCTGTAGGAAAAGGGGATCACAATACGGCTATGTGCACGTCAAACTTGCTTGGCTTCTGGTACTTTTTCACCTTCCTGTTTTATCCCCGAAGGATGGCGATTGTAAACGTGTGAGTCAAGCCATGTATACAGGTTGGTATTGACAAACTGTTCTAGGCCACACCCGGTAGTTACAGCGTTTAAGTAATTACATAGACAGCGCAGCTCTGTTGCGCTAAGAGAATCGATAGCCCTGTGTCCCCTTCTCATCCACGTGGCCATGCTCAATTATGACCTAATTTAGTATTTACATCGGGTACTGCTGTGTACTGGGTAGGGATAGTTGAAGGGACTTGGGGACAGTTGTTAGATAAGGTCAGGTACCCAAAGTCTTAAGAATCTGGGTATGTTGGCATAAAGCAAACTACTCCGTCTAGGTAGTATTTTTCTGTGTACCTATAGTAGGTAAGTCGGTATTTAAGTAGAAACCAAGACGTTGTATATTCTGAACCGAAGATTAATGATAGTGGATTCTTATTCTCTACCTGCCTACCCATTGCCCCTGGCCCCTTTACTTCGTCATGCCTTGAGTACCTATGCCGCTAACCCAACCATAAACCCAAAAGCAAACAGGAATGACAGAACACCCGTATATTTTAACCACGCCTCAAGACCTCCGACCACGATCCCTTGACTTTACCAAGTACCCTATCCCCTAGCAATTCCCAACATCCATAAACAACCCCGCCCCCTGGATCTCCGCAAAGCTAACCTCGCCCTCCCCCTGCGCAATGCTCAGCTCGTACGACATGACATCCCTGCACGCAAAGCTATTCACCACCGTCGTCGTGCCCGCGCGGAACCGCAGCGCGCCGACCAGCGCGCCCGGCGCGGGCCCGTCGACGGCCGTGACGTTGACGAGGTCGGAGCCCGTGCTCACGATGGGGTACCCCGCGGGGAACCGCGCGACGAGCGTGCAGGGGCCGACGGAGTTGGGCGGGATCTGGAAGGAGACGGCGTCGGAGCGCGTGGGCGTGATGGAGTAGTTTATTGGGAAGCCGATGGATGAGGGGGGCTGCGAGAGGCATTGGGCGGAAGCTGAGGAGGCGGCGGCGATGGCGAGGAGGAGGGTGGTGGGGGTGTTGAAGAACATTTTGAGAGTGTGTTCGTTTGTTTGTTGGGGGTGTTGAGGGTGTGGTGGTGTTGGATGATAGGTTGGGGCAGAGAGTTTATATATGCTATGTAAGAGAAGCTGGTACCTAGAATAGATGTAGGTAGAGGAAGTAGATTCGATGAAGTTGTAAAGGCTGTTGGTGATATGTAGGTAATGATCGAGAACCAGAAGTCGAGGCATCACTCACCTCCTTATATACACGACTTCCTATACTTCGATACCGCCCAACGTGAGCACCCTTCTCTCTGACCCATGATAGCCCAGCCCACGATACTCATCGGCCTCGTCCATCCATCCACTGGCAGCGCCCCGGATCGTGGCAATACGAACTCGGTTGCAGCGGGTCATCATCATCATCATCATCTCATCTGTCGATTTCTGCAGACTACTGAGACGCCACCAAAGGACTACTCTGCTGGGCTTAGAGATAGATAAATGGAGGCAAGCAGTCCTACCTACCTGCCTACCTACCTACATCGTGGTGTGAGCTCAGCTGACCGTCTGCTCGCTCTCAGGTCGGTTGGAACGTTGCATGAGGCTATAGGGCTGAGTTTCGCCGAAGAGGGCCAAGGGCAAGCCGTTCCGGTCTTCGTATAGCCTTTACTGAATCCTCCCACACTGATAATGGCCGCCTTAAGGAAGTCTCCCAGAGACAGAACTGGCCGTGAGGGCGTGTGGTTGTACACATGGCGAGATGGGGTAGATAGAGCTATTCATTTGATGGTATTGGTTCCCTTCCCTATTCATTCCAACCATCTCGGACAATAAGCATGGCTTTTAGTCAGTAGACTAGCAAACGAAGGGCTGGAGCACGCTAGGTGAGGTTTTTGACCAGTTGTCGCTGATAGTGCTGATGTCAGCGTCGATAAGTCCTCCATCAGAGATGGTATAAAAATAGGTCACAAGGCTAGCCCATTACGAAGCAGGATCACGAATAATAACTCTTGAGACCGAGAGCTTAAAATCAAAAGTATTTGTACAATCTATATTATCAGTTACTATATACTATTACCCCAATGTCTAAGTTGGTTTGCCGTCATCATAACTTGGTTGTGTACCTCGTAATTCGGAACGACAACACTAAATTCTAGGTTACTAATCATAAAATCGTTGCGTTTTCTACTCATCGTAAGACATAAGTGCGGTACAATATGTCCGCAAAACTTGATCTCCACGGGGGTGATCGGATTGGTGCAATGGTCTGCCCATGGGGTGGACGTCAAGCCTCCTTTTCTATATCACTCCCATCCTTCAAGGGCTTGACGTGGGCGTGTTTTTTTTCGTTCACATAATGATCCTCATCCTTTCCCTCGAACAAAATTTCGCAGTTGATGACGGCCTTCATATGGTGGATAAATACGAATACCCACATCGCGATGAGTAGCAGGGTCATGGCGCTGCCAACTCCCATAATTCCGGGACTATGTAGGCTCTTGCCAATAGTAATGGTTGCCATCGTAAATCCAACATTCGGAAATACATAAGCATACCAGTTCAGGTGGAATGACAACTGCTTTCTAATCGCAAGGTTGGCTACTACAGATATGCAGAAGAACCAGAGGCTAAGCGACCAGATGAATACGCCGGTAAAGGTTGCAAGGACTCGCAAGATCTGTATGGTAATAGAGTCCGCGCCGAAGTAGTTGTAATGTATGGGATAGTCGTTCGCGAGCCCGATAATGGCAAGGCTGGTGAAAGAGGGCGGGCCAACAGCTATAAACATGCCTGGCCGTGAATTAGGTGATGGGAAACCCCATTGAATCATCCGCCGAACATAACTCGCCTGTAGTATGTTAGCATTAGTAAGGTTTCGAAAGTCGAGAAATCATCTGGATCCCAATGGAAAATAAAATCCAGATAAATAGAGTGGAATGGCTAATACTTACTGTGAAGTTATCAGTAGCTGTACGGACCATAAATGGAGAAGGATCTTGGGAAAATCGGGGGAGGATCGGGGGGTCACGTGAAGGAAAGACGTAGTACACATACCATACATCATAATCGATACTAGCATCCCAAGTCCTTGAGCGGTTAGACCTGCAATTATCATAGGCATTGCTTCATTCGGCGGCTGCACCGCGGCGCCGCTAGCTGCGACGGTTCCAGATAGCATGAAAGGAAAGATGGGCAGATCCCAAGCTGGTGTCATATCCTGTATTCTCAAGAGCGGTGAGGTGAAAAGTAGAGAGTACTGTCCAACGGCAATTGTAAAGGTGATGAGGAAGTATATCCAGAAAAGTACTCGATATGCCGTGATCAGCCATGGACCGCAGGCGGGGATTCCGTAGCGGGCAATACCGGCGATGATCGATGCTAAACTGAGAGTTGACGTTCCGAGGAAAAGGGCCTCTGTAGGGTGGGTGATGGAGGCCTTCAGAGTGCCAGGGAATTTAACAAAGCGATAAATGATGGATATCGTGACGAGGGTGAAAACAACAAGATCGAATATGTAAAAGACTTTCCCGATTGTCTGCAGGCCAGGAAATACGAAGCCTTGGGTCTGTTCTGCAAGCAACAGAGCAATGCCGCCGGTAGACATAGGGAATGTATAGTTGGCCCAAGTAAAGTGCTCAAGCCTCGACAAGAAATCACTCACGAAGTTGTGTCCTTTTTGTGAGTCTCCATCATCTTGAGCTTGAGGTTCTTCATAACTACTAGATGATGAAGACTCTTCTTGCCCTTGAAACATATCGTTTAGAGGCTTGACCATAATGTGATTCGAGGGTACTAACAAAACAACGGCGCGTAAATGAATTCTGATGATTCTTGAGGATGGTGCTATCAATTGATGCGACCAAAGAAGAGAAATATAAAAAGGAAAAGTGTGAAGAATTGGGCTGCTAAGCTGTTACGAACTTCAATGTTGGAAGTTTCAAGTTAGGTACTAGGTACCTAGGTAAATACTAGGTATGCATTTAACATGCGATTCCACGTTAGAGATAGTGGGTACTCAAGTTAAGCTTTCTGTGACATCTGCAGATTAATGATGATAACGAAAGAGTTGCCGGCGCTAATTCGTAACTAAAAGTCTAAAACAGGTTCCAATGTTCCATAGTAGCGGGCGTAACCGTCACACTAGAGCGTGGCACCTCCCCCAAAGGCCCCAAACCCGGTCCCAGTGCCCTAAATTTTCCAAGATTGGGCAATTTATTTCCAAGAGATTCTTCCATCTTTTCCATCTTTTCCATCTTTTTCTACCATTGATTCAACATCGAATCAACAATCCAAGATCACTTCATACACCCTTGGCAAACACGAATTTCTATTTTTAATCCTGCAAGGGCCAGAACATCATGTCATATATCATAAGGTCAAGAAATTTATATGTACTGCGCAGAAGCTATATACAGTAGAATTTTCCAATCTAACACAAAGTCGAACGAGGAAATCAGCGTGGAACCAGCGTCGCATCTGCAGTTGCATCGAGCCATGCCATAGGGCCCGAAACAAGCTTTTTGAGCTGACTTGGACGCAGCTTGGGCTGAGTTGAGCTGAAGCTCCACGTCACCTGCATTCGCTAGCCACACCAACCAGTCGGTCCCAAATGCTACCACTGTACCACATGTGCAGGTATGAATGTCAGGTACCATTACCAGGTATGACTACCAAGTTCGACTATCCTTCTCAATTGCCTAAAACTTGGGGTTGGCGTTCTTGAGGAGCATCTCGAAGTAAGCCTGGTTCCATTCACCAGCCTCGGGCGAGGGCTTGAAGGCATCGGGCTTGCCGCAGTACGAGTCGTAACGGGTGGCGCTCTCGTCGCTGGTACCGTCAGATTCACCACCGGGCTTGCCCCAGACGAAGGCATCAACTAGATCCGAGCCAGTCTCGGCAGTTGGGCGAACACCGAAGCCGGCGCCGTCGACGTTGCACCAGTCACCCCACTCTTCACGGAGGCCGGTAACTGCGTTGCGGCCAGTGTCCACAATAGCGTGCTCGGGGAAGCCTGCCGTCTTGAGGGCAGCCGAGAACTTGGTGACGTACGTCTTCTCGTTCTGGCACGAGTTGTACTTGGCATCGGACGCGTCGGAGAACTCGCCGGGCTCCTCGTCCCTGTTTGAATTGTCAGCCTATGTAAGTTTTCGGTCACAAGTTATGGGATGCGATGGGTGTGATGAAGTAGCATACCAGGAGTTCCATCCAGCAATGTTAGTGGCGTAGCCACGAACCTGCTTGGGGCTGCCAGCGGCCTTGTAGACCTTGGCGAGTTCCTCAGCACCCGGCTTAAGGTTGGCGTCCCAGCCAAGCCAGCCACCGTGGCCAGCGTCGATGTACATGACGACGTTGGGAAGGTTAAGGCTCTTGAGCGCATATGCGACACCCTCCTCATAAGCGGTCTCGCTCTCTTGACAGGTGGACAAGTCGGCGTTGGTGACCAAGTTGGGCAGAGAGTCGGGCTCGATCAGAAGAGCAAAGGCCGCGTTGGGGTTGGCCTTGATCTTCTCAACGATGGCTTTTAGTTATTAAGTCAGCACTCGAATCATACTTTCAAATAGCTAGTGGTCAAAACATACGGTCAATGTACTCAGTCTTGTACTTGTCGAGCTCGTTGTACTTGAGCTCACCGTTGGAAGCCTTGGCGGCACAGTCACGACCGGGCAAGTCGTAGATCACGAGACCAAGAATGTTTTCACATGGAAGGTCAGAAATGGCAGCATCGAACTTGGCGATGTTGGCGATGTTGTCGCTAAGTTCTCTGTCAGTCACCCTCCTCGCTAGATCTGGCATGTCTTCCCACTTACAGCCACAAGAAGCTACCGACATCAGCGACCTTGGCTGCTTGAGTCTTCAGAGCAGCATCGGTCATTCCCTCAACGGCCTTCTCTACTTCCGAACGGTAGAACGTGTTGGCGTGCAGCTTGTACTTCTGGAACACGTTGCTGCTGGCATCAAGCGTGACGGCCGAGTCGCAGGCGGCGGCAGCCTTGTTCGATGAGCGAGGCGAGACGTTTGATGGTGCGGCGACGGCACCGGCGGCAAGGGCCGCCATACTAGTAGCAGAGACCTTCATCTTCGGTTCGGTTCGGTTCAGCTCGAATACAACCCTTCGAAAAAAAAGTAATGAGTGAGCACGGTAGTAAGAATAGCAAATACAATTCCAGACGGGAACGTCGGGCTTCTTATACTGCCCATTGCAACGAAGACGGTCAAGTTTACCCTTAAGACGTATATGTGCCTTGCCCTCAGATCTATGGGGTTGCAATCAGGAACCAGGCCCGTTAATTGCGAAAGGTCTCGGTATGTACACTCCGAGTAGACGATGCCGGTAAGTTCCCTTTTCGCGGGGAAGCATTTGTGGGGTTTCGTTGGCCACCGTGATTACCACATGGCTGGACTAGACGCCTCCCTAGCATTTTTCCTTATAGAGATATTAATCTTCATCTTGTATGACCACCCGTTCGGGCCTATTGAGGCTGTGTGGGGAAAGAGCATTTAGAAACCTCAATTTATACTATATTTCTTACTCATGAGGGTTTCGTCCGAGTCCTAGTTGGCCTTCTCATCTGTATTCCAAACGGGTCACTTTCCACGACAATCCTCGCGAACGTGGGGGTTCGGCCTGCTGAGCCTTCTAGCAGCTAGGTAGACGAGCAAGTCGCAGGCATTAGACATTCAGTACGACGATGTTTAGACAAATCGAAAGAAAAGATTGGTACCTAGCTAGGTATACAGGAGTTATTGCACATGGGTTAACGGATACAATAGGCGGAATTGCCAAGGCCTCTCCACCTGGAACGATCTGCAGTACGATATATTGCTTCCCCATGGGAGACTGTATGCAATGGTTAGTCTCTAGCCGGGGTGAAGCCAGGTACTGATCCCTTAGAGCAGTGAGAGCAGTGAGAGCAGTGAAGAAAGCTCCCCCTGTTTGGCTAAAATCCCTTCTTAGGTGAAACACACGATATATGTGATAGGCCTGCTCTGCGAAACGAGTATGGGCCTCTACATCTATTTAGCCGCAAAGAGGGTTACGGTTTTCCATCCAGCGAATCAAAAGCATCGGCTAAAGATCCTAAATCTGCTCCAGCTCCGGACCCTAGATGTCCCACATGCCGGCTTCCAACTGACGAGTGCCTTGGCTGCATGGGATAGAATTTAAAATTGGTAGAGAACGGTTACCTCACCACACGAAGGCACGCCGTAGTATATCTCTGAATTAGCGCACGATTACTCGGAACGCAATCCCGACAGTATTCCACTTTGAGCAATGCAGCCAGACTCGCCGTCGACCACATTTCGTAACCCAGACTTCCGGGGCCTTGCCACTTGACGAGGATTAAATCCGATGGGAGAGCGCATTAACTAGTCCTCAACCTTCGTAGTCTATTCCCCTAGCTAGCGCATGAGTCTTGGTCACCGGCAAGCCACATGATCGTGACCCGGGAATGAAACCATATCGGCCTTTTTGTAAAATGGGCGAGATGTGAGGTTACTGTAGGTCTGAGCTATTCTTTCTTGAGAGCATGAATTTAATGTCGTGTATTGACCTAGGTAGACAGACCAGTGTGCAGTATCGAGACACCTCGACACCTCGACACAACAGGAAATCAGACTAGCATGGCTCGAACAGCAACATCGGCTACGATCTTCACCGCCGTGTGCCGCCACAATTCTTTTTTGGTAGCATTGTGGCAAGACGTTTTTACCTCTTTCGTCGCCAACTCCTACCTTGGACCGGATGACTTGCTACGCGAGGCGACTAATTATCTAGCAATTGATCCGCTTTATTACATACAACACGATATACAACGCGTTATATCCCGGATTTCCCTTCCAGGTTGCTAAAAAATCAACCCTCGACTGTTGTCATGCTACTCTAGGTACCTAATTAGAGGGTTAGGTATCCCAGGGGGTAGTCTAGTCGAGTCTAAAGAGGTGGTGCTCATTAAGGAGCACGTGCGATCGAGATATTGAAAGCTTATAGGATGGATGGGACAGTATGGAGACATATAGGCATAGGCATAGACAAGCAATTCAATTTATGCACAATTCATAACCTCGAGAAGGACGATGCGGAGCTTCATTAATTGTGTTCTAGACCTGAAGACTTTATAGTACGTATGTAGGTAAGGACATCAACGATGTCTCAGTGGAAGAGCATGTTTTATTGGCATCTGACCGGGGAGTACATGAAAGCAAGAATCGCGGAACTTGAACAATCCTAGGTAGGTAGGTAGGTAGGTAGGTAGTTTAGGACATAGACCGGCTTGGCCTCCCCGGGGACCGGAAATCCTCGCGGCGGGAACGATGCCGGGAGTGCTTGGTAATCAGTCTATCCAATGCGTGCGTACCTACCTAACGTAGGTATCCTCCCACAAGCAGCCCACCCTGAAAAGAGATCAAGCAACTCTCATCAGCAGATCTAGGTACACAGCATATCCCCTATTTTCAGAAAACTTGAATTATATATATCACGGGAGTCGGGTGCTCTCTGCACACGAACCTCTTTCTGATTCAACTATATAACGACGACCAACCCAGCCTAGTGAGTGGTATCAATCAATACCGCGCGCGTCTATCTACCTTCGACTGACTGACTGGCACCAAACAAAAACCACCAAGATCGTTTTTATTCGACAACGGGAAGAAGAGAGAGTCAACAAAAAAAAGGGGAGCCCATCCGGCTCCTTTTTTTCCCCCTCGCCTTATCCCCTCTTGCGCAATGTGTGTTTACCTTCATTTTTTATTTACCCCTTTCCGCGACCGAAAGACTTGGTCGGCAAGGGTATTGATCTAAAAAGATATGTACAGAAGGCCTGCTGGCTTCGTTGATACAACTGGGGGTATTCTAAAATAAAAAGGAAAAACAAGCAACGCCGTCTTGTGTCTTGTCAACTATCCCAACCAGTATATGCTTCCATTATAATAACTGAAGACTGTCGTGAGGTCGTAGCATCCAAATAGTACCAGACTGGCTGGTTGGCTGCTTTGATGTATACCTAGTAGGTAGGTAGGTAAGTACCTGCCGGTAGATATGGTTTGTAGGTTGGATGGGAGGATATTTCAATCAATCAGCGTCTAACAAGTAATTCCTCGGTTGCGGGCTAACAGCACCACTGCCACTCATGCTTGCGGTTCCAGAGAAATAACTCTGGTCAATTCGATAAATCCAATCATGCTTTTCACGCTCGTTGCGAGCTGCGAACAACCATGTGTTGTCTGTTCCATAAACAGCAAATACCCCCGCCTGTAAACGGTCGCTCAGTCCCCCAAGACTGGGACCCGAAGCCCGCGAATTCCCAGACCTTATCGTAGACCCGGTTTGGACTGAGGATGATCGTTGATGGCCCGACTGGGAGTTTCCGTGGGAATTTCCATTTGGTGGAGAAAACACGTCGGGCTCGTCGTCGTAGCCATTGAACAGCGCCAAAATTTCCGGCTGGCTATCAACGCGGGAATTACGCAGACTGACGATAGCTATTTCGTCCCCGTCCGTAACGTTGTGAATGTGCAGATAGGGCCGCCGAAGTTCCACAAATCGCTTGACCCATTTGCTATAGTCGCTGTTAGGGACTAACAGATAGCCGCCTTTGAGTACCTTCGGGTTCTTGGGAACACGAATGATGGTGGAGAGAAGTCGAGGGGGCGTACTCGATTCGGGCGCGATACCATCTGAAGGGGGTGCCGTGTTTGCTGGGCCAAGAATGCGAGTTGCAGGATCGGGAAGTTGTGACCAGAATTTGAGGCATCTTTTTAGTAGAAAGGTCTCATGCTCATCGTACTCCGGCTGTGGGGGCTCTGCGGGCGGTAGCTCAACAGGCTCCTCAGTTTGTTCCGGCAGGAGTGTTGCATCTTGCTCGTCTTCAGCAGACCCCGGTTGCTTTGGTGTGGATGGTCGTGATGTCTGAGGCGTGTCATTGGGAGTATCATTGAGAAGCGCATTGATTGAATCTTGATCGTCATCGTGGGCCTTAGGTCCCGGGGAGGCATCATCATCGGAATGATCGTCATCTTCGGGCGGATTTTTTGGCTCTGGCAGCCCGATCTTCTTTAAGAATAGCTGGGCCGCCGCGATTTCCGTAATGCGCCTCTTCTTCTTCCGAGCAGAAATATAATCGGCTATCAAAGAAACCCCTCTTGGGACCCAATTGCTTAAATTTTCTTCGCCTTTTACGTAGTCATGTTGACTGTTCATTCTCCATAAATCACCAACTCGTTTTATTGGGGCTGGCCGCATTTTCAGAGTAAAGATAGCCGTCGAAGAATGTACAATCCTTACGTGCTGGAACAGAGACGAGAGCATTGATGTCTGGCGGACGAATGTCCTCCCTAGAATCTGGCAATTCATATTCGTAGAGAATTTCATTGGCTCAGCAAGATTATCGGCGGTAATATCCCAGGACAGCGTCAGTTGGACTTTATACTTGTCCGCCGTTGTCCGGTCTAGCAAGAGGGAGTTATGTAAGCTAGAATCCCATTGTCCAACGATTGTCATGGCCCGGGTGCCATTTGCATTCTGGCGAAATGTGGGCTTTGAGCTTAGTCTGAGAGGTATATCAGGGGCTGGAGAACCCAGGTCGGGATTTTTGCCGGCGTGATCGACGAGCTGGATCTTGCCAATCCGAACTGAACCGATGTCTTCCCATGGCAATGCATCTCCAGAGCTGTGTGTGAGATTGATGGCCACGCGCCTTTGGAGCCCTTGATGCAACTGGAAGGTACCGGTATCTAATTCACTTGTTTGTGTGACCTCTACAGGCACGTATTCGCCCCCTTCATTCAGTTCAAGGATTTGCACACGAGCCAACATATCATGCTTCTCTTCGGTATAAAATTGGGTCTCGTTGATCCGAGCACCTTGAGATTTGCGTTCGTTGCTTGGACTAGAATCGCGCATCTCGTCCCAGCTGAGCAACTTGTCAAGATGCATTGCAGAGACTTTAGCGAATATGGCAATCCTAAGGTTGACTTCCCTTGGCCCAAACAATGGAACACTCATGCTGTGAACACTGTCAAATCGTATCGGGCCCTCATCAAAGTCCTTGATCATCTGGGTTGTGGTAACGCTTTCCGACACGCCGGGGATAAACAACTGGGCATGCACATCTGTTCCCTCTCGCTCGGCGAACCCAACCATGTCGTGCATAACGACATTGTATTTTAGAGTACTCGATGGAGCTCGGGCGCTAGATGGTTCTAGGGAAAGCTTGATGATTCCAATGGCATGGGAAGTGTGAGGTGATAGGACGTCCAAGGCGAAGTCTTGAACTCGGCTATCGAAAACGGCTCGAAGAGGGACATCAACCTCGCCGACAAGAGAATACTCAGGCATGCAATTCTCGACAAAGGGGTTATCTAACTTGAAATGCTGCGAATATTCTGGCTGATCCAAGTACTGATGCATCTGGCGCATGTGTCGGACGCGATCATGAAGCTTCTCTAAGCTCCACAAGTGGACAACTGCATTCTTGTAGTCAACAACGCGAACTCCTACACAGGGTTTGTGCGCCTCATCAAGAGCCAAATCTTCGCCTTCGCCTGGAACATCATTCAACACCATATCGTAGGATGAGCAACGGGCGTGGCCTATATCCACAACAGTGAACTGGAAAACGACGTTCTCTCCTAGCTCTTCGCTCATGATCTGCGCCTCCTTAAGAGTAGCTGCATGCTGCAGGACGGCTTCGGCCATCTGAACATAGTGTCGGCTCTTCCAATGGTTGACAACCTCCTTGGCCCTTTCAATTTCTTCTTCTGATAACTTCGGTTTTGCCTTAGGTCTCTTCAGCGGATCTAGCTTTTCGATCTTGGCTTCAAATTCTTGCTTTTGAACTTCCAGCCGTTTTTGCATATCGGCCTTCAACTGTGTCAGCGTCTCCTCCATTCTAGCCTTTTCTCTTTTGATCTCCTCTACTTCGACATTGGCTGCTTCAGCGCTCTTAAGTTGCCCTTGATATTCATCTTTCCGTTTCTCTAACTGCGATTGCATATTTTCTCGAATCTCCCTGAGCCGGTCGTCTGCTTCACCAGCTTTGGGGGTGGATGGCATCGTCAGTGCTGTATCGAGCGAGAGGTTATCGAGCGTACCAGTCGACATATACTTCTCCCTAATTGGATATGATGTGTTTGACTCCAGATCCTCATCGCCCTCACGGTCGTTGACACGCTCAGCTCTTGCGCGCTGAACATCCTCAAACAACGCGTTGAGCTCCTCATCACTCAAGCTTTGAAGGTTTTTATCTGTTCCAAGAATAGCGCTAGCAGCTTCACGCCGTGCAAATGACCAATCAGTATCTCGACCGTTCCGAGATGGTGCGGGAGATTCTGGACGACTCTCTGCGAACTCCGAGCCAGCCTTGCTCACAGATCGGTCATGGGCCGGTCGCGGGGAGGGGGATGTACGATCTAAATTCTGCAGCTGACTTGCAGTCACAGATTGACGAAGTAGACTTTGTCGATTCTCATCTCTCTCCGCGCGAGCTTCCATAGGATGGTTAAATCTGAAGATGTGGAAATCACCCAAGATAACTCGAAAACCAGAGTGCAGTCTTGTCGTTTCGGCAACGCGCTTTCCGTTGACCATGATAGAAGCGCCTTCACTCGGTGTTATGGTAACAGTACCATCTGATGCATTATCGAAAGAGCAATGTTCGTGAAGAATTCGAGTGCCGTTAAGTCGGATGTTCGCCTGATGCTCAGAATTGGATTCCACGTTTCCCACTGTGGTCTTGCCTGGCTTAAGGTTGTACACTAAACATTCTGCGAGAAGGGGGTCGTCAGATAAGTTGACCAAATGGGGCATCTTCTTCGGTGTATGTAATCCGACAAAGCCCTTTTCGATACTAATACCAAGCTCTTCCAGAGCGGCTTCACGTTCTTTGTGAATCTCTTCCGTTTTTTGAAGTTTCTGCTCCCAGGTTTGATTCAGGTCGGTCAACAACTTTTCACTTTGACTTAGCTGCTCAGCAATTTCCGCCTTGGATACCTTCTTGACAGTGCCATCAGACGCCGTGATGCTGACGATCTGTTTTTCTAGAGGAGTCCCTTCTGCGTAGATCTCTTCTGGGGGTACAGCTGAACCACCAACGCCACCAGTAGCGCCACCTCCTAGCTTGCTTCGCAGGACGTTCAGCTCTTCTTTTAATTCTCTGATCATGCGAGCATTTGCATCCTCGTTGACGACGGCGTGGTTCTTGATTCGCTTAGCAGAGTCGGCATATCGTAAAGTACTCAGCGTTTCGTCGTAGTTGATATCAGCCGGACTGATTGCGGCAATCATGGCCGTCATACTGTTACCACCAAGAGAATCCTTCAGAAGCCACGTCAAGACACTGTCTCGGTACGGAACTGTCCCACCCGGCCCCTTTTTCTTCTTTCCGGTTGAGAGATCGGCTAATGCTGCTATCACACGACCAAGCGTCGAGAGGGACCTGTTGATCTCAGCACCTTCCTTCAGTCGAGCACCAGTGGCACCAGTCGACGTTGCTCTCTCAGAACCAGCCAAATCGACCAGACTAATTTTCGCTTGCTTCTCCATCTCCATTTTTGTCTCCGCGTCATATTTTTTCTGTGTGAGCATGAGGGTAAACACAGCGTGACTTCTACTGGACGTTTCGTTCATGTTTGTAGCGGCAACCGTTCTCGCTTTGTTACCTTCGTCCATGAGGTTTTCGATCTCTTGAAAACTACTAACCACCAGCTTGGCAAGATCCTCAACATATGGACCAGTTGACGGATGTTCTCGGACCTTTAAGTTGCCTTTAGTCGAGGGATTCAATAAATCTCGGACCCTTTCGTTATAAATTTCGAGGTATGACACTTCCACAGTACATCGCGAGGATTTGTCCTTTTGCAGGTCCTCGATTCTCTTAAACATGTCCTGGCAAATGTTGGGTATGATACCAGCGTCTTTTCCATAACCCATCATAGAATATGATTTACCGGAACCTGTTTGTCCGTAGGCAAAGATACAGTTGTTGTAGCCTTGGAATGCATTGTCTAATAAGGGCTTTCCGAGATCGTCGTGTAGGTTTGCTTGGCCGGCATAGTTTGGGTCGCTTTTGTTGAAAGACCAATACGACTTGTCAAAAGCAAATGCTTTCACCGTAGAGTTGTCTTTGCCTTTACCACCAGTATGTGCTGCTTCGGGAGGGGTGGTAAGGACCGTCTGGTTGTTTTTCATTTCAACGATACATTTTGCTCCACGGTCGATTTCTGAACAGTGTTAGGTCAGCATCATTATATTCCTAAATATCAATGTCGCTTTCTCTAGTTCTAACAGCTCGATAGGTGGTGCACGTTCATACCTCGACTGTTGAAGGGCCTACATCTCACCACCACCTTAATGTTACCTCCGCCGGCGGGAGCCATAGTTGAGAGACAAAGGCAATATCTTGCCGTCTACTACAGCTAGCTATTCACCGTGTTGGGAGTAGGACGCAGTACCGAGGCATCCGATAGGTGAAATGCGCAAGGACGGAGGAGGGGGGGTATGTGTGCGGAAGTGCGTCGTGAAAAGCGGGCGTCTCAAGGGTTTTTTTCGCAGTCGTTGAAATATATCAAAATCGTCGCAACTAATAAACTCGTTTAATCATATATTTCCAATGAACCCTACTCTAGCGATTGTCTTTACCATTCATCCTCCCCCTTTTTGTGACACGGGGCCGGAATGCGAAAGCACGTTGGTACCCGCCGGAGAGGGCACCCCGTACCGACCGAGCGAGCGGTGGAGAGATGGTTCACGCACACAAGGCAAGGAACCAGGAAAGCTGGGGGGGCTAGGGGATTATCGACAAGAAGGAGCCAGCAGTGGGCTGCGCGTTGACGTTGGAGTCTAATAGTAGAAACGGATAAGCGGTCGGATTCGGTGGAGAGCGCAAGGTGAGGCTTTCCGGCAAGCGGGAGCAGTCAACCGTGAAAATGTCGGGCGTTGTCGCGGAGATGATTATATGAATTTTGGTTGGTGGAGGTTAGTCAACAACTTGTCGTTTTACCCAAATTTAGGAATAAGAAATGGGGAACGCGATCGCGACCGAACAGACTTTCAAGGTTTATCATTCGTCACACAAAACTGACAAAGCCAGAATTATGGAGATTCCATGCCAAGAACATTGAAATTCACGTGTTAGGATGATCACTGTAAGTGGTACTGGTACAATACACTACTAGGTACCTAGTACGGAGTAAATTAACTTGAAGTGCTAATTACCTCAGTACCTATGTACCTACCTAAATCCAGAGTTGAGCAGCTGATACCAAACCTTGAAATCATCAAAGGATCAAACCAAGTAGCAGCTTCCACATCAATGATATGATTACCTACTCTCAACCTCGGTACATATACTGTAGGTATGTGCATACATATATAGTAGGAGTAGCAGTACAGTTCAATCTTAGGCCTCAACACCTTATTCTCAGTTTCAAGGCCTAACAGTCATTTCAACGTTCACACGTCAACCACATGGCACTGACGGTTTCTTCAAATTTCGTCTGTTGCAACGTCACAAATCCAATCAAATCATACGATAGTATCATATTACATAGCAATTTACCAGCACCAACAGCCCCGACAGATGAAGACTATACAAATCATTCATAGGTAATACTATATTTACCTATCATTTTTCATTGCGCTTTTCCGGTCCTTTAAGCAGTGCATGGGTATGTAGGTAGTAGATGAGTAGAGCAAGCCCGAAAATCCAAGCCATTTACTTTTTCAGACCTAAATCCTTCTCTAGCTGTCCCTTCGTAGTGGACGGGTAGAAATCTTTGTTCTCCTTGAAAGTTTTCACGGCCAAGTCATAATCCAACTCCTTGAGCTTCCTGAACAATGGCCTCACGAATTTCATACGGCCTACAGAGCTTAAAAGTTCAACGACACCAGGAAGTTCTCGTCTGTCTCCGGCTGTCAGGGCGATGACATAGTACGCCGATTTTAACTCGACGTTCTTCGAAGAAATGATATCATAGGTGGTTCCCAGGAGGTGAGACCTTTCCGCCGTAAGAGGTTTCGAGAAGCTCTGCACGGCTTCCAAAAAGACACGTAGCTGGTTCGCTGTGAATGATTCAACGTCTTTGGCAGTCGGTTGGTAGTCCTGTCAAGATCAAGATTAACATTTTAGCCAACAAAATTCCAGGAAGATTAGGTATTCAACTAATATAAGTGAACTGAGCTCGCTTACCTCGCTCTTCCACTTCTCCGCAAGCGCCAGGCAACTATCGACGTAAACCGTGTTGAAGTCGGGCTTCGGGGGCAAGCCTGGCTGATAAAACTTCTCATCCCACGGGATAGTGGCAATCTTCTCCTTGATTTCACCGTTGCCATACCCCTCGAAGAAGTCCAGGAACGTCTTCTTGAACTCAAATGAGTCCAGAGACTTATTGGCCCATGTCTTGAAGTAGTGCGGGATGAACTTATCGAAGTGCTCTCGCCCCACAAGCCTGTCAAGATAGTAGAGGAAGTGGAAGCCCTTCTCGTAGGGAATCGAGCTGAAAGCATCCTCAGGATCCACCCCTTTATGGTTGATGATGAGTTTAGTGAATTCGTGATCAGCCCCAAATAGCGAGACAGAGTCCTCTGTAGGTTCGTTAGTCTTGAACGAATAATGTTCGCTGAGTAGGTGCCTACCAAGAGCCTTCCAGCCAATAATAGCTGAGAAGTCAAACTGAGGGTCGCCGTGGACCACGGCACCAATACGCCGTTCGAGATAGGTAGTCCATCCCTCATTCAACCAACTATAGCTAGATTCAGCTTATCTCAGTTGAGGAAAGGTCATTGATCATTACTCACAAGTGTTCCCACGATGCGCAGCCTACGAGATTGCCACTCCAACTGTGGCTCAACTCATGTGCAATAACATCCACGTTCTGACGGTCCCCGCTGATGATAGTAGGCGTAGCAAAAGTGAAGATGGGGTTTTCCATTCCTAAGATGGTAAGCTAATGATATCCAGGGCCATATTGTGATGCCAATCAGAAACCTTACCTCCGTAAGCAAAACTAGGGGGCAATACCAATACGTTGTATTCGCCCCACTGGTAGTCGAAGATAAGCTTCTCTGCCACTTGAAGGAATTTGTCCAAGTCCGACTCGAGCTCCCATTTCGCACCCTCGAGGGCCTCCGGACCTGTAGCTACCACGGATCGTTTCCCAATACGCGCAGTGGCGATATCTCCCGAGGCCAATGCAAATAGGTATGAGGGAATAGGGACCTTTTGCTCGAAGCGGAATAGCTTGTCGCCATCTCCGCTACTGTTCGGGTCTGAGGGTACAGGAAGCCCACTCGCAACTACGGGAAGAGGCGATGTGATGTTGAAAGTGAAAGTGGATTTGACATCCGGGGTGTCTTGACACGGGAAGATGGACCGAGCTAGGATTGCCTGGCATTGAGAATAGACATACGGATGCTTCTTGTTACCGGTCTGAGCTGGGGTCATCCACTGCAAGCCGACACATTGTTCAGTAGTCTCTAGAGCGATATCTAGCTTCACAATACCCCCCTGGGATACGCCATCCGGCACGGAAACATAAAGAGGGGCGCCATATGGCTCAACCCGATCTTTGACAGCCCAATCCGACTTTGCGGAGTCGAGCTTTACCGATGAAATAGACAGATGATTGGTGTCGAGAATGATCTCGTGGCTCTTCTTGTCTGTTAGAGACTCTAGCTCTAAGGTGACAGAACCTTCCAGCCGCTTCTTCTCAAAGTTGACCTTGAAGTTAACTGTTGTATGCCTCATACCCCAATCAGCATAGTTAGCCAAGGTGTTAGGATCACGAGGCGCCATGATTCTTTTGTTGGGGGCAAGGCTGAAGCGTCGAAAATGGACGTGCACTGATAAAAATGACGGATCGACGTTGCGGATGGTGACCCGGATGGACCTAAAGAGAAGACTACCCCTCATGAAGTTATTCGACTTCTTCACATTACACTTGACAAGATGTCCCGTGATGTTGCACTTTACGTACATGTAGGTACCCAAGCCTCCTGCTGAAATCGGCTAAGCCACTAACTAGTAACTACATCATATAGCGCTAGATATGCAGGTGCCCGCTTCAATGTTAGTTATTTCCCGAGGCAAGCCGTTTGAAGCCTAAACCCCGGAAGTTTCCTCAACATTGAATTGAATGGACTCAATGGAGGTACAGTAAACCTTGGCCATAACGATATGGAAAAAACACCACTCTTAATTCGTTATAGAGAGGTATCGTTATGTAGAGATGGACCCACTGTCATGGTCCGTGTACTTCCGTTGTACCTTTACTGCCATTTTATTAGAAAAGGTACTTACCTAATATTGTTCTTTTAAATTCCTTTCATATTTAAAAGATATTATGCAGTAAGCCAATTTTTCGGCGATTAGATATCGTGGCGGTGATTAGATTTACCTGAAAAAAGGACAGTCCAATTGGCTACCAAACGCAAAATTCCACTTATTCCACCAAAAATTTATCAAAATAAACGGTTTTTTACACATGGTCCATAACGATCTTGGTGGTGGCGGTCAAAAAATTAACGATATATCGCTAAGGTTAAAATATCGTTATTTCCCATACAAAATTGCAATGTTCCCAAAATTATATCGTTATACAAAAATATCGTTGTCTACCGAATCGTTATGGCCAAGGTTTACTGTAGTAGCCTGAGTCGATATAAGCATAATACATACGTATTCTATTATCCAAGTTAAACTGTTATACATATGAAGCTGATAAGGGCATGGCAATGTAGAAACTTCAATGTTGAACATGCATACCTACATGTACATATGTATGTACATATGTAGTATCCTAGGTATGCTAAACTCAAACCTCAAATGCCGATCCATCTATGTACAAGTTGTAGATGAATAAGAAAATAACCGCAGTTTGCGCAGTTATTGAGGACTTTGGAATGAGCAGCGGAAAATGCGAAATATTTACCTACCTACGCTCATAATCGCTCTAGAATCGAAACAGGACGTTGAAGATATTTACCTGCTTTGTACTGACCTTACTCAGATAGGTAGGTACTATGTAGATTTTGTGGCGCACCTGCATATTTAGTACGTATCTCAACCTGTAAGCTAGGAGGATTAATAATGGCTTCTTCCGAGTTTGGGCTGTGACACACTGACTAGTCTGTTACGACATGCATCAGACCCATGCAAAACAAACTTTCCGTTCCTGAAACAACCCACTAGAAAGGATAGCCTTCCCAGTACGGAAGCAAGGTTTGGGACTACCCGTTTACCATCCAGGTTGCTAAGAGTCTTGGCAGATAGTTATGGGATGAAAAGTTCCTAAATAATACCTAGCTACGAAGTTAGTTAACTACATAACTACATAACTACATAACTACATAACTACTAGTAACTAGTAACTACCTACAGCCTGTATAATATAAACCCAGGTACTAGGTATAAATGCAGGTACTGTATCATAGTGCATACATATCTAGGACCCCTAGATATCTGCATACTACATTATATAAAACCATTATAGGTAGATACGTAAAAAGTATCTGGGATTCTGGGGTTTACTACATCTAATATCATCTATTGTATGTAAGATACCTGCAGGTGTAGGAAGTTATTTTCGGAGACTTACTATAATATACTTAGCTCGTGGAATTCGATATCCAGGATATCATGGGAAAGGCACAAAATCCGGTATGTATGTTTCTCCAACCCAACGGCTGAATGGTCCAGAAGCCCCTTAAACTGCCTACCTGCCTACATTAGCTCTAGCTGCCTACTACTAGTACATACATAATTAGGTATTGTATGTTCGTCTAAAGTTAGACCTTCTCACCACGTGCTTGCTATATTAGTCCTATTGTATCATGCCCCTCCACGTTGAAGGATAGGTAATGATGATGATGGTGATGACCCCGGCATTGCTTCGGTGGTTGTGATTTGCTCGTCATACGTTGCCTTCCACCACGTTGGGTAAAGATGGGTTTTTCTCGAGTAGTAACTACATGTACTACTCAGAAAGGCACCGTGCTCCCAGGCTTCGTCCATGTATGGCACGGCATGCAGGTTAAACACAAGTTTTTCGTGATAGCTTCTTGGCAGAGAAGCACGCTGCGAACTACTGATGAACACAGTTAAAGAAACTATACGCGGAGTATTACTCTCAGACCTCGATCGTGAATGATATCTCATACTCGTGCATACATATTATCTAATACCTCGTTCTTGACAACTTCTAAATATACTAGGTAATTACCTACTTAGGTAAACACCAAGTATTATCAGTTTTTTTTTGTTTCAACTAAGAAACATTTTCCAACATCGTTTCCATAATTGGAGTTCTTCTGTGGAGTACTACGCACAGTAACAACTCCAGCTGGCCATTGTGTCTTCCTTGAGGCTCTGTCAACGCCGAATGTAAGGTAGAAAATACAATAATGTAAGCGAACAGAGTTGATACCAAATGAAGGGTCAACTGCAGAAGCGCTAGTTTAGCAATACTTGAACGCATCATGGATGTCATGCATCATGCATCATGTGCAACGGTAACCCATTCCCACCACCATGTTTCCAGGCTATGGTCGCTACGATTCTACATAATACCCCCAATGGGCTGGGTGTGGTAACGAGACGGAGCTGTCGGAGTTGGCTCGCGCCTGGAGATGCTCAACATTCTCGACGCACTGTAGCTCTTGCCGTTGGGTTAGGAGTCTTAGGACGACGATAACCTAACTTGAGCCAATTCGTGTAGACTTAATGACTTCGGATTTGGACATCTCGTAGACAAGAGCCTTGGGAGGCTACCTTAGGAAATAAACACGTTCTTCTAAGTTTGCCTTCGTTATCAAGAATACTAGCTAAATAGCATTTGCGATATAAAACCGACGTCTTAGCGTGGTAAGTCTCACTGCATTCTAGCTTGAGATTGATCATATTGAAGCTTTTCAGATACCAACGCGGATAGTCCTGAGACCAGAGGTGAAAACTGACAGACAGCCCTGCCTGCCTGCCTACCTACTTTCACGCACTTCCTAGCACGGATGTAGGGTCCTCGAAGCTCCAAACGTGGGGAATGAGGCCACCTCGAAGGAATTCTCTAGGTCATGCTCATGAAGATCTAGGTTTTGTTTTCGAGCTACGGACAAAGTCCCCGATCCGGCTAGGCTGTTCCTTTTTGGTGAGTGAGTTGGGCCTCCTTTGGCAAATGCTTGTACTGCGTACATAGTAGTATGCAACTTAGCGTAGCCTCACTACTTTGTAGTGTCACATTGGTAACTAACTACTAATTAGTTAGTAGCTATCTAACTTGAAATCAGGAAGTATTAGAAGTTAAGCTCAACTAGGCGTGAATCGTGATACTGGATACTAACCTTAGTAGACAATGAGTTTAGCTGTAGTTTGATGTTTTCTTTTCATGTCGTGAGGTATTAGCTACCTATCATAGGCCTACATAACCTACCATAATAGGTAGTAGATTAGTTATGTCTGCCTACAGGTACGTTCCATGTTTGATATGGGGTAATTATTCAGCTCACAAAAATAGAAAAATGGAAAGTTCGAAGACTGGATAACCTTGTCCTCAACGTGAGGTTCGGAATCCTCCCTAGGCAAATTTTGACGATACGATATTATACCATCCCAAACAGCGACAAATGTTGGCTCTGACGAGTTGCATGACCCACCTGCCTCGTTTTATCCACCATGTCGGTTTTCTTGGGTGGTGTTGTAGATGCGCCTCATATGTACAAACTTACAAAGCTCGTCAAGCCTTATAAAGAGCATCTCGAACTGCCGAGTTTTTCTTTACTGTCATACTTCGTAAAGCTGCGACGTGAAGATCTGGTTGAGCTATTCAACATTGGAATGGAGTCAATGGACATAGTATGGAAACTAATGTCCAATTAGCTCCCGCTGCTAAGAAAGTGCAAAATTGTAATTTAATGAAAGTGTTCTAGAAATCATCACTTGAGCCTATACTATGCTTATTATTGGTATATTGTAATATCATGATTTGTGGGTGAGCTCCTATATCCGTTATTAAAGTATTAAAGATGGAGGCTGAACCAAAGAATGCGCCCTGGAGACGGAGATTCGATGACAGAGCACATACTATGTAGTATGTACTCATTGTACTGTACTGTGTATGTAGTGTACCTAGTATGTATGCAGGCCCGCCTGACTTGTCTGCTTGTTTCTACTATGTCGTCGTAGAGACAAATGGGATTGGCCGATATAATCCCTGTTTATATCGCGATATTTTATCGGTTAAGATCGCTTGAGGGTGATCATTTAGATCGAAGTCGCGCCTTTGCTCCAAGGCCATGGCAAACGGGAAGGTTGATCTAAAAATCTGAGTAAACCTTTTACAGATAGTTTTGCAGCCCGAACAGCCCGACTGGTTGAGTTACTTAGGCATCTTGCCCAAAACAAAGTGTATAGGTAGGATCTTCGGGATTTGCTTTGTGGTGTCTCTCAAGGTTTGGAAAGTCTATATCTGTCTATTGGCCATAACTAGTCAAGATCTCTTGTCCACCTTTCCCGTCTCCCACCCGATAGTTGACTTAGTTGACTTAGTTGACTTAGTTGACTCTTTCAACCTATACATATGTAGTATATAACACCAACGTGGATCTCCCGGCTTGAAACACTGGTGATCATCAATCTTCCCGATCTTGAGTTCGGATGGTATTGCCCGGTTTGAGTCGTGATTTAGCACGTCTCGGCCTTTTCTAGACACTAGCAGGCCTGTAGAACCTCAAGAAGGAATTTCTAAGTCTGTTTCGTGCGTGATAGGGATTTCATAGCCCGCCTCTACGATTAAGTAATAACATTGGACAAGACGCTTGGAAACAGGGGAAGTGCCATGTATATTATCGTGAATATCTTGAATACCTTGGATGTCTACTATGGTAGTATCTGCGTAGGGTAGGGACTAGGATTTCCCCTGTTTATACAACTACCTAGTACGGGGCAATGACAGCGGCCTTGGACTCTTGGAGTCTGTAAAGGGGATCATATGTACTACGCCGTACATACTTCGCCCCCTACACCATCCAAGGATGGGGTCCCTGTCTGTGATGAAATATGAAATCCCAAAAACCTACTGCGTACAGCTTCAAGAAATAAGTAACCGTTTCGACTCCATGCCTTGTGCCTCATCATCGCAGTCAACATAAATGATCAGGTATTTAGGGGAATGCTCTCCAAACCGCTGATAGATGTCTGATGGGATTTCTCTTGTATTACACTCAACTCAGAATAAGTCCATTAAATTACACTAGAAACTATGTAGTAGGTACATAACTACCTAGGTCAGTAAAAATGTCTCGTGGGTTAGGGAATAGGGATATCGTCGAATATGATAAGACACCATTCCGTATTTGGGCTCGGTTACATTGCTTCTGTGTAGCGTATTAGTTAATTACCTACTATGTACCGTCAGCTCGCGAAAACACTTGTTACGCATTGACATACTGACGTCGAGCAAGGACAACTACCGATTGGAGACTTATTTCATTAGCTGGAAAATATGTTATTGGCACTTATTGCACACACATCTCTAGAATAGTTCAGAAGTTTAGTTATAGCTGTTGTCGTCACTCGTTTAACAAGATTTGTGTGCTTTCTTTAGAATCCGCCGTCACAAGGATCAGCTTCGTGGCAAAGTTTCATCGCCACAGGTTTAACATGCCTCTTGCCTTGCCATATGCTGTACTATACACCACTTTTACTACATACTTATCTCAGATAATATGTGTAGGTGACAGCAGGTCCCTCCCATATATGTAGATGATGGTGGGGTTGGCTTGAATGCAGGATTTCGTACAGGTTCTACATCACTACATGTATGTCTCACAAGAGGCGGCAACTTACCTAAGTGCCATCGATCAATCTCAGTACTACATCATTCTGCTGCACGTAGTTACATACATACATACATACATACATACATATGCAGTCTCCTCCACTGATAGACTGGCCGTCCTGTTGTCGTGCAGCTCACATCTCATAGCCGATCAAAAGTCGGAGGCCAGCTTGACAATGGACATGGCTTTTGAGGGGTTTTCAATGTATTTACTAGGTATCTCACACATCCCTAGTACATAGTAGCATTGAACGTTGAACCCACACGCAGTACTTGCCCAGTACATGCCTACTACAGTACTACAGTACTACTACACTAGATACATCCATGATATGCTTTGATCCTCTCTACTTGCGCCCGGACCTAGCTTTGTGCTCGAGTAATATTGTTGACTCGTTGAAGACTGTCAAAGCGACGATATAAGCTGCATATGTGCCGCCGCAGAACATCCAGTGATAATTAAGCTCGTCAGGAGATAAGAATCTTTCTCCTCCAAATTTTGTTGCGATGTTACCAGCTCTGCAGATCGGCATTCGGTTATCAATACGTATGTTGATGAAACGGTTATGTATGTAAAAGGTAACTTGGAAGTAGTTATACAGAATTGGACTTCATTCTATTTCATCCAACATGGAACATTTGAAGCAGTTACATAATACTACATGTACATAGCGTATTTAGTAACTACCTGGAACTTCGAAGGCTGGAATTTGAAAGCTTCGGTTATTACCTTAGGTACCTAGTAGTTAATAGCAAGCAAGCTTGAAGTTGAAGGATACATAGTACTACAAACTATGTAATAGTTATTAGTTACCTATTAGTTACCCAGTATGGTGGAGGGTTGGTTGCTATAATAAACCCAATACCATGTTCCTTCCCAGGTCATACCCTAGTAGCAGGGGGCAGCAATTGGTGGTAACCCCTGCATAAACCATGGCCAGAGCTCCAGACTTGTTCTACAATTTTGGTCATTATGTACCTAGGGTAGGTACCTATGTTAGGTCACTTAGGTGCGATAACCCCTGGCAAGGGCTTAAGCGGTTTCAACGCCCTGTTGAGGCAGCAATTTACATTCTGGACCTCCACTTAAGCCCGTTTCTCCATCTTGTCTAAACCCGATTTCGCATCTTGCTCCGAACACCTCGACCCTGAGGGCGGATACCTTCATCAACCATTGTTGAAACACTACCTGCAGTAGGTGCAGTCACCCTAGAGTCACCCAAGCAGCCAAGTACTTACACGATGTCGTCGATTCGAGTCTTTCTGACATACGCAGTATTATCCAATACCTAATACATACTTTATTACATAGTACTACTAGTACTTTGTATCTACCATGCAGGTAGCGTCTCGTCTCTTTCCTAAGTGGAGGTTGCATCCCAACTCCTCAAGCTCCCCCCCTATATACTACTACCATAGGATGTAGGGTTGGATGTAGGGTTGGAGGTAGGGTTGGGTGTAAGGATAGATGGATAGCAAAATGTTGTTTGGAGGCATGTAAGTAAGGTATGTACAATACAATACGTCAAGTGCCTTCATACCTACATATCTACTTACTTGATCCCCCCCCCCCCCATTGCTCTCAACAGAATTGGTCTATTAACTGCACATGTGGATGGTCTTTCTAGCATTAATACCGTATATAGCTTCAATACCCACCCGCTCTGCAGAATCAGTGCAGATCCATTATATCCCCATACAAAAACCTTATTCACTTTCCTTGACCATAGTCCTTCATTAGCGTGGTTTGTGGTTCGCCTGGCGCCCCCCCCTTCCACCCCGGTTAACAGGTACAATGGCCCATATAGCTGCTTGCATGGTTGACAGTGATGGCGAAAGTGGTTGCTTCAGAAGCTATATAGCAAATGCCTTCTCCGCTCAAACTTCTACTGATTCGGTAATTAATGACTTCACTTCTCCAGGCGCCTCAGTGAGCGACGCTATCGATTATTATTATTTTCTTCCAACTAACCCTTAATACCCTATAGCTATCATCAGAAAGCTCTTCCGAAGAACGGAAGACAACCGCTTGGAGGATGCAGAACTCAGAGGGACCGAAGTATCAACTCTTTCCAAAGGAGAAACCACTTCCACCACCGATTACTGGAAAACAGCTAGATCCGGAGCAGGCCTTCGCGATGGCCATGGCACAATCAGTAGAGAGGACGGATAAGCCATCCGTGACGAACGGCATCCGGATGCGCATTAAGGAGCACAACTTGATAAGGCGGCGGAAAGTTAGTGTCCCCGATCTGGGACCTATGACAACAGTACAGGAAGTTTCAATGGATTCTCGTAAGTGTGCTTAGAATACAAATACCTGTCAACGACTGACTCACCGTAGCCACAATCCCAGGCCGACCTGCTTTGCATGAACGATCTATTAGCTCTCCTATTAATTCGTGGCGTCAACGACATATCGTGGAACTTTCATCTCCTCTCAAAGAGGACTTGAGTGAGGACTCAGAAGCATACGTCTCAAACGACAACACAAAGAAAATTACCTCTTCCCCTTTAAAACAGCCGCTTTCCCCCAAGGACCTAGCACCCCTTACAATACCCACCCAAAGCGGCCCAATTCCTCGTCTAGCTCGGCAACTATCGTTAAACATACTCAGGCCAAAGGAAACGCAGCAAGAACCAACATTGAAGCATGGCTGGACCGAGGACTCGTCGAGACTGCGTACTCCCTTCACGCCTGCCTCGACCTCAGGATCCGTTACGACCCCTATGTCAGCGACGACCGTTATGACGAATTCGACCTTTCCAACCCCGATATCAGCGCCAACTGAATCGCGATTTTCTCCAAAGCCGTGGGAAAGACTGGGCGCAATCACACCAGTATCGGCTTCGCAGCAGATGACTGACTCTGTAGCAAACCCGCCGAAGATGGAATGTGAGGTGCAACAACGAACCGGTCCGGGTCATTCACACACACGTGGTCGATCAGACTCGGGGAGCATTATGGATCGTGGACGCCCCAGGAAGCGGACCGACGGCACACTAATCAGTGGTGCTCCCAGGCAGCAAAGTACATCCAAGAGGAGTGTTAGCGTCGATACTCGAGCTTTTGAGACCTTGCCTCAAGGATGGAAGGCCACTGAAGCAGTGGACAGTATGGATTCGACTGAGGTTGATTACTTACATAAACAAGCGCTCGGCCAAGCAATGCGGTTTGAGGTACTAAGGAAGGATGATGTTGAGAGTCTTTCAAAGGTAAGGCCCCATTCTCCTACGCCTCGATATACAATCATCTAATTGTTCATAGGAACTTCGTCACCTTGATGAGAGAACCGAGTACCTTCGCCGGACTTATACGTCTCTGCGTGCAGGACGTCGAAACCTTCACAGCCGCATCTGCCAATACTTGCGATCTCCTCGCGTTGCCAAGTTTAGTTACGAATCAATGCTAAAGCAGGAGGAAACTTTGGCGGAACTTGACGCTTCTATTGATGACTGGGTAAGCAAACTTGAGCAAGCCGAGAACCGACGAACGCGCGTTAGACAAAAGCTTCTCGAGCACGTTGCCGCAGCTGCTACGCTTTCCATGGTCAAAAACGCGGCCGGCGTAGGCGATATCCTTCAACAAGTTATAGGTTCACAACTCCCTAGTCGACCTTCGGATATTTCGACACCACCACGAAGTCCTGTTAAGACTAATACTGCTCATTCGCCTTCTCCGTCTCCGTCGCCGTCCCCATCTCCGTCTTCATCTCCGTCTCCATCATCGTCGCCCCAACGCGTTGTTGCTAGAGTACCATCTATGATACCGGAGATGCCAGCCGAGGAAATGGAAGAAGATAGCACTAGCCATAGCCAAAAGAGGTCATCAACCGAATCCGAGCTTCAGCGCATAGAGAGTATTCGCATCTATGCTGACAGTGATGTCTACGCTCTTCTAGCCGACGTTGAGAGTGAATTCACTAAGCTAAATGGTGCCGTCGCCAGCCCTGATCTTATATACGAGCACAATTCGGAACAGCAACGTAAAGATGTAAATCGTGCTCACAGCCACGAAGTCCTGAACAACGGCTACTCGAAATCTCTCAATAAGACGCCTCCAACATCGCCTCCTGCACCTTCGCCACCTTCCAAGAGCCCGGTCACGAAGGGAGAGGGTGAGTTTCTTCTGACTGCTACTGTATTCCAGCCTCAGCGAAGAGCCTCACCCCATTAAGCCTATCGATTCTCCCCGCTACCATATTTCATCCTTTATTCAGCCTTTGCTGGGCATTTTACCCTTTCTTCTTTCTCTTCACTCATGACCCCATCACGATCGATGATTCACGGCCGGCCATATGCATCTATATACTTGTTTTATTCTATTTATTTATTTATATATACCCTTCTCGTCATTCCTTTAGTAATCGCCTGCATTGGCCATTGTGGACAACCGGCGTTCCTTCATTTATCATACCTAGCGCTTCTTTCCTTCACAGTTTTGATATTGTTTTTATATCCTTGTCAGCCAGAGGCTTGATTTTATTCTCATCTCAGGACATGAAAATTGTCCCTATTTCTATTGCAACTCTTATGCGAATGGCCATCTCTATACCCAGTGCGATAGGTGCCGCCACAGCTCCGAGAACGGATTGTTTGCTCAAAAGTTTTTTTTTCTTTTGTCACATTAGGGTATTATGGAGTTGTCGGGTTTGATAAAGCATAGGATGAGCGGATGGGGCTACTAGACAGGGAGAAAGAGTGTACGCATGCTCGCACCGACTAGGCCAGCAACATGATCTAGACTCCTCGAGGGTCAATGATGAGATACGCCTCATACTAGCTCTAGTTGAATATTGTAATACTAGAAGCCTATTAGGAATAGGCTTTTCCTCTAGGAAACATCACCTACTAAATACAAGAGAATTGTATCAAATATGACCTTTACCGATCTATCAGATAAATATTCGCATTGACGTAGTCACCTGTGACACTCATGGTCTAATCACGAGCCTACCTGCTTATTACGCTTCATTGCCTACAGCTGGCTCGACATATTGTAGATTTTCTTTGCAATGCTATTGTACTGAGCTCGTTACTCTCCTTGGCACGCACACTCCTTACTTGCATAACTAGGTACCTACCCGCGGAGGTAGGTGCTTGTCTAGATATTCATGCACTCCTTCTCAGCAGAAACCCATTCTCATTACTAGTATACATGAACGGAAGAAGAAGAATCTGATATAATTAGCATACCTACTATCTCGGGAGGAGGTTGATTGATCGCCTTCGAGCCTTTCCCCCCTTAGAATCCTCCCGCGACGAGAAACGTCCCCAAGGTTTTCTACAGTTGTATCAAGGGTGGGTAGCACTGCGCTCAGCCACGAGACGCCGAGTCCTGCTGGGCCGGGTGTTAAGGTAAGGCTGTGGGCCTGTGGCTACTTCCTTTCGGTATCTTATGTACCTACCTACTATACCTACATAGTACACATGTAGTAGGCCATTGGCGTTTTGAAGGTCTCGTAATGCCAGGCCCTTTTACCTCGTCCACGAAACATACCTACATTCGGGCTCGATGAGTTAGAGTTTGTGTGTGGATGGGGGCAGCTCATTGAGGTTATCACCACTTGTTTCATCGAGATAATCCCTCGTTCCTCTCGAAACGCGGGGGCTATGTATTACTTACTTACTATGATATACGGTGTCGTGCCGTCGACCGGGCGCGAGGACGACATTAGGGTCTGCGGCTATCCGTCATTGTCGGTCAAGATGTGCTTGAATATGTATGTCTAGGTATGTAAGCTACCAAGATATGCATGCACTTACGAGTAGCTTCATACACCTAAAGTGCTTACCATCTTACACAAATTCTGTCGCATGTGCCAACCTCCTTTAAGTGCGCATACCGAGGATCTATTGTCAACCTACCTACTACCTAACCTAGCATGTACCTACCGAGTACCTATCATCTATCATATCCCATAGATAATGAATGCATGCCTAGGTATCGGTATCTAGTATGTAAACCAAGACCGCGCAAAAGCGAAAGACATGCACGTTCCGAAATCGCAGGTTGGTGTTTTGTGTATACATAGATCATCATCCTCATTGCCACTGTAGCTGTTACCATTGCAACGTTGAAAAGAAAAGAAACCCCCCCCCCCCCCCAAAAAAAAAAAACCCTGTAGATCCAGACGTCGGAGTTTTACGTTATGCAGAGTTAATTTTAGTCCCCCGCTTTGTAGATCAGCATCACATATAGATGTAGTACCGACTATAGGTACTATAGGTATCAATCGGTATACATACACAGACAGGTACCTATCCATGGCAACAAGGTCAAATGTGCAAATGTAGTATGTAGGTAGATGGGTAAGATGTCTTAGATTGACGTATTTTCTGCACCTAGTTGAACCCCTGATACAGGGGGGTGACGGGATGGCACTACAGAATAGGCCAATTAGGTAGGTTGGCCTAGCTTAGGGGTCCAGCTACCTAGGTACAATAGGTATATATGCGTCTCATGCCTGTGAATAGGCGTTCTGTTTCGTGCGGCAAACAAGTTTGTTCCGAGGAGGGGGAAACATCGCCGTACTCACTGCATCACTTGGCTGTATCAAAGATCTGGCGCGCGCCTCGGGGTTTAGGGGTTTAACGGATGGGCTGGCTGGCTGCACGGTAGGCTACTACTGCGTTTCTAGAATGCCAGAGACTTCACATGCCCGATTTGATGATCTGACCAGAATATCGTCACCCGGCATACAACACCACCTATACAAGATAACACAATGAGGGGTCAAAATGTACGGCTCCAGGTATAGAGAATGCCATTGCGATAGTGTACTCTAACCGAATCGCAAGCAAGGAGCATACCATGATTTTCAACGAGGGGTGGGTAGCATTGTAGGATTCGATTGTTATATAACTCGTGTCAAGGATATTATTGTTGCTCTCGGCTACTTGCTGTACATGAGGGAAAAACTCCGCCGTACAAGATAACCACTTGTCACACCGCCTATGAATGCAAAACGTGGCTAACGATTTATAGATGCAATCAATCACGTTGGTGGTTATCATGTATATTGCATGTAGGTCGGTGATAGACGCAATGTGAATTAAGGTATTTAGGGGTAGGCAAGTGGTTTTTAAATATCCACGAATGGTTCGTCACACTAGCGTTACGGAGAGCGCCTGTGGGATGAGTGTGTGAAGGTTTTCTTATTTGATAGCCAATCTCGGTACTCGAGGGAATAATTTGGACGTATGCAAAGAAGCTGAGTCATGCAATAACTGAGAAGCTTGGCGGCGTGGTGGCGAGTGAAGTGATGTCGTTGCGGTCAGGATTTTAGGTTCCGGGATGCAGAGCTCCGGACTCTAACATCGCGGACCACAAACCTCCCATTTGGGCCGCAATTGCCTCCGCTGTCCGGCCTTGATTGTCCGCAAGGGCACGGATATCTTCCGAAGCTAGCGAGCTGGGTCGTTGGATACCCATCGCTTCTGCGGCTTGCACTGCCGGTCTAGGAAATGCGTCGCTCGGTAGAGTCGAGGCTATCCACAAGAGTAACCAAGCTACTTCCTCCTGCCCCTTTTCTACAGCGAGATGTAGGCCGCTCTTTGAATCTCCTAGTGGATCCTGATAGCGAATGACTTGTGCAGGGTTCATCGTAGGCTCGTCTTCCTCTGCCTGCTCAGCATCAGATAGGAGCTCTACGATCCCACCTACGTCACCCTCGCTACACATGACGTGAAAGGCGCGTGCGAGTCGGGCTTCTGGGTTGGCCTTGAGGTAGGCTTCTTCAGTAATTTCAGGGAGGATATCGTAGTTCTCTTGGACGCCGCCCTCGTTGGTATATCTTGACAATATAGCCGCGCCGGGTGCTGATTGTAGGAATGGGTTGGTAGCTGATGGCCCTGCAGTGTTCGTTGCAAGGTCTGCATCACATGAGGGGCATTTGAGCGAAATGGCCAGTTCTGTGGCTTGGTCAAAGAGACATTGCCAATGGTAATGACAGCCGCAGATAACCTCCAAGTCATCGGGCACTAGCTGGGGCTCAAGGTTGCTGTCGTCGTCATCGTCGAGCTCCAGGGTAAGAGGCTTCTCACAAATATTACAAGCCGCCATTCCTTATAGATGACCTAATCGGTTTCTGACAATAGGTAGTAGCCTAAAGGAGTTAAGGGCTACTTAGCTACCTAGGTAGGAAAAGAAGAAGAATGGATGAAATGGATATAGTCCAAAGCCAAGTACCTAATCCCATCGTAGGCAAGAGATGGCCCAGGAAAGAAATAGGCGGAGGACAAAAGCCATCAATTTCTGCCGTCCGAGTGAATCCATGCACTACTGTTATATAGTTCGGTAACGAGGTGCTGGATGCAAAGAAGACGGCAGGATTGGGAGTTGAAGAGTGGAAAGTGGAGAGTGGAGAGTGAAAAAGTGAAAAAGGAAAAAGGAAAAAGGAAAAGGGAAAAGGGAAAAGGGAAAAAATAAGAGATATCATGAGAAAACTTACCGCTCGATGTTAGTTTCTTCGCGAGGAAGAAATGAACTGGTTACTACCTAAGTACGTATGAATTATATCAAGGTATGTTATTAAGGTATGTAGATATGAAATATGAAGTAAAATATGAAGTATGAACTTCTATGAAGTATAAAATCTGAACTTGATGGATTTATGTGGACCCGGCCCGTTAGTTAGTACATAATATCCAATGTGTTGGGTCCTTAAAGTGGATACCTACTAACGTTATAGTCATGTACAACATTTCAAATGTACAACATCAATGATTTCAAATGTGCAACATTAGTTACATTACAGCATCTTGTCATCTTGATATTTTGAAAAGAAAAAAAAAGTTTTCTTTTCCTGTAATACTCACTTTAACCACTTTAACTCACTTACTGGGGGGGCTGTGATCCATTCGACCCCATTCATTCTCACTCATTCCAATCTACAAAGCTGACAAATATCCCCCAAGCTAAACATGAATGATCATTGGACAATCCGATATCCAATAGTTCCAAGTCAATTCAGCTGAGCAAGGGGAGAAGAAGTATTATTCAAGCCCATGGAGGGAGCCCAAGGAACCCGAGAAACCCAATGAACCCAAGAATCCCAAGAACCCCAAGAATCCCAAGAATCCCAAGAGCTCCTCAAAATTCAATGGATCCAGGAAGACAGATAGATACTTTCCCAATGGTAAGCCTATGTACGGCATAGTATGCCCTTTTGGTGCCTATGCCCTTTTGGTACTATTGTGTACGCCGTAGTAAAAAAAAAGCCACCGGTACACAGATGGCTATCCTTGCAAGGCAATCCTTGCTTTGCCATGTGGTTAGACCGATCCCGTAGGCCTCGCCCTAACCCCTGACGGTCAATGCTCATCATCCTCTTGCCCATCATCTTCGGGCTAAACCTGCCCGGATACCGTGTTTGACGGCCGGCTTTTTTCCAACTCATCCATCCTCTGGTCCCAGTCTTCGTTAACGCACGTAATCATTAGATTCATTACCGTGGTCCGTGGAGCCGTCTTGGTCCACCTTCTTGGCTGGCTAAGCGAGCAGTTAGAGATAAGCCTAAGAGTCACTGTTTACCCAGTACGTACAATATATTCCTACACTATTGTAAGTAGCTGGATAGCTAACCTAATACTTAGGCTTGATGGCGTTTTTTTCTCTTCGCGCCATCTGGTCGAATCAAGTTTGCTATGATCTTCATAATACAAGATATCAAGCATACGGCTTCTGATAGGCAGGAGTATATCTCGTACTAACAACATGTTAAATCACTTGCTATTTTATTTGTCTCGCACTACCTATAGTAAATGCTCTTGTTGATTCAAAGTCAACTTGGTGTGCTATGTATAGTCTTTTATGGGTTATTTACTTTTGACGATGCTGCGCCTGGCAGTCGTTATCCGCTTGCTGTGCCCCCCCTTCTCCTATATGCCCTAACCCACCAGCACGTGGGACTGTGATCATCGTTCTGTGTGTGATGTTGTGTTTCCCTTAGTGTGCTTAGTGATCGTGAATGCTGCCATCATGTTCCACTGCTATCTGTTTAGATCGTCCAGCCGACACTAATTCTCGTAGCTCTATTTTATCAATTTCGTGTTATCTATCGTGCGTTTTGTCTAATTCCGTGGCGAGTTCGTAATGGTATACCGCTATTTTTTTTTTAGAGGGGATCGTACGTTATACATGTTGCGTACTCCCTGTCGATGCTACGATTAGGTTGTCTGCGGACGTGCTTGGACCCAGCGACGTACCGACCTTAGACTTGGGTCTTCGGCCGTCCAGTAACCCATAGCGATGTCGGAACTTCGGAGCTCTTGGTAAACGCCATCATCTGTAATTTGTGAAAGTTCCTAGATTGTGCGGTTAGCAACGTGACGATATAGGGATCTGCACAACTTTCTTGTAGTAGGGGGTAGATCAGGAGGTAGGTAGGTAGGTAGGTATGGAAATGTGAAAGAGATAGGGGCGCATCGTACTCTTCGAAGCTGATCATCACAAGCCCTTAACTGCCGGTGGTTTGCACGGTTTGGCCGCTGGCCTTGTAGAACGTTCTCCCGGTATTCGACCCATCTTGTTGCCGCTGCCTGGCGATGGTATATTTTCCGTGCTACGTGTCTCCGAGAGTAGGCATCTAAGAGGATCCTGTGAAGTTATCTATGTTAATCGTTTTCGTTACTCGTAGATGCTTGATGCTGGCTATAGGGGATGTCTGTTTTTAAACGTACTGCTTCAACTCCGCCTTTGCTTGCTCTAATTCACCACCTTGGGCTTGAGGTACTGTCACGTCCGCTGCACAGTTGAGGATGTGTTGACCATCTATGGCGCATTGACGTAAAGCTGCCCATCCTTCAGTGTAATACTCTTCGGCGTTGATCGGATCTGCTGGGACGTCGGCGATGCAATGCTGAAGACTGTGGAATTCGGCGAGGACCTGGGAAACCCGTTCCGTTCTGAAGTCATTGACTAACCTAGTTGTTAGGAGAAACTATGGAACACATGTTCGCGTAGAATTTCATTGGAGTAGTCACGGCGCGGAGAGCACAGCTTGTACTTACGTCCGTCCATTTTTCCTTTGTTTAAGAAGAAGTTTGCTTGTGTGTCGACCCTTCGACTGGAGGTTGAACCTAGAAGTTCGGAAGTCGGATTATGAAAAGGGGTCTCGGATGTTATTCTTCTGAAGTCTTTCAGGCTGGGACGGTGATGGAAAAGGAGAAGGTTGGCTTAAGGGCTAAATGAGTAAAGAGTGGTAAGGCTGCAGGAGACTAGAAACCCCTTTTGAGTTCGTTGCAGAAGAGACATCGTATCGGACATATTTGGCGGCGACTGGCTTAGTTTTTGTATCAAGAATCGAGTTATTGTAAGTCACTAGAAACTAGGTAGGCGAAGTTCTCACGACAGAAAGTAAATCTAGAGAAGACAGGTTTACGCTGATGCTCCCTCCCCCGTTTAGCATGCATGTCAATCAAAAGTACGCACCACATTGTCAGCTCCATACCAATCCGCTCACTCTGCCGCCTGCCGAATCGGAATTATTAATGACTAACTCACAGAGCGGGACGATGATTGACAGCTCAAATCTAGCAGATCCCGACATAGCTGGAGGTTAGCATCTTAGATATGTCCCGTCGCCTTGGGCAGGATGTCCCCTGACACTCCTCGGCACACGCTATGTTACTTGCAGAACGTAGCAGCCTTCTAGGTAACCAACGCCACAAGCCGCGAGACCAAATGCAGGCACATTAACGTCTATCGTCACTGTAGGGCTTAGGATGGAGCTATTAGTGGAAACTCCTAGCGTAGGGAGTAGGGGGCACTTGGGGGTTCGAATGTTAGGGGATGATCGTAGGGTTAACCGAGCAAGAGGCTCTTCTACAGGGCACAGGGGTTGGCTGGGGGGACGATGCTAGGGGACGAATTCAGCAACGCCACCAGCACCAAGATTCAAATACAGTATAGCTCCCAGGTGAAGGGGGAGTAAGTAATGCCTGTGCGACTATTCAGACCTAAAGAGTTAAGAGCGGGCCAATGACAACTGAATATGGCTATTCAGCCACCGTTAGGGCGTAGCTGAACGGATATGTTTCCCCAATCCACCATTTTTTGCACGAAAAGGGTCGCCCGCAACAAGAACTTCATAACCCAGCTATACGCGAGCTTCGGATCTACAGTCCCACACATATTCCCTGGTTACCTATACAAATTAACAGTTGAAACAGAGGAGAATATGGGAAATTAAGAAGGAGAAAAGAAAAGAAAACCCGAAAAAAAAAAGCAAAAGCTGTCATCCCACGCCCTACCCCTGTTGGCTACCCCCAAGCTCCACGAGGTGCCGCTCTCTTGGAATCGGGTATTTCGAGCATAGTTTCCAAGGTTATTCTAGTGGCTGGTTCTTGCGACGTCCATAGACCCAGCCTTCTGGTAAAGAAATATGGGAAGATGCGCCCGAGATCCCCGTGTGGTCGCATGGTAGCAGTTGACGCGCTTACCTATCTACCTCTAGGTATGTATGCTCTGCATGCTGACCTCTGACCTCCGACTTCTTTATACGTCACACATCTTCTTACCTACCTACCTACCTACCTACCTACCTACCTACTTACCCAGATAGTACCTGGGTACACTAGGCATTGTCAGTTTCTCCATTCATAGGCAGATGGCTATTATTATTCACCGCTTAGGGTTATAAATCTCCTAGATCGTCTATGTCGCCACCACCTGAATGTCATGTCCTTATCGATTATTCGCATTTCTTCAGCTATAGCCACTTTTAGGCTGGGTAATGCGTGCTTAGAAAAGCATGAGTATATTGGCTCCACGGCTGCACGGGTTAGTACGGTACGGACCAGGATGAAGATCAAAGGTTCCCGTTGATGGAGCATCTAAAACTAGTGACACCACGAAGGGTAGGGTATCTCGAGGACCCTTGCCCCCACAACAACACAATTATAATGTTGCCTGGCCAGCGCGAACAAATCAAACATGTTAATCGTAACCCAGCCTTATGCCACAATCGCCTTGCCCGCCAATCCTTAATCTTTCTCAGCAATCGCCTGTAATCGCTCGTCGATCTCGTTCTCTGTAAGAGTTCTGAAGAAGGGATCCGATCCCTCCGTACCGTCTGCTCGGGGGCCTCCAACGATGCCAATCTCGATTTCGCCCTTTTTAAAGTCCATGCTGAGGATCGTGCTGAGTGTAGTAATGGCCAACTCGACAACATCTTCCCATGTGCCTTCGGCATGATCCTTGTTCTTGAGCTTCTTCTCCAGATGATTGAGTGCCTCCTGTTGCTTGGGGCCAGCGGCAGTTCCCTTGTATCCCACGTAGTAACCTGCTGGATCGCACTTGTAGAGTTGGGGTCCAAATTCCGAGTCGAGTGATATCAGCGTCGTAGCCACACCATAGGGACGCATATAAGCCTATGATAAAAGAGTCAGCTTCGCGATAACACAGCCGGACGATTGTTGATGACAGGGCCTTACCCTCTGGGTGTAGACTTGGCTAATGTTGGCCAATCTTTTGGCTAAAGCATCGCATGGCATCTCATATCCATAATTGTACCGAAATTCGGCAGCCTCACCCTGGGCACGCTGCGCAAAAGCCCGAGCGTCCGCGATAGACCCGGTCATGACGCAACCCACGGAGGGTGAGATTTGGAAGATGTGGGAGACAGACGAAGGATCAATCAGCTTGTCCTAACCGAGATCATTAGCTTCGGCAACAAGACAGAGAGCTCCAAGCCCCACCTTAATCAAGGTGAAGCTGAAAATACATATACTCACGGGAACCTTCTTCTGAGAGAGAATGACGGCGCAATCCTTGCCCCGGACCCCAATGGACATTATGTTGGCCGCGGTGATGGCCTTGAATGCATATTCTGGTAGAGTAGTTGTCAGCTGAATGGTATTTTACCCATGTTGCATTTGCTTTTTCGTCTCGGCGTCGTATGGGCACTTATAATGCTTTTGATGCTTGTGATAATGCTTGTGATAGCTAATGGTGAGGCTCCTGCGGGTGGCCGGAAGCAAGCAGTAACATACCGACTTGGTAGAGTCTTCCTTGCTCAGAAAAGATGGTAATATGCCGGTCGAAGCCTGCGCTACCTAGGGTGGAGCATGTGAAGTCAGTATACGACGGACATAGCAGAAAATCAGCTGCGAAGGAAGTGAATATCGAACGCACCTCCCGACATGGTGAATGATTGTCAAGGATGAAAGCTGATGGTAGGGTTTCTGGATGTGGATGTGGATGTGGATGAGATTCGGGTTAAACTATTGGAAAAACGGAGAATTTGGAGTTCCTTCGTTGATTTAGTAGTGAAGGGTTTGGCGAAGCGAAGTGAGGCGAGACGATGCGAGGCGAAAGAAGTGAGGTTGAAGGGAGTTGGATGCAGTTGTGCAGTTGTGCAGTTGTGCAGTTGATGCAAGTGCTTGCAAGGCCTATTATTAGCTTGGGAGCTCTGACGCGCCAGGATGGGAGCCTTGGGACGCTGGAGCTCGGGGTCGGGGGGCACCTGGTAGAGCTAGGGCTGTTTCCACTCCGATAAGCCTACTAGGTTAGTTAGGTACGGATATTAATGAGGCCGACACCCGGAGTTGAACCTGGCATTAGGTATTACTAGTTACATGTACTTTTCTAGTACATACTCAATTTTGCGCCAAGACCGTTTAAACCCCATCATCGATAACTACTAACGAATTAAATAATTTCTCCACTAAAAAGTTGCGAAAATGTAAAGAACTTCACTAAATTTTCATTGGCGGTCACTCAAGGCATATTCCTACATGTATCTTCCTCTCATAGATGTATAACACACTCATGTTCAAGATTGGTGGTTCTGATCAGTCCACCCCTTGAATTTATTGCCATATCTACTAACTTATATACTACCTACTACTGCTTACTATTTACTACTTACCCTACGCTGTAGGGCTTAAGACAGTCGCAGATATTCAAGTCAGACAACAAACCAGCAAAGGCACGTGGATATCACAAGCTACAGTAACTACGCATATAATTTCGAGGCATCCGGCCGCGAGCAACCATCTTTGTGTGTTACTGTTACTGTTTCTGCCTTTCACCAATGTCTTCCTTTTCCTCCACTGGGAACGCGACAGCACAGCGTGTCCCAGCATGGAAGCGATTGGGTCTCAAGCTTAAGCCTACACCCGAAGAACAAAACCAGAACGGAACCCTGCCTGCGCCCACGGGTGCTACTGCTCCGACAGTGCCCAACCATCAGCATCAAACCCCCACCAGCCTGATCAATGCCAATGCGAAGAGAAAATCTTCTGGCGTTCCTGCATTAGCCCATTCGGCTAAAAAGGTGAAGAGAGATATCTCACAAAATCAGGACTCTTCCAACCAGACAGCCAGAAAGGTCAAGTCTGTCTCGTTCGCCACCGCTTCTATCCAAGACGCCGGGTCTTCAGCAACGGCAAGCGGCACACCGGTCACGAACAAGAAGAAGTCTCTATTAATTAAGAGCCCCACCGCGGCCTCTTCCACCCTAGTCAAGAAGCAAGCTCCTGTCAACTTGGAACCCGCGCTCGAGTATCTACGCCAGTGGCATTCGTCTAGAGATACTTGGAAATTCAACAAGAATCACCAGACCAAACTACTAGAGCAAGTTTTCGCCTACGAGACTACTATACCGGCGGTCGATATCCACATCTTCTATGATTATATCAGGGGTCTGAAAGGAGCCGTCCGAATGAGACTCAAAGAGCTTGCATCTGGCGTCAAGGAACAAGACATGGAACAGGGACCCGAAGCCTTCGCGGCTTCCAGTAAAGAGATGGCCCAGAGAAAGCAGAAGGAGTATGAGGAGGCTATTGCACGTTTCTTAAGCCAGCCTACGACACCCGGAAAGCGACGTTTCAATGAGGTCGACTACGTCCTCCGGGCTGCAGATATGGAAACCCAACGCCGGGTTGTCAAGCGAATGCGTTGCGAGATGGTATTGGATGAGCTTTCCGACAGCGGCGACACCGAGACAGCGGACACAGCTACCGCCGCGACGACCACGGCGCAAGGAAGCAGTACTGTTGGCGAGCCCGAGCATGCTACGAGTGAAGGCGCAACGACCGAAGCTGAGGGTGTTCAGCGCCTCAGCTTGAACGATGGCCCGCAGCAAAGAGTCAAGCGCAAGAGAAAAACCAGGACCGCGGTGGTCGACGATGAAACGAGCTCAGAATCTGACTCAGACTCAGATTCTGACAGCGCATCGGATTCGAGCTCCGACTCGGGCAGCAGCTCATCTGATTCCTCGGATGATGAGGTAGTACAACCGCAATTGACCGTTAATGAGGCCAATAGCTCGTCCAGCAGCTCATCCTCGTCTGAAGCATCGGATTCCGACGAGGACTAGGATGGCTAGTCACTGACATGATAAGGGGCGAGCACGTATACGTTCATGTTAATTAATAATGGATATGCTGTATGAACTGGACTACAACATATAGGTAGTTTGTAAAAGATACCCAAACTCCCCCGAGACCGTGTCAGATTTTAGTTGAGTTTATAGCAAACTTGGACACAAGCCAAATTGTACTCTTTCGTGATTATAACTGATGACCATGCCACCACCACCTACATTCATGGATACCTGCATGTTCTTGATAACCCCTCTTCGGCATATCAAATGCAAAACAGACGATAGCCATGCATTTCAATATGAGTAAGAAAAATGAAACCGTTCAAAAACGCCACATGCCCTATATACTGCATGCCCGAGACTTCTGCTTCCTAAGACCTTTCCGTAAAAAAAAGGGGGTGAGTAATTCGTATTCTGGTTGACAACCGTAGCAGGAGCAACCTAAATGGTAGTCCTTGACGAGACCCGACAATTTCATAGCTCTAAAGGCTATCCCATGAGCTCCTTTACTAGGCATCGAGAGGGTCTTCGAGGTATTCGTAATCATCCTCCGGCGGGAGCAGCCAGGCGGATGCGGCTAGGCTTGCTGCTATCAAGACGGAGACGCTCGCGCTAACGGTGCATAGGACCCAAGACCAATCCAGGGACCAGCCGGGGATGACGAATTGGGAATCGTTATCGAAGAGATAGGCCTAACAGATAATATTAGGAACCGCACCAGAAACTTTCTACCATGATTTTGTTTTTATCATGAAACTTACCACAATGCCCATGCTTGCGAACTCGACTATGGCGTCAGCGATCAGGAAGCAGCTGATTAGCTTCCAACCAGTCTCACGCTTATACTTGCCGCCGGCCATGACGACGAAGAAGGTGATGAGGGTAGCAAGCTCAACGATGGTGGCGAAGGAAATTAGGAAGCCGCTACTTCGCCACATGGAGCAGAAGAACTGGTCATCGTGGCAGTCATCGTCGTTGGGGAAGGGTCGACACGAGGGGTCGTCGACCGAAGAGCAGCTCTTGTGCAGTCCGATATATTTGGTGAAAGTGGAGCCAGTGTCAGCCGTAACCGAGTAAGAAATCCAGTGCGGCGTCAAGATAGAGACAATTGTCATAATTGTCGCTAAGGTAGAGAGCTAGTGTTAGCTATCAAATTCTATCAAACCGTTTGTTTATTTTAGCTCTGCATCTTGGCCAGAGTGCATCAGGCAGGCATGTAGGGTTTGGCCATGAAGAAATAAATCATGGCCATACCCTACACTTTGCTTCAACAACATCTCGCCTGGGTAGGTATTGGATTGTTTCAATCACCAACATGTCATGCAACGACGAGCATGTAATGTATAGAATGGATGATGCCCCCCACATTGGATAGGTATGAATGAAAACGGGAATTACTAAGGGGGGTTCAAGTTTTGTCTGTGTGTGGAACGACGATAAGGAGGCACAGAAAAAAACAATGACGTACTACAGACAAAGACGCTAAAAGCGACGATGTAGACAACTGGTCGCGTCATAGCGTTTGCGAGGTTAATGCTTCTTTTTGGAAATTGAAATGAGGAGAGAGAAAAGGGGGGAGGAAAGAAAAAAGCAGAGAAATAAGGGAAAGAAAAGAGATGAAGCCTGTCCTTCAGTTTATCTGTTCCCTATGAATGTGTGATGTGAAAGGTGGTGCCTCATAGCAGCACTTGGGAACGGTGCGATAGGTTTTGGGTTTTGGGGGGACAAGAACTGACAGACAGTGAATGTCATGGGCGGAAAAGAAACCACCACGCTGTTTTAGACAGTCAAGACTGGAGTCACATAAGGCCATCAAACAGCTTGGACAGTGCACCTTGGACGCTGGTCATGTGCACTGGACCGTGCTCAGAATGATGGGGCTGGAAAGATCCACAGTAACTATGCACTTGCTGCCATTAATGATGTGTGCACTGTTCAATATTGTTATCTTATCTACCTAACTAGGGTATTTCCAAAAATGCGGTCCTACCCCCCCTCCTCCTGTCCCGACTCCACATGTAGCTCTTTAAATCTCGAGCTTCCCTTTACTTCATACGAAAACATACCTATCAAACCAACGGGATGAGTTCTGGACAATCCACAACCTTCATTTCTTACAACTTTTAATGTCGCAAGAATAAGCTCGCCGCAGTACACTTTACCACTCACCATTCACCACTCACCAGCACAGCACACCGCGTTTTCGTCGGATTGATTGATCTACATTGCTATATCAGATCCATGAAGTGAGTGGTGCCGCATTGTTAGTACACTACACTACACACATACACACACACACCCACATCATGAATACATGTAGTACACATACTTGACATACATAGACCTGGGCTGCCGAGTATCATTTTTCATGAGTACATATACATATGTATGTGTGTGTATGTACGTGAGTATGTAGCATCCATATGTATCACAAGCTGATGTCTCGAAAACACTTGTTATCCATGATCATCGCCAATACCTACCTACTGCAACCTACCTCAACTTATATCCAACCTAGTAGGCTTTAGAGAAGCTAGAGGTATGTATCCGGTAAGGGCCTATGCACGGTTAAGGATGGCCATCCTAGCAGCCCCGGCCAAGATGGGTGAGTGTATGTATGTACACGGAGGAATTCTAGCATGCGAGTCATCCCACATGAAGAGACTATCACTGGATTGCAGCTTCTATTGCCGCGATCGGTAATTTGCGGAAAGTTGTATGCTATTCTTTTTAAAAAAGGAAACTGAATACATGTAATAAGCAATAACCTACCCTAGATACTAGTTGCCCGGTAAGGGAGAAAAAGCACGCAAGATCCGATCCGTTCTACGTCAACCTTTAGCTCCCATCACCAGTAGTGTATAAGTAACGTCGAACTACATAACTACATACATACATAGTGTACATATGTAGTGTTACATACAGACACACATGCCTATGTGATTACTAATGTATTTCCAGTACTCAGGTATGCTATTTCTTATCCGCATTCAGTCAGTCATGATTCATTGGATAATCAGATATTAAGTACTACATGTAGGTAGTCGGCCCTGTCTCGCCTTTAGTATATACATTAGTATGTATGTATCTATTTACATGTATTTGATATACTAGTATTGTACCAAGCCAAGTACCTATGTAGGTAGTAGTGGGTACATATGAGATATACTTTAGCTTCGGCTTTAGCGGCTCCCTGCGGGACTGGTAAGTGCTATGAACAATAAAGTTGTATCCTGCATCTATAAATACATATAATATCCCATACCGTTGAGGTATCTTTACTCTTAAAAAATACATTCCATCTACCGCTTCGATCGTTGTGAATAACTATACCAAGGTATATTATTCCTATTTCTATTCTCCTTTCTAAATGTCATTGCATGACATAAGCCCACTCGAAGAACATTAAAACTCACTTGGCCCCGGTGGTCGCCGTGTCTACTCCAGCGGTTCCAAATATTCATCTGTTTTGGTTGGCGACTGACACTACCGAGCAAAGGCTACTCGCAGTTTCGCCATACGAGACCGATTTGCACATTTTGTCCAGATTTGAGATATTTGAAGAAAGGGGATCCAAATTTCTCCATCTGCTTCAAAAAGACCCATCCTTCAACTGTACCTACTCTACCGTATCTACCGCCATGGACAGTAGCTGAGCTTAACTCTTGTGATCTAGTGCTATGAGCACCTAGGAACCTTTGCATTTCTCGATTTCGTTGTATGCAGTAGTTTGTAGTAGGGGAAGCAGTTGACCTATTTTTCTTCTACCGGCTACCCCTGACCTCTTGAATCTGGCCATCTATCACCACAGGTCATTGGCATGTCACAATGGTTGAACATCATCCCGTCCACAACAGTGAGGTCTATCTGTTAGGGTTGGCGCCGCGTCCTACTGAACCACCTCCCTCTCCACCATCCCCTTCCACACCGAGAGAAGCTGGGCCGAGCACTGCCATTGAGGAATTCTACTTAGACGACCCAGACGATTTCGAGGATCCTTTAGAGGCGGACTCGCGAACAAAACAAAGGATTTCCGGTGCTATTCATGTCCTGAATACCGAAGCGACTGCTCTCCGGTGCCTTACGGTTCTATACAAGACCGACGTCGTAGCCACGCAGGGCTTCAATGCTGCCGTAGAAGCTATAACGAGACATGGAGGCGAACGAGGCAAATTGGTCATCATTGGTGTGGGCAAGTCGGGGCATATTGGGAAGAAACTAGTTGCGACGTTCAACAGCCTGGGGGTTCGAGCGACATTCCTACATCCTACCGAGGCTTTGCACGGCGATCTCGGAAAGATCGAGCAGCACGACACGGCCCTCTTCATTACGTTTTCGGGAAAGACGCCGGAGCTTCTTGCTGTATTACCACATCTTGATACGGCACTGCCGGTGATTGTGCTTACCTCGCACACGCGGCCGGAAGATTGCGAGCTCATCCGCCAGCGCCAGGGCACCATACTACTCCCAGCGCCCATCCACGAGTCGGAAGCCGTGTCCTTTGGTGTGTCTGCTCCCACCACATCGACTACTGTCGCCCTAGCGTTAGGGGATGCGCTAGCAGTAGTTGCAGCCCAGGAGTTGCATTCTACTGTCACATCCGTATTCGCAAAAAATCATCCCGGTGGAGCTATTGGCCAAGCATTTAGCAAGCCTCGCCAAATTCGCGACCTCGCAATCCCCTTCTCGGAGATTCCCACTTGGCCCGAATCCAACGAAGAAGCTTGTGGCGCAGATATACTGAAGCTAGGCTACGACTCACAGTCTGGATGGGCTCGCGTAGGAGATGCAATTGCTTCCCCTAGGCGTATTAGGCGACTTAATACAGAGTATATGACATCCCGGCTATCTACCATCCCTGACTTGGTGGTGGAACGGGGAGAATGGATTAGTATTCATGCCGATACGAGGATTTCGCAAGCTGCCGAATGGTTCAGAGAACCCCTAATATCGTCCGACTATGGCGAGGCGGCTTGCAAAGAAGATTCTATATTAGCGGTCGTGGAAAACAGCGAGATCATCGGAGTCCTCGAAGTTGGGCAGCTGACAAGCTGGCAGGGTTGAATAAATGGGCACGACTTTGATATATGAATTCGACATGTCAATTTTAATCGAGACACGATACTTTTCCACGATAAAGCTTGCGGACACAATACTTAGGTGGTATTGAATATGCTTGGAATCCTCGAAAAGTCCGGCACCCATACCCGGACAGCCTAAAGAGCCTTAACGAGCGTCCACTTAGACTTAAGACAATTATGATGTAGAGACAACCATTTCATAAATGCTCGCAGCGCAAGGATAGGTACCAACTGATAGAAAGTTGAAGGGATATCTTGAGTTTTCTGACGCTGCTGAGCCTACCAGTCTTATCTATTAGTACGGATAAGATTGTAATGTCGAATATAGGGGCTACTTGGGCTCATGTTGCCGGGGAAAAGATGCATAATGTAGATATGTTTCGTGGCTGGAGGCAAAATTTTCACCGTGGAAAGTTAATCTTATGAAAAGCAAAGAGAAAGCTGCTACTTTATCGTACTAAACCCTTATTAAAGGTTAGAAAGGATACAATAAGCATTGTTGCTGTATAGCTGTGTCTAAGTGAATACTAGGTATGGAATAGATGAAGTTGGTAGGCAAAGAACGTGTATGAAATACTTTCAAAAAGTAATCATGAAATGTTGCCGTTCCTAGCCGCGATTGGCCCGGGGACGAAATCGACATGACAAATGTAAAGGGAAGGTCACAGCCCCTATACTACTAGTTGTACACTGCGGCCAAGCCCCTCCTACCCTAGGTATCTAGTCCCTCCAAGCTTACCACCCTGCCTCGGTTTATGGAAGCCTCAGAATGCAGTACTCTCTCCGCCAGCCACCATCATACCGTAGCTGAGGCTATACATATGCCCCTCAAACGACCGGAGTCGCCACAGAAAGCGGCCCACCCGTCGGCGTGGCCTCAGACACCGTCATCAGCACCTCATCGCTCACGACCGTCTCGAGTCCGAGCGCCGTTGCGAGGGTGCCGCTGCCCGCCGGTCCGCCGGTATCCAGCTTCTTCGCCAGGTTGATGGTTGGTACGAGCGGTATGTGCGTCTCCGTGGCGTTGAGGATGCCTGGGAGAGTTGCGTTGGCGGTGATTATTTGTGGCAGCGCTATGGTGGTGGTTGTTAGGGTGAGGAGGGTGATGAAGGTTTGGGAGAGCTGCATCGTGGGTGGTTTTGGGTGGAGTCGAGGGGGTGGGTTAAGAGTTCTTGCTCGGCGCTGATGTAAGTGGGGTGGTGAGGTTATGATGAAGGCTGTTTGTTAAGCAAGGTGCGTGTAGTATACCTTGAGTTAGACGGCTGGGGAAGTCTTATATACCCCTTTTTCACCCTGTTCTGTTACTCACTTCAATAGGGAAGTGACAGAAAACTGACCTACGGTCTTCCCAGATCTTGGTTCTTGCTCATATAATGTGAACCGTTTCGCTATCGACGTCAATGGTAACACTGATACCTCTCACCAAGTCCTCTGTTACAGATTATTTGTTGGTATAGCCGCCGGTAGGACTTAAAAGGGAACACAGGAGAGTGTAAGGAGCTCAAGATATACTATTCAGGTACCTACCTACTTAAGGCTTAAGGGTCGGTTATTGGCCATGTGCTTGCTCAATTGTGGGTGCTGAGTAGACGATGGTATCTTGGAAGATCTGTGATACTCCTTCGTTTCGTACTGTGGATGAATGATTCCTTGGCAACTTCGAGAACTATTCCCATTTCGATGAACTGATCTACAACGTTGTTGAGCTACCTCGCAACACAAGCCCACAAACACTCACTTTTGCAAGAGCCGATTGCAAATATTACACTATTATGACCGGTTGGGTTCTGGTACGGCATGCTGCTCTTCATCTTCAACGTGGTTAAGCAGACTATCGGGACTTCGGGTACGTCAATATCGAACAATTGAGTAAGGATATACATCTGTGTCACCGTCACCAATACCACCAACCGTTCTGGTATCTCGTTACTCTAGCCAATAGGGCGGGTAACCTAGAACTAAGAAGGCTGCTCGATTCGGTGTTTTAGCCGAAGACATGAATAGATAGTGCGTCGAGGATGTGTCAAAGACGTGTTGTGCTTGTATCATGACATTGTGTAAGAAGATGTTATGGTTGATCCTTCTAAATGCATCTATATTGGTTCCTAGTAATGGAAGAATGCATTTCTTATTGTATATCAAATTATTGACACTGTTACACGTACTGGTCACCCTCTGTAGTAGTCGTGTCCCGTGTCTCGCAAGACAACAGGCTACTCGTTGATATAGACGCTACCGAGCACGCTCCGTTACATGCCAACTACGAAATAGGAATATAAGGCTGTATCAGAATATATCCTCGAGTTTGGTTGAGCAAGGCTATCAGGGTAGCAAGTTCACGTGTCACCCTACCATTCTGAGGGGATCAGTCTTAGTTGCATGCTTTCTGATATGTTACTCCTATACGGAGCCACATGACGTACTTCGGTAGCAATGTCCTCCGAACAGGAATGTGGCCGATATTTTGGATACTAGGTATAGATAGACGTCTTGCACGTAGTAGTTAGCATGTAGTTAGCATGTAGAACATGCTCAGAGACATATTCATATCCCGTGTAAGTGATATTCTGCTCACATAGTTGAACGACATGTCATCATCTTGCGGCTATTTGATGTGATTAATATGGAGGGTGGTGATTTGATGACGATGATGGTGGTGGTGGTACAGATCTTGTTGATGCTATCCAAGGCGTCGACAATGACACTTTCACGTTCCGGTCGAATTCCCCTTCTAATTCCGTCCTTTTCCTGCAGTCCTCGTCGGAATCTAGATGGGATACGCCTGTGAACCCTAAACCCGTTGTTCTGCTGCTGTCTCCTATTCCTTGATATGACATCCCTTCCATTTCGCCGTGAGGAACCGTCCTCGCATTCGAATGTGAAGCCAGATGTGTTGGTTCCGAACTGCGCGTCGATATGTCCCATGTATCCCTGTCGATTGGCTGGTACTGAGGTCTTCCTGATGGGCTTGGTGTTTCTCGGGTGTTGGACGAGTACATCGAATAGACCTGTGCGCTTGTGTTTACATCTTTCCCATTTTCATTTCCATTTTCATTTTCGTTTGCAAATTGGGTGGCATGGGTTGCTGGATTTCTCTTTTCCACCCTCTTCCGATTTCTTCGATGAAAGAAAAGGCCAGCCCCCAGGGCAGCTAGTCCAGTAACTCCTAGAGACACTCCTATTCCAATCCCGGCCGCAGCACCTGCTGAGATCTGATTGCCACAGGCTGTATCACAGGTTCCATTTCCTACTCCCATTTGGTTCGCTAATGCGTTTGATATCGAGGCGTCACAATTGTCTGTGCTATCTGTTGTGGCTTGCGTAGGACTCGAAAATACCCAACCGTTCACGGGAATTGCCGCGACAGTAGTGTCATCCTTAACGCTCGAGGTGGTAATCTTCCAGTCGGGATCTCTTTGAGCATACGTGATTGTGCTGCCCGCTTTGAGCTCCGAGGTGCATTGCCCCGTATCCCCTGGGCCCAGGAATTGTACGAAGTCATAATCTCTGCGGCCTAGTTGTTAAAATGCGATCACTCAACGGTTCAGTGTTAAACGCACATCGGACAACACGCTACATAGGTACTTGAAGCATCCTTAGCTGACACAGTAGCGGTATAGTAGTCTTGCGGACAGGTCATAGGCCCCAAGCTTAGAACCGTCTCATGGATAGGGCCCAGTCGATCTTGTAACCACCATGTCGTGACAGGCTTAGGAAGGCATGTTGCATCTTGTTGAACGGAGACTCCATACCCCGGATCCCAAGCCGCGATTATAGACGGGACGTATTTCCACCAGTACTTGTCACAGCCGGGTTGATGAGGGTGAGCTGTCGGGATCGGGATCCAAGAAGTAACGGTACCTTTGTTCGTCTCCGGTAGCCGGTTCATTGTCAATTACGGAAAGGAAAAAACGGAGATCGTGTAAGACAAACGAGTGAAAGGGATTCAGCTACCAAACGTGTTGTCACGGGTGTGGACCACCTCATCACTTTATAAAGGATCACCCGAGGGCCAAGCCTCATAGACAGGCTTTCTATGAAATGAATTGGTAGTTGATAAACTGCAATTGGCCAAATATTGGCCAACAAGCCTCCAACCTAATATTTAACCTTGATATCTTGCGACGGATCTGTAGGACGCAAGGCTTGCAAGATCTAAGCCTCGATATAGTTAGGCCTGTGGCCAAGAGAGGAAATTTGCCGCTCAGACCTGTCTTGGCATCTTTCAGCTTTTATAAAAAGACATCACGATTCACCATAAGACCAATCTATTAGGCAGCCTAATAATTTGTCGACGAGGTCGGGTTCGGGTTCGGCTAGGTCATGTTCATCGGCTCCGCTCGCGCGCATCGATAATCTGTACCATACTATGTAGCACATGAGACTTCTTCTGCTTCAAGTGGATTACTTTGTACCTAGGTAGTTACTGCACGACATGTATGATGGGAGAAATGGATGACTCCATACCTCCCTATGTAGACAGGTATTTACCTCTGAAGAGCCTTGATGTAGTTCTTGCTTCTTGTTCACATAACTTTAGTTAGGTAAGCATCACTATTCATAATATTTTCGGGGTTCTTTTCTTTTTTTGAAAAAAAGAAAGAAAGAAGAATCCAGCGCCATACCTACCTAAGTAACATTAGCGGCCATCCAAGGCCAGCAAGCTCATTCCAAATCATTAAACTCCAAGTCAGAGAAGGCCAGGCTTGCTCCTCAACCACGATATTCCACGACGTGACGTCGCGTGACAGCTTGCATGGTATTGCTGCTTTCCTCGCCCTCGAACTTTAGATTCACCTTCCCTTCGCTGTCCATCCCCATGACTTCGGCCTTGTAGAAAGTTGTCGTGTTAGGGTAGAGTGCCAATACCGTCTTGCCTGTTTCTAAAGGTGGTAGCACGGTTCCCTCCTTTGGGATCGGGATCATGCTGCTAGCACTAGTCCGGAAGTCCTTCTGGTGGCCGTTCTCGTCCACGTCGGCATCGAGAACCCTGTACCGCCTTGACTTACCTTCACCACGCACATCTTGAACGATGCCAAGTATCCAATCCGTTTGCTCGTTGTTCACCGGCTTCGGCTTGAAAGCGACCTCGTCGTCCTTGGCAAACGTTTGCTTAGTACGGTTGGAGATAGAGGCCGGTCCGGCCTGAGGCTCGGCACTACCAGCCTTGGCTGCGGGCGTAGAGCGATCCAGCCTGGGTGGCACCGAGTCACGATCGCCCTTGCCACCACCACCCATGCGACGAGGTACGGCAGGATTGGGAGAAGGTACAGGAGAATCGCCAGCTCCATCAAAATCGTACACGGAATTCGTAGCTGCTGATTCTTTGGCTCTTTGAACGGCTGCTCGAGAGGTGTTGGCCTCTTGCTGCTCCTCCTTGGCCTTCTGTACAGCGCGCAGTACCTTCAGTTTCTCCATAGTCTCTGTTAATAATTGGCCAGCATTCTCGTTGGCCTTGACACCCTTGCGAAAGAGGCTGTCTAATTTCTTGAATTCTTCAGCTGGAACATCTGGCAGTTTTGTTAGTGTGGATGGATTCACGAGGAATGAAAGAAGTCGACTCACTGCCTTTTTCCTTCATCTCGGCCATGCGCTTTTCTTGGTCGCGAATCTCGATGACATTGGCGCTGCTGTCATTGAAAGCCTCCGTGGCACTAGGAATCTTGTCCTTGAGTTCTTTCCACACGGATAGTTCCTCACCGTGCTCGCCCACCTCGCTGTTGCGGTTTGGGCCTCGGCGCTGGTTCCCTCGCGAAGACATTTCGGGTGGGTTCTCGGGCTGCTCCGAGTCCTTGTTCGGCTTAGACGCGGGAAGCGGTGTTGTGGACTTAGACTTGGACTTGGCCCTGGTATCTGTAGACCCAGATGGAAGCGGCTGATCAGCAGCGGGCGACGATAGAGGCTCCTGTTGTCGGCGAGACCTTGACCTGCCTGGTGTATGCCAAGCGGGACCAAGATCGCTCGAAAGCCTGTTCAGATGTCTCTTAGTGGCCTTGTCAGCGGCCTTATCAGCGGCCTTGTCAGCATCCATTTCAGCGGTAGCTTAAAGACGAAGACAACACTAGCAATGAAAGCAAATGAATAGATGATGGGTGTAAGCTGGAAAGTTTTCAAACACTACACGGAACGATGACGATAATAAGGAATCGTATGCACACGTAAGTAGGTAGTTGGTCAACGCTGCCAATAACATTGGTAACAGCGTTGAAAAACTTGAGTAGCTGTACTTGGCTATATCCCCAATGAAAATGCTAAATACGGAGAAATCATAAATATGAAGAAATCACATACTGGAGTAAGTAAGGTGCCTTCTTACCTTAAGCAAGGAGCGAAGCAATCGTAGATGATAGTAGCAATGCGGGATTTCGAGAAACGAAGTAGGGTATACGCCTAGCAACGCTAAGAAACAGAAGGCGGTACAAAGGCCGAATAATAATAATGAGTAAAGAATAGTTGTTGAAGTTCTGAGTCGAGATCAAGAAAATTCAACAAGAGAAGGAGGTAATCCTAGTACATGAAAGGTAAGTATGGCACCTAAGTTGAGCAGCCTGAGGTAAGGCGATTCGGGTAGGTAGGCAAAAGGTACCAACCAGGTTGTAAGGCATATACATGTGCATGTAAGAAGGCGTAGGTTACGCCAATTTATATCGTGACAATTAGCCCGAAGCATTGGAAAGATCTGTGCATATCATGGCGTGAGTAAGCTTCTTATAGAACAAACTATACCCTAGGTAGTTCGCATATAAATGAGGACATGAATGAGGACGTGAATGTGAATGTGAGTGTGAGTTATAAGGTTGAAGCTTTCAATCAACTGTATAGTGCTAATATGTAGAGGCACTATTAATCAGAAGAGCAAGCTTCAACGTTCTTTTGGCCAATTGGATCTTGTACCTCACCATTAGAGTTGTCGCATTAAAGTGAGCGGTGAAACCAAGCAGAATTCAGCACAAACATCGAACACATGTAGGTACATACATGTACAATATGTACAACATTATGTACATAATTACATACATATGTACCCATGCATCTGCAGCAACTTGAAGCTGCACGGGCAGGCGGGGTATGTGAAAGCTCCCCGCACCTCGAACTCAATGTTTTAGTGTACAATACATAGGGCAAGAGGCTAGAGCTATGTACCCAGCATGACAACATGTAACTTACATACTACAGTAGCATAGAGTATTATGCTAACGCCTTTATGAACATCTAATTTCTAAACACGAATTATTCATTGGTGTAGTTATACCTCCCACTCTTTTTTTGCAGTAATTCTTCAAGTTCACTGAAAGAGCACTTACCTGCAAAGAATACAACTAGACCAACTAACATTCGAACTTATCATCCAAAATGGTGTTGCCCGTTCCCTTGATCCGACTCCAATGCGGAGTGAATTCATACGACTGGGGCAAGATCGGATCTGAGTCCGCCGCAGCCAAGTTTGCTGCAGCAACACCATCCGACATCTTGAATATCCAGTCGGACAAGCCGTACGCTGAGGTGTGTCCCACCGTTGTTTTGACACAACTGGTTCCATAGCTAACACGGGCGCGCGCTTTGGCAGCTATGGATGGGTACTCATCCCTCAAATCCATCCAAGGACCTCCAGTCCGGTCGGACGTTGCTTGAACTTGTTGCCGAAAACCAGATGCTCTTAGCCCCGTCCGTTAAGGCGCGATACGGTAGTAAGCTACCTTTCCTCTTCAAGGTGCTCTCTATCAACAAGGCCCTCTCTATTCAAGCACACCCCAACAAGAAACTCGCCGAGCAATTACACGCTAGGGATTCAAAGAACTACCCCGATGACAATCACAAACCTGAGATGGCCATTGCCATCACTGAATTCGAGGGCCTATGTGGATTCCGCCCTCTGGGTGAAATTGCTCATTTTCTATCGTCGGTGCCTGCCCTACGTCAGTTGGTTGGCGAAGATGCTGCCAAAGCTTTCATTGCCACTGTTAGAGGTCAGGAGAGTGATGACTCCTCCGAATCTACGACACAAAACAAGAGAGCGCTTCAAACAGCATTTGCTGCTCTAATGAAATCTTCTCAGGAAGACGTTGCCTCAGCTACTAAGTTACTCGTCTCGGACGCTGAGAGCAAAGGAAGCGAATTCGCGGATAGTGGAGTTGAGTCGACGAGCGGGGCTGTCATGTCCGAATTAGTGGCTCGTCTTAACAAGCAGTTCCCTGATGACATCGGCCTGTTCGTCTTGTTCTTCCTGAACTTTGTAAAGCTTTCTCCGGGCGAGGCTCTCTTCCTCAAGGCCGATGATATCCATGCCTACCTATCGGGAGATATTATCGAGTGCATGGCGGCAAGTGACAATGTCGTTCGTGCAGGGTTTACACCCAAGTTTAAGGATGTCCAGACGCTGGTCGATCTATTGACCTACAATTATGCCCCGATTGAAGAGCAGAAGATGTCCCCTACCGAGTATCCCTACGTGGTACTCAATCGCACAGCATACAGCTCGGGCTCGGAGGCAATCCTATACGATCCACCGATCGAAGAGTTCAGTGTCATAAGAGCTGTTCTTAACGGCGAAGGGTCAAAGGCCACCTTTGATCCCATCGACGGACCAAGCATTGTTATCTGCACCGGAGGCAAGGGCAAGATCACAGTTGGAAGCAAGACGGAAGAAGTCAAGGAGGGTTACGTATTTTTCGTTGGCGCCACGGCAGGGTTGGTCCTAGAATCTCAGGGTGGTCCGGATGATTCGTTTACTACCTTCAAGGCGTTTTGTGAAGTGGAGGATCACAGCAATGGTTCGTAAAATATGGCTACGGCCTGGTGCAATTTTGACAAAAGTCGCATGTGTATTTTCGATTGCTTCAAATGAGTTTGGGCTGAAAAGGCTCTTATGTTTCCTCTCCATCTTGAGTCAAGAGATATCCTACAAGTAATTGATGATTTACTGATGATTTAAATTTCCATGTTTTGTTGATTAACTATCTGCATGATTGATTCTGTACCCCTTTATTAAAGTGCAAAGTTCAAGGTTATTATCATCATTGAACCTGCATGTGGGTGTTCGGCAAACAGATCTACTCATCTACATAAATCTGGCCCAAGCGTCTAACCTACATATGTCGGCCCCATCGTTCTTGAGACTTGTATTGTATACCTAGGGTACATTCGTATTGTATGAGTAGTATTGGGTACCCTACATATGTACTTTGTAGTAGCAACATTGAAGCTGTCAGGGGAACCTTGGAAATAGATAATTATCTAACGTGATTAGGTATTCGGGTGGTCGTAGCGTGATACAATAGACTACAAACCCATCTAAAAAAACCAGGCGGAAATTGAAACATTTTAACAATAATAAAGGAGACATGGTTTATTTTTGGACAGAGAAACCCCTGGCGCAAGTTTAAATGTTTCATTTTATTTTCCAATTTGGCAATCAACATCGACAAAAACTGCCATGTACCATCTACCTATTACATAGTATGTATGTACATACTAATATGATACTACTAGGTATACCTACATGTAGTACCTAGTAAGTCTAAGCAGTTAGGTACACCACATGTATTAATCAATCTTCCCCCCCTTCCTCCTTTTGGTTCTCTCACCTTTCCCACCTTTAACCAGATTATTTGGTACATACCTCTCTCTTACTGTGCATATCAATGTCAATCTCGGGAATTGTAATTTTAACAGCTATTTTTAATCCATCCCCATACGTAACATTCGACGATACAATCGACTCAACTACCAGGTAGTTCTCTGTCCAACCAATCGCGACGCGTCGGGTGGAAAATCACCACTGGCCCTGCCATCTTCCCTCCTTCCAACCTCCATCACTCACATGCTAAACTCGACAAAATAATATCTTCTCTCGTTCGAACATCATCTCGCCCTTTCGTAAATAACCGATAGGCGATATCAAACCAATCCGTCCTTAACAAAACCGTTCTCGACAACAACAACAACAGCAGCAGCAGCAGCAGCAGCAGCAGCAATCAACGTCAAGATGGGGGGGCAACTTTCTAAAGTGATGGGCAAGATATTTGGATCCAAGGAGATGCGATTGCTGATGCTGGGACTCGACGCTGCCGGCAAGACCACTATCCTATACAAGCTCAAGCTAGGCCAGGACGTTACCACCATCCCCACTGTCGGCTTCAACGTCGAAACCGTCACGTATAAGAACGTCAAGTTCAACGTCTGGGATGTTGGTGGTCAGGACAAGATCCGTCCGTTATGGAGACATTACTTTAGCGGTGAGTTGATGATATTATATACTACCTATTGATATTTTCATTTGCTTGCGATCATTCAATCATGCCGTGGACTTGTCCCTGTCTTGTGTTACGGCGGATAGGCCAATGGACGCTTAAGTAACTGTGGAACCTGCCCCTACAAACATAGATAAGGCATAGGAATACTGATATCTTGATGCGCAAATAGGAACCCAAGGCTTAATCTTCGTCATCGACTCCTCAGACCGAGCACGGATGGACGAGGCGAGACAAGAACTACATCGGATTATCAACGACAGGGAAATGAAGGATAGTTTGCTTCTGGTATTCGCGAACAAGCAAGACATTAAGGATGGTATGTGACTGCACTTCCTGCTTCCCCGAGTTTCTCAATTCCAATTACACCCTGATATCTTGACGGATACAGAATGATTCAATATACTAATGTGCCTTTGTCCCCACAGCTTTAAAACCGCAAGAGGTAACTGAAGCACTACAACTTTCCAAATTGAAGGACAAGATTTGGTACGTGGTTCCCAGCTGTGCCACCACGGGTGAGGGTCTGCTCGAAGGTCTGGCGTGGCTATCGAACAACGTTAAGGCGCCTCCCACACCAGCCAAGAAGTAGGGCTTCTAGTTGTTTGTTTCCTCGATACCCTTGATTTTTGATATAGATGGGCGGCCTTTCCGAGTCATTAGACAGGAGAAGTAACGGTCGAACCGCACATGGTGTTTTGCGCACGGGGTCTCTGGCATTTATAATACGACAAATCCTTGAAACTCAAGCCAGAATCCTCTTTTTCTTAGCACGAAACGATGAATTAAAGGTTCCTCTTACGTTAGGGTTTAATGTGCGCATTCAGTTTTGCCATCGACAGGTGTGGGTAGTGTTGTGGTGTGGTACATCCTTGAGGACTGCTTCCTAATTTTTACTCATTTTACCCTGTCTCCGTTTCATCAGTCGTGAGTGCGAGTACGAAAGAAGTAACCAGAAGATATGACGTCTATACGTGCTCATATGGGTGGCGAACGAATAGTCAAGCGAAGTAGACATAACCGGACCCATCGACCCTAAAAAGCCTTTGAATACGAAACCCCAAGGTTAGCTCCTTCACCACCTGAGTAAATAGCCAGTTCGATTGTGGATTCGAGCAAAATAGATAGGATGGTTAGGAAGGAGGGAGAAAGAAGGGTAGGGAAAAAAGAAAGGAGATGAGAGGGGGCGGGGATAGCCAGCGCTCGACCTGTCTATCTAGCGTTAATAGCTAAACGAAAGGGGGGAGGGACAACAGGAACAAAATATAGGTATATATGCTGTTGTAAATAATTAATATTGTAATACCGACGATCTCAGTTGCTTCCTCGACGAGTTTCTATGAGCCCTCGTTATTTTTGCTGGGTTTTTCCTTTCCCCCTTTCCGGCTCGAGAGATGGGATTATAACCCAAGATCTAAAACACTCATTTCGTCTTACGGACATGTACATAGCTGTAAGGCAAGTCTAGGGGTATCAAGAGGTTGATACGTAGGTAGGTAGGTAGGCAATGACCTGGTAAATAGTCACTTCTTACAATGCTGCTTTATATATGTAAGTAGACACATTCCCACCCGTCCTTAATCAATATCCGGTACGCCAGCCTCTATGTATCTGCCTAACACCTAGGCATATAGCCAACCCAATAATGCCACTGCTTATTCATGCTTCAAAATTGAACTACCCAAAGCCCAAGTACTAAAGCTTCAGGTGCCCAGTATATATGTATGCCCTCTCACTGTTCTAATTCCCAGTTCCTTCAAACCACATACAATTTACGTGATACCTTCACGAACTCGGAGGCAACTGGGAAAGAAACGATTTAACCCTCCTTGACCCTCTTGACGGGTCTAACAATACTATCATCAGGCAACCCCGAACGTTTAGTCCCCGGTAGGCTCGCGGTGCGAATGTCGTTGTCATCTTGGCTGACACGACGCTGCGGGTATAAGACCTTCAGGCCGTCGAAGCAGCTAGCACTCACGCCGACGCCGCTGCCGTTGCTAGAGGAAGAAGACTGGAAGAATGGATGCTGTAGTGCTTGAGCGGCCGTAAGCCGTCGCTCTGGGTCGTACTCAAGAAGTCCCGAAAGTAGTTTGTATCCTTCGGCCCCAAGGGCGGCCAGACTTGTATTTGAAGACGGCGATGAGGTAGATGAATGCGCCCCAATGGTCGTGTAGTACCACTTCTCTAGGTGACTCGTCGATGCTGCATGGGATGATTTGTGATGGTGATGATGATGGTGACCTGAGTGCATCATAGGGGCTTGCAACATGCTTAGGTTGCTATACTCGGGCATGCTGGGTAAGTAGGGCCAGCGCTCCTTGGTAGGCAAGCCCATGATATCTACAATTTTCTGCATCTGGTTGCGTTGGAACGGTACAGTCTTCTTGTCCATCTTGGCCTCCTCACCCTTAAAGATAGGCCGCAACGACAGTAACTCCGCGAAGATGCAGCCTACTGCCCACATGTCAATTGCTGGTGTGTAGTGCCGGCTACCTAATAGCAGTTCCGGTGCGCGATACCATATAGTTACCACCACCTTGTCGCCACTCCACAGTGAGTGTAAAGGCTTGTAGAAGAGCCGGGCTAACCCTAGGTCGCCGATCTTGACTTGCCCACTCGACGTGACCATAATATTGGCAGGCTTGAGGTCACGATGTAGGACCCAGTTGCTATGCAAGTACTGACATCCATTCAGGAGCTGGAACATGATACTCTTCACGGTGGATGGGGGGATGCTATGGCGAGGCTGCTGCGTGTGGTGGTGGATAATTTGTAATAGGTCGTGTTCGGCGTATTCGAAAACCATGAAGATGCATTTATCTTCGAGGATAATCTCGATGAGGCGGATGACGTTGTCGTGCTTAAGTTCAGAGCAGAGTGCCATTTCACGCACGGCTGATTGGGAGATGCCCGAATACTGGATTTGTTCGCCTTCTTTATCAGGCTTGAACTTTTTGATGGCAAACTCCCCCGGTTGGCCATGCCGGCCGATGGCCTTATACACGCGGCCATAAGTCCCACTGCTGATGAAACCAATTACCTTGTATTTATCCACGACCCTGACTTTGGACTGGTAGCCTACATTTCCGGTTCTGTCGTTGGGATCTTGATGTGGAAGTCAGCAAATCATCGCTAGTTCATCACGGAAAAAGGAAAGAAAAGAAAGCAGATGGAAGTACGTTGGATACGTGGTGGTGGTGAAGCGCGTTGTTGAAGTGTAGATGATAACGGCCGTATCGGCCTGGACCCCCAGGACTTGAGGAAGCTGAATTCGGTGCTTGTAGAGCTGTGAGCTGTCTGGCTTTCTCCCGGCATCCGAATGTGACGGTACTGCATAGGGTTGTCGAGACCATTTCCCAGCACCATTTGGCTATCTGGACATGAAAAATGGGGTTGGTTTGCAATGACGACGTAAAAAGGGCCCCGGGTCTTTAAGAGGCGGAAGGTCTCAAGGCTTTAGGAGGCGCAGCTGTTGCCGAAAGCTGAATTAAGTCCGAAGGGCCACCAATCATGTGGCGATTAAGGGGGTGAGATAGTAACCGAAAAGAGGAATGACGAAAGAGGAAAGGGGAGAAAGTGTTGGGCATACAGGGCTAATGGCCAAACATTCCAAGTAAAAGAAAAGCCTTATTCTATTCATACCTTCAAAGGCAGCCTGTACGCTCCTCTTCAGGTTTTGGTTTCTCGCGGAAGCCGACGCCGGGCCTGAGGCGCCTGAAGGAGGATTAGTGAGACTCATTATTCTCTAGTACAGTAGCGGCTGCTGTGCTCGTGTTTTGTGTGGTTGGATCATGGATTAAGTCAGACGAGACCGGACGAGACCAGACCAGATCAGATCACAGATGAGATCAGGTGCGCACCCGCCGGGTGGGATTCCCGGCAGCGTCGGGTGAGATGAGACAGGTTTCTCTATCTTGTCGGTCTCCCATGCGCCTCGCCTTATTTCGCTGAGCTGCCCACGTATGGGTAAGAATCAACGATATCGTATTGGTTAAGAACTCTCCAAGATTTATAAAACAATGGAAAAAAGAGGGGACCGAGCGTTTCGGATACCGATGTGAAGCTGACAGTTCACTGCCGGGATGACGGGTGTTTGTACTTATTAGTTCCCGTTTGGTGGTGTAATTTGTTTTTTTGATTGTTTGTAATGACGATCTGGCAGAATTTGGGATGATAATAGGGTAGTAGTCGATTACATCGGGAGGTATGTATGTATAATGGAACGGCTAAATACTGAATCGAATGAGAAATGAATTGTACAAATAGAAATAAGAATAAGGTTTTCGATGGAGCTAGATGGAAACTAGATGGAAATAAAGTATTCAATGTTATTGTGTACTGTACTATGTAAAATCATCGAACGTCGAGACTCAAGTATGTACGTTCGCCTTTAATTATGTACCGTGCAGACGAGCTAAGAGGTGAAGTCCGCGACCAACCAACGTGGACATCTGGAGGTTCAAAGTTTGAGGAACTTGGGAAAACCACTTGTGGCTTGAAGACATGTGGCGCAGTCACCCCTGCTCATATGGCAGTCTACCAATGTAGTCCTAGACACATCATGATATCTACACGTACATGTAGGTAGGTGCATAATATACTACTATGTAGTCACTTATTAAATACCGACTTTACTTTGAAGATAAAATGGTAGCATTCCTAGATAAATGCATTTTATACATGTACCTAGAAGAAGGGTACCTAACTATGAGGTTGATATGGAAGTGAGAATTGCATGAATATAAAAATGACGACGCCTGAGCTGATCCGTTGAAAGTCATTTCTGCTAGCATTTCGTAAACCACATCATCGTTGGGTTGTACACCCCCTTGACTGTCGGTTGCTACCTATTTAGGTATGCAGTATCTATCGTGGTCCCAACTTTTCCAGAATCCTCGATCCTTCTTCTGCCCATTCTTGCTGCGTAATCCACATGCTCTCCTTATCGGCCATGATGTTGGCTAATACCGCTCCACCCAAGAACACCATATGGCGGCGGCGCGGAGGATCTTCTATCCTAACCTTGAACTTGTTTAGCCGTTCAGGGTTACCACCGAGCACACGTGTAAGCCATAATTGTTTGAGTTCCTTCTCTAGACGCGACGGCAGACCTGGGTACATGCTGCTTCCACCAGACAAAACGATGGCTTTGAATAGAGAGGAGCGTACATCGACATCGGCGGCTTGGATAGTGTTGAAGAGAAACTCAGCAATACCGGGTTGCTCGCAATCTACCAGATGTGGCTGGAAGAGACATTCTGGGGCTTCGAATCGCTCGCTGCCCACCCGGATCACTCGACCGTCTGGAAGAGTATAACTCTCCACTAGCACTGTAGTGTCCTCACTAAGACGCTTATCCAGTTCCAGGTCGTAAGATACATAGCAAAGCTTCTCCTTGATCTGCCGCACGGTCTCAAAGTCGGCCGTTCGATTGAGGGCGTAGCCTCTCCGTAAGAGTAGGGCAATGAGATTACGGGTGACATCGCGGCCGGCCACATCGAGTCTTCGAGTGAGATGGTTGAGCACGACAGATTCGTAAACAGGGACGATATGCGTGACTCCATCACCGGAATCAACAACGACGCCAGAGCTCAGGCCTAGCTTCACGTTAAACTAGAACTTTAATGCCTCGCATGCTATGGGGGTTTACCTTGCGCATATAAGGCTAGGACAGCTTGAATGGCGACATAGACACCGCCGAAGCCATAACGCTCGAACATGACCTCGCACATCTGCTCTCGATTCTTCAGGGGATTCATGGGAGGTTCGGTGAGCAAGATCTTTCGTCCTTGGGGCTCAATCTTCATCTTTTCATAAAAAGTGTAATCCCACAGGTGCTGCATGTCGTCCCACTTCTTGACAATACCATTCTCCATGGGGTAGGATATCTGAAGCATGGTGCGGGCGGCAGCGGCCTCGTCGCCGCACATAATGTCTTTGAGAACCATGTCATTGTCGCTGTTCTTCTCTTCGGTTCGTAGGATGGGTCGGCCGACAATGGAGGGATACTGAAATTCGGGAAAGTTCTGAGCGGCGTATCCGACCTTTAGGAAACCAGTGCCTCCATCGAGAACTAGCTTGATAGGTTAGGCATAGTGACCATGGGAATTCAATGAAGTAGCGGTGTTACTAACCGATGGGAGGAGGAGCAGCCATGATTCAGTAAGGCCGGTTTGGTAATAAGAGATAGATTGTAGACGTCAAGCTTCGAGAATTAGGGGGGGCATATATTGACGTCGAACCGTGGTGAAGCTGCAGTTGACGAGGCTGCTTGCAGCTTCGATGGCGGGGTTGGTTGGTGGTTTGGAGTTTGGGGTTCAGGCGTTCGTCAGTTCTACATTAGTAGTATCAATAGTAGAACAATCAGGCTGTCAGGGACTCCCCAAGTCGCATTGTTGGGGCTGAGAACTTAAAGGTGGTTTATGGGGCCTGACGTTGTTATTGTGGCTGAGCTAGGTAGTTACCCCACATTCATATTAAATACACATGCATTTAATGAAGGTTCAATGTTGGATTGTTCTAATTGTCAATTGATAACTATGTACCCCGCAGACATGTTCCGAACCTCCTCTAACTACGTACATAGCAAGTACATCAAACTTCATATATATCTGTATATGCATACCTAGGGTACTTTACAAAAGGTAGGCAGTTTATAGTATGTAACTGTGAATCGTCAAATTTAAAATTCCAAAAGTTTGTCCATTTGTTGAGATAAATACACATGAATGACTCCAGAATCACACTCGTCAACCCTCGCTCACCATACATAGATCACAGTAAACATGACTGAACTCGCTCAAGAGAAAAAGACAAGGATTTTGGTCTTGAATCCAAACTCATCGAAGGCCATGACAGAGGGTATCAAGGCTGTCATCGATACCATAGGCCTGCCACATGTGCGTTACCAGAGTTGATTTAATCCCGTAGTTTTGTTCACATCACAAGTGCCTACCCACCTAGTCCCTACTTATGTAGACTATACCAAGAGGAGAGCTCACCGTAACTTCACAGTCAACTAAGATCCACACATACACCGGTCCGTCAGATGCCCCCGCAAGCATAAACGATGACAAGGACCTTGACAGCAGCACCGATGCCGTTTCCAAAGATATTCAGTCTTCTCACCCAGAACTCCTAAGCTACGACGGCATTGTAGTTGCGTGTTTCAGCGTACATCCTCTTGTGGAGACTTTGCGGTCGATTCCAGAGCTCCGAGCTGTTACACTGGGCATCTTCGAGGGCAGCATCCTCGCCGCCCTGTCGTTACTCGAATCCCACGAAAAATGGGGTATAGTCACCACCGGCAAGTTCTGGGAAAAGCACCTGACAGACGGCGCCATCGATTTTCTCGGTGGATATCCATCGACTACTAACTCCAAGTTTGCCGGCGTTGAGTCCACAGGCCTGAATGCCTCGGACTTTCACCATGGGGTCGATCCCGCCGTTGTGAAGCAGAAACTTAAGGAGGCTACTCAACGTCTACTTGCTAAGCCTGGCGTTAAATGCATCGTGATGGGATGTGCGGGGATGGCTGGGCTAGAGGAAATCATCCGACTTGCCGCATGCGAAGTGAAGGGAAAGAAATTTGCCTATTCTGAGTTATTGGTCATGGATGGCATCCTGGCGGGTATTATGCAAACCGAACTTGCGATAAAGTATCAGAGGCTCCTACGGCCAATATAATATAGTATCCATCTTGTACTACTATGTATCTAGTACCTACCTAGTCATGCCAATATAACAATCTTCAATCACCTCGGAGGTCCTGCCTAGGCATTTAGTCAACACGCCGCGTCCGGCCCCAGACATCGTCCACGTCCTTCTTCCCTTTTGTTTCTGGTACATACCAGAAGACAAATAATCCACACAGACTTGCTAACGCAGTGAAGATGAAGTAGACCCATCCAGCTCTTCCAAAATGCTCGTTCAGGGCAAGGTTGATGATGGGGAAGAATTGCGCTACCAAGAATGTAGCAATATAGTTTGCACCTAGACAACAGGATTGCAACGCTCCGACGGCCTCTTGACCGACTAGTTCGGATGCAAGGATAAAGGGTACCGGGCCGAGCCCGACAGCGAAGAAGGCCACAAAGAAAAGTACCATGACCGCCGATAAAATCTTGGTCTCGAATAAGATAGACAGTGCTAGGGCTAGTGCACTCGCCCCCTGGCCAAAGATGGATAATAGGAGGCAGGTCTTCCGCCCGAGCTTGTCCGGCAGTGGCGAACATGCGACTGTGGTGACTAAATTGATGGCCGATATCATGATGGTCAGTAGCGCTGAACTAATCGGGAGAAGATCCCTCAAGAGCGAGACAGAGTACATGATAATGGAATTGATTCCACACAGTTGCTGAGCACACATGACACCCACAGCCGCAACGAGAGCAGGGCGATACAATGGGTCCCTGACGAGTTCCAAAAATCCGAGATGGTCATTGCTCTTCCCATCGACTTTCCTTGCAGTCGACCCCCTCCTAGAATTGGCGGCTGGGTTGTCAAGCAGCCCTTCTTCCTCGGGTGCCACAGCTGAGCTGTCCCATGAAGCTGTCTCTTCGGTAATATCAAAGCGCCGGCCACGAATCTTCTGCAGTATCCTCTTTGCCTGGGTCACACTCTCATTCGCCGCTAACCAGGCGGGACTCTCCGGTACAAGCAGCAACCCAACCCCCTGGGTAACACCAATCACGATGCCCGCCCCCAGTATCCACCGCCACGCAGATCCGTAGCTAAGGAAGTACCCCATGGTCTGGGTGACTAGGATGCCAACGTTGATGCTAACTTGGGTCATGGCGCCGAATATGCCCCTCTCGCGAGGCGGTGCTACCTCGCTGATATAGATGGGAACAATAACAGTGGCAGCGCCAGCACCGACACCTGAAAGCACACGACCGACCGCTAGCACGGCAATGGAAGCGCCAAGGGTCTCTACCACGGACCCAAGAATATAGAACAGGCTCGTCAGCCGCATGGCAAGGAGGCGGCCTTTCTTGGTGGCGATGGGACCGCTGCCCAGGGCACCGATTAGCCCGCCAAGGGTGAACATGCTCGATACTACAGCAAATTGAGCATCATCCATAGGAACACAATCGGGAAGTGCGGCTGAGGCAGTTGCTATGTCGACGTCGAATTTCGACAAGGACAAGGAAGAGGAGAGTCGTGAGGAGATAGACTGCTGCTGCTGTCTAACTCGACAGGAGATAACGTCTTGTGGTGCGTTGAGCTCGGCCTAGTTTATTGGTCACGTTAATAATCCGAATCCGAGTCTTGTTATGAGGACTCGTTTATTGTTTAGGAGTCTTACAAGATGGAACCCGAACTGCAGAGGCCCGAGGGTGCTGATGGCGATGAGGAGGATGAGATACGGTGAGACATCTCTGATGCACTGCCGCAACCCGGTAGACGTCATATTGCCTCTTAGGCAATGTGCCTCTCCCTAGTAATTAGAGGGTTTATAAACCAAAAGAGGATGGAGATGGCTTCAAGCTTAGATGCTGAGGTCTGTGATGACAACCTTGGAAGTTTACAGCCCCAACTCGGAGCTGGTAAGCTGGTTAAATAAGAAGAAAGGTACGGGGAGCATTGAAGTCGTCCGTCATAGCTTCAAATGGACCACATGCCAACAATCCCTAATCCCTGTTGAATACTGTAGTGGTTATAAGGAATTTTCGAGTGTTACATTTACCTACATGTACATATGCATCTATAAGTAGTACTGTATGTACCTATGTACCCAATGAAGGCTTCCAACATAGTAGTGCATTATGTGCATAGTCCATAATCTGATATACAAAACCCATAGCTAGGAATGAACAAACGAAGTAGCAAGAGGCTCATTTTATCACAAAGCGATATGCCGTCAATCCGTCTGAGCATACTCAAAATTTCCTATGCCGATCTCATGTTAGTTAGGTACTTTTTCAATATAAGAGAACGGTATGTATAGTTCAGTAAAACTACGAGCCACGAACCGTCGTACTCGAATACAAAGACTACTACTGAGTACATGTAGTATAAGTAATAGTAACTGGGAGATAAATGAACCTACATCATCGCTGAGTTGAGAGATATTAATTCTAGCCCAATGATACCGGGGATCCATGTCTCGTGTACTATTATAAGAGACACGCCACGAGATGTATTCCTCGTCCGCCAAATCACTCGGGTCGAATGCTTCATAGATGGCGAATTTCGAACTCAGCTCCGTCTCGGCCTCCAACAACATACCCCTAGGCCGAATACCTCTAGCCAACAATTCATTGATAAGAGGGTGTGCCTTGTGGAGAAAGCCGCCATACCCATCGCCTTGAGTTCTCTGGCTCAACGTAAGGAAGCACGTAGGGTGTCGTGATAGGATGTGTTGAACATCCCCCGCTGTCCCTTCTTCTCCAAGAATGGCCTCAGGACCGGATGAACGCTTTGCAAGACGATACCGAAGACATCTATAGTCCAATGGTCGATTTTCTATAGAATGTAAAGAGAGCATGGTCAAAGTTTTGAGTGGCTGATCTTGATCTAGGACAGCTAGGCTTAGGAGATCAAGTTCCGTAGAAATTCGACTATGATATTCAACGCTGACGTGCCTTACTGACGATAAGCACGCTGCTAGAAATAATGGACTTGGCTTGCGAAAGATATCAACCCAGCGTCTTGGTTCCATCCATTCGAGCACATCACACTCCGGGTTGAACCTCAAGATTCTGGAGCTGTCGCACATAGTGTCAAGTGCTGTATCATCTACTGATTGTGCCCCTAGGGCCTGTCTCAAAGCAACTCCACTGATTTGAAGCGGGTTGCGATAGCTCTCTAGGATCTCATGCCTCGCCTCGTGGCTGACTAAGACTAGGAGCGGAAGTGGTGGTGCCTGACCGTCGAACACAACACGATAGTGAACATCCATCCAATCTGCCTCCGTGGCATTATTCCATGCTTCTAGGTCTAATTTTATCCTTGCTCGAACGATGCGAGGCGGTGTAGCCAGACGCCATATTTTGCAACGAAGCTCGGCCGGTAGGAGGCTGAACTGAGGAAACGAAGGCTCCATTCGGATGTATTTACACTGTAAACAGATGTAGTATACCCAAGGAATATCGAGACGAGATATTCTTATAAATGGAAAACTTATAAATGCTCTAAGGCTTGCTTGGGTTGACACACATATTGATAGTAATGATGTATGGATGGTATGAATTTAGTACATACTAGGTACATATGGCCCGAGGATTAAGGCCACAGGTATGTACTACTAGGTACTGCATGTATTATGCATCTAGTAGGTATGGACAGCATTGCCTAACCTAATAGATACATACATGTATATTAGGTACATAATGGATACGAAATGGCTGTGACATCCAGCTAGTCGATATCACTCCCGGGACGACTCGCAGGACGGCTCGCAATAAATATAGGAGCACGCTGTGCTTCGCTATCCTCAGTCTCATCCACTCCGAATTTGGTCATGCTGAACTCGGGCAAGCGCTTCTGTCCTTTACGCAAAACACCTCCATGCTTCAAGTTACGTCTTCTCATCGCCTCAATTTCATCATTGTGCTTGGCCTTTTCTTCTTCCTCGTTCAACATCGTGCCTTCAATGCTCAGGTATCCGTAGTCGCCGCTTGCACCAACCTCGTAATGCTTGATTCGGAAATAAAGCTTAGTGCCTCCGCGTATTCTCGTCCCATTTTCGTCCACCCAGTAGCCCGTTGTGTGTAGTTGCGCTGTGTCATCGTCTGGGTTGTCCAAGGGTTCGGGTGTAGGGAGTTTGGCTTCCTCAGCTGTTTTCTCTTTTTCATTCCCCTTCCCCTTGTCTTTATGCTTGCCATTAGAAAGTAGGTCAATCCAGCGCCAGCCGTGAGGCAGTCTTGCTGCTTCAATCGAGGCATTGAACATATCCCAGCAGACAACACCAATATGGCCCTCGCCCTGGAGATTCACCATTCCTTCCATCCATGCGCCCCGAGCTGGACGGAACAAGTCTACTTCGGCGGTCAACCACCCAAAGCTAACCGCATATTCGTTGATGGACTCCATTAACACGACATCCTCCGTGGCGCTCTTTTCGGTCAGCGATCCTTTTCCCGGCGCCTCGCCAACGCGAGGGTTTCGAAACGCCAGCAGGACGCCACGGAAGCTGGGCACATAGCGGTTAATCAAGGGCAGGAGATGCTGATCCGCGAAACCTTCTATCGGCTTGACTAGGCCAGACGGGAATAATGGTAGGTATTGAGACACAGTCTGCGTAAAGAAGGGATATTCTTTGATATCGGGCTTTTGTCCAAACTCGTCTGCATTGTGAGCTTCAACCGGAATCGAGTCAATATCCATAGGCACGGTTTCTGGAGCTTGTTGGCTGTCGGGTATAATCTCATCTTGCGACGATATTGTCTCAACCTCGAGACTCTTGTGATTTTTCTTGTGCTCCTTTCGTTTTTTCTCTTTCTTTGTTAAGCTCGAATCCATTGTGTTATCCTCCAGAGATTCCTGGCTCTTCTTTGCCTTTCCTATACCATGGGCTTCTTGTTTCCGTTTCTTTTTTTCCGTGCGAGACTGATGGATAGAGACTTCATCTATGTTCGTCGGGACTTCTGGTTCTGAGTTGGAATCATTACCGCTGCTTTTCGATTTCTTGTGTTTCCGCTCGCTGCCTTCTGTATCGTTGGTTTCGCGAGGTCGCTTGTGTTTTCCACGAGACCTGCTTTTCTTGTCGGGTATGGGCGTTAATGACGAGGCCGCGGTATCCGCCATTATAAAACCTGGATTTGTTCGAATGGATTTGAAAATTTGTGCAACGGGAAGAAAGTTGCGTCGGCATTTACTTTGGTACGTTGTGATGCGAAAATACAATTGAAGCTTCAATGTTCTTACTTTTCTTTTCTCTTTTTTTTTTTGGCGTACCTTGCTATCGATAAGGATAACCGTATTTGAGATAACTACATCTACTTACGATAAATGCATGCACTGGATAACTAAAGCTATATACCTATTGAATACATTATTCATTATGTGGGATTATTGAGGTGAAATTTATTGGACTTGCTAATCACGCGTCTCCCTACCTCTAAGTTAACCTTAGTGCCCTTTCCCATTCACAGCTCTCTCTACAATAGTACTCAATGACTCCATGTCCTCGGGTGTAAGACCTAATAGCTCGTTGTCTGTCTTGTCGTATAATGTGCCACCCTCTGCCCATATGCGTCTTAGGGTGTATAGTGTGGCAAGTGGATTATTACTATTCCAGCTCTCTTTCTCGACCTTCCGGAGGCTCTCCATCGATCTATGCTGAACTGACCAATTCGTCCCTGTTTGCTTCTCGAGTTCCTCTACAATAGCATTTGGGGTCGTCACGAATGATTGGACCTTGAGAACTTTCCCCATTGATACCTCAGGGCTCCGAAGAGCTGCGGCGACAAGCTTACCAACACTATTTTGTGTTAGTTGAATTGATAATAGCCCAGGTGGCTTTTCGCATTGGTAAGCTTACTCGGGCATGCTTGTGAATCCGATCTTCCCCTCACCCGATTCAACTATTATTGCTTTCTTAGACTTCAGATCAAAGCCCCCAGCTTCTGGAGCCGCTGGGCTAAGCGTCAGGTACATTTCAGGGTACGGGCCGGTGACGATGTAGGTACACTTGATCCTCTTCACGTCATCACGGATGAACTCTCTCACTCTGAGCTTGTTTTGGTGCGGTTCTTCGTCCTTGCTCGAGGCATTATATTCGATGTCGGTGCCGTATTCACTAGGGAAGAACCATTTCACATCTTTGCTCGCTTCCGCGAGCTTGAGTAGCTCAATTTGGCTGGCTATTGCATTTCTCCCCAAGCAAGAGATGACCGTATCGACGCCACTGTAGGCGTTCCGGACATCATCAGCACTGCTGATATCACCTGTGATGACCGAAACCCCCTGAGACTTCCAAGATGATAGTAGGGTCTGCTTTTCTGGACTAGATGCTGTGGCCAACGAAGTCAAAACGAGAATCTGTGATGCGATACGAGGTTCTGCAAAGATGACGGCGTTGGCAATATGTTTCCCAATATTGCCAGTCGCTCCGATGATGAGGAGCTTCGATGGGAGTTGCGTGGCCATCATTGACTGATAGAGTATGGAGTAAAGATATAGTGAATCTCGAGGAAGTCGATGAAATTCGAATACTATTGTGGGGTAACTTAACCGAACAAGAGGTTTCGTGTAGGTAGTTACTAATAAGCATTGAAAGCCTCCAGCTTTGTCATCTAAACTCCACATGCACCTTAAGACTGTTACGTGCTAAGCTTTAAGCTCCAAGCCTGCCAGCCTGCCTACCTAGTATGTAATACTTACCTGCCTAATATGACTCCAATACCTTGAAGGAAAGAAAAGGAAGTAAACGAGATCTTACGCTCCATGTCTAGCATAAGTAGGTAACGATGAAACTGGCATTAGTTTTCAAGGTTTCCTACCATAGGTATACCTATCACCTGTTCCTGGAAACTTGGTATAACTGCGTGTAAATCTTTAGTCCCTTTACTTTGTAAGATTCATTGGAATAACCTCATTCTAACCTCCCCTCCCCCCACCCCCCCCTTTTTTTTTTAAAAAAAAAAAAAAGAAAAAACTACGTCACGAGTCATGAGTTTTCAGTAGAGCCTGATAGGATTTGAGGCTACGACGACATCTGGACTTTGAAACAACAGCCTGAAGCCAAATACCTGACCCCCATTCTATTATTGGCGGGATATGACGTCCGGTAAGTTGGCACCAATGACAAAGTTTCCAAATCTGTAAGTCGATGAAGTCATACCGGTGTATTTATCACAATACATACTTGTAGTACTAAACGACGACCTTGAAATCAGGTAAGACATAACTTCTGATAAAGGTATGGATATGCAGCTCTCGTGATAGTTATACTTACCTCTTTCATATTTCAGTAGGCCATCTTTATGTTGTTCATTGTTTGCTACATGCTGATGCAAAAGTAATGTGTAGCGTAGCAGCTATGTACTTTGATCGACGTAAATATAATGCGTTCTGCAGGTACCGCTCAGCCCGCTATGACAGATTCCAGCCCCTCGGGACAGCACTGAGTGTCTTGGCTTGGTTGGTGATGAGTACAAGTATGTAGATCCTATACAGTTACATAGGTATGTGTACGTAGCTAGAAACATGAAGGTATTCCATGACGCTTGGGTGTCGATCTTTGAAATAATGCTGAATAACACTCTTTACATAGTCACTTCTCATTGGATTTACATATCATCTGCGATGATGTGATATCAATAAGACTAAAGACTACATGTAAGTTTATTGTGTGCACATATGCATCTTGGATGTAGGTGCAATATGTACATACTCTAATGCGGCCATGCTACTGCAGCATATTTACAATCGCCCGGAGATCCTTGTCCGTCATAAACCGCGTGATATGGCAGAATAAGGAGGTTATGAATGAAGAGAGATACTATCAACGATGCATCAGAAGATAGTTCTTATCCAGTCGAGAAGCTGCCGGTATCTCAGGATTGGGATTTCCTAACTACCGGCGAGGTAAACAACTCATGTCAGGTTATCATCACCTTGCTTTACATTATATGTACATGTAGGTATACATACCTACATACTCCGTACACATGTTCTTTTACTTTCGTGGTCGAGATATCGGTATTCGGCACCAGTGATTCGACACACGGGCTCTTCATCCGAATGTCAAGAGGCGATCGGCATACATAGCTGACGAGTGCTACCATGTTGCAGTTTGTAGTTTTGTAGTTTTACGACAAAATCTTTCTTGTGGGTTCTGAATGCGCTGCACTCCACAGATTCCGATTCCCCGACCTTAGACCACCAATCTACCTACGGAAGCTTCACCACATGACGGCTAGGTTATATTTATTAGATAACGCATTAGATAACATATACTGCATTTACGACCATTGTCGATGTTGGCGGCGTGATAATCTTCAGAGTATGGCTTGGCTGCTTAGATGTAAGAAGAGGAGAATGGTGATGGTGGTGTAGCATTGTTCTGGGCCTACTTTGAATATGGGCTAGACTGCAGAACTAACTTGAAGTCTTACTAAGTTATAGGTAACTAACCTACATAGTTAATTAATGTATGCTGGAAATTAGGTACTTCCACATCCAGCTTATACAGTGTCAATACAAAAGGATATGCATAGATTCCTTAAAGAGATGGATCCATTGCACCTCTTATTTTAGAATACCGAGCGACGTCATTCGCTTATCACCACCAGCGCAGACAACAGCACCATCGTCATCGACTTGATATATTAAAACACATGGAATAGAATGTCAGAATTAGCCTCTCTTCTCTCTACCACACTGTCACAAAAGCTGCTTAAGCACTCACTATTTGATTTACGAACTACCCTAACCTAGGCACATACATTAGTATGTATACATAAGAATCCATGGGTTGGTCTAAAAGTATCAGCGTGTAGCAACATAGTTATGTGCACTGTGTAATTCCCCCCTTATGTGTATCACATATTTTCCTATACTTGCCCAGGTAGGCCCAAGCCCCAGTTATCTTGCATACATACACACTTCAAGTTCTCCACACCTTCTCCAGAGATTAGGTACCAGACACCATGCCACCGCACTCCAGGATCTGAAGTCGAAGAACCTTCCATGATTTAGCCCCAATGTACGGGGTACTATGTATGTATGTGTCAACGTCTACACATACATACAATACGTGCGTACATACTTACATGTAGGTATGCATATTGCCTTCCGGAGCTCTTCGTACGGCAAACACCATCATTGAAGTAGATAGCTACCGTACCATCATCACCTGTTGTGTCCTACATAAGAGACTCCAACGGTATTCTCGTTTGCCCCTTACAAATTGTCATCTATGATATCTTTAATAATATAAGTGATTTAATCTCTGACAACTGCGCTTGTCTACATGTAACTCGCATCCGACCAACCTAATACAACAATACATAACCTCTTATCCTCGGCAATCTCGCTAATACAACAAGCTCAATTTCCTACTTGTCTAGCGTTCAAGCAACAAATTAGCACCTTAAAATCTACACTGACATCAAACCTCGAGATATCGACGCCATCACCTACAGATTAGTTTCGAGGACCATCAGAACCTGTTGTGTTCAAGTCTCAACCCTATCGGCCCCAATAAATACCTGCAATCACGCCGCCGGAGCCCTGTTATTCGCAAACGAGCGCCCCAACTTGGCCACTCGCACTACTGTACAATACCTGTGTAGTAGACTTCTCCGACGTCGAGTCTAGTCCAACAACGGATTCTGGAAACCCAACTCATTAATAAATTCCCCCCCTATCAGGTCTTTTCTATCTTATTATCGTCACATTACCTAGGTAGCGACCTGTGTGTGTCCTGGTTACCATTGGTGCCACCCGTATCATTAAATACCTATCTCTTCTGTTCAGGTCGCCTGCAATTGACGCCCGAGGAGTGTATCATTTATCGATATTATTTTTTCCCTGTTTCTGTCGCATCCTTACTACAACTTGGACCCCCCCTTTAGGCTTTTGGCGGTTCCGAGCTAGAAACTTGCCATTGCTCTAGAGCTTGCTATCGTCTTACACCTCACCTCCACGCCTCCACAATAGCTCCACGATACGAAGTCGGCTGCTCCCGACTCGATAGAATCTTTTCTTTGAAGTTCCACCGGAGACACGACTACCTTGACCAGGTCCACCTTGCAACCACTCAGTAGCCTGGGACCTTTTCAACCGTCCACCAGTAAGCTAACCAAACAGATCGGCGAACTCAATTCGTCGGCTATATTTTTGACGGCGTCAACCTTGGACTGTTAGGTATCTATTCGATATCATTTTTCACCTGCACGGAAACCTTGAGTTCGATATCTCAGACAGCTTCTAAAAGGCATATAAGACTTCACCTTGTTGAATTTTTGCACCCCCCGAAATTTGCTAGCTCGATTATATTCTGCGTTTTACGTTTTATAATCCCATCTGGCAACGTAGTATTCGAAAATATTATCCCGTCATTCTTCCCGACTCCTAGATAATCCTATTATCCGTAAGAGGAGAAGACGTTGCAATTGTGATCGTCAGATCGACAAGACAGCGCTTTTTAAAAGAACGCACTCTAGGAGCTTGTTTCATTGTTCACGCTCCGAGACGAAAATCCACCTAGCCCACTTACACCCGGCGGCGCCATCCCGCCTTCGACCGCTCCTTTACTCTGCAGCTTTGATTCCTGTTCACCTCCCCGCCTCTTCAAACGCATCACACTTTCAGTTCAATGAAGCTCGCCATTAGCCGCATACCAGTAGTTCCATTCGACCTATCGCCACGTCAAGATGTACTACGCAGATGAGATGATGGGATCGAGCCCAGACTTGGCGGCCGGCCATAACATTGACTTCGCGATGCACAAATATCTTTTACTGCAGAATCAGCATGAAGAGCTCCGGCAGCACATGCACGACCTCTGCCCAGCGTATACCACATCCTCAACCGCTGTCACATCCCCTTCGGTGTCGCCAACTCGTTCGTCCAGTGGCAGCCCGTCCTTTACGCTTTCTCCTTCCTCGCCATCGCGAAATCACCGAAGATCATCGCTCCCGTCGCTAAAACACTCGGGGTTCCGAGGCTCGCAGACTCAGCTGGAGCCGGTGCTAGACGAATCATTGATTGAGGAGATGGCAGCCGGCGAGCAGAAGCTCTTTGATGTGAATGAGGGAATTAAGAGAACGTTGACCGAATTACTCAACTGCGAGATAATTCGAAAAGACCAAGCAATGCGAACCTGGGTGCAGTCACGATTGATGGATACAGAAAGAGAGTTGCGCAGCGGACGGAGACGTCGCAGCCATGGTGGGTTTGACTAGGTAGTGAGGAGGGGCGCAAGAGACAAGAGGCAAGGGGGAAAGGCAAGGGGAAGGAGGCAAGGGGCAAGATGAAGGGCAAGATGAAGGGCAAGATGAAGAGCAAGATGAAGAACTAAAACCTAATTTCACCACCACCACCGCCGCCACCACGAAAATGTGAAGAGGCATGGGAGATATGGAAGGGAACGGAAAAGTACTAGATGGATTGTGCCGGGGTAGGATAAGGAACTGTTTCAAATGCTTTGAACTTGGGAACTCGATACGATACCAATCTGCTTGGTTTATTTCGATGGTGTTTTGGGGGTTATTATAAGATCCTGAATAAAGGGGTCATGGGCGCCTACTGTGTAGGAAGAGGATCTTCAATGTTGCTCGCTGCCATGTGAGTTACTATGTTGGTACCTAATCAGTGAGGAGACGGATAGCTGAATGAAGCTGAAGGCCGTTGAAATGACTTCCTCTATATGGTTGTCGTTTATAATTTTTTATGTTTCGAGTATACAATACAAGACCTGTGTATAACTCTTCATCAATGATGTAACTTGAACTATTATTTATGGATGCCATGTGCCATCACTGCCATGTGCTTCAAGGTTGTGTGGTGAACCTTACAGTAGGTACATACAATACATAGTTACATACTACTACGTACCTAGTACCTATAGTACTAGGTAGGTAGTAGTTATGTGTACCAGTAACATAACATTTGAACATGTGGCTGAGAAATTTGATTGGTCGACGCCACAGCACTACTCCAGTCCTGAGTACTGTTCAAGACTCAATCAAGTTCGACTTTCAACAGTTAACTCAACATTGAACATTATTTCCGACTATACTATGCTCCTACCTACACTAGGTATTACCTACTCTACAATTTAGGTACTACCCTTGACTCATAGAACATGAGCCGTCAATTCATCCCCCTATGATCACGCCGCCCCCACGAAATCATGTCGGTGCTCCTTGAAACAAGCGCCGGCGACATCGTCATCGACCTGTTGGTTGACTATGCCCCAAAGGAATGCGAAAACTTTCTTAAGCTCTGCAAGGTCAAATATTACAACTTCTCGCCCGTTCATTCTATCCAGCAAAACTTCTCCTTCCAAACCGGTGATCCCCTCGGTCCAATCTCTGCCTCCTCCGATGGAGGTTCTTCTATATGGGGCCTTATGTCTGGCTCCTCCAAGAAGACCTTTCCTGCCACCTTCCATCCTAAACTGAGGCATCTCGAGAGAGGAACTGTGTCCATGGCTACCGCCCCACACCCTTCTGATCCTGATGCTCGCGTGGCCGGGAGTCAGTTCATCGTCACTCTAGGTGATAACACGGACTACTTGGATGGAAAAGCCGCGATATTTGGTAAAGTCGTTGAAGGATTCGATGCTCTCGAAAAGATCAACAACGCGATTACTGACAAAGACGGACACCCCCTCGTCGATATTCGGATAAAGCATACTATTATCCTTGACGACCCGTACACCGATCCACCCGGGCTGCGAGAACCTAGCCAATCGCCCCCGCCATCCAAGGCACAGCTTGCCACCGTACGAATCGACGACAATGCCCCCCTAGCGGAAGACATTGATGAAGCGGCCGCCGAGAAGGCCCGGCGCGAGAGGGATGCGCGCGCCCAGGCCCTCACCCTAGAAATGATGGGTGATCTCCCTTTCGCCGAAGTGAAGCCCCCGGAAAACGTGCTTTTCGTTTGCAAGCTTAATCCCGTTACCACTGATGCCGACCTCGAGCTCATCTTTAGCCGATTCGGCAAGATTCTATCATGCGAAGTAATACGCGACAAGAAGACGGGCGATAGTTTACAGTATGCCTTTGTCGAATTCGAAGACAAGAGCGCGTGCGAGGCTGCCTATTTCAAGATGCAAGGAGTGCTGATCGATGACCGAAGAATACACGTAGACTTCAGCCAGAGCGTGAGCAAATTGGCGGAGGTTTGGCGAGGCGGCGAGAATGCGAAGCGGAAAAGACGGCATGATGGAGGCGGCTGGGGTGGCGTAAAGAGTTTGGAGAAATGGAGAAAGTATAGGGAAGAAGATGGTCACGACGACGACGAGAGCCGCTACAACATGGTTTATGGTGATGAGGAGATGCGCGGTCGACACGAGCGTCAGAGGGATGGTGAAGAGGGAGTTGGGGATCGACCCGAGAATGTAGGTAAAGGCCGTGGGGGGGATCGAAACCGGGGCTGGGACCGAGGCCGAGGTGGTCACCAACGCAACAGAGACAGAGAACCCCAACGGCGAAGTAGGAGTCCTATGAGAAACAAACCTCGAGACGACAGAGGTCGATCCAACGAAACCGGAAGGAATGAGCGTACCAGGCCTCGACATGACAACCGATATCAAACAGACCAGGATAGAGATCGTGAACAATACCGCCGAAGATAGTAATATCACCCACTACCATGATGCCAAGATGATCGCAAGAAGGATTCCATTACCCAAGAAACTACGAATCGGTACTCCCCATCTCGCTACTGCAATGACATGAGTGTTCAGGTAGAGACGGCTTAGCCTGAAGTCATGAAAGAAGGCTAATCAATATCCATTACTAATATAGTCTCGTTCTGCCATAGACCATTGTCAAATATCCAGGCTCCGGGTTAAGCTTTTCTCGGGCTCTCCGCGTTTTGTGATCTAGCCAAGTCTCGCTCCCGTACGCCTTCTATTACAAGTGCCTACGGGTCTTTGCTGACAGTAGGGATCGGACGAAGTTGGACGTACCTTTCGATCTAATGTAAATTGGCCATGCAGCTTCTCCCCCTGGTGTGTCATGGGTATAGCGCTCTCGAGCCCTATTCCTATAATTACCTCGAGGCAGATGCTTGGGCTTTTCGGTGCTATCAGGTATGCTATTGACCTACCTAGTAGCACGGCGAAAAGCGGGTCTACTCGGGTTCAAAACGGTTGCTTGCGACGGGTGCTTGCGACAGCTCTAGGGTTTACGATATCACCTTATATTGTTGAGCATAAGAGTATCCTTAGAGGGAAAAACAGAAAGGGGGTGAGGGGAGGCATCATCCTCGCAGGCCAGAAGACAGGCAATGTTCTCAACTCCAATTCTTAGATAAGCTGGCTTCTAGATGGGAAGCAAGTTTGTCCATAGTACAATTTGATGACGACCTCAACTTGTCTATGCGTTTGTCTAACAGACTGGAAGGGGTAGTAACACGAAAGCCCGAGGGTTATATTCAAACTAATCGAAGGAGGATTCGAGGTGCTCGATTAAGGAAAATGTCCCGCATTGTAGCTGACAAAAATATGTGTCTGGCAATTTATAACCCTATCGTGGCCTATTGTCCCATTGCCACAAGATCTTCAGATATTGCAGGCAGCCGTTGCTTCCACAACAGCATGAGCTGCTACCCCTCGAGCAAGAGGAATCTGTCGAGGTCAGTGTAAGCTTCAGCTGCTAAATCACTTTTCTTGTTCAACGTGTGACTTATATTCCCGAACTTTCGGTGTCACTTTCACTGCAAGGCCTGGATTCTGATCTTGAGGATTATTTCATACAGAAAAGCTAAGCCGGTCATCTCCACCGATTTCACTCTACTGCCTCATGATCTCCGAAACCAATGATCCCCTACCAAGAATTCTATGACTGGCTTGGATAAATGGTGGGAAATACGGGACGTATTTGACAAGGGTGGCATATTGTTCAATACGATATTTGCCGACTTTTAGTGCTGCGGTCGTCCTTGGAACACCTTCAAGCGTGAGCTGGCAGGAGATCTACACTTTGACGTCCGCGGTGCACTGTCACGGGTATATACCTTCACACATCAACCTGTGCTTCACCTACCCGCGCACTAGAAGTTCGATGGAACAATGGAAGAAGTATTAGTATGCAAGGGGCTCATGGCTTGCCGCTGCTCGCCGATGATGCAGGTTTTTATTTATTTCTTTTTCGGGTCCTAGTCACAGAATGCACGCATTAGAGGCTCTCATGTTTTCCTATACACCGCCACCGTCATCGCTGTCGTATGATTCAGATCCGAAGGATGGGGATCTCCAATATGCACTTGAAAGTTGTAGCATCATCTGCGCAACTGTCGTGTATACCTATATCTACCTAAGCACAATGCGAAGTGTTCGATTAGGGCTAGCGAGACTTGGTTTATTATTTAGGCAGCTATATATAGGAGTAACTTGCACCATTCCAGTTCTTTTTACTAATATTATGAGCTTACCGTAGTATGTCCCATTTAGGGGCATACAATGACAGCATTAAAGTTCTCCCTACTGGGATACTAGATTCGCGAGTTGAGCAATGGTATGAAGTGGTCGTTCTGGTATTTCGATCCGAGTGGAAAGGCCCAAAAGCCAACCAACAGATCGATGCTACCGTTTATCTAGCTGTCATTCTCGTACCGGACCAGAATACCTGTTTTGTTCTTCTACCGTCGTTCAATGCTGGCATCTAATGGCCTGTTAGACCGTTGACTGCAAGGTCCCCGACCTGTGTGACGAGGCTATCACGCCTTTTATATGGCTATCCATGTCCTGTCCAGCTCCGACCGAGGGATATTTTATTTTACTGTACAATGTCCAGTCTCCCCGTCCCCTCCCCTTTCTTGTATAAGTCAGACTGGATCAACCGTTGCTCCTCATAGGGCGCCGCTGTTACAGCTACGAGGCTCATCATTAAAAAGCCAACCGGATATCATTGAACTTTTCGACGTGATGTGCCTTCCCGCCTCATCAATTTGAGACCATTCATTAAGACTGGTCGGAACTCCGACCATGGCCTATCGAGCAAATGAACAGACCTGAAGGGGCTCCGAGCGCTTGTCACACGGGGTGGGATGAACCACAATGACAACAATTCGCAAAGGGATTAACCGATTCACATACCCCTAGTAGATTCAGATTTTTAGTCTAGAGCGAGGGTGTGCAACGTCGACCCTTCAATTAACAGCACCCACTGCTAACCTCAGTGTGCTACCGTGATGGTGGTCCTGCGAATTCTGACTCGTAACAGTCTAGTTGAGCGAGAAGTATGAACAACAGTATCTTGTCTCACGAAAAGACCTCCTAATGATCATATACTTTACCGTTTTGGGGACATCCAGCCAGCTACTCACCACCTGGATCATCTACTATGTGTTTACCTACATGTGGGCACTCTCGCCTATCATTTCAGCCGCAGCCGCTAGATGTCTTTGACCCTCAATGGCTACCTTAGGTACCTAGGCAGGTATCATAGTGTCGTGGGTTGAATATCATATCATTGGATTCCATGCCATGTCGGTACCTACCTAATAATTTGAACCCCCAAAATGTCTCGCATAGTGACGAAGGATTTTCAGCCAATGATGTAGCGGCTGGTAGTACAGTTGCGGCTATCTGCAGCTTCCTATAGATGACTGACAGCGGGGGCATGCAAGAAGCCGCGTAGTTTAAGGGAAAAATTTCCGTTGCTAAGTTTTAGTATTTCTTAGGCATTTCCTACCACTATGGGGAGCGAGCATGTGTCTTTCCAATGACATACATATACATACTCCCTTTCTATATAGGTATGTATGTATTCTCTGCGCTCGGAAGCTTTGTGGGAGATGTACCTGCTAGACAATATGTACCAGGTAGGTATGCATTGAGCGTCAGTTGCAATAAGACACCCTAGGTTAAATGCTACTCGATACGGATTGCCCTTTACGAAAGCTTTTCCCGAACTTGTGATTTCCTAGATCTTGTACTGGCAAACCTATATAGGTACATCCTCAACCCCACCGCCTTCTCGTCAACAGTATATCAATGTAGCTAGAAGTGATGTCGAGGCATTTGAGGTCTGTAATAATAGCCTGACGCAAGAGCTGCGAGTAGGGTTAGTAACTCTAATATTAGCTTAAGGGTCGATGTCGCGTATCTATGATCTGCGTGGCGTAACCTGTCGATGTATTGTTTGTACAGTATGCCTACTGATTTTATAGCTGTGTATATATCTGGGCAAGACATGTATAGGTATCTCCTGCATGTGGTGGCTTGCCTAGGTACCAAACGAACGACACAATGACTGGCTGACTGGCTCTGCCCACCAAATCGGATCTTTGCTTAGCTTTAATCTACGTACCGATCTAACCTAGTGTTGATCCAAACGATTTGAGGGGGGAAAGAAAGTGACAGGTCACAAATGGGGTCGTTAGAGATTGACTAGATTGTTTGTTGCCGCTATTGCTATGAACTCTGGCACTTATCCCCTGTAGAAATATTCTGATACCCGATGTTTTTTTTTTTCAACCTAGAAAGCTCATTTGTTTTGAAATCTACTGCTCGCATAGAAACGGCAATGGGCAAGTACACACGTGAATCAGTTCTCGTCTACGCAGAGAAGCATATCGAGCAGATTTAGGTGTACAGGAGAAAAAGGGGGTTCGTGTAACAATGCCCAGATCTGCCAATACGTAGAGGATGGCCCTCGTTTGCGTTGCGTCAGGTATGGGTGGTGATGTCTTGCTTGTAGATCCGTCCTCAATATCTACTACCTATGAGCAAACAGAAGATGGGTAACCGATTACCAGGAGGCATGTCCCAGTTTGCTGTCACGCTTCTGGTCACATATACATAGAATCTAAGTGACGAATAGGATTCTTCTGCCAATCATTTTCAGGAGAATGAATCGGGACAGTACCCTAGTCCGGATCAAGCGGTTGTGGCTTCATGTTGGCTTGCCTAGACGGCTGTGGAAGAAAGAAGACCCTTCCGTTGTTTTCGTTTGGATCGTCCGTCACATTTACCCCGCTGAAGATTCTAGAGCAGGAGGAGGCTGCAGGACTCATAGCCCAGAACGGTCAAGGGATCGAAATAAGGCCTCACACACGTCTTTGCCTCCCTCAGCATATCTCTTCCCACTGTCCATGACGTCGTACAGAAGTACCGATGCACATATGCAAAAGGCAACGAATGGCATGTCTTGATATTGGGCAGCAGCTGGAGACTCTCGCTTTACAGCGAGCCAAGTCATATCATTGTCTTACCCGACGTTTGCGTCTTCAGTAGGACGAGAGCCGTTGGTCGTGGTCGTGGTTGTAGTAACCCTATCTTGTTTGCTCTGGCGAATATCCCGCAACCTCTGTGTCGGAGATGGCAACCCATTACCTGCCCGTTTCCTGTCTCTTACGAGGAAGCAGGCTAGCTTAGGTACTTACTATGGAATCTACACGGTCATCAAGAATATTCACATTGTCGTATTGAACTTGGGTTAGGGGAAGCTCTTTTCGTGACAATGGCGTGCCCACTTACCTGTGTCTTGTAAGTGGAGGCTCTCTGCTCTGATGGTAATTTTGAAAAGAAAACAAAAAAATCTGGTGAGCTAGTAGGTCTCAAAATGCTATTCGGTGGTGGTAGACATGCAAATGAAACCAACACCAAGGAAGACTGGCCCGGTACGAATAAGATATGTTGGTCTCAGTCTATATGAGGCCCACCTGGCTCTCTACATCATCTATATAGATTGGATCGAGATTGGCCGTTCACCATAGTATGGTTCCAGATATCCTCCCTGGGATGCCCCCCCCCTAGGATGATCTTCTAGCCCCCCGGCCTTATAGGTGGGCTGACTGTTTGTATGAGCTCTTCTCTTTCTTAGAGTGAAACGAAGCACCTTAGGATACATTGCAAATCCAATTCCAATTTGGCGTACACATGGCTACATTTTGCTCGTCATGCAGCAGCCATGCACCTAACCGTGGCCCTGACTTGGTATCCTTGTGGCATCCTTGAGCTCTCGTGCAACGCGGCTGGGTTAATCGACCGCAGAGTCAGACGTTCTCGATGTGACACCTGCTGTGTTATGAACAAGAGCAAAATGACAAGTCCTTCAGCATGCCTACCTTGAAGGACTTCCTTGCTCAGTTGCAAACAACAGCTTTGATGAGGTCTGTCTGCGGAGCTAGTTGTACTAAGCTATAACAGTCACAGGACTTGCAGCCTTTCAATTCCTTTCTCTATCTCTCTAATGATAGCGAACGGGAACCCTTCTATCTCGCCCCCGCAAACTGTCAAGTGTGATCAACCTTCTACTCATGAAACATCAGAGTCTGACAAGACGAGCGTGGGCTAGTGAAGTTCTAAACTCTCTCACTAAGTTGAGCTTCTAGGGCTGAACAGATAGCGACAACGACCTATCCCCTTGAGAGAAAGTCTTGCCCACCTTCTTCCTATAGTCGTAGAGCAAAACAAGTCCCCTCTCCGCTGATACAATTCCGATAAGACGGGGACGTCCTTGTCTCTCACGCACCTGCCCGCGTTTTTTTCCCTCTCTACTTATTATTCCCTCTGAAACCAGTGGCAAAAAAGACAATGGTGACTCCCGCTTGTTATCCCCCAAGCGAGGCTGGCCGACGATATAGCCGCCCTTGCCCTCCATATACCATCCCTTACCAAGAGCGCCGATATCACCTCACTTCCCAAGAAGTAGCTCGAACAACGACGATGGCAGAACGTGAACTAGACTCGGAGTCGTCACAACCCCGAAAGAGAATAGCTGTGGCGGTAAGTGAGAAATTCAACCTCCCCCTTTTTCATTTTATCGTATTTTATCTCGTCCTTTGGTGTATGTGTGGAATGCTCACTTGAAACTATACGAAAAGTGCGGCCGATGTCGTAAGCGCAAGATTCGATGTAGCGGCGACCTCGGAAACGGACTTCCATGCTCAAACTGCAAGAACGCAGGTCATCAGCCTTGCCTTTTTCTACGGGTAATTCTCCAAGATGAAAGTCGGATACAGGATGGGCCTTTAACTCGAGTGATCTAGGTCTCCTCCACCGAGACTCCTCTCAGGAACGACGGCAATGACTTCTCTTATAATCTTGAAGCGGCTCGACCCTACAGCAACCAGAACCGAGTAGCCGTATCCCAGTTGAACCCAGTCTCACAGTACTCTACGGATATGCCCGCAGGAGATGTCTTAACTTCTTATCGGCCAAACCAATACCAATATGGAACCAAAGGCTATTATTCTGCTATATCAGGATGGACAGGGACTTACCAGGACGAAGGTGTAGACTATAATCTGAACTACTCCTACCCGATGTTGAGCCAAGACACCTCCCACATGGTGCAAGGCTATGGGCGCTACGGTTCTGGGAAGCCAGTTTACGTTGACACGGATACATCGACATATTCGTATAACTTGGTTCACCGCCCAGCAGTGAGCAGCGAATCCCCCAATGGGTTTTCATTGACAGGGATGGCAGCGTCGCTTCCGAACACTTCTGATCGGGTTCCATCCAATCGTCTCCTTCCACAGGTGAATCGAACTTTGACAAGCCCAGCTAGCTATCGCACAGATGGCCTGCCAAGTTTCCCAGGTTCGAAGACATCTCCTACGAGCCCCATGTCTGACGTTGGCTATAATAATCTACATTCTAGCTTCGAATCGCCCTACTCGCCACCAAGTACGCTTGGCTCGAACATCCCACACCGGTCAAGCAATGCTCAAGAAAACAGCACTTATCAGTCCGGCCCGAGTTCAACTACAGAAAGCCTATACACCGCAGGCGACCAATCACTTCGTTCTGCCGAAGACAGCAACGCAGGCTTGAGCTACATCTACAGCGACAAGCTCGAAGGCTCTCGAAGAGATTCTCAGTCAAGCGGTGGGGGCACTTCGGGATCCGTCTTGCCCAATGGCCATGTATACGTACCAGACTCACACCACCCGCACATACCATCTTCGTCCTCCCAGAGCTATATTGCGCCACAAAACAACGCAGTGGATGGAGGTACTACGTCGTCTGGTCGAGGTAGTGGTAGCAGCGGCTCCTCGCATATGCACGCGGAAAGTCACCGACGATCTGCGGGAAACCTCCGTGGGGGTTAAAATCTACCGCTTTATACATATTTCAGCGTCCCCGGTTGGCTGAGGGCCCGGGTGATGGGGGTATGCGGTGCGACGTGCCTAGGAGGAGGGGAGGGGAGGCGGAGGCGGAGGCGGGGCCAGTAAGTCCTGGCCAGTTCAGTCAGCCAGTCAGTTGGTCGATATTGTACGAATTCTGTTTTTATTTTCTTTTCTCTTTCCAGGGAGAAGCTGCCAGATGTACGACGACTGTCTGGCAGCCACATCCTTTTCTCTCCTTCCTTGCGTCTCTGACCGAGACGATGGGACCGGCGCCTATTTTACGAACGGAGAGCTATATCCAGTCTAATACCATCACACCCGATCACATCTCGTTTCTCTCTTAGGAGGCACCTCTCGCGATCATGCGCGTCATTCATCTCGCATGCATTTGTCGTTCCTTGCGGCCGAGAAACGCCTCGATACCACCCCCCATTCGAAATTCTCGGAAATCTCCCCATGAGAAAATGACCTAGCATTTATTTCAGATAGATCGAGCTTGGGCGCGATCAGGCTTCGATTTCACCCTCAAGTTCCGAATGCCCGGATGCTGGGGAATGCTCCTAATGGATGGAGTGGGTTCTTTAGGGCAAAGAAGAGGCAAAAAGAGGCAAGCCGGTCGACGTATGGCGCTTCGTGTTGCCGACAGGTGGGTTGCGCGAAGATGTATGCCACGGGTGTGCAGCCACTTGTTGTTCGTCCTCGGCGCCCTTCCACATATGCATGGCGGCTCGGCAATATCCCTCCCTCGACCCATTGCCGCCCTATTGTCGTCAATCCCCATCCGTGTGGCGAAGCAAACACTGCGTCCCTCCGTTTTAATTTCACAATCCCGCCCCAAAGCTTACGATCTGGGACAAGGAACTATGAATCATTCGTACACGGTGCCGACCTTGATGTTCCCGTGTAGGCATGGGAGTGGGTGTATGTGTGCGCGCACTGTTCCCCGTCAGTTTCTCGATCCTCTTTTCATTTGATTCTACTCTTGAATATTCAGAGTTCAACAACAACACAGAATAACCCTCCCGCTCATCCGATCAGCCCCATATACCGGTTTGGCGGCACTAGAATGGATGAGGCATATTTTGGCGGCAAGGGAATGGGCTTAGGCGGACAATACAGAAAGACAGGCGAATTCTAGTTAGTTTTTGCTTTTGCGGTTACCTCTTCGACGCGTTATACATGCTAGCCAGCGACGACATGGCTTAGCATTGCCTTTGTTCACATCCATCGGTTTCGGGGGTATGCTTCCCCCCCAAGTCTGTACTCTTTCTATTTGCTTTCGAACACGGCCACACCCACGCACGAATATTTAATTAACCCTCCATCTATCACCCGGTCAACACAGCATGTTTGGAAAATAAAAGCACGTACTAGGAGGCGAGAGGAAAGAGCATGCGTATCCATTTACAAGAGATTGTCATAGGTCACCCTAACATTTTCAAGCCGCATTAGGACAGGAGCCGTGGCTTGTATTGTCCCTCTCATGGTTGAGGCGGGACAAAGTTCATGACATATTAGATCCTATAGAGCATCTTAAGAACATAGTCTTATACCCATGTAGATGAACTTAATCTGTCATTATACCTCGCTGAAATAGGTAATTTTCAGCGCTGCTGACTTGGCATTGTGTGATTTACACCATCATCCGAGAGAGAGACGACGCGATGAGCTAGTGTTCGACGGGGTACTTGTCAATCGTCGAGGTAGGCTACTTGGGATGACTAGAGCGCGCCTGAGACGACTTTTGCTAATATTATAGGTTAGGTAGGTAGCGAGCGAAGTCTACACCGCAGAAAAGATAATGACTTGCTCGGAAATGGTGGCTACTTTCTTTAGATAGGCCGTAGAATATAAATACTACATATGTTTCAATTATAATGACCTTCTGAAGCCTCACTAATCTTCGTACCCCGTCCAGTGTTGGTAGTTTGGTAGAATTCATTCGTCCAATTCGTCATTTGGGCTACAATATCTGCCTGAGCCTTCTTAATATCCTGGTTTACAGCATTTCTCACTCGAAGGTCGTTACAATGACGTGAGCCGGGGATGAGAATGCTGGGTACGTCTATCGTAGAAGCTAAGGGACCGCCGGGCCGGAATTCACTGGCCACGGAAGCCGACCGCCACGGGTCGTACTCGCCATTTACCCAGAGAAGCCGGGAGATGGAGTTCAAGTAATCCGGTAGTTGCCAGCCCCTCGTATGAGTATTGATGTCAGCAGCAGTCTTGCCCAAGGCACTCCCATAGGTGTATTTGCCTTCATGGGGGAAGAACAGCTCGCACTGACGTTGCCAGTATTCGGCATTGGCTAAACGGGAGAAGACAGTTGACTGATCCACAGGGGCGCCGCTACATGTGTTAGGTAGGCATGGGAGTTTTGGGTGGTAATAGATACTTACGTTTGATAGTAAAAAAAAGGATCGTTGCACGTCATCCAAACCCATGTGCGGTCAAACGGGTTTGCTCCAGTTTGGTCTGTGAACATGGGACTGGAGGCATTATAGGTGTCGAAGCATGCCACACTGTCGTTGCTTTCCCACTCATGATAGCCATATCCGGCACAATCTGTCTACTTGGTTAGGCCGGAACCACAAGTTAGAGCAGTGATACATGCATCCGGGGAGATACTTGGCCTTGAACCAACTGGCAAAGTTGGGGAGTGCTTTTTCGAGGCCCACTCCAGTGGAGTTGATCGAGATGGACGTGTTGGAGGAGGCACCTTCAATAGCGTCACACCTACAAGTGTTTAGTGAATATTTTCTTCATTCGCCTGCGTGGGAATGGCTCACATCTGGTAGAATGCAGAATAGCCAGAATATAGCTGAATACTTTGCCATGCCCATATAGGCGAGGATATAGCACTGACATCTTTCATTAGTAGATTGGAACAGAGACAATGATGAGGCACGCACGCAGCTACGTCGCTTGGATATGCGAGATATTGGAGACCAAATAAGTCTTTCAGATCCGCTTGCTCTTCAGACGATCCGTTCGTGAATATATTATCGACGTGGTCGACAATGGCCGAGTAATCTATGGAACAGTTTCTGGGCATCCCCTGCTGAATTTCGTAGAAGTATTGCCAATAGTCGAAAATGGCCTCAACAGGACCACTGCTAGAATGCGTTGCCCAGAATGTCCCAGGCGCAAGACTTTGAATCCAGGCACCCAAGGCGCCGGAATAAGAACCGCCAACCCATATCCACGGCGCTCCTGGAGCGTTTGATGCACTGTTCGCGTCGAACGGAAGCTCAGAAGTTCGAGCAAAGTTGACAAAGTCAGCAACGGCTTGGTCTAGGTTCAAGAACCGAAGGTTCTTTGTCGACTGGATCTCGTATGGAGTGCTGTTGCCCCAATACCGATGCTCAACCATGACAACAGCGCCGCCAACTTCTTTAGCGATCAAACCGGTGAGAGCATCATCTGTGAGATAGGACAGGTAGCCCGTACCAGAAACTTCCCCAGGCGTGAAGATGATGATGGGAGATCCCGGGCCTTTCCAGAATGTCGCATTGTACCAGTAAGTCTGGTTGAAAGTACCGAAGTCCGGATTATCATGGTCAATATACTGCTCAAAGTATGCAACACCCGTGGCGGGTTGCGCGGGATCAGTGAGCGCGGCAAGCGCCTCGTCGTTGACTTCGTCAGGTATAGGGTATGGTGCAGGAGGCGTCAAGCCTAGAACAACGCGCAGGCAAATGAATGTGAAGAGCGCACAGTGAACCACGAAACCCATTGCAACTATACTAAAGGTAAGGAAGGAATAGAAACTCGGGGTAAACAGATCCCCAATAGAAGAATAGGACAGAGTGCAGCTTGGATACTTGTTGCTCAAGGTGAGACATGCATTGGCTAGTATCATCATCTCCAGGGCTATTTACAATCTTCCAAGACCAGTGGCGGTACTCCTGGCCGGGCCGGGGACAGGACCTGCAGCCTGGCAAGTAGACACTTCGTACCCTGCGCTCTGCAGGGGTTGCATGAGATCAAATAGGGACGGCATGATAAGTGTTGTACATGAGAGGTTGTGTATGTATTATAGATGTAATAGTATGGTGCCGTGGACTGCGCACTTACATTGTACCTAGGTATGTAGCATGTACGGAGCCACGGAGAGGGGAAAACTGCATGTTATACAGCTTTCATGCTTGCCGGACCTATGAGAATGATGCATCCATAGTATATCAGCACGGGGTTGTAGGGTTCTAACTATCTACATGATATTTGGGTTATTTGAATCCGTAGGTAGATGTAGGCAGTACTCACACACAGCTCAGGAAACATCGAATTCATTCCACTCAAACTGCGATCGACAGACTCTGAGGTATTTTTCATACGGCTCAGGCTGTGTAGCATACACAGTGATGAGCCTATGCCTCGTGCCGCTTCGTGCCGCTTGTGACACTGTTCGTGACACTTCGTATGATGTCTCCATCTTATCCCGGCCTACTGAGTTTACCAATACGTAGCAGGTTCAATGGATATACCTAGGGTATCTATTGAGGCAGCTGGTACCCTGAGCATTAAGGCTTGAATGCTGGAAGTTGGAACTGCAGTACGAAGTATGTACATAAAGTGTACCTAGTAGTGACTATGTAGTATAGGTGCATAACTACCTAAGAAGCTACATGCATATAGGACATATATGCACAATTCAGTGTTAGCATGCTTCAAATGGTAGCATCTCAGCCACAAGCAAGCCACATTTTACACTTACCTAAACACCCATCGTCATTCGTTTGGTTTATCGAGTTGATTTGTCTCACGAATTCACTAGCTCAGCTCCCCATTGCGAATTGACCATCCATTTGTACAAAATCACCAAAGTCACCAATATGGGCCTCTTGAGCAGCTCATCCGAGGCTCCTCCAAGTATGTTGCATATCCATCATGTATCCCTCATGTACACAATAGTTTAAGCTCACCAGACTAATCCTTTCGTCTCTGAACAGAAGCCACGCGGGAGGAGATGCGCGATGCCAAACTTCCCTTGGCCTACCGAGACAGCTGCGCAAACCTTCTCATCCCTCTCAATAGATGCCGTGTCGATACCTACTATATGCCTTGGAAATGCAGCGTGCGTACCAGCCCATCGTCCATCTGCGACTAGGTTAACAATACCATGATTCTCAACAGGACGAGCGACATAGCTACGAGAAATGCCAGTACATTGAGTTCAAGAAACGTGTGGCTAGGATGAACGAACTAAGAGAAGCGAAGGGCGGCGCGCGAAGTAATTGAGCCTTACAAGTCGGCTTGCATAGAAAAATTCATATTAAAGTACAAAGTGCTACTCAAGTTACTCGCCTGTCGGTTGTCCGTTGAAGAAGCCATCATCACCGGTACATTGAGTTCACTGCTGAGCCAGTATTAATTTACATGCCGTACAAGCCTTGGTTGTACATCTATGGAATGTGTCTTCATAGCAACCGTGACTTGTGTCCCCCTAAAATATCCGACTCGTTGTATTATTTGTGCTTACTTAGAGTTGATTATCTTTCATTAGGTACCCTATCTGCCATGTGGCCCGAGGAGACCTGGATACAACACGTCTCAGAACTGGCATTTTACCCTATAATTATGCAGCTAACCTAATACACAATTAGCCACTCGGAAGGACTAGAACCTGGCGCTTGTTTTCCTCCGTGGTTTGATCGGGCTGAAGCCGATCGAAGTGGAAGGGGATGTCGAGCGAGCATCTTGGGACGAAGAAAGATTTCTCTTTGTCGGTTTGGCCTTCATGGGCTTAGCAATGCTCTTTGTTTGATTGGATTTGGTACCCATCTTCTTATCCACCCATCCATTACCTCTCGGGATACTGTCTGGGCCAGGAGAATACGTCCCATCCATCGCATCATCTGCGTAGTTTTCAGTGTAAAGTGGTTCCGAATCAGAAGATAACTCGATCACCTGGGTTCCGGGAGGAAGAGTAAATTGAGATGATTGTTTCGAAGACTTCTGCACTCTCTTCGGGGGAGGCGAGATCTTAATCGGCGGCGACTTTTTGATAGCGATATTAGCATCGTATTTATTTTTAAAGCCTCCCTGACTACTCTTAAAGTCACCTGGAATTTTGGACACACCTCCGCTCTCCTCTTCGTCCGAAAAATCATCCAGCTTCTGCATTGCTTCATCATATTCCCGATTTTTCTGCGCTAGACCCTTTTGCTCCTTGCCCTTCTTTTCTGATGCGTGGGTGGGTGCGAACTGGGACTGAGACTGGGACTGAGACTGGGATTGGGACTGGGACTTGGATGGACTTTTCGTATTGTGTGAAGTAAGAGCTGTACACCAAACGGTATTGAGGGAGCATAGAGAATTGGGGGTTGATGCAGTCGGCGATGAGAATGTGGCGTCCTCTGTACTCGTCGCTGTTTTCTGACGGCTGGGCGTGGGCGTGGGCGTGGACGCATCATTATCGGTGTGCTGATCTGTTGTGCTATGAACTGGAGCGCCGTCGTCCGTGATCCTGAATGAATCTAGCTCTGTATGCGCCACATCCATGTAATCGAATTGCCGTCCGCTGCGAGCACTACTCGACGGAAGACAGACGGTTGCTTTGGATGTGACGACCTTGGGGGTTCCGGTGACAACTTCATGGCTGTCGAAGGGGATAGAAGAGTGCCTGGCGCTAGGTAGGTTTAAGTCTGAGATATTGGAGCTATACTTGGACGCCTCGGAACGGGCATCCTGGGTAGACTCGCGTGTAGATTTTTCTTGACTCATCAGACTCGTGACTTGGCCCATGCTTTCATGGAGCTGTTGAGAGGGGCTACCGATCTGCGACAAATTAGAGGTCGGCACGACTTGTGTTCGCTGTGACTGATGCTCTTGGGAACTTGTGTCACCCTCTCTCGGTACGTAGAGGTCCCCTGCATTGGGCACCGAAGAATCGATTCCTGGACATATCTGTTCTGCTTGGGATGTGACTGGTTGTGGGCTGGCTTCGTCGAGGCAAGGACTTTGTTCGCTGGGCATTTCGGTAGGAAGACCGGCCAATGGCTGCTGAAGAATTCTAGGCTGTTGCATTTCAGCGAAACCAATAGTTCGAAACCCTTCGTCTTCTTGCTCGTCTTCGTCATCGTCAAGATCCGGAGCTTCAAATCTGTCGTAAATACGTTGGCCAGTGTTCTGATCATATTTCTTCTCATTTCGATCTAAGTATCGATCTCTCTTAGCGAGACAGACTTCAAGGCCAGTAGCATCGTCGTCAATTCTAACTACGACGCCGGTCACATTGGAGAGTTGTGGTTGCCAGCTGGTGCTAGACGAACATGACCACTGTTGCCACGTGATCACCATGCCAGCCTTGACTTCCCCAGGATGTAGGATAGGGAGGGCCGACAGGTCCGATGGTAAAGATGGTAGGTCATCCACGTCTGTGTATTGGCTTACGTTGGTAGTAGTCTCGTGCGTGCCACGGTCATCGTAGTCGAGCTCTACCTCGGTGGCATCTTCAACCCCGTTAAAGGTCTTGTCATATCCTTCTTCATCCCATATCGTAGATTCCTCGTGCTTTCGCTTCTTGCCAGAGTGTGATTCCTGATAAAAGTGTGCCTGGTTGCGTTGTGCTCGCTTACTCTGGCCACCACGTTTATTCTTTTGAAACCACAGGCCCTGCTGTTGTGGATCCCAGCGTTGGACAAAGGGGAAAGGTGGCGTACCAAGCTCTACTCCTTCATGACAGCATTCCACGGCTCGGTAGATGATTCTGTCTTGCCAAGAACTTTTATCTACTTTCATAGTCTCATCAGTCTGCTCCAAAGCACGACTTTCTTCCTGAAGTCTTGCATTTTGCAGCGGCCGAACATTCTTCATGCGCTTTACCTTTAGCTCCTCCTCATCCTTCTTCGTCTTGGGATTGCGAACGCCTGGCGCACCAAGTATAAGTCGGCGGCTAGCGCCTGCATCTACTCGGCGTCTTTTCTGAGAAGAGCCTGGTGACTGACCGTCTGCCCCCCCATCTATCCCCGAACTGCCACCGTGGGTATCTTGTTGACCTAATTCATTCGAATTATCACGCTTCCGTTTTCCAATGGCGGATGTTTGGGATCTGTCGTCGTGTTGGCTAGGTTGGGTAGATGGGCCAAACTCCAGCCCACCATTAGCGATCGCGGCCAGTAGTTCTTGGCGCTTGGCTTCGAAAAGGGCTTGCTCGGGGTTAGAGTTGGCTTCATCTATGATCGAGGTGGTTGTAGTTTGTGCTAGTTTGCTAGCCCTTTTTGCAGCTTTTCGGCGAGCATTTCGCTTCTTGGTGGCCTCCTTACCACCTCCAGGGGGTACTGCCTGCACTTGTTCTGCTACGTTGTGCAGTTGAATCTGCTGCTGGGACAAATCTCGCACCACCTGGCGCTCCACGGCCGAGTTATGCTTCACAGATCGCTCTTCTAAACTTTCTCTTTCGGGTTCCAAGCGTGATCCAGCATCACTGGATTCGTCTTCGGAACTCTCCTCAGAACTCTCCTCAGAAGTGGTATCGCTGCAACCAGAGACCGAGCTGTCACTTTCGTCTGAGATAGAGGCATCGGCTTGTTTGAGAAGACCTTTCTCGTTGGGTCCTCGATAATTCTCTGCCGTGATAGACCTACTAGACGTTTCCTCTGGCTCGTCATCACTGCCGTCACTGCCGTCACTGCCATCACTACCTGACTTGTCTGGATTATCATTCAACTGGCGTGGCTCATCACCGGCAGGTCCACTGTCGGGGTTGTCGCTAACCTCATCGCCACTGCTGTCGCCACTATCTGATGGCGCACCCTCATCAGAGTCATCGCCACTCTGCGCTTCGGATTCGTCATCTTCAGAGTCGTCATCTTCAGAGTCGTCATCTTCGGAGTCGTCATCTTCAGAGCCGTCGTCTTCAGAGCCGTCATCTTCGGAACTTGAAGTTGCGCCATCATTCAAGGCATCATCATTCTTATGAAATGGCCGAGAGCCAATCTTGCTATCGTTCGGTGCTGCGGATGTTGTGTCACACTCGCCGCCCACCTTATCAACGTTAAATGAGCGGGACATAGCAGCCATTTGCTTCAATCCTTTGCCTGAAGTAATCGACCCAGGTGGAAGGCCACGGTGGTCAAATTGACGCACGAAATCAGAAACTTGTGCATCATTATCGCTGTCTGATCTATCTTCGTCATCTTGTATGCCATTGAATGAACTGCCCTCAATAGAGTTGGTAGGATCCCCATTTGTCGGGGCAGCGCTCTGAGAAGAACTGTGGGGGTTTTCTTCTCTGGATAAGATGAGCTCTCCGGATTGTGGCGACATTGCAGATCTGGGCAGTTTGGGTTCGAATTGCTTGGCGAGATATCCGTACGCTGCCTTCATATCATCGTTGGAGCATTCAAGAACCTTTTCACAGATGGTACCTGGTGCTGAAGGGAAAGCAGCCTGTAGTGTGGAAACTTTGTTGTTTTTGGTCGGGAATTGCGCAACGAGGACTGCGGAAGTCTGGGTTGTGGATTGAGCCTCTTCTAGGGCTGCATTGTCCGCCAATAGATCCTCAAGTTCATCTTGAAGGCCTTCTTCGTCGCTTAGCGATTCAAAGTGTTCGTCGCTGAAATCATCCGACTCGGATTGGTCGTCTGCTTTACTCTCTAGCCCATTTTCATTCGTATCAGCATCAACTCGAACGTTCGAAGAACTCTCCACGTCTCCGACTTCGTCGCTACTGGTGAGCAGTAGCATGGGAGTATCTTCGCGGTATAGGTCGTCATCGTCGTCATCGTCGTCGCCTTCTTGATCATATGTGAGCCTACGTCGCTTCTGCGGAGGGAGAGTGATTGGAGGCCGAGTGATCGGGGCTCTGAGCAGGCGACGGCCGAACGGGATCCCATCAATTAGACGTATGCCATCGAAGGAAATCTGATGTCGACCACTGATGCGACGTCGTTTATTGTCGTCTCGATCTAGGGTTCGAATGAAGACTCGATCATCTTGTTTGAGGACAGCGCGAACTGGTTGGAAGTGCAAGCACTCAAAGTTCGCTCCGTCGTCATCGTGGAGTTCAACAACGTAATTCTCCAAACCTCTCTGGCCTATTTCTAGAGGGATGGTCTCGTTGATTTTTTCGAGAAGCTTCGAGATGGTCGGGTCATCTTGGAGCGACACGTTCCATACGAGTCGATCCTCGGGCAAACCATCCCTGCGCACGACGAGGCGTAGACGTAAGTTCTTTTCGGTCATGTTCCAAGTGGGCAGCTCACACGGGTAGTGAATGCTTTATGAAAGGCGCAGACCCCTAAGGCGAGCTGCTTGAGTGGAAAAGTTCAAAAATGTAAGACATTCATGAAGGGAGAATGGGAGTGTTTCGGCGGAAAGGTTTCTGTTTGAAATTGGGGGATGAGGGAGTGTCTAGTTTAACGGGAACAAGATCAATTGTAGTTACTATCTGGAAAATGTTGGCGAAATATTGGTATGGTAGTCGCAAACGCGTTTGGAGAAAATGCGGCTAGAAGAATGGTGTGGATACTGATATGCACCTGCCCGCAGATTCATTGGATAACACCCTGGTACCTAGGTTACGTAGGTACTGTGCATGATAGATTCCTAGGTGCATAGTTAAACTTTGAAGGCAACTGGAACGTTCTATCCTACATATGTAGATATCAACTCGAAGAAAAAATTCAATGTTCCTAACTACCTACTAGGTACCTACAGTACATAGGCATAGTACTTAAAAGCCCTCACTCCAGCTGAAGCTCAAGCATTCGCAGATTTTTTCCATATTCTTGCCGTGGAAAATTCAACTCCATGCATCTCCTTAGAAAATGCACACTTATTTTGTTTACACGAGCAGTGATGCCCGTATAAACATTTAGGGTCTCGGCATAGCACCCCAACATGGCAAACTTCACGTCGCAGTCTACTGCGATAAACCAGTTTCTCATCTGCCGACAATGGTCCATGAGAATATCCGCAACCTCCTTTGCAACCGCCAAAAAGCTGGTACATCCGACAGTACTTGACACCGGCCACTTTTGTCTTGTGGTTCCAGCTCTTCACTGCTTCCGGGGATAGCTGGAGCTCAACGTCAATTCGACGATCACCTGCATCTACGAGAATTGTGTGTGGGGGCAGATCCTTCGCTTTTAGAGATGCAGATCCTTTCCCATTCTCAACAAACTTGGTCGTCTCTGCCTTATTTGCCCACGTGCATGTAATTGGACTGCCAACACGCTCAACCTTTGCTTTTTTGGCCAGAGAAGAGGGCGACGACGAGCGTGGCGACACAGGAGACTTGGTGAGGGTTAAGGGGCTATCACCAAAGACTCCGGTAAAACTAGTCGAGCTGAAGTTCAACGAGGCGAACTCCTTTCCGACACCGAAAGAGTTAAGGAGGATTATCCGTTGACGAAGAGCATCGTCAGCAACGTACTTCTCCAATAACCGAACATAGCCATTGTCGTGGCAGGCACCGAAAAGAATATAATGACATGTAGGATTAGCGACGAAGTGCTCAAACATTCCTGATTGTGATCAGCTTGCAAATATTCAGGGGTTGAGAATTGCATGTGCCGGATCATAGTACCTTCAATCTTTTTGTCTGCCCGGTCCTTTCCGGTGCCGACCAACACGAAGTCGAACAACTGAGAAGACTGTGAGAAACCCTTTGCAAATTCCCACAGCGCAATAGGCGAGCTGATGACTTTATGTCTAACAAGGAGCTGGGATAGCCCGTCTGCACTGGCGAATGCCTTGATCATGAGAGGCAGGTTAGCTGCCTCTGGTGCTGTTTGTCGAAGATACTCCTGAACAGAACTCCGAAGCTCTACAGCTGCCTTACGACCACCCTCAATGCTAGAATAGTACTCGGGCTTAAACTACGACATACGGTTAGTTTGCTACCCTAGGTCCTCTCGGAAGCTCTTACCATGTACGCGTCAGCATCAGCATCAATCAAAACCAAAACGAACGCGCTGCGCTTCACGGCCAGTTGCAGGGTTAGAAACTGCTGCTTCCACTGTTCTGCTTCATCCTGTGTCATTCTCCCAACCATCCGTTCCCTCTTGAGATCCTTCGTGGCATCGTCGTAGTTCTGGGTTACTTCGGTAAGCTGTGTGTGGATGGCCTGTTTTATCGAGAGTTAGCTTTGTCAACATGCTAGCTTTGTGTGCTTTTTAAGAGGGACTTGTAACCGACCTTCATCCACTCAATGCGCTTCACGTCCTGTGCCTGAAACTCATCGATGCGTTGCATGAGCTCTTCCATAGTGTCGAGAGCCATGTCGCTCCCTTACCATTCCTTCCGTGCAATGCTGCGTCCCGTTCCAGCTAAAGGACATTCACGCTTTTTAAGAGAAGTTCGAAGCCACTTCGTGCCACTTTCCTCGTCGGGCGCCTTTGCATTGCCTTGCCGTGTTTTACAGCAGATGGTCGAGGTCCAATAGGTTTTAGAGGCGCTCACCAACGAGAGGCGCAGCTTAGTTGGGGAATGCAACCTTACGTACATTACAGAGCCTTTCAATTAAATGACATGTCATAATGCCAATGATGGTTTACGTAACCCCCTCAGAGGCGGTTACTGAAGTTGTTGAATACTAAAGCTATTTCCAACAGAATGTGTACATTTAAATTGGCTTGATATCTTTGTTACAGTGAAATTGCATTAGCTAGATTCTTGCTGCTTTTGAACCGAGATCGTATCACCAAAGAACCGTAGTTATACTAGATACAGTTGAAAGCAAGCAGTGTAAGCTATAGGTAGGTATATGTAGAGCGCCGTGCACTACTTGGGAATTCAGGGTATACCGAATTCTTTTTTGTATCTACCTGTATCTATCTGTTCGCCGAAGACACGCTAAGGCTATACAAGCTTGTGCGCCCACCCGGTTCATCGTGCCTTCAAGGAAATGGCCTACAGCACATGAACATCTTACGAGAGTATGCGCTTTGGTATCTTACAGCCAATGCGCGTTTGTAAACTCACAAGCTACTATTCTTGACCTCTACTACGAGTATAGCAGGCCCTGGCTGGTGTCTGATGTAAAGGATCGGCGAACCGCAGATAGTTGCACAATGTGATCACTCATTTGGTAGGTTGACCTTACATGTACTGGCTTAGGGTTAAACCATACAATCTTACCCGCAACATTTGAGAGCCTCAATGCAGAACCTCTTTTTGATCGGGCAAAAATGCTCTCTTCACAAGATATATCTTACACGGATGACTGTGCCACCGCCGCTCTAGTTCACCTTCCAATTAATTTTGCTTCGTCCCTACCTAATCATGCTTATACATAAACTTACTCGCATACCTGTTAATGATTCCCCGTGCCTTTGCAGATGTTTCTTTAGGCATTCGTCATAAATCTGGGTGGCAAGATTAGGGGATAATATCTCTCATTTCGCCAGGTTCTAAACGGCCTAAGCTTAATGTCGGTTCAGGAATAGACAGCCCGGCTTTAGACGACCCGGGAATAATACGGCCCAGGTTTAGATTCGGAACTGGAGTCTCGGTCTGGTTGTCCAGCAGTAAGCTGAGGGTTAGGGTCAAATTAGTTCGGGTCGGGTACTGGAGTGTTGACGACGTATGGAGGTCATAACCGCCAGTAATAAGTAAACTTATATTACAGTTTAACAAAGACGCACATCAGAAACATCAGAGAGGTCGTCTACGAAGTAGGTAAGTTTACAGCCATGTAGTTATTCTCCATCTAAGAGAAGGCTAACTGAGCAGGGATAGAGCGGTTTACTATGTATTTACATAGGAGGCGCCCGGGAGAAGGTACCCCGGGAAGGCTAGGCTGTAGGAGGTTTAGCCCCCGGGGAACCAATCCGGGACTCTGACACTGGATAGCATTCCTTCAACAGGTACCTCCCTTACAGCAAGAATTCTGAAGTCTCCTTGATACATATCATATGTAACTATCCTAAGGTTAGGTACATAGGGATCGCACAACAATGTCATATCAAATTTCGACACCTAGCAATCTCGCTGCTTGTCACTATGTAGGTATCAATTGATCAATCTAGCCATAAAATGAGAGTCTCGGGTGCTTCATAAACTAGATAGTAGATGCGATGAGCTGATGTTACAAAACCTACTTGTTAAGCAACCTAGGTACACGTGTAGGGATAGTTAGTAGCTACATACGTCGTAGTATTAAGCAATTAAGCATGCGGGAATTTGGAGATTTGAAGATCATGATTGCTTGCATGCCATTCGAGTGGGTACACATTTGAGCTCATACGTTGGTGCATATTTAGGTAGACATATTTACAAGTCTGCCAGATAAGTCATGCATGCTACACTGTCAGTGAGACACTTAATCTGTGACTTACCTCCAGCTGCGCTACAAACATGAGCAAATGTAATGTACCTACCTGACCTGACCATTGGTGTTTATCACAGTCTGGTAGTATCACTGCGTAAGTTGGTATATGCGGATACCTTGATGGAACCTTTACTTCGTTCGCAAACTTCGAAGCTGAAGTAACCCCTTCATAATCGGCAGTTGAGGGTTGATAGGTCCTGTAAGCATGCAAATACGTCACTCAAAGGCGGGGGTTCACGCAGAACCTGTGCGTACCTATCTGATGTAAAGTCCGAGATCTACATATGTATGTACATCTACCTAGGTGACTGATTATATAAAGGGTATTAGTTCCTCTTCTACTAGCCCACAGAATCCCCCTGTTGTTACTAGTCTACACGGTATAGTCATCATGTACGGCTTAAGACTGGTTTGTTTTCTCGCTTCCCTTGCTTCCGCCAGTTCACTGCCGAGTCACATTGAAAAGTTGGTTCGGAAACAAGTTCCCGCGGAGCCGACCGATGTGAAGACAATACAATCACCAGGGGGTGTTACAATTCGTTATAAGGAGCCCGGAATTTGCGAAACAACTCCTGGAGTCAACTCATACTCAGGCTATGTCGACCTTGATGATGATACGCACATGTTTTTCTGGTTCTTCGAGGCAAGGTCCAATCCTGACGAGGCACCCCTTACATTGTGGCTTAACGGAGGACCTGGCTCAGATTCCCTTATCGGGCTTTTTGAAGGTGAGACTTGATCACCCGTGGTCTCCCTAATCGGCGCTAACTAATTATTCGGATACGTAGAACTCGGTCCGTGTAATGTCACCCACAATGGGACCTCAGTTGTGAATCCCTATGCCTGGAACGAGGTCAGCAACCTCTTGTTTCTGTCTCAGCCTATCGGAACGGGGTTTTCGTACTCTGAAAGTGTGGTGGGGGTCATCAATCAGACTACTGGATTGCCGGTCAACGCATCTAATCCCGATGGCCGTTATTCAGAAGCGGATCCTTACCGATATGATACGACGGCTTTAGCTGCCAGGGGCGCGTGGGAGGTATTGCAAGGCTTCATCGAAAACCTTCCTGTCTTAGACGCAACTGTCAAGTCCCGTAGCTTTAACCTTTGGACGGAGAGCTATGGTGGGCATTATGGTCCATCCTTCTTCCGGTATTTTTACGACCAAAACTCCCTCATCACAAATGGGACGATTCCCGGCGTCGAGCTCAGCATGCATACACTTGGCATCATAAATGGCATGATTTCGGAACGTATCCAGGCCCCGTATTATCCCGAGATGGCCTTCCACAACACGTATGGTTTGCAGACGGTCAATGAATCTATCTATGAGTACATGAGGATGAACTACTATTTTCCTAGCTCCTGTGGCGATTCGATCCAAGCATGCTTCGCGCAAGACCGATCTACACCGGACGGAATGGCCACCTGCTCACAAGCTACAGCTATCTGCAGATCATTGGTGGAAGGGCCTTACTAGTAGGTATCACCTATCGAAGTGGGATTACTATGAAGACACGTCTAAAAGCAAGTAGTGCGGTTAGTGGGCGAAACCCGTATGATATCCGGGCAGAGAGTGATGCTTCTATCCCGCCCTCGTACTGGGTCGACTACTTGAACACGGCGGAAATTCAAAACGCCATAGGTGTCGACATTAATTACACAAGCACTTCTAGCACAGCTGTGTACATTGGGTTCGATTATACCGGCGACTTTGTCTACCCTAACCTGTTATCAGACCTTGAGGCTCTTCTCAATGACGGTGTCCGAGTTTCTCTTGTCTACGGTGATGCCGTATGATTACCCCTCAGATGCAATGAAGAGCAACTAATGTGAAGTAGGATTATATATGCAATTGGATGGGGGGCGAGGCGGTCAGCCTGACAATTAATTACACCCATCACGAGGATTTCATAACCGCAGGGTATGAGCCTTTCCTAGTCGATGACGAGGAGTACGGCGAGAGCAGACAATACGGTAATTTCAGTTTCACGAGAGTATATGAATCGGGGCACGAGGTTCCCTACTATCAACCAAAGGCTGCACTAGAGCTCTTCCGACGCGTGTTAGGGGACTTGGTCATTGCCGATGGAACGGAGAGGGTAACGCCTACGTATAAGAGTGGTGGTACAGCTAATGCGACTCACACCAATTCGTATTCCACTTTTTATACTGGAAGACCGGGAGACTGGAAAAACTAAATAGCTTCGCAGCATTGCTGTGTCTGGAGAATGCTTAATAACTCTGATATAGCTATAGTCGCGCGGGGTTAGTCACAGTGGAGAACTTGATAAACTCCAGCATCAGGTACCTAGATGATATCTGCATACCACTATCACATTACAATTCACCGGGGATTTAATGTACCTACTAGATAGTTAGTACCTAGGAGGAGTGATGCAGTGGGCAAAGACGGGCAGTGACCTACCAAGTTCTCCTAGATATTAGGTACGACGAATCCAGCTTATGTCGTAACCTGGGATATACCTAAGTTAAGCTTCAGTATGGTAGTGTATTCTACGTTTGCCCTCATCATAGGAACATGTGATGTTGAGAATGTCTAAATCATATGGGTGTAAGTATACCTAGATCACGGTAGGCCACCCATGTCCAGCATATGTCCCATTTTCTCAATCTAAGAGTGGTTAATGTCTGTTTCGAACTCGGGAATAGGAACTCACCTTCGTCTTCAAATACCCTTCCACCTCTCGGCTCCGGAACCCCCCCTTGCCTTTCCAGCTCAGAGGCACCATCGCCACACGCTCTGTCACCTTTATCTCCCTATTCGGTCCTTCTACTGCTCTAATCTTATCAGGGTTGTTAGTTAGTAACCGGATTTCACTCTGTCCGAGGTCCAGCAGCATTGCTGTCGCTAATCCATAACTCCGCGCATCCGCCGGGTGCCGAAGCAGTAAGTTGGCTTCGACAGTGTCAGAGCCAAGATCTTGTAAATTATACGCCTTGAGCTTTTCGCCAAGACCAATTCCCCGACCTTCCTGTCGTAGGTAGATGACAATGCCTCCGTTGACGGCGCTGGGTAGTGACATTAAGCGTGCGGCCTCGTCTAGCTGCTCGCCACAATCGCATCGAGCAGACCACGCCGTCTCACCGGTGTAGCATTCCGAATGTATACGAACAAGAGGCGGCCCTCCATCTATGGCAGACGGGCTAGTAGACGATGAGTTATTCACTATATTGCTTTGTGTCCGTCCCGGATACAGGCGACCAGTGTACGCCCCCCTCACCATTCGATCCATTTCTGTCTCCCCTTCCCTTGGCGCATCGAGAGACTGGCTCCGGATGTGTGGACCGAACACGATGGCGAGGTGTTCCTTGTTATCGACGTTGTTTGTGTATAAGTGCAGAAACATCTCCGTCCCGGAGACGGTCGGTATGCGAGCGCGCACGATGCACTGCACCTCGGGGAGGATCTCTAGCAACTTCGGTCGTTTGGAGCCGCAGCCACCGGATACCACAGATGAGTCTACAGGGACGCTGCGGGGTTGCTGTTCGGCGAGGGGTGTGGGTGTCGCATTACCGGGAGTGACGGGGGGTGTGAAGGCCGGGGAGAGCAGCGACGGCGGTGGTTGAAGTGGATTCGCATAATCGGTATTGGTGTTGTCGGTTTCCTCGGCAGCAACCGCAGTGGGCGAAAGCGAAAATTGATCACCATCTAATTGATCACGATCTGATCGATTTAGCCGATCAGATGCGCCCGCCCGTATCTGCTGCGACCGCGGAGAATAGAATGAAGGAAAGCCTGCCCCTTGGGGACTTCCCACAGAAGATGAATTAGGATCCGGCATGGCCAATTGGGTTTTCGTTTGTAGAAGGTAAAAGTATGTTGCTGACGTGGGTGATGTGGGAGAAGAGCCGTGTTCGGGAATTACGTCGATTAACAGGGATTAACTAGTCTAACTAGCGCATTAAATCACCACGTGAACAATTCCCCGAATACCTATATGTAGTATCCTACCTAGGGATGTACGTACCTAATGTCAACAATATCAATTAGAAATATAAAAATATAAAAATATAAATACATGATCCGCGAGTTGACCTTGACTTCGACAACCGAACCGCGAGATCTAACCATAGCCTGAACCGAGCATTCTTGAGATCAGCCGTTCTGACTAGTGGTTGTCTAAATCTTGCCTTACGATACTCGCGACAACCTGTTGGATGACGCCTATCGCCGGATGCAACATAGGAAGATTAGAGGGTCCAGATGTATGATTTTTGATACCGAGGGCCTGACATCGATTACATTGACAAGATCCTTTGTATTGCACATGCCTAGCTACACTGCTACATTACAATAAGGTCATAAGTTGAAATCATAAACCGGTTCCATCAACAACTCCGCCAAGAATTGATTTCACCTCATCCAAATACATCTGAATATCTTTTGCATCCTCGAACCCATCATTAAAGCTGTACACCAGTCTCAGCTGGCCCCGGAAGGTATAGAGGAAGAACATGCTCATGCCCAAGACAACGTCGACGCTTATCTTTATGTCATCAACCTGGATCCCCCTACCGTACTCTCTTTGCACGTAGCGCTCTGCAATCCCAAGACTGCTTACCAGGGCATCTCTGGGTATCGGGTTGGCGAGGAACTCAGGGGACTGCACAGCCTTGCACAGTGTCCGTGTGAAATGTCCATTAAGCTCCAGTGCCTGTGGGTTATTCTTGAACGAGGTATCATAATGATCTTGCAGTGATTTCGCAATGACAGAATATGAAGCTGGAAGATCTATCTTATAAGGGAGAGGTGTAAAATAAACGGACACCGCACACTCGTTATACGGTTCGGGCAAATATGGGCGAAGATTGAACATGTTTGCTGTCACGTACTCTCCAAGCTTGGACTTGGGATCCGCATGCTTGATGATGGCTCCAACATATGCGGCGTGAACAGCAGCAGTCACAGTAATATTTTTGTTTTTACAGGCTTTGATAAGTGCCTCGGTGGTTTTGGCAGGAAATGTCATCTCCTTGCTCTGGCATCTGCCTGATGGTGCTGCACCGACCCGGGACGTGGGTCCAATGCCAGGGATACTTCCTGCCCAACTCATGAAGAGGTCGACTGCTTCCTTGCTTTGCGTCTGCGTCGGTTGTTCCGAGAATCCAAGCACCTCCTCTATCGCGGGGCTAAGTCGACTCGGCTCATCGCCAAAATTCACTTCTTTCATAGGGGAGCTCAGAGCGAGAAGGTAGCTATGCCAAAATCGCAGCACACCAACACCATCCACAGTGTAGTGATGGCCACGGAAGAGGAGTTCGGAGGATTTTGGGATGTAGTATAATGTCGCTTGCCTGATTGGGGCTACGGACTGATACAACTCCTCGGCGTCAGATGCCTCAGAAACAATGAAGGTCGAGGCAAGCCACTGTTCCAGTGCCTTTCCGTCTGGAACTTCATAAACCTTCATCATGCCCTCAACTGTCGAAGCTATGAAAGGTTGTTCATAGCGGATTTGTTTCCATGCATACTTCAGGGTTGACTCCATGTCAGAGAAATTAGCATCCAGCTTGAGCTTGGAAAAAAGCGTATAATGCTCGCGGCCATCGCATAGACTCGCAGAGATATTCCCCGAAACCACAAAGTAACCCTCAATGCCGTTTACCGGGCGCTCCCAGCGGGTATCCGATACTTTTGTCCAGGCCATTTTTGAAAAAGACTGACAGAGTGATATATCTAATCAGAGACTGACAGAGTGATATATCTAATCAGAGGTTGGTACAGCTTTGATATAGAGAAAGGAATCGGTCCGTCTGTGTCCATGTTGGAGCAAGTCATATATACTATCCTATATGTAGTTTAGCATTGTGGGTATTCGATTCTGAGTACGTGTTCCATATAATCGAGTGCACCTGTCATAAGGCGGAACCTAGAAGACGTAGAATAAGATAGCTGTTGCGTGGAGATCTATAGCATCTTCGCGGAGTCTACGGAGGGTACATTAGGTAAGTAGACATATTGGGAGCCATCTTTGTTGTGACTAGCCCCTAAGTAAACCCTTGGCGGTACTTTTGAACTACGTGTTTAATATAGCTCGACAATGATGCCTGTTAAGGGGCCAAAGGAAGGTATTATGTAATGAGAGTAAGCTACACGTGTAAGCATTTTTATACGGGTGAGACGTAACAGATCTTGATATTGCAGCACTGGAGTAATTTCACGGCTCTAATACAATACTAGACCAAGAAGAAGATTCAGTTTAGGCCTAGAATACCTTCAAGCTGGAATGAGCTCATGTTACAGTAGATGGTGAGACAGAAGGAAAAATTGAAAGAAAGATGGAAAAATAGGGGGTTATTCCTACACCGTACCTCGCTGTTTTGAAGTAATACGAGATTATGCCTCCGGCTGCCATTCGGTGGAGGCTCCGGTGGACAGTTGCTCGCTTCGCTCGAAATGGATACCGATATGAAACGACAGACTCACGATTTCTTCGTGTCCAGCCTAACAAACGTGCAGCAGCAGTTTCTTCTTGAGGGCGTAGTAAAGTGTTGCAGCATAACTGGAACTAAGAAGGAGGAAGAAGGAAGGCGAAAAACTTGGTTTATTCCTGACTACGGTGGCGGAGTGCCAATATATGGCCATATGGCTCTAGTGGACCCTATGGTGCCTGAGGCACCTGCAACATAAAGCTTCTAACCTAAAGGCATTGTTGAATAGGATGCCCTCTAATCCTTTTACCCTCGAGAGCGCAACATCTGTAAGCCCAGATTGGAATTCATTACCTAGCCCCTATCTTCAACACTACTCGATCTAGTGTCGCCCCTTGTGATTTGTGAACCGTTATAGTATAGCATAAGCGATAACAACGGGGAATTACTGGCGTTCTCGGTCTACTCCTTTGTAGGAATACATCCTAGGAGTACATCCTACAGGATTGGAAAATAGGTACCACGGGGATGCCATTTACTTCGTGTCCGGTAAGGGGTATAGAGGTTCTCCGTAGACATGACCCGGGAGATTAGAGAAGTAAGGAGATCTATCTAAAGGCCGTCAGCTTCTCGATGCGTGCCCTATCCCAGTCGCGGCCCCTATTAATGGCTATAATACGAATGATAAGTCGTCTAAAATTGTTAGGACATAGCCACTCCCGTGGCTATCCATAGCTGTTGCCGTATGGGCACATCTCCATGGTTGCTGCTGCCGCAGCTTGCTGAACCTTATCCGTGTATATATAGCCAGCCTGAGACGCTGGGAGCTCAGCTCTCTTCTTCTCTTTCATATATTCATCGACTGATTAACCTCTTAAGTCCCACCAAAAATTATCTACATTACATGGTGATAATTATAATCGTTCACCTCCGCGTAGGGTTAGGGTTAGGGTTAGGGTTAGGGTTAGGGTTAGGGTTAGGGTTAGGGTTAGGGTTAGGGTTAGGGTTAGGGTTAGGGTTAGGGTTAGGGTTAGGGTTAGGGTTAGGGTTAGGGTTAGGGTTAGGGTTAGGGTTAGGGTTAGGGTTAGGGTTAGGGTTAGGGTTAGGGTTAGGGTTAGGGTTAGGGTTAGGGTTAGGGTTAGGGTTAGA